TTGAACTTATAAACTCGCCCCTCAGGCCCTCAAGCCCGTTTGGCTTTTCGGTCTCGCGCAAGCCGCTGCAGCCGGGCGACTCCAAGGATATCGATGCTACCGGGCTCTCGCTGTTTCTGAACGACTTCAGCGTGCCTTCGTCGCGGCCGTGGGCACCCCCGCCTGCTACTACTCCGTGCAGTCTCTCGGCCCCAAAGGACCACCTTGCCGCGGTTACTTGCTATTCGCCCGCTCCAGGTACGTTCGATTCGCTCGAGGATATCAAGCCTCCATGCGGTTACTCCTGGTCAAGTGGATTCTCTGCACTTGACGTTCGCGTTGCCGATTTCAGTGAGAGTCAGTCATCTGGACAAACTGCCTCCCCGACCTCCCCAATCGAGCCTGTCCTGTTCGATGCATCTGATTCCCTCCCTGCCTGCTGCACGTACGAGCCCTCGTCAGGACCCCCTTTGCCAGGCCCGACAGCTTTGGGTGCTCACGAGCTTGTCGCCTCTATCTCTCCAGGCTATTCCGCTGGCGGCAACATCTTTGCCGGACACCCGTCGCTCGTCACCGAGACCAAATCGGAGGTAAGCTCGAGCCTGGCTCCTATTACCCCTCCAAGCCCATACTTGGGCTTCATTCCGCATCCCCGACCCATGAGCACCTATCAATCCCCACACTATCAATCCGCACACTACCAATCTCCACATCTCGCACCCGGCTTGTCCTCGTTTCCCACGCTCATACGCTCAACCACATATCTATCGCGTTCGGCTTTGACTGTCTCTGCCGTCGTCTCCCTCGCTTACCATAGCGTTCGGTATTCGTTTCTATTTCCACTCCCACTCCCATCTCCGCCTCCATCCCCTTTCCCACCGTATACCCTCTTGCCATCCTTCCCAGGAGGGCCGCTTTCAAGATATCCGCAAGCTGCATCGCGATTCGTTGCGCCCGTCGCCTGAAAAGAACTCGCGAGAGCATGCCCTGGAAACCGGCTGTCCTCCTGGTCGTCGACCCCTCTACGCCGAGCTCGAGCAGGAGCTGGCTCAAGAGTATCGCAAAGCCATCGAGCAGAACCTGACCGTGACCGCCGCGTTTTTGCTGACCCGGGCCAAGAAGCTGTTTTTCAAACTCTACCCCAACGAGGTCACCCCCGAGGGCGACACGGTCTTCAGGTTCTCGCCTCGATGGTTCGCTGCCTTCAAGAAGCGACATAACATCGACAAGCTCGGTCGCGCCGGCAACGGCAAGGGCGGGAGGCGCATCATCCAGTACATGTATCTGGGCAAGCACTCGCCCTCACCACCGCCTCCTCAGCGGACCACCAAACTCCGTGGGCCAGGCGACTCGACTCGCTCGGACACAAGGGCATTCCGACGCTCCAAGGACGGAGCCACAGCCGATCATTGCACTGGCTTGGAGCTGGATTCGTCTGTCGGGGGCAATGCCACCAAAGTCAACACCCCCGAGTCCCTTCCGCCTGACGGCAAGCTCTCGTTTGTAGGCGCCGATCCTTGCAGTGGCCACATAGCCTCCGTGACCAAGGTACGTGCTTTGGATACGCAGCGCATGGTCGAGCTCTATTTCTGGTCCGATCGCTGTCTCTACGTCTCCTCTGTGATACTCGCCGCTGTTATCGACCCCCCCCCTCAAACGCCCAAACAGCCGTGCGAAGCGCCTAATCCCGTATGTCATATCTCCGCGTCGCTCAGGCTGAGTTTGACAAACTCAGCTCGCTTCTCGAGTCCGCTCCGCATCCAAAGTGCGTCAGCAGCGACCGTCGCTTCTCATCGCACTCGCCCACAGCCAAGGATGAATCTAGCAACAGGGTGCTGCAGCAGCCTCTGGCATCCGCGAACGGTGCAGCCACCCGCACAAAGGTCGACCTGATATCTCCCGGGGCGTTTGGCGGCTTTCTTTCGGGCTCGCCCGTATCCGCTCGCGGCCACAGTGTTTCTGCCAACGATGGCTTCTTCAACGATGCGATGGGCTCGGCCTCGTCGACCCTCAAGACTCGCAGCACATCGGCCATCACCACGTTCCTTGGCCACACCCGCTACGCAACCGCGCCCGTCGGTTCCTCGCGAAGTATCGATCAAGTCTTTGTGAACCAGCCACAACCACAATCACAGCCGCAGACTCCGCACTTTGGCGCTCTGGACTCGTATACTGCGGGCCAGCCCGGCATCGTACTCGGGCTCCATACCAAGGGGAGCTCCACTGGCTCCGTAAGTTCTCAGCGCTCGTCGCCGATCGGCAGAAACCATCCGGGCAGCTATCCAGGCAGCCACCCAGGCAGTCAGCTCACGAGTCCAGTGGAGGCGTATCTCCAGCCCAAACAATCACATTCGTCCCAGCTACCGCCGCCACCGCCGTCAGGCCCGGCCCCACAACGACACCTGGATCTGTATCGCGGCATCTACGGCAGGCGATCTTCACTCCAACTCGATCCCGATGGGCAGTTCGCCGTCCAAGTGACCTACCCGTCACTGTCATCGCCTCCGGGTCCCATGTGGCTGGACCACGGCAATTCCGACCCAAGCAGGCACTACTCCAGTCGCTACATGTCGGGCTTTTACTCACAGAACGCCCCCGGCTATCCGAGTCAGCAGGTAATGCATCTCCTCTGATACTGGCTTTGTGTGTTTGTCGGTTGCTTGGCTACAATCGGTTGAGCACTGCGGCTGTCGGCATTTTCGGAGCTTGTCGGCGCATCCGCCGAAATCGGCTTCGATCTCCATCGTTTCAGTTCGCCCGCAAGCACCTTCTTCTGAGCACACCTTGCTCTGTACATCGCGCAGCTCACAAGAGCATCGACACACGGATGTGGCACTTATATGGCTTACCTTCCCCACCAACTGCAGCCTTCCTTGGTCATGGATGGCGAAAAATGCGTGCCGTGCATCCCATCCACTCCTCATAGCGTGTCCTATCTCTCAATGTCCGCGCCGACTTCGGTCTACAGACCCACACCCGGTGCCCTTGGCCAGCCCGTTTCCAAGATTGAACTCCATACCACCTTGCCGCTTTCGCTCCCGCGAGACTCTCCCAAGGCCGCCCTGGTCGGCGTCAGCAGCGATACAGGAGCAACATCAGGCGCTCGAAGCCAGTCGGCCGAATCTACACACCATGTGGCAGCAGGCGATGCCATGCGCGAGGCTCGGACTAGAACCTCAAGTCAGTACACCGATCCTTGCCTTGGCGACGTCTCAGGCGATGCCACGACACCCATGGATCACTTGCATCGTCTGAGTCCCGCCCAGACCAATCCAAGCCCCGAGCACACCTACGCGAACTACCCCAACCTCGGACAGGCCTCCAATGCGGTCCTGAGCGAGTCTCCGCTGCCGCTCAGCTCACCATTCCAGCTGCTTCCGACTCCACAGTCGCCGCCGTATCACTGCGCTCACAGCGTCACATCGCTCTACAGCCCGCTCCTGGGTCCCAGCATTGTAGTGCCCTTTCCGTTCGTTTCGTCGGACCTAGTTGTGCCTTCGTCGACAGCCTCGTTTGGACACCAGTCTTATGCAAAATACGGCGATAGCAAGGCTGCTGAGGAGCAATCCGCGAGACAACACAGAAAATGGGCCGACCAGTACCATCGCAGCTACCACTCGACCCGCTCCGAGTCTCCGACCCAGCCCACTACTCTGTCAATGTCGCCGATCGACACCGAGGATCGCAGCAAAAGAATGGATCCGTTTCCGACATTCACGACGGGTGGCACCGCCACTGAGCTCAGCTCCTGCTCTGCGACAATGAGCACCGATATGCCCGGAGCAACGACACTCTCATCCGCCGGCATGACCCCATCCATGCGCTCTGTCCCAGCCTTCTCGGCCTCGGACCCTATATTCTCCCATCTATACGGCCCGTCGCTCACGACAATGCAAGTGTCGTCCACAGCGATGTCGCAGGGACTGCTTGAGCCCGGACCCATGGGCACGCCCTATCCGATCTACGTCGACAACTCGCTCAAGGACATGCCAGCCGTGATTCCGTCCCAGCTGGGATACTCTCCGATGGAACTGTCGACCTCATACTCGACCCCGTCGTCTACCGCCCACGAAGCCAAGACAGACCGTGGACGGCCCTAAGCTGCACCGCTCTGCCCTCGCGACCCAACAAACTCCTCCATCATCCTTGGCCCTATGCCCATCAAGCACTAAACTCATTCTCTTTGACTCTCTCTCTCTCTCTTGCCGCGGGGCCTTTTGTGTACTAAGCAGCGGCTATTCCCGACTTCATCCTTCCGGCTGCACACTCCCAAACCTCATCATGCCATTTCCTCTTATTCCAACAGCACAAATATCCCTTCCGAGGGGGCTAATCTTCAATCCCATACCCCTACTACCTTGTGAATTCGACTGCTTTTCGGTGGAAGTGCTACAGCTCCCCGTTATGTTTACCACCTTGAAGCCGGCAACGCAATGATGACTTTGCTCTTGCTCCCGGCCTCACTCTGGAGCGCATCCCCCCTCCCTCTTTGTACATTCCTTCCTTTTCCTCCCCACCCCACACTCCTTTCAATTCTTTGTGCATTCTTTTGATTCTTTTTGGAACTATTCAGCAAATTAATCTTTGCAATTTCCACCGCCATCTCTCTTCAAACTGGGCTCAAACTTCACGAGAAGCTGGCACCCTGTCCTTCTCCCAAGCCCGTCTGTATCCTACGTTCATTGGTTTTTATCACAATTGCCCATCTCAGTAGCTTGCCGTTTTCTTTCTCGGTGTTGAATTCTTCTTCTATAGCCGCTCTCTGGCGCTCAAATACCTTCAACCCGCTCCGCCGCCATCCAGACAACGCCGGGCAAACACAAGCGGTCAAACAGCAACCCGCAATGTCCACAAGCACGAAATGCGCTTTGCCCTTGACTCGACAGGCCGGTGCCCTCCGGATACAATCACCCAAATCAAGTGGAATGGGCAGGGCTTTCCAGTGAATCTTTCTCTCAGTGTGCTGGCTGCTCGTTGGGACGCTCTGCATCCAAACAATCGCCCCGTGTGCCATCGAGAGGATAGTGCGCTTGCAGAATAAGCAAATATATATTGAATCCCAAGTGCTTCTTTGGAAAGGGAGCGGTATTCGCACACACAAAAAACAGGCTGTGCACTCGCCAGGATACTGCTACGCACTACGGAAGCAGCAGGAACGGCAGCAGTAGCGGACAGCCGACCGCAAGCGGTGGATATGAGGCTGCAGGCCATCAGTACAGCGCAATCGACTCCTCCTCGGCACTGTTTCGGCCGAACCACAGGACCATAGAGCTGAGTGTTCCCAAAGTGGAGCACGGCGATTGATTCCCATTCGATCGACGAGACCAAGCACAGACATATCAGATAAAGTCAGTGAACGAGTAGAGCGTGTGGACAGGGCTATCTGCGATCGTAACAGGAATGGCGGCACCGACGATGAATGTACCTGGCAAAGATCAAGACGTTTTGAACAATGACCGAGTAGCCAAAGTAGAAGGCATCGCCTTCCATGCCCGTCAGGACGTACTTGACAACCGTGATGCCCTGAAGATGGCGAGCCCATCCACGACGATCGAGTTAGCTCGAGCCAGATGTGTATGTACGCATTGTGCGATGTTCATCGTCTGGTGGCTCATGCTTACCACGGCTCCACCGAGAGCGCCCAGGGCCATTGCGATGCCCATGAAGGCGCACAGGCGGGCCTTGTAAGCGCTGTTTGAGTTGCCAAAGGAAAACTCGTCGCCATTGAGTGCTGAGCTGTCGATCAGATTCACACTTGGCACGGCGGGAATAAGGCGGAAGGAGGGGGGCAGAAAAATGACCAAATGGACAATCGAGGTTGAGTACACATTTGTATGACGCCGCCAGCATTCAGGCGAGCGGGGGGGTCTTCAGCATGCCCAGGGGAGCCTTCCGCTGCTTACATGATCAGCGAGAGTGTCGACAGGATGCCGGGGACATAGTCCTCGAATCGGATTTCATTCGGGAGCGAGGGTTCGCGTGTGGATGCATAGACGACGCCGTCGATGAATGCCCACCATCCAAAGGCAAACTGGGAAGGATGTGAAGCAAAGAGGATGCACAGAGGAATCAGTCGTCGGCCCGGCGGTTGGACCGGTCGCATGCGAGAAAATGCGAGGCCATGCTTAATTTCTTCACGGCTGCAAGTCGAAGAGTTGGCTTTGGCTGATGCCATTCAAACGCTGGCAGATGGCCTGGATCTGCTGAGACGGCGACATGATCCATCGGAATCGGATATTGGACAGGTGCCGATAGACAGCGGCTGCATCTGGCGATTGTATCTGACGATTGCATCTGGCGGTGTCGCCGTGGCTCTATTGCTCAGAGGCTACTGCCAGCGAGGACGAAGCCGGCCGTGAAACAGCAGGGTCGACGGAGCAGCAATGGCAAGCTTACCAGGGCTCCAGCGGCGTAACCAGCAAGCTCCTTTCTGGACGGAAACGGGAAGAACGAGCCGAGCTGCTGCAGGAGCGGGATGCAGCAGGTGCAGTAGAACGGCGAGTTGTGCTGGCGGACGGGCGGGGTGGGACGATGGAAGCTGCTGGGAGCCGACGGATCGAGCGACAGAGGTTGATATCGGGGCATTTTGGGTTGAACCGACGATGAGGCTGGGCGAGGCGAGTGCGGAGACGATGGAGGATGCAAGTGAGCCGGCAGCGACGAGAGAGCAGACGGGCGGCAATAGAGCGGGATCCGGCAGGACTCACCGACACGAACAAACGCTCCGGATGATAACGACAGAGGGCAGATGGAGCCAGAGATGGCGGATGTCCAGGGTGGAGAGCGGCGGCTGAACGGGACGGGCTTGTTCTCGCTTGGCGGAACCGAGAAGGCCGGCCGGGCGGCAAACTGGCTGTCGAACTGGTTGCCGAACTGGTTGCCGATCAAGACCACCATGAACCACCGCGAAGAGGAATCGCTCCTCTGGATCAAGGCCCTGGCACAGGCCATCGACCGTCTGCCCCGGTCTGTGGACGAGCTCGACGACGACCATCTCAAGCAGTCGGTATTCGACCATCGCCTCCACCGTCATCTTGACTGCACGCTTTCCCGTCCAGCAAAACTAACCGCCCTGTGCTCGGCAGGATATCGTTTTGGGCAGGACCGCAGCTGGCGCTGGACGCTCTGGACATCCTGGACAAATGCCCCGATTCAGGTGCCGCAACGCTGAGAGCAATCCCCCAAACCAAGAGTGCAAAGGCGTTGATGTGATTTTGTGTCTTTCTGATGAGCATTTTGTTTCTGCGTCTTGGGCCGGCAGTGACCAAGGTGTTGTCACCCGAGGGCCGCTTCTTCTTCAAGGTTGGTGGTTGCAGTCGTCCCTAGTCAAGAGTGGTGTCCAACGCTTTGGCATGTTGAAGCTGGGTCGTCTATATAGAGCCCCACACTTATCGGTGCTGCTGCATGCTGGCTGCCACAGGTCACCGAGTCGTCCGGTGGAGCGGCAGCGGATTCGACACACTTGGTGCTGCTGGGCTCGCTCTACTGCAGCTGTCGCTCGGATCCAAAGACGCCGGCCGATCAAACCAGCCTCCCGATATGCTCCCATGCCCTGGCGTGCATGCTGGCTGTCCGCCTCGAGGCCTTTGCGACCGATACGTGCTCGCTGGAGGACTATGCGGTCCAGGTGTTCCTGCGGGTGTAGATGCTGGCTGCTTGCGGGAGTGGTCGTCAGCCTGCAGCTACTGTCGATGAGAGCTGCCCTGATCGAGGCAAGGTCCCTCTGTTTCCGTCGCTGCTGATTGAGACCTGGGACGCACTCTCGCTCCCGAATGAAACTGGTTCTTGAGCGAAACTGGTCCTGGCCCTTGAGCGAAGCCAGACCCTGGCCTGTGCAATCATTTGTCCAAAAATGGCGATGCCTCCCGCTGCGCAGCATCCCTGGAGCGATCTGCTTTGCCCAGACCCCCGCATCGTCCGCCCAGCACCGTTCGTTGGCCTGCATCCATCTCGATCTGATCGACTCGTCGCCAGACCAGTCCGTAGCCGATTCCTCGAACTCGATACCAGACCCGCCGCCAAACATCCGCGCCACTGCCAGAGATGGAAGAGTCTGCGTCGTCCTCGAAGCTGGATCGCCCCGAGCTGTCGCTCGACAAGTCGTCGGAGCAGGGCTTTTGCTCATTCTTTACTTCGCTGCCTGATGTGCGTCACTTTGTGCGGGTGCTGTCGGCTATCTGTGTGTCGCAGCATCCATATTCCCTCGGGCAACGCGGGGCTCATTCGCAGGGACACACTTCCTCTCCTCTATCTGGAGCGATATCCTTGTGACTAACGAGCTCATTCCCTCCACCGACGAATGAACGGATATCTCCCTCAACCGACCTCCGAACTATCTCGGCTGTCGGTGTCTGCAGAAAGCCGAGAACACTGTCAGGCTGTTCGAGCGCAACAACGGGGTAGGGCCATCGGTCACCAGCAAGTGGCCTCGGCCGGTCTGGGCCATCCGCATCGCCAATCACATTGCCCAGCCACACTGGCCCTGTCGACCCAGCTCCTCCGAGCCGCGACATTGTCATTGACGGTCCTGTTTGTTGCAGGACTACTATTCTGTCCACGGCGACGATGCACACTTTGTCGCCCAAACGATCTACAAAACCAGCTCGGTCATCAAATATCTTGGAGGTACCAAGTCTCCGATGCGCACCCAGATCGATCGACTCTGGCAGGAGGCTCCGTGGTCCAGACGCTCCAGGATCGGCACAGCCCGCTAACCTGCTCTCTGCTTCGGCAAACTTGGCAAACAGGTGGAGACGGGCTCCCGAGCTGCACCATGTCCAAGCTTACGGCTAACGTGCTGTTGAAGGACCTGCTCCTCGCCAAGCTCTATCGAGTCGAGATCTGGGGCAACACTGAGGCCAGAAAGGGCGGCTCCTGGAAGATTGTCAAGCGGGTATGTTCGCGAGCGTTCCGAGAAGGCGTTCAGTTCCGCATGGGCGCCGAGTCGCACGGCATCGGATAGAGCTCTAACGACGCTGTCTGGTTATCAAACCACAGGCCTCGCCTGGAAATCTGCAGGACATTGAGGACATGCTCTTCTCCAGCAGCGAGATTTCGTCCTCTCCGGTTGTCATGGCAGTCAAAATCGAAATCACGACCGATCAAAAGGTATGGCTCGGCCCTCCCCACCCCTCGTGCTCCTACCAAGCGATGGCGACACCACCGCGATGTGATATAACGACTGCGGTTCCGCCACATCCGCAGCGAGACTCACATCTATGATTGCTTTTCCGTCAGCTCGTCGGAATAGCTTACACGGACGCCACCACAATGCTCACCCTCGGCGTGGCCCAGTTCATCGACAACGACACGTTTTCAAACCTGGAGGTGGGTTTGGGCTGCAAGAGCCCGAGCGATGATCACATTCATGAGTGGGGCTGCGAAGCACGCACAGTCTGCACAACGATGCGCATTCGCTAAAATATGCTCCCTGTGATGGCTATGCCGCGTCGCTTCCTCAGGCCCTGCTGATCCAGCTGAGTGTCAAAGAGTGTCTCATCGCCGACGAGCCCTCGAGCTACCACAGCAAGAAAGTCAATGCCATCCTGGAGCGATGCGGCATCATTGCGACTCTTCGAAAGAGAGGTAACGTGTGCCCGAGCACTGCCCGAGCACAGTCCGAGCACAGTCCGAACCAGGACGGCCGGCGCTCCATAGCAACGCCTCCACATTGCTGAGTTCTCCTTGGCGGAAAGGCTATAACACGCACGATCTGGGTTTCGACCGCAGGCGATTTCCTCGGCAAGGATGTGGAGCAGGACCTGAACCGTCTCTTGTGTGAAGAAACAAACGTGGCAGCTCGACGTGAGTTGCAGCAGAGACTGTCTCCCCCCCCCTCCATATCTGTGTTTGTCCGGGCCGATCCATATGCCCTTCACCGATATGCTCGGGAGCCGTGTGTGTTCTCTCTACTAATATCACACACGAATACGCATGTGCGCACGCTCTTCTAGCCGAGTTTGAGCTCAAGGTTGCAATGGCCTCTGCTGGATGCTTGATCAAGTATCTCAGTGTAAGGCTTGGGTGCAGTTCTCATCTTCTTCCCAGCACATTGATGGCCTTGGGGACATCACACGACATTGAGCCGCTATGCTGTAGCCAGGGGGGAATCAAAAATAACCCTTGCCCCGATCGTCGCTGCTGCTCAGCTGATGAGCGACCCAGGCAACTTTGGCCAATACAACCTGGAGCACCACGACCTGTCGCAGTACATGAGGCTGGATGGATCCGCCGTCAAAGCTCTCAACATCATGCCCGGCCCTCACGATGGTAGCTGCTCTGTTCTGTCGGCTCTGCCTCTGTGTCCAGTTCGCACTGGCTCTTCCACTCATCAAACACCAATCTTTAGGGTCCAACAAGAACATGAGCCTTCTCGGACTCCTCAACAAATGCAAGACAGCCCAGGGCTCTCGTCTGCTCGCCCAGTGGCTGAAGCAGCCGCTCATGAACCTCGAAGACATCCGTAAGCGATGCGCTGAATCATTTCGCAGTGCTCGCCGAGGGGTGTCGCTGCTGGAGCGTAGAGGGATGAACGTGTCAGCGCAGCCATGCCACTAACACAACGTGTGTGCACTTGTTGCCTTTGCGTCAAAGACCACCGACACGATATTGTCGAGTACCTGATCAACAACACCGAGCTTCGGCAGTCCCTGCAGGTGAGCCGCCACGGGCTCTCGTTGTCTCGTCTGGCAGCCCTCATCGGCGCATGATATCGGGTTTGGTATTGGTACTGACTTTGGCATTGGCACTGGCACACACGCTCTCTGGCATCCAGGAGAGTCTCAAGAGCTTCCCAGATCTTCACCGTCTTGCCCGCCGACTCCACCGCGGCAACGCCAGCCTGCAGGACGTGGTGAGAATCTACCAGGTCATCGTCAGTCTCGAGAAGCTCAAGGACGAGCTCGAAACCCAGTGCTTCGGCGACGATCCCCAGACCGAGCTGATCAACAGCACCTACACCGAGCGTATCAAGGTATCAGACTCTGCGCAACATGTGACATACGACTTGTGTATCTGCAGGGGAGACAGGGAGCGGCCAAACGAAGCACATCTGTTGGTGGGGCGTATTTGTGCCCTGTCTGGAGGCGTTCCTGATCTCCCTCCGTGTGTATGTGCTTTCAATCTCACACGGCCGTTCAAACAGGAGCTTCTGGGGCACATCATCAGGCTCAAAACCCTGATCGAGTCTGCTGTCGATCTCCAAGCCGCCGACAGCCACTCGTATATGATCCGGCCCAGTTTCGAGGGGGCGCTGCAAGGTGAGTGGGGGATTTCTGGCCCCCTTGCCGTCATGAGACTGGTGCGGTTCAGGCTAGGCCCGACCGGGCCCACCCGCCCCTGCCTCACTGAAACTCACCGCTATCCTTCCTTCCAGAGATGCGCGATAAAATGGACCATGTTTCGGACAACATTTTTCCTGAGGTCACGAGGGTATGTCGGCTCTGGACAGCACCGACAGCGATCGCGACAGCATATGCGCTGACATTGTTAATCACCCCTCGCTTTCCCACACATCCGTGCCTCCTCACTTGCTCCTCCCCAACGCTGCTATGTTGACAGGTCGCTGATGATTTGGGCATGGAGCTGGACAAGAAACTCAAGTTTGAGCAGAGCAGCCAGTACGGCCATCATCTGCGGCTTTCGAGAAACGTAAGCTGTGGCCCGATTGCGTTTCCTGCGGACGATGACAGCATCTCGGCCGCAAATGTCTGACATAGGTTTGCCTATCGCCTTCCAGGACGCCAGCTCCATCCGCGGCTCGCGCTCCTATATCGAACTGTCGACACAAAAGGCCGGTGTGCTCTTCACAACCCCGACACTCAAGAAGCTGAGCGCAGACTATTACAGCTACCTCGAGCAGTACGAGACGCTCCAGCAGGAAGTTGTGAAGAAGCTGATCGAAGTTACAGGTACGCTGCGACGATGGCATCAGCCGGCTTGTGCGCTGTGCTGCTGGTTATGGCCGGGGACTGTCGCAGCACGCTCCGTTGGCAGCTTGATGCATTTCGAGTGGGCGAAGGTAGGGGAGGCTCGAAACGATCGCGTATCCGCTCGCTCATTGGACTGCCGCTCAATCCTCTGGTCCTGCAATCGCTCGGCGATGGCTTATCGGCGCTCGTCTAGTCACATACAACTCGGTGCTCGAGCACCTGAACCAGCTCGTGGCCCATCTCGATGTGTTGCTCAGGTGCGTATCGCATGCAAATCGGTCCTTTGATGCCACATGCTCCCAAAGCGCCTTGTAAGCCTGGTGTGCTGATGCAAGATGTGCACTGCAGCTTTGCCCATGTGTCGCTGCACGCGCCGACCCCATATACTCGTCCCAAGCTCACGCCTACAGGTACGTGCGGCTCGAGCTCCTGTCAGACTAGACGAGTGATGATATTCTATGTGCTGATGTCGCTTCATGCGGCTGCATCTGTATTTGCATTTGCTGATTGGGGCAACAGGCGAAGGCAACATCAAGCTGCTGGCATCGCGCCACCCATGTCTGGAAATGCAGGATGGTGTATCGTTCATTGCGAACGATGTTGTCCTGGAGCGAGGTATGTACCAAGGAAGGATTGTTTTGCTGATGTGCATCGATGTGAGAATGCGAGTGAGAGCCTCTTGCGAGTGAATACGTGGCTGAGAGCCATGACGACCTGAGTGAAGTCGGATGGATGGTCAAGTCCACTAACCAAGCTGCGCGGCGACGACGTGGGATCGGGCGGGGGGGGATATTGGACTGTCTAGGCACAAGCGAGTTTCAGATCATCACTGGACCCAACATGGGCGGCAAGTCGACGTACATTCGACAGGTGAGCGATGCTACCGAATTGGTGCTGTACTTGTCGATCGCTTGAGATGCACGGCTGGCGACTCACTCACTCACGACCTGTCCTTGTGATTCCCACCCCCCATCCGGCTGTCATCAGATTGGCGTCACGGCCTTGATGGCCCAGATCGGCTGCTTTGTGCCGTGTGACTCGGCCAGCCTCTGCTTGTTTGACTCGATCTTGGCCCGAGTCGGCGCCGGTGACAGCCAACTCAAGGGCGTGTCGACGTTCATGGCGGAAATGCTCGAGACTTCGTCCATTCTGAAGGTCAGACCTGGCTGTGGATGGAGAGACGGACGAGATTGTCGTTGAGGCCGACTGCTGTCGGGTGCTGATGTTTCCTTCCCTGCGACATTGCTCACGAACCTTGCAGGCCGCATCATCCAACTCGCTGATCATCATTGACGAGTTGGGCAGAGGCACGTCGACCTACGACGGCTTTGGGTTGGCCTGGGCCATCTCATGGTACGTGGCGGCAGAAGGGTGGGGGGCCAATTCCCCATCCCACCGCAAATGTGTTTGGATCCGGGGCTGATTGGCCGAGAGGGAAGGCGCATACACAGGAATATGGCCTGGGACTTCAAGTCAAGGCTGATATGCATTTCTTTGCGCAACACTCAGGCACATTGCCACGAAGCTGCGCTGCTTCTGCCTCTTTGCGACCCACTTTCACGAGCTGACGGCGCTCGCCGAGAAAGTCCCGAGCGTCAAGAACAAGCACGTCCAGGCAGTGACGGACGAAAACAGCATCACCCTCCTCTACCGGGTGCTCGATGGGTTCTGCGACCAGAGCTTTGGCATCCACGTCGCGGAGCTGGCAAAGTTCCCCGAGTCGGTTGTGAAGCTCGCCAAGCGCAAGGCCGCTGAGCTCGAGAACTTTTCAAGCGACGGCGAAGGTGCGATGCGATGCAATGCGATGCAATGCGATGGCTGTGAATCGCTGCAGCTGGTGTGGTGTACATGATGTTGGATGATGGGCAAGGGCGTGGGGACGCTGACACCGGCATTGACACTGACGCCGAGACTGGATGCAATTGGTGGTGGCTCGGCAGATCTCGGTCGCCCATGGAAGTGCTCCAAGGAAGATATTGAGGTACGATGGACCGGGCTGGGCTTGGGCTGGGCTTGGGCTGGGCTTGGATAGTGGCAGAGGTGGAGCTTCTTGGACTCGAGATACCCTCCTGCAGACTGACCGACTGACCGACTGACTGACTGAATGTCGCAGCACGGCAACGACCTGATCGAGCGGTTTCTCGGCGATCTGGCTCGCACACCGGGCTTTGACAAGCTTGGCGACAGCGAGGCCAATGCGGTGGTTGATGGCCTGCTGGACAAGTATGGGCCCGAGCTCAAGGAAAGCGCGTTCGTCCAGGAGATCATGGCCGAACTGTCGAGCAGAGAGCAGCGCTGAGGATGGGCCGGGGTTCCTGGCGCGGCAGCTTGGCCGAGACTGAACAGAGATCCCAACGACTGCAAGATGCATCGCGATTTGTCAGTTTGGGCGATGGCGGCCTTTCTTTCTTTGCCCGGTGTTGCTTCCTGGTGTTGCTGCTGATTCTGGTCCCAGTCACGGCTCTGGGGGACCAGGCTCTTGGCCATCAGACCAGGCAACGGCCGACCGGATTGGCCGACGCGGCCCAGTCCCGGCGCACAAGCACAGCCACGATGGTGATACAGCGGGTACAGCCACTGGCGTCAGCGAGGACAAGCCGGGAGGGGGAAGGTGCTGTCCAAACAAACGGGTCTGGCGCGCCCGCGGCGGTGGCGTTCGGCTGGGGTGGTGGGGAGCAGTGCACAGCGGGATGATGATAGAGCGGGAAGCTGATGATGATGATGATGATGATGATGATAGCGATGATGATGATGATGATTATGGTGATGGCGATGATGATGGGTAATGGACAATGGGATGGACAGCAGACTCGCGGGGACCAGACGTTGGGTGGGCGACAGTATCCCGCCGGGCTGCTCATGCCACCCAGCCCATGGACAGCATGCCACAAGATCCACGAGTCTGGCGGTGGTGGTGGCGGGTGCGATGGCGGTGGCTTGCAGACAGCCGCGCAATCGGCGAGGCGGGCAAGCCAGCAAACGCACGCAAAGGCAAGCAAGGACAAGCAAACGCAAGAGAGGGCGAATGGGCGGCGACAGCGCCGAAAAGCTCAAAAGCGCAGAGGACAGCAGCGCCGGGGGAGGCCAAAGGATCGTCTCCTCCAGACCGATCCCATCGAACGGCCTCTCTTCCGCGCAAGGTAAAGAGCCGCCATGGCTTGGCATGGCGGAGGGTTGGACGGCATAACAGCGACCGCACATCGGGCACAGGCACCGATACGGCAACGAGCGACAAAGGAGAGACTCACCCGCCATTTGCTCTATCGACAGCGGCGCTGCAAAGTGCGAAACGGCAAAGTGCGAAACTGCAACAGCGTCGACATCGACAAACCTTCACACCCGGACACGCCTCATAGACTTTCCGCATCCGATCCCAGACCGACCTCTTTGTGTGAGCCCATGTTGAATGCATGTTGGATGCATGTTGAGTGCATGTTGAGTGCATGTTGAGTGCATGCTGCATCTATCCATGTTGAGTGCATGTTGAGTGCATGTTGAGTGCATGTTGAATGGATGTTGCATCTATCCATCCCTTCACACCTGCATTGCTCACCGCCCGTTCTTCATCGCCGCTCTCGGTCCCGCACACCCTTCACAGCACCGCCGACTATTTATCAGCCACGCCCAGGTCTTATCATTCATTCGCACCAGGTAGTCTTTTGTGTCTTGCCACCGTCACCGCCTCCAGATGGGATGCGTTGTTGTTGTTGCTGCTGCTGCCGCCCTGCATCGGCTCCCTTGAGCATCATGCTGACCCGCCCCCATTGATCCCCGCAGCACATCGCTCCTCTTATTCCGTTGGCCGCCTTGCCGTCTCCCGACCCCATCCAAACCCCCAGCCACCGCTGCCTGTTTCCCAGTCCGTCAGGTAGCGTACAGGCTCAGCAGCACGGCATGGCCGTCCCTTAAACTGCTTTCCCTCCCCAGGCCGCTTGCTTTTTTTGGGGGGTCATTTGTTTGGCCTTGCGGGCCTCTGAGCAGACAGTGGTTGCTGGGACCAGAAGCGCCGATGCTTGTCTGTCCTCCACCCGGGCCGCACCGCTGTCTCTCTCTCTCTCTCTCTGCTTTTCAATCCGTCGATCCGTCGGTCCCTCTTGCGTGCGTCCAACATCACCTCCTGGTCTGTGCCATCATCGGCCCTGCTTTCTTTGGCCCTTGGGCAAATCCGCTCCTCGGCCGCCTTGATCTTCCTTCTTTTTTTGGCCAAACCTGGACCGCCGCGCTGAGTCATTGTGCTCAGGCATCCCGTATCTGCCGATTTTTGTCTTCCTCGGACCCTCCTTCCCTCCCTCTCCCCAGATCTTCCTGTCCTCGTCGCTGCCGCCGTCAGCTGCCATCTGCCTTTTGCACAGCTGCCATTCGCCTTTTGCACAGCTGCCATTCGTCTTTTGCACAGCACTCGTTGTCACGCACCCATTCTGCTCGGCTGCTTCTTGCCAGCCGCTCGTCTCCCAACGTGCTCCTATCGCGGCTCCCCCACCACCACCAACACCATCGCTGCTCCTTGCAGTGCATGAGCCCTGCTTCTATTTCAGACCCGCCGCCTATTTTTTTTTCTTCCTCACCTTTACCGCTCTTGCCTTTCATCCAAGTGTTGAGGGATCTGCGTTGCGTGCCCACAACCTTGCTCCTTGACCCTATCTCGCCTAGTCTCGTCGTTGCTGGCCATTGTTGTCGTTTCTTGTTCCTGCTCCTTGCCCTTGCCTGCTTCGACATCCTACCGAGGCGCCATTGATAGACTTGTTACCGTCGCCCAATTCACCTTTTTCTCGCAACCGATTCGCCTATTTCTTTCCCCACATATCCTCGGCAGTCTCTCTGCTTCCACTTACAGTCAGTCGTCCCGTTCGTTCGTTGTCATCGTCCACAGTCTCCCGTCATGGTCTCCAAAGTCGCCAGCACCCCTCCCGCATCTCCGGCACCAGTCTCCCGGCCTTCCTCCAGAGCCTCGGTCTCGCTCCGCACACAGCGATCCATCATCCGACTCGTTGAGCGGATTTCCGAAATCAAAACCTACTGGCGCAACAAGCTCATCAAGTTTGCCGAGGAAGACTCGATCGATGAGGAGGAAGAGGCCGGCAGTAAACCCCTGCCCGAGTGGACGGCGACCGAGAAATCTAGTCGCCAGCGTGCAGATAACAAAAAGACAAACTCGGTCTACTCCAACGGCACCCGATCTTCGAGCGTTCTCGAGCCCTCCAACCTCTCTCACACTGTCGCCGAGCAAGCCAGCAACAGCAGCTGCTCGGGTGAAGGCTCCTCCAGCGAAACCCTGTCGGATTCAAAGGTTTCCGAGCCGGCAGCCTCATCGCTCGATGCGGCCGAGCCGCCCAAGGCCAACAAGCGCAACCGAGTCTCGATCCACACGGCCCACAACACAACCTATCACATCAACCCAGAGTTCAATGCCGTCAAGAGCCCCCAGGATCACGAAGAGATGCGGAAGCTCAAGGCAAAGCATCGCCAGTCGCTGTCCGCCAGCATCCAGCCCGCCACCATCTATCCGAGCTCCGGCCCGTATCTGCTCTCGCCCATGGCTTCGTCGACGCCGGTCCTGATGTACTCTCCGGCGAGCCCTTCTCCCCAGGAGCCGCCCGCCATGGTGGCACCTCTGTCTGTCCCTGGGATCAGTGTCTCGGCTGCCACCGGCAATCCCACAGCTCCGGCCGACAAAAAGCGAAGGAGCCGCGTCGTTTCCACCATCGCTCCAGTTTATTCGTCCCCCGATGTCTCTCCCGAACCTTCGCCCCGACCCCCGTCGCCTGGCCAAGCCGACCCTCGCCGAGCCAGCGGCATGTTCGTCCGAGAAGCCGCAACGCCCGTGCACCCGATTCCTCCCTACGCCGCCGCCATCTTTGCCTCGGGCCGAGACCATTCGCTCGCCGTCAATCGTTCTGAGGATGAGCTCCGTCGCATCAAGCAGAGCCGGCGAGTGTCGTCGCCAGTCTTCCCGACCGGCGAGGCGCTCATGTACTACTACCCTGCCTACCCCCAGCCGATGCCCGCCAAGCCCAAGCGGCGATCGTCGGCCGTGCTACCCCGCGGCGACAGCGATCCGTCCCTGCAGGGCTCGGGTCGCCTCCAGGCTCCCGTTGCGGCGCCCAGCCCGCGCAACCACCGGTTCAGCAACAGCCACGGCGACAGCCAGCAACTACACCCTGCCTATCTCAGCCGGCCAACCCCTGGACAGGATCGTCGACTGAACCGCGAGCCGACCCCGACCGACGATGCTGAGGAAAACATCCCCCTGGCACTGTCGCTCGAGTTCAAGCGACTCTCGTTCACCCCTGTGACCCTGACCGAGCCCGCCATCACATCCGACCTTTCGCTTCGACAGCCGATACGCCTGGGAGCATCCAGACCGCCGAGCGGCGAGACGACACCCGCGGACGATGGAGAGGAGGATGTTCCCCTGTTCTTGTTGAAAAAGAGCACCGCCCCGACGGTCTCTATTCCCCCACTCGGCTCCGATCTGGTTATTGGAACACCGATTGTGGCCTAAAGCCCGTCGCCCAGCTCTGCTCTCAGCCGCTCAGCCGCTCTCAGCCGCTCTCAACAAGCCTTGAACGCCGCCTATTTTAATCATCTTCTGCACTCCTGGACTGCGTCTTCTCAAGCCCCCTCTGCACATCCGAGATCTCGCGGCTGTGTCCACAAGCCCCCTCCCTCCTTTTGTACCCGCAGCTCTTCTTGTTGCTGCCTCTGCGGTTGCTGTCGTCTCGACCGCCGCCTGCTGTATTGATCTACCCTGTTGACCCGACCCATCTGCTGTGTTGGCTTGTCTTTGTGATTTGGCATGTCAAAGTACGATCTCTGTGGGGCCTCCGCCACGGCCTACCTTCTCCTGTCTGTCTGCATTTTCCTCGAATCGACCAAAAATACATCTCTGGCGGCATCACGTCCCCAGCGGATGCACTTGATTATCTCTTGGCGGGTGTCGCTGGCGGTTGCGAGAACGGACATGTTCCCGAGACCAAGCCACTCGCACCAGGGTCGTTGGCGCGAGGTCTGTCGGTTTGCTCTGTTCCATCCGCCGCTCTTCCAATTCCATCTGCAGCTCCATCCAGCATTGCGCGGCCGATCTAACAGGAACATCTGGCCCCTGAATCCAACAGACATGGCATCCGTCATCCCGCCTCGCCCACCGCTGCGCGGCTCGGTTGTCGACTCGTTTGCGTATGTCACCATCAAAGACCGCCTCCCCATCATCCTGACCAAGGCGATCGATGCTCTCCATCGATACACTCACTCGCTGGATGCAGACCATCCCAGAGCCGCGGGCGCCGCCGACGTCGTCCAAAGGATCGCCGGCCTCAAGTACAATCTCCAGCGCAACAAGACGCTGCCCGACATCCAAGACCAGGGCGACGATGCAGCCGCATGGAACGAGGCTCTTGGGCTGCTACAAGCATCGGGCCTGCCGCCCACTTGGTTTGACGGTCCCTGGCTCTTCGTGGAATGCTATATGGTACAGCTCCAAGGCTCATCTCTCCTCCACTTTCTGGCTTCTGTCGACTCGCTCGCCTGAGATTCGTTGCTCGGCTGGACATTCACAATGACACCGATGGTGTTCATCGCACCGATCGTACTCATCGCATTGCTATTCCGTCTCCGTCCTTTGCTCTCGATCCACGCAATCTATCCAACTCATCCATCCAGTACCGAGCCGTCCGCGAGGCTCTGCTGCTGACACCCGAGTGGTCCAGCTATGATCCCTTCCAGTCGCAGAAGGAGGTAAGCAGCGCCGGCCTGGTTTGTCCATGCTGTAAACCACCGTCCTTGCGGTAAACCACCGTCCTTGCGGTAAACCACCGTCCTTGCGGTAAACCACCGTCCACTGACAGCCGCTCTGCTACTCCTCGGCCTCGACCGTCATGCCCAACCATCCAGTCGTCCTTTTACGGATCCCAGCAGTCGGTTCTGTCGCTCTCCAGCTTCGTTGCCCAAGTCTCCGAGAACGAGACCAAAGGAGCCCTTGCCAAACCCAGGCCCGATCTCGATCTCGATCTCGATATCGATCCCGAGGCCTATCGCTTCGTGACCCGCCAGCTCGTGCAGTTCTCGCTCTGGGGCAACCAATCGGATCTGTCGCTGCTCGTCCATGTCCATCACGCCGATCTGCACCAGATGCAAAAGTCTGGCTCCGAGTCGCTCAGCGAGAACGAGAAGCACATCGTCGTCAACAACGAGCAGATCCTCCTCGATCGGCTCGAGTCTCTGCGCTTCAAGGAGTCGCAGATCGACATCATATTGGACAATGCGGGTATGCAAGGAACGGCTATCGCTGTTTCTACCACTGTCGCTGCCTTTGCGATGTCATTTATTGGGCCCGCGCAAGCGACTCCCGAGAGTCGACACAGGAGGGAGGAGGAGGAAGCACATCTGGCATTGGCAAAGTGAGGATGCGCTTGATGCACACATCCAGCAGCACCAAGCTCATCCGTGCCGACAATCCCGCCCCATTCTTGGCTCGTCTCTCCTCCCTTGCACCCATCAGGATTCGAGCTCTTCACCGATCTGATGCTGGCCGACTGGCTGGTCCGCACCAAAACCGCCTCCAGGATCGTCTTCCACGCCAAGGCCTTCCCATGGTTCGTCAGCGACGTCACCCCAACCGACTTTGAATGGACGCTGCAGGCGTGCGCCAAGCTCGCCGCCGAGTCCGGCGAGGCTGCTTTGGCACTCGGCAGCAAAGTGCAGGACTGGCAGCAGTGGCTCCGGTCGGGCATTTGGTCGGTCCAGGTTCATCCCTTCTGGACGTTGCCGTACGCGTTCCATGAGCTGCCGAGATGTGCACCGGAACTCGAGGAGCAGCTTTCGCGCTCGGATTTGCTGATCTTCAAGGGCGACCTCAACTACAGAAAGGTATGGTGCAACAGACTGCCGCTCGGTCGGGCATATCTCCCCCCTCCCCTCGCTCTCTCGCTCTCCCACCCCCCCCCTTCTGGTCTCACCATTCCGTGTCATTCCTGATGTTGATGTGTTTAGATGGTGTACGACTGCGAGTGGCCGGTGACCACGCCGTTTGGAACTGCTATCGGCCCGCTTGCAACCGCTCGCCTGCCTCCCTTCGTCATGCTCCGGACCAACAAGGCCAATGTCTGCGTCGGTCTGGACGAAGGCCAGGAAGGCCGGCTTGTCCGCGAGGACCCCGACTGGATGGTCAGCGGCAAATACGGTGAGTCGTGTCGATATCGAAAGTGCACTTCGTGGGCGGAGGGTGTGAGGCAGGAGTGAGGCAGAAGTGAGGCAGGAGTGAGACACGATTCCCAGCGGCCAGCGACCAGATTGGCGCCGAATGGCAATTACCATGCGGCACAAACTGAGCGACTGCGATGTTCTACCTTCTCTGTTGCGTCGTACCTCCCCGTCCGGTGCTGCACTGCGCTAACGCTGTCATTGCTGAGTCCAGGTGTCATTCAATACTTTGCCAAGTAGAAACCCTGGCTTCACTATGAGTTTCGGGCGGATGGTGGCTCACAGCAGGATGGCGAACAGTGCCGCCGTTCATCGCTCGATAAATCAATGCTCGACAATCAATGGGCTCGACAAATCAATGGGGACTGTCCGTCGGCAGAGGTTTATTGGACACCGATCTGGCCGGCTGCGTCTCCAAGCTTATGCTTATACTCGCCCCACAGACATAAAGTCAACTTTCCCCCGCCCCGTCCGCATACTACTATGCCAAACGAGCTCGAGACAGGAGTCGGGACTGGGAGCTGGGTGCGCCGAATGGACATCTCACTCTGGAATGGCAGCGGGTCTTGTACCGCCCACAACCCCGGCACCATGTGGGAACTCTGTCAGCACAGCCATGGACAGACACGGAATGAAGAGCGACAGGCGAGGCGAGGCGAGGCGAGACGGGCTACTCTCCGTTACCAGCCGTTTCATCGTCATCGTCCTCCTCCTCCTCGTCGTCGTCGTCATCGTCGTCGTTATCATCATCGTCGTCATCGTCGTCATCATTGCTCTGCAGCTGCGCCATCTTGGTTTTCCATTCGTGCGCCATGGCGAGCAGCTTGAGGTTGGGCTTGTCGGTCTCGTCGTCAGGGAAGATGTAGTCAAAGTACTCTGGATGGGAGCAAGTCAACGGACGTCAGTGCCAAAGTCCGGCAAGTTGGCCACTCGACGGACTCTCGATGGGGTCTCGGCGGGAGTGGGACCAAGACGCCAACCCATACCGCTCCCATAACCCACTCAACCCGCCCACCACTCGGCCAATCGGCCAATCGGCACTCTCGGCGACTCACCTTCCCATCCGGCAGACTGGCCAAACTCGTCCTGGAGCTTTCTTCTCTTCTTGACCGCTCGCGGCATGCGGGCCTCAACCTTGCTCAGTGTTGAAGCGTTGCCGTGGCTGGTCTCAAACTCCTTGAGGGCTTCGAGCAGCACCACTCGTTCGTCCTTCATTTCCTTGCGCTTCAGATTCTGGTATGCCGTCTCGAAGGTCTCGCGAGCCTTGACCGCGCGCTCGGCTTCGTCTCCGTTGTCGAGGGCTTGGAACTCAAAGTTGGCGAAACTGATCCAGACCTGCGTGCAAGGGCAAAGTAGATTTCAACAACATGGACGAGGAGTCCCGCGACAAGACACCGTGTATGGGGCACAATGGCACAATGGCACGATGGCACAATGGTACCAGAGAGATCCAGGACGAATGGCGGCATCGCTCAGGACCGACGGATGGCATGTCCACTCGGCCGCCTCTTGTCCCTCTCCGCACTACCAGCATCGGAAGTCGTGCAGCTGCCGCCGATGAGGGTCGTACCTTGACATGGTCTGTCCGCTGCAGCAGACGCTGATACAGACTCCGGGCATTCTCCCACTCTTGCTCGCCAATCTCAAAGTCGATGTATGCTTTCCAGAGCACCTCGGGCATGTCCAACTCGGGCTGGGCGACGGCAATCTCAAAGATGCCGCGGGCACGCTCCGAGTCGCCCACGCCAGTCTCGAGCTCGGCAAACTTGACCCAGGCGTAGCAGTTGCTTTGATTCCAGGCGAGGTACTTTTCGTAGATCAGACGCACGCGGTCAAACTCGCGCAGCTGGATCTCGAGCTCGATGTAGCCCTTGAAGAGCCGCTCCTTGGGCGCCATGCCGATGGCCATGCCGAGGGTCTTGCGCGCCTGCTCCAAGTTCTTTTGCCGGACGAGGAACCGTGCGTACAGCAGCCACACCTTCGCAAAGGTAAAGGTCTTGTGCGGGATGATCCGCAGACACTGGTTGTAGACCTGTCCGGCACGCTCGGCGTCCTTTCCAGAGTTGCCCATGGGGAAGAGCCATCAGTCACAGCGTGCACAGTCAAGGTCCAATGCAGTCCAACGCGGTCCAATGCAGTCCAATGCAGTCCAAGTGCTTTCCACTGGTCACAGCGTCTCACCTTGGCTTGTGACTCTTCCCAAACCGCATAAAACAGCCACAGGTAGATATATCGGCGCCAGAAGCGCTTCTCGAGGACAGGCGGGACTTCGGCAATTGCGCGCTCAAAGATTTCGCGGATTTTGGGGTGGTCGCCCTGGGTTTCCTCGAGGCGGATGTAGTCGAACCATGTGTCGTAGTTCTTTGGGTTTGCGGCAATCTCCTGTAGACGGGGCAGTTACGGTATCGGTGATCCACAAATGCCGTTTCCATGTCGGGGCAGATCGTCAGCAATCCCTTCCGTGCGGCATCGAGGCTCTGTCCATGGAGCGCCATGAGTTCGCCATCCCTCCCGCTCCCCATCATAGCCAGAAGAATCGGACGCGGCTTGCTGTACCTCTTCGTATTTGAGTCGCCGCTTGCTGATGACCACGTCTTCGATGCCCTCTCGCACGCCGTACTGCTTCTCGAACTGGGTGTAGGAGTTTTGCAGGTTCTCAAACGTGCCCTTGGTGGTGTACTTTTCCAGAGCGTACTTGTAGATGACTCGGGCACGCTCAATCTCCTTGACGCGGATCTCGAACTTTGCAAAGGACACGAAAAAGTTCTGGTCGACGAAATCCTCTCCCAGAGTCGATAGGCACTGGGTGTAGATCTCGCGCGCCGTGTCTGCACCGGATCGATGGATGCGTCGCAGTCGGGGGGGGGGACATCTCGTAAGCAAATCGTGCTTGATCGTTTCTGGCAGATCGGGCTCCATTCGCGCAGAAAGTACAAACAAGCCTCTCCGACTCACCAACATGGCCACTCTGCTCTTCGAACTTGGCCCATTTGAGCCAGTTTTTCGGCTCCGGATGGACACTGACGAATCTCTGGAAGATCTGGCGAGCGCGCTCTTCCTCGCCGTATCTGATTCGGATGATGCGTCGACAAAGAGGAGTCCCTGATGAGTCGGCTGCGCTCTTGTCCTGTCCGCCTCACAGGGCTGGATGATCGGCATTGCCAGATGCGCATCGACATCGACGCTGACGTTGACATTGCCGCTCATGTCGGAGGGACGAGTGGACGAACAGATCCACGGTGGAGCTGTGTCGCCACGGAAACACATCCCACTTACCGCTTCTCCATCTTGACGTAAGCCATCCATCCTTCCTCCGAGGGTTCCCAGGCCATCCAGCGCTCAAAGACCTGGCGGGCGCCGGCCGGGTTGTCCAGCATCTCCTCCATGTACGTGTACTTGTACCAAAACAGGTCGACTCGCGGCAGGAGCGCAACGGCTCGGTCAAAGATGTTGCGGGCGCGGTTGATGTTTTTCCACTTGATCTCCATCTCGGAATACTTGAGCCACAGGGCCTGGTTGCGGTGATCGACCTCGAGCGCTCGCTCATATACGGACCGGGCTCTGGAGTATCCGGCAGGGAATGGAGAAGAATCAGTATCGAGAGAATGAGCATGTGGAAGGATATATCATGAATGCGAATGAGCGAGGCCCAGTGGGTCGACGATGTCGGGCCGCAGCCGCAAACAGAGTCGATCGCTGGCCTGGACACAGCCGGAACCAGAGCCAGAATCCAAACAGAGACAGATCGCTCGGTCGACGCCAGCGAGGGCCAAAACGCACACGACTGTCGGGAAAGGAGGGGCGAGGTTTGGGATCGCCTACCTCTCCATTTCGTTCATGCTCTCCTCCCACGCGGCATATTTCAGCCAGGCGCCAACGCTAGTTCGGTTGCGGCGGATAGCATCCTCGAAGGTCTTTCGCTTCTTGAGCTTGAACTCGTCGAGCTCCTCCTTATCGGTGATCTTTTGTCGGGGCTGCTTGAACTCGCCCTCAGTTCGCTCGGTGGCTTCTCTCAGAATCTGCTCGGCCGTGATCTGGAGGGCCGCAGGTGTCTTGTTCTGGACCTGGAGATTTCGTTGTTGAGGACATAGATCGGGCAATACCGAGTGTCAGCAATATGATATTTAAGGGACACGATGGGATGGGATGTGGGATGTGATGCCGGAGGATCGGAGTGATACAGGTCCAGCGAGAGCACTGTTTCACATGGGCTTCGTATGAGCCACTGGGTCTCGGGGAGAAGTCGGGGAGGGCTGTTCGGGCGACTGCTGTTCGGCTCTGCGCAATGGGTTGGGTTGTGTGCTGCCAGTTGGGGCTTGGGCGTACCTTTCCGGCCCGGGCAGCTCGGCCTTCCATCGTGGCAGAGGTGCAGCTAGCGGGGCAGACGATGCGAGTTGAAGTTTACGGCGCTCGCTGCGGATGGAGCACTGGGTCGGGTGGCGGACGCTAGATGGTCGCCAGGGAGGGGGAGATGGACAGAGTCTGCGTGAAGGAGAGTGGGTAGTTGAGATCTCGCTTTGGCGGAATCCTCTTTGGGCTGGCGAAGGCAACGGTCGCACAGACGCACTGCCACCGACGGGACGGATCGAGCGCTCCCCGTTTCTACGAGAGCGGGATGTGGTTGTGCATCAGTGTGCATCAATGTGCATCGATTCGTATCCATGAGCAACCAGTCTATGATCATCCGTGGGCATCCGCGAGCATCGAAATGTCCTCGGTTTGTATATGGAATGTATTGCGGCTCGCAACTGCATTGCTCTCGCACCTATTCCATACCCGGCTCTCATGCAAATTCTGGAACACCGCCATCGTGTACATCGAGCCGTCAGGTTGCTCAAGCTGCCCTTGGCTGGAGAGCTCGGTCCGTTCATTCGACGTATGTCCAGTCGGTGCACTCCTGGCAGTTCTCCTTGACCTGGCACGGGGGCACGGGCAGCAGAGGTTCCAAGAACAGCTTGATGACATCGGCAATCAAGTGGTATCGCACGTCGGTTCCCATCGTCGAGCTGTCCGAGTCGGCGCCTGTTTCTGCAAGGTTGGCCTTCTTGGAGGCGTCGTAGATGCACTCGTATCCAGCGTGACACTTAGACTCCATCGCATACCCGCCGAGCCAGCAAGTGCTTCCAAGGCCGACGCACGAGCCGAGGTAGATCGGATCCTTGTCGTTGCCGATGTGGTAGATCGGCAGGGTCTTGAGGAACTCAGTATAGTCCGGGCGCTGGCTTCCGTTGGGCGGTAGCTCGGGCAGCAAACCAATGCGACTGGCATAGAGCAGCTCGCCGGGTGCCTCGTAGGCAAAGGCGGGCAGGTCGTTCGTCAGGGCCGTCAGGGCCGCGAGGGCACCTCCAAGCGAATGGCCGGTGAGCCAGAAGCTGGATCCTTGCGGATACCACGAGCGCACAGCGGCGTAGATGGTCTGTTTGGGAAAGCAGCCCATACCAATGGCGGCGGCATCAATCAGTCGATGGGGAGCAAAGGCACAGACCCGCTTGCGAAACATGCTGAGGCACAAACTCCTGCGCTCGATGGTGAAAGGCGTACCTGTGCCAGGTTGTAGTACGAGTCCTGGAAGCTGCTGCGCTGTCTCAGGCAACTGTTGTGGCAGATGTTGCCCTTTGCCCAGCAGTCGCAAACCGGATACATGAACGAACCGGCACAGCAGCATGAAAACATCTGAGGAGCGCGGCAGCGGCGGCGTGAGTGTCTGGCGAGCATTGTGGATCGTCCAATACGACGATCTGTGTGCGTGATGGTCGAGAGTCAGGCCCAGATAGCATATTGATCGAGCACGCTCGCTCACCATGTTGTCGTTGAGCTTGTCTTGCTCTGCTGTTGGACCGCCCGAAACCGGGGTCAGCGGCGAAGTGCCCTTGATGGTCAGAATCACAACTTCGCGGGTGTCGTCCGTGTAGACATGGCCGCGAATGCCCTTCTCGATCCATCCAAACTTGTCGGTCTAGAGGATGCGTAAAACACCGATTGAGGAGGAGGGAGCAGCCAGAGGCGGGAGGATGAGCATATGGACAGGTGAGTCATGCCGTCCTCATGGGGTGGCGACATAACTCCAATTGCCGGTGCATGTGTCAATATATGCATGTGCGCATGCAGTATCATGAGACTGAATCTCCAGTGGCAACGGAGGCGGGAGGACCGCTCGTTCGACCGAGTGGGCATTCGCATATTTGGTGCGAACGCAGTTGCGAGCACCACCCACCTGATTGTATCCCGGAATCTCCTTCCACTCGGGTGCATCGGGCTCATAGTACGAGTTGAAGGTCATTTTGGCCAAGTTGAGGACGGTGAGCGGATCGGTGACGTTGGGCATGATCAAGTTCTTGTGCGGAACAAAGAATGACTGCATGCTCGTCTATGGCAGCGAGCCCCGGTCGGGTGAACGTTGGCGAGAGAAGTTTGGCCGAAACCCATCCGCACTCGATGGCTCTCCTCGCTCTCTCTTTCGGACGACGCCGTCTCCAAAGCCAGCATCGGCACAAGAACCCAGAACTCAGAGCCCAGAGGTGCTTGCTTGACGAGAAACAGCGAAACACACCTCCGTGTCGAGCACGCCATCTTGCTTCATCAGCTTGTGCTGGGCCGAACCTTCAGGGTGAACTCGGTGTCTTTTGCTGCGGGCCAGCTGCGATACCTTGCTCCATTCGGGCACACCGCCTTCCTGGAACGAAATGCTGAGCTCCCACTCCGGAAGCGGCTCGATCGGATCAGCGACATCATCATCACCAGCGGCGGCGGCGGCGGCAGCATTGACTCTAGCCTCTCGTGCCAGCCGTTGCTGATTCACAAATCGGTTGTAGCTGTGGATGTCATCCAAGTCCAGGGTCTGGAAAATGTTGGATCCGGGCTCGGTGTCGATGTGGAGGATGTGCCGGAGCCGCAGGGACTTGGAGTTCCGAGGCGAGGCCGAGGCTGAGGAAGGTTGGGAATGGAGTTCGGCGGGCGGAAAGTAATAGTACGGACCAACTTGGATGGGTTGGCGGCCGTGGGCAGATTTGGCCTCGTCGCTGGTATGTCGGGTTGGCGATGCCTCGACGACGGTGGCCAGAATCACGGACGAGAGGGCGAGGTGCGCCACCAAAGGATGGAAGAGCATTTTGAGTGCAGCACTTAATGCGCTTGGGGGGGGGATTATGTGATGGATGAGTGGACGGGCGACCTGGGGTGGGTCGGATGGAGGGGGCAAATTCAGGTCCGAGGAAAGACCAAGACAGAGATGCAAGGGTGTTGCGGCGGAGGGAGCCGCTGAAATGGCGCGGCTGATTGGAAATCAACAGCATGAGCACAGACAGCGCTGAGGCAGGACCGCTGGGATGTGGAGAGGGGCTCATTACAGGCGATTCAAACAACAGATGCATGGCTTCGGGTGGTCAAGAAATCAATATTGAGACTGCAAGCGAATGCGGATTACGAGCGTTGGACGGAGAGGAGGGAGACTGGACTGAAAGCTGGAACAAAGGAATTGATAAGAACGAGACGAGGAGCGGGGAGGGAAGTAGTTGAGAAGCGGAGGAGGTGGCGGAGACCAGGTGTAACAGGAGGATGAAGTGGAAAAAGCAAAGATGGCTTGAGACGTAAAGCAAGGCCCAAGAGGGTGGGAGGCGGAGGAGACGAGCGAGAGCCGGGGATAAAGGACCAAAAGCGACGAGCAGCGACGAGCAGCGACAAACAGCGACGATAAGGGAGCAGAAAAGAGGGTGCACAGCGCATAGCAAGTACAACATATCGGGCCAGTTCAAAACCACAAAAGTTCAAAAGGGACTAGATACATGTGCGTCTTGGGCTCAATTCGGAGCGAAACAAAGATAGTGGTAGCAAAACAATAGTAAGGCAGAAAGATGAAGACGATGGGTAGTCGCTCTTTCGTGCGCCGATTGCCGAGTCGCAATTGCTTGTAATATGTTGGGGCATCTCACTTCCGACGGCCATCATCTGCAGACTTGGATGTGGACTGGGCGAATAAAGACAGCCAGAATAAGGATAGCCATCACAATAGAATGCTCGGGGAGTGGAGGAGGAGGAGGGGGGGGGAACAGCAGACGGAGATGCATCAAATTAGTCTGCGAGTAAATGGGATTGGGTGGTAATGAGGCAGCACTTGCGGAACTCCTCGCGAGGCCCCGGTCGCTCAGGCAACCCGGACCACGATGGCATCGTGGTCGGTTCCAAGAGACGAGCGGGCCACATCCAAGTCATCGGCATCAACCGCACACAGCACTTCGTTCGTTCCAGGGTCGCGGTAGAGGATCGTGTCCGAATCCGGTTCATATCCCGCCAGCAGTATGTAGTGCCCGACAAAATCGTCACCAGAGATCTTCTCGTATCCCTTCTTGGTGCAGGTCCCGCAGCTTCTGAAAATATTCAGCGACGACAGACAGCCGCCCTCCTTGGGGACGCTTTTGGGCTGGGCAGCGCTCGATGGGATCGATAGCAGCCTCGTCTTTTCGGTGCTGTCGGATGGGCTCGTCCCGGTCGTCGGGGCCGGTGGAGGGTTGGGCAGCCGTCGGGTGGGCTGCCATGGCGTCGCCGGCTTGCGAGGGCTGCCGAGCACTTGGTTGAGCGAGCCCGGGTGATTGCGGTGCTGGTTTGGATGGGCACCGCCTGCGCTTGACGAGCTCGCACCAGCCGAGGGTGCGGCCCGGCTGGCTTGTTCCAGCGGTGCGACGACGGCAGGTTCGATTAGCGGCGATGCTCCGTCAGTGGGGCCCTTGGACTTTGACGGTGATCCAGCGGGCTGCTCACTGCCGGTGAGGCCGCGGCCGAGGCCAGTCAAACTGCCAACAAAGCTGGTGGCATGCGACCAGCTCCTGGACTCGGACGGCGAGTCGCCCGCGGGTGCAGCGACGCCCACCGTCCGGATGATGGGGATCATGCCCCAAAAGTTTCCCGGCGACTCGGAGAAGGACCGGGCCGGTGCAGGGTCGTCGAGGTCGGTGGCAGAATGCAAGGGCTTTGCTCTGCCCACCGATTCGCACTCTGACACTATCGTCAGCTCCTCGGGGTTCTGACACGTTGACGCCGAGCTTGTGTGGCGTGAAGACACCGAGATCGGGGGATGTGGCCGGGGGCTGGCCGGCGTCGAGAAGGCCATCGAGGGCGAATCGGGCGATGTCGACTCGGTGTAGCTGGGCTTCTTCCAGCATGAGAGCCATTGGAAGTAGTCGAGACAGCTTCGGCGCTTGTTGCACAGGATGCACTTGAGAACCGAGAGATTCACAAGAATGATGACGGCGTACTTGCCGCTGATCAGGAAGCGCCGAATGTCGTTCATGTCCAGGATCATGGGCACAATGCGAACGTTGCGATCGGCGGCGCCGGCAAAGAGGGCATGGACTCGGGATTGGTCCTCGGTGATGCTGTCGCGGTAGAAAGATTTGGAAAGATACTGCCAGTTGACGCCGATGTATGATGTGTAGTAGGCTGACACGTACATGAGTTGTCGAGGCGAACGCAGGGAATCGTCATCACAGTATTGTCCGGAGGTTGTCGTGAATCGACGAGGCCGTTTATGGCGATGGTTGAGAGACAGGGAGGATAGTGTGAGCACCAAGCGTCATCCGTTCAAATAGATCGCTCGCACGTTCCTCCGTTGAGGACTCATGCTCCTGCTTCAATTGTCAGCGAGTGGGGATGCGGCCACATCTGTCCAGCCGCCAGCCGCAAAAGCTCTGAAGCGTCCTCCGTTATTACGACGCTTCCCAGCACACAGCCACTTGGCTAGACGAGTCCAACGCATCACAGCATCACTCAGCATCACAGCATCACAGCATCACACAGCAACACGGAGCAGAGCACATACTAAAGTCTTCAACGCCGAATCGACGGAGGATATATGCCAGGTCAACCGTCCAGATGTTTTGCAGCGGGCATATGCCGTGAAGCTCTGCCGGTGACGACCTGGGAATGTTCAAGGCCGTGAGCACCATCGAGACACAGGCGAGTCCGCAATCCCAGTCGGCGAGCTGTTGAAGGGTGGCAGATGCCGAAAGAGGAGAAGAGGGGGAGGGAGAAGGCGTTGGGAGCAAGATAGTGAAGCGAGGAGAGAATGCAGCCATCAGTTAGTGGTTGCCGAATCTAGGCCACGATTGCTCAGGCGTTTGCCACGAAGGTGCAAGGCTGAGACAGGAGATGAGTTGAGAGGCGCTATCCGGGATCTGGGAGTGGCCTACCTGCTCGGTGTGCTGGATGCGAGCGAGCGCCTGAGGGATATCGAACTGTGGAGTGCGAGGCATGGTGGCCCAGTGGACGGTGGTGGTGATGGCGGTGGTGGCGAACGACAGACAAGAGTCTTGGACGATCGATGCGAGAACAATGCAGTGGGACGTTAGATCGATGACAAGACTCGAGCAAAGGCAGAGGGCAAGTCACGACGGGATAGGGTGGGATGGAGTCGCTTGTGATGACGACACAGGAGGGGGACGACAGCAACGGCGATGATAATAATGGCGACGATGACGCCGGAGGTGGAGGAAGAGGAAAGCGACGCCCACGGAAGCCAACCTTTGCGGGTCTGGCGCAAGGGTCGTTTGCCTGCGAGAGGCTGCGGGGAGGAGCGGTGCCAAGACGACAGCCAAGGCGAACGATGGAGGTGTGAGTACAGGAGAGGGGGCTGCTGGTGAGAGTGAATGTGGATACAGCCAGCGACACAAGTGCAATCGATGGGAGTGTGATGACGAAAGTATAAAATACGTGGAGTAGAGACGGCGAAAGTATAAAAGCGCAAGTGCCGATGACGTGGATGTCAAAAAACCGCTATAATGCCCCAATGCAGCAGCCGAGCCAGAGCTGGGTGGATGTGGTTAAAGTGATGGCCGAGCGAACGGGGAGATGGTCAACCAGACGGGCTGATGAATGCCAAGACGCCCGCAACACCCACCACAAGCCCGGACAGGAGCAAGCCGGCCGAGCCAAACACAGCGACGACGGTTCTCCCCGGCGGAACGGGTATTCGGAGGGCTGGCGGCGATGACGGGGAAGCGTTGGAGTTGCGCTCGCGGCCGTCGATGGCTTTCCGTCGCCCTCCCTCCCCTTCCCCAAAAAGGCCACGCCAAGAGCCGGCCCGCTCTGCGCTCGCTCTTCCGCTGGAAATTCCCAATTGGAGGATTCGCATCAGCCAACACCATGTCCTCTGCCGGGCCAGAGCACTCGCTGCTGCGGCTGCTGCTTCTACTGCTTCTACTGCTTCTACTGCTGCTAACCCCCAGCACCGACGCAGCCAGCTCGCCGTCCCTGCCGATGGACCGCGCTGCCTGTGCATGTGGTGCCCTCAACGAATGCTTCTCTGAATCTGCCTGATGGGATCCACCGTAACTACGATGTACCGGTCCATCGTCCCACCCAAAGCCACCGTCCGACAAGCATATCCTCTGGAGAGGTCAGTCCGCCATCGCAATCGACGTCGTCGTCTCCCGGGTGAGATGCACACCATCCTCGTCCTGCGACTGCACAAGCCGAGTGTGTTCCGGGCACATCTTGCGAGATTGCATCGAACTGCATTGCATCACACCGCGGCATACGGGATGTTGCTTCATGGTATCCCATCGCGCTGCTCCCTACTGCTTCGCATCACGCCATCTCTTGCTGAATCGAATCACATCAACCACTTTCTCGGCACATACCAAATCAAATCAAGCCAAACCAAACCGAGCCGCCGAGTGCAACGGGCTGCTCCAGCGACCAGCCACAGCCATGGCCAATCACCAGCAACGCCCTCGTTGTCCAGATCGCTGCGTGCGGCCCTGGTGACGATGCCCCAGAGCACCCGTGTGCAGACAGGGGAAGACATCCCCGCTCGGCTCTTGGAGACGCTATATTGAAACGACACTATATGAAGTCGTGCTGGAGCAGTGACACGCAGTCCTGCCGCCCGTCGGCCCCACGCCAGCTGCAAACGAAAGTAACCAAGGCGCCAGGAATGGGATGGAGTGGAAGTGGTCGGAGGGAGGCAGCCAGTGTATGTGTTTGTACAGGAATCCCATTCCGGTATGGGCACGACGATCGAGACCAACGAGACAGCCAGCTTGGACTGAGAATGGGAGGGCACCATGATTGAAAACAGCTCGGTCGGAAAGGCGTCGTTGTTAGCGCGCCTTGGTGGGATGGATCCGCATTCGCCTTTGCTGCAGTCCCAATCGAAGCTGAATGGGATCGTGCTGGCGAGGCAGGTGTCGATGCCATCAAGCCAAATACGGGGGAGGGGTAGCAGAAGCCGTCCAGCAACGCAGTATATGAAAACGAGAGAGAAGGAGAGAAAAAGCAAGACCAAGAAGACGGTGATGAGCCGTGGCGGCGGGCTGCTGAGTGGACGGGTAGACATGGGTGGCGATCGGCTTACAAGTCTTCGACGCTGCAGATCAGAGTGTATCAGAGCATATCAGAGCAGACCGGAGCATATCAGAGCAGACCGAGCAGACCAGTCAGTTCGCTGTTTCGGATGGATCGCCGTATCGAGGCAGCAATGTCCCGAGCTACCGCATGTGCGCCCGACACTTTCAAACTCCCAGCCATAACACCCACATATTCCAGGAATGTCTCGCAGTGCGAGCACAGCAACTTACTTGACAGTAGGAACATGGGGGAGGCTGTTGTACATCTCCGAGCTCCGGATGGCTCCCGACGAGTCCTTGTTCCGTCCAAACATGCCGCTCATGCGTTTCAGGGTGCCGTTGGCGCTCACAGGCGGGTTGATAGAGAGGTGCCGGGACCGGCGATGCTCTTTGTCGGTCTGGGCCCGCCGGGGCAGACTCGGGATCGAGACACTGCCGACGGCCTCGCTGATGGACCAGGTCTTGGTCTGGTCCGCCGAGGCGTCGTTGGGATAGCTGTTGTGTCGCTGCGGGGACGAGTCGCGGTCGTAGAAGCGATACGGGCCGTATCCGGTGTCTTCGACGTTGGACGAGTACCCCGAGCGGACGGCGAGGTCCTCCGGCTGGGCGAACGAGTTCCGGGGGCTCCCAGTGGTGGGGCTGCTGTAGAAGCCCTCGCCGCTGAAGCTGATAGGACGGGCGCTGTACAGGGCCGGCGACGACGCAGCGGGCGAGGGCGAGGGCTCATCCGAAAGGTCGATGAGATCGCCGACGACAACCTGGACGGGCTCGCGATAGAGCGAGGACCGAACCTGGGCATCTGGGGTACGCGGCGGGGCAGCCTGGCTCTGGCTCTGGCTCTGGCTCTGACGATTGGCCGAGCGGCTGAATTCAAAGGACGAGTCCGAGTGCGACTTTTGCATTGGCGGGCGCTCTGGGCGGCCGTACTGGGCAATCTGGCGACGGGCCAGGTCGAGATCGGCTGGCTCGGCGGGCCGGGACGGGCCAGCTTCGTACTGCTGTCGCTGTTGGTACTGCCAGTGATATTCTTGCTCGCGCCGCTGCTCCTCGAGCTCCTTCTTGTACTCGACCTGGGTGGTGGGATCGAGGGCAGGGCCGTTTCCTCGGCGCTTGGTGTACTTGCCGACTTTGAGCGAGGTGACAAAGTACGAATTCTTGATTTTGTCAGAGATTCCCATGGCAAGCGATATGGATTGGATTGGATTGGATTAGAGAGTCTAGCGACAGGCAGAAGGCCGGAGGGCGCTCGCAGAGGTATGCGCTGAACAGAATGGGTTGGAGAGGACCGAAGTCGAGTTATCGGGAACGGGAACTTGGCGAGGCTGTGGGTGTGTGGGTGGAAAGGGCTGGACGGGTGAGCACAATGTGAAATGGTGCAGGAGACGATGCAGTCGGATGGCTGCATCCACAGACCGATCATGCCGCAGTGGGAGTATGGGTGGCTTGGCAGCTGCTATGGGCAGCCGGACAGAAGGAGCAGGCAAGGGTTGTGCTGGGCGATGGAGCCGAGAGACCCAACCCACAGTGTCGATACAGGGCAGACAGGTGCGTTTACCTATGAATCGAGGATGGGACCCGCTGTTTCGGCCTCGGGCAAAGACAATCGAGTCCGAGAGAGGCGACAGGGGACGGAAGAAGACCAGGCGGAGGAGCGAGGCCAGGACTGGACGAGAGAGAGGTCAAGAGGATGAGGCCAGACAGGACCGAAGGACGAGACCAAAGGACAAGACCAAAGGACAAGACCAAAGGACAAGACCAAAGGACAAGACCAACGGAATAGCAAGGCCAACGGAACGGGCTGTGCAGCGTTGTCGTGTGTGGACTGCTGTGCTGTGTGGTTTGGCGGCGCGCGGATGGTGGGACGAGGCGGCGTGTCCGTCGCACGGTCCCACCCTCGGCGCACTGTCCCTGCACCATACACTCGACTCCCCGCGTCACACAGCATCGACACACCTCTATATAAAGCCTGGCGCAGTTACCCTGTGGCGCCGCCGCGCAACGCGTCGCGCCCAACCGCGCCACAGCACCCCAGCAGGGCAGGTCAGGTGTCGCCGAGTGGTGGGGGGGCACACCAAACAGCGTGGGTGTCAAGCGGCTCGGTGGAACATGGCTGCCCGATGCAACTCCCTCGATGCAACTCCCTCGATCCAACTCCCTCGATCCAACTCCCTCGATCCAACTCCCTCGATGCAGATGCCCATATCCAGCTCGAGACGTGCATTTTTTACTTGTTCAAAAGCGGGCGGCTCGATACAGCAAGTGCATCCTTACGCCAGCTCAAACAGGCTCTCCAGCTTCTCGTCCAGCCGCGAAAACTCGCCAAAGCTGATGTGTCCGTCTTGGTTGCGGTCTGCGTGCGCATACACCTTCTCGAAAAGCTCGCGGATGTCCTGGGCAGTGTCGTCGTTGACGCCCCAGACCGACTTGAGCTCCGCCAGCGACACAAACCCGCTGTGGTCGGCGTCGATCTCGTTGAACTTTTGCAGCAGGAGCTCCTTGCGCAGCTTGCGCTTGCCAATCAGGAGGTACTCGTGCTCCTCGATGACCGAGTCGTGGTTATAATCCATGCGGCGGATGAACTTGGTCACTTCGTCGCTCAGGGCTTGGCCGGTGAGGCCCTGATGCGTGCGCTGGAGGTGGGCGATCACGTCCTGGGCCGAGACCTTGCCGTCGTGGTCTTGGTCGAGCTCCTGGAACTCCTTGACGAGGCGGTCCTTTTGCTCGGGGGTGAGGGTGGCAACAGCGGGCATCTTGAGAATGAGAGGGGGCGCTTGACGGGAGAGGCGAATTGGATGGACGGAGGGATTGCGGGGGCAGCCAATGCGGTATTTATACCCGGGCCAAAGAAGGTTTTGTCGGGACAGGCGCCCGCCAAGCCAAGCCCATGGCTTGCGCAATCCATACAGCCGCCGTTTCATGAGCACCCCGAACCAACGGCAATTGCGGCATGGGCGTTCGTCGCCCTCGGCATCCTGCCTGCCTGTCGTCCTGCCTGTCTGTCGTCCTGCCTACCTGTCTGCCTGCCTACCTGTCTGCCTGCAAGCTTTCGTCACGGCTGTGCAGCGCCTCCCTCGACATTGGTTTGGTGTTGTTGACGACAGCCACGGCAAAATTGAGCAAGCCAATTCGTCTCGATTCAAGGTGGCAGCCGTGGCAACCGGGTGTCTCTCGACTGCAATAAACAGCTACCCCAGCGCCGCCACAAGCGATCGCACTTCCGGAGGCAGAGGAGCATCGCCCAGACAACCATCGTCGCCTCGGCCAAGACCGGCGCAGGAGGGGCGGGGTCGATTGTTGACTGTTCTTTGGTTGGAGTTCTCCAATCAGGCCCTGGCGAGAAGGGGGGCCGTCAAGCCAAATGTTGTGACCGCAAATCGGGTGGAGGAGGAGTGGGCTCGTTCCCGAGCATGGAGCGAGGGCCAAAGCTTCACAGATGCTGCATCGACCAAGTCGCCAAGCAAAGGATGCTCTGGACGGCTCCTCCAGCCCACGGCCTTGCTCCTGTTGCTGAATCGCTCAGGCCTGTGGAGAGTGCCTCTGCACACAGGACACAGTCGGCAAAATCGGGTGCTGTCGCCTGAGCCGACTGTTGTCAACAGCAGTCGATGCCATACAGCTCCATCTGTAGCAATCACGTCAGCCAACAGCATCGGCCAGGGACAACAAAACCAACAGCGGCCTCTTCTTTCGATCCTGCTGCCACTACTGTCGCTGCTGCGACTGCCGCAACAGCAAACACTGCATCAACCATGGTCACTACGACCAATATTACATCAACAACAGCCAATATTGCCTCGGCTGCAGTCCCTCTCGCTCTTGCATTGCTGTTGCAGTGTTGTACTGGACGGAGACGCACGCCCGACAACGCACGCCCGACAACACACCGATGACTACTTGTTTCGAAGCCGCCGTCGCTGCGAACAAGCCCCCTTACGACCCCTGGCGCAGACCAGAGTCAATAGTGCCTTCTGTCGGCCGACCACTCACATCGCAAGGATTTATCCGTCTGTCGTATCAGGCAGGGGCACTTTTTCCTGATATAACACCCCTGGCTCTCTCGGCTCTGGGGTATCTCTATTCGCTCGACATGAAAGGAGTCTGCTAACCACCCGGATCCCAACACTCTCACATCATCCTTCCAACTCATCCAGCCGCTCCTTGGCTTACTAGCTTGCTTGCTTGTCTCTCGATGGCCCATCCTGTCTCCCCACCACTCCGGGATCTTGGATCCCCCGCTGCTGCTGCTACCGCCGTCACAAATGCATCCGGGCACCCGGCATACAACGACGACCACCTCCGTCACGACCAAGAAAACAACTCCGGCAGCCAGACAATCCCAAACAGCACCAACGGCTCGCATTACGACGTGAGCTTCAAGCCGCGGTCGCTGAGCGTCACAGCCAATTCGCTGTTCAAGGCCAGCCTGCTCAGCTGCAACATGTCGTACCGCACCATCCAGTGTCCAAGCACGCTCATCTTTGATGTGAGTCCGCGGTGCTGCATTCCGTCCAGGATACCGACCGTTCCTGGCCCCGTGGGCATCTTGTCAGCTCGAGCCATCACCCAGCTCTCCGCGATCCTCTCCTCGATTTATTCAAGCGGCCTCTGTTTCGCCGCCCCTCCCTTCTGCTGCTCTCATCCAACGGCTCGCCTTCGACTCTTTTCCGGCTCTTCCCACGTCCTTCCATCGCTAAACCGCTTATCTGACTTTTGGCTTTATGCCGCACCCATCCTTGCCCAATCTCGATCCATCCTCATCCCCAATTCCAGGCCAACCCTCAGGACACAAGTGGCACCAGTCCCACTTCAAACCACGCATCGCTCCCACACTTCCAGAGCTGCAGCCAGAAGCTGCTGCGGGACCTCATTGTGCGCCGGAGCGCTAGTATGCACACTTGGCTGTCCAACGACCAGCGCCAGCCCGAGGAACTGCTCGAGATCCTGTACCCATCCTCGACCGTCCCCTGGCACCACGAGCTCTCTGACGATCCGGCCGGCTCGCCTGAGGGCCTGCTGTCGGATGCTGCTCTGACAGAGGAGCTGCACACGACCTACTCGACATCGTGCATCGAGACCACCCTCACGACCTCTAATCTCCTCAACAGCACGAGCGACTCGGAGCCATGCATCAAGGTTCTCTCGTGCGATGGGATCATTGTACTCTCCACTCTGTGCGACGGCTCTGAGAATCGCCGGCACCCCCCTCCTCCCAAACCAAGCCGATCCAAGTGCAAGCTGTTTGACTGGCTCGGGAAGTTCAAGAGGCTCTTTCAGATCCGCCACTCCTCGACGTAAGCCTTCATCCTCGGGCCTGCCATGCTTCTGATACCGTTGTGTGATTTGCACGCTTTGCCCCTGTCTCCGCCCGTGTAAACGATAAACCGTGCCACTAGTTCACAAGCAAAGACAGTCTGTTGATTGCTGAGCTGTGGCATGACCACCATCATAATAGAAAACTATTGCACAGTTCTGGTGGAGTCCCAGGGGTCGTATTGGGGCTTGCGTCTCCACCCTTCCATCCTTTGGGTTGAGCCGCGGACTTGAGAATTACGACACTGTTGCCGTCGATGCCGGACGATCGGAGAGGCTCTCACCAGCACTCATGGAAGTCGACTGAGCCGACTTTCCACTGCAGCGTAAGGAATCGCGACTCGAGCCAACTATCAAATTCGTCGACATGCCAGTGACTTTTTTCTCTCTCGATCTTCGTCCTCAGAGGGTGTACTTGTGTTTGACGCCGACCGGGAACCACTTCGGATCGCCATGGTTGTGCAGCACCACCGAGATCGTCTGGCGCTCTTTGGGCACGTAGTTGCAGAACTCAGAGTTGAGGCGGCACAGATGCGTGTGGATGGACTTGGACAGGGTGGCAGCGAGGTCGGTCATGGGCGGGATATCCGGGGCCAGCTCCACTGCGGATGCCGCCAGGGAACGCAAAGACATGCAAAGCGAGATTGTAAGTTTGTATGCACGACAAGACTCCATGTGCCGCTGTCGGTGGCTGTTTGGTTTCAGAGCCATGCCGGGGCTGTTGTCGCTCGGCGAGCATCGGTAGACATCAGCACAACAGCAGGCACGATCGCACGGGCTGTCGAGTGGACAGGACGTCCAGCGGGCCGACCACCAGCCATGGCGTTCCACAGGCATCGCTGCCGAGTCAGCTGTGGGTGTTCAGCAGCCCAATGGGTGCGCAAGCGCCTGTTCTTACCGATTACTTGCAGGAAGCTGTCCATGGATTCTTCGTCTTCAGCGACCTGGAGGACAAACTTGCCCGTCACAAAGCTCGCCACCTCGGGCTGCTCCAGACCGACCATAATGTTTTCGACATAGACGTTGGCCCCAAAGTAGCTGACGACCCACATCTTGCGACCAAACACCCACACGAACGGCAGCTTTCGGATCGGCGGCGCTCTGTCGCCCAGGGCGGTCTGCAAGTGAGCGACTGGATCTTGCCCGACCAGATCCTGGACGGTCTTGACCATGTCTTCGTACGAGAGACACCCACCGTCATCGCCAATGTCGTATCGGAGCAGAGGCGCCGTCGGCCATGCTGCCGAGCTCCTGCCGATCGTGCTCAGGGCCAAGGTTTGCTTGGGCGTGAGCTCAAACCACCGGACGCAGGGATCGTACTGGCAGAGCGTGGGAAGTCGCTCCTTGCCAAAGATCTTGTGGACAATCTCTGTCTGGGGCTTGCCGTGGCCATCGTCACCGGCCTCGAGGGTGCGACTCAGCAAGCGGCGGATGTGAATAGACAATGGGGTTTCGGTGGCCAGGACGCCTGCATCGGCGGTGCCGTACATGGAGACAATGTCGGTTTCGGGACACTTGATGCCGGCGCGGGTGCGGACCAAGTCTCGCCACTCTTCGCTAAAGACTTCACCGGCAAACACCAGCTTGATGTTCTTTTGTTCCCAATGGACGTGAGCCAAGATTCCTGCATCGATGACGGTCTTGACAAAGGGCGGATAGCCCACGACAATGGTTTGCTCAAAGCTGGGCGACATGGTCTGGACGATCCGCAGAATGTCGGCGACGTTGGTTCCGGGCGTCACCAGTGTGATCTTGTAGTTCTTCATCGAGAGGTTGCGCATCGTCAGAATCGTGAAGAGGCCGCCGACCCAGGATCCGAGAGGAAAGCAGATCACAACCAGGGATTTGACGAGGTGCGCCCGGAACGAGTCGTGCATAAACTGCTCCATGCGAATGCAAATATCGAGCTCTGAAATCGGTGTGTTCGCGTAGATCGACAGTACACAACATTAGATCGGCCGTCAAGGCAGAGTGCTGATTAGCACCGTAGGACGACCAGCGGCTCTCCAGTTCGGAGAGCGCACACAGAACAACCACCGGCACATGCACATGCACATGCACCGTTCTACCGTCATTCGAGAAGCGCCCCCAGAACGTCGGCGAGCCGCCGCTTCCAGAGCTGCAGTGGAGAAAGTCGTGAGTCGAGATGTTTCCATCAAAGCTGCGGTCAGCGAGTTGATATTGGTTGATGTAGTTGAACTGGTCCAGGTTGGGAAGAGTGTTCGAGTGCGAGACCCGACAGAATGGCAGAGAGTTCGAAAGAGAATGGCGGATTGCTGAGCAAACGACGTACGATGGGGACTCTTGAACTGATGACGCTCGCATTCTGGACGAGCAACTCTGACAACCGACGGCCGGACACTACCTTGTCGACATATGGCGCTGATTGCAAGAGATCCTCAAAGGAAGAAACGGTGGCATGATCGACGCGACTGGCCTGGAGAAAAGTCTGGGTGGTACGGCCGAGCTTGCTGTCAATGCCAGAGCGACACCGATCGTGGGCGCTGCGGGTGCGCACGACGATCATCCCATCCCTTTGCCTGTTACCTTATACGCAGGAACATGGGCTACGAGGGTCGCGAAGGTCGCGAGAAGTCGCCGCTGGGCCTCGGGAGGGTCTTTGGAGCCGTTGGACGACGTCGTTGGAGCGATGAGCTCGTCCAGCGGCGTCTGGAGAAATTCGAGCAGTGCACGGGTGGCGGGATGCAGCTCGGTGGCCATGGCGATGGTGGTGGACGGTGGAAGATGGGCGAGATGGGCGAGACGGCTGGCGAGGGACGGAAGTCAGAAGATGGCGGTGGGGGAAGCCGTCTTGCGCCAGGGCAAGGGCACCGCACCGCCACACAAGCCGGGACGGCTGGCTGCTGCGCACACGTGTCGCGGACATTCCAGTCACAGTGAGTCAGGGTGGACATGGGATTTCCGCACCGCTCCCGTCGCTCTCCATCGTTCTCCATCGCTTTCCATCGCACTCAAATACCCGCTGCCTGCACCTGCACTTGCCGAATACCATCCATCCGTCCGACAGCAAGCAGCCAACAGCAACCAAACAACAAAAAAGCCAGCAACCCGCATTCGCCAACCCTCAAGCATCAACACCATGGCCGAAGCCAGCTCTGTTAACACCGCGGTCGCCCCCCACTCCGAGCCCATCCACGAAGACGTTGTCGAGCCCACCAGCTACAACCACAAACGCATCGTCGCCATCGCCTTGGACCCATCGAGTGAGTATTGATTGCTTGTGCTTTTTCCCTTCTGGCCTGGAAGGCAACCGCAGCTGGCCTGAGCACCTGTTCCACGAGCTTTTGCTGTCCACGAAACGCTTGCACAACATATTGGCTGCACTGAATCGGAGGGGTCATGCTCGCTCGCGATGGTTGTCTATTTCCCTGACCCATCTGTCCCTCTGCCGCCCATCTATCCCTTTCTCCGTCTGTTTTCTATCCCACCCACCAGAGAACAGCGAATATGCCTTCCACTGGGCCCTGGACAACATTGTCGATCCCGAGAACGACCAGGTTGTCCTGCTGAACGTCCGCCCCGTGCCCACTGTCGCAGGGCCCTATGGCTTTTCATACATGGACTTTGCCGACTGGCTCGACCGTGTCGAGGAAGGCGTACGTATCTGTCGTTTGCCGCCAGCTCTATGCTTCCGCCCGGAACTGCCCGACTCAGTTCCGATCTGCCACGCGTCGCATATTCGTTACCAGCATTCACCAGCGCTGCCTTGGCCCGTCTCACGCCGCTCGATTGCCCTTTGCCTCTCCGATTGATCTCCTGCAGAACAAAGTCGAGTCCCACGAGCTGCTCAAGCGCTTTGGCGCCCAGGTCCTCAAGCGGAACGCTTCCTGCCGAGCGATCGCCCTCCGCGGCGATGCCCGCGACGAAATAACCGCCAAGCTGAGCGAGCTCAAGGCGGACATTTGCGTGGTCGGATCCCGAGGCATGAGCACACTCACCCGGTAAGACCCCGCGCCCTTGACCAAAACCGCCTTTTCTGGCTTGATCCTGGCGGCGGACTCGAACTGACCCTGACCTGCCTTGGATCGTCCGTTGATTTTGCAGAACCTTCATCGGCTCCGTCAGCGACCACATTGTCCATACCGCCACCTGTGCTGTGATTGTTGTCCACCTGCCTGGAGACAGAAAGTAGACCAGCGCCTCTGGTATGCCATGCCTCTGGCATGCCACGCCCCTGGCCATGCTATGCTGCTGCGGACATGAGACCCACGGCCCTCGCCCGCGGTTTCTTGTCTGCATCCTATTCGCGCCTTGGATTCCAACCCACAGCCTCCTTCTATCCCCCAGTATGTCCCGCCAGGATCGTGTGTGCGAGCCGCCATCGAGAGTGAACTGCCTAGCGGCGGCGGGCTTTTTTTGTATACTTTGTCCAACAAATGAATTTTGATTGAGCCACAGCGGGTCGCAGACGCCATGGCATCGTAGAGTTGGTCCAAGTAGCGGCGAGGTGATCCTCTGCCTTGGCCCATCAACCACATCCGACATTGTGATGTGGGAAGACACTGCGTGTGGACGGTGCTCCATTGTGTCTCTTGGCATTCTTGGCCCTCGGCGCATCTAAACTGCAGGTCGCCGGGCATATTCTGCCGTGGGTCCGCTAGCGCCGGGTGTTCATGCGCTCGATGAGTTCGTCCTCGTCCATGAAATCACGCTCCTCGAGCTGCTTGATTCGGATCTTGTTTTCGTTTCGGCCCTCCCACGCTTGGCCGGCCAGCTCCAGCTCGAGCGCTCGCTGGGCTTCGCCCTCGGTGTCGTCCTCGTCCAGCGGCGACAGATCGCGATGCAGTGCCGCCATCGGATCGCGCACGGCCGTCCACAGACCTTCGAGATTGTAGTGTGCGCGGGCCTCGGGTGTGAAGCAGTGGACGATGAAGTGGCCTGCATCGAGCACCATCCAGTCGTCTGTTTCTTGGCCTTCGACCGCCACCTGGTCGTGGCCGTAGGGGTCCTTGGATAGCCGGTGCTTGACCTTGATGGTCAGATTGATATGGAACGGCGGTCCAGTCGATGTGGATCAGTGGTCCGTGCGATCGGGCGGGTGCAAGGAAGGTGCGCAAGTCGGTTCAGTCGTCCAGATCTGCCTTGAGCCCGCAACAGAGATACAAGCTCCCTAGCTGATCGCCAACGTGCTGCACGCCAGAGAGGGACACATTACCGTGCGTCGGATAGCGTCTGCGATGCTATAAATGTGCTTCTTGGATCGGCCCTCCGCGATGACCATGAATTCGGCAAACTCGCACTTTTCTCGCATATCGATCGCGACAATGTTATGTCCGCGCTCCTCGCGGACGACGTCAACAATCTCTCTCAGTGTGGCCTTGCCCTTCTTGACTTGAGTCTCATCATCGGCCACGTCGGGGTGCTCGTCCAGGATCTCACGCTCCTTGGCGATTTCCGCAGATTTGATCCATCGCGGTACGAACTTGGCTTGCTTGCCCTGGGTCCCCTTGGGCATGTTGAACGATTTCTGCAAGTACCAGTCATCGCCGCCTGCGTCTGTGCCGGCGGGGTCGCTCGCCTTTGCGCTATCGGAACGGGAGATGGCGTCCGTGTCCTCGGGACCGGTGTACTGCAGGTCAGCGAACGAGTCGGTGTCGTAGAGGCTTTGGACACTGTTCTTTTTCTTTTTGCTTTTGGTCTTTTGCGTGTGCGAGGACGTGCCGTACAGGCTTTGGGCTTCGAGCTCGATCATTTCGTCCGTCATGGAGCCCATGGATTTCTTCTTGTTTTTCGGGGCTGACTGCGGCCGCTTCTTTTCGGGAACAGCCTCGGCGGGTGGGGTCCATGAGAGTGTGTCCTTTTCGTCAAACCAAGGGCTTTGCGGCGGCACTCTGGCTGCCTCGTCGACGTCGCTGAACTCTTCGGGAGTCATGACTTTGCCCCATCCAGGCACGGCAGTGGGTTTGTCTTTGAGCTTCTGCCTGCGCTTCAGAGGCAGATAGTCGTCCAAGATTTCCTCGGCGATCTCCTCCTGTTTCGACGAACCACTTGGACCTTGGGTGTCTCGATTGGAAGCGTTCTCTTCATCCTCAAGATCGGCCGGTCGATCGGATCTCTTGGTTGACGGGCGGATGCGCGGGAGCAGCAGTGGTGCGGAAGCACGATACAGCCGCACGGGCTGGGGACGAGCGAGGCATGTCGGCAACGCAAGCCTGCGATTGCTTGGGCAGCAGAATGGACGGGCGAGCGCTCTCAGCATTGACGTCGATGGCAGATGGACTATTGCACGCAGACACCACGGGCCAGCGATAGTGCAATGCGTTGATGCGCCGGATGCGATGATGCCGATGCGCTGGGTGGTGCTGCGATCTGGACTGCGGGGGCACAACGAAATGGTCTGATCTGCGGGTCACGTTTGCGCAGCAAGGGCTGGGGCTGGGGCTGCGCGGTGCGGTGCGGATGGCGTCCCAAGACGCCGTGAGGACATGGAGCATCGGCCACCATGCGAAACGTGGATGCATGGCCAACGGGCTGCAGTCGCGAGGGCTCTCGCTTGATGGGATATGGTCTGGCGTACCCAATGTATTGCAGCGCTTCTGAGAAATGCTGATGGATGCGACCGGTCACATTCCCGGATGCATTAGTCGCCCCGAATCTGGGACATGCCCTGTTGAATCGAGTCCGGCGGGGATGCTCCGCGACTAATTCAGATCGAGAACTGGAATCTGCGTTGGCATGAAGCGGCTGTACTCGCTGGACGACGCAGAGAGTTGAATGTTGACCTCGGATCGAGTGACTGTCGGCCCATCTGCAGCGGCTGGCAGATCAGGTTGTTCGAGGTCTGCTGTGCTGTCAGCCAAGAGCGCATCGGTACTGGCCCAGGGCTCATCCCCTGGCGATACAGCGATCTTGTCCGCTTCGGCATGTCCGTGCGCCTGGAGGGTCGCAAGAGATCGTCGCTGTGCCTCCCAGTCTAGCTCGATGGCTCGGTCCTTGGAGATCTTCTGGAACACTCCGACGAGGTCCTCGATCGAGGGCTGGCGCGACTCTGAGCGTGCAATCGATAGGCACGACGAATAGGCCTCATGCAGCGAGACATACATGCACGACTTTGAGTACTCGGCTCTGAAGATTTGCTTCATTGTTTCTGGGCAGTGCGACTCGGGCTCGGGCTCAGGCTCGGATTCGGACTCGGCGTCGCTGGCTGCGTTCAATGCAGTGCCAGAGAAGACTGTGGCGCTCTGCGGCTCGTCGAAGAGCGACCACTGATGAGGGAGAACGTCACTGCGGAACGGATGGAGAGGCGAGGAGGGTCTTGTGGGATCCTGGAGTACTTTGACATTAGTGCTGTAGCGGCTGATTGTGGGAAGCCACTGCTCTGCGCAGAGTCTCGACCGCCCCGACCCGAACGAATGCCGTGACACTGAACGAATGCCATGGCCCCACCGCATCCTCTTCGCTCGCATATCCCGCGAATGCCACGCCCAGCAGCCGATACCCGGCGCGCTCTGGCGCTCTTCGCGAAGCAGACGGTGTGTTGTGATTCCCACAGATCCCACATCCGGTCTCGAGTAACCCAGTCACCGCCACGCTGAAGCCGAGGCGCTCGGTCTGCGGCTTACCGAGTCGACTTCCCATCCCAGGTCATCCGAGTCCGAGTCCAAGTCCTGGTCGTGGCTGTTGCGCGGCTCTCCAGGAACCCGCTTCATGGCCTGCATGCCCTCTCTGACGCGAGTCACAATCTGGGCAAAGAGCGACTCGTATCCGTCATAGCTTCCGGGGCTTCTCATGGTGCGGCTTTCTGGTTCCGGGCTCTTTTGGGGGTCGTATCTCTCTAGCCTCTGTTGCCGAGCCGATGCAGCGACACTGAAGTCAAAGAGCAAGGTCGGTGCCAAGCAGTTCCGGATGGTGGGTGATTGGGGTCGTCTCGGCGAGAACAGGCGAGAGCAGCAGGGAGCAGGGGAGAGAGCGAGGGCTCATGCCGCAATCGCGAGCAGGACTTTCGAGATCTCGGACATCGACCTGCATCGACCTGCATCGACTCGAGTTGATTCATCCCGCACCCGTCGTCGTTGCTGTGTCGTCTGCAAGTGATCACACCGGGAACACCCACCGATCTCTTCCTTCCCGTTGAGGCCGCATATCCAGAAGCATCATCCAGCACCCAATGTAGGCGCTCGGTCATGATCGGCTCGTCGCAGCTCTGTTCATCCATTCCAGATCGCTCATCACGACCCACAACCGCTAAACTGCCTTCTGTTTCTCGGGCCATGCAACGACACAGGACCCTCAGTAATAGACGATCCCCAGTCCGCGGGAGGTACGAGCATCTTGATCGGCAGCTGGCTCGTCGTGTCGTCGTCCTCTCTGGCAAACTCGCTTGAGGCAGTCACAGTCGCAGCCTGCATCGGCGATGTCTGTTATCCCGCTCCCGGCAGCCCATCCGTCGACATCCGCTCCGCTGTCCTGACGTTGGTCCCATGGTCTCGGTGTCTCTAGAACATACAACCGCTCCTTCTCCCGATCCCGCTCGCGCTCCCACTCGAAGCGATCAAGCGTCTCCTATTCCCGATCCCGATCCCGCTCCCGCTCTCGTGCTGCTCCCGCCGAGCGCAAGCCCGTTAAAGTCGTCATCCACAAGCTCACCCGAAATGTCAACCAAGCTCATGTATGGCGAGACAACCCCTCTGTATCGCCATTGTGGACGCATAGGCTTGGAGCGCTCAGACAAGACGCCCCCTCTCTAATGTGATTCATTTCTCCTGTGTCCACGATGCCCAGCTCGAGGAAATCTTTGCGCATTTTGGCGATATCCAGAATGTTGATCTGCCCGTCAACCCTCGGCGTAAGTTCACCCAGCTCCATTGCCGCGAGCCTTTGGCAATTTTCGCATCCTTTGGTTGGTGGTGCCTGACTCCATTCCTCATTCGTAATCTCGATGGGTTCGACTCCGTCCAGTCAAGACGCACCACGGAACCGCCTACGTCATCTACAGGGCACATGAATCCGCCCGCCTCGCTGCCGAACACATGAACGGAGGCCAGATCGACGGTCAGGTTGTAGAGTGTGCGTTGACGCAGGACCAGAGGCGATCTTGGCCTGCACCCTCGGCCAAACAACAGCCGCCCCGGAATGCTGGGCGGGGTGCGCTTGGCGGAATGGCCCGTGCCGGCGACCGACCTGGCTTCCGCCCGGACCGGCGACGATTCGACTCAAGATCCCCCAGCCCACGCAAGCGATACGGCAGTGGCATTCGGAGTCCAAATCGTAGCATCAGCCGCGGTCGGAGACGCAGCCCGGACCGCCGCAAGAGCCGCCGCTCGGTTTCGTACTCCAGTCGAAGCTCTGGCAGCTATTCCCGCAGTCGCTCTCGGAGATCCCGATCATGGTCCTATTCTCGTAGCCGCTCGCGCAGCTACTCTCGAAGCCGCTCCCGCTCCGACAGCCGCTCTCGCAGCCGGAGCAGCCACAGCTCGTTTTCATCTCGCTCCCGCAGTCGAAGCAAGGACAGCTACCGATCTCGCTCGCGCTCTCCTCGGAACAACAACAACCGCCGCCGCTGAGATGCAGCAGCCATTGCCTTGTGGGATGACGACCGAATGGAGGTGCTTGGGTTCAGCATGGGAGAAGCGTGCCATGCACTGCCCTCTGCCCGATAGTGCGGGGTTTCCAATCCGGCCGAAATCAGGCAGGCGTAGCGGATAGTATCCAATTCAATCGTTGGCAATACACAATCATCATCGCAAAGCTTGCTGCCCGGGCCTTCGAGTGCTTGCGCTGGCAACGCAGACTTCCGGGATGGCATGGCCCTCCCGGTCCTGATTGGGGACGGCTGGCCGCGACTGTCCCGCAACAGGCTGGCCATTGCTTCGCGAGCTCGGGAGAGACGATGAGCTGCCAATATGCAGCCAATGCTCAGGTCGCAGCATCGGTGTCTCCCTGCCAATCCGATCCTTGCAGTCAAGGGCCGGCCTGAACGGAAGGACCATCCTGGGAGCAGGGCTCCTTTCGCTTGCCAGTTTGCTCGCCACTTGCATCACCCGTTTCCCACGCTCGTAGCTTGCGTTGCTTCGAGGATTCCAGCTCGCACTGTCTTTCAACGGGCGAGATCGGAACCTATTGCCCATCCGTCGCATTGCACTCATCCGGCTCTTTATCCAAGCCTTTGCCCGCTGCCTAACGCCCATCGACACGCATCCCCACCCCGTTTTCGCCCGTCTCCATCCTTGCTCATGACCAACTCGACGTCGGCCGCGATATACGGTGGCAAGCACACCCAAGCTCGCATAGAGGCGCGACGCCGTCGATCAAAGTCCCGCACCAGGGCTGGTGAAGGCAGCGATGGACTTGGAAGCGGCAGCAGCAGGAGTTCTCTCGCCGGGAATGAATACGGCTCTGGCCAAAGTCGCAACACAAAGCCTTCTGCGCTTCGACGTCCTTCTCGAAGTCAAAGCCGCGACCGATACTACAGCGATGTCGGAGGATCGGGCTCCTTTGACGCTGACCTTCCCAGGGCCTCCTCGGCTGCAGCCACGCGGCAGCGATCCTCAAGCATCGGCACAAGACGCCGCCGTGACTCTGTCGACTCACACTGCAGCTGGACAGCAGAGCCCGATATCCGTGGCAGACCCCGCTCTGCATCTGCATCAAGAGAGACACCACAGGCCAGGACAGAGCGCTCGAGGAGGCGCTCGCGCAGTGCTGGCCGCTATGCCTTTGACGAGATTCGAGCGCGTAGGTGGTCTGATCGCCATCTGGACCACAATGGGGTCTGCTCCCCTGACTTGCTGCAGAAAGAGTGTGCAGTTGCTGAATGCGTGCTCGTGTGGAAATATCTCTAGATGTCCGCTGTTGGCTTTGCGGAGCACATCCACTTTGTGTCGAGATACTCCGAGGATGCTCCGCAGACACGCGATCGTTGGGAGTGTCCCACCCACTGTTCGGCAGTCACTCCGATCCTGACCCTGCCTGTTTTTTGCTTCACCGATGCAACGCCACACTGCCCAAAGAGGTTTTGAATCTCCAGCATGACTTACAGGTGAGCATGTCTCCACGAGCACGAGTGTCTTCGATAAAGGGGAGCGGACGCTTGGCAGGAGCCATGGATATCGACAGGTAACTAACGCTATGGGTACAACGCAGGACAAGTCCATGAAAATGTCCAATTACTACGAGGAATACGAGAGTCGGATGGCTTCGATCGAAAATATCCTGGTCAAGTATCAAAAGCGAATGAGTCGCATCCGCAAGGGCATCGACCGCGGACACACCTTTGGAGAGGTCCTCCAGGAAACCGAACGAACGCTGTTCAGTCTCAAGCTCGCAATCGAGACCATCAATGGCTCCAAACACGAGAGCGAGAAGCTTCGCGAGTGGATCGTGGAGCTGGGTCGATTTGTGCAAGACGATCTTGCACAGATCGACTCCATCATCAGGTTTCGCAGCGACAGGGAGAAGAAGGTTGCCGACGAGTGTGATGTGCTCCGATGGCGGATCTCGGGGCTCGAGACGAAGCAGCAGAGTCGCGAGGATGTCATCTGCGAGCTCATGGGGAGGCTCGAGGAGAAGGAGAAGGAGTCGAGCCATCTTCGCTCCGCGCTCAAGCGACTCCTGGTCGAGGGGAAGGACCGCGAGCTACTGATCCAGAAACAAGCTCTGATGCTCGAGGAAATGAACCAAACCCTTTCCCGATACGAGCGCCAGATCGACATGGGCAAGGTCGGCAGCCCACCAAAGTCGACTTCCCGTTCAGTGCAGCCCGAGGCTGCAGCCGATGCTGGAGCTGGCCCATGGGATACTTCGTTGGGGCAGGCTTTCCCACAGGGCACAGCGGCCCCGACAGACCCGTCGCAAGCCTTCGGATCGGTGTCCCAAGCACAGCCTGTCCTGTCTTCTCGACCCAGCGCAGTGTCGTCCAGCCCGCTGAGGCCCAAAGACGACTACTCCTATGCGGCCCCGACATCGAATCCAAGGGACCGCAACCAACTCGACGGCATTCCTGGTTCGGCCCGAGACCGCAGCGCTGCCAATGCCGTCACTCGATCAGACAGCACCCTCCCGGGCAATCCGCAACGCAGCCGAGTCGACTCGACCTTCTCTGACAGCTTCAATCTCGAGACCCTCCGCGTTGATCCGGCAGTCGCCAATAATGGCTTGCGGCCCAAGACCTTTGCTCCAGAGCTACCGTCTCGAAAGCCACAGTCGAATCGCCGCACATCGCTGGATGACGAGATTGAGCTGGTGCTGCGGCAGCATCCTCCGACTCGCACCAGGTCACTCTCGAGCGATTCTTGCACCAGCTCGCACTTGGCGGAGCTTCTCAGACCCATTTCACCCAAGAAAAGGCATGGTGACAGTCGCTCGCGCCGACAGAGTTGCGAACGATCCTCTGCCGACAAACATGTCACGCCAAAGCTTGTCGACCCACTCGGGCCGTCGCTGGATGAAGCCTGGAGGAACACACTCCGCAAATACGACTGATCTGCCATTCACGCCCGGTGTATGAGTGGGGGAGCACTCGGCGGCTTGCAGACGAATATATCGTCACCATTCGCATGTGGGAAGCGACTTTCCCGCTATGCCAGATAGATCCTTCGTCTTGCAGAGTGTAATCCACTTGGCTGGCTGGGGGGCCGTCATTGCGAAGGGGATGGATATGCATCAATCAAAACCTGGCTCAAGAGCGAGCCATGCCGATGAGACGATAGGCGGGGGTATGAATCTATCACACGGTGTATTTGTCCCAGAAGCAGATTGCATTAAACCTGTTGGTCCAACTGACGCTGATGCCGCCAAGGATATGGCAGATTCGTCGGCCGCAGTTCCATATACGACCCCTGATGCTGCCGGAATGCGAAATCATATCCTCAGGACCATCAGCAAGGCATCTTCACAGCTCCTTGGAGCCGAAAAAGATGCGCCGGAGTCGCTCGATGTCTCGTCTGGCATCGTGCTCGCCTGCACGACGATCCGAATGCTCGGGATCCTGATCGACACTTTCACGAACTATGCGTTGAGATGGGCGCTCCTTTGGGAGATCCATTGGCGTCTTCCACTTGGCACGGACTTCACCATGATCGTACTTTGCCCGCAGACGAGACAGGATTGCCGCCTTTCCAAGCGACACTGGCTGGATGTCGTAAGCTCCAGAGGTCAGGCTCGAAATCGAGGAAGCGAGCGAGGGTGGGCTCGACAATTTTCGCTCTGCTGCGGAGCGCATGCGGCGGCGAAACAGAATCGCATAATTTTCGTTGTCGCTATCACTGTCACCATCACTGCCGCCATCACTGCCGCCATTACTGCCACCATCACTGCCGCTGTCGCTCCGAGCACGGTCGTTATCGTCGGTATCCGGGCTGCTGTCGCGATCGTCGTCTCCAAGCTCGCCTTGGATATATGGTTGGTCGCGTCGAGGATGACTCTGTGCCTCGGCAGTTCGGTGGGATTGCGTAAATGGACGGCGGCCTGTGGGTGTCGACAGTAGCAGCCTTGCCTGCGTTGAACCCAGTATGCCCTGTCGACGATGTATCCGATTGGTGCTCTGATCCTCGCCATCGCCGGAGTCGCTGGCGTGTTCGACAATGATTCGGTCACTGGTGAAGGGGCTGGTCACCGCATCGGACGGCAGCGATGCATATATCATGGAGAGATGGGCTTGAGTGCTATCGCTTGGGATCGTTGATGAGGAAGGCGTACCGGCACAAAGGGGAGAGACGCCGTCGGCCCCGGTATCGACAAATACGGTCGCCTTGGCATCCGTGTTGCTCTGAGTCGCGGAGGATCCGACACACAGGGATATTGGTTGGATGGCAGTTGCTTGAGCGCCTGAATCAGAGGTATGAGTACTCGCAGCCAGTCGCTGGGAAACGGCATCTGGGCTCCGAGCGGCGGAGACTGGATGTCTCGCATCTGCATCGAGGTCGTGTGGATCTGGGACCAGGATTGGAGTGACTGTGGATCTATCCGAGGCGTCTCCGTTGCTTGGGAGAGTCAGCTGTTCCTGGCGAGAGACTTCATTCCGAAGCTGTTCATGGACTGGGTCTCTAAACTCCACCGTTTGTATCTCGCTGTTCGGCTCAAGTCTCGGTGGCGGACTTTTGCTTAGCAGTCCTGTGGATTCCGCCTCCAGTGAGTTCACGGTACTGCGCCTTTCATTGCCACCGCTGGCGTCAGCAACAGGGCTGCTGACTGCGTCGTACTTCAAACTCTGTTGCCATTCGTAAGGAGTGGTAAGAGAATCCGTCAAACATACAACGCACGTGGTCACTTGACTGCCAGTCGCTTCGGGCTGAGATGTTGCCAGATCTATGTTGGTGCCAGCGGAGGCAATCGGACGACAGACCAACACACTCACCTCCAACTCCGCGGGAAGCGCAGCAGGCAGTGGCTTCAGATCTTTGCCATCAGCCGGGCGCAGCATCAGGTCAGACAGCTGCAGAAGCGGCTCGCACTCCAGTGGGGTGGGCGAAATCGGCGAGCATGCCGCAGCTCCTAGGGCAGAGACATCTTGCGGCTGCGCGGTTTCATGGACATGGTGGCGGTGGACAGCCGTTTTCTCGGTCGCATGATCTTCTGGATCCTCCGGATTATCAGCGAGAGCCCTAAATGCGCTCGAATCATGCGCCAGCGAGGTGGCTGGATTGTCCGATCCATAGCTCTGCTGCAAACTCTGGATATATCCGGGAAGGCAGCTTGGCGATGCTTTCGCTTGCTCGTCTGTTCTGAGTCGATCGCCACCCAGAAGCGCGTTCCCATGGTCGAGAGCCCTCGCTTCACCAAGGGGGCTGCTTCGTTCGGATTCAAGAGAGACTAAAGCTGCGACCTCGACGGGCGACCGCTGAGCCTTGGCTGCCTTTCGGCGCTGTCGTTTCGTCACAATTGCACCAATATCGTGCTTCAGCTGAATGCGAACTAGCAGCTGTCCGCGCGAGAATCCGTCGGGGTCGACAATTTGGATCCATCCACCCACGCTCTGTCGTCCGTGATCAAGAATCCCGTTGAGGGACACTGTGGCACACCCGATCAGATAACTCGGGGTATCACTGGGACTGAGCGGGTTTTGCTGCCGGAAATCAGGGCTGCCGAGCCTGGAGGAGCACCATACTTGGAAAGCGATACTGCCATGCTTGTTGAGATCGAATCCGTAACCATCTCCGCTATGCCCCAAGCCATTGTCATCGCCATAGTCGCCTTCGCTATCGCTTGTGTCGTTGTTATCGCTGTGAGTAGTTGTGCCGCAGCTGCATGGTTCCGAGTCGGGACAGGTGCACATCCATTCAACTTCGTGAAGGGTTGATTGAAGCGTCATTTCGTATCGGAAGATTGGCGAGCTTGCTGCAGCACGGCCAGTGCGAAATGTGTGGACCTGCCCAAACTCGGTCCACTGGAAGGTCACAAACACCGTCGGGCTAGATGATGGCGCAAGGCTGGTCCGGGCTCGCTCTGTGGAGATCGGCCACTCATCGGATTCGCAGTTCAGATGCCGGGCTTGAATAACGAGCACGTCAAACGATAGCGACTCGCGAAGGATAGAAAGGTCTGTCGTGGAGATGTTGGCATTGTAGATTCGCTTCGAGTCGTCACCGAGTTCAGGCTGGTCTTCCTCTCGTCCGTCTCGGGCATCGCTCATATGCGCCGATGCCAGTGGGGCCACAGCTCGACTTGGTTGCAGTTCGCACTCGGCTTCAGCGGAAAGGATTGACGTGCAAGGCTAGATGCAAGAGAAAGTCATGGCTGTGAGTGGCGCACGATGTATATCGGAGGTGATTTCTTGCCTTTCATTGAAGACGTACCTGAGCGGAACTTGTCTCGCTGCGATCGAGCTGCGTGCCTTGGGAAGCACCCATGTCAGCAACGAGGGGCATGACTGGACTGCTTCGCTGCTTGTGAGTTTCGCCGGGAATCTTGAAGCGCGAGGAGTCAATCAGCGACCCACTCGCCTGTGGTGGGCTGAGCTGGGTGGCCGAGATCGGATCGAGCATCTCGTTTGGATCTCCAGTGTCCTTCTGCAACAGAGGCAGTCGGACCAGTGCAGGCCCGTCTATCCCATCGGTGGGCGGATTAGCGCCCATCGCCGCGGCACTGGATCTCGTCGACGAAGCGTCCCGGATCTGGTTCTCCACAGCGGCGACAAGAGGAGTATGGCGGAGCAGTCCAACGACTTCATCCGTAAGAGCACCGCCGTTAAAAGCCCTGCCCGGTACAAGCGGTGACAGAGCATTGGATATGTGGGACTCGTCCGTGTGTGTTGACGTGCGCGATTGCCGATCAACGGCTGCAACATAGCCCGCATCGAGCCGCTGTTCGCGAAGGATCGTAAGCGCCGGCTTGTCATTGCTGAACTGGAGTGAGCTTGCGGTATACAAGGAAGCGTTTTCGGAGTTCGGGGGCTTGAAGGAAGCCGGAACCGGTGGCTGGAGAGGGCTTCGTGCGAGTTCCAAAGCAGTATCGGGCGCCGCCGCCTCGGATGCAAGGCTGCTGGTGCTTAGGATTGGTGATGCCGCTTGAGTGTGGCTCCCTCGCTCATGCTCCCCATTTGCTGTGCGATCCTTGAATCGAGGGCTCTGAGAGAGTATCTCGTGACCGGTGCTTCGAGGCCGAGGAGATGGGCTGGGGTATTGTGTTGGCTGGGCAGGCTTTGGCGCCTTTGTGCTGGGCCTGATGAGTGAGAAGGACAGCTTCACTGCAATTCTCGAGCCCTTCAGGTCGGCACTGCTGGGATCAATAAGTGGGTACGATCCACGCGAGACAAGCGGCGATGATGCAATGATTTGACCCTTCATGTTGCTGTGCTGTCGCTGTAGCTCTGCAATCATGTCGGAAACATCGATCACGGCGCATCCAATAAAGCGATCGCCCACTTGAGGTTCGGCCGCAGTGGACATCGCTGTTGACTGGCAGCGCTGCATCCAGACCTCAATCTCGATTTTAGACTCGAAAAAGGCCTGAATGGTCACTGCGTTCATTTCCAGGTCGATTTCCTTGCAGTAGTCCAGCATACTCAGGCAGATGCCATTTGCCCCGGCGCTGCCGATGGGAGTCAGAGACGTGTACTCGTGGACTCGATCGATATCGACATCGCTGTCGGTTCTACGCGCCTTGGGATAGATCCACCTTGCATATGTGCCCCACTGGGTCTCGAGCAGGCTGCGTGAAGCCACAGTCCCGGGCTCTCCCAGCACGAAGCGAGCACGGTCGAGCACCATGCTCATCTTGCACCACCACGGGGTCCGAAGCGGCAATCTATCGACACCATCGCGCTTCTGAAGCGCTCCGGGCACGGCCGACAGCAATCGCAGTGAGATTTGCACTGCCGAGTCGACACTGGACTGCATGGCCGTGTCTTGCGCTGCCTCAACAGCCAGCCAGACCGAATCGATACCCTGGCTCTTCTTGGCCAGATCCAGCATGGGAATCTTGAACGTTCCGAGTAATATGTCGGCCGAGGAGTCGTTGTGAGGCAGATCTTGCCGCGGTATCCGGTGCCAGACCTCTCCGCTTGCTTCTCCGCCGTTCTGGATCCATTCGATAAAGTCTGGCCCGATTCCTGTCAGATTGACGATACCTTGGTAGTTAAACATGGGAGTAAACGACTCGACCACGACGGGCGTGCCCAGGACCGCAAACGAGGCCTTTGAGTGCCGAGCATCCCCGTCTGGAGATCGGAGCGTAAGAGCGTAGGGCGGGCACAGCTTGAGCCGCACAAATGAATTGGCGCCGACTTCAAGGGCATAGTCCAGAGGGCCAAAGGACTCGCCATCGTCAGTAAACGCAGACTCAGACTCCGGGTCTCGGGATGGCTGACTATTTACGTGTGCCTGCAGAAGGGCACGGAGACCGCAAGCCCGGTGGATGACAGCCACCAGTGAAACTTCGAGCTGGGGTCCATGCTCTTTGGCGCCCTGTTCTGATGTGCTGGGTCGCGGCTCGGGACTTTGTCGCAGGTTCAGCATGCCAAAGTTGGCCCGGACAGTGTCGAGTTGAGGAGAGGCCGTGGTTCGCTCCGGCATGTCCTCTGCGGCAGCACGTAGAGGGCTGGCGCTGCGAACCAAATCCCTCCCAGTCAGTTGCTGGATTTGCCGGAGCGTGCCAAGCACGATCGTTGCTTTGATCCAGCCCATGGACTGACCCGAGAGCAAGTCGACGACGGCGTACTCTGATTCTGGTATAAGGTTGCCGGCGTTTTGGGGAGCGTCGGAGGAGTTGTCCAAGTGCACGCGGAACAAGTAGTGGACCGGCAGCTTCACAACTCCGAGCAGCCTTGGGACGCGGCCAAGGGGCGTCGGAGGCTCCGATAGATCCGTGAGCCATACCTCGACAATCACGGGGTGATCGATATAGGCGCGCATAGCCTCATGATGCAGCGATACTGGAAGAGTGTATGTAAAGTCAAAATGAGTCGACTTGAGATTGACGTCTCCGGTCTCGAGAGTGACGGGTTGCTGCCAGGGAACAGGCGGGCTTTGGATCACCGCTGTCGAAGAGAACAGCCGCATGCTGAGGTGCAGCGTTGCCGCGGCATTCGCAGGAATCGCCATCGCACGGGCGGTTGAGAACACAAGGTTGAGATAGGTCGAGAGCAGAGGCTTGATCGCAGTTGTGGCTGGTCGGTGCCCCGCCAGAGCAAGTTCGGGTCCGCGTTGACGGAGCATCGGGCTTCGGTTGGAGCTATTCACACAGCTATCGTCGACCGAGGCAGCTTCTTCATCGCCGGTGGATCTGAGAGAAATCTCGATGTCTATTTGGCCAACAACCGTGCGCACAATGCGGCGGCTCGATGTCGTGTTGTCCGAGTCAAGGACCGAGAATCTTAGGGGCGATCCCTGCTTTGGAGACTCGTTGCGATACAGAGGCACAGGCCCCTTCCATTTGGACAGCGGAGTCTTGAATACTGTCCAGAGAGGCAGCTCTCCGAACAGCACAGGCGAGCCAAGCTCGGATCCTTTCTTTAGCTTGGTCCCCTCTTTGGACGAGGAGCGGGATGCTGCCGGCTGTGGCGATCGGGTTTCGATGTGTATCTTGAGTGGCCGCGCCATGTAGCTCTCCACAAAGGCTGCTTCGAGTTGCAGATGGCGGCAGAGACTGTGGTTTACCGGGATTGACGTCGTGGATGTGTCGCTCTGAGCACCGGGGAACAGACGATGGCTCCGTTGCTGTGTAAGGTGTACGTACTGAGCCACGATCCTGTCCGAGACAGGCTTCTCGAGCGAGGATGGATCCCGGTTGGTACTCGGGAATACACAATCGATATAAAGCGTGCAGGAGGGTAGAGTAAAGTACTCTGCAAAGCGAATCCCGTGCAGCGTCAGCCTCAGCTCGTAGTACATGGTTGTTGGGTCAGACCCTTGCGACTGGACCGGCAAAACCCGTGGGATAGACTCGGCCTCTGAGGACAGAGTGCTCAGGTCCGAGAGGGCGTCGTCGAGGAGTGAATTGTCAAGGACACTGCGGGCCGAAGACCCTGGGAGCTGGCTTCGCTGGTGCAGGGTAGAATTGAGGGCATTGATGATCAGGTCGTCGTCCGAGAGTTGGTCGGATCCGTCGGACAGCAGATCGTAGATGTCGCCGACACCTGAGGAGCCCCGATCTGATCCCTCTTGATCGAGCAGCCCAGAGACCTTGCTAGTGTTCAACTGCGCTGTCACTTCGGCTGCTTCTGGCTGGTCTGCTGCCGATTTCATGGATATAGTGAGTGTTGGGAGTGACTGCAGCTAGCAAATCAGCGAACACTCTTGGAAACGATGCTAGGGCAAACTGGCTTGCATCGGATGCTCACAAGCCCAGGGACATCCAGCTGTGTATGAGAAAGACAGAGGGGCCATCAGCAAGCCCAGCCATACCAGTTGATTTGATGGCAGTTGATGAAGAGGCGTCCAGTCCGCCGCTGGCGGATTTGTCGTCGAGAGTGAGCTTCAAGGCACTCTGCAACTTGTGGGCTCGCTCTAAGAGGTGGTCGAACATGAAAGATGGCGATTCTTCTGTAGAGGCGTCATCCAGGAGCGAAATGTCGTAGTTTTGCGTGCTCGGGTTCGCTCCAGTCCGGCCGGGATGGGTGCTTATCGGAGGCGGCGACGGCATTGGCATTGGCGGTTTTGGAGACTGCGAAGCAAATGCCGTGGGCAGAACGACTGTAGCATCGCTCGGGGCCAAGGCTTCAGCAGATGAATCGACTTGCGAGTGTTCCTTCGGGTGGATCTCAGGACGAGCAAAGGGAGGAGCCAAGGCGACGGAAGGCTGCCCGATCTTTGCTGGGGAGCCCGCTGTCGTGGTGGTAGTGTTGCTGCGGCAGTCGACTTTTTCCAGGCCAAAAGTGATCTGAACCGACCCCACGGCTCGGATCGGAGCGCCGCCATGGCCGTCGATGTGGATCGGATAGCGCCCGCCGATCTCTGGGGATTCCGAGGCCGAGTTTGTCAGGGGAGCGAGGTCGCCGATGACAACTCGGCCCACGACCGAGCGGTTGCTCACGAAGGCGAGGACAAACGGACCCATATCGCGGAGATAGGCGCCAAGCTGCTTCCGGGACGATCGAACAGGGAACCGGACGGTGCTTGGGGCAGCCCGGCTGGATGAGACGGCATGATCGCTTGCTGCCCGCCTCGAGTGCGATAGGGGGATGAGTGACTGGCGGGCGGCAGAGTGGGGAAACAGGACGACGCCGGGCTGATCGTCGCCCCACCAGTTGATTCGAAGGCCGGGTGAGTTGAATGCATGCGGGTTGTCGAGTTGGATCCCAGATGGCAGCGATACCGACAGCCAGAACTTGACGTCGCCCTTGACCTTGGGCGGGAGAGAGCACAGGGCAGGGGGCCGAGGCAGATGCGACATTTTAGATAGAATGGAGGGCCCCGGACAGAGCAGCAGCAATCATCGCCGAGCTCGGAGAGTCTCGGTGTCGACGAGGAGCAGTAAGACCGCCAGACGTGGCGGGATGGTGCAGATCGACGGAGATGGAGGGTGAGCCGCCAAACGAACAACAAATGGGCGGAGCGATGGACATGGGCAAAGAACCCATGAACATGTGACCGGGCCACCCAAGCGATCTGTCATGGATGACATCGCCGGAGCTCATTGGCGGTATGCGAATCGGAGCAGCAATGGACACGATTGGCGACGCTTGGTCGATATTGGTGACGCCGCTACAAGTGACGTTGCAGAAGCAGACGATGCTATCAAGAGTGGCGATAGTGCATCCCAGATGACCCTCTCCAATACCACCCAACATCGACCGCCTTTTCGAGATCATTCGCGCCCCTGTGCTTTCGAATGGCTTGCGGCGGTGGCCGATGACCATGCTTCCTGCGGCACTCACCGCCGTCGCTGCTATGTCGGCTTTCACCATTGCACACCTCCTCTTTGCGCACCGGCTTGGCAAGATGTGCTGCAGTCTCGATCAGCGCTCTCATTTTCGGGTGGCTCACGTCGTTAGATTGGCCCAATCGCCCCCCGAGTGGCCACCCGGCGATTACGTCTCCTTGCAGCGACAGCTATGGCGAGCGGGTCCACACCACAACGACGCTGCCGCTGCCGCTGCCGCTCAAAGAATCTCCTTCGTCCTCTAGCTCCCCTGCCTTTGCCGTTTTGTCCTCTGCATAGCTGCTCCCCTTTCCTCAACTTCCTGCCCGCATCGCATCCTATATCCGCCACATTACAGCCGTAGAGGCGCGCGACGTTCCTGACCAGCCACGATCCCCCAGTTTCCCACACGAGAGTCTCTGCATCATCATGTCCGTGGTAAATCAGGGTAGCAAAATCTTTGATCAGATGAGGACAGATGCCCTCAAGATCGAAGAAGGTATGAAAGGCGCCGAGAACGAGGTCCTGCGCAAGGAGGAGGAGGCCTATCTGATGCACCGCCACGATGCCGAGATCTCGCACCTCAAGAAGCTGCAGCAAGACGAAATCGCCGAGAAGAAGCTTGCCTTCCAAAAGTTCATTGCTGCGCGAGATGCCCGCAAGAAGGCCAAGAAGCTGCAGCGACAGACTATCCGAGACATGAAGCGACGCGACGCCATCATCATGGAGCAGGAGGCCGCTTCCAAGGAGGCCGCTCGGGTCAAGTCGACTCTGACCATGAAGCGCACTCAGTTCGATGCCCTCCTCGCTTACCTCGAGAACAAGCACGACAAGCAGCGCCGCCAGCTCTACGCCGCGCAGGACCGCAAGATCCAGTACGAGAAGATGATTGACGGAATGCAATACGCGCACGAACGGGTCAGTTGCGACGAGAGCTGCGTGTTTCGATGCGCTGGGTGCATCGGATGCAAGTGAATCGGCGTAGGGAGCGTGCGAGATGAGGGCCAGCAGGATTGCATCCGAGCATGCGTGGGTATGCGAGAAAGCGTGTTCAAGAGGCCAGGTCTTATCCCAGGTGTAATGAACCGCTATCACCCGGCGTGAGAGTGCTCTGGTTGGCCCTGGGCAAATGCTGGCTGATGAACATGTCGCCGCCACGGTGACGAGCGATGCACGAGCTATACGCTCAATGAACCAACAGTGAACCAACAGTGAACCAACAATGCACTAAATGCTGGCTCCTCCGTTTGCAGGACGAAATCAAGAGAACCATGCAAAAAAAGTTCCAGGTCCGCATGACCCACCAAAAGGCTCTTGACAAGCGTCTTGCCGACCAACTGCGCGAGATCCAGCAAATGGAGCTCCAGCACGCCAAGGAAGCCTTCGACTTGGAGTTCCAGTCGTACGAAGATACCCACAACCTCAAATCCATGCATGTCAAGGGCGTGTGCGAGCTGATGGCCACCCAGGTCATTGAGCTGCACGCCGAAAAGGAGCGACTTATCGCACATCGAGAGCAGACCAAGCTCGCCACCTTGGAGGCTCGTCACGTCATCGATATGAAGCGACTTGCCTCTGGACATCGCGATCAATTGCGGCAGCTCCGTATCCAGCAAGAGCAGCGGTGAGTGTACAGGTCGAGCCACGGTTACAGCGCACTACCGACCTGTTGCAAATCTATGCCGTCCTTCCTAACCCGTAACCTGATTGCTTCGGACGCAGTCTCCGCTCCGTACGTCCCTCCGACTCGTCGTCTGGTAGCGTGATCCACGGCAACGAGCCTGGAATGCACAGCCGTGCAACACTTTCCTCTGGGCTGGACGACGAGATTCAGTCCGAGACAGCAAGCATGTCCGGAGGCCGGAGCGGCCGCTCCACCGGAACCTACAGCAACGACGGCCACAGCGAGATTGACGACAACGAACGAGAGGATCGCGACGAACTCATGTCGAACGCCAACGATGTCATCCGCAAGCTCGGTGTCAAGCATCGCGACGCCATCGCGGCCTTGAAGGACATGCAGCGGAGCGAGCTCGGTCGATTGGAGACCTTGATATCGTCCCGGCGCCGCGAGCTGGAGGAAAACCAGTCCTGCGAGATGCGCGAGCTCATCGAGGTTCATACCCAGAACATGGAGGCCCTCCTGGGCATCCAGGCCAAGGAGGTGCAGATGGAGGCCTCTGTGCACGACGCCGAAGCCAAGATGCTCGTCGAGCGACGAGTGCTCAATTCGGTTCTGGCCACCGTCATCGACGGCATCGTCAACATCACGCCGAAGGGTCAGATCACTCGCTTCAACTGGTATGCTCGGACGCTGCGGCTGTTGGTGGCGTTTGGATGAACGGCTGGCCAGCGGGTGAACGAGTCTTGGGCCGCGACTTGTTCTGTTCAGAGCCGAGTAACTCACTGGCTCTGGGTTCTGTCCAATAGTGCAGCGGAAAAGATGTTTGGCTTCACCACCGAGGAAATCACTGGGGCCAACGTCAAGATCCTTGCGCCTCCGGAGATTGCCGCGGTGCACGACAGTTTCCTGCACAACTACATGACGACGGGTGTCGCCCGAATCATCGGGACGGGCCGACGAGCCTTTGGCCGGAAGAAAGACGGCACCATTTTCCCGGTTCATATATCTGTGTCGGAAGTGAATGAGGTGGGATCTCGATTGCGTCTCGAGGGCGCTGCTTGGGCCGCTCTCTGCGACTTCTTGATCGCATTTACTGACTTTGCGCTGCACATAACCTATGCCTGCACCATCTCGATATCCAGGAGGGCGCCCATCTGTTCACCGGCATCATCCGCGACCTCACGGAGGAGGTTCGCTTGGAAGATGAGCAGCGTGCCAAGGACGAGCAGAAGCAGCGCGAGCTCGAAGTCCTCCTCAAGGAGCTCGACATCTCCAGAGCCAAGGCCGACGACATTCTCAGTCAGATGCTGCCTCCCGCCATCCAGGTGCAGCTGATGGCCGGACAGCCCATTGTTCCGGAGGCATTTGATCAGGTGACAGTGTTCTACTCGGACATCTGTGGCTTCACCGAGATCAGCTCCAAGAGCACGCCGATGCAGATGGTGCAGCTGCTCAACTCGCTCTACACCACATTCGACGGAGTAAGTGGCACCCGCCATGCAATGGGGTGGACTGTCCTGCATGGCTCGCCGAAGGAGAATGCACGCTGACCGGCCGTTACCCATCAGATCATCAGCAAATACGATGCATACAAGGTCGAGACCATCGGCGACTCGTACATGGTTGCCTCTGGTGTGCCGCACCGCAACAACGACCGCCATGCGTGCGAAATCGCCGACATGGCCCTTCACTTGCTGTCGGCGATCAGCACCTTTAGCCTGCCGGATCGCCCCGAGCTCAAGTTGCGCATGCGGATCGGCATGCACTCTGGCCCGGTCGTTGCCGGCGTCGTTGGACTCAAAATGCCAAGGTGAGACTGAGTGGCCAGAGAGACGCCGAAAGCTGTCGAGGGGTCTGAATGCAGTGCTGGAGTGTAGTGAGGCGAACTGCCTGTCTACATCGAGAAACCTGGCTGACTCGCTGCCCCGGTCTCTGCAAACAGATACTGCTTGTTTGTAAGTACCGAGTGCTCTGAAATCCGCTTTACACACTGAGGACCTCTCACTAACCAAGCACTGGTGCTAACTGCGGGTCTGCAGGGAAGCACAACCGCAGATGCTTCGCGCATGGAATCCAGCGGCCAGCCGATGCGCATCCAAGTCAGCGAAACAACATACAAGCTGCTGCAGCGCGACGGCTCGTACGAGCTGGTGTGCCGCACGGACCGCCCGGCAGATGTAAGAAAGCAGTTCCAGGGTGTCGATGGAGAGCTAGCGGTGTGCGGGCGAATCACTGGTGCTGTGCAGATAGAGCACTGATGCTGCTAATTGCTCTCTCAACGCCCCAGGTCAAGGTGCGGTCGTATTGGTTGGTCGGCAAGGACAAATTCACCATGCCGCTTCCGGAAGAAACCGTCTGTCTGTCCACAAAAGTTGCTCCGGCATCACCGGAGCAGGCTTGAAGTTGCCCGATAATCGTCGCATCTCGCACTGCATATCTCGGGCTGCATCTGGGACTGAGACTCGACGGACCAGCTCCCGTGCATCCCGGTCTCCATCACTCATACAATATCACCACATCATACGCTGCTGTGCTGCCGGTATGCCCTCGTGCGGGTGGATGGCCTCTGCCGGCTCTGCCGGGACTTGGCACACGAGCGAGAAGACCCGTGGGTGCAGGTCCCAGGTCGCCGGCACATCTGGTGGAGACGCTGCTGGGTCGCTGGCCGCACGGGCTCCATCTGCATTTCGGGCAGTGCGCGCCAGAAGAGTTGCGATCCGTCAAAGACCTGAGCGGAGACCCAGGACCCAGGACCCAGGGGCGGGCTGAGTGCCGAAGGCAGGTCGGCGCTCGTCAGGATGACTGCGGGCAGATACGAGGCAATCAGGCCGCCCGGTTTGCTCCGACCTCTGCCTCCTGTTCTTCACGACCTTCTTTTCCCGCTCGGACCTAGACGATATCCACAACCATCTCAACTCCATCTATGCTCGCTATTCGTCGCTCGCTGTGTTCCCTGCAGAGGCCGTTGCCATCGATGGCGGTGCGTTGGCTGACCGCCTCGGCCACCGCCCTGAACGACCACGGCAAGAAGCCCATCCACAGGACCGTCGGCGCAACCGCCCGAGACGGCGGTGGACGGGCGCTCGAGGTCCAGTCGAGCACGGCTGAGTATGCAATCCGACTAGCAGACTCTATGCAGCAGATGCGGATGCCACCTATTGCTTGCTTCTTGTGCTGAACCATTCTTGCTTCTCAATGCCCTGATGCCTCCAACACCTCAATGCCTCTCAATGCCCTGGCTCTTCCCAATGCTCTTGATACAACGACGCTCTTGATACAACAACGCTGCTCGACGCCATGCAAATGCTCAAGCCATTCTTTCCGCTTCTCGGTCTCGGCCGTCTCGGGCTCCGATCGACAGTCCCCGACGTCTCAAGAGTACCTGGTCGGTGCTCTGGCAGCCTCCGTGTCGCATACGCTCCGCCAGCACTGCGAGCAGGACGCCAAGCTACCCCCGGTCGACCACATTGTAGTGACAGCCGACCTGGAGACGATTCCCTCTCGGTCAGTCGCGTGAGGCAGAAGCCGGTCGATGGGAGGTGTGGTGTGGAATGACTGAAGTTCGATGGCCATGGGTATCCTCGCAACTGGCTCACCCGCACGCTACTTCCTCGACATACTGCTGGACAGCGAGACCCAGGACCACCACAAATCGCATCGCATCGAGCTCAAGGTCGATCTCATTGGGGCGCATCTGACCCACAGCCAGAAAGTCAAGCTGGTGGGGCATGTCCACGAATCGCCCATCTACCAGCTGCTCAACGATGGCTCGCACATCGATCTGCTGCTCAAGGACGGCCCCAAGACCAAGCACATCGCCCCCGCCGAAGCCGCCGAGGACCATTGAGCCACAGCCCGGAGGATTGCTGTCCGTTGCTTTCCGTCCTGGAGCCGGGTGCGGAGGGGAGGGGAGAGAGGGAGCGGGCTGCGCCTGAAGGTGCTGTCTTGGCTGAGTTCGAATACAATCCGAGCAAACCCGGCCCACATTCCCCCTGCTCCTCATCAGGTCTGCTGCCCAGAGCACTTTCCTCCTGGCCGACGCACCCCCTGCCCCGCATGCAGCCCGAAAATGGCGACAACGGCGACGACGAGAGCAGCGCCCCGACCCACGGGCGCTGGAGCTCCTCGGCCGTACTCTCTGACCTGATCAGCCCGCACTCGACTGACCCCAAAACCACCAGCACATGCAAAGTCGTCTGCTTGACTGGCGGGCCGTGCGGAGGCAAGACCTCTGCCCTTTCTGTAAGCAGGGCAATCATCTCGGGCGATATCGCATATCTGAATTGGCATCGGTGCCGCTGACTCAGCCCAGCTCTGACGCTAGCGCCAGCCCGATTGCATATGCCGACGCCCTGCGCCGAGCGCCTCTCCTGATGTCCGAGGCTAACCCGCTTCGGCCCGTTGGCATGCTCCATCGGCATGGTCGCATGTGCTTCTCGTTGCCCTGCTCGCCAGATTCTGTCCGAGTAGGTTCGCCAATTGCATGTATGCGTCGGCGTCATCTGCACGCGATGCGACCCCAAGGACCGTCCGTTCTGCTCGGCTTTTCCTGGGGACATCGCTTTCTCCTGCGATTCATGGCCCACTCGTCACGACAAGTCACTCAGCCATTGTGTTGATCGCGAGAGACCGGCACTGGGATGTTGGAGATCGGTTTATTGGCACCCTGCGATCCTGTTCCTAATGGCACCGATTCTGTTCGACGCCGTGGTTGTGGCCTCGCGTGGTGTGGATCTGCTCTGTATCCAGCCTCTTTCGAAACCTCGGATGGAAAGGTGAGTCTGCGTGGGTGCATCTGGTTGGCGATGCCGACTTTCTGCCAGCCCGAATTGGCAGCGGCCATCGACTGATCTAGTTGGGATCATATCATCCTGCGACATGCAGTTTATCGGGTGCCTGAAACGGCAACGCACCTCCTGAGGTACATTCCCGAGATTCACCGACAGTGACGCCGCTGGGTGCCCTCCCTCGTTCAGCATCGGGGCTAACAATATCGTCGTCCGTCGCCCCGGCGATCCTGAAGCGGCGGTGTGGTCTTCTCGGAGCTCTCGCCCCAGCAAACGTATTCGTTCCAGAAGGATCTCTTGACCGTCATGCTCAGCATCGAGAACACCTACATCAACCTTGCCAAGCTGAATGCAAAGCAGGGCCAGAAGACCATCGTGATTACCGGTAGGGTGCCTCTGCGTTCCCTGGTTCAGAGGCGTTGGTGGAGCAGAGGCATTTGTGAAGCAGAGCAGCCTTTGGCCGGGGATCGGTATCGACAAGCGGCTGGTCCACCGGCAGGGCGGTTGCTTCGTTTGTTGGGACTGGGCTCTGCCAACCCGGCTATCTCCATGGTCGCGATATCTGTCGATTCGCTCGTCTGGGAGGTCCATGTAATCGAGTTGTTGTAGCGATCTGGTGCGATCGACTGAATCTCGAGTGGCATTTGCAGACCGGGGTGCAATGGACCCATCGGCATACATCGACCGGGCATCGTGGCTCAAGATTCTGGCCGAGCTCAATCTGGACGAGATTTCAATCAGGGACCATCGCTATGATTGCGTTGTCCACCTGGTCACTGCGGCCAAGGGAGCGGAGCAATTCTACACACTGTCAAACAACTCGGTCCGCAGCGAGGGCCTCGAGCTGGCTCGGCACCTGGACAATCTGGTCATGAACGCATGGCTTGGTGAGTATTCGCATCCATCGCCTGTCCTGTCCTGCCTGTTTTGTGGTGCTTGGCGGCTTGGTGCTGTCGCCGTCATTGGGCTTGCGCTGCTTTCGCTTGCTGACCAGCACGGTTGTTGCTGCAGGCCATGCGTCGCTCCAAGTTATCGATAACGAAAGCGTTCCCAATTTCACCGCCAAGTGCGATCGCATCGTCCAGGCCGTGCTTACCCGCCTCGGCGTGGTGGCCGACAACGAAATCTACGGCCGAGCAGTCATGAAGCACAAGTTTGTCGTGCGCGACTTTGTCCTGACAAACGAGTTCCCTGTGCCTTTCCGTGACTTTGAAGTTGAACGTAAGCGGCCGATACAGTGCCGGATCTTGCTCGATTGTCCTACATCTTGTCTATACTAACGACCTCGATACATCCCAGACATCTATCTCGTGAATCCTACCGGAGATGGCTCGCAGATCCGCATCAGAAGGTTTGTCGTCACCTGTCGTAGCTGGCCGACGCGCGCCCTTCTCGGTGTACTCTGCTCCAGCAAGTTTGTTTCGGGGCCCAACTGGTGCTGTCTGATAGTGCTGTCTGATAGTGCTGTCCAAGACGGAAATGCACCACGAGCAACGGTTCTGATGCTGCCCTCCGATTTCAGGCGATCCGAGCAGCTCTCAGCTGAAGAGCACTTGTCCATGACGATGAGACGAGTCGGTCCCAACGGTCAAATGGCCGAGAGCCGTCGTAACCTCACCCACCGAGAATACGATGTAAGTGGCACAGCCAACTGTCTGTCCTCCCCTTGTCGCTGGGCTTATCGGTGGATCAGGCTGCATTGTTGGATATCAGAGCCTTGCTGGGTGCTGGCATGACATCTTGGCGGGGTTGAGCGCAGTGGCCATGAACGAGTTGCACCACGTCAGCCCCAGTGCCCCGGCTCAGTCGCTCTCGGTACTGCTTGCTGATATCCCAACGATAGATCTTGCGTGGCCAGAACGACCCCACCCGCAGCATCGTCAAGAAGATCCGCCGCTGCTTCCTCTTCAACGATCGCTATTTCCAACTGGATGTCTTCCAGTCTACCAAGCACGCCGGCTTGATGATGCTGGAGGGCTATTTGGACTATGATTCCGAAGAAACGACCAACGGTGCGCCTGCCCCCGGCGTCAACCAGGACCGCCTTCCGCCATGGCTGCAGGTCGAAGAGGTGACCAAGAACAAGGAGTACTCCATGTATGAGCTTGCCAAGATCTGAGCGAGCCATGCCACCAGTGCATATGTGGCATCAACAACCAACACGAGAACGACCCACACCTGCATCGCCAAATGAGACGATGCCTGAATCCGAGAGGCGGGGAATGCAGGGTTCGTCGGGGCTCTGCCCCATGTCCACCACTGTCCTTGCGGAGATACTTGGCAGTGGTGTCGCTGGACTGCTGCCTCACGCAATCAGAATAAAGCCCTCACTACTCATTGCATAGGTGCTGTCTCCCAATCTGATATACATAGCCCTTTCACTGCTTCCTTGGAGGATGGTAGCCATGGACCAGTCTCTCCGTCGCCCACGGCGGCGCTGTCGTTGATGTTGGGATCTTAGTGGCCTGCATTCATCTCCGCGCCAGGCTTGTCCCGCCAGCACATTCATGGCGGGAAAACGAAAGCCCGTCCCGACGGCCGCTGCAGCGAGCCCGAGCAGTACCGAACGGCAAATATATACTGCTTGCCTTTTCCTCCTCGGCGATCTCTGTGCATTCCTATCGGCGTGGTCAAGATCGTTGCTAAAGCCCACTGCACCGCTATTGGTGTCTATCATCCCCAAAGCAGGCTTCCAGGAAAACAGCCTCGGCGATCATATCCACTCTACCGGGCTTCAGTATCTGGCTCTCGCACCCCAATCACAAGACCATCCTCAGTCCAGCCGCCCGGCAATGTTTTATCTCACCAATGAGCACCTGTCCGTCTTCATCCCATTGGGGTTCGTGGGTATCTATCGCTGGTTCTGGTTCTGCGTCAAGCTTCTTGCCTACTGCGTCTACAAGCCAATCCAGCCTCGGCGAAAGCCACGGTACATTGCTTCTCGAGATGTTACCATCCTGGTCCCGACGATCGACTCGGGCGTAGAAATCAAGACCGCCGTTCGGTCCTGGCTCCAATCCAAGCCCAACAAGATCATATTCATTACGACGCCAAAGGCCAAGGCTGGCCTCGAGGAACTCGCCAACAGCTGCAATTCCTCCAGGGACGTCATCGACGTCATTACCGTGCCTCGCCCAAACAAGCGCAATCAGATGGTTGCTGGAATCAACCGAGTCAAGACCGAGCTGATTGTCTTCTCGGATGACGACGCCATTTGGCCCGACTCCATGTTGGAATGGGCTCTGGCGCCGTTTGAGGACAAGCAAGTCGGCGGTGTGGGTGAGTGCACATTCTGGCTCAAATAAGCTTTGTTCGGTTGGGGCAGCCTCACATATGGAACCAAGTGCAGCGCCGGGTACCGGTGGGATTTGCGTCGTTATCTTAGTCCAGCTCAGAGCCGGAGGAACACCGCCTGCTGTGCAACCGCCATCGTTCTCACACCGACACTGTGCGGAATGAATGGACTCAGGCACCAGCCAAACGGTTCTCCCTGTCGGGAAGCGCATGTCTGTTTGGGAAATCCTCTCGGCCTTTCGGATATCGGTAGGCTGGCTCTGCGATGAACTGCTTGTGTGGGAGTAGGAGTAGGAGCAGAAGCAGGGGCCACCCAACTTCTGGTACTCGGCTGGCGGTCTCACCGCCTTGCTTTGTCTGCTCTTGGGCTGCGACTAGATGCGCAATATCGAAATCACGGCATCGACCTACATCGACGGCGGCGTCTGCTGCCTCTCTGGACGAACGGCCATCTACCGCACCAAGATCCTGCGCGACCCCGAGTTCCAGTGGAAATTCACGCACGAATACTGGCTCGGAAAATATCACCAGCATTCGGGCGACGATAAGTTCCTCACGCGCTGGCTCCATGCCCACTACTGGAAGACCTTCATCCAGAGCTGTCCCGAGGTTGAGCTGCTGTCGACCTTCAAAAACAACTGGACCTTTCTCAAACAAATCCTGCGCTGGACCCGCAACACCTGGCGGTCGGACATCCGCTCGCTGTTTGTCGAGCGGGTGGTCTGGACCCGGTATCCCTTCGTTGCCTTCACGATGCTGGACAAGTTCTTTAATCCGATCACGTTGCTCGCCGGGCCGGTAACGGTGATCTATCTCTGTGTCAGGAAAATGTCGGACCCGAGCAGCTTGCCCGTCTACGTTGTCCTTGCATCGTATTTTGTCTGGCTGTTCCTGACCCGGTTGATCAAGTATATGCCCCACTTCGTGAGAAGACCGCAGGACATACTGGCCATCCCGGTCTGGCTGGGCTTCAACATCCTCTTTGCTCTCATGAAGGTGTATTGTCTCTTTACCCTCCATGTGACGAGCTGGGGCACTCGCTCAGGCGCCGACAACCAGGAGAAGCACGATCTCGAGTCCGAGATGGATATTTACAAAGCCCGCTGGATGGAGTGCCCAGAGCTCGACGAGGGATGCGATCTGGAGTCCCAAGACACTGGCGAAACCGACCCCGGAAGCTCGGCCAGTGCCGGCCTCACCGACCAACAAAATAGTGACAGCGTCGCGGACCTTGTCGATGGCATATCTGTGCTGCACGACTCAGCAATCGGCAGCGACTCGTTTCTCTCCCTCCGACACAAGCACTGATCGAAATGGGCAATAAAGTCAATCGGTTTCTGCAGTGATTTGGTCATCGTCAGCGTACGGCAGACGGGAATACCCACCATCCGGGGAGGGAAGAGCGTCGAATAGCCACACTTGCCTTGGCTCCAATGGCAGTGTCGTATCAAAGCGCCGGAACACTCGCCACCACGAATTGCTGCCGGATTCGCTCTCTCTCAGGGAGGGTTTGAGGTTCTGGCAATGGCGCGCAAATACATCCTGGGTGCTGGAGAAACGGGCGCATCCAACAGAGAGCGAGGGGTCGTTGCTGTTTGCTCGTATCATGATGCTCCATACGTCGTCTTCGGTACTCGGGGCCACCGGGGGCTCTCTCAACAGCGATCCATACACCCGCCGGCGACAGCTCGAGAAGCAGGAGCTGCAGGCGGATCTCAAGAGCTTTCTGGATGAGCAATCCAAGAAGAACCCGAGGCTCCGGCATCTGAAATCCAACCAGCCTGACGTCGTTGTCTCGATCGCCAACCCGCATTCGGGCCTGGAGCATCCGGCTGGTGGCCCAAGCGGCGCATTCGACCGGGCATCTGGCTACGGCGGACGAAGCGGCGCTGTCGATCCAGCGGCAGGCTATGGCATTGAGCGTATGTATATGACCGGCCGGTGATGCGCTTTGCAAGATTCGGCAGTGCGACGCCGTCAAGCCTTGCCCCCTGAAACAGGGGTAGTTTGCATCAACGACAGGCTGCGAGTGGGCTGCGGCTGCGTTGGCATCTGGCGAATACTGACAGTCGATAGGATCATGCAGAGCCATCGAATGCCTCGCACCAGGGCCGCCGAGAAACAATGCGAGACCAGGGCTATCCGGGCAGTCGGTATGTTGGACCGACACAACACGACTTGAAAAGCTGGCTCGCGAGCACGGCGACACGATCTAATAGACTTGAGCCGGGCGAGTCAATCGAAATGCACCGACGGTTACTGACCGATGAGTGAATCAATGGTAAACTGACCCGTGCGCTTCACTGGCCAAGCTCATGGCGTCCGGATGCTGCCTTGCCAAGGATCGACGAGCAGCGTCAGCCGTTCGGCAGAGACCCGTCTTGGCACCGGAGCCCTGCTGGAGACCCGTACGATGCCATGGATGCTCGGCCATACTACTCGCCGAGACCCCGCAGCCTCGAGCCCGAATACGCCCATGGAGCGGCAGAGCAATACCCACGACGGGCGTCCATCAGCCAGCCGGATCGCTCCCTTCGCTATGGACAGCGTGAAATCTCTGGCGATCGAGATCCCCGGCGACGACCAGATCCGCTGGATTATCGAGATGATCGCCACAGTCCGCTCGGCATCTACCCCTCCGGCCAACCCCAGGCAAATCGCGACGACGGGTGGCCGGCTCGCGAGCGATACTTTGATGGCGATTCCAGTATGCAGCAGCCACGGCGACGGGGTCCGCGCAAGATGGAGGCCGCCAGCTATGCGGAGGAGCTGAGTGAGTGCCTGTTGATCTGCCGGACAACCAGCTTGCCGATGAGGCATCTCGCTCCAGGCTGATTTGTTGCTCGGATTCGCTCAGAACTTCAAATGGCCGAACAACAGCAGCGCAAGCTCCGAGAGAAGCGGATGCAATACGAAGATCCAGAACCTTATCCACCAAGTACCGATCGTGGTCGACAGGTGTGCCAGCTGTTGCAAGCGCCTCGCCAAATCCATCGTTGGTGTTGTAAGTGTGACTGGTGAAGGTTGCTCCAGCTCTTTTCACACAGCGATATTGCTGTTCGATAGCGAGGATACGAACCGAATCGATCGCCGCCTCCAAGGTATACCTGACGGTCAGCGCTATAGTACGCAAAGCATCGGAGAGCACGGTGGTCTTAATCTTGAACCCGCTCGTCGTAGGATCAATGGCTATCCCCAGTACGATGCGGCGCCGTGGCGGGGTGGCTCCCCTCAGTACAACCCGAACATGCGGAGGTCGGATATGCAGCAAGATAGAAGCCAACGGCCCCAGGACGTGAGTATGTGCTCAGCGCTCCCTGGAGGTGGGAGAAAGCTAATATCCAATGGATCGGTCCGCCAACAGCAAAAGAATCAGTATCTGAGAGAGCTGGGTAAGAGGCGCTGCAGGTGCATTCTGATTAAATGGATCTTGTAGGTGGTGGCTTGTCGATATATGAATTGGAGAGCGCGCACATCTTCCCGTGAATCCACAGATCGACCTGCAGATTTAAAATGGATAACAGCGAACTCTTGACGTCTTGCAGTGAGAAAAACGGCCATGGTCTGACTTGTATTCTGCCTTGTTGGCGGTTGCAGATGAACAAATCAGGATGAAGAAAGAGCGAGAAAGGCAGCAGAAGGAGCTGATTCATCGCGAGGATGAAAAGGTGAAAGCAGCGCGGCCCCTTGCCTCTACAACAGCACAATCTGGAACAGCCAGTGACGGAATAGCCGCTGATGCTGCACCACCAAATTATGCCACAGAAAGCAAAGGAAATGGAGGAGTACAATCCATGGGGCAAGGCTGGGGCAGGAGCGCCGCTGCGGAATACCGAAGGAAAGGCTGTGGGCAACCTCGCTGAAATGAAACGAGAGGTAATCCACTGTGCATGCACACATAGCCGCAGATGCGTTTGAGGGCGCTGGTTGGGACAGTGGCTGAGCTGTCTGAATTGCATGCCCAACCAGGTTCTCGGCAGCCCGTTGCCGCAACTCCCTCAGTTCGGGACAATGCCTCAAAATCAACAGCTCCCGTTCTTGGGAATCAACCAACCACTAATAGCTCCGCAAATGCGGGCCCAGCCCATGGTTTTGATGGATCCGGGAATTCAACAGCAGCCCATGTACGGGTACGAGCCGATCACCGGCCTCGAGATGACCATTTCGCTGATTGTACCACTGAAATATCTTCTCATTCACGTTGCGTCTCCAGGATGGGATATCAGGGAATATTACCACCGATTGCACCGACACTGCCATTTATGCAGCCGCAGGCCAGTTCTCTCCCACAGATGCTTCCAGGTGTTGGTCTATCCGGGATCCAAGGAGGACCTTTGATGGGCATGGGGTACCCGAGCCCGGCAGTAATGCAAGGCGGCATCCCATCGGCACCGAGCTTCCCGGGGAATGTTTCCCCAACGCAAGGCAAAGGTGTGTGAGGGTGTGCATTATCTCGACCACATATGCTTGCAAGCCTCGGTATCATGGTATGGGCGAATGGCAGACTGATGGTGTGGCTCTTGCAGAAAAGTCGTTTCTTCGTGGGCAGGTGGATATCGAGGCTCTACCGGACTGGAAGAAGGATGAGCTCGCAAAGAAACAGAAGTCACAGCTGGATGTGCAGGTCAGAAAGCCAAGCGATCGTCATCGGTCTCCAGAACATACGTTTTGTACACACTTTGACCATGTCACAATTGCCATTGCCATTGCCATTGCCATTGCCATTGCCATTGCCATTGCCATTGCCATTGCCATTGCCATTGCCGCACATAGGATGCATTGAGACAGCAAATCCTGGAGAAAAAGGCAGAGAAAGAAAGGCTCGAGAAGCAGATGAAAATGGAAGAGAACAGAGAAAACCAACGCATCATGAAGGAGCAGGAGGAGCTGCGACTACGATATGCCAAAGAGGCAGAAGACGCTCGGAAAGCAATGGTGCGATCACACTCTGTCACATCCTTTGATCTCAGTGCGATTCTCATCAATTTGGGCTCACACAACAGGAGGAAGCGGCCATCGCCAACCAAAAAATTAAAGCTGAGCGGCTCCAGAAGAAGCAGGCTGATCAAGCTGCATTGGACGATGCAGAGGCAAAGGTCAAGGAGAATACATCCAAGCAAGCTTCGCAGAGCAGACTCGCCTACCCACCATCCGTGAGCCCCGTTGGCTTGCTGCCACCAGGTTCGTTCTCGACTCACCAATCGCAGATATGAGGGTGGGCATCGCTCTGTGTCGCTGTGCCAGGCTCATTGCTGACTGCACTTGCAAATTCGGATCAGCATCGGTTTCGCCGTTCCGGTCCGCTTCCCCACCGATACCAACGCTGCGGAAAAAGATGGTCGAAGCCGAAGCTGAGAGCCAAGTCTCGGCCTCTGCCCCATTGGGCACCGATACACGCAAGGCAGAGACAGCGTATGCAGGCCTCAGTCCGTCAGAGTCTCGGCCTGAGAAATCGACAAAGCCCATCGCTGGCACTCTCCGTGGCAGCAAGCCGTTGGCGGCTTCGGGTCCCCAGAAGAAGGTAGCAGTGGGTATCGACGATCGTACCGAATAGATCGTACTATCGATCGTACGGATAGAGCGTACTATTGATCACCACTGCTACATTGCCCAACGCCGCTGTTTCTAGCTCATGCCAATCAACGACACGGAAGCGATCCTGCAGCAGCTCTCGGCTCTGAAAATGGTAAGGACCACCCTTTTCCAGCCGATGACTGAATATGGGCCCGTTTTGATTAACCACTCGTGGCCACAACAACTTTGGCATGATTTGGTGGCTCGAGACCGGCAGCGATTCGCATGAGGGATTGCCATGGGGGTGCTCGACGACGTTCGGCATTAAACCAACCAAAGAATTACTCCGGCTCCAGAATCTCGATCACGAGCAAAGCAAGGTTCGCACAGAGCTCTCACAAAGCCCAAAATACTTTGCGGAGCACTATCGCGATTCGCAGACCACAAATCCGATCGCGAGCCGCCTTGCGGGTCAGTTGAACGATCGATGGATCACTGATTCGGCTGTATTCACATGCGGTCGTTTCTCCAGCACCGAGTGCCACCACTGCTCTCGCCATCTGCTGACACTGCACCCACTTTTTGCAGGCTCGTTCCCACCAGACAGCGCCATGCAATCACCGCGCGCTGGACCAGCAATATCCGATCTGGGTATCTCATCCAAACCGTCGGTATCGGCCAAAGCGTCGTGCTCAAAGTCCAGATGCCTGTGTGTATTCACTGACTCTTTGCCATTTAACAGTCTGCACGAGCGCCAACGAGCCTATCTAGATTACCAGGAGCGTGAGCTGGCTCTCTTGCAGTCGAAATCGCCTGTGGCGGTGTATGCAACAGCCATGGACGTACCTGCGTTTTCGCGGGTCTCCAAACAGGACGATGTTGTGCTCGAATCGTTCATGCAGCAACAACGCTCGCGGCTTGGTGCGGATGCCGAGTAAGTATGTGCTATCGAGATACACTATGGTGCAAGGTGGTCTTGAGAAGGTCCAGTAATACTGACATATCGACTCTGTTTCGAGGTCCGAGGCCATCAGTACCACGGCTCTGCGCCAAGAGATTGAGCGGAAATCGGTAGGTACCGTCACCGGTGGAGCATTTAAACTGAATGGCGTGCCCCTATGGCCGAACCAACATGCCACGCAGCGCGCGCGGAGCCAGATTGAGAGGATTCTACATCGACTATCGAGGCTTTGGGCAACATCAGCGTTCGTACACAAGGGCCAGCTTGACTTACTCATAAGCGTATATCCAGGCTGTGGTCCTTAATGGTGCTCATCAACTCGCTCCCACGAGTTCGACTTATTATAGTGACCTTGAGCGCAGTCTCGCACGGCAAAGTAACTCAACGGCTGCCAATACGGGTGATGTTGATATTCTTTCGACAATGTAAGCGTCGTAGCTGAGAGACTGTTCTGAGTCATACAGAGGTTTTGAAACGGCGGTGTATGCTGACCATGCTCATGGGTTGTACTCTGGGTGTTTACCACCAAGTGGTGCGAGTACCCGAAAGCCCCAAGAGCGACCTCCAAGTAAGTATGAAAGCATTGAAACTCGATGTCCTCGTCGTATCAAGGTTGACTTTCTGACCGCTGGAGATCGCCCAGGCTCGGCATCGTCGTTCGACCTCGAAGCCCTTCAAAAATTGAACGAAATGCGGTTCAAGCGGCTGACCTCGGCGGATGAAGAGCCCAGCAGAGGTCGCTGTGAAGACGATGACATTATCTCTGCGTTTCTCCGAAGGGTATGTCCTTGATTCCAAGATTCTCTTCTCCTCTACAATGCGCATGGCTTTATAAATGGGCATGACTAAGCCGAAGCACATTCAAAATCCAGGAAAAGGAGCTCTCAGGAAACCAAGAGAGGATGGATCGGCCACTCTCCCAGACAGAGTCCAAGTTCCAGAATCTTATAGTGGGACGAGCCGGAACCGGCATCTATCCCAAGTGAACTGGGCCGCCTGTCGCACGCACAGCTTTACTCGGGACTGGGCCTTCCCACACCCCTCCACATCCCAATACAGTGTCAAAACTGACATAGGTATAGCCAGCGCTGGTGAAAAACACATATATTTCTACAAAGCACCACAGGGGACTGGTGGAGAAGTAGATCGACATGGATCTGACATGTGAGAAGGTGCAGCTTGTGTTGAAATGGCCGGTGCGGTTCAGGTTCCGTATGGCAGAATATCCTCGGAGAGCAGATAGACCAACTCTGGGGGCATAATAAGAGGGAAGTTTTGCTGATCTGAGAGGGTGTAGATCATGGCTATCCGCCACATGCTGTACTTTGAGTCGGGGAACTCTATTGTTTGGATCCCAGAGTTTGCAGGTTAGAGAAGCCGTGAGCGGGGAGAGGAGAATGTGGTGGTCTACCTTGGCTCCAAGTATCAAAATACGGACGATACAGTTCCAAATGACCGCCATTTGACATTGCTGTCCAGACGCGGTGTGGGTGCAGTTCCATCCATTCAAATGCAACATCAACTGCTACCCTCGCCCAACGTCCTGCGACTTTGGATTGATGAACAGGCGGTGTACTTGAGTGATCTCTCAAGACCAAAACACTTGCCTCTGTCTCTCCAATCCTGTGACATCCTGAAGAGCTCCCTCTCGCTGCTTGTGAAACAAGGTATCAACTTTGATCCGCCATCGATTTCATTCAGGGCACCCATACTTTTGGAGGATTTGCCGGATTTTGGAATGATGGACTCGCTTGATCCCATAAGGGCGGCGTTAATTCCAACCGGCTGTGACTTGAACCTCTTGCTGGAGGACAAGCTGCCGATTCCACCGGTCGCCATCGGCGCCAGGTCATCCTCGGACTCATCATGTGCACTTGTGCTTCCGATTTGCAGAGTAATTTGATCTGGAGTGTGAACAAGCATGTATAAGAAGGCAATTGGGCTATATATGATATACGGACAATGTCGATACTGTACAGTACTCAGCGACGATACGCAATAAAATACGCATACCTTTATGCCTTGTAACAGCGAGGGATCCATTTTGCTGTGACGACGTTGAGCGCCGCTCAGTATTCAAGCTATCAGGGTCATTTCTCGCCGGTCTCTCTTTGCTCAAGACTGGGAGGGGGTTGGGCATGATTTGGATGGTGTGCAAAGTACCAGCGTTTGGCGATCCATGAGCAAACGGCGAAGTCGGTCTCGTGTCATTGTTACGGGAACTTGAGGAAGCTCGCTTATCCGTCAGAATGTTGAGGGCAAAGGGCGATTTGGGACGAAGCTCGGAAGAAGCGGTGGGGGCAGCAGGCTGCCCCGAACCCATGGGAGCAGCCGCCGAAGCAGCGTCGGCTGTCTGGAACGGGGATCTGGGCCTGGTTCCCGTTTTGATCGACGAGGCATTCGACGGCGAATGCGAAAGCTTGGCGCTCTTCTCGGTGATGCTACGGGCCGCGGTTGTGGACTGACGGACGTCGCCACCAGTACTGGTTGATGATCGAGAGTGAGTTGAAGATATGGTCGCCGAGCGCTGCCGAAACTTACTACTTTGCGACGGAGTATCGGGAAGTGAGAGTCTGGCGCCCTCTTGTGCAGCGAAACTGATCTCTGGTGACTGTGAAAGATGCTTGAATGGCTCATCCGCAGGATTGCTGGCGATTGCCCCGAGGGGCTGGGCAGTCGCTAAAGCTACCGCGATGTGCTCGGCGTGGGAGTGCTGTTTGGGAGGATCGGTCTTTGCTGATAGGCCGCCGGCGAGTTCACTGTGGACAGTGTCGACGGAGCAGCCGACAGAGATAGAGCGGGCATCCTTCTTAGAGATGGCGTCCTTGGATCCTGCCGAGGCGGGGCTGATGTTGACGACCTTGTGCGAGCCCCCGGGAGATATGCTGGCGTTGGACGAGCCTCCCCGCGGCAGCACTGATTCGGAAGCAGAGCGAACATGGGCATCGAGGCTTCCCAGGCTCACGGCCAGATTCGAGCTCTTGGAGAGGTCACGGTCGTCCTTCCTGGGTTCGATTTGACTGCTCTTGGTCTTGCTGAAGCTCCTGATGCTGCCTTTGATCTTCTGCAAGAGCCCCGCGGACGGGGCTCGCCGCTGGCGCCGTGGGAACGGGTGGGATAAGCCGCAATCCGGTGGCCGGCAGAGTCGACTATTGCTCGCGGTGATAGTCGCGAGAGTATTGATTGTCGCCAACCGATACCAGCAGCGCCTGGTGTGCGGAGTTGCGCCGGGGAGACTTACCCTTTTGTCCTCTTCGGGCGAAGGATTCATCGATGGGGTCTGTCTGCAGATCGGGAAGCTTGGATACGGGTTCGAAATGCAGCCCGCCAGAGCACGATGGCAGACCAGAGTAGCTGGAATCAGCGGTAATGCAGCACAGCGGACCACTGACGTTTCTTCGATCGACGTGCAGCTCGTCTGATTGGAAAGATGGGTCGCTCCGTCGGCATTCAGCGCAGGGCGTCGGGACAGGCCGGGACGAGCACGACTTGGTCCGAGATGGGCGAGATTGATCGAGCCGGTTCGTGCACCGCCCTCATCTCCCCATCCCCTCCAGACAATCTGCCTGTCCTGATGGTCTTGGTCAACACCAAACGAACTTTTATCATCAGCAGACGCCGGCTTTCGAAGAATACCCATTCAGTCGCGGCAGGGACTGCCCACATCCAGGCCGGGTGGAGCGCAGCGAGCAAACCAACCGAGCGCATCGATCCACATTTGACCATGGCTCGAGCCGGATCGCTTCCGCCCTGGTTTCGCGCATCGTCTCGATCCGCCCCGCAAATCCAACCAACAGATCACACTATCAATTTTTTACGGCCCCCTCGCGGCTGCTCATCTCGGTCACCTGAAAGTCACGTCGTATGTGGCGCAGCAAAAGTTGAAATCCGGCCATGGTCGGTTGACGGCATTTGGTATCACCTTGAGCCGATTGACGGTGGTGGTGGGCAATTGGTGTGGAGGAATGACCAATTGTATCATTGTTGGAAGCTCCACTCCGATTGCGGACAAGAACCACCACCATCTGAATCTCTCTGGTTGGAAACCTAGTCAAGCGTGGCTGTGTGTCAGCGAGATGACATGATCGTTTGGCTATCAGGCAAGACTCACCTTGACAAGATGTCTTCCCACGACTGATTGAGCGAGCGATGCGTTTCTGGATCTGAATCAAGGACGCCACTGTGAGCATCACTCCCTGCCCAAAATGCGCTGGTTTTGAGGAGATTCTTTCTTCCCCAAGGGCAGAACCAGCCATCGCTGCTATTTTCTCGCCAGATGGCTCCCCACAAACGAAAGACACCCCCCGATCCCGACCCGGGATCACCCAATGACTATCCTGTGGCCAAGAAGCCCACTATCAAAGCATGCCCATCCTGTGGCCTGACCAACCATGTTAGGCCCTTCACCAAGAAGTGCACAGCCAGAATCGACAGCAGCCCTGCCTCGGTCGCTGAAATGGTCAGCCAAGCACCCAAGGTCCCTGTATGTGCCACGTGCGGGGAAGAGGGTCATGCCAGAAGCAACACCCCAAAGTGCCGTTTCTATAAGCCACTCTGGAGCTCTACCTTGCCTGGCTGTGGCCCAAACGAGCAAGTCAAGGCCGAGTACTCGATCATCAAGTGCACTCTCGATGCCATCATCAAGAACGACACCTTGCACGACAAGATCGAGGAGACTGTTCGGGCCATGACACACGTGCAGTACGAAGCATCTCGTCTCCTGGAGCTGCATCTCAGGCGATGCTTGGACGAGGGTATCATCCTCCCCACTGTGTCGTCGAGTGAACCCGCGTTTGTTCGAAAGTGCTTCAATATGGTGCATACCGGAGCTACAGATGTCAAGAAAGGCACGACCCAAGAAGACAGGCACCTCCTCGAGACCTATGAGATGTATCGACGTGCATGGAGTGAGACGTGTATCCTGCCTCCAGTGTCCCTCCCAAAGGGCACTGGCTCACAGGTCCTTAGTTTGGCTGTCAAGACCTATGCAGGCAACTGCGAGACCCACGTTCTCGATCGATACTGGTCCCTTCTACGCCGATTCTGCAATCTGGTCCTGGTTGCTCCCAAGGATGTGAAACGGCACACACACGTCGACGATTGTATAAAGTTGATGGAGAACCCCCTCTCCAAGACACTCCTCGGTGATCTGAGAAAATCCTTCGCCCACCATGCCGACCAGTTGTATGAGCTTCGGTACGAAAGCCAGCAGGACCTGTATCAAGTCGTACCAGTTCTGGCCAGTGAAGTCTCTCGACTGACCCACCTGAAGGAGGCCCTCTTCATGGTGGTCTTTCAGAAGATGATCATTCCCAGGCTCGTGAGAGAAACCATTGGCCTGAAAGGAGAGCGTGGGCGACTGAACGAGGAGATGTGTCAACCCATCCACCACATCGGGGCTGACAGACTCAAAGATCTCCAGACCCAGCACGAGGAGGTGTGCAAGCAGATCGCTGTCAACACGAAGCGGATCAAGCGCCTCACCGACCGGCTTGCCCAGACCAAGAAGAGACTCAAGGCCCCTCGAGCACAGTGCACCTTGGTCCCGCTCTGCGATGCCCGAGCCAAGTATGTCAAGCTCGACACCAAAGCACTGTGGGAGATCCTTGGATACCAGACTGGCACTGGTCTCAAGTGGGACGACCTGAAGACCAAGGTCAATGACACCACAAAGCAAGAGTCCTTTTGGCAGACCAACTTCAAGCTGGATCCGAGGCTCTTTGGTGCCAGGGAGGAGGGGAAGCAGCTCTTTGGTTGCGAGATCACCACCGATGGGGTCGGGTGCTCAATCACCACGCTCAGATACAAGATCCTGGAGAAGAAGGACCCTGATGCCAAACCAGAAACCACAGACAAGGACGACATGACACTCAAGCTCACTCCCGAGAAGAAGATCCAGGCCAGGGTCGGTCCCATCGACGACTCTCGGATCACATGGATCGGGATCGACCCTGGTGTGGGATCGATCTTCACCGCTGTCATTCGGGCACCTGGTCAACCAACCATCCAGGAGCGAGACGGTGTCAAGGTGACCAAGGCACAGCGTGCCAACGAGAAGATCGTGTCGTTCTCCAACAAGGAGTACCAGCATCGAACTGGCACCACCCAAGCGACCAAGTGGATCCAGAGCACCCACAAGATCCTTGGTCTGCAGAAATGGATGAGCACCACACCGAGCCCCAAGATCCCTGGAGTGCCTTCTTTCTTACGATATATTCGCCATGTGTTCGATGGAGACATGCTGGACAAACAGCTGTACTTCAGCCTGACCCGGCGACGGCGATTCAAGCGACTCGATCTCCACGGCAAGCGACAGCGCACCGTCCACGAGATGTGCAAGCAAGTCATCGACCAGGCACCAAGGGAGACCGACATCGTGATTGCCTTTGGGAATGCATCCTGGAAGCAAGGGAAGGGATATGCATCCAGTCCCAGGAGACTCAGGTTCGCCAAATACTTTGAGCAGTTCCACCACCACCAGAGACGACCACCAGACCCATCCGTCTCCAAGATCCATGTGTGCTCGGTGAACGAGTTCAACACATCACAGGTGTGCTCACACTGCCGGGAATTCAAGCGACTTGAGTCACCCGAGTATCTTGATATCGAGAAACCACATTATGTACGGAGCTGTGCAAGCTGCCATACGCTGTGGGATCGAGACATCAATGCAGCCAGGAACATGATCTCGGTATGCCAGTCGATCATCGCCCATGGAGATCGACCGGGTGTATTCAAGACTGTGCTTCCCAAACCAACCAAAACCACTCGATTGCCAACGAAGACAGGAGTGCAATGCCATGGCCTACCCGCTGGGCCTACAAGTCAGTCAGCGGGCTTCAGATATCTGAAGCCAGAAAGTGACTGTCCCGTTTCTTTCTGGATAGACTGTAAGTATCTCGCACTGTTGTGCATTTCGACAGTGGATGCCGGGTCGCCCATATTCTGGGCAGTCCACTTCGGGGTTGCCATCCCTCTTGGGATGGTCGATGGGAGGTGTTTGACTCCCTTGTGCAAAGTGTGTGTGCGGATGTGTGTGTGTGTGCAAAGTGTGTGTGTGCAAAGTGTGTGTGTGTGACGGCGAGAGGCTTCTCGCCTTCCCTCGGGGGTCTCTCGCCAGAGACTGCTCTTCTCGCCGACCGAGGTGGCTCCGAGAGCGCGTTTATTCGTTCTCGCTCATTTTATTAACAAGAAATTTTTTCATAGTGTCATGTCTGCCCGCCTGTTTGCAGCAGCCCGACGCTGGACAGCCCCGATTTCGCCTGCTTTCCTGAGAGCCATGTCGACCGCAACCAAGGCAAGGGGCCATGGCACCGTCTTCCCCGACAAGGCCGACAACCTGGGCCCGCTGCTATTCTCGCTCGCCGACTAGCCAGTTTCGATCTAACGCACCTCCCTGCCAACTTGCTCCAAACTTCCCACAGAAGGTTATCGCCACCCACAGCGGAAGGTATAGCCACATGAAATGCGATTGCAGCGCACTTGATATTCATCTGTTCCTTGAAAACGACGCTGACCGTTGGTCCTGTCCGTCCAGCTTCCACGCCGATGAGTCTCTGGCCGTCTATATGCTGAGGTACACCTGTTTCCGCATCGGTCGCTGCTGCAGCGTCGCTCCCCTCTTTTGCATTCTCCGAGCGTCGCTTTGATCCGGCAGTACCTTCTTCATCCAGGCTCACCAAGGAGTTTGCCGGAGCCGGTGAGTGCCGCCGATCTGTGCTGGCTTGCTCGATCTGTCATTCGGCTTTATCGCTGCCAGCTTGATCGCCCTTCTCGACCAATGTATCCGCCATCGCCTCCATCCCCCTCGGCCATATCGCCGACCCCAGATAGCCGATTGCGTTCCTCCCGTTGCTGAATTTACGACGTGCATCCTCTGGATGTTGCTGCATCGCCAGAAATCGTTCGAACCCGCGATCCTGCGGTGATTGCTGCTGCCGACATTGTCGTCGATGTCGGCGCCGAGTACGATCCTGCCCGCAATCGCTTCGACCACCACCAGCGCGAGTTCAAGGATACATTCGACAGCCACCACTCGATCCGCCTGTCGTCTGCTGGACTCGTCTACAAGCACTTTGGTCGGGAGGTCCTCGCAAACATCCTCAAGTGGGATCCGGCCGATGATCGCATCGAGCTTGTGTACCAAAAGATCTACAGCATCCTGATTGAATCGGTGGGTTTGATTCCCTTCCAGGGCGGCTTCAGCCCCTCACTGTCGCCATGTCGGAGCTTAGTCGTGGATCGAGGCTAACGATCGATGTTGCTCTCGCATCTGTGTGGCCAGTACGATGCAATCGACAACGGCGTCAGCGCCTATCCCTCGGATGTTGAGCCCAAGTATAAGGATAACACTGGCATCTCCCGCCGAGTCTCCAACCTCAACCCCTGGTGGAACCAGCCCGACGACGATATCCAAGAGCGCTTCCTCAAGGCCGGTGAGTGCTTGCCGCTTGCTGTGGTGACCGCGGGCTCGTTCGTTGGTCGCTGGAATGAAATCAGTTTTGACACACAACCTTCCTCTGCTCCTGGCAACCTCTTGAAGTTGAGCTGTGCGGCACCGAGTTTGTCGACAGGGTAAGCGAGCGTAGTGTCTGCTGTCGGCCGTCGCCCTTCCAGGCGCATACATTGCCGTCGCCATGTCCGACTAACTCCCTCGCTTGCCACAAAGGTCTCCTACATCGGCCTCTCCTGGCTGCCCGCTCGCGAGATCGTCGAGAAGGCTCTGCAGGAACGCACCCACTTTCACTCCTCGGGCAAGATTCTTGTCTTTGATCAGTTCTGCCCCTGGAAAGAGCACCTGTAAGTACTCACATGGCGCATAGACGCAATGCTGGCCTACTGACCTGCTGACCTGCTGGCTGTTGTGGGAGTCACATTCGCCTTGGTCTGTGCAGCTTGTTTCGGGACTGCTATCCCACTTGCACACGCAGCCATTCGTTTATGACATCACAGGCGAGCTCACACCCTCCTTCGTCACCAGTTACATCCTCGAGGGCGAACATAACATTCCACATGCGACACGGCCCCTCTATGCTCTCTACGCCGACCAGAGCGGCAGCTGGAGAGTGCAAGCCGTCGCCAAGACCCCAGATTCATTTGAAAGGTATCGGGGACAAGGCGTGCCTTTGGCTGTGCTTGGCTCGTCGGTGATATCGATTCAGCCGCAACTAACACATCTTTTGCTTGTCCAGCCGCAAGGCCCTGCCTGAAGCATGGAGGGTACGTACGGCTCGCACGCACCGCTCACTAGCACGATATGCGGTATCTTTGTGACCTGGAATACGCCACGGTGCCATGGTGCTGCTCAAGATAGATGGCGACATAGAAATCGACAGCTGAAATCCGGAATGGCGCATTTCTTACCACTAGGGCATCCGCGACGAAGCGCTCTCTGAGTTGGCAGGCATCCCTGGCTGCATCTTTGTCCACACAACTGGATTCATTGGCGGCAACAAGACCAAGGTAAGATTACGGCGTGCTTTGGCGCACTGTGCAGAGCAAGTTATTGTGCTGCGGTTTCTGAACTGCGGCAATGTCGATGGATACGATGCTGAAGGTGCAAAGCTTTGCCCATTCGCTAACATGCGCACACTCGGTAGGATGGCGCGCTCCAAATGGCTCTCAAAGCCCTTGACCTCTGATTTAGCCCCCCCCCCAAACGGAGAGAAAGGATTGCTCCATTCTCGGATATCTTCTCGCCCTGAGCAAGCTATATATCCACAATACACTTGGAGCGCTCACAAATGAAACGGGGCACCCCACCATTGTTGTAGTTCACGGTAAATCCACAAGAAACACATGATCGACGGCCCAAATGCAGTGGGCGCAATAAATCGTCAAGCAGACACGTTGCAGAGTCCGATGCGGCTGGATCCAAAGCAACGCATTCGGCTACTTAAGATGTCTTGGGGGCCGGCGGCCCGCCCTGTGCTGTCACTGTGATGAGCTCCGACTCTTGCAGCTTCTTCCAGTGCTCTCGGTTCTTTTGCACATTGTCCCAAGCGGGAAAGTCGCCGTCCTGGTTGATGTACGTGTTCCAGGCCTCGTACAGCGGGCTGACAATGTAGTCGATGAATCCCACTTGGCACTTTGGAATGACAGTGTTGTGGCGATCGAAAAACATCGACACCGGGATGCCGCGTTTCTTTTCCTCGTCGCCCTGGCAGTGATTCACAGAGTCAGCGACAACCAAGGGCAGAGGCATGGAGGAAGACTCCAACCAAAACCTTCATGCGACTCGCATGGCAGACTAGTTGCCCGTGATTCCGTGTCTTTGTCCCGACGGGCTTGCTTCTGCCTGTGAAAGCCGCACACACTTACCTGTCGGAAGAATTCCTCCATGATCAGGTAGGCCCACTTTGTACACAGCTCCGTGGCCTTGGCTGCATTGCTGATGTCGCCGCACTTGATGCACATCTCCAGCAGCAGCTGTCTGTCCTTCTGATCATTAAAGTCAAATCCTACGTATGCAGAGACGAGGTGAGAGCGTCTCCCTTGGTCCCCGAGCGTCCTCAACACAGTCGGCATCCTGACCAACCACACAGGCGGCCGAAATGGAATGCAGCCGAGTCCTGCAAAGCCTTGCTACTGCTCCGATCTCGGAACTCACCCGCTCCAGAGATCTTGTTTTTGAATTTGGCAATGTACTCAAAGTGCCCAGCCATGTCGGTTGCCAGCACCGTCGACAGGATCGATGTTCGGATCGGCTTGAACTGGTCCGGCGCGAACTTGCCCAGGATGTTGCAATCGGGGCTGCTCGTCATCACCTCGAACGCTCTCGAGCAGTGGAAGTTCTCTAAAACAGCCTGGTCGTTGTACCGCAATGCCAGCTGCGCGCTGCTGTTGACCAAGAAGGCGTTGTTGACGCCAGGGTGCTCAAAGTCGTGGATGGCGCCAGCCACGATTCCCGAGAAGCAATCCTGCATCATCAACAAGTCCTGTGAGCGGATATGCCAGCTGCAACATGAACACCAGGGGCACAGGCGCTAATGATCTTGCATCACAGGATCGCCTGCGCTCATTTTCAAGGATCGTCGGCACGGAGTGGCGTGTGCCGCCATACCGAACAGCGTCCACGACACTGTCTCGTTCTCGTGGTGCCGACTCAGCAGCGAACCTGCTTGCAACCAACGAGTGCCCACAACTGCGCCCGGGTTACCTCCATCGTCAAAAACTCGTCCAGACCGAGCACATAGATAAAGTAGTAGATTGCATGCATGACATCGGCTCCGTGCATCGAGTTATGATACGGGACATTCTGTCAAAGTGCCAAAGGGAGCCCGAGCCTGTTAGACGACCCGCATCAGGTCCACAAACCCCGCTTTGTGCAATCTGGAGCGTACTTTGTTGTATCCTGACTCGATCTTGGTCAAGAAGCTATCCAAAACAGACTCCTCGATATTAAAGTGCCCTTTGAAGTTACATCGGTCGAAGATGGCCTTGGTGAGATAGAACAAGGGGCGGCCTGGTAATTGGAGATTTGATGCGAGCGGTTACAAGCCATGACAAACAAACTGTATTCGGGAGACGCGGTGTGGCGCCCCTTGCGCCAGAGACCCTCCACGAACCTTGGGTAGCTTCGTTCAATTCAAAGATGTTAAAGTCCCAACTGTCTATTTTTTCGAGCACCTCGTTGATCCTGGAATCGTTGCTGAAGAACGGGGCAAGATCAGCTCCTTGGGTCCTCTGCGCCTCTTGTTCACAGCAACAGCTCAACCAAGGTTACCTCGAAACGGATTTGGTGATGACTTCAATCACGGGCCTGTGAAATGGAAGTGGTCATAATCAGCATTGGCTTTGGGAAACGATAGACAAAACATGTGAATCCCCCGTTCCGGCAATGATGCGGCACAGGACACGCACTGAGCATATAGATTCGAGATGGAGGTGGTGGAGTTTGGGTTGGTGGAGCTTTGGTTTGTGATCATGGCGTTCAGCCATTGGTTCACGTCGCTGTCCATGGGTAATGGTCAATACCAGAGTCAAGGACAAGTACCAAGAGATTTATGGGGACGCAATTGCTCTCCAACGAGCTGGCGAGCCATGTATCAAACCCTCGTTCCTGCAATGCAAGCGGGATGGAACAGGGCAAGGGAGAGCAGCAGCAGTGAAAAGGATATCTTCTTTTCCAACGTTGAGGTTAGGCATAAACAGCCGGTTCGAGGACAGGATCTGAACGACAAAGTCGAGACTCTCCATGGTGTCGGCGTTGAAATCTAATCGCGAGATCCCCCCCCCACCAAACCAATATTTTCAGCAGATATCATTCAAGTTCATGGATCAAGTGACGCAATGATTGGACACAGGTACTGCTAGATTCGCCGCGATGCACATGGCCCGGCAGCAAACATGCCAACACAAGCAGTATTCCAGCACTGATCTGCCCGTTGCACTGTAGTTGCACTGTACGGCCGCAATGACATTGTATGTCCGCCATGCAAAGATAATGAAAGCGCTATAATTACCACAGGTGTCCTGGAAGTTTCGAATCACCTTGATGACTTTGGTGATGGGCGATTCGAGGTCCAGCTGATCGTCCTTGCGCAGGCTATCGAACAAGTCAGCATATGCATGAGATACCGGCGGTCGTGTTGGCTCCACAGCACCTGGATGAAAATGTTCGCGGGACCGACTCTTGATCCAGCGGGAGTTTGTTCTGCCACGGTGTCCTTTCGGAACCGCCCGTAACGCTCCACTGCCTTAAACAGGCACAAGAAAACCTCGCCAAATGCATGGCGGCGTGAACACCGTACTCACGCTTTCAGCTGTGTCGCCAGATCCGCATTGAGCTTGAAGAGCCGCGCCACATGCTTCTGACGGTCGATCAAGCTGAACGAATAGAGCTGTATGAACCGCTGTAGCATATACAGCGCCGTTGCCAGCAGAAAGAGACTAACAACAAATGTGGCTTCTTCGGACCAATTGACGCTGAAGGTCAGGTAGCAGTTGCCCGAATAGGAGTCGAAGACGGTCGCAACGTTCGTGTCCTGGCAACTGGCCACGCTTGCGGAAGCAGCCGAGGCGACTAGGAACTGGATCGAGTTTGGTGACTCGGTGTAGAAGGCCTCCATAATCTTGGTCAGACATAGGTAGAGTGCTGGGTGGCGAGTGCCGGAAGCAAATCATGCTGGGTGAGCGTGCGGCCTGAAGAGCACATGCCCGTTTGGATCGTTGCCATTCCAAGACAGAAAATAGGGTGCTTTGGTAGGCTGGGTAGCGATTCACTGTTGGCGACTGGCTGCTGTAAACAGCACTCGACTACACGCATCTCGGGATCGCAGGGGCTCATGCTTACTCAAGAAAATGACACTGGATCCAATGACGTGCTTGTTCATATCGTAGGTCCCGATCTGGAGGTTGATTCCCATAATCGACACGAACCATAGGACGCCAAAGAGGAGATGGGCGTCCCGGGCAAGCAGATGGAAAATGCAGTACGGAATGTAGCTGAGGTACATTGGTATCATGGATATTGATGAGACGTGATTGAGGAGCCTTGAGACTTGGACGACCGCATAACATGAAAAGCAGTCTGATGGCGCAAATGCAAGGGCGTGGGTGAGTATCGCGGGACTCGCGGGTGAGGCTGGCGAAACGGGCATATTCGCGATGCAGCTGCATCGTCGACTTTCTCATCGATCGGCTCAAGGTCGCGGGCCGTGTCGATCTTTTGATCCAAAACGTCAGGGGGATGTACTTGCCCAAATACTTACATAGTGGCAGAGTCCAGAACTGCAGTGTCAGGAAGTGCGCATAGTGTGCAATGATCAGTAGAATCCCATACCACACAAAGTGGATTTGCATCTAGAGTTCGGGCCAAGCGGGTTGGTTGCAAGTCAGTGACAACGTTGGCTTCGCGTTTCCGTGCCGGCTCCGGTCAGCGCTGCTGCCTTAATGCGCTCGAGGTCGTATTCTCGCGACCCACGCTTACCTGAATCGATATCGGGCCCTTGATCACGTCGAAAGACTCGTAGTGCTGCCGGTACACCTTTTTATGCGACGATGACGAGCCGTGTCTGGGACAAGAGAGCGCGACCCGTGAGAAAGAGCCTCGTATCAAAGACAACCTGGCCCTACGATATCGCACGGCGAAGAGCCGGGGAATACAGAGAGCCTCCGAGAGCTGCGGTGGCGAACGCGCTTCGCTGCAGGGTCACGCCGAACAGCCGGCCCAGCGGCCATCCCAATTGCAGCCGAAGGGTGCCTCCACCTCGCTTTCCAGGGCACGATCAAGTTGGCAGGCTATGCAGCACTCGGCGCTAAGGGGGGGGGGAAGAAAAACACCATCCATACGATCCATTTGCATATTCGGTCCGAGTATCCTTTCGCATTGGCGGCGGCGGTGCAGATTTGGAGTTTTGCGTGCTAACGATACTAGCTTTCCGGTTGCCTGGGAACGAGCTGCCGGCCGACTCGCCCGCAGACTTCATCATGGGTACGACGGAGAGGGATGAGCGGCGGTTGTGGCTCAGAGGCACGGCGACGGTCATGGTCGCCCCGCTCGCTGGCACCGCGGAAGACATGGTTCAGATCGCGGACGGGTCGAGGAGCGTGCTCGCTATCGGCAGAGCAGAGACGAAGAAGGACAGAGACAGAGGATAGGGCAGTGGAGGGCGAGTGAAAGGAGTTCACAAAGGCCGGTGAGATGAAGCCGGTGGGGACGCGCAGATGGGAGCGCCGAGTGCGGCAGAGCAGCCGCAGGAGGAGGATTCCCCCCCTGGCGGCGCGATGCCCAATCCAGCCAGGGGTACAGACACAATGGCGCTGACGCAATCCAAGCGGGCGCTCCGGAGGGGCTCGCTGCCCTTGGGAAACTCGCCGATGGCCGGTTGCGACGAGGCTGCGGCCGAGGTGTGTCCTCTTTGCGGGGCCGTTGTGTGTCTCGGCCAGCGAGGCATCTGTCTGTCGTTGCGGGCTCGGAAGCGAATCGCTCCTCAGGCTTTCTTTCCAAGCTCGTGCAAGCGCTCCCGGGCTCACAGCAACGTTTGTGCAGGTCATTAGACACTGAATCGAGGCCGGGCACTCGACTGCAAGGGCTACTCACCCCCGAGCATTGATATACAACCAATTGGATAGCGGCACAGCGCACCAGGCGGCAACCGCATCCAAATTGCCACGTCAAGAATCGCTTCATATCGCCTCGACGCTTTCTCCCGGCGCTCGTAGAACCTGCCCCCCATGGAAGTCGTCACGTCGGACCTGGCTGCCCAGCTCCGGAACGTTCCGCTACTCTCCAAGGCCAGCAACAACGATGCCTTCATCAAGGAGCTCTCGGAATCCCTGCATGCGCGGCCATACAACCCCGGCGACATTGTCATCTCCGAGGGCGAGATGGCCAAGGCCATGTTCTTTATCCTCCGCGGCACCGTCCAAGTGATATCCAAGGATGCCGAAATCACCTTTGCCGAGCTCTACGCTGGCTCGTTCTGTAAGAGCGGGTCGCTCGCAATGCTGCCGCAGCCATGCACAAATCCGCACTGATACATGCGGCGAGCCAGCCTTGATGGGAGTGCTGGGCCGACGACAGATGTTGAGCCTGGGACAGACAGACACTGAGTCTGTGGTAGATATTGAATCTGTGGTCGATACTGAGTCTGTGGCGGATACTGAGTCCTACCATCACTCCACTCTCCTTCCATCCGCAGTTGGCGAGATAGGGATCGTTTTTGGTGTCAACCGAACTGCCACGGTAATCGCCAAAACCAAGCTCCTGTTGGCCTCGCTCACCTCCGAGCATCTTGCCGCCATCCTGGGCAAGTATCCCGACGTCAACAAAATCATCCGGGCAGAGGCCCAAGAGCGTTTCCAGCAACTTGCCAAGGAGATGGAGAGGGCAGGCAAGATGCTGCAAGCTGCAACATTCGAAAAGTTCCATGAGCTGCGAAAGGTGCGTCGTCTCGCGAGATCACTGCCGCCATGCAGGTTGCAAGCGCAACAGAGCAGTGCAGGCGGCCGGCGGTGGCAGAGTAGCTCTGCCCTGGACCACTTCCATGAGCGGCATGCGAAACAAGATGCACTATCATATCGTCTTGTGAACACGTCAGCATCCATGTCTCATTGGGCCATCTTGTACTGAATGATACGCCGCTGAAGATGACTCCAGGACGGCTTGTGACTCGACCGTCTCCTTTTCCTGTCCTGAATACTGACGCTTCTCTCGATCGACGCTGTTGCTGTCTGGTCCGCACCGGCTCGATCACATCGCTCCATCTCGAATCGCCTGCAACCCTGTGCTGTCGCCACAGGATACATCCCACGGCTTTCTCAAGTTGGATTCACACTCACGACAGGCCAGTCGACGCAACAGCGAGCTACTGGCAGATACCATGGGCGGTGACTTCATTCTGCCGGCGCTGCGGAACTCGAGAGAAACCATTGCGAGGGCAAGTAATTCCGACCTCTCTTCGCAGCCGCCCGACGACAGTACTCGCACCGAGTCGGGTTCTGGATCCAACGCCAACAGCCCTGCACATTCGCATTTCCCCGACTCGGGCGAGGAATCCAGGGGACTCAATCCGCACATCTCAAGTCTCCAGCGACAGGGCGTCAAGCGCCGGGCATCGGTTGCCGTGTGGTCCGACGAGCGGCTGATGCAGTTTGCTCAGAACGTCACTGCCGGTCGTGACAAGATGCAATCGGTGCTGGCCCAGAGCGCCGTGGCGGCGGGATCGAACATCTACGCCTCCAAGAGCACAATCGACAGCGACCACGAGGATTTTGGGAGATTTGAGCGGGCCACGATGGTCATCATCCTCAAGAACCTGGGCATCCATGATCTCTGTCGGTATCGCCGCGTGAGCAAGGGCATGATGCAGCTCATCATGGATCCTGACAACGGCCTCGGCGAGGCCGTCGATCTGAGTCACTGGCACAAGCGCATCAATGACGATGTCCTGACCCGGGTCGTGAGTCTCTTTGGGAGCCAAATCATAGACCTGAACCTCAAGAACTGCTGGACAGTGACCGACCGCGGCCTGCAAGTCGTTGCCCAGTCGCTTCCGTCCCTGAGAACCTTGAACCTCGCCAGCGTCTGGGAGCTTACGGATGCCGGCATTGTCCAGCTAGTATCCGCTTGCCCGCTTTTGGAGGCGCTCGACCTTTCCAACTGCCGAAAGCTGACCGATACTGCCGTCGTCGCTGTCATGGCAGCCTGTCCCAACATGTCAAGCCTCTGTCTCTCATACTGCAAGAACCTTGGCAACGCCATCCTGTCTGGCGAGCGCTGGCAAAACATCATCAAGTTGAACATTCAGCGCTGTACGGGAATCACCGATGCCGGTTTCAACCCATGGCCGCCCGGGCCCTTTGGGATGCGCGAACTCATCCTCAGCGACTGCAGCTTTCTGTCGGACGTCGCTGTGCAGAGTATCGCCAGAGCCTGTCCCGATCTCCGAACGCTTTCGCTATCATTTTGCTGCTCGATCACCGAAGCCTTTGCACCGGCGTTGAGCGAGGGTTGTCCCAACCTCGAGGTGCTGGATCTGTCCTTTTGCGGAGCAGCCGTCACAGACCAGAGCTTGTTCGTCCTGGCCAACGGACTCCGGTCGCTTTCCAAAATGAGTCTGCGCGGATGCATCCAAGTAAGCGAGTCTGGCATGGACCAGCTGCTTGACACTGCCGAGAGCCTCAAGGTCATCAACCTGTCGCAGTGCAAGAACATTTCCGAGGGCTGGAAGGCCACCAAGATGTTCCGGATCGTGTTTCTAACAACACAATCGCTTCTGGAGTCGACGGTAGAGCCCAGCGCGGTGCTGACACCAGCGACACTGGGCCTACCGGTTCCTCGGGACGGAGGGCATCGGTCGAGATCCTTCACGACATAGCCGGGACAAAAAGACAGAGGATATCCTGATGGAGGGGCAGTACCTCGCTGCCAGTGGGCGGTGAGTCTAGTGGTGCTTGGGTAGACGCTTAGGGCAAAGATGTATTTGGTCAACATACACTCGCAAAGTCGCAACCGAGGTCTCCATTCACGGAGCCCGTATCAAGTCAGCACAGGAGCGGGGAGTCTCGAGAGATCCAATCTACCACGGCTCGCACAATGTCTCCGTGATGCACACCCTGCACCGCCGGGGACAGTCACTTTGACAGGACAATGATGGTGCCGTTACCGATTCTGATTGTGGTTGTCTCTACTGTTGAAGGAGACGTGCAACAGCCGCTTCGGACCAGGCCCAGGTCCAGATCGCGCCCTCTTCGCTCTTTGCGAGGGGAGTGGGCTCTTCCTCGACGGCGATTGGGACAAAGTACTTTCCACGAATGTCGTTGTCGACAATCTCGGGCGAGGTTGCGAGATACAGGGGCGTGAGAGCGCCCCAGTCGCTGGAGGCGCCGTGGCTGTTGAGGTACTTTGCGATGGAATGGCCGACCGAGCCCGAAATGACCTTGTCTGGGCCAGCAATGTTGGTCCGGATGGATCCTGGATGGCAAGAGTTGATCCGGACGTTACTGGTCGACCCCAGCTGCTTGGTCAGGACGGTGGCTTGGTGGATCTGCCCGAGCTTGCTGAAGCCTGCAAAAGTAAGAACTGACGAGTGAGTGGACGAGCTGGCGACAGATGAATGAGTGAATGAATGGAGAGCATAGATCGAATGTTGCCGCTTCAATGCTGCATCTGCCCACAGCTCGATGCAGTGGCTTGCCAGTCGTCGAGAGTAGACGCACGGAGCTCGGTTGTCTGGAAAGCAGTCGCATACCATAGTTGACATTGGATTCGTAGGTGGCTTCATCATTGGCCTCCTCCCAACCCGGCACATTGGGGTTGAGACTGGATGGCTTTGCATAGCGGTGACCAACGCTCGAGACGTTGACGATGCGTGCGTCACCGTGAAGCTCGCCAGCCTTTCGAAGCTTGGGCAGGAGCAGGTTGGTGAGGTGGAAGTGCGAGAGGTAGTTGACCATGATCTGGGACTCAATGCCATTGATGGATCTCCACGGAGGCATGCCGATGCCGGCGTTGTTGACCAGGATGTCGAGTGTCTCATGAACTTCGCCGAACGATCTGTCGATATCGGGTCAATGATGATGATGCGCATTTCGAACCGCTGGCCGTGAGTCCATGCATCCACCCCATGCATCCACCCCATGCATCCAAGTGCTGATCGGCCACGGACCTGGCAAAGGACTCGACCGAGAACAGGTCTTCGTTGTTCATGATGCTGTAGGAGATCTTTGCAGCGGCTCCGAGCTCAGTCCTGCGGCCAACCAAGAGGGCATCATCGTTAGACATCTCCGCCAACCGGCGAATACATGGTCTGATCGGCAAATGCCAGCACTGTTCTCGCCAAACATACTTGATGTCGGCGACGGACTTTTGGCCCTTCTCGTCGTTTCTAGCGGTAATGATGACGTTGGCCCCGGCCTTGGCGAGCTGCAGTGCGATGGCATATCCGATGCCTGATAGACGGTCGGGGCCGGACGATGAGTTGCGGTGTGGTCCTATCCGCAGCGGATCGGCGGAAGCCAAGGCACGACGTGCTGACCTGAAGTACCGCCCGTAACGATGGCGATCTTGCTGGCCATGTCGGGGATGTCTTGCTCCGAGAACTGCTTGCTTGCGTCCGCGGTGGTCATGTCGGTGAGATTTGCGGTGCAGGAGACTGAACAGCGCCGCCGCCGGATGGCGTCAAATACCGCCCGATTTCAAATCGATCGAGGGGCACAGCGGGACCGGTTGGCCAACCGCCACGATTTGCCATGGGGCAAAGAGAGCTGGTAATGAGACGTTCGTCGATCCTGACCCGGCTGCCGAGATGGCTGCGTCTGCCCACGACAAACATGCTCCGGGGTATCAGCGACGATGGTGCATCGGCGTCCATCGATTGAGCTACCGACCGCATTGCCGACCGCATCGCCGACCGAGCGGGCTGCTCGTCCCGGGCAGCGGCACGGCGCTGGTCAATCACAGTGTCTCGCTTTGCTCCATAGAAACACCCGCATTCGACGGTGCCCGTCGCGGCTCCTCTCTCCCCTCATCGGCTGCATCTGCCTCCATCTGCCCTTCCTCCCACCTGGCCGTCGTCCACGGAGCACAGGCAGCCCTTCTGCATCTCTGCCCCACCTTCCTTCTGTGAATTCCAGCCATGGAGCGGGCCGTCAACAAATCCACCTCCAAGCATGTCAAGCCGCTCAAGGCCAAGCACATCCAAGGTGTCTGACCCTGCACCCCTTGTCGTTTGCGCTCTCGCCCGTTCTAACGACTGTATCTGCCGCCAGTGCTCACCACCGTCACATGGACTCGAGAAATCTCCATCGCAGACCTCTTCTATCTCATAGAAAAGCGCATGAAAGACAATAGCTGGGTGGTCTGTGTCGCCATTTGCCGTGGCTCGCCCTGGATTTGCTCGCAAGCCGCCTGTCTGTGGAGACATTCGCCCGTATGCACTCGGGTGCGGGCCGGCTTGCTCTGGCTCGGCGTCCCTGAGGGATATACTCACGGTTGCCGTTGGCATCCCACGCCTCGATGCCACATATGTGGACGGTCGCCCCGGTCCTCTTCTTGGCCCACCTTCCTCTGTGCAGGTCATGCTCAAGTGCCTCATCCTGATCCACATCTTGATGCGCGAAGGATACACCGAGAGAGTGACAGGCTTTATCGCTGGCAATCCTACGATCCTGGACGTTTCTTGGTTCAGAGACAAGACGATGAGCCCCACAGGTAGACGATGCAAGCCGACTCGGCCGCCATAGACTTGGCGCTCGACCGGCCCCGGTGCAGCAACCTCACCCGAGACCGGTCTAATGCAGGCCTTTCCCACCGGACCCTCGACAGCCATCCAGCAAACCGAAAACATTCGGAACTATGCAACCTATCTGCAAGACAAGGTCTTTGTCTTCCGAGAGATCAAGGATGACTTTGTAAAGTCCAAGAACGACATTGTCATCAAGCTGCGCTCGATGACAGCCGAGACCGGGCTTCTCGTCCAGGTCTCGCTCCTGCAGCGCCAGGTTTCAGCGCTGCTCGGATGCTCGGTGCGTCTCTGGTCGTCATCGCGCAGGGTGGATGGATGCTGAATTGAGTCGCTCGACTTCTGGAGTGGAGGGCAGCTGTTGACTGTTGGCTGTTGGCCGTTGACCATTTGCTGTCGCCACTATATCTACGCATGCGCCATTCGATTGACCAAGCTCTGGACTCGACGACGGCGTAACTGACTGCGTGCTTGTATGGCTTTCACTAGTTCTATGCCGAGGAGATCGACAACGTGGTCACTCTGCAAGCCTTCAGGATGCTCGTGGGCGACATGATGGCTCTCTTTCACTTGCTCAACGAAGGTGTCATCCGCATCCTAGGTGAGAGTCGATCGACAAGAGTCTCGTCCGATACGAAAGCGTCTGGCCATTCCATAAGCAAAGCATACCCACTGCCAAGTCATCGATACCAGCCCCCTCACAACAAAGCACCACGTCTCAATTGAGGAAGTAGCTGTATGCACGATGCTAAAGCGTTCTCCTTCGTTCATCCAGGCATTTTCTTTGAAATGGAAAGGGATGATGCGCAGAAGGCCATGGACATCTACAAGAAGTTTGCTGGCCAGGCCCAACGCATCATTGACTTTTTCGACATTGCTCGAAGGCTCCGCAGCGACCTCGGCATTGATATTCCACACTTCAAGCATGTATGCTTTCGTTCGACCAGAGCGTATGATCTCAGATACGCAATGCACTCACGCCGCATTTATTGAATCCCTAGGCCCCCGTGTCGCTGGTCAGCGCCCTGGAAACGTATCTTAGCGCTCCGGATTTTGAGGCACAACGAGCTGACTACAGAGAGCGAAAGGGCCCCAAAGGCAAGTAGATAGTCGGACGGCCGCGCTCTGGGGCATAATGTCTCTGACTCATCGCCACTCGCTCTTTGCTGACCTCCCACTACGTTTACTCGACGACGTATCCGGGTACCAGGAACGGAGCTCCAAGCCAAATCCAATACGGAAGTCCCCAAGACCACTGCTCCAGCTGCGACCACGGCGGGCACGGGCACAACCACAACCGCAAGCACCGCTGCCCCCCTCATCGACTTTTTCGACAGCATCGAACAGCATCCCGATACGTATTCGAATGCTGCACAGATGGCTGCTGTGCCAGACCCCTTCCAGGGCTTCTGGGGTGCAGACTCGGTTTCGGCTGTCAACCCGTTCAGCGCCCAGACTCTCGCCCAGGCCAGCCTCGGGTTTGCCCCGCAAGTCAGCTCTGCCGGTGCCCCTGGTGCCAATGCCTTGCTTTTCAATGCCGGCGGCATGCCCATGCCTGCTTCCTTGATCGGGCTTACCGGACCAGCTGCCGCAACGCTTCCCACCGGCAATCCGTTCGGGGCACTCAGTTCTCGCGAGCCCAGTGCCACTGGCTTGCAGACCGGCAACCCTTTCGCAGCCCAGATGGCCGGCCTTCAACTGGGCGGCAGCATCCCCCCTGTCCCACAGCCCTTCCAACCCAACTTTTCGGCATCTTTCCAAACTCCTGCCCAGAACCGGCCCAAGACGGCCGAGTTTACCGTTGAGAATGTCTTTGGGTCGCCCGACGCCTTTGCCTCGCTCAGCGGCAGCGGCATCCAGGGCAGTCAGCCTCAAGTCCCAATCGCTGCCGATCCGTTCGCGGGTCTGGCTTCGACAGCAACGGGATCGCCGTTTGGCGGTGTCCGCACGGCCGCCCCCTCTGGTTCGTTCCAGCCGACTCTGGGCTCTCCGTCGTTGGGATTCACGGCTTCGTCGGCTCCAGCAACGTTGGATCCGTTCAAGCAGCTTGGTGGCACCCAGTCTTTTGGTGCGCCGAGCGGCGTTGCCGGCACTCCATTCGATGTCGACAGCGTTTTCAGGACCGCAACCGCTTCCCAGGGCAGCACCACACCCATGTCCTCGTTCTCGAACTACACGGGCTCGAACGTGGGTGCGATGGGCATCTCGCATACCGGCAGCTCAGCCGGAATCATGGGTCCAGTCCGAACGGGCTCGCCCATGTCGATGGCAGGCGGCGCCAGCCCGTCGCGACCGCCGGTGGCGACATCTGCGGGACCGGCAAACGCATTTAGCGGACTGGACCAACAGTTCCTCCAGCGGTTCTCGACGTTGCCATCGGAGCGAGCGACCAACTTTGGCACCGACCAGCGCAGCAATTCGGTGCCGCTGAGTGCGTTGGCAACTGCAGCCAACCCGGGCGCCTCAGCCTCTGGAGCCGCAGGACCCTTCAATCCGTTTATGGCCGCAGGTGGAGCGGCGGCCCCTGCTGGTGCTGCATTTTCGAGCCACCCGCCGGCACCATCGCAAGGCGGATCTGCAGCCGTGTTCAACCCTTTCCTCCAAGGCGGCCAGCAGCCCAGCGGATCGTTTGGTGCTGCGAGCAATGTCTTTGGCGGCGCCACAGGCTCGCTGATCTGATCTATCTACCGACCCGGATCGTTGCGAAGCACACGAGACGCTCGACCAGCTCCGGCTCGCCAAATAAACAAGCACTGCATTCGTTGTGTCGTTGCTCTGCATCTTGGGTGAGAATCGGAGCGACGGTGGCGGTGCGGTGGCGGCGCCCTGTGTCACTCGCCGAATCCATCCGCCTGTGGATCGAGCCAGCCAAGGGCGGTGCTGATTGATCGGGCCAGGCAACCCCTTCGTCCCTCTGCCCTCGACATATCACAATCTGCAGCCGCCAGCCGAATAGACATCCACAGCGAACCTCGCCCACCAGCAGCCGCAGCACAACCGACAGCAATGGACGACCATTTGGCAATCGTGTATATGACCCCGGAGGTCCAGACGACCTGCCTGACATACGGACTCTGCACAGGTTCGTTCCAAGGATTTAGGCAGCAGCAATCTTGGGATATGCAGCTGCACGGCTGCCAGGGTCCCCTATGTCCTGGAACCCGGCGCCACCTGGAGTGCTGGGGTGCTGCTGCTGGGGTGCTGCTGATGGGGTGCTGTTGCTGGGGTGCTGGACCATGCCCCCCTTCGTCAACCGACCAATGCAGAGCCCTTGTTCCAGTGCGGCCCTGACATTTCTGTCTGCAAATCTGCCAACGACTTGCCTCTGGATGAGAAGAGAAGGAAGAGACCCTCGTGCTTCTGGCGGGCTATTTTGGATACGAAAACTTCCAAACTATCGCCCATGTCACCCGCAGCATCGTCACTACCCGGAAAGACAAGTCCAAGGATCGAGTGGAGGTACGACTGGCGCCATCGGCTGTGCTGGCGGCTGCTGGCCGGCGAGGCTCGCTGTGGTCGGCGATTGCTGTGGTCGAATGAAAGAGCATACCGGGTCAAAGCCATCCACGGACTGTGCTAGGCTAACTGGTGTCTGGGCTGGTGCCGATGGCGTGGGGCTGCAGGTGGATCCCGAGCAGATGAGTCTTGCGATGACCGAGGCCGACTCTGCTGGACTGAATCTCGTTGGATGGGGTAAGCAACAGACAGTTTCCTCCTGCGTCTGCTGGCAAAAGTCGCGGATACGCTGCCGATGCATGACTCTGTCTCGCAGGCTCTCTCGACTTGGTCCCATCAACTCCCTCTGCCTCGTCTCATTGACTCTTGCTTCCACAGCTCACTCACACCCACATATCACGGTCAACCCAAGCCATGTTGATCTAAGGACCCAGTTCAACATGCAGACGCTGGACCCACGGTTCTTTGGCATCATTGTCTCATGCTTCAACAACGACGCCGGCGTAAGTCTCTGGCGGCTCATCGAGGCAGTCCACGTTCCCAAGCCACCCTGCCTAACTGCTGGGCTCCTTTGCCCACAGACTACTGATACCCCTTCTTTCGTCGGTTCGTGCCAACGCATCGGCGCATGTCCAGACCCAGCGATTCCAAGTAACATGCTTCCAGACCATCGAGACTGAACACGGACAAATGTACGTGGACCAACGTCGTCGCTGTCCAGCGGCCGTTGACTGTTCAATCGTTTGTCCCGCATCGACGGCGGAGTGAACGAAGGCCCCGCCAGCTTTCCCCTGACACGATCGATTGTACTTTGGAGCTGACAACTGCCCTGGCTCCGGTTGCGCAACAATAGCGAACGGGTCGTCCCTCTCCTGATCCGGCCTGCAAACCCTGGACTCCTGGTGACAGACGGCTTGACGCAGGTCCAGGCGATTCCCCGACAGCTTTTCAAAGAGGAGGCCGAGGGCTTTGACAACCGCCAATGCGGCCCAACCACCGGGCTGGCCGCACACCTATGTGCAGGCATCCACACCCACACGCTCTCGAATCTGGTCGACAAGATGACGGGCCCGATGCTGACGCATCTCAAGATTCGATACGATACCAATATGAAGCAGGTGAGAGCCTGCTCCCTTCTCGTGACGAACGGAGGCGAAATGTAAAGAGGTACTTTTGCTGAGAGCAACTCACAATGGGTTCTTGTTGGGCACACGTATTTTACTTCCAGATCGAGATGCTGGACAAGCGGCGTGGAACCAGATCCAGCATCTAGTCCTCGATCCGCCACGGCCCACATGATGCGCATATTGTGCCCCGCTACCTTACAGTCAATCCATTCACCGCTGGCACTCCGAGACCCGTGTCCGTGTCGATTATGGATACCGGAGAGCGACCCAATGTCTTCACTCGGAGGTGATTTGTTGAATTGCATGTGGCTCTGCTTGACGCAAGTTCATCACATACTACATGTTCATGGGATGGGCTGTGGTGTCTCGTTTGCTCGTGTGTAAGATATATTGCTGGGTCTGACGATCTGGACAAAGACGCTGCAAATACAACTTCAATCGAACTGTTTGCCACGACGACATGCTTATCGCCAAACATGTATTGGTAGCGATCGCCACGTCGGTATATTGGCCGGGATGTGTTTAGTTTCGACATGCCCACGCACACATGTACTGCTCCGTCCGAGGGATTGGGACAGGAGCAGTCGGACAAGACGGTTCATCCAAAGGGATCAAAGTCGTTGAGCTTTGGGTTGCGCTTAGTGGTGCTGCTGCCTGAACCCGACAGTCCCCCTGCGCCGCTGTGCAGGATAGTCGGAGCCATAGGCGTCGTCTTGCCGCCAAAGAACAGCGATACATTGGCATTGGGTCCGGTCGGGGCAGCAGGCCTGGACGCACCGACAGGCTCGAAGCCTTGGGAAGCCGGGGGCGGTGGGAAGGTGGCAAAGTTGGCTTGTGATGCTGGCTGGATGGGGTGGGAGCCAAACCCGACACTGGCGGAGGCATTGCTGCCAAGTGCCGGCCCCGACGCCGTGGTATTCGGAAACGAGGCAAATCCGTTGGTGGTTGCTGCCCGCATCGGCGTGTGCGAAAAAGCACCGTTTGAAGGTCCGTTCGAGGTGCCGAAAGTCGAGAATCCCGCGCCAGTGGAGGCCATCGACGACATGGGCCGCTGCGTCGAGTTGCTGAGGCCGCCGAACGTTCCTTGAGACGGAACTGCATGCGAAGCGATCTGGAAACCGGCAAAGTCGCTATCGGCCGAGCTGCTGGACGAAGATGCTGCCAGAGTCGAAGCTGCAACCAGCGGGGGACCGCCGAGTGACTTGAAGGGACTCGCTGTCTGGGCTCGGTTGGTGGCCGAGGATAGGGACTGGAAATCGAACGACGAGGGTCGAGAGGGGCTGCTGGTGGCAGGCTTGGAAGCGTTGGATGACACGGACGTGCGTACGGTGCCTTTGGGCTCCTGGCCGACGAGCTTCTGGAAGTCGGTGATCGAGTCCGATGAGGCATTCTTGCCCTGACCAAGCGGTGCTGCGAGGGTTCAGGGCGAATAGATACACGGGCGGATTAGCATCCACAACTAGAGATATGGTCGAAGAGAAGCGACCGAGCACACTGAAGCGAATGATTGAACTCCAGCAACCGGCGCTATCAGGGGGCGACAGAGTCAATTGGCTTGGGACCAAAATGCGTCGATATGAACAGACGCCTACCCTCCATCATTTCTTCGAGCTGCTTGACATGTTGCTCCTCGATCTGTTTCGTGAGCTCGCTGATGATCTTCATGAACTTGCGGAACTGAGACAAGCAATGTCTGCCATGTTATTGATCCATCGACAGCCGCCAAGTGCAGAGCATCAACCCAAAGGAATGGGCAGAGTTGACATTGCACAGCTACGTCGCATCGTGGCAATGAAAGTGTCGCAGGATGCAATCCGGGCGCAAACCCACCTGAGCGGCATTCAGTAAGGTATCCATCGACAGCTTCCACAGCTCGGGCATGATCTCGGTCGCAATCGCTTCCTTGTCCAGATACTTGGATACCTCGCTATAGACCGCCAAAATGGCCATCTGTGTGGACGGAACAGGGGTCATTAGTCGTAACTGGTCGATCGGGGCTGGACTTTAACAGAGTGTCAGCAAGACGAGAGAAAGCACCCACCAGCACACCCGGTTCGCGTGTAATGTTCTGCTTCAGCATCGGCAGAACCTTGTCGGTGAGCGTGAACTGCGTACAAATACGACCGAGTCTGTGTTAGCGTCTCAGTACCGATGGTGGCTCCAGCATGGGAGGTTGGCTCCAGCATCGATGTTCTAATATTGAGCAAGATGGCCTTATGATGACGCTCTACCTTGTCCAACACCTTTGCCATGGCATGGATTGCAATCAATGTCGTAATCTTGAGACTAATTAGTGAAGACGAAATGTAGAGCGCATGTAGCTTGGGAAACAAGGACTGAGTCCGTAGATTGTCGGTGTGCGCGATTAGCTGACAATTCATGCTACCAGACAACTCGTGCCGCAAGGTAAACTTGTGCTGTAGGACAGGCGGCCGTCGCAGCAGCGGAACTTACCGACTTGATCGAGGTAAAGTCAAGCTTGTCCAAGAGACTCGGGACGACCTTTAGAGCTTGTTCCTGGACCTGCGGGATCTGCACTTCCAAGGAGCTGTAAACGAGAGGCATGACATCTACGAAGAAAGGACCAAATGTTACTCGAGCTTGAAAGGAACAGCCGAGCCAGAGTGAAGAGTATCCAGTGAAGGAGGGGGACACATTGCTGGCGATGCCACGAGGCAAGGGTGCATACAGATCAAAAATCTGCGCTGGTGAATCCCAGCCGAAAGATATTAGACCATACCGTACCGTTTTTGAACACTGGCGAATTCCCACAGTGCTTCATAAACAAATCCAGCCGCGAAAGCAAGAGCATGGTTGCCTGAGGAGGGTCTAAATGACGTTGAGATGCTACGGTCAGTCGGTCGGATGCGGACTTCGACATGAACGGTGTCGATGCTGAGCTACAGCCGTGCTGGTTGCGAGTCCTGCTTGGCCCGCGTACCTCGAGCTTTGAGTATAGACTTGAGGTCAGGCAAGAGCTTTTCGTTGAACAGGTCCGAAGGCATACGATCACCGATCCTGAAAGAACCACGCAAGACTATCAGAGCCCTGCACAAGCCAAGTCCTTGAGTATCAGTCCTAGCAACTTACCAAAATATGTTTGGCAACAGGAATGGGACCTGATGGAAAATACTGGCTTGGTTAGATCACGATTACATAGATCTGAGGACAGACTAAGAGGCTGGGTGGCTGAGTGACCGAACAGCTGAGTGGCTTGATTGCAAGACCTACCATCTGTGTGTCCTTGAGTTCTTGGAGGAGGAGGGGCAAGATCTACGAGCATGGACAGCGACCGACATATATTGCGAGTTAGCAAACAAGATGACCCAAACGACGCACGCATGGGTTCTTGGATGCGGTGGGGGTACCGCCGACGTACCTTTCGATAGAGGAGTTTCTCTGAGAACTGGGGCAGGATTCGGACGAGTCCTTTCAGAAACTGCGCTTTGTGTTGCTGGGGTGTCGGTGAAAATACGAGTCATCCGTTAGCTGAGTGTCAGGGAAGCTTTCGTGGCTGACAGGCAGTTGACAGAGGTGCTAGATGGAGTAGTTTCAGCCGTGCCACTCACAGCGGTTTTTTCGACAAAGGTTTCGAGATACTGTGGCCATCAAGACATTCATAGTAAGTGCGTTGTTGCAAGCCGCTCGCGTGGCTTTGTTCAGTAGAACTTCACCGGGCAGGTGATGCTCAACGCAGAACATACCTTGATGGTGCTCACGAGAATGTTGTCAAAATACTCGCTGGTCTGGATGGCTTCAACAGAGATACGCTGCGATGGATATTTTACCAGCATGCGCTGGAGGATCCCTGGAATGCGGTCGTGCACGAGCGTTGGTGTCGGGTACCATGCTAAGTCTGACCGAGGCACTGGAACAGTTGAAAATATCGGGACGGCTACTGTGGCCAAGACCTACCAGAGAGCGCCGCGGGAATCTGCTGATACGAGACACTCGAGATACGATTCACAGTTTCTTGATATCGATGGGTATTGTTGTTGCAAGTGACGGGACTCTTGCCGTGGTTGAACATGGCGTAGATGACGCAGCCCAAGGACCAGACTTGACAGAGATCGAGTGTGCGGTGTCAGTACGTTACAGGCGGTGCTGAGAAAGCGCTGCCCCGTTTCTGCGAATGGGGTCTTGCGGGTGCGGCGGCCATTGAGATGACATACTGTCGCTGGTAAACTCGAACGAGGAACCTTCGACAACTTCGGGTGCTGCAAAAGGAGATGAGTCGGTCAGGCCCGGATAGAGCAGTGGGTATATCCCGAGTCTGCAAAGGCAAAATGCGGAGCAAGCGCCACCCTTACCAAGGTAGTCCAGCGACGGCGAGCAGAACGGTGGGTAGTTGGTGACAAAGTCCGTGATTTGCGGATCGTCCTTGGGCACCGTTGCGGATATAGCAAAGTTGAGTCCACCAATCTTCCAGTCTCCTTTGGCATTGATGTAGATTGCCTCTGGGCACAGATAGCCATGGATCATATTGTTGGAGTGGAGGAACTGGAGGCCTGGTAAGCGAGCAACGTGAGTGGCCATAGTTGGTGCTGGGCGCCAGTGGATGCCGATGAATGCTGGGACGTACCTTTGACGATCTGGAGGATGCCTTTCTGAATCTGGGGCGAGGAACCAAAGTCAGCATACATCCACGCTTATCAGAGTTCATCGGATACATCCGATTGTGGCGGCCATCGTCTCTAAACCGATTATCCGGTCCGACAGCCAGGTTTTGACGGGACGGTCGAAGAGACAAGACCCAATGGCACAATAGCCGTGTTGACAACGCCGCAAGGGACCATCGAGATCGATGGTCAGCAGCGATGAGCGCCCTTACTTCCAAATCATCGAGCTCATAGCGGCTCGTAACTTGATACTTTTGGGACGAAGTGAAGTTGGATAGATCCCCGAGCAGATTCGAGAGCCCGCAGATGATGGGCTCCGTGGCAAATGCCAGAGCTGTCCGCGAATCGTCACTGGCCAAAGACCGGGGGAATCGCCGTGAGTCTAGTGGTTCGTTAACATGGACTGAATCGCAATGCCATTGTCAGCGATATCACTCACAGCGCTTCTGTGACTTGCAGGAGGGCAGGATGGCGAAGCCGAGACAGTGCCTGAGCCTGCAGATCGATCGGACCGCAGGATAGAACGAATTCCCAGAGTCTTAGCATTCGTGAACCCCGGAAGACGAGTCCGTGCCGCAAGGCCGTAGACCAAAGCGACGGTGGCGGCACCGACAGCCAAGCTGTTTCTTCACCTCTTTTTTGAGAATCTCGATGACTCGGTCCTGCTCTTTCCGGAGCTGGGTCGGCTTTGCCAGGGGGTTCATGGCTTCGAGGACATTCTTCTCGAAGATCTACGGACACAAGGGGGAGGGCCATTCGGCTGATCAGCCGCCGAGCAGGCAGCGAATCGATGCTGCGGCAGAGCTGGGATGCAGTTGATATGCCGCTGCCTTACAAAGATAGCGCATTCCTGGTGGGGAGGCGACTTTTTGGTGCCGCCGTGGATGTGCCAAAGATGGCCCTGCATCGGGATTGGAATTGGGGTTGGTGAGCTCCTGGCTGTTCGCTCGAACAGGGGTTCTGGAGACGAGTAAGCAGCGCAGATACAGCCGATAATGCATGCCGATGGGCCAGCCACTGATCCTGCCACAAGCACAACAACTGGGCTGATGTGTCAGTCGAGGGAAGCTGCTTACAGGTCCGCCACTGGCGATCTGTGGGTAAGGAAGGTGTATTGCCGCAATCGGTGAGAGAGTTACAATCAGCTGGGATTCAAAGAACCAGGGTATCTCAAGTGGCGCGACCACGAGAGATGGCTTGGGCGGCAGGATAGAATGCGGGCGGGGCAGAAATGCATCTCGCAGCCCTCCCGGGGGCATCTGGACGAGGACGAGCCAGCGACGCTCGACGCACCTGCTCCTTGACGTCGAACTGCGACGTCACGGCGTTGCCGATGGTCGCCCGAATGACAAAGTCGAGGATGTTGGACATGGCGGTGTGGGCTCGGAGGTGGGCTGCGACGGCCGCCTGGTGCTGGAGCAGCGATGGGCAAGCAAGTCGGCAAGCAAGTCGGCAAGCGGTTGGCAAGCAAGTCGAGCGAGCGAACGCACATCGCCAAGGGTGACGCCAGCATGTCCAAATATGGCAGGCGCGCGTGGCGGTGCCGGATCGAGTCGGCGCCGCACCCGGATCGAATCTTGGGGGGGCGCGGAAACCCAGCAAGCACCCGCTGCTGTCGGCCAGCTCCCTCTCTGCATCCATCTCGACCACCCCCGCTGAGCCCGGATCGCCATTCGAACGATGGGCAAGCAGATCATCGTCCAGCTCTTCTCCGGCCTCGGCCCGCTGTGCATTCCGTTTGAGGCGGATGCCACAGTGGCCTCGCTCAAAGACGTTCTCGAGGAAAGGCACCACATCCCGCGAGACCTGCAGCGCATCACCTGCGGCGCTCGCAACAGCATCTCGCTCCTGGACGACGAATCCATCTTTACCGACAGCGACGAGGAGTGCGATGACGGCCAGACCCATCCACCGGTCTTCAGCGTGCTCGTGCGCCTGCCGGGAGGAAAAGGCGGATTCGGCAGTATGCTGAGAGCACAGGGCGGCAAGATGGCCTCGCAGAAAACGACCAACTTTGAAGCCTGCCGAGATCTGTCGGGACGGCGCCTGCGGGTCGTCAACGACGCCAAAAAGTGAGTCGAGTGCGGAGGAGAAGCACGAGGTCTGCGATCCAGCACAGCTGGGTAGCGAAAATAAACGGCTCGGTTGCTGTGACGGATCTCGTTGCAGAGGACAATGTTCTGGACAGCAATCGCCCTTGCAACCGCCCCTGCAATCGCCCCTGCATCGCTGACATTGATACGCCCGCTGACAACGCTGACCCTCATTATCATTATCTTTGGATGTCTCAGACTGGCCGACTACGCTGAGAAGGAGCCCGAACGAGAGAAACAAAAGCAAGAAAAAATGCTCGAGAAGATCGAAAAGGGTCTCGCCGAGCCTGCTCGAAAGAAGCACCGCTTCGACGACCTCGAGTTCAGCAAGAACCACGAGCGGATTCTGGAGGATGCCCTCGATGTTGTTGAGCGAGGTGAGAGCCGATTGACTCGATTGGTGTGCCACTGCCCGGAGCTTTTCTGCTGACGCTTGCCTTTCTCCAGGTCTGGTGCAATCGGACAAGGGCAAGGGCAAGGCACGAGCTGTCGAGCCTGCCGAGAAGCCTGGAAAGAATCTCTCGTTTTGGTGAGTGTCGAGACCGGCAGGAAATGCAAGCCGATGATTGCAGTGGCACTGGGCCTTTGGTGGGGGGGGGTGAGCGACGAAGCAGTGTGATCGTCCAGTTGCTCACCAACTTGCTGCCGACAGGGATGAGGAGGGCGAAGATGAAGATGAAGATGAAGATGAAGATGAAGATGAAGATGAAGATGAAGATGAAGATGAAGATGAAAGCGAAGAGGATGGCGATGATGAGAATTCCGATGGCGCCAACCTGGAAGCGGACAGCACCGAGGAAGAGCACAGCGAGCCGTCGTCGTCGTCGTCGTCGTCCCGGCGCCCGTAGGGAGATGACAAGGGGCCCAGGCGCAAATCATGCAAGAGCTGAGTCCGCAGCATACTCTTTTTTGGCTCTCCAATATAGCAAACTCATGACAATCCATTGGGCAGATTCGGCATCATCCGTATGCATCGCGAGCCGAGAGCAGGCCATTGCTCAGGGGCGGCTGTTTCAAACTCCACCGAGACCTTCGCTGACAGACAGGCATGATCCATCGGGGCGGAGAGCGGCAGGGAATGGCTCATGTCGCCAATCGATCGTTCGGTCGATTGAATGCCAGCCGCAGTGCGCATTTGTCGGAAGCATGACCACCCAGCCTGCTTGTCGGACCTCTCTTCTGACCGGATTGGCTTTGATCTCGCACCGTGCGCACACAACCCCAGTCCAGCTCTGCGGCAATCGCTGGCCACCAGAATCCCTGAGCGCTGCATCTCTCTACCCTTGGTGCTGCCCTGAGACTGATCGCTCAACAATGACTTTTGGTGCTTCCGATGCCAGGGAGGTCGTGCGATCCGTCGTCGCCAACCTGCCGACACTCACAACGGTAACGAGTCAACCTGACCCTCCTGCTCTGCACCTGCTCCCCTGTGGCCTCGGCAAAGCTGCAACCCTGCTTCATTGCGATATCGCTCGACAGGCACTCGGTACAGTGCCAGATATGAGCAGCGACGCTCATCGTACGCCCCTCGTTCTTTGTGCTGTTACTGCAGGACTTGGCCGATCCAACCCGCTACGAGAAGCTTCTGTCCTTCCTGGAGGGTTTTCTTCGCGGCGATCCGGACTCGCTCCAGTTTATGATCGATATCGGTGTGCTTCCGGCCCTTACGGTAAACCGCGGAGGATCCGTTGCCTGTCGTCTGTGAGGCTCTGTCGGATCCTGACCTCAGCGACCCTCTCCCCAGACATGCATCGACAGCGACAATCCTAGGATCGTATCACTGGCGCTTCGGCTCTTTGGTGAGAGCATGTCTCAGCCGCACGAGCGTTGGCGATGACACAGCCGGACAAAAGCGATGCGGCCCCTCGGCATCGAGTTGATGGCATGAATCGACTGACTCATGCATCCTCCAGGGCATCTGATCGCCAGCGACAAGGACAGCGGAGCTGGAGTCTTCAAAACTACTCAAAACAGGTTTTCTGGCATCCTTGAGGCATATATAACGATCGGAACAGATGAAGCAGCTTCGCTCTCTGCAAAATACGGCTGCCTGGTTGGCCTGGGACTCTGCTTGAAGTCAGAACCAGGCGCCCAGTGGATACATGAGACCGGCAGATTGCTCGACATTGTGCTTCCTGCATTTGGGAGCCCAAGCACATTTGTAAGTTTCAGTCGCCCGGCATGGAGTCTCGGGAGCGGCAGCTGGCAGATGCAACTGACGGAGACACTTGCTATGGACGTCGGGATTTATACAAGCATTTGCATTTCGCTGTGGGCAGGTTGCCGAGGCGAGCTGCGAGTGTATCGCAGTGATCCTCGGCTCGCCGCAGATCCGCCCAGGCCGCAATGATCCCGGCGTCTACCAGCTGTTGACGACGACGCTGCTCGTATCGGGGCGGCTCGGGATGGTGCTGAAGGAGCTACTATCGAGCAGGAGCTCGATCGACGCAAAACTCGCCGGCACAGAGCTGCTATGGCGCCTGTCTCGAGTCGAAACGCAGAGCTCGCTCGGTTTTTTCATCGACGAAGAGCTGGTGGGTGCAGCGCGAAATCGACGATCGGCGAGCATTGTCGTGAAGTCCAGCCAACAGACACAACTCCCATGAGAAGAGGATCGGCATGTCGACGCGAGGGGCTTGCAGATTGACGATACGGACCAACGCCTATACCCTACATATGCATGATTACGATCCAGGTGCCGGCTCTTCTGGCGATGTTGCCAGACTCGGACCGAATCATCCGTCAGCGCGTGCTGGACATCTTGGGCAGTCTGTTTGCATGGACAAGCGATCCTGCGGCTCTATTGTTCGGCTTCAACAGCACCAACTACTCCCAGGGTGAGCATTAACAGTCGCCTTCTTGTGCGTTTTGGCTGGCAGGTTCCAGCACTTCCAATTGACCCCATCTACATACTGTTGACAGACGATGATGGCCTTGGCGAAGCGCTGTTGCGTGAACATATCGTGCCCATGATGAAGCAGGTCACCAAGCCCACACATGCAGATGTGTCGTTCATACTGGGGTTTCTGGAGGTCCTCTCATTACTCGACTCATCAAGAACGGACGACGCTATCCATACCACTCGCAAATGGCGCTCAAGCACGGATTTACGCATATCAGCGCTACTGGCCACGCTCTGTTTTGAAGCGCTGAGTGAGCCGGCACGGCGACACCAAGAATGTGCGAACTGGTGCGCAGAGCACCTCAAGACGCCTCAGTCGAAGTGGACAGCTGCTACGGAGCTGCTCAGGACATGGGTGAGTACCAAGGCTATCGCTGAGAGGCTAGGAGGTGCTCCTCTCCAAGAAATCCGTTGCACGGTGTATCGAGACCATCGACCGCACCCCGCAAGGAGGCAAGATGTATCGGCATATCTCGACAGGCTCCTGACTCTCTCGGTCGCCACGGCGTATCCAACACTGAAGATTAAGGCACTCTCAGGCACTCTCCAGCATCGGCGGCGCATGCTGTCTCTTGTGATCGATGCTATGGTCAGGATCGTAAATGTGCGTCCTGAGAGCCAGGTACGATTCCCATCATACTGTCTGCTGTGCCGGTTGTTTGAATTGCGAGATGGAGTCATGGCCACGCACTCACCGTTCATTTGTCGGCCAGTCTATTCTCTGCCACCTGTTTTGTGCGCTGTTGGCCGAGACTGACTACCGGGACCACAAGAAGATCGTGGATGGAGCCTTGGCGTTGTTACTTCGCTGCTTGTCCCTGTCTCCGAGCCGTGCTGAGGTAATATGGAACTAGATGCTACAATATGTGGTCGCCCGAGCCTCAGCGAATACTTGAATTGCGGATGACGATACTCAAACTACGATGCCCGGCCTTCTTGAACCGCAGGCAAGCGAGATAAGTCCCATCATCGACGTGATGTTGGATGATGCACCGCTGGATTCCAAGACTCTCCAGAAGCTCCTGGTGATTGTTTCGCTCCTTGCCGAGTCTGAACAAATCGATCAGGTCAGCCCCGCAGGCCACTCGAGAAGCACACTGGGCTGTGCTAGACATGGAATCACATACATGCTTCTCGCCGCCAGAGCTAATGCGACAACCTTTGCCCGGATACACAGAAGGCAACGCATATGATTGTAGGCAAAGTCGTTGCGAAGCGGTACAGCGCATCGTGGGATATCCGCGACACGTTTGTCGAGTTTGTGGGCCTGATGTTCAGCCAAGTAAGCAGCCACTGACAGCGAGAGCGATATTCAGAAAGCAACTGGCCAGGAGCGTGTTGCATCGCCATTGCTTTCTGCTCAGCACCACCGACAGCTGCTGATCCGATGCGCCCTCTCCAGGACGACCAAGTGAAAAGCAATGCCGCAGTGACCTTGGCTATCCGGCACGAGTTTCCGCGGATCGCTTTGTCGATGGTTCGGGACCAAGAGCCCTTCGTTCGAAGCACAGCCATGCTTTCGCTGCAGGTACGAGTCATCAGCTTGGCCGTCCAGGGAGATTGCAAGCCATGGTGGCTCTGCCCGATATTGGACGGGATCATTACTTTGTCATGCCATAACAACTCCAAATGGCTCACGGTCCGTTGCGCAGAGAATCATCCAGCATCCTCGCGGATGCCTGTTCCTCCAGACACACGACCTGGGAACCACGTTGTCTGATGGCCTTGCCGAGATCCTCCTGGGAGAAAGCGAGGCCTTTGTCCGCCGCTCCGCGCTCGAGCTCCTCGGGATCATGATCACAGTCGGCCCATGTCGGCAGTGGGTGCAGCGCTCGGATAGATGGTGAGTGCCGCTCAGCGAGAGGAACATCTGTCTGCAGCATGCCCGAATTGACAAGGCTGGTGCTATGTGTGCATGTAGGCGAGTGTTTCTGATTGCTAGGGCCGTGTGTCTCGGACGGGCGAACAACTGGGCAAGCTGGAGATCAGTGTCTGATGATGTAAGACGCCTTGAGCGTCCAACACTGACAACTCTTCCGCACTGTTTTCTTTCCCTGTTGGCTCATCGCCGTTCCAGTGCGTCTGGGGTCGTGCGATCCTCTCAGGACCTTGACTCGGAGATTCGGCGCCGGGTCATCCAGCTTCACTCGCTCTGCGTGCAAGCGCTTCTGAGTGCCCCTGACGACGAGAACGGTCTCGCAGCCTTGTTTCAGGCCAGTCAAGGACCAACGACGATACTAGCAGCGGTATGGTCGAGCAAGCACAACGACCGAAAGTCGGGCTCACTGACCAGCGATCATCCGGGGACGCCGCTGAAAGGATGGACATGCACTTGGCCGGCTGACACCCACCGATTTCTCGATTGCTCCGACTGACAGGTCAGGGACTCATCCCGAGTGGTGCGCCAGGAAGTCTCGGTGCTCGTTGCCAAGCTGCAGGCCCTCAAACACGAAGCCAGCCTCCTAGCCGGCACCAAACGGAAATTCAAGAGCAAGGTCTTGGAAGAGCTGGACGACTTTCTGGGCCAAATCGATCGTCTGGATTATGCCCGGCTGCACGAGTCGTCAGTCCCGGAGCATCTTTACGCCGAGGCCCTTGAGATTGTTTCCATCACCCTCGAGCAGGATCGCATCAACGAGGGAAACAATGTCGTGACGTGCTACGACTGCTGAGGACGACACATGCCATGTAGCGCGCGGTGCGACACTTAAACATGATGATGATGATGGTGGTGGTGTGCTTGAATGTGCAGATGGGGTCGATCCGCCTTGTACACGATAGAGAGAAGGAAGCGGGGCGGTCCCATTCCAATCGGACATGTAGATTTGAAAGCCAGAGTCCAACATCTGACCAAAGGCCGCGATCGCTCGCTGGTCTCCACAAATGAGCAGCGATGTGGGACTGTTATCCTGGTGAGAGGGAGCTCTGGAATATTGCTGCGATCCAGGCGAGGGAGCAACCCAAACCTTGGTGGGAACGAGATGCCGCTGGGAAAAAAACTGCCCCAATCCGGGGCAGCAACCAACACTGCATTCCCACGCGCGCTGCTTCAGGGATGAGTCTGGCGCAAGGACAAGGAGGCGATAGAGAGTTGGGCAGACGCAGATGGCTCTGTTTATGTGTTCCTGCTTCTGAATCGAAGCTGGCGGGGGGGGGATGGTGCCCATCGCTCTTGCCATCAATCGTCGCTCGCTCCCATTGCATGTGAATGCCTCGCGGCATCAATGTTTGCGTGAAGACGTGGGTGTGAGTCTTCGGTCGCTTCGCTTCGTTCCGGCGAAAGACGTTCCTGGCCAACTCTCGTCCAATGTCCACAACGGCCGGAACAAAAAGCCAGCCCAGCGTCTGCTCGCCCCGCCCGAGCTCCACAACCCGAGGAATCGCACTTCAGCACGAATGACCAAATCAGCAAAGCACACCCGTCGCTATTCCATGCGGACGATGGCCTGGATGGCCGCTCTGTCCGTGCTGGTTCCCGCCATCTTCGTCGTGGCCGCGCTGCACAGAGACCCGGCCGCGCTGCTTGAGCGGCATCCTCGATCCGTCGGCACCGAGAACGGGCCAGAATCGCACCTTACCCAGCAACAGCAACAGCAACCGCAACAGCCGCAGTTCGCGCGGCCTCCGGTGCCGTTCTCGTCGCGGCCTTCAGCGTCGTCAGCCCTGCTGCCGGTGCGCCCGGCGAGGGGCCTTGATCTGCGGTTCATGACGCTGTCATACTGGACGGACGCCTTTGGAAGCTCTGCCAGAGCATACGATGATGTGTCCGTGCCAAGCAGCAAGCCCGGCGAGCCGAGTCCGCAGACCAGCAGCCAGCCGGCGCCTTCCTGGGGCCCTGTCTCGGATTATCTCCAAGTCGAGGGATGGAGCATCCTGGTGCACTTTGTCGGCTCGACGGCGGCAACGTTTGCGACGCTATACTGGATGCTTCCGTTCTTTGTGCCCAGGCGGATCTCAAGCCGCAAGGACGACATTGCGTTTCTGAGCTCAGTGTGAACTGATGGAATAAATAATCCTCTGTATTGGAAGGCATCCAGGCAGCATACAAGCCTGTCCGCAGCGACAGGTCCAAAGATTTGTCGGGAATAGCACGACAGCAGTCGTCAGAGAAAGAAGACAAAACCAAAAGACAGAGGGGGGGGGAGGGGAAGGGATGAAAAACTGGCGTGGTTGAAAACAGATTTACTACTACTTTGGAGGCGAGAGGAATGTGCACGCTTCTGTATTATGTATAGGACAACGGGTGGCCATGGTCGGCGGCCGCAAGCAGAGAGGCACGGCCGTCTCGCTTACAGCTCATCGTGGTCATGGGGCTCGGAGCTGTCGGAGGAGCCGTACAGCTTGGCGGTGATGGGGTTGACGACGGCCTCGAGTTCGGCCTTGTGCTCGTCAATCTCGTCCTTGGTGGCAGTCTGGGCGTTGGCATCGAGCCACTCGGTCTGCTCCTTGAGGGCGTCGAGGATGGCCTGCTTGTCGTCGGCATCGAGCTTGCCGCCGAGCTGCTCCTCGTCGTTGACCTGGGTCTTGAGACTGTACATGTAGTTCTCAAAGAGGTTCTTGGACTCGATGCGCTCCTTGACGATGCGGTCCTCCTCGGCGTAGAGCTCGGCCTCCTGGACCATGCGCTCAATGTCCTCGGGAGAGAGACGGCCCTTGTCGTTGGTGATGGTGATGGACTCGGACTTGCCGGTGCCCTTGTCCTGGGCAGAGACACGGAGGATACCGTTGACGTCAATCTCGAAGGTGACCTCGATCTGGGGGACGCCGCGGGGGGAAGGAGGGATGCCGTTGAGCTCGAACTTGCCGAGGAGGTTGTTGTCCTTGGTGAGGGGACGCTCGCCCTCAAAGACCTGGATCAGGACGGTGGGCTGGTTGTCGACGGCAGTCGAGAAGATCTGCGACTTCTTGGTGGGGATCTGGCTGTTGCGGGCAATCAGCTTGGACATGACACCGCCGGTGGTCTCGATACCAAGGGTCAGGGGGTTGACATCAAGGAGAATGACATCCTCGACGGCACGGTCACCGCTGAGGACACCGCCCTGGACGGCGGCACCGTAGGCAACGGCTTCGTCGGGGTTGATGCCCTTGGAAGCCTTCTTGCCGTTGAAGTAGTCCTCGAGGAGCTGGACAACCTTGGGGATACGGGTGGAGCCGCCGACGAGGACAATCTCGTGGATCTCGCCCTTGCTCAGCTTGGCGTCCTTGAGGACGTTCTCGACGGGCTTGAGGGTGCGCTTGAACAGGTCGGCGTTAAGCTCCTCGAACTTGGCACGGGTAAGGGTCTCGGAAAAGTCATCGCCATCATAGAAGGACTCGATCTCGACACGGACAGACATCTGGGAGGAGAGGGTGCGCTTGGCCTTCTCAGCCTCACGCTTGAGCTTGCCCATGGCCTTGTGGTCCTTGGTGCAGTCCTTGGTGGTCTTCTTCTTGTAGAGCTTGGCAAAGTGCTCGATGATGCGGTTGTCAAAGTCCTCACCGCCGAGATGGGTGTCGCCGTTGGTGGCCAGGACCTCAAAGACACCCTTGTCGATGGTCAGGATCGAGACATCAAAGGTACCACCACCGAGATCGTAGACGAGAATGTTCTTCTCCTCGGCATCGGTCTTGTCCAGGCCGTAGGCAATGGCGGCGGCAGTGGGCTCGTTGATGATGCGCTCGACCGAGAGGCCGGCAATGACACCGGCGTCCTTGGTGGCCTGGCGCTGCTGGTCATTGAAGTAGGCGGGGACGGTGACGACGGCGTGCTTGACGGGCTCACCCAGGTAGGCCTCGGCAATCTCCTTCATCTTGCCCAGGACCATGGCGGAGATGGCCTCGGGAGTGAATTCCTTCTTCTCGCCCTTGACGATGAGCTGGATGACGGGCTTGCTGTTCTTGTTGATGACCTTGAAGGGGAAGTGCTTGATGTCGCGCTGCACATCCTTGTCGTTGAAGGGGCGGCCGATCAGACGCTTGGCATCGAAGACGGTGTTGGTGGGGTTCATGGCGGCCTGGTTCTTGGCGGCATCACCGATGAGGCGTTCCTCATCGGTGAAGGCGACGTAGGAGGGGGTGATACGGTTGCCCTGGTCGTTGGCAATAATTTCAACACGACCGCCCTTGAGGACACCAACACAACTGGAGAAAGATTGCGCGCGCGGGGGGAGCCAGACAACAGGACGTTAGAACTGGAGTGTCGCGGGAACCAAGACGCGAGAATGGGGCTTGGCGCGACAGATCTGATCTGATCTGATCTGATCTGACCCGATCGGAAGCGATCTGATCAGACCGGACGAGATCCAGCAGCTGGCTCGCAGTCTGCCGCGTCGGGCGATTGGGCAACGCACGCAGCCGCGTTGGCGTGGACGACGGATGGCAGAGGTGCAGGGAGCGCGAACGAACCTGTAGGTGGTGCCGAGATCGATACCGATGACATAGCCATCGAATCGCTGCGAGTCTGACTCGGCCGAGACCGAGGTCAGTGCCATGAGGCACACGGCCAGGACGGCCAGGAGGTAGGCGAAGGGACGCATCGCTGATCTTGGGTTTCTGAGCGGGCTTTCCTCGGGGGCAGGAAACGAGCAGGCAGAAGATGGCCGGCAGAGGCGGGTGGCAGCAGGGGGCCGTATTTAACGGCCAGGGACAGCAGCGCCCGGGCGGCCAATCAGCGACGGCCATATTGGATTTGGGCAGCCAGCCGAGTGGCTGCGTCTGATTGGCTGCGGGACACGTGGCGCCGCCCCTTGCCAGCCCACGTGAGAGCGCTGCGCAGGCGCAGCAGGCGTTGTGCCGGATCGATCCAGGCGACAGCGAGAACAGGCGAGAACAGGCGAGAACAAGGATGGAACGACAACGAACACAGCGAGCGAGGACAGTCAAGAGCAGAACGGAATGCAACAGAACATGCTTCATGGTCGTAGAGGCCGGCCTGGTTCCGCCGCAGTGACCAGAGACCAGAGACCAGAGACCAGAGACCAGAGACCAGAGACCAGAGACCAGCCTCCACGTGTCCAGCCCCGCCAGGGCGAGTCCAGTGGGCTTTCTGGTAGACCCGCGAGTGCGTTTATTGTGTCGTCCGCAGAGGGAGAATAAAAAAATAGTGGGATGCGTTTGGCATGGCGGCAGGCCGTCGTGGCAGAAAGCGATGCCGCTGAAACTGGCGCGTGGTAACAGTCGGTCGATCCTCACGCCTTCTTCTCCTCGGCGGGAGCAGCCTCGGACTTGATGAGCTTGGGGATCTCCTTGCCGCCGCCGGTTTGCTCCCTGGGATCCAGAGATCGAGTCAAAATCGAGCCGAGTCCGGTTAGTATACACATCGCAACAGCATAGCAAAGTCCACACACTTGGAATGCCGGATGCATCTGTCCCGGCAGACCGTGTCGCAGCGATCCGAGGCGCAACAGCTACGCACCAGGGGGATTGCACGTCAAAGTATCGGTAGCTCTGGGCCAGCTCGAGTGGTTCGGCAACAACTCGTTTCTTCTCGTCGTCGTAGCGCACTTCGACATAGCCCGTGAGGGGAAAGTCCTTCCTTAAGGGGTAGCCCTCGAATCCATAGTCGGTCAGGATGCGGCGCAGATCGGGGTGGCCGGTGAAGAAGATGCCGTACATGTCCCAGGCCTCGCGCTCGAACCAGTTGGCTCCAGAGAAGAGTGGGGTGATCGAGGGTACGGGGCTCACTTCCGAGGCATAAGTCTTGACGCGGATGCGGGTATTGTAGCGGACCGAGAGCAGGTGGTAGACAACCTCGAAGCGGTTGGCGCGTGTCGGGTAGTCGGCGCCGCAGACGTCGACAACCTGCTTGAACTGACAGGCGGTGTGGTCTCGCAAGAAGGTCATGACGGGGACGACGGCGCTGGGTGCGACGTGGAGAGTGAGCTCATCCTTGTAGACCGAGAACTGTTGGATGAACTTGGGCAGGGAGTTGGAGATAAACTTTCCGTACTCGTGGACCTGGGTCTGGGGCGCGGGGTTCAGCGTGGCGGCATTGTTTCCTGAACAGGCCAGCAGCGTTGATTACGGTCGAACGATCAGCGCCGAACAAAGCGTGCCCAGTCGCGGTACATCAGCAGAATCGGCCGATCGAATGAGGGTCGTATTGGGCAGGCCAGAGGATTCGTTCGCCATTCGAGCGCGATTTGAAGCCAACAACAGAACCAGATAGCGTCAGAAATTGGAGACGGAGAGCACCGTTGTTCCAGTGCCAAGCTCTATTCTCGAGAGCATCGCGATCGATGCCAGCCGCTGTGATCACAGATCAATCCTGTTGACACCAGGAAGTGCGTCGATGACGCTGCCCATCTTGCTTCATCCAGCACAGCGATCTGTGCAGCCGAACTTTGCAATTCCATAGCCCGTGCTGGCCGATCTGTATCTGCAATCCGTCCCGCTCGTCCACCCCAATCCAGCATTTCCGAATCGCGCCTGAGTGGGCGGCTCCAAGTGCTCGCATCTGTTGATGAGGGATGGCGATGACCCTTACTGAAGAGAGCCGATGCCGAGAACTGTCTCTTGAAGATGAGCTGTGACTTGGAGAAGAACATGGCGACGCAATGATCCTGGGTCTGTTGGCGCGGATGGGCGATGCGAGTGGGTAGCAACATGATAAGCAGCATGTCTTGGCTCAGACGGCGGCAGTTCAATGCGGGCTGCAGATGAACGGCTGTTCGGATGGCTGCATATCAGCCACATCTATAGGGAGTCCATCAGTGCCAGACTCACCCGCAAGGCGAGGCTGCTGGTGTTGGGCTCTGGGATGGAGGACGCCAAAGAGAACTCACAGCAAGAGACCAGCCAAAGCCAAGCGAAGGTGAAAAAGTGCAAAAACCGCGAGGGCACGCGAGAGGCCCCGGCGAGGTGCGAGAAGCCGGCGAGAGGCTGCCGAGGAGCCACCGAGAGCATTGTGGCGCGTTGTGTGGGTCTCGCGGGCGGGTCTCGCCAGGGGTCTCGTCGCCCCTCGCTGGTCCTCTGTCCACGTGGGGACTGCGGTCTCGGCGAGGGCGGTCTCGCCCGGCCTCGTCGGCTCTCGCTCCTCGCTGGGGTCGATGTCGTTTTCGATTTTTTCTTCCTCAGCAACAGCAACTCATTCCAGTGCAGAATCATTCCTCTCTCTGCCTGCTCTGCACGATCGAGACCCGAAGCAGGCCGCCGCCACTGCTGCCGACACAATGTTCCTAACCAAGAGTCCACTGTTCAGCCGTATCGCATGCGGATCGTTACATCCGTCGGCGCGTCTCATGTCCACCAAGCCTGTAAGCATGGCCCCAATGATACCCAGCAGCCAGATCATGAACCACGGGCGATCGGCCCGGTGCACTGTCCGTCTGCACGATTGTGATGCACTTCACCGAACACCGCTGATCCCGTTCGCATTTTTATCTCCTCGGCCTGGCTCCGCTGGCGGCCCACACTGGCATCTGGACCGAATCGCGATGCAACAAACATCCGCCGGTGGTCCCATCCACATGCCTCATCGTCCAAACTCACATTGACATGGGCCCGCAACATCCGCTCGAATCGATGCGCTCGGTCGATACGCACACCCCACCCTTGGAACGATCTGGTGCGGCCGCTGGATTCCAATGCGCCATCGCCGACCAAACTCGCTCCGCATCCACTGCGTCCATGCGAACTTGACGCTCCTCACGGATCTCTAATTGCCGAATGCACAATCGCCACATCTCTGAACCGTGATCATCGCCGCTGTCGATATCGGTCGGAACCACACCGGCCGTGTGAATCCAATACCGACTGGGTCTGTGACCGTCGCACGATCGCCCAAACACCCCCATTTCGTCGATTCCCACAGATCCAGCAGCAGGTCGCTGCAAAAGCCCCAGCAGCGCCATCGTCTGGACTGACGCCGACCACCAGCCCGGCCCCAGCCGAGACCGCTTCGCCATTCCACCAGTTCACCACTGAGGACCCGGTCATTGCTCAACTCGTCAACACGATCATGCGCGACGGCAAAAAGAACCTGGCTCGCCGCATCATCACCGGTGCCCTTGAGTTCATCCAGAAGGAGACCAAGCAAAACCCGCGAGACGTTCTGAACGACGCCATCGACAAAGCCTCGCCCCTCCTCAAACTCAAGTCCCAGCGACGCGGCGCCAAGGCTGTGATCTCGCCACGCCCTCTGACTGTCAAGCAAATGAAGCGCCAGGCCATGATCTGGATCATCCAGGCCGCCGAGAAGAGGAAGGATGCCAAGACCTTTGCCGAAAAGCTTGGAAAGGAGATGCTGGATGTGACCAAGGACCAGGGCTCGGCCGTTGACAAGCGCAACCAAGTCCACAAGACCGCTCTGCAAAACAGAAGCAACGTTCTGATGATGGACCAGCGGCTTCGCAGATAACTACCACCAATACATTGCTCGTCTTTCTCTCGAAACGAGCAGCCGGACTCTGCAATCCGACCGTGCTTTGACACGGCGTGGGCGGGGCACTGTCGAGTTGCCGAGTTGCCGAGGTGTGCAAATACTTGACCCTGCGGTGATTTAGGCACCCGGAAACAACTGCATACCCAAGGATATGGCTTCATACCTAGAATGTAACTCTGCGTCCCGATTGAACAGCTGCAATCCGTTGTGTGGATTGAGGCGTCGGTCGAGTTGTCAGGCCCGGCCGTCCTTGAGTCTGCACCCCTCTCCGTCGCAAAAGAACGGCATACAGGTCCGTGACTTTGCCATGCGTCGATTAGGCGTCCTTTATTCTTGAGTACGGAGAAAGTGGGCGGAGGGATCGGGGCACGATGAGTGGGTTGGGTCGGTGCTGCTCTACTTTTTCTTCTTCTTCTCGTTCTGCGCCGGCGGGGCAGCGGCCTCGGGGGCGGCCTTGGCAGGCTTCTTTGCCACCTGCACCTCAACGAATCCGCCAAGGGCATCGTCTCCCATCGTGTCAAACTCCAGATCGCCAAACTTCTTCTTGAACTTGGAGATCTCGCCGCTCTGGTCGTCCAGGACATTGAGGGCCGGGTTCCACAGCGGGTGGTTTCGCACATCCTTGGTCATCTTGATCAGGACCTTTGGCGAGGTGGATTTGAAGTTGATGGTGCTTCCGTCCGAGTGCACGATCGTCTGGCGGAAGAGATACGGGTTCTTGCCCACGGTGCCGTTGGGCGTGGGCCGGTTCGAGGCCGATCGGCTCGGGACGACGATTGGGAGCGAACGGCGCGAGATGGTTGTCCGCAGGGTCGATTTGGATATCAGGGCATTCATGGCTTGTAAAGGATGCGGGTGCAGCTCCGGAAACGTGGCTCGGCGGCTTGTGAGAAGTCGATCGGTCAGAAGGCTCTTGCTCAGAAGACTATCGCTCAGAAGACTATCGCTCAGAAGACTATCGCTCAGATGTCGTTTGTTGTCGATCTGGAATCTGGCTGGCGATCGATCGCCTGGAGCCGAGCAAAAAGAGAAAAAAACGCGATGGCCATGTGTGTGTGTGTGTGTGCGGCTAGGGCTGCGCAACCCTTGCGGCCACCGGCCAATCAGCGCTCGGTGTGTGCCAGCCCTGTCCTCGATCCTCATGCCAACTGCCCTGGAGACCAAGGACATACCCATCCGCCATGACCAAACGGTTGGGCGAGGGCCATTCTCCCGGGCAAGTGCTTTGAGAACCATCACCAGCGCCCGCATCACCTGCACCCAAGTGCCAAGCTGGCATCTCACGGGTCTGCCCCGAGTGTCTAGAGCCTGCTCATTGGATGGGCTCAAGCGGACAGCGTTGCGATATCCACTTTGCCAGCAGCTTCAAGAACGGTCGTGTGGAATCGCGACGGCAATGACGCAATATGATCCATCGATATACTGAAGCGCCGGTGTATTCAGGGCTCGGGGAACTGCCGTTCCTGGTCACAGACACACGGCGGAACCCTTCATTTTCCACAGAGCACAAACTCGGCGATCTCTCCTCGCAACGCCACTCTCATCTCATCGTCGACGAGAGAGGTCTCGAGGAACTCGATCCTGTTCGGAACGTGCTCAAACTTGAACTCTTCATTCTCGTATCCCAGGAACTTGACTTCGGCAGCGGCGTCGTCGCCGGTTTGATCGAGGGAGGCCGACTGGGTGCTGCGGAGCTTGTTGCTGTGCATCGTTTTGAACAGTGGGTGGTATGGTTGGGAAATCGATCGAGATTCCACAGGCAGCAAACCGCAGCGAGTCAGAAGCAGCGTTGTGGAAACGGCCACACAATAGCAGCGACTCTGCTCCCCCCTCTCTTCCGCCGAGCGATCGGGCGCACCGCCGTCACCAAGGACGGCCGCAGAGCACGCCATACAGAACCGCCGTCCACTCACATCTCTGTCTCCAGCGTCGTCTGGATCGCCTTGGCCTCGAGTGCCATCAACATGTCGTGCTTGTTGCAGAGGATCAGCACCGGAATTGTCCGCTTGACAGTAGCCGAATGAGTGAGAATGTCGTAGAGATACTCGGCAATCGGGCGTATCTGCTGATGAACCGTTGTACTGTCGATGACAAACAGGACCGCCTTGGTAATCGGCAGAAACTCGGAGTACTTGAACCGCAGCTTTTCGTGGCCAGGAACATCGACCAAGTTCAGTGGGACCTCGAGGCCCTGCAAGGTATATCATTCAAGTGCATCAATAAACATGCATGCGACGCCGTGCACCTCCTTGAGCCGGCTCTCCAGGGATGCTCCGTCCCGAACCAGCCCGATCACGGCATGCCTTGCCCCTGCTTGATGTCACAGCCCAACAGACGACGATTGAGAGCACTCCTGTACTTTGTTCGACTCGAGTTTGAAGGGTCCTTCGTTCTCGACCATCGACGTCTGCGTGGCTACCAGCTTTCCATATTGCAGATAAGTGTAGAGCGACGTTTTGCCCGAATCACATAGCCCGAGGATGGCGACGGTGTTGTGCTGAGCCAGGGGCGACTTGCCGCCAAGCAGGAAGACAGAGGCTGTGGAAGAGAATCGCAGACGAAGAAGTGGACAGGACAGAGCGGGGTGTGAATGCGTGCACCCGAACGGCCAAGCCTGAGAGACTTGTCGGGTTGCTGGGCCACATTATGGACCAGACGGTGTCTGCAAGTCTCGACAGCGAATCGGAGCAATCGAGTGCTCCGTCCCGCAGCAGAGTGCGCTACTGACCAATCCCGGCGACTGACACGAGCGCCAGGACAAGGATGATGATCAGGATATAGTCCATCGTGGGCAGCGGTTATTGTGGGCGATCCGGCTCTGCTCCTGTCCTGTGTGGCGAGATGATGGCCAGGAACGATCAACAGCGCCAGACGAGGAGCAGGAGGACAGGCGAGAGCGTGGCGAGAGCGAGCGCGGTCCTCGCCCAGGGCCGTATCAGCGCCGGGGTGGCGTCCATCCCATCCAACCCATCCAGTTCATCCCAGCGATTCTGTCGACCCTGTCCATCCCATCCATCTTGCCGACGACCAGGAGCCCACAGATGGCCAGCCAGAAGACGGTGCGTTGTCCGCGGACGATCTGTCGGAAGCATGTGGTCCATGTCCGAGCTTCGATGCGGCTGCAATGTTCTGCGACGCCAATTCTGATGCCGGCCGATTCCAGGACATCGCAGCCCCAAACCAGGCTCTGGAACCAGGGGCAGGGGCCCAGCTGCGGCCAGAGACGATAGCTGTGAACAGCAGAGCTCCGAATGTGCATGCGTCCGAGACCAGAATCGCCTCCAACGATGGTGACCATGAAGCACATGAGCAGGACGCCGACGAGGATGGTGTCGACGAAGAAAGCAACGGAGGTGATGACGATGACTATGACGACGGCGACGACGAAGAGGACGACGACGATGATCTAGAGCCGATGCTCAAGTACCAGCGTCTGTGTGCGAATCTTGGCGATTTGCTGAAGCTCGACCGAGTCTCGTCTGCGGCGGTTTCGGACCGTTTCTTGGTATGTCCCGCCTGGACATTACTGTCGCTATGAACGAGGGACGACAATGGCTCGAGGGGGGCAACTGCGCCCGCGCATGGGTTCGATACTGTGTGTCTCACTGCTGATCTTCTCTGCACAGACGATTGGAACGCAGCAGGGATCCGTGATGATCATGGACCTGAGCGGCAACATTGTCAAGCGCTGGATTGCACACTCGTCTGTCGTCAACAGCGTTTGCATTGATGAAGGCGGCGAGTATGTCGGCAGCGCCTCAGACGATGGTGGGTCCTGAGTACTACAGGACGAGTGTTTCGGAGCTTTTCACGGCCAGAGTGCCTGCGATGCCCTCCGAAGATGCATTCTGAACAACGGCCATCGTTTGCTTCTTTCCAGGAAAGGTTATCATTCACAGTCTGTATTCGTCGGATGTCCAAACTTTTGGGAATCGTCGTCCAGTCAAAAGCGTCTGCTTAGAGCCCAACTACACCCGCAGTACCAATCGCCAGTTCGCCTCGGGCGGTCTGTCCGAATCAGTTGTCCTCAACGGCAAAGGTAGGCAGCACTCTCGCCGGTGCACCAGGATATCCACCGCTGGATTCGGCCAACATAGCATCCAAAATTCTGGTCGAGATGATGGACTGGTATCGTACCGCGACGAGGATATTCACTTTGGCGAGTCAACACCGAGTCTGCGTGGCGATAATGATGAATGCAGCACACAAAGCACTTCCCCTCACCTGGCGCCTGCAAACATCCACCATTTCGCCCAGGCTGGTTCGGAAACCGCGACACCATCATCCATTCTGGCGAGGGCCCCATTGCTCTCGTGAGCTGGAGGCATCTGTTCATTGTCTGGGCAAACGTAACGGTATGGCGGCGATGGCTTTGCCTCGATTATACTATGGCAGCACTCTTGTTGCTGGCCACTCGACCAGCATTGCGACAGACTTCGATCATATTGCGATGGCGCCACTCTCAGCTCTCTACTGACATTGACCCACAATCGAAGGGAATCAAAATGTATGACACTTCCTGTCAGCAAAAGTTTGCCTATATTGCAAGCCCGGATGTGAGCTCCAAAACCGCTTCGAGATGCAACATTGCTTGGAAAGACAACTTGACGCTGATGATGGCGTGGGCGGACAATGTCAAGATCGCTGTGATCAAGGTATGTGCACTCTTTACCGGAAGCAAGGCGTGTCGTCGGGAATCGATTTGGCAACGGACTGGTGCCTCGCACTGTGCTCATCCCTGTCGCTCCCAGGATCGAAGCAAACTCGATGTCGCCTCTGGGCTGCCTGCACGATACGTCGAGGTCGTGTTTCAGTAAGTCACTTGCGTCGTGTTACCCATCCGCTCGCCGATGATAGGTTGATCCACTCTCTAGTTGCCATCACCCTTGAAGATGTTTGCTCACCGCGACACTGCCCGCGACCTTTACTCTCTGCCGTCCGGCGTTGGTTCCATCGCCCAAACAAAGATTCTCAACCGACTTTATGCTCGCCGGCATTGCACCGTTTGGAGATGACATTCTCTTGATTTCGTATCATGGTGCGCAGCAAGCCAAGTCCGTAAAACTGGGAGAGTCGCAGGTAAGACTCCTTGGCGCTGTTCAAGAGCATCAAAGTTCAGAATCCCGTCTCACCTCTGCCTGAACTTGGTGCAGAAATCGCTCCCAATCGAAGTCCATGTTCTGAACACGGCCGGCGTCGAAGTGGCAAACGATGTCCTCTCCGTTGCTCAGTACGACCAAAACAAGCTCCATGACTACTCTCTCCGTATGTACAGCCCATCTGGCCAAGCATGCGCATTCGTACAACGAACATCAGCCACACCCGCATCAATGCTGACCCTCAAGGATGTGGCGCTCTCATGCAGAATACAGCCCTGCCGAGGAGCTGACAGAAGCCGCGTACTACATCATCTCGCCACGGGATATCGTTATTGCCCGAGCGCGAGACATTGGCGACCACGTCGACTGGCTTATCGAAAAGAAGCGCTTTGGCGAAGCATTCTCTGCGGCTGATGATGCCCGACGCCAGCGCACAGGTCGATTCTCCGAGACCGAGGTCCAGAGCATTGGCCAGTCGCTGCTCTCGTCACTGTTCTCCAAAGGTTTGGTTCTTACGACAGCTATGCCCGTGTTTATAGATTGGCCTTAGCCGACCTATGATCTGGCGACGGGGTGATACTCGATATCCATGCCCTCCTTTGCCATGGTCTACTTGGTCCGCCTGATCTGCCTGGTCTGCCTGGTCTGCCTGGTCTGCCCTGACGCCATTCAATATTTGTATATTCGTGACGGATGGAATGACTTCATCAAGGTCTCTACAAAGATGCCGCCGCAGCCTGCCCCAAAGTCCTCAAGAGCAACCCTGAACTATGGACCGAGTGGATCTTCAAGTTCGCCGAGGCGTCTCAGATTGCGGTACTGGGCCTCTGCACTAATTCCAAGCGTGCATCGCATCGCTAATTTCGCCACAGACCTCACCAACGCCCGCCTTGTGTCTCGCCAGGCCATCTATCCGCATGTACCCGTCAAGGACCCCCAGCTGCCCAAGGCCGTTTACGAACTTATTTTGGAATATCTCGTCAAGAACGAGCCAAATGTGCTGCCTTCGGCAGTCAAACAATGGCCCGTTGCCCTCTACGATGCAAATCGGATCGCCAGTGTCGCCGAAGAAGCCCTGGTTGTCCTTCGGAGCGAAAACAGCCCGGCTGCTCAAGGCCTCCTCGAGTCACTTGTGTCTTTGTAAGCCTTGCTGTCCCGATGCAAGTGAGAGCAGCGATTGCCTCGTAATCGCTGCCGGGCGACCCTTGGAGCGTAGTTGCGGATGCGCTGACATTATCCTCATCCTCATCGCGCACCCTGCTTTAGGTACACATCTTGCCGACAATGGGAGTCTGCCTTTTGGAAGCGGCTCGCCCTGCGAGATGTCGACGCCATTCAGTCAGTTGTCACCTACAGCCTGTACAAGGTTATCGCAAACAAGATCGTGATGTTGATGGAGTATGACTGGGATGTCACCCAGGCTCCCGGTCCGCTGCGCGACGAGATCAATCTCTCGCTGGGAGTCGATCCCGACGCGATATCGCCCCAGATGCTCGCAATTCGAAGATGCACTCTCGGTAAGGGCTTGAGTCACCTCTCACCAGCCAGAGGATCCATCCAGCTGTCGTTCCGTTTGAACAGGGCCGAGCTCCCTCTTGGCCCATGGGCGTTTCTCGCAACTGACATCGGCATCGGCATCGGCAAACGGTTAACTCGATCTTGTGGCACCAGGCCCCGCTGTCCAGATGCTCATCCAATCGCTTGACACGATCAAGGTGGGCTCCGTTTCAGAGCGACCCGCTCCAGATGCAGCGGCCGGCACGAGTCTCAATGGATTGACTTTTGCTAACCCAGGCACACACCTCCACTCCCAACTAGCTGGATCACATTGTTCAGCAGCTTATCCCCTACGCGCGGTATCTCCACGTCTTCCTGGATGCTCTGTTCCAGAAAGACAGCCGCGAGGGCGTTGACTATCACAACTTGCAGATTGAGCTCTACGCTGAGTACGATTATGGCCGACTTGGCGCGTTCCTCAAGTCCAGTCACTCTTATTCGATGAAACAGGCATGTATTGAAGCAATTCGTGGGACGTTTCACGACGCTATGGGCCCTCTACTTGACTTTGGGCCGTTGCAAGTACAATGTACGCTTATCACTGACTGGTCGAGATTGCCTTTGCGCTTTGGTCATGCAAAGGCCTACAATTCATGTGAGGCCCGTGGGTTGATTCCAGAGATGATCTATCTTTTGGGCAAGATGGGCGACAACCGCAAGGCTCTCAACCTCATCATCCGCGAGCTGAACGACATTAACCGAGTAAGTGTAGGAGATTCGGCACCGTCTGTCGTCAGACGCCAATGTTAAGCTCCATTTCTGCTCAATGACATCACCCTCACTCACATGCGGCTCCATCACATCCACCAGGCAATTGAGTTTGCCAAGGAGCAAAACGACCAAGATTTATGGGAGGATCTGATGAAGTTTTGTCTGAACAAGCCAAGTAGGTGTCTGCTCTCTTGCCACCCTGCTTCGTCATGGTGTTGTTCTTCTCGGGCCTGGACAAGGCGATACGTTGGCGCCAAGGCAAGGCTGCCCCCGGTATTACGCTATCTTACGACGCACACCCCGTCATTCGCAGAGTTCATCGTGACCCTCATGGAAAACATTGGCGGATACATCAATCCAGTGAGATTGATCCAAAAGATCCCCAACGGGCTCAACATCCCGAACCTCAAGTCTGCTCTGATCCGCATCATGGCGGACTATGGGGTGCAGGTCTCGCTGCGGGAAGGTTGCCAGCAGATTCTGATGAACGACAACTCGAAGCTGTTTTCTCAGAAGCTCGACATCCTCTGCCACGGCATTTCAATCCAAGGTGCGAATTCAATTGTGGTGGTTGTGTTGGTTGTGTTGGTTGTTGGTTGTTGGTTGTTGTGTTGGTTGTGCTGATGATGTCTGCTGATTTGGCGGCAATAGATGTGAACTGTGCTGGATGCAAGGAGGTCTTCTTGGAATCAGGTAAGCTGCTGCTATTTGATGCGCTGGACCCATCGCGACTTGGGAGCCCAAGATGCTCATGCCTTGATTTGATTCCCCCTTGGCGGCATCCAGATGTTCACGCCGGAGACAACGCCGTCATTTTCGAGTGCCAGCACATGTTCCACCACAGATGCGTTGGCAAAACGAGACTCTGCCCGCTCTGCGCTTCCGATGTCACAGCAGGCGAATTGTAATCTTGTCTTTAGTACCCGCCCTTGCGACATTTGTTGGGCCTGGTGGCGATGGGCCTGTTCTCCCTGGCACCTCACGGCTCTGTGCAGTACTCAGACAAACACGGATCGCTCTCTCATCGAGGGAGTCGCCCTGCATTACTAGTGCAATCCAAAAAAACGGGACACCCGGGTTTTTGACCATTCATCGAATATTTTGTTACCCAATGTTATCGCGCGCTGGCCATGACCATTCGCCACACATCCGACTTTCGCACCGCCGCATTGCGATGCTACGCCCTCATCCATAGCCTGCGTAAGGTCGCCTCCATATTCAGTGTATCCAAGAGCACCATCCATCGATGGCACCGAGGACACAAGCCAACCGAGTCCCAGCTCGCAGATCCACTTTCTTCGAGCAGGCATGTCCAGTCATTCGCACCCTGATTGAACAGGACCCGTTCCAGACTGGTCCTGTGTTGCGATGCAAGCTCGAGTCCATCCTCCAGAGGAAAGTATCACTCTCACTCTGCCACACTGCCATCCACCGAGCAGGTCTCTCACACAAGAGGGCAACACACCTCTACAAGTCCAAGCGACTGGATGAGCGAGTGGCACAGTTCAGGGACCAGGTCCGCTCCATCGACCCGCGGCGATTCGTTTTTGTCGATGAGACAGGAATCAGGAGATCCATTTTCCCTCTTTACGGATACTCACCGAGGGGTGCTCCGCTTCGCCAGCGCAATCACATGAAGCACAAGTCTGTCTCGGCTGCATTTGCCATCAACCACTCTGGTGTGCTGCATCGCATGTACATCCCCACATCATTCAAGACACACTCGATGGTCGAGTTCTTTGAGCGAGCGACCTTCCCAGACGACTCTGTGATTGTGATGGACAATGTCAGCATGCACAAGACAATGCCTGTCCTGGACTGCATCGAGCGCCGAGGATGGTCAGTGATCTTCACCCCACCTGCTTCACCCGACTTCAATCCCATCGAGAACTTCTTTGGGATTGTGAAGCATCAGTACAGGAAGGCAGCAGCGCTGAATGCGTCCGAGGGGTTCAAGATCGGGATGGTCATATTGTTTGAGTCTGCCGTTCGGAGGGTGCTTCCAGATGTCTTCCGACGGCTGATTGAGCGAGCGATGCGATTCTGGGGTTGTCCCTCCAATCAAGCCGCCGTTCTCACGTTCACATCCCTGGCTTGAACCTCTCGGCGATTTTTGAACAGGGTCACTTCCCCAACCAGCCCGCAAAGACGGGTTCCTGCTCTCGGGTATAAATGCCACACCTTCGTCCTGCTGCTTTCTTCCCTCATCTCGCCTTGATCTGATCATCGCGCTATTGTACGATAAAAAAGTCTCTGTTCTGACCAGTACCACTGGCAGGCATCCAGCATCCTCTGCCCCCATGCCTCCGAAGCGCAAGGGTACCGGTGATGGCCAGCCTCGGCCACCCAGGCCCAAGAAAGCCAAGTCACAGTCGGAGCCTGTCTCTGGTTCGTATTCTGACCCCACGCATGCTTGTTCGTCTGTTGCTCCGTCGCTCACCACCACTGCTTCTGCAGATCCAATGGATGTCGATCCCACCGAGCCTGGTCCATCCACTTCCTCGAGTACTGGCAAGCGATGTCGCAAGTGCGACGGTACCGATCACGAGCGAAGCAACACTAGCAAGTGTCCCAAATACCGGCCCCTCAAGAGTTCTGTCGTCCCACTCGTGGATGGAAGGTCATCCGCCCCTCAGTTCAGCTGCTTCAAGCAGACGATGGATGGCTGTTGTCTCAATCCCGCTCTCCGCGACAAGATCCAGGCCACCGTCGAGGCCATGACCCAGATCCAGTTCGAGGCATCCAGGCTGCTCAACCTACATATCCTCCGGTGCATCGAGCAGGATCTTCCCGTCCCTATCATCTCCAAGTCCACCCCTGCTTTCATCCGTCAATGCTTCAAGATCGTCCAGGACGGTGCCCTCTCCCCGACCGGGGACAATGAGAAATACAACGAGCATCTGGTCGCTTCCTTTCGCGACTACCAGACCACTCGGCACGCAGACCTGCCTCCGGCCCCTCGTCTGCCTGATGGTGCTCACAGTCAGCTTCTCACCCTGGCTGTCAATGCCTATGCCACCAACTGCACCACCCACCTCAACCTGGCCTACTGGCGACTCCTTCGCCGCTTTTGTGCTGCTGTCTTCCCTGCCAACAAGCACAAGCACGACGCCATCGAGGCTTGTCTCCAGCTCTTCGAGAAACCAGGGCAGACTCCACCCAAGGCCGATCTCGAGTTCCTCTATCCCGACTTTGGCCACATCCTGGACGAGTTTCGGTACAGCAACGACCAGGACCGCTTCCGGGCCCTCCATCGCCTCTCACACCATGTGGGAATCCTCGCCCGAGACAAGATGGTCGACGATGTCCACAAGTGGATCGACTGTGACATGCCCGCCCTCCGAGTCACCGAGCTGCAGCGCCAGGCCAAGCTGGACGAGCTCACTACCCAAGGCATTCCCTCCGACGACAAGAGGTTCACCACGGCCAAGTCGGAGCTCGGCACCACCAAGTCCAAGATCAACAAGCTGGCATCCAGGCTCAACTGGGCACTCAAGCAGCTCACTCTTGACACTCCTCCGGCTGTGTGCACGATAGTTCCTCTGTGCACTGCCAAAGCCAAGTATGTCAAGATCGACACGGCCACCCTCTGGGATCTCCTTGACACCGATCATCGTCTTGGCCTCACCCGGAACATGCTCAAGGAAGAAGGTGAGGACGGTGTCAACAACCAGGATCGTCTCTGGCGCAGTTGCTTCAAGCTGCGTAGTTCCCTCTTCCAAGAGCGAGTCAGGGACAAGAAGCTGTTCAACTACGAGATCAGCACCGATGGAATTGGATGCACCATCGGTCTCGTCAAGTTTCTGCCTCGAACCGATCGCACCGAGACCTCCGAGCCTCCTCCGACTGCCGAGCAGCGTATCCAGGCCCACATCGGCGACCCAGACCCCGATCGCACCACTTGGATTGGCATCGATCCTGGAGTCGGCTCCATCTTCACGGCGGTCATCCAAGCACCGGGCCACCAAGACGAGGTGGTCTCATTCTCCAACGGCCACTATCAGCACATGTGTGGCCATACGTCCAACACCAAGTGGCACAACACCATGAAGTATCGACTCAGCATCGAGACCTGGATGTCGACCACACCCTCGCCCAAGGTGTCGTCCTCGGAGGCTTTCAAGGTCCATCTCACCCATGTCCTGCGACCGGAGCTGCGAGTGCAGCTCGACTTCCACCTTGGCAAGAAGGCTCGTCACCATCGCTTCACGGGCCACAGGAGACGCCAAGTGGCCGTCGACAGGATGTGCAAGGCCGTCCTGAAGCACGCCCCGATACGGACCGATGTGGTGATCGCCTTTGACAATGCGTCATGGCGACAGGGCAAGGGCTATGCATCCAGCCCTCGGAGGCAGCGATTTGCTCAGTACTTTGAGCAATTCGAGCACCACCGACGCCGTCCCAATCACCCTCATGGAAGCGTCAAGGTAGTCTCGACGAACGAGTTCAACACCTCGCAAGTGTGCTCCAAGTGCCTGGAGCCAGTTCGGTTGGAAGGACTCGATGCGCCCAGTGTTGCGAATTCCCACTTTGTCAGGAGCTGCAAGAATCCCAGCTGCCTGACAGTGTGGAATCGCGACGTCAATGCGGCGCGCAACATGATCACAGTATGCAGGTCGATTGTGGAGATCGGAGAGCGACCGGCGGTCTTCACTCGGAGGCTGCCAAAGTGATCTGATCTATTTATTGTGGCTTTGCTTGACGCAAGCACAGCACATACTACATGTTCATGGAAACGGCTATATTGTCCCGTTTTTTTTCTGAATAAAGTGTAGTGCAATCATGCCTCCATCCCATGATGTCTCATCAGCCGGATCCATCACAGCAATGCGAGCGCCGATCGATGTCGATCAGCCGGTATATCAATCAACCGTTTCTGTTGTCAACGTCGGAGACATTTGCCGATTCCACTCTGCCTGAGCGATCATGACCCTGCAGTGGCGACAGCCAATCACACCACTGGCCCGGGTGGTTTGCACACCCATGGTCCTGCAGCTCTTCGGGCGGGGCGGATGCTTCGGGATCCACACTGACTTCCAGTTGGCGTGAGATAGGGCATCTCAAATCCGCGAGAAGGCGAGGAGTCTGCACGGATCTTGACCGCCGCTTCCTGGGCGATTTTGGCTTGGCTGCTCCGCCCTTCTCCGAGAACACCCTATTTTCCAGCGACCGCATCTGCAGCTGTCTTCGTGTCCGTGTCCGTCCTTCTCTAGCATGCTTGCATCCGCAAAGGCCCTATGGCCGAGCCTGCTGCTGTGGCTGGGACTGCTGTTTCTCGGCGTCTTGGGCACACGCCCCAACAACAAATCGTTTACGACCCTCAAGATCGGCGTCATTCTGCCTTCGTGGCCGGGGCCGTTCGATAGCACCTGGGGCTATGCTATCAACGATGTCTACTATGCAGCGCAAATGGCCGTGCGAGAAATCAATGCCAATTCATCGATCCTGCCTGGTATGCAGCCGCACGCAGAGGCCCGCGCACCGCCCCTTCGTGTTTGCTGCTTCACCGTTTTCACCAGCTACCCGTTAACACTCTACGCGTTCGTACGCTGTATCATGGTCGTTCTCACATATAGATGCGACGCTGCAGCTCATGTTCAACGCATCGGCAGGAAAGTACGCGCTGGGCTCGTAAGTAAAATCGCACTGCAGCCGAGGCAGCCGAGGATCGGTATGCGCTCGGGTGGCGAGAGCCTGAGGTGCTCGCAGCCTGGACTCTGTTCGAGAGCACCCTCGCACTGCCACTAAGCTACCGAGTGTCGACCACCACTTGAAAACAGCATCGTGGCTGCGGATTTTATCTCGAGGAAGAATGCTGTGGCTTTGATGGGCGACTTTGACCCAACTGTGAGTTCCGCTGCGCCGATTCGCTCAACCCGCAGCAGTGGTGGGCGAACAGCGTTGCCCGTAGCACTATATCGGTGCATCTTTGCTTTCTGAACGCATATCATGTCGTATTCATTCGCGGATGCCTCCATCCACTGCATTTACCTTGGGCACCACGTTTACTACACTCACTGCACCCAACTAATGCATCGCCTGTCGCGGCTGCGGGATTCATAGATCACTGTCTACGAGGCATTTGTCTCGACCCACTATCAGGTGAGAAGCGAGCGCACCCCACCATCAACGCTGCTTTCGCTGTTAACCAATCCTTTCGCTCTGCCACTGGATGAATGCTCTAATCCTTTTTCCTGGCTCGATTTTGCGCCGAAGATCCCGCAGTGCGGAATCCTGACAATATCGTCAACACTCTCCCAAAAGTCGCAGTTTCCCGTAAGTCATTGGACTGTGTCGCGCTGTAAGGACAGCCTGGATTCGCCGTGGCATTTGTATAGCTGCGGACCCGCAATTAACAAGTCATGGTCATTTCTTTCAGACTTACTTTTACCTCAACTTTGACGAAAGCCAAAAGGCTATTGCGTTGGTGCAGTATGCCTATTCGATGGGCTGGCGCAAGGTTGGTCGCTACGTGAGAGCATGGCTTGGCATATTCCGGGAGCCAGGGAACTGGAAATCGGCCACACACTCTCCTAAAAATGATCGCCGATACGCAAACACATCTCCAGATTGCCATCATGTACAACGCCGACGACCTGGGCATCACACGTAAGCGGGCCGACGATGGATCTGTCGGAGCAGCATGAGTCGCGCCAAAGTCTACGTTTGTTCACCCGGAAGTTTCCATATGCTTTTCGCCAGTCTCTGATGTTGCTCAAGCAGCAGCCGTGAGCTTGAACATGACAGTGTTGCTGAAGCAGGTTGGTTCTCTGGCCGGTCGAGCCCACTCGTCGTCGATGGGCTGGATTCGGGTGGTGGCGGATCATATTGCCGTGGCACACAACTGATGCAGAGCCTGACCGCCACTGGTTTCGGACCGCACCAGGGATATTACGAAAACCAAGACAAAGTCGGAATTCTAACTGAACTGGACGAGCCTCTGCAGAATCTGAAGAACTCGGGGGCACGCATCGTGGTCGTGTGCGGAGAAAGCAGCGTGATCACAGACGTGTACTTTCGAGCCCTCAATGTTCGGATGATCGGGCCATATTACGCTTGGCTGGTACGTCGACACACCATGCTACACTTGTCTGTCTACTGGCGACAGCAAGCACGCTCAGGGCAGCCGCAGTTACTGCAGTTCCCTCAGAGGCCGACAGTGGTCAATCACCTTGAGCAAGGATGAGATTGATGGCCGTCCCTCTTTCACACCGCAGGGTAATCAGCCGCTCATCCTGAACACAACGACGCTGTCTGTCTACGGGCCCAACGCAAATGACACTCTGAAGAAATCGCAGGGATATATCTTCAGTAAGCATCGGCTCACCAGTTCGTCGGCTCATCGGCCACCCACAATTGCTCGGATAATGTACCACAGGCCTGCCCCCAGCAACGTTTGTCTGATCCTGTGCATACACTGCCACGATCGGCCAATTCAACGCTACACTCTGCTCCTATGGCGGGCCCGGCTACTGCGTTGTCGCTGAAGCCCAAGAAAACGTTTACGAATTCACAACAAGCTCCGCGACTGCGTGGGCTGCCAAGTGGGCTCAACTCAACGCCCAAAACGCCTCGATGTACTACATCGATCCGATCCTCAACGGTCCCTCCGTGGCAGCAAGGTATCTTGATATCTGTTCACAGCCATCGTGCCGGAGTGTAACTTGCCATGACTAACATGCTTATGTTTCGCATGCACCGTCAAGAGCCGCGTATGACACCATCTATCTGTTTGCTCTGCTCTGGGCAAGTCGTCTGGATTAACTCCGATCACGAACCGGAAAGGCTGCGTGAGGGCCTTCTTGATGGACGCTTCACTGACTTTTGCGCCTGAATCTGACCACCAGGACGTGGTGCTGAATAGATCACCGGGTCTCACCGCCAAGAACCTCACTGCCACGACATACTACGATCCAACCAATCTGCCTTTGCTGCGCTATTCTGGTGCCATGGGACCAGTAAGCTTTGACAAAGCCGGTGGATATGTGGTGGGTATATCAGTCGAGAGGCGGTGGTTTCAAATCATTGCAAGGGTCGTTGCTTGCGGACACCAGACCAGCCATCATCCGGAATCTCCTCACGAATTGCGTCCGATTACCATGCAGAAATCATTTGATATTCTCGTGGTCAACCAAACGACTCCAACGGCTTCCCCAGCATTCCTGAAATACGGCAGCAGTCTCGGCGCTCTGGTGAACTGTACCAACTGCTATGGGTTTCTCAATTCGAATCTGCAACCGATGGTCCCAAGTGACTGGCTTCCAGGCTGTTAGTTTCACTGCGTCGAGCATCGCATTCTATTCACTGAGGGCGCTTGGCCTTGAGAGACGCTAAGGACGCTGTTACCAGAGCCATCCGGTCAGCCGACATTGGCATGTCGATGAAAGATGTGATGCAAATGCGGAGGTGTTGCGTCTTCGAGGTCTTCGCGATGGAACACTGGTGCTGACCCTGGATATTCATCACGTCCTTACCAGTCTGCGATCCCGGGTGGCAGCTGGCAGCCAACGGTAGCACCACATGCCTGCCATGCACTTCCGGTAAGTGGTCGTGGCCATCTCGGCGGTAGTGCCCCCAGCAGCTCTGCACTTACCCTGCCGTCGCTGTCGCTGCAGGAACATACAACTTGGATTACAACTCAACGTGCAAGACGTGCCCATCCGGAGCCGGCTGCCAAGAAGACGCCATCTGGACGTTGCCCAACTTTTGGAAGAATCCGTACGAAAGCGACCTGACAAAGTCCTTCTATGAGTGCGACTACGGTGGTCCATGTAAGCTGTTCAGTACCAACAATGGTTGGCATGCTCGATAAGTTGTGGCTCGTGATTGCCAATCGAACAAGACTCTATCGAACCGAATTCATCACTTACCGCCTTATCCTCACCGCTTGCAAGGCTGCCCTAACTGCACCGATAGTCCCGATAGTATCTACCAACCTTTGTGCTCCAGCCTGCATTCTGGGATGTATGTATTCCATCCGGTTACAATCTTGCGCTGTATGAGAAGCATAGGAGCGATCACGACGGTGGTGGTCGCCATTGGATGGCTTTCCATGCTCTTGTGCTAACGACAAATCTCTGGCGGATGCCATTCAGCCTGTGCGCAGAGTGTCCCCCAGGACTCTACGAGTGGGGAGGGGTGTGCACGCCCTGCAACGCTTCGACAGCCTGTGGCATCGTCACAGTGTACTTTGTCATAGCATATTTGCTCCTGGTGCTTTTTCTGTTGCTGATTCCCAAGGCAGCCGGAGGATTTGTCTCGGACATGGTGGGTCTGGTGTGAAGCAATCCTTGCAGAGATACATCCAAAGCAACCGCAGGTCGGGCTACCCGCTTGCGAGCGGTGATCTGTGGGGCATACCGGGGCCTGTGAACTGCCAAGGCTATATTTTAACGGTAAAATCACCGGGTTGCTGCAGATATTCATCTACCAGATGGCTTATATCATCGACGAGACCAAGGACTCGTTCGGCGTCGCCATTGTTCTTGGTGCTACGCTGCCGTCGCAGATCTGCATCGCACCCGTCGGCCCATTCTGGAAGTTGATTTCCGGATTTGCGGTTCCACCGCTCCTGTTGGTGCTGTACGTCATCGTCGCATCATGTTTGGTGCTGCTTAGGAAGGCAGCGGCACATAGTGCACCGATCAAGACACTCTTCAAGCGGATCATGTCCATCATTCCATACCTTCAAGGCGCATTCGAGAACAACTTGCGATCGACTGCATATCTTCTCTCGCTGTTCTGTATCGTGCCGATTTATCAAACAGGTAAGATGCATTCCATCGAGTGTATCAAATGCTTCGAGTGTCAAATGCTTCGAGCACCGAGTGGTCGATGCCGCAGTTATCTAGACTCTAGTGCTGACACTCGCCAACGCGGGACTCAGCCGTCGAGGTTCTCAGTTGCAGATATGTTGTGTCGTATGGACTAGTTGTGCAGAGCTTTCCGACCATCCAGGTGAGCTGCGGCGGCTGTCGTCGACAGTTGCTCTCAATGTCTTGAGGCGGACTCGTTCACCCGACTTGATATCTACGCATAATCTGACGCAATCGAACTGGATGGCAGTGCTGGACGGGCTCCCACATTGCCATTGCCGGAGTCTCGTGCATCATCCTGATCACCATCACAGCTGGCCTGCCGATATGGCTCTGGATATTCCTCCGCGGCATGGATCGCCGAGACCACCTGCTGCTGACGGATCAACAGCGGGTCCCGCTCGGCATGCAGCCTCCGAGCTATGTGCTCTATGGGCTCTACAACCCCAAACTATACTGGTGGATCTCTGTGGATATATTCGAGCGAACGTCGTTCTTCATCATCCTCACGTTCCTCTCGAGCGATGGTACGATGTCTCTCTGGGTGCCATGCCAATGGATTCGCCTGGGGCTTCGGCTTTCGTGCTTGCTGAAGCTGCCTATTTTCTGACCGAATCTCCGATGCTGACAGAATACCCTCGAACAATCGGGCTAATCTTCACGACCTGGTTTTGGTTATTGATGAGGTGAGCCGAATGAGTCGATGGGGTGGATCTGGACATGGGTCGCCGTCGTGAACGACGCAAATGCGAGTACGACCGCGAGCACTAATGTGGTCGGGCATTCGGGTGCTCTCCAGAATATTTGCGATGCCTTACAAAGCCAAGCTGGACAACGCCGTCAAAGTCATTGGATACTCGAGTCTGATATTAGTCTCGGCTCTGAAACTGCAGAAGATCATTCCGGCCACGGCAGCGGTCGCCTCGTCCCTGAGCGACTCGACGCTGAATCGCGCAATCCTCACCCAGGAAAACTTTTATCTGTTCTTTCCGTTTGCCCTCCTGATCCCAATTCGGATCCTATCGATGTTATCGGACGCCACACGACAGAAGCTGCTGAAGTGCTTGGGTCTCATATGGCTCCATAGGCCGCAGGACAACATACACAAGGACTTTGATGCTGTTGAGGGGGAATGCACTAAAGATGCCGTCGCCGAGAAGTAGTGGCCATTGGCTGCCGAGGACAATGGCACAGTCGTCACTGCTGCGTGCGGCCTGCTGCCCGCTGCCTGCTCTTCATGGAGCCCCGGCACTGCCTTCCCCCCCCCCAACGACCCCTACACACGCTTTTGTTACTCTTGCTCTGGGTCCTGCACTATGAAAAAATTTCTTGTTAATAAAATGAGCGAGAACGAAAAAACGCGCTCTCGGAGCCACCTCGGTCGGCGAGAAGAGCAGTCTCTGGCGAGAGACCCCCGAGGGAAGGCGAGAAGCCTCTCGCCCTCACACACACACACTTTGCACACACACACTTTGCACACACACACACATCCGCACACACACTTTGCACAAGGGAGTCAAACACCTCCCATCGACCATCCCAAGAGGGATGGCAACCCCGAAGTGGACTGCCCAGAATATGGGCGACCCGGCATCCACTGTCGAAATGCACAAGGAACAATATACTTACAGTCTATCCAGAAAGAAACGGGACAGTCACTTTCTGGCTTCAGATATCTGAACCCCGCTGACTGACTTGTAGGCCCAGCGGGTAGGCCATGGCATTGCACTCCTGTCTTCGTCGGCAATCGCTTTGTTTCGTTGGTTTGGGAAGCACAGTCTTGAATACACCCGGTCGATCTCCTGTGGCGATGATCGACTGGCATACCGAGATCATGTTCCTGGCTGCATTGATGTCTCGATCCCACAGCGTATGGCAGCTTGCACAGCTCCGGACAAAGTGTGGTTTCTCGACATCAAGATACTCGGGTGACTCGAGTCGCTTGGCTTCCCGACAATGTGAGCACACCTGGGATGTGTTGAACTCGTTCACCGAGCACACATGGATCTTGGAGACGGATCGGTCTGGTGGTCGTCTCTGGTGATGGTGGAATTGCTCAAAGTACTTGGCGAACCTGAGTCTCCTGGGACTGGATGCATATCCCTTCCCCTGTTTCCAGGATGCATTCCCAAAGGCAATCACCACTTCGGTCTCCTTTGGTGCCTGGTCGATGACTCGCTTGCACATCTCGTGGACAGTGCACTGTCGCTTGCTGTGGAGATCGAGTCGCTTGAATCGCCGTCGCCGGGTCAGGCTGAAGTACAGCTGTTTGTCCAGCATGTCTCCATCGAACACATGGCGAATATATAGCAGGAAGGGATACATCCCAGGGATCTTGGGGCTCGGTGTGGTGCTCATCCATTGCTGCAGACCAAGGATCTTATGGGTGCTCTGGATCCACTTGGTCGCCTGGGTGGTGCCACATCGATGCTGGTACTCCTTGTTGGAGAACGACACGATCTTCTCGTTGGCGCGCTGTGCCTTGGTCACCTTGACACCGTCTCGCTCCTGAATGGATGGTTGACCGGGTGCCCGAATGACAGCAGTGAAGATCGATCCCACACCAGGGTCGATCCCGATCCATGTGGTTCGAGAGTCGTCAATGGGACCGACCCTGGCCTGGATCTTCTTCTCGGGAGTGAGTGCGCTCGCCTTGTCCACGGATTCTGGCTTGGTATCAGGATCCTTCTTCAGGATCTTGTACTTGAGCGTGGTGATTGAGCACCCGACCCCATCGGTGGTGATCTCGCAGCCAAAGAGCTGCTTGCCCTCCTCCCTTGCTCCAAAGAGTCTCGACTCCAGCTTGAAGTTGGTCTGCCAAAAGATCTCTTGTTTTGTGGTGTCATTGACCTTGGTCTTCAGGTCGTCCCACTTGAGACCAGTGCCAGTTTGGAATCCAAGGATTTCCCACAGTGCTCTGGTGTCGAGCTTGACATACTTGGCTCGGGCATCGCAGAGCGGGACCAAGGTGCACTGTGCTCGAGGGGCCTTGAGTCTCTTCTTGGTCTGGGCAAGCCGGTCGGTGAGGCGCTTGATCCGCTTCGTGTTGACAGCGATCTGCTTGCACACCTCCTCGTGCTGGGTCTGGAGATCTTTGAGTCTGTCAGCCCCGATGTGGTGGATGGGTTGACACATCTCCTCGTTCAGTCGCCCACGCTCTCCTTTCAGAACATCGGTCACCCTCGCGAGCCTGGGAATGATTATCTTCTGAAAGACCACCATGAAGAGGGCCTCCTTCAGGTGGGTCAGTCGAGAGACTTCACTGGCCAGAACTGGTACGACTTGATACAGGTCCTGCTGGCTTTCGTACCGAAGCTCATACAACTGGTCGGCATGGTGGGCGAAGGATTTTCTCAGATCACCGAGGAGTGTCTTGGAGAGGGGATTCTCCATCAGCTTCATGCACTCATCGACGTGTGTGTGCCGTTTCACATCCTTGGGAGCAACCAGGACCAAATTGCAGTATCGACGGAGGAGAGACCAATACCGATCGAGAATGTGGGTCTCACAGTTGACGGTATAGGCCTTGACAGCCAAACTAAGGACCTGTGAGCCAGTGCCCTTTGGGAGGGACACTGGAGGCAGGATACACGTCTCACTCCATGTACTTCGATACATGTCATAGGTCTTGATGATGTGCCTGTCATCTTCTGGGGTGTTTGTCCTGACACCCACTGTTCCTGTCTGCACCATATTGAAGCATTTTCGAACAAACGCGGGTTCACTCGACGACACAGTGGGGAGAGTGATGCCCTCGTCCAAGCACCGCCTGAGATGCAGCTCCAGGAGACGAGATGCTTCGTACTGGACTTGGGTCATGGCCCGGACAGTCTCCTCGATCTTGTCGTGCAAGGCATCGTTCTTGATGATGGCATCGAGGGTGCACTTGACGATCGAGTACTCGGCCTTGGCATACTCGTTGGGGCCACAGTCAGGCAAGGTAGAGCTCCAGAGTGGGTTCTTCTTGGTACACAATGAACTGTTGCTTCTGGCATGACCCTCTTCCCCGCACGTGGCACATACAGGGACCTTGGGTGCTTGGCTGACCATTTCAGCGACCGAGGCAGGGCTCTGTCGATTCTGGCTGTGCACTTCTTGGTGAAGGGCCTAACATGGTTGGTCAGGCCACAGGCACGACACGATTTGATGACGGGTTTCTTGGCCACAGGAGAGTCATTGGGTGATCCCGGGTCGGGATCGGGGGGTGTCTTTCGTTTGTGGGGAGCCATCTGGCGAGAAAATAGCAGCGATGGCTGGTTCTTGTCAGGAACGGAGCTGGACTTTGGCACCAGACAGCTGATGGTAGTCGAACGGACGGTCGTAGGACGAAGGGGAGTGTATTCAATAGGCTAAGGGCAGGATACAAGAGGCAAGGTGAGGTGCTGGTTCTGAGGCCACAGCACCTCGTTTATATCTCTAAACGCCGTCCTTGTTCGCCGCAGATTTTTCTTCCACTACAAGGGAGATTGGTTATCTGCGACGGGGGGAGATTAGATCCGAACGTTTCCCTCGCCCGCCGGGAGGTTTCATGTCAGTGCCTTACCCAACATTGCACATCAAGGAAACAGGACACGGGTTGGGGCGCCCATGAAACCATCCACCGGGCGTGGGAACGCGGTTCATGACAGTTCTGCCCTTGGGGAAGAAAAATTTTCCTCAAAACCAGCGCATTTTGGGCTGGCAGCGGTGTTGTTCACAGTGGCGTCCTCGATTCAGATCCAGAAACGCATCGCTCGCTCAATCAGTCGTGGGAAGACATCTTGTCAAGGTGAGTCTTGCCTGATAGCCAAACGATCATGTCATCTCGCTGACACACAGCCACGCTTGACTAGGTTTCCAACCAGAGAGATTCAGATGGTGGTGGTTCTTGTCCGCAATCGGAGTGGAGCTTCCAACAATGATACAATTGGTCATTCCTCCACACCAATCGCCCACCACCACTGTCAATCGGCTCAAGGTGATACCAAATGCCGTCAACCGACCATGGCCGGATTCCAACTTTTGCTGCTCCACATTCGACGTGACTTTCAGGTGACCGAGATGAGCAGCCGCGAGGGGGACGGAAAAAATTGATAGTGCCTGAATACAGCATGTCAACACGTCCTGGTTTCCCCTTCAAGGCCGAATGGCGTGGAACATGCTGGGCGGCCTTCGGAACCTTCTCGGCGAGAGCAGCCGCCCCCCACTCCCGCTCTCGCCGAGAAGCCCGGTCCTGCCGCTCTTGCATCCCGTTGCTTGCCTCCTGCTCCTGCAATCCATCGTGGTCGCCAGCCTCGCCCGGCACATTTGCATCTCAATCCCCCCCCCTGCCGCCAATGTCGTCTTCAGGAAACACCGTCGGGGCCTTTCCGGATGCGGCCCCGGATGCGCCCCCGGAAGAGCAGCCCACTGCGGCCTCGTCCTCAACCTCGTATTCGTTCTCACAGTCAACGCTGCGAGAGCGCCATGTGCCTCTGCGCGAGGACATCAGCGCACGACGAATGCAGTATTTCACCAAAATCACCCGAGGAGAGAGCGCTGCAGCTCCATCGGAGATACCAGCGGAGGACCGTGTCCCTCCACCGACGCCTTCTATCCACCCAGACTCAGCAGCCACAACCCACGAGCCCACTCCCTCCTCCCAGCCCCAGGATCAAGCGCCGACTCCCACCGCAACCAACCCCGCCGGCACCTCATCGAAGGCATCTCAGCCTCCATCCGAAGATCCTCAAGGCTCCTCATTCGAATGCAATATTTGGTGAGGGCAGCCTCGAGCATACCAGAGGGCTGCTGGCGAAATATCGCGATTGCAACAGAGCGGTCGCTGCCAAGCGTCCGCAGCTCCTGACCTATCTGAACGTTCTCCCGCCAGCCTTGACATGGCCTCGGATCCGGTTATCACCCTGTGCGGGCATCTGTTTTGCTGGCCATGGTAAGCTGTCGCTGCAATCGTATGGTGCGAGCGCTATCCGATGACATCGTCTTGAATAGGATGGTGTAGCCGATGAGATGATGGATTGGGGTCTTTCGAAGCCGTTGTTGTTGGAGTGACTGACGACGACTCTTTTGGCTGCAGCATACATCGTTGGATCGAGGCCAAGCTGCCGGCCTCCAACACTTGTCCCGTATGCAAGGCCGGGCTCACAAAGGAGGGCCTGATTCCGATTTACACGAAGGGACGCAAGCATCCACGGTAAGAGCAGCCGCATCAGGGGCTGTTCCTGCAAGCGATGCCTTGGCATGAAACCCGCCTGGGCCGAAAGACATCCCACGAGGACGCTTCAATCCGGTGCCTCGGTGTTGCTTGCGACTGACGATTTGCTGCGTGTCCTCCAGGGACGAGCCCGAGCCGAGCATCCCTAATCGACCATCAGGACAGCGGCCCGAGCCCCCGCCGCCCGAGAACCCCAATCCATTTGGATTCATGGGCGACTTTCCGCTTTTCAATGGACTGGGATTCGGGATGATGCCTGGCGTTGGCGCCTTCCAAGTTGGCAACACCACAATCAACTTTGGGCTTGGATTTGGGCTGATTCCCTCGCTCATAGGCTTGTCAATTGTGCGTTGCTTGCTGCTCTGCCTGGCTTGTCGCTGTTACCGCAGTCGGCCTCATTCGGCGTCGTCATTTGTTGTTGCTGTGATGCGGCAACTGTTCGGACCAAGGACCTTTGGTACTGACGCTGTTGTGTATCATCCCTTGAATGGTCCAGGCGCTTATATCGCAGTTCCAGAACAGAAACCAGCCAAACAACGCACCGACCGCTCAGGACCAACAGCGTGAGTTTGCATGATCCCACAAGCACCATTGTGCCGAGGGGTGCCTGTTATCTTCCTCTTCCCCCGCCGCCAACGGATCCTGTTTTCAAACTCGTCCAAACACGGCTCTTGCTGTGGACGACCTGATTCAGCTCCCACGGACCGGGTCGAGGGTGTCTCTGCCCGCAGCTGACTAACACTCTGCGCTCTGCTCGTATTCGCCAGTGTTCGTGTCGCGAATAATCTGGCTGTTTGGCCTCCTGGCGTTCATCTATATTCTGTTTTCTTAGAATGACCCGGCAGCACACAAGCCGATATGTTTTTGCGCGCAGAAGGCTCTGTAGGAGGAAATGGCGGCGATGTATGATTGATGCGATGAATAGGATACACGTACATCTGCGTCTCGGGTCGTCTTTCATCCACCTGCCTGTGGTTTCCGCATCTCTGTCGAGCTTGTTGTAGATTGGCATGGTATGGCATGGCATGGCATGGTATCTGCCGTCAGAAACTCGCCTTCGATACAGACAACCCAACGCCTATGATATCGCCAGCCGCAGTCCTCAAGAGCCTATGGATGTCGCTCGCTTTTGCAACCCGATACGCACATGTCCTCGCCACTATCTGCCCGAAAACCACTTCACAGTCGACGACAGCGACATCAGTGCAACCAGGAACACAACCACGGGGCACAAGTCGTAGTATTGAATCCAAAAGTACACGCCTCGAGTGGCATTGACGGGCCCACTTGCCAGCGCAAGCGGCAAACATAGATCTAGAGAATGGTGCCGGAGTCGCTGTCGGCTGCTGCCGCAAGGGCCGTATGCAGTTTCGTACGAAAGCGGTGGCCACACCCGGTATTGCTGGATCCGGGCTTCAGTCGCTGTTGGTGAGCCATGGGTGCGATAGGACTTGCGATATGGTCGCTCGTTGTGCAGGCTCAAGGGCGAGCATCTTCTTGAGCAAGTCGGCGCAGTCTGGGGTGATGGCGAAGCGCAGTGAGCAACGGTGGCAGCTGGGTTAGACATGTCGGCCGTCTACCCATGTTGGCATTATGCCCAGGCCGTCGATCTATGGCGAGCCAGGGAGTGCGACAGCCTTACCCGGATGAAGCCCTCTGGGAAAGGGAATTAGCCCCGAGAGAACCTCCTCCTCGTTGATGAAGCAGGCCTCTCCGCCGCTTGCTATCCGAAACAGGATCAGGCCCAGGGCCCATATGTCGCCCTGGTGCCCGAGATAACTGGACTTGACAATGATCTCGGGCGCCGAAGCCTCCCGGGTTCCGTACTGCTCAAAGAAGGTGTCGCCGACCTGCGACCTGAGAAAGTGCGACATGCCAAAGTCGATCAAGGTGATTTTGAAGTCGTCATCGACAAGAATGTTCTCGCAGCGAAAGTCGAGATAGGCATAGCCAGCCCTGTGGATGGCCTCGTAGGCTTCGCACACCTGGCGGAAGAGGTGCTTCTGGACCGAGACCGGTGTGACTCCATACATTGTGAGAAAGTCGCCAAGATCGCCGGCGTGCGAATTGCGTGGGCGCTGCAGCCGCGAAAGCGTGGGCTGTTTCTGGATGGCTGGCTTTGCCGTGACATGCGGTGCTGGTTGTGTCTCGAGGTGGAGTGGAGAGGGCGAGCCTGCGACGCTCTCGCCGGGAGGTCGCTGTTCGGGAATGGTCGGCGACAGAGCAGGGAAGCTCGGAGGCGAGCCCAAGTCCGTTTGGGGCGGGCTTTCGGCTGCGACGGCGGGAGGCGGGGTCTCATCGAGTCGCCATGCCAGGGGCTTGGCCTGGTCCATCACAAGACAGTAGTAGTGCTCGGTCATCCACAGGCCGCGGAACCTGACGACATTGGGATGGGATACGGACTTGAGTATATGCGCCTCAAGTGGAATGCCTTTTGGAAACCGGCTGTCGTCGCTGGGCACCAAATAGGCCACATTCTTGCGAGGTATGAACTTGATGGCGACCTGGAGGGAGGGAGGGATCCACCACAGAGATCGTCAGGATTGCATTCTCAACAGAGTTGGCCGCAGCACAGACATCAAGCAGCCCGTCGGATCGACCGACACACAGGCGCTTCGAATTCAGCTCGTAGTGCATCATGGCTCAAAGCCCAAGCGCACCTTGCTTCCATTCGCTCGCTCAGTCGCCTCGGCCACAAAGCCGTTTCCGCCGTAGCCCAAGAGGCCGACGAACAGATACAGCTCCGAAAAGTCTGGGGGAAGCTCCTGGATTGTCTTGTTGAGTACAGCCATGACGGAATTGAGCTCGCTGTTCTGCGACTTTCGATGCTTCAGCACATTCATAAACAGGGATTCCGGGCCAGTCCGCGGTTGGTCGCTCCCGTATGGATGCTCGTCGCTGTCGTCGCTGTCGTACTCCTGAAAGTACTCTTGATTGTCGTCGCTTATGAGCTTGGTTTGGATACGGCCACGAGAGTCTCGAGTGATGCGGACATGGACCTCCGATTCGTCGTCGGGCCGGCACCAGCTGCAACACACCAGGGCTCTGAAGCTGTCTTTGAGCGAGCTCCAGAACGAGGTCGATAGAGGGCGAGAATGCGAACCGAGCGACGGCGGCCCCGAGGGTGAGTCTGCCAGCGTGCGGAACTTGCTGTTTTGCGACGGGTGCCGAAGGGAGAGCTCAGCGATTTCTTTGGAGGAGCCGATCCGGTGCAGATCGCCTTCCTGCGGTCGGGGCTCGGCTCGTTTGGGCGAATGGATCGAAACGGGAGCATTGGCCACCGGACTCACTGCCCTGGGCGGATGTGTTGGCTCATCCACGGCAAACAGGTCGCCGGTGCGATCAGGGAGGCTGCCGGGAACAGGGGCCTGGGAGAGCTTTGGATGAGACTGCAGGAAGTGCAGTTGCCTGGGTGGCGAGCCAACCGGGCCACCGGGTTCATGTTCCTCTCGAAGGCGTTGGAAGGGCATGGGCACCGAACAGGCTCTACTGGATGGGTGCCTATCGGGTTGTTGCAGCGGCTGTCGACACCGTTGCTGGGTGTACCGATGCAATTGTTGCCTCTGCCGTTGATGCAGTCGATACCGGTGCTGCCAAAGCCGCCAATGTCGGTGTCGACGGCGCTAATGCGGCGGGCGCCGATTCGTTCGCTGCTGCCAAGCGCAAAGGCACAGGCCAGGATCAGCGGGGCTCAATGGTGCACAAGGTGCTTGAGCCGTCCAGGTCGCCGATGGCCTGCTGCTGCTGGGGGGGGGAGGGCTGCCTTTGGGTTGATGATTGGGAAGGCCAGGAATGCCCAAACCGCTCGCAAAAGCGGGTCCGTACATTGCCCGCCATGCCGCGAGCAGGAAACGGAAACCTTGGCGGCACGGGCTTGGTCCCAGGCCCGGTCGCAGGCTCGGCTCCAGGGATCGCGCGGGTGCCGAGGATATCCAGGCAGCCAGCAGCCAGCAGCCAGCAGCCAGCAGCCAGCGCAGGCCGGCGAGCGATATCCATCAAGGCGGTCCGTCTGGCTGCGTATGTGCGTTGCAGCATCCATGTTCTCACCAGGTGCGGAGGGATGTGGACTGGTGTGTCCACCGGCTTCTCAACACGCTGTCGGTCGCCACCATGAGTACTTTTCCAGACCTCCCATGGTTTTAATAGTGCCTGGCAGCAAATGCCAAGACGGCGTCGTCCTCGGAACTCCATGGCGATCCAGTCCGGCTTCGGTGGCCACAGACCAGCATGCCAGCACTCGCCCGCTCATTGTTGGATGGCCGGCTCGGTCTACCCGATTGCAGACGAGTCGCCAGCAGAGATGACCACATCCCAGCTGGTCGCAAAGAATGGACTGTCGGCCCAATCATCCGCCTGCCAAATGTTTTTCAATCACAGCGAGCCTCCGAGCAAGCATTGGTGCATCGCCGTGCATCGCCGTGCATCGCCAGAGGGGCCACTGCACGCCGTTGTCCTGGCTTTGCCAGTGCACTCTTGCTCGCTGTCTGTGCTGGAATTGCTGGCGGTGATTGCAAGCCATTACAGCTGTTGTGGTCATTACACCCGTCGCCACGGACAGCAAACAATGTCGCTTCTGCTGGGATTGGTTTTGGCGATGCGGACGAAGGGCTGATTGTGCTCGAGTCTAGAAGTCTCTGCCCTCGAACGCTGCCGGTAGTCCATCACTGCTTGCGACCAGAAATACTCTCGCGGGCCTTTGCTCGTCAGCGCTTGCCCTTCAGCGACTTGAGCTACTCAAATCCCTTGCCTTTCCGAAATCGTCCTCCTCGCTTACCGTCGTCCGCGGTCGTTGCCTCACAATGCGTGATAAGCCCGATGCCGTCAAGGGTGCCGTGCCCGCCGAGGAGCCCAGCAGCACCGAGCTCCAGAAAAAGAGCTTCAATCCCTTCAAGCTCGCCCGGAAGGCAAGCAACAGCAGCGATGCCCTGACAAAGTCGTCCTTGTCACAGATTCTTGGCTCGTCGAAGCAGGCAGAGGAAACCGCCTCGGGCCAGGGAAGTACAAACTTGTTGCAGGCCGCCAACGCACCGTCGTCAGGCATCAACATCTCGATAACCACGCCGGAAGATGCTCCGCCGTCACCATCGGGGCTCACTGGCCGAACGTCAACGACGGTACCCCCACAAAAGTCTCTCTTTGGACTGGTCCGGTCCAAGAGCATGAAGTCGCCCAGTTCGTCGACCACCAGTCCCTCCAACACCCTGCCTCGGACCGGCTCCAAGCCTGCAGACACCAGCACCCGGACCTCGTCCTCACAGAAGGACAACCATCTCAAGACCAACCTGGTGAAAAACAATCCGCTGGCTGCCTCCATGCCCCTCAACAATCCCTTCAATGCCACCGTCACCAACCCCGATGGCTCGACCGAGAGCTCACAGGAGGAGATGGATCAGGTCTCCGAGCTCAACTTGGTCAAGTCCTTTGGCTCCGCCATGCATCTCTCCAACGCTCCTCCCGCAGGTGGAGGCGCCCCGACTGCGACTCTGACTGCCCCATCTCCGGGCTCTAAGCACGGCCGCTCTCTGCCCAAGATTGCATCGGTGTTCACAAAGAAGCCGTCGGGTTCCTCTGGGAAGACCCGCGCGGCCTCAGAGACCCCCGACAAAGTCGGCGCCATGACAAGCAACCAGACCCTGGGATTCTCACCCGTCACCACAAGCACTCGCGCCGGCGGTCTTTCCGCCTATGAAATTGGCCCGTCGGCACCGGTGAGCAAATCCTATGTGCTTGACGACTTTAACGTCATCAAAAAGGTTGGCAAGGGCGGATTTGCGACCGTGTACCTGGTGCGCTTGAAGAAAGCCACTGGAAAGTACTTTGCCCTCAAGGCCATCAAAAAGGCCGATTTGGTCAAACTGAAGCAGGAGAAGCAGATTCTCAATGAAAAAAACATCCTCAATGCCACCAAGCACGCCTTCATCATTGAGCTTTTCTCTACCTTCCAAGATACCTATCATCTGGTACGGGGACAGTGCTGCACCTCCGCGGTGCTGTTACAGTAACTGAACCACCATTGGGGTTGTTTGTGTCGCATTACTGATGCTGCGGTACCGATGTCCTTTGAGCTGCTCCGGGACTGAAAGGCTAACTTTCTCCAACGGTCTCAAGTATATGATTCTGGAATACGTTGCCGGTGGAGACCTGTTCTCGTATCTCCGACGATCACAGGTATGCCTCATCTCAACGTTCCAAATCCTGGGTGGCGCAGGAGCTGGAGTTACATGCTAGATAGCCTTTTCCAAGCTGCGCTGTTGGCCATATGTGTGCATCGAGCAGGGCGACTTTCTATCCTTACGACACATGTGTGCTCGGACGGTATGCGCATTAGCCCATCCATAATCACTGACCATCGATCTGCGGCGTCGCGGATAACTCTTGCCAGCGCTTTCCAGAGAACGATGCTCGGTTCTACACTTCCGAGGTTCTGGTAGCGCTCGAGTACCTGCACTCGCAAAACGTGATATACAGAGATCTTAAACCCGAGGTGGGTTTCCCAGACCGTGCCGTTGCATCGCTGTCACAGCTGATCGGCTGGATGCACGAGCGGCGATCCTGATGATGCTCTCAGGCATCCACCGAGCCGCGATTGCCGCACTGTAACGCCGAGTCGCTCGTATCCTTCGAGTAGCATCATCTGTTCGCACATTCTGCTGCTGCCTTGGAGACGGCGGGTGCAGAGACGCTGATGCAGAGGCGCTGATGCAGAGACGCTGATCGGGTCTGTTTCGCTTTGAAAGAACATCCTTTTGGACACGACCGGGCACATCAAAGTGGCCGATTTTGGCTTTGCCAAGGTCATACGTGGAACAACCAACTCATTTTGCGGAACACCCGACTACATAGCCGTCGAACTCGTCATCAACAGGCCATACAACAAGATGGTAGACTGGTGGTCGCTTGGCGTCCTTGTCTTTGAGCTCGTGTCTGGCAAGACTCCCTTTGGCGACGACACCTCCGAGAAGATCTACGAAAACATCCAGTCCGGCTCCATCAAGTGGCACCCCTTGGTCAAGAATGCTGCAAAGGATCTTGTTCGCAGGTTACTGGACCCTGATCCGGTGACCCGGCTCGGAGCTGGCAAGGAGGGCCCCACCGAGATCAAGAACCATCCTTGGTTCAAGGAGCTGAATTGGAAAAAGGTCGAAAGCCGGACAGCCGTCCCGCCTTATGTGCCTGCCTGCGAGCCTCCGGAGACCATTGAGAAGCAGAAGGCCGCCAAGGGCGGCGAGGATTGCGCCGAGACGCTGAAGAACGTCGGTCAGGCTCTGGCCAAGGATGGCAAGTCGTGGCTCGGGAAAGGCGGCGATCCCTTCCATGAGTATTTTAAAGACTTTTGAGGGACAAACACGGCTCGTCCGAGGTGACGAGCCAAACTGGATTTTGGGGGCAAATGAGAGAAGCAAAAGTCCAGACAAAGATAGAGGCCGCGAATAGACATATTACCCGTGCCGCTCGCAGGTGGCATGGACAACTGATGCCGCTGGTGTCTGGCTGATGTCTGGCTGCACTGAATCACCAAAATACATTCCAAGCTCGCAGTGACACAAAAGTGGCAGATAGGGAGTGCATCTTCTCCAGAAGCTCGGCGAGGAGTGCTGTGAGCAGCAGTGTGTTCACCATCCGTTCGAGACAAGACGCTACGCATGCTCCAGGTCATCGTATGGACTGATCAAAGCGAGTTGCCGATGCTTCCAACGTATTCTGAATCGACGCAAAGAGCGGTAAATATTGTATGTTAGGATGGATACCCTTGGTAGGGCTGTCCGGCTCACCGACTGTTTGGTTTGCAATCGTATCTGGGCATACCAACTGTCACCGGGACTTGGATAATCTCCTCCGGCGTCTTGATAAGCAGCGTTTCACTATATTCTCGGATCCCAGAGCTCTCAGCCGGACTTGGACTCAGACAGATGTCCATTCTGATCGTCAAGCCCGGCGCAATCTGGGTGCGTCGAGTAGAAATATTGGTGGTCAAACAATGTCAGCTCCCATGTTATCGTATGATGTCATTGACACACTATTGGGGATCACGCATAGACGACCAAATGAATGGAACATCTCTGTTCCATCGATCTGATAGAAGTGCATTCGCAGCCGTCGTAGGCTAATCGTACCGGTCCTTTTGGATAGTCAAGCTTGACGACTGAGCCCTTGGGTTGCTTGATGAAAAATCGGATGGGACGAGTGCCGGTGTTTTTGATGTTGATGGATCTCGTGGCCGTGCGGGCGTCTCGGCCGCTGATGGCTCCGAAATCGCATCTTGATGGATACAGGGCCAGCTTTTCGCCTGAATTGCCAGATGCAAGGCGGTGATCAGAGACGCCGCTCATCAACCTCTTTGCTGATCATCGCATAGATTCGATACGTACCGCTCTCCTTGAGCTTCTCGGTCCAACCCGTGCTCTTCGTGTGAGATTTGAATCGAGGCTCGAGTGGCTCAGGTTCAAGGGCCTCTGAATGGCCAGATGCCAAAAGGTTCTGCTTTTGAGATACAGCCTGCGCATTCTTGGGTGCGCTTTTGGATGTGCTCTTGGAAAGACTTCTCGGAGTTATCTTGACCTCCTTTTGATCGGCAGTCTATCGCGTATCCACGCCACAGCGCATTATGATTGCAAAAGCACAGCAAGCGATGGAGGACCACGACTTTAGCAGCGGGCTCGCTCCCCATGCAACACCATCGACGCACGGGCTCGCGAATATGTGCCACATAAAGCACAAAGGGGACGCTGTCGGAGTATACCCTGCGCTCTGGATCGCTGGTAGCGGCATCAGTATAATGACTCTGAGAATCGCATTAGTGCTGTTAGATCGGACGCATTTGAAAAGTCATTGGCGATGGAACGCCGCAGCAGATCGGTCTTGCTAGCGCACATTATGCATTGACCCACCTCAAGATGCTTGATCTGGTTCAGGAAAAACAAGCCTTCGGGGCTCTCAAAGTAGTTAGGAATGCTATCAACCTCGCGTATTTTATCCCGAAGTCCGCGAGTTTTCAGCAACGACATGGAAATAGTCTCTCCGCTCGGCCGCTCCACAACTTGGCGATTAACCTCTGTCGCGATTCGCTTGGGTTTGAAGATGTGGCGAATCTGTATACACCCGCAGGGCCATGACAGGACAGTGAGCCTAACATGCAGAACACCAAAATGAGCTTCGTCTTTTGCCAACCCTACAGATCACTCTGCCATACCGTAGGCTCCTCGAACGATGAGAAATCCTCAAGTATCTGTCCATGAATGACGTGAAGCATGAGAACAGCGTGTGCGTTTTAAATGCCGATCGAATTAGCACCGACTCATCGCGCTGCATATACAGCCTCGAGGCGTGAGCAAATAGCGGACGGGCGAGGCTCGCTATGGGCTGTGTCATTCCAAGGTGAACGCAATCATCCAAAGACAAGCAACTCTCATCCACCTACGTTGATGTCGGAATACTGGGCCGCAGCTGTGGCGGTCGGCCTCCGGAGATTGAACATCTTACATATCTCTTCTTCGGTTGCAAGCCGATCTTCGCCAAATATCATCTTTGACTTTCCTTGGGACTCAATATCTGCGAGCACTGCGAGCCGTGGGTCGGTGCTGCCGTCACTGCCACCCAGAACGGGTCCAGTGAGCAGCTTTCCGGACTCGGTAAAGTCCTTGAGCGACTGCTGCTGCATTCGCATGATCTTCTGGAAGTTCTCTCGATCCTTGTTACTGATGGTGTAGCGAACCATCTATGGGGACATAGTCACTGGCGGTCAGTTCCGCTCCCTCGCGTGTCGCTGCTCGCGGCTTATCGACTGTGGGCTGCACTACCTGTCTGTGCGTCAGCACTGTTCCGTAGTTGTCATGGAATCCGGCCTTTCCACAGGCATCGCGCAGCCCTTTGGAGTTGATGATCGTATAGAAGCGCAGGGCTTCCTTTCCGGGAGGAGAGCTTTCCATGACATGGGAGGTGGGCGAGACCTCGGCCTCTTGAAGATATGGAAGGACATCCCGATCCCTCAGGAGCTGGCGTGCCCGGCCGTCATCACTGATAGCAAACAACCTCGGGTAGTTGTTCAAATGGACATTATCCATCTCCTTTTCAGAGGAGATCTACAGACAAATCGGGACACGATATGCGATGCGCAGACAATCAGAATCTGCAGAATCCCGAACCACTGCTTTGAAAGGGCAGTCATTACACTAACGCAATACAGACCGAGATGTTGAGCTCGTTGTTCTCAACCGTGATCGACACTTTGGCGTTTTCATCGGCATAGTCGACCGTGGACTTGTGCCAGTTGATTTTAAAGGGAGGGCTGTTTTTCTTGAAATCGGGTTCGTACGTAGCGGAGCCATCGCTCGATGTTGTGAGCCGTACGTTGTCCTGGTGGTGGTGGAGTGGTTGCTGTTAGACTTGAATCATCCTGGGGCTGAACTGGCCCGAGATCGAGTCGAGCCGCTGTGTGCGATCGCTGTATCCATCTCTCAAGCAGCCTGGCCTACCAAAGCGACCTCGAATATGGACTCCCCCGACTCTAGCAAGCTCTGAGTGATGGTGAGTCCGCCAATAAGCTTCACTATCCTAACTCGAGCGGTTTTGAAGGTAACGACGCCATAACTGGGGTGCTCGACAGTCATGGGCAGGTTATCGGAAGACCCATCAAAGGAGATCTCGGTGCCATCGGCGTGCTGGCAGTGAACTTGGCCAGAGTCGTGGCAGACTTTCGAGACGATGTCTTCGCGTGTGGTGATCCGCTGCTTCATATTGATGTGGTTTTCGTGTATGACTCGAATCGACGGAAGCTGTCGGAAGGCCCTTTCCGCCCGATTTGATGATGCTTCGAACTTGGCACCGTCCATGTTAGTTGAAACCCAGGAATTCTGTCTTTCGTGGGCAACGTTGCCGCTCGGAAACAGCACCTTGGCCTGGTGACTGCCCAAGTATGATATAACGATTCCCTGAGTCCCAAAGCAAGATGTATATGTTGGCTTGCCAGATCAGGGCCGCTGTATGCGCAACATGTCCCTCGAGCTGGCGGCAGCATTGCCCCGTAGCGTAAAGGAGACCGCAGAGTGGGTATGCTACTTGGGCCTACCTGCGGCGTGATGACCCGTCCCTGCTCGGTGTCTGTGGATTGGAGTGGACTGGGTGCCGCCCCGCGACTGGACGCTGCCAGCTTCTGCACAATGTTTCCGTTGCAAAGGAACTCAACGATACAGCCATCCTGTCCGGACGCTTGTACGTAGAGAGTGTTGCTTGAGTTGGATTTTGACATCGAAAAGACGTCTCCAGTGGAAAACGTCATGGATATCACTGCTTCGAAATCCGTGATGTTCTCCCACAGGACAAAGGCTTTCTCGCTGGAGATATTCAAAGAAACTGGTATGTATCAGGAGAGCGGGTGGGTCGGACATGATATGTATGAGTAAGGATGTTCATAATGTGGTGTGCGCGCCTGCCTGGTATCCAGACTCGCGCAAACAATCACATCAAGCAACAGACAACGTCGCTCCGCTGGAGTTTGACCGATCTACAGAACGTACTCTTCTTGAGACTGTCAGAAAACGCCGTTTGTCGAACTCTGATGATGTGCCCGTCCTTCGAGGGGTATGCCAGATGCTCTGTCTCGTTGATGTTGATGATGCTGTCGCCGGCCACATAGGTGGAGCTTCCGCTGGCCTTGCACTTTGATGCCAGTTTAGTAATGGACTGAAATAGTGGCGAGCCAGACTCTTGCAAGCTGTTGTACAGCCCAAACCCAACCTTGGTGTTGACCTGGGTCACCGGAGCATGGTGACAATAGGCGACGATGAGCTGCCATAGTATTGATGGGGGTGCCCCAAGCTCGATGCAATATGCGATAATCTCGTGTGGGCCGGGGCAGAGCGCCTGCGGAACAGACACCCAAGCACTCACATTTGATCTTGTGACATTCCGGTAGTATAGCTCGCCGTTACCGGGGCTCGTTAGAATGATCAGAAGCAGTCCCTCGCGCTCGAGATACCGAGTGTAGAGCTTGTTCTTGATGGATTTGATCTCTTGGATGACCTGAGCGACAAGCGCCCGGCGTATACATATGGATTGTTAGAGACAATCAAGATACAGAGCGACAAGCCAATCAGGGCTCAGGCAGTTCGACTCAGCTGCCCCTCCAATAGTGCAATACATCACGCCTGTCGCATCCCATATACACTCGTATCCACTATTGCACCGTACCTGGAACATGGTTGGCTTGTCGAGGGCCTCGACCCAACACCAGTCGTTGAGGATCCATTCGCGCCCCTTGAGGGGAATCTCAAAGTCCAAAAGCTTCTCAAAGAGTGTTTGGAAAAACATGCGCTTTACCGCGCCGATTTCCCCAATCTCATCCAGCGCCGCCCCCAGGCCAATCATGTTCAGCACGCTTTCGTGCTCCGACAAGTTGAAGGCCTTGGCATATTGCTCGCGCAACTGGATGAAAGCTCGGTCGTACTGGCAGATGGAGAGCTTGCTCCCGAGATCTTCGAGCATCTTGCGTGGACTTAGTCCCATGTTCTCCAGTGTGGACAGTCGAGCGACGAGGTGGCGGTACTGGTCGCCATAGCGAGCAACGATCTTGGAGGACTGGGGCCTTATGAGAGCAAGGTAGAGCATAGATACTGTCAGATGCGACACGTCGCCACGACGATCGGCGCCAAGGTCAGCCCATCGGATGGAAGCCAAGTGAGGCGAGAAAGCCAGAACTCGTGAATGCGATCGATTCGGCGCTTTGAAGCAGGAATCATTCTCGCCGATCCAAGAAGAGTACCATGCTTGAAAGCACCTACTGGGTCTGGGTCGGCGTGTCGACCGTGCCGAGGTCCTTGATGACGTCGTTTGTTGCCAGCTTGTTCGTGAGTCGCTCGATATAGGACTGCAATACGGACACCTCGTCAAGGGCAGGAAGCGATGACTCTGGCACCGTGTCGGCACCATCGCATGTCACCCGAACCAAGTTTTCCACCAACACAGCCAGAATCAAGTCGGATGTGATGGCCTCTTCGTCCTGCACAGCATTCAAGACGTGGTGGTAGTATCGAAGGCACGTTTGCTGAATCTTGGTTCCATCGATTTGCGGGATCGATATCATCGTGGCTGGGTCATAGAGAGCATCGTACGCCTTCTTGCGATCGAGGAGAGCATACAGATGCTTGGCAATCACGTCGAATATCTCACCGTCTTCGGAATTTGTGTTGAGCCAGATATCGGACCACGCAATTTGGCGCCAGAGCGACGAGTCGGACGAATTTTGGCAGGCTAGACGAAGGGCCAGATAGCGCTGGTCGAAGGGCGCGTGTGATTTCTTCTCTATGAGCACCTGGCTTCCTTCTGTGCCGCCGCCCAGATAGGGCACAAGACGCAGGACGGTCGACACTTGAACATGCTCGTCCTCAACGAGGGCGTTGAGGAAGCCGGGAGTGTCGAACCCTCGCAGGAAATAGTATGCGTCGGGTCCGTCTGCTGGCTCATCGCCTGGGCGAGCGAGTTGCACGAGATATGCGTGTACGGCACACAGACAAAGGTCCAACGATAACAGCAAATAGCGCCTCAGCACGCCGCAAATTGTGGAGCGGATGTGGCTTCTGCAGCACACCCTGCGGGCGATCACTGGTGCTGATGGGGTCGCAAAGCAAGGAGTCGCTTACCGATGGCAGCCACTTTTACGTCCGTCTTGGGCACTCCACGCTCTCTGAGCTTGTTCTTGCGCTTGGAGACCTCCGCTGGGGCCTGAGCGGATGCAGGGCGGCTGGGAACTTCGGCTTTGGCACCTGACAAGAGAGCAAATGCGTGTTATCGAGTCGAAGGCTCGTAGCGGCACCTGGGCCAGAAGCTGTCTGGACTTAGTAAGATGTTGCGACATGGTAGCGTGCCTTTAGCGGGCTTCTTGGCATTGGCTGCCTTGCCCTTATCCTTGTCCTTTCCAGAGTCTCGCTCGTCCTTCTTGGCCTGGGTTGGCTTGGCCGCCTGTGCCGCCTCGGCCTGTGGAGCGGCCTCATCTTCCTCCTGCAGAGGATAGAGAAATCCGCCGGCGAAAATGGTTGTTGACGGGCAAAGCATGGAACCGGGTGCACGCAAAGGATGGAGATTAGTGACGATTTGGACGAGTATCAGCGCTGTCAAGATATGCAAGTACTCCTGTTGATGTGGACTGCGCGTTCTATTTGCTTCCAAGGCAATCGAGGCGAGCAATCACAATCAGACACATACCTTGAGTGGCTTGGCTCCGTTCTTGATCTCGATTCCCTCCTGTCTGAGGGCCACCAGCTTCGCTTTGAGCAGGCGCGCGACCAGCGAGTCCGGAATCTGTTCTTCTGGCGTCCCGTTGTCGAGCAGGTTCTTGGTTTCTTTGCAGGCGTCGTTGCCCTTGCCAACTTCCAGAGCCTAGAACAGACGCGGCATGAGCGGAGCGTTCGCGCTTTGCAAAATTGGTTATTGAGGGCAAATGACACCCTCGGACGGCTTCGATGCGTTACCCAGGCAAAGAGAGTGCTCTTCTGGATCACGGCGAACTTGGGACGCGAGCCTGTAGCGATCATATCGTAGAGCACCGGCGCGAGCGAATCGGGGGTCTCGATGCCGGCGATGACTGATATGTAAACTGTCCAATAATCCTGGTTTTGAGAACACCGCAACGTCAGCCACGACTACAGGGTGAATGCGACAGGATGCGCACCGGACGAGCCATGGCTCCACATCCGCCGGCTGTCGCCTGGCGCGTCATCGAGCCCAGTCGGATGAACCCACATTGTTGATAAAGCCTGCGGTGGCGGAGTTGGCCACGGCCGGGGTGTTCCTGTCCTTCTTTGACATTAGCTTTGCTGAGCCGGGGGCGGTCGCAGATACAGCCAGCAACCGCTCGCCCTGGTGCTTGAGTCGCTCGCCCATGGCCCTCGCCTTTCCCACGCGGCAGCCAGAGGCGTGTGTGTGTGCATCACGTGCATCACGTGGCGCAGGCTCATGGCTGCTCGCTTCCTGTTTGGCGCAAGAAAAAAAGCGACAGGCCAACGGCGGCGCTGGCGGCCGATGCAAGCTGGCACTTGACGGTCGTCTTGTCTCTGTGCCTCCATCGTGTGTCTCTCCGCTGCTGGTGCTGCTGTTGCTGTTGGTGCTGCTGCTATCGACTGGCATCGTCCTAAGCCACAAAATCGAGCTCGGCCGAGTCAAGAACAAGCGTAGAAACAGCTTAATATGATCCAGCTCAAATCACTTCTGAAGGTGAGCATCCGCTGGCGACTGCTCGCACGATGGGCTCATCAAGACGCATTGGCACGCAAGCCGACTTGATCGGGCTTACGGAAAGACTCGTCGCATCGAGTCTGGATCATCCGAGGACGTGGTGGATGCCATCGACTCAACCTGCCTCCTCCCCGGAGAACTGGTTCTGGTCAGATGAACGATGGCCCTGGACGATCGCCTCCCATGATGCTGTGCATCTGCCAGGCTTGCCGAAGCTGATGCCCTCTCCCCCCCCCGCCACATAACCTTCATGTCCAGGTCATCGACAACTCGGGCGCGCTGGTGGTCGAGTGCATCAACGTCATCGGAGCCGGACGCCACGCCTCGATCGGCGACGAGATTGTCTGCGCCGTCAAGCGCGCTCGTCCGCTGTCGGCTGCGATGACTACCGGTGCTTCGCAAGCATCCGTCGGCAAGCTCAAGAAGGGTGATGTCTCTCGCGCTCTGGTCGTTCGAACAGCAAAGGAGGTCCGCCGACTGGACGGCAGCTACATCAAGTTTGACGACAATGCCTGTGTCATGCTCAACAAGCAGGGCCAGCCCCTCGGCAACCGTGTCCTGGGTGTGATCGGAAGCGAGTGTCGGCAGAAGCGATGGGCAAAGATTGTGTCGATGGCCCCGCGTGTGGTATAACTCCACGAACAGCAAGACTCTCGGTGGGGCCACTGTCGGAGCGGCACACGCACATACACAGCGGATCGCCACACTGATCCATGCCTCGTTCGCTCAAGGCTCTCATCGACCGCTCCATGCTTTCTTGGTTTGTCAATTCACCCGATCGTTTCCCACCATCTCTCTCCGGCAGTGCTTGAAATATAACACCAATACTTTGTACATGGAAACGGGATTGGCAAGGTGGTATTGTGGCAATCTCCCTCACAGCTCCCGCCGCTTGGAAAAGTCTTTGCACATGGGAAACTTGGCCAGGGCTTTCAGATACTGTTTGGCCAAGAGCCGCTCACGGTCGGAAATAGCCACGCCGTCGAGGACCTGCAGCCCTTTGAGCTTGCGGACGATGGTGCTGCGGTAGATGATGTGCTTCACGATGCTCCAATCGCACTGCTCGTTTGGCCTGCTCTCTATCCGCCGGCTTTCAGTGAGCGCCGTGGCTCGTACGCCCATGGAAATGGGGTTGGACCTGCAGAAGGCGGTTGAGTCGCAGGGGCACGCGGCGATCGGATGATGGGACGGGCGACAGAGTCAGCAGAAAGGATCAAACGAGGTCGAATGGACACTCTGGGCTCACGATGTGCTAAAGCAAAGCTACCACGAGCTGCCCTTGATGTGCGATTTAGCTCGATTGGTCGCTTCTGTGATGGCACAATGCCGGTCCGGGAGCTAACATCCAGGCGCCGAGGTTCCTGCGACGGCATGCAGCGATGGGGTCAGAGTACTCACGTCAGATCCAGGGTGTTCAAGTTGAAGGCAAGCTCGCTGATCTTCTTGATTGTGACGTCAAAGTCGCGCAGCTCGTTCTGATGCAGCAGCAGCACTCTGAGATGCTTGAGGTATCTCAGGAAGGACAGGTCGGCAATGTTGTTGTCGTTCAAGACTAGCTTCTGGAGCATCGGCATGGCCTTTGCGCATTCGTCGGGAATCGCAGAGATATTCGCAGAAGCTAGCTCAAGCACTTGCAGCCGACCGAGCGAATCGATCAGATTCCAGATTGGAAGGTACTTGTTGCCTGATTGCAGTGCCATTGTCGTACCATCAGTATGCAAACGTTTCACCACGAACCCTCTCCCGCAAGCGTCGCGCCGAATTCATTGTGCTTCAAACAGACAGATCTGTTCGCTTGCGTGGCAGTGCACTCGTGCAAAGTTGGGTGCAACAATCTCAGACTGCCTTCAGCAGGATATCGTACCAGACAATCGCAGTTCGCGAGGCCGAGGCAGCTCCGTGGGTCTGGAGTCAATGCAAGAGAGGGGTTAGGTTGCTTGGCCAAAGCACACCAATGTGAAGGCCCTTGGTGAGCGACGGAGAATACCCGTAGCGCAGAGCGGCAACGTACGTGAATCGCGGACCAGTCTGATCTTCGAGCGACAGCGAGTCCATGTTCTCCAGCAACCGGCCGTTCTCAAAATCCCGCAGCTTGTTCCGATCCATTTCGAGGATTCTAAGCCGATGGGGCTGTGTGATTTTGAAAACCCTCGCACGATTGTCATTGGCTGAGAGCACCTCCAGCTCGGGGAGATGATCGATCAAATCAACAGCCTGAATGGCGTTGTTGTCTGTGGCATCCGAGTTGCAGTCCATGACGAGTTCAGCTTGGATGGACATTGCTGAGTAGCACAATAGTCATGGCAATCGCAACAGCGTTACCAGAGCTAGTCATGGCGAGCGCATACGTACCCAGGTAGAGCTCCCTGAGAGTCGTCAAATGCTTCAGGTCTTCGACTTCGGTCAGGTAGTTGTTGGACAGATCGAGATACTCCAGGATGTCGCTGCGGATCCACAGCGTCAAAGGTGAGCAAGTGGTGGCCAGCCGGCACCTCGTTTGGGTAGCGGTGGATGCCGTCGATATTGCGGCGTTACTCACAGGTGGCAATCTTCCATTTCCAGAGAAGCGATGCGGTTGTGAGCGAGGTTGACGGTCCGCAGGCTGGGAAAGTTCCGGAGCGATCGACACGAGCTGACTAGGTTATCGGATGCGACGAGCTTCCGGAGATGCACGAGCCCTTCGAGAGCTGTGGAAAGCGCAACATCGACGATGAGCATGGATACAATATATGTCCCGCATGCCGACGCAAAGGCACAGCTGTGCTCTCCTCCCATAGAGCTGGCGCAGGCTATCCATCAACCCCATAAAGTGCGGATGAACGGTGTGATGGCGACCAGACCTCGGAGCGTGGTGAGCGAGTTGCCCGAGATGTTGAGGATTCTCAGGTTGATGAGCTTGGAAAAGTCAGAGAGATCACCGAGTCTTTTATAGAATCCACCCTGTTTCGTCAGTGCCTTGCTCCGCAGTGTACATTCATGGTGCATGAGCGCCTTTCAAACGCTTGCTTGGCCGATCAGGACGAGCGTTACCTGTTGTTCTGGATCGAGAGGACATGAACCGATACGGGAATGCCTGTGATGTGCTTGATCTTGTTGAAATCGCTGGGCGAGATATCGTATCCAAGATCCATCAGCGTAGGACCGGATTTCACGGTATCAGTGGTGATGTCGTCAGGCATGCAAAAATCAATCCGCACGCTCCGAGCCTCGTGGTTACCAGCGCACTCGTGCCAACACCCAATGCTCGATACCAACAGGTTGATATTCCGGGCGCCATGCATTTCCAGGGCCAGCGAATGGCATGAGAGAATGTTGCGCCTCTCCATGTTGAGCCACTCCCGATGAGTCCGCTTCGTCGGGGTCTTGGGAGCAACCGACGGCGAGGGACGAGGAGAGTCCTCCGTGAGGACCTCCCGATACCGCGCAGATGGGGTAGCTGGACGAACGGGGCGTGTTTCAGTTGAGCCGCAGCACGATGGGTAGCTGTGTGCTGAGCAAGCATCGGGCCCGATTCATCATCCGCGATACAGCTCGGCTCACCATGGATGGGCTCCTGGGGTGGACGTGCGTCAACCGATGATTTGAAGGTATCATCCTCAGCTGGGCGCGATGGAGGGAGCATAGTTATTCGAGTCAGCGATGATCACGACCACAACAAGCTTCATGATAATTGTGTTCGTTTGAAACACAACACGAGCACCCGCAAGAGATGACCCGCTCGCACTATTGCCCTGATTCAGCAGCGAAAATACCTGCGATAGCGATGGCGGACTCGATCGAGTTGCCCGGACGATACACGAAACTCTCCATGGGCACGCCAGCGGCTGCAGTCAAAAGTCGATACGGCAACATGGATCAGCAAGATTGTTCCGCATAAACCCGGGCAATCGATGGCAGATAACGCGAGGAAGTAGGAGCCACGACTTTGAGCACCGGTCGCTGACGGGGTCGAAGAATGCGGCCACATCACCATAACTTTACCTTTGAGATCCTGGGTGCTATCAAGTTGCGAGTGCACCTCCATCGAATCGAGGGTTTCCTGCGATGGTCCCTCCCAGCGCTGCATCGCCGGGTTGTAATTCATCTGGCAGACCGTCCCGAGCTTGGACATGAGGGCGGATTGTCCGGGATTCAGGTTTCGAATGATGATGCGCTTCGGCGCTCTGCTGTCACCTTTGGCTGCCGCACTAGTGCCTTCGGGGAGACTCTGCTCGTCCGGCTGCTCGGCTCGCTCCGGAGTGCCGGGTTCATGAGGGGTCACCGGAATGTCATCCAGAAAGTCAATGTCCGATGGATAGGCAGATGACACCGAGTCGCGGCCGTGGCTGTGCGTCGAGCCTGCCGTTCTGAGGCCTGGTATCTCGGGCTGGGGCTCGGGTTGGGGCTCGGGTTCGGGCTCTTCGCTTTCATCGCTTTCCTCATCGATGGTAAGAGTGGGACGCACAAGCCGAGCCAGCAGCGAATCGATCGGGTCCGCGATGCCCTCCACCAGTTGCGGCGGTTGAGGCGGCAGCAGTGGTAGCGGCGACGAAGGCTCATTGCGATCAGCGTTGCCCTGCGCCGGGACAATGTCCTGATAATCATCGGAAAAGGCATCGCTGCCCAGGTCATTAAGATCGGCATCCTGGACCCATTCGGAGGTTGATGAGAGCGTTGATTTTGGCGAGTGCTGCTTTGCCCCGACAGACTGGGCCACGGCAGCGATGTGGGTCTCGGCTGCGAACGGAAGGTCTTGGTTGGCAAGCAGCAGAGACGTAAGTTGATCGAGCTGTGTCTGTGTGGTGGTGTCATAGTCGACCTGGAAGAGGCGAGAGGGTCCGATGGGGGCAAGCTCGAGCGGCAATGCTTGGGGACGGGCCGAGACGTTGGGGCCAAGCAAAGTTGGGTCGGCCTCCCCCTTTGACTCATCATGGGCGTGAGGATTCTGGAAAAGCGCCTCGAGCGGAATGGGTGCAAATATGTCGTGTTGATGGCCGCCCCAAACCGGCAGGAGCTGGCGGGACGACGAAACCTTGGAGTCGATACGAATGCTTCCTTGACTGGAATGAGACTGGTTGATGGACCCGTCGAGAGAAAAGTCGTTTTGGGGGTCCTGGACGATGGACGAATACTGCTGGAACGAAGGATCGAAGAGGGCCGGAGGGTCCTCGTCGAGATCCTGGAGCTCGTGGGCCTGGGGTTGTGGGCCGTGTGGATCGGCGGACTCGTCCCAGGCCTCGCCTATTGCATCCCAGTTGCCTCTCCGGTAGCCAAACTTGAGGGCCAGATCCTGCATGTCGCTGCGGCGGCCGGACTCTCCACGAAGCATCGGAGGCAAAACAGGGCTGTTTGCGGATTTGGATTGGATGCGGTGGGGGGGGGAACTGCAGCCGAATGGCCGCAACTGGCTGGGAGCGGGGAGAGATGGCGATCAGGCCGGCGGGCTCAACACGGATGTCTGATCCCAACGAGCCAAGGCGGCACTGGCCGACCAGGAACTGCCGGCCGAGCCGATGAATCAGCAAATCGGAATCGAAACATGACTGCCAATATTGCCATATATGGAAGCCGCGTCGCTGGTCCTGGTCGCTGGGGGTGGTCCGCATCGGCCGCCGAAAGGAGGGGAGGAAGGGCCTCGCGACGAAGCCGCAACGCATCGCAGCCGACCGACGCACGGGCGCCAGGACCATCGAGCCAGCAGGCACCCGACCCTTGCCCTCGACGAACGCACGCAAGCACGCAAGCATGCAATCTGTGGCGATGGAAAGCAGCAGCCGCTCCCCCGTGGAGGCTTATCTGCAGGAGCTTGATCGGGAATCGCGGACATGCAAGGACCGCAGCCCGAGCGACTGGATCGCCAAATACCAGTCCATCCTGAATACGTAAGACGACGGGCCGCTCTGGGAGGCTGCAGTCGTAGCTCTCTTGCAACAGGCAGCGCTCGCGGTCAGCACCCATACCCAGATCGACTCTGCCAGCGGCTGACAGAGTGCAATCAACGGCGCATCGGAATCGCCGTCTCCCGTCACGCTCCTCTCAGACTGCCGGTATCAAAGTACGGCGACGATCCCGGATTCATGGATATCAATCTCCGATACATCCAGCTGCAGAGGTACGGATACGGCAGAGTGCCCCGAGACTGCTGGATGGTGAAAGCATCTTATCTTGCTGGAAAGCTGGGATCGGCCGGTCCGAGACTCTGGATGGTTCGGCTCAGAGAATCGATCCGCCACGACTACAAATCTACTGCAAGCCTGTCATTGAGCACTGCGCTCTCTCCAACACCATCGCAGGCAACACAAGGGCGAGTTTGCGGCCATCCGCGAGCTTTTCAAGAGTCTCAGGCGAGCAGAGGTGAAGGGCACCAAGGAGGCAAGATTCTATCTTGCATGGTCGGATTTTGAGCACGCCGAAGGTGAGTGAATCTCGTCCCGATGGCTGTAAGCCGAGCCACGGCTTGCAACATCAAGCAAAGCCTCTCGATTGAGCTCGTCATGAGGATGTCGCCGCGTGGTGTCTCTCGTGCCGGCTGACCAGTGCCATCCGACCTCCTTTCTCTTCATGTTCTGGATTTCGACGGTCAAATCGCATTTTCGCCCCGTTGCTTCGCCCTATCGACAACCCGGACCTGCACATCGGCAAAGGCTCGTCCAAACAGGGCAAATCGATCCTGATGACGGCCCTCGGCAACGTTATCGAAAGCGAAAGATACCTGATTCGCGAGAGAATCCTGTCGCTGGGCTACGAGCTCCCGGTATGTGGCCACGGTCCGGTATAGGCTCTCGAGCGCCTTTGACTATCGAGCCAAGACTCGGAGCTTGCTTGAGACTCGGACCATATCAATCTGACAACTAATGCGGCAACAGTCGACGCCGGCCGCCAGCGACATCTCGCCGCCCGATCGGCATCTAGCCAAGGTCGACAGCGGCCTTGATTTTATGTTTCCAGAGCCATCACTATCATTTGGGTACGATAGATACGATGTGAAGGATCTGGTGGATCTGGTAAGACAACGGCATGTCTTTGTAGCAGCCACGGCACTCTGATCTTGTTTGGAGCGACCAACTTGATTCGCCGAGACTTGTTGCTAGCATCAGCACCACGATGCGGCAAGCGTGGAGTGAGGAAGAGACGGGAGCCTGTCGTGCTAACTCGACCATCGTCTCAGGATCCCGAGCGCACCGCAGCGTCGGGAACGTATCCTGGACTACCTGACGATCCGAGTGGAGACATAGGCGATCGGATGGACACGAGCTACTCCATCGCCGGACGTCCGTCGCCCACGCCCCATCGGTCTCCCTCTGAGACAATCAGGGCAAGCAGCGCCGCCGCAGTTTCGACTCGGACAGGACCCAACAGTCTAGCAAGCGACTTGGCAACAACAGGTCCGACCCGAGTGCCGACGCTTTCTGGGTCAGAGTTTTCGAATCAGTCTGCAGCAGTTGTGCCGACCCTGTCCCGTGAGCATGAACGCCAGCCCAAGGTCAGCGACGCTTCATCGACAACATCGACAACATCGACAACATCGACAACATCGACAACATCGACGGCAGCAACAGAGTGCATGGATATCGAGACCAGCGCCGGGACCGCCAAACCAACCAAGCCAGCCAAGTCAGCCGTGCCCAGTGACGACACTGCGAATCCAGGTGCTGTTCCTTGGGGCAAAATGGCGGCAGTTATCGAGAAAATGTTCACTGGATCGGAGGAGGCCGCCCCTGGTGCGGCGCTCAAGCGAGACCTCTTGAAAAAGGACGCCGAATCTCGAGCAAGACTGCTCAAGCGTGGGTACCAGCGTCCTAAATACGAAATTCTCTCCAAGCTCGGTAAGAACGCCGCCATACAAATGGATTGGTCTCAATGGGGGGGGGAGAGCTGGTTTTGAAGCTGTGCCATGATTATCAGGGCCTGGATTGATGCTCCATCAGTTGTAATGTGCGCTGCTCCGGGCTTGTGTGCGATCAAGAGATGCGGATCTGGAGCTTGATTTGATGGAAAATCGTGTGTGCTTCGTTCCGTGAGACAGTGGTCGGCAATCTACGTTGATGCCGTACTGGCTGTTTGCACTTGGGACGAGGCGTGTGCCAACCTGTGATCTGAAACTTGCTCCGTTTGTGTGCGCACATCTACGCAGGTCCGCCCAAACGCTCAACAGACAGCGATTTGCAGCAATTTCAAGCTTCGGTCGATCAGCCGCTTTCGCCGGGTCCCGAATCGCCGCCGATGGCACTGGATATGAGGCCATCGATAGAGCCTTACTCCTCCGTCAATGCCCAGGCGGCGGTGGAGGAGCTACGGTCGTTTGAAAATGCCGGTGTGAACGGACGCGACTCTGCGACAAAACAAGAGCTGCTGCGGAGCAACGAGCCTTCCAAACGAATCGAATCGCCGTTTCAAGAGCGCCAGCGCCCGGGAGCGAGGCCGAGACTGTCAATCTCTCCGGTGGTGGCGGTGGCGATGGAGACAACCGATGACGATGTTGCAATGGTGAGTCGCCGATACGCGAGCACATCCTGGCTAGACCGCCAAAACGGCATATCCCGGGTCGGCGTGACATCAGGCTGGTGCTGCTTGTCAGAGCCGCGACTGATTCGAGACTCTCTCGTCCGACCAATCGGCAGGACATATCCCCCACAGATGAGGTGCCTCCCTCGTCACTACCGGTAAGTGTGGAAGATACTTCTGAACGAGCAGCAGTGGACCCGGAGCATCGCTTGCCCATCGTATGCCTCTGTTTGGCTGCTGCTGACAATGTGTATTCCGCCCCGTGTACCTTCTGAATAGGCGCAGCCTGCAAACACAGGTCCCCAGACCTCAGTCCCCTCTGCTCCAGCACTCTATGTCTCAGCGCCCTCGATTCCGGCAGCACAGTCCGGTTGTATCCAGTCCGACTCAAGGAATCCCGCCGCACACAGTCCGACGACACTCGGTTCTCGTCATCCCGATCCTCCGATACAAGGCTCGAGCGCCAATAGATCAGCGAGCCAAGGATCAGCGGTGTCGCGCACGGCAAGCCAAAACTCCTCTGCACCAGAGCTTCAAAGCCGGAGGCCCTCTATTCCCAATCCGCCAGCGTCATCTGAGTTCAGAAGCCCGCCCAAATACTCGGCCGGAGAGGAGGAGCACTCGGAGCGCACGGTTGTGCCCTCGCAGCCTCAGGTGCTGCAAAGCAGCCCAGGGTTGTTCGGTGCAGGGGTTGGGGTTGGCGACGGGGGCTCGGCTGTGACGGTGCGCGCACCGGAGGCAGTTGTCTTCCAGGCAGCGCCGATACCCCGGCCCGAGTTCCATGGCTTTGGACAGCTGAAGCCCTTCTATGTCAACCAGAAGCTGTTCCTCCGGATCGAGGAGATTGGACGTGGTGGCAGCTGCAAAGTCTTCAAGGTGATTGATCCCAAGGGCAAAGTCTTTGCGCTCAAGAAAGTCAAGCTGCGGGGAGTGGATCCGATCGTGAAGGAAGGGTACCTGAACGAACTGAATCTTCTGGACAAGCTGCGCCACGCGGACCGCATCATTCGCCTCATCGACGCCGAGGTGGTGCCGGATCAGTACATTCACATGGTATGCTGCCCGATGCGATTATGTGTACTGTGCACAGAGACACGGCGCTCGGTGTTGTTCAGCAGGAGCGGCAAAGACCATGGTGACTGTACGGTGGGCGAATGAGAGCGGAAGGGAGGGGAGGGAGGAGTAACGATGAAGGAATCCTGCCAGGAACCACCAGCAGCCGGGTTGGGCATCCCGCTCAAGTCTGACGATCCAACATCGACTGACACAGGTCCTTGAGTACGGCGAATGCGATTTTGCGTACATTTTGGCTGGCGCCAATGGCAAGCTCTCGCCCAGCATGATCAAGTCGTACTGGGAACAGGTATGGGACGAAGGAAGAAATCGGCGCCAGTTTTTCTTGTGGCAGGACGGCACATGGCATTCTTTGACGGGACAACCTTAGCCCTGCCTCGTCATGGTCGGACGACTAAGACTGCACAACATTTTTGTTCCAGATGCTCCTGGCAGTTCACACTGCACACGAAGCAAGCATTGTCCACAGTGACTTGAAGCCAGCGGTACGCATCAACGAGTACGGAGCGTGGCCGCGACGATGATGCGAACACGGAGGCAGTTTCGCACATCGTTACTGGACAGTGGCGTGGCCCGATGGCTGCGGGATTGTGGTGTGGATGTGCCGCCCGGAATTGCTGATACATGATTCGTGTTGCCAGAACTTTTTGATGGTAAAGGGAACACTGAAGCTGATTGACTTTGGCATCGCAAAGGCGATTGCTAACGACACCACCAACATCCATCGGGATCACCAGGTGGGGCAGATGCATGACCCTGCAGTGTGTTGATGTGTTGTGGAGGCAGGAGCCAGTGCAACCTTGAAGTGGCTGTGGTGGCGGTGGGGCAAGCAGTCTCGAATGCTGTGGCATACTGATGATGTTTTGAACTCGATCCTCATGGGCGATCAATTGATGCGGATCTTTGAAGACGGGTGAGTAGAGCCTCTAGCGATGGAGCTGTCGCAATCAGTCGCGGCGCGAGATGGCAGATGTACTGTTGCGAGCGGTGAGGGGCGGTACGCACCGTTTCCTTTGAGCAAAAATGCAAATCGTGTGCGGAGAATGCTGGCTGTGGACCACAGCGGTGACTCGAATGGGATAGCTCGAATGGGATAGCTCGAATGGAATGACTCGGACTGAGCGCCGTTTGCACTTTCAGGTACGGTCAACTACATGTCACCCGAGGCCATTACGTCGTCAGAGCGACGAGATCAAGCCTGCTTCAAGGTAAGGCTGAAGAGTGCAGGATCTTGGCTGGAAAGGAACATCGACAGGGACATGCACCCCGACAGGGACATGCACACCGACAGGGACATGCACTCACACTCGGATATCCACGTGGTTGCCACCAGCTCGGCCGATCATCGGATGTGTGGTCGTTGGGGTGCATCTTCTATCAGCTTGTCTATGGACGGCCACCGTTTGGACACCTGACGACTATGGCAGCCAAGTTCAACGCAATCATCAGCCCAAACGTCAAGATTGCGTTTCCGGCGATCCCATGCGCATCCGGGCCGTTGATGATCGAGGTGATGCAGGGGTGCTTGGAGCGCAGCCCCAAGGCCCGGCCGACCATTCCGCAACTGCTGAAGCATCGGCTGTTTGAGTGAGGACATGTCGCTCGAATGGAATAGAGACGGGACTGAACGCACGGCCTGGACGCTGCTGCTGTTGGACGGCGTGATATTGCATGGCTTTGAAGTGGCGGGCATGGCTCTGATATGCAGCCGGCTGGTGCACCGGCGCAGGTGTGTGGCGTTTGCCAAGAGGCGGGGCCCTGGCGGACGCGTGGTCACAGCAAGGGGGGTGCGCAGCGTGGCTGCCAGTACCGTCCCGATTGGGCAGGGGCCCGAACAGAAGCGGAAACCACGAGCACAGGGCGTGGCGACACGGAGGCGCGCTTTGTGGCACAGGAGTCGAGAGTCTGGGCGCGCGCCCGGTCTAAATGCGTAACGCAACGCGCTGCAAAATGCGGTACAGCCGGGTGGGCGGTCGTTCAGGGCGCTTCGAGGTGTTTGCTGTGCAGGCGTGCGGCGGACGGCGTGCGGCGACGGAGTGGTGCACATGTGCGGGCGGGACGACGGGCATCGACGGCCGGGAAGGCAACAACAGAGCCGGTCCGGCGAGCGACATGCCAGCGAATGAGCTGGCTGGACTGCAGAGCCAAGCCAAGCAGCAGTGCCAAGCCGAGCCAAGCAGTGCCAAGCCAGGCAGAGGCAGAGGCAATCAACAAACTCAATACAGCCGGCCTGTCTGGTGCAAGGCGGCACAACCACACGACACGGCCGAAGAGGGCGGTGCAGGACCCCGTGCGGCGCGACAAGGCAGGAGGGCAGTGGTGCCGCGACTGGCCGCTGTGGCGAGGGGAACGTGGCGGCCGCGGAGCAGACAAGGACGAGACGCGCGCGCGTCTGTGCGTGTTTGAGCGCGAGCGGGACTGTGTGAGGGTGTGCTGGGCGGCACTATTACACTCGATAGCAGCTGCACAACGTTTTCGCCAAGCACACGCCTCACACAAGGCCCACAAATACAGCAGCGGCCACACAAACAACGCCAGCCGCCAGCGGACAGCGCGCGCACTCCGTGCCACCGGCCTGTTGGTCGGCGGAACAAGACCTCGCTGGTGGCAACAAGCCGATGGCGGCCATGTGTTCAAACCACCGCTGCTGCCTCTGGTCCTGCTGGGTTGCTCTTGGTCTGTTCCCTGGCTCTCCTGCTGGCTCTCCTGCCGATTGCCCTGCCGATTGTCCTGCCGATTGTCCCGTCGGTGCAAGAACGCTCAACTTCCTCGGCCATCTCCCCTCGGCACTCCCCCGGCCTCCCTCCCTTCCTGGCATCGCTCCTGACCCGTGGCCGACACAGCCCCAGCCCCTCCACAAGCCCATCCCCGACTCGGCAGGCCCACGCCTTCCCCTGTCCGCCCACCCTCGCCGGCCTTTTTTGGTCTCGCGCCTTGGTCTTTTCCTCTCCCTGTCTTGACTTGCCGGCTCGTCAAGCAGAGCTCTCAGCGCTCTTCGCTCCCGCCATCCGCTCGCTCCCGACTCCTGTCTCCATCCCTCGGCTTGCACCATGGATAAAGAAAGCCATCCCTTTGGCCAGCAGCTCTACATGCGGTCCAAGTCGTGGCACACCGCCCAAAGCAATGACGGCGGCCTGCAACGACGGACAACGCTCTCGCGGCCGGAGCGCCGGCCCTCGGGCTTGACCTTGAGACGAGCAATGATGCGAGCCCCCGATGAGGCCCCGCCGGCTGCTCGACGAGGTCAGTCCCATTCAGCGTGTCTCCCGTTTCGTATCCGATACAGGTGTCTCCCAGCCCAGGTGACCGGGCCGTTGGAGATCGACTTGATGGCAAACCAAAGCAGTTCGGCTGCTGCTCCCTGATCTCCTTCCCTCCCTCTGAGCCGTGGCACTCGATAACTACCCGACTGCCACTCGGCCACATTCGCTGTGCATCTTCGCGGGCGAAGCCATCCTGAACAGTGCCTTCCTCAAGACACTTTCTGATGGACTCTGACCATGTTCCCCTTTCTCTCCCTTCCCAGGTGCCACCACCCACCGAATCGCTCTCCCTCAGCCCGGCGTTGCCGACCTGGACTTTACTCCGCGGATCCATCCGTCCCAGCGAGCCTGGTCCATCTTTGCCAACATCGTCACCATTTGCTTCTTCCCCGCCTGTCTTCGCTGCCTCGGCAAGCGGGATGTCTACGTCCAGCAGGCGTGGCGAGAAAAGGTATGGACTTCGCCCCCCTCACTTTCATCCGTCGCTGCCACAGCCACGACGGCCATATTTTTCGTCCGCTGCTTCCCTCTTCTCGCTACAGACCTCCGACATCACAACTGGCTCAGTCACAACTAATCATGGCATGCTCGAACTTGACTAGGTCGCCCTTGTTTTCTTGGTCTTCCTGACTTCCTCACTGGTGGGCTTCCTCACATTCGGTTTGAAAACCGTGATGTGTCCCGAAAACGCTGAGACCACCCCCAAGCCCTACTTTATCTACTCGGCCTTCCAGAACAGCATCAACGCCGGCCTTCCCGCCAACCTCACCCGTGACTACCTTGGCCCCGGTGTCATTGTCTCCGGATATGTCTATAACTATCAGGACATCTACAACGATGTCGGATATTATAGCAGTGGCACCGTCAACATCACTGGTGACTGGGATGACCAAGATCTCACCAAGTACTTCACCAGTTTCAACTGGGTCAGCCAGTGCACCACCAGATCGTATTTCCAAAAGTATTTCCCATACGACCCAAACACCCTCTGCAATGTCCCCAACCCTCGCAACCCGACCTCGCCTCCTCTCCCCGCCACCAAGACGGCACCTTGTGGCCAGATGAACTGGCTGCAGTACACCCGCAAGACCCGCATCACCTTCACCTGGCCCGAGATCCAGGCCAGTCCTGATCCGCGCACGTTTGACTTTGCGGCCTTCAACCGCACACGACTTCCGAAGCAGAACGTCAACATGTTGCTTGGGTTCAACGGCGTTGTTGTCAACATGACGAGCTACTTCATGAACCCAGTCTTCCGTGGCAGTTCGCTTGGCTTCATCGACGACTTGTTCGCCAACTATGTCGGCAAGGACGCCACGCACGCATTCTACTACAACACACACACTGAGCTGCTCCCTGCGCTGTACTGCATCATGAGCAACAACGTCGTCGGCTTCTCAGACACATCTTCGGTCGGCTGCTTTGTGTCCCAGGGTATCCTGCTCTTTGTTTCAGGTCTGACTCTCACCGTCGTCGGCGTTCGTTTCACGATGGCCGTTGTCTTCTACTGGGTTCTGTCGGGACGCCTGACCAGAGCTCCGCCGCGCGTCACTGGCGGGGACAACGGAAGCATCCCAATGCAGAGAGTCTCGAAGAGCCAAAAGTTCCTCGACGGCTCCGACGACAAGTACACTGTGATGATGGTCACCTGCTATTCCGAAGGTGACGCTTCGATCCGAACGACTTGCGACTCGCTCATCAACACCACCTACGACGACCAGAAGAAGCTCCTCTTTGTCATTTGTGACGGCCTCGTCACCGGCAAGGGCAACGGCAAGTCGACACCAGAGATTGCTGTGGGCTTGCTCCAGCTTTCTCCGGAGTTGCCGCCTCCTGTGCCCTTGACTTATCTGGCCATCGCAAACGGCTCAAAGCAGCACAACATGGCACAAGTGGTAAGCTGTCGTCGCTGTGCAACGAGGCTTGGCATGGCGAAAGGCGCTGCCGTGAAGCCCGGATCCCGTTCTGTATTCGCCGCTTTGGATATGGCATCAGCGACAACCCTGTGTCTCCTGATGCTGGATTGCCCCTCGAGAACAACCTGTGCTTGGCCCATATTTAGTTCAGTGGCCACTCTGCTGTAGCGAGTGCACCAGCGATAGAATGGCCACGGATTAATGCGCGGCAAGCCATTTTCGTGAGATCTCCCAACTAAACCTCATCTCTTCGAACTGTATCGCATATCCAGTACGCCGGCCACTACAGCACAGGATCTCACCGCGTTCCTGCCATTGTCGTCGTCAAGTGTGGTCCGATCTCGGAACAAAGCCAGCCCAAGCCCGGTAACCGCGGCAAGCGTGACTCGCAGCTGCTGTTCATGAACTTTTTCAGCCGAGTCATGTTCGATGATCGCATGACTCCCCTCGACTACGAGATCTTCTACCGTATTCGCCATGTTACGGGTGGCATCACCGCCGACAAGTACGAGCTTGTGCTCATGGTTGATGCCGACACCACTGTCGCCCCCGACTGCATGACGCACATGGTCAACGCCATGAAGAACGACATCCGAATCATGGGTCTCTGTGGCGAAACCAGAATCACCAACAAGGCTGCCTCGTGGGTCTCGGCCATCCAAGTCTTTGAGTACTACATCTCGCACCATCTCGGCAAAGCCTTCGAGTCTGTCTTTGGTAGCGTTACCTGTCTCCCTGGCTGCTTTAGTATGTACCGCATCAAGGTCCAGAAGGGCAGCGGTAACTGGCTGCCGATCCTGGTCAACCCCGACATTGTCGAGGAATACTCCGAGAACGTCGTCGACACTCTGCACAAGAAGAACCTGCTGCTGCTTGGCGAAGATCGATTCCTGACGACGCTGATGCTCCGCAACTTCCCGCGACGACGACTGATGTTCATTCCCCAAGCGATCTGCAACACGGTCGTCCCGGACTCGTTCAGCGTGCTGCTGTCGCAGCGCCGTCGCTGGATCAACTCGACGGTGCACAACCTGATGGAACTTGTTCTTGTCCGAGACCTGTGCGGTATCCTGTGCTTCAGTATGCAGTTCATTGTCGGCGTAAGTACCAATGGATGTGTGGATGTGTGGATGTGGATGTGGGTGTGGATGTGGATGTGGATGTGGATGTGGGCGACACTTGTTCGCATGATACTCACGCACAACCCCCGCTCGCGTCTCTTCCACTGCACAGATTGATCTGTTTGGTACCGCTGTGCTCCCGGCTTCGTTCTGCTTCATGATCTATCTCGTGGTCCGAATCATTCTCAGCGGCAGAGATGCGGCCAACACCCCAGGCGCTACCGTCGACTATTCGCCGTTGATTGTGCTGTTTGCCGTCATCATCCTCCCCGGCATTCTCATTCTGGTGACCACCCGCCAGATTGTCTTTATTGCCTGGATGATTGTCTACCTGCTCGCGCTGCCTATCTGGACGGTCATCCTCCCGCTGTATTCGTTCTGGCACTTTGACGACTTCAGCTGGGGTGCCACGCGCAAGGTCCAAGGCGAAACCAAGGACGACCACAGCAAGGCCGAGGGCGAGTTCGACTCATCCCACCTGATCCTTAAGACGTAAGTACCGTCAAATCCGGTGTGGCATCCGTTGGAGCTGCATGTCTGGAGGTTGCTGGCTCGAATGTCGAATGTCGAATGTCGAATGTTGCGGCGGAGCTGCAGAATGTGTGCACATACACACCAAACTCGGGTTGCTGACATTCCATTTTGTTTCGATGGTTTCTCTACAGGTGGACCGAGTGGGAAGTCGAGCGCCAGGCCATGCGCTTCCCTCCCGGCTCGAACGGCGGCGGCAGCGCGAGTAGCTTCCCTGCTTCCTCTGGCAGCTTCCCCGCACCGCCTCCCCAGGCCCAAATCAGCAACCCCCCGGTCTTCAACAACAGCAACATCATCCAGGAGCCCACTCGATATGTCGTGCGCACGCCGAGCGCAAACAGCATCCTGACCGACTCTCCGCGAGCGCCCATGATCACCAGTTTTAGACAGTAGACGGATGGATGACGCTTGTCCCTGTTGGATTGGATGGATGTATATTCCCTCACCGAAGGCTGTGTCCGAGCCGATCCCTCCCTCCCTCCACTCCACTCCACTCGCCCACTCTCACAATTCCTCCACCACTTTTCTGCGTCCATTCGCCACCTTGTGGCTCTTTGCACACTGAACTTTTTGCCTGTGGGCTATTTCTTTGGACATGCCAACCGCTGGCTGAGCTCGGTTGGCGATGCACTCCTTTTATTTCGATGTAACTTGTCTCTGTTTGCGATTGTTTCTCTCGTCCGCACACTCATTTCTTCCTCGTGTCATTCGATACTTTTTTTTTTCTTGAGCTCCCAATACAGATAGACAACCTCAGCTCGATGGCTGGTGTGGGCCTCAGGCACCGGCGTGCTCCCTCGTGCCTCGGTTGCTGGAAACTGGGCTGGTCCCTGCTCAGCCTGTCGCTGGAACACAGGGGGCAAGGGGCGGTGGCGACGCAGAGCAAAAAGTCCGTGCGCAGCATCACCGCCCCCGAGTCCTGTGTGAGTCAAAGGGCGCTGTCTGTGTGCGTTCGATTGTATCGGTCCAGAGCGGCCCGCCCCCTCTCTGTCCTGGTCCGACAGCGACAGTGGCGCCACGCAGCAGATGTTTAGACAAGCGGCCCCACAAGGCCAGGAGCCAGCCCGCGTCCTGCAACAAGCGGCAGGGATCGTGTTTGTCCGTCGGCTGTGCATTCTCGGCTGGACAGGGTTGCAGCGAGCGAGACAGCAAGCGAGACATAGCGAGAGCACGCGGCAGTAGATGCAACAGTCCGGCGTGTGCAGCCGGCGCTTCTCGCTCGCCGCCAGCGAGACAGGCCAGGGCAATGTAATGGCTGTCCGATCGCGTGGAACAAGCTGTGTGCAGCCAGAGTCAGAGGACTGTGTGGCGCTGTCTCAGTGGACTCGGCGCCGCTGTTTCAGTGGACTTGCCGCCACTCAAAGCGACACAGATACAGCGCCTCCCCACAGCAACACTGTCTGTGTCCCCCACCACCCTTGTCTCTCCTTTGCCTCTCGCCCTTGCCCTCTCGCCCTTGCCCTCTCGCCCTTGCCCTCTTGCGGCCTCTCGTCCTTGTCCGGCCCGATCGCCTCCTTCGGCTCCTCCGCTGGCAGTCCGTCGTCCTCTCGGCTTGAGCAATAACTTGCCTCGCTGGCCGTTTTCTTCGACTCGGTCGCCTTTTGCTCGTCTGCTCGGCGGATCAGGCTGGAACACCTGCACCAAGACTGCAAGCGCCCGCCAGCATCCACTCTCCCCCCCTCTCGCATTCGTAAGATATCCAGTCTGCTCCTCCTCATCCCCTGATGTCGGATGCATGTCGCTTTGCCACCCAGCCGTGTTGCTCGCCGGCTGGCATCCTCTGCCGTTTTGCTCCGCTGACCCTGTGGATCGACTCGGTCGGTCCTTGCAACGAGAAATCATCCCTCGGAGCCGCATCGGTGCTGTCAATCATGCATGTCCACGGCACTCGCCATGGTCGTGCTGAACCCGCCTCTTCCATCTTGCCGGTCGGCTGGATCGAGACACTAACCTGCCGTGTGTCCTTCTGTCACTGTCCTTCCATCGATGTCCTTCTGTCGCTGTCCTTCTGTCGCTGCACCACACTGCCTGCCTTCCCTTTCTGGCCTCGATCGATAATCGTGCTCCGCTCCGGCCCCAACATCTCGGTTGACGGCTTGGTCGCCTCGTAGCTGACCACAACGGCCGACAGTCATGGACTCTGAAGCCCATCCCTTCGGTCAGCAGCTGAAGAGCCGTGCCCGCTCGGGCATGTATGCCGCAGCGTCTCCAGAGACCCACAATTCGCTCTCGCGCCGGACCACCTTCAACCGCCCCGATCGGCTGCGAAGTGGCGATACGATTCGAAGAGCCATGATGCGTGGCCCCACCGTCCCTCCCCCACCCGCTCGTCGAGGTATGACTTTGTTTGCTGTGTTTGACCCCACCGTCGGCTCTGCTCTTGTGTCTGCTCTGCTTTTGTGCTTCTACCTCTGCTCCTCCGCCTTCTCCGAACCAGTGATGCAGCCGACTCGGTCCGATGGTCCGAACCAGTGATGCAGACCGGTAACCTGGCATAATGCCCGCGCTGACATCGCCACGTTTGTCTCCCGTTCATACAATGGATAGGTGCCACGACGAACCGCGTGGCTCTTCCTCCGCCCGGCATGGCCCCTGTCGACAACGTTCCCCGGGTTCATCCGTCCCAGCGAGCCTGGTCCATCTTTGCCAACTTCATCACTTGCTGCTGTCTCCCCAGCTTCCTTGCCCTCTGTGGCAAGAGAGATCCTCTGGTCCAACAAGCCTGGCGTGAAAAGGTTTGTGGGCCGCCCTTCTGGAGGACCTTGCTGCCATCCACGGCTGCTCTCCGAAACCCACTCGACTTATTTCTGGAATCACCCTTTGCCCTCACTTTATCCAGGTTGCTTTGGTCTTCATCGTGATGCTCGCCTCAGCCTTCATTGGCTTTTTGACCTTTGGCCTCCAGTCGGCCATGTGTCCTGAAAACGCCGAGGCCACCCCCAAGCCCTACTTTATCTACTCGGCCTTCCAGAACAGCATCAACGCCGGCCTTCCCGCCAACCTCACCCGCGACTACCTTGGCCCCGGTGTCATCGTCTCCGGATATGTCTATGACTATCAGGACATCTACAACGATGTCGGATACTATAGCAGTGGCACTGTTCTCATCACTGGTGACTGGGATGACCAGGATCTCACCAAGTACTTCACCAGTTTCAACTGGGTCAGCCAGTGCACCACCAGATCGTATTTCCAAAAGTATTTCCCATACGACCCAAACACCCTCTGCAATGTCCCCAACCCTCGCAACCCGACCTCGCCTCCTCTCCCCGCCACCAAGACGGCACCTTGTGGCCAGATGAACTGGCTGCAGTACACCCGCAAGACCCGCATCACCTTCACCTGGCCCGAGATCCAGGCCAGTCCTGATCCGCGCACGTTTGACTTTGCGGCCTTCAACCGCACACGACTTCCGAAGCAGAACGTCAACATGTTGCTTGGGTTCAACGGCGTTGTTGTCAACATGACGAGCTACTTCATGAACCCAGTCTTCCGTGGCAGTTCGCTTGGCTTCATCGACGACTTGTTCGCCAACTATGTCGGCAAGGACGCCACGCACGCATTCTACTACAACACACACACTGAGCTGCTCCCTGCGCTGTACTGCATCATGAGCAACAACGTCGTCGGCTTCTCAGACACATCTTCGGTCGGCTGCTTCTTCTCCCGCGGTATCTTGATTGTCGCCTCTGGTATCGCGCTTGCGGTTGTCACTGTGCGTTTCACGATGGCCGTTGTCTTCTACTGGGTTCTGTCGGGACGCCTGACTCGATCGGCCCAGAACGCATCAAGAAACAAACGCAGCAAGTATCTCGACCACCCTGGTGACAAGTACACCATCATGATGGTGACCTGTTACTCTGAAGGCGAGAGCTCTCTCCGGACGACTTGCGACTCGCTTGTCAACACAGCCTACGACGACCAGAAGAAGCTCCTCTTTGTCATCTGTGACGGCATCGTCACCGGCAAGGGCAATGCCAAGCCCACCTCTCAAATCGCGGTGGACCTGCTGCACCGTCCGCCCACCACCCCCATCCCCATGACCTACCTGGCCATCGCCGGCGGCTCCAAGCAGCACAACATGGCACAAGTGGTAAGTTGCTTCGTTGCCATTATTGCCTTTCCGCCGGATCCATGCCCCAGTTGCGGCCCTATTGTGCGTCGCTCTTGATATCGGTTGCCTGACCCCGCCATCTCCCCTCAGTACGCTGGATACTACAAGACCGAGGAGCACCAGGTCCCCGCCATTGTTATTGTCAAGTGCGGCGATGTCTCTGAGAAGGACCAGCCCAAGCCCGGTAACCGCGGCAAGCGTGACTCGCAGCTTCTCCTCATGAACTTCCTCAGCCGAGTCATGTTCGATGATCGCATGACTCCCCTCGACTACGAAATGTTCTACCAGATCCGATTCATCACCGGCGGCATCAGCGCCGACAAGTACGAACTCATCCTTATGGTTGATGCCGACACCACTGTTGCTTCCAACTGCATGACGCACATGGTCAACGCCATGAAGAACGACATCCGAATCATGGGTCTCTGTGGCGAAACCAGAATCACCAACAAGGCTGCCTCGTGGGTCTCGGCCATCCAAGTCTTTGAGTACTACATCTCGCACCATCTCGGCAAAGCCTTCGAGTCTGTCTTTGGTGGTGTCACCTGTCTCCCTGGTTGCTTTAGCATGTACCGCATCAAGGTTCAAAAAGAAAACGGCAAATGGATCCCGATCCTGGTCAACCCCGACATTGTCGAGGAATACTCCGAGAACGTCGTCGACACTCTGCACAAGAAGAACCTGCTGCTGCTTGGCGAAGATCGATTCCTGACGACGCTGATGCTCCGCAACTTCCCGCGACGACGACTGATGTTCATTCCCCAAGCGATCTGCAACACGGTCGTCCCGGACTCGTTCAGCGTGCTGCTGTCGCAGCGCCGTCGCTGGATCAACTCGACGGTGCACAACCTGATGGAACTTGTTCTTGTCCGAGACCTGTGCGGTATCCTGTGCTTCAGTATGCAGTTCATTGTCGGCGTAAGTACGGTGGATGTGTGGACGTGTGGATGTGTGGATGTGGATGTGGATGTGGGCGACACTTGTTCGCATGATACTCACGCACAACCCCCGCTCGCGTCTCTTCCACTGCACAGATTGATCTGTTTGGTACCGCTGTGCTCCCGGCTTCGTTCTGCTTCATGATCTATCTCGTGGTCAAGGTCATTCTGGGCAACATTCAGGCCAACAAGACTCCCGGTCTCACCGTCGACTATTCGCCGTTGATTGTGCTGTTTGCCGTCATCATCCTCCCCGGCATCCTAATTCTGGTGACCACCCGCCAGATTGTCTTTATTGCCTGGATGTTGGTCTATCTCCTGGGTCTTCCCGTCTGGATGGTCATCCTCCCGCTGTATTCGTTCTGGCACTTTGACGACTTCAGCTGGGGTGCCACGCGCAAGGTTCAGGGCGAAGCCAAGGACAGCCACGGCGATGCCGAGGGCGAGTTTGACTCGTCTCATTTGATCCTGAAAAAGTAAGTGCATCTCCGAGCTATATCCGTCGCATGTAGCTTTCGTGGCTACCACGGAATCGTGCATTTGCAGACTCATTTGCTGATCCGCTCAACGCTGCCTTTCTCACTCCACAGGTGCAGCGAATGGGAGGCCGATCGCGAGGTCACTGCTCCGCGTCGCTCCAACTCCCTTAACCACAACAACCGCAACTCTGTTGGCGCGGTCTCGCCCTCGACCTCGCCCGTCCCTGGCCTTTACACCCCCATTCCTCCTGAGAAAACCTCGGTGAACCGCGCGCCCCCTCTCACCCGAGGCCCGTCGGCCCTGAGCAACGAGATTAAGCCCTAATAACGTCGAACAAAGACATGGATTTTGGACCTGTGGGGCTTCCGAGTGGCTTCACATCCCACTCTGTTCTTCCCCACCTCTCGTGTCCGACCCCCCTCATACCAGTCGTGTTCGGCCGTGCCGCCCTATTTCGCTCTTTCCTCTCCTCACTCATGCATGATTTTGACTAGACTGGAGCATGTTGGATCCCACATGTGTTCCATGGCTCCCCTCGCTGTGCTATCTAATGCCTCGATGCCTCTTTGACCTTTGATGTCGTGTTGTCTGCACGGGCTGCATCTCAGCAACCCAACCCCAGCCCCCTTGGAAATGGTGTCTGCTTCGATATTTGTTGTGCGGGCTCCGGCCGAAGCTGCTATCACAAACACAAGTGCCCTCTCCCGGACTGGCACGGCATACGCTTTTCTTATTCTTTCATCCTCTTCGAGTCTGCCTGTGGCTCTTCCTTCGTTTGGGTTATGAATACACTTTATTCAGAAAAAAACGGGACACCACAGCCGTTTCCATGAACATGTAGTATGTTGTGATGGCATGCGTCAAGCAAAGCCACAAGAAATAAAACAGATCACTTTGGCAGCCTCCGAGTGAAGACCACCGGTCGCTCTCCGGTCTCCACAATCGACCTGCACACTGTGATCATGTTGCGCGCCGCATTGACGTCGCGATTCCACACTGTCTGGCAGCTGGGATTCTTGCAGCTCCTGACAAAGTGGGAATTCGCAACACTGGGCGCATCGAGTCCTTCCAACCGAACTGGCTCCATGCACTTGGAGCACACTTGCGAGGTGTTGAACTCGTTCGTCGAGACTACCTTGACGCTTCCATGAGGGTGATTGGGACGGCGTCGGTGGTGCTCGAATTGCTCAAAGTACTGAGCAAATCGCTGCCTCCGAGGGCTGGATGCATAGCCCTTGCCCTGTCGCCATGACGCATTGTCAAAGGCGATCACCACATCGGTCCGTATCGGGGTGTGCTTCAGGACGGCCTTGGACATCCTGTCGACGGCCACTTGGCGTCTCCTGTGGCCCGTGAAGCGATGGTGACGAGCCTTCTTGCCAAGGTGGAAGTCGAGCTGCACTCGCAGCTCCGGTCGCAGGACATGGGTGAGATGGACCTTGAAAGCCTCCGAGGACAACACCTTGGGCGAGGGGGTGGTCGACATCCAGGTCTCGATGCTGAGTCGATACTTCATGGTGTTGTGCCACTTGGTGTTGGACGTATGGCCACACATGTGCTGGTAGTGACCATTGGAGAACGAGACCACCTCGTCTTGGTGGCCCGGTGCTTGGATGACCGCCGTGAAGATGGAGCCGACTCCAGGATCGATGCCAATCCAAGTGGTGCGATCGGGGTCTGGGTCGCCGATGTGGGCCTGGATACGCTGCTCGGCAGTCGGAGGAGGCTCGGAGGTCTCGGTGCGATCGGTTCGAGGCAGAAACTTGACGAGACCGATGGTGCATCCAATGCCATCGGTGCTGATCTCGTAGTTGAACAGCTTCTTGTCCCTGACCCGCTCTTGGAAGAGGGAACTACGCAGCTTGAAGCAGCTGCGCCAGAGACGATCCTGGTTGTTGACACCGTCATCGCCTTCTTCCTTGAGCATGTCCCGGGTGAGTCCAAGGCGTTTCTTTGGACCCAGGAGCTCCCAGAGCGCGACGGTGTCGATCTTGACATACTTGGCCTTGGCTGTGCACAGAGGGACCATCGTGCACACGGCCGGAGGAGTGTCAAGAGCGAGCTGCTTGAGTGCCCACTTGAGCCTGGATGCCAGCTGGTTGATCTTGGCCTTGGTGGTGCCGAGCTCCGACTTGGCCGTGGTGAACCTCTTGTCGTCGGAGGGAATGCCTTGGGTAGTGAGCTCGTCCAGCTTGGCCTGGCGCTGCAGCTCGGTGACTCGGAGGGCGGGCATGTCACAGTCGATCCACTTGTGGACATTGTCGACCATCTTGTCTCGGGCGAGGATTCCCACATGGTGTGAGAGGCGGTGGAGGGCCCGGAAGCGGTCCTGGTCGTTGCTGTACCGAAACTCGTCCAGGATATGGCCAAACTCGGGATAGAGGAACTCGAGATCGGCCTTGGGTGGAGTCTGCCCTGGTTTCTCGAAGAGCTCGAGACAGGCCTCGATGGCGTCGTGCTTGTGTTTGTTGTCTGGGAAGACGGCAGCACAGAAGCGACGAAGGAGTCGCCAGTAGGCCAGGTTGAGGTGCGTCGTGCAGTTGGTGGCATAGGCATTGACAGCCAGTGTGAGAAGCTGACTGTGAGCACCATCAGGCAGACGAGGGGCCGGAGGCAGGTCTGCGTGCCGAGTGGTCTGGTAGTCGCGAAAGGAAGCGACCAGATGCTCGTTGTATTTCTCGTTGTCCCCGGTCGGGGAGAGGGCACCGTCCTGGACGATCTTGAAGCATTGGCGAACGAAAGCAGGGGTGGTCTTGGAGATGACGGGGACGGGAAGATCCTGCTCGATGCACCGGAGGATGTGCAGGTTGAGCAGCCTGGATGCCTCGAACTGGATCTGTGTCATGGCCTCGACGGTGGCCTGGATCTTGTCGCGGAGAGCGGGATTGAGACAACAGCCATCCATCGTCTGCTTGAAGCAGCTGAACTGAGGAGCGGATGACCTTCCATCCACGAGTGGGACGACAGAACTCTTGAGGGGCCGGTATTTGGGACACCTGTTGGTGTTGCAACGTTCGTGATCGGTGCCATCGCACTTGGGACATCGCTTGCCGGTACTCGAGGAAGTAGATGGACCAGGCTCGGTGGGATCGACATCCATTGGATCTGCAGAAGCAGTGGTGGTGAGCGACGGAGCAACAGACGACCAAGCATGCGTGGGGTCAGAATACGAACCAGAGCAGGCTCCGACTGTGACTTGGCTTTCTTGGGCCTGGGTGGCCGAGGCTGGCCATCACCGGCACCCTTGCGCTTCGGAGGCATGGGGGCAAAGGATGCTGGATGCCTGCCAGTGGTACTGGTCAGAACAGAGACTTTTTTTTATCGTACAATAGCGCGATGATCAGATCAAGGCGAGATGAGGGAAGAAAGCAGCAGGACGAAGGTGTGGCATTTATACCCGAGAGCAGGAGCCCGTCTGCGCGGGCTGGTTGGGGAAGTGACCCTGTTCAAAAATCGCCGAGAGGTTCAAGCCAGGGATGTGAACGTGAGAACGGCGGCTTGATTGGAGGGACAACCCCAGAATCGCATCGCTCGCTCAATCAGCCGTCGGAAGACATCTGGAAGCACCCTCCGAACGGCAGACTCAAACAATATGACCATCCCGATCTTGAACCCCTCGGACGCATTCAGCGCTGTTGTCTTCCTGTACTGATGCTTCACAATCCCAAAGAAGTTCTCGATGGGATTGAAGTCGGGCGAGGCAAGTGGGGTGAAGATCACTGACCATCCTCGGCGCTCGATGCAGTCCAGGACAGCCATTGTCTTGTGCATGCTGACATTGTCCATCACAATCACAGAGTCGTCTGGGAAGCTCGCTCGCTCAAAGAACTCGACCATCGAGTGTGTCTTGAATGATGTGGGGATATACATGCGATGCAGCACACCAGAGTGGTTGATGGCAAATGCAGCCGAGACGGACTTGTGCTTCATGTGATTGCGCTGGCGAAGCGGAGCACCCTTGGGCGAGTACCCGTAGAGCGGAAAGGTGGTTCGTCTGATCCCTGTCTCGTCGACAAAGACGAATCGCCGTGGGTCGATGGAGCGGGCCTGGTCCCTGAACTGTGCCACTCGCTCATCCAGTCGCTTGGACATGTAGAGGTGTGTTGCCCTCTTGTGTGAGAGACCTGCTCGGTGGATGGCAGTGTGGCAGAGTGAGAGCGACACTTTCCTCTGGAGGATGGACTCGAGCTTGCATCGCAACACAGGACCAGTCTGGAACGGGTCCTGTTCAATCAGGGTGCGAATGACTGGACATGCCTGCTCGAAGAAAGTGGATCTGCGAGCTGGGACCCGGGATGGGTCATCCAGCTTGCATCCTCGGTGCCATCGATGGATGGTGCTCTTGGACACACTGAATATGGAGGCGACCTTACGCAGGCTATGGATGAGGGCGTAGCATCGCAATGCGGCGGTGCGAAAGTCGGATGTGTGGCGAATGGTCATGGCCAGCGCGCGATAACATTGGGTAACAAAATATTCGATGAATGGTCAAAAACCCGGGTGTCCCGTTTTATATTGGATCGCCTGTAAACGCCTGCCCGTACATCATTACTCTCGGTGCGCATGCTTTCTCCGGTCGCTGAGGCTGCCGGATTGGCCGGCTGACTCGCTGGCGTGACCCCAAAATGGGAACAGAGACATGATGGCGAACTCGTCTTCGTTCTGTCCTCACAACCCAAGCGCTCGCTCGACCTGTCCCCTCTCCTCACTCTCTCTTATGCTTGCAACACATACGTCGCCCCCGGCGGTCCGGCTCGCCAAGCATCTCGAGCAGATCGGCTATTGCCCGGACCCCAAATCGACCTCGGCTGCCTCTACCACGACCGAGAGCCTCGTCGAAATCCTCGAGTGGATCTTTGAAGTCCGCGGAGCCGAGCGATTTCTCGACTGGGTGCTGCAAGTTTTGAGCGACCCGGGATGCTATGGCGTGCTGACGCTCGAGGAAGTCGAAGCGTAAGTCCCCTCAGAGTGCCGCTGGCGGTGGACTGGACCTATGGGTGGGCTGACGCATCAACGACGGTTTGAGGCAGGGATCATCGGGCCCCTGGGTGATGAGGCCTGAGAGTGATGACGAGCGATCTGCCCGATCGAAGAGGAGCCCTCCCCCCCCCTTTTTTTTTTGGAATGGAGCAGCCTGGACCCGAACACTAACAAGCTAATTGGCCTTCTGCATCAACGACTCTCGATATCAACGACTCCCGTTATCAACGACTTTCCGTTTCAATGACCTCGATATCGATGGCTCTCCGTTTCAATGGCTTCCTCGGACTTGCCGGCGGTGCCCTCGGCATCATTTGGATCCAAGGCTGCGAGAAGTTCGGGACATGCTCGGAGTTGACATTGAGGTTTGGCACCTTTCCGGAAAGATTGTTGTGGGAGGCCGGCAGCGACTCCTTTCGGGTAACAACCGGCGCTCGATCGCCTGCCGAATCGCTTCCCATCGCATCGTCGGCCATGTTCTGTTTGAGCTGCGTTGGCTCTAACAATCTGCTATCTCATTGGGCGCACGGGGGGGGGCGAAACTGAAGCAGTCTGCCCGGGACTTTGACTTGAGTGTCGATGGAGATCCCAACGACTCGGAACAAGCGATAGAGTAGGACCTGCGCTATGCGATATTCGTGCGTCGGCGCTTGCCAATGTCAATCGGGAATGGCGGGATCGGCTTACCATTGCGACATCCACACCCTGCCACCCTCTCGCCCTGCAGAATCGAGCTCCAGGAGCTGCAAGCCCAATTGACCCGGCTCGAGCAGCACGAAGGTCGACTGACGGCCCAACAGGAGCGGCTGAACTGCACCAAAGCCGCTCTGCAGAGCCAGATTGGACTGACCGAGTCGGCGCTGCGGCAGATCCATGAATCCGAGACCAGCGAGGCGGCCGAAATCGAGCGGATCTCGATCAGCGTCGACTCGACTATCCACGATACCATCAACGAGCTCACCGAGACCCTTGCGCACCTCTCGGCCGGTAAGAACCGCTCGCTTCCTATACTTTTATTCCCTCTTTCTCGGTGACTTTCTTCTCCCGGCATGCTTGAGCTGCTGCCGCGAACGATATGTATACTCATTCGCTTCGACATCTCCATCAGACGGCGACGACAAGCGCGATTCGCTGTTCTTCTACCACGCCATCGAGGACTTTGGTGCACTGATCGCCGAGCACGAACAGCTCTCCAAAGATCTCGAGGACCTATGCGAGTCGTGGTTCAACACGGTATACTTCTGGCGAGCTCGATCGCCACTACTTCAAGTCCGAGCCGCATGTCCAGCATCATCCGGACTCACCTTCTCACCTGTGATTACCTCTAATCTCAGATGCCAATGTCCGAAGACACCCACGACTATGCCGCCAATCGTAAGTCGGAATGACACCCCATCCCTGTGGCAGTATAGACATCAGCGATTCTCCGCAACGTCTCATATTCGAGACAATCCCAAAAGAACTAGTATTCCTATCCGCTCAGCGCTTCATGTGGGAGGCCGCAGTGCTGACTCGCCCATTCTGGTGCCGGCCGTCGTTCCAGTCAGTTTTGGCGACGAACTTGCCCGACTGGAGTCGCTGTAAGTAACACCGGACCAGCTTCGTCGGATGCCTTTCAAGACAGGGTCACTGACATGTGCAGTAGCCGATGCATCCGATACTCCCTCCCCATCTCCTCTTGTTAACGAAAGCGCGCAGAATCTATTACTCATACCTCCACCACCCTATTTTCCACACACAGATATACGGGCACGGAGCAAAACTTGCTCGATTCACAGCTCAAGCTCATTGAAGCCAAGACGACGCTGGAAGTACTCCAGGAAGAAACTCAGAGGGGCCTGCAAACTGGATTCCCGGTGGCCCATGTCTGGTAAGCGCGCGAGATGCAGCCGATCAATCGCCGCCACCATACGAGGCACCAAAAGACATCGCGATGCATCATGGTGCTTCGAAACTTCCAGCCGTCTAACCAGCAACCTTACTGCCGCGTCTGAAGCGAACGTAAATCCAAGGACTATATCCAAGCCAGTCACGATCTGGCCAGCACGATCGAGAAAACTATTCAGGCACGCTGCCTGCCTGTCTGGTCCGAAAAGCTCGCCCACCAGAGCACGTATCAGCCCATCTTGCAGATCGACTACGAGATGAGGAAAGCGCAGCTGCAACAGGAGTACAAAGATTACGAGCAAGTGAAGCGGCTGTATCTGGAGCAGCAAGTTCATTTGCAGTTACTGACGCTTTCCCTTGAGGCTGAGAAGCACCGGTTCAGGAGAATATCCCACACGCTCCAGTCCATCATCAGTCAGCTCGAAGAGCGCAAAACTCAGATTGAACAGCGTCGAGTGGGTATTCGCATGGCTAGGAAGAGCGACGATGCCTTGGTGGATTTAACCGTCGACTCATGGTCTGCAAACTCGCTCCGCGCTTTCCAAACCTCCAGTCCTGGATCAACTCGTCAGAGTTACTGCCCTCCTCGGCGGAAGCATCAACCTTCAGCAGCAGTGATGTGTTTCTGCAGAGTATTGACAGCGCCCTCAATGGCGGCATGCCTGGTATGGATTAGACGATCCCATGGAGTGCTTGTGACACCCGCCACTTTGGTAGACCGTTGCGCGGGGCCTATATGAAGCCTTTTAGACTTGGTCCACCATTGTCAGTTTGGTCACGCCAGCATCCAAAGTGAGTAGTCGGCGTCCTGTGCTGCACTAACGTATATGCCCCTCCTTCTTTCTCGCTCCATTTGGGTTGCTAGCCAACCAAACAGATGCAGCCTCGACAGTGATCACATCGGTGACAGGGCTCTACGACAGGGCCTCGGCACTTGTCGTCCGCCATGACCAAGCACGCGAGAACCTGGCAGGACTTGTTCAGCAGCTTGCCAAGCAGGTTGACGAAATGTAAGGGTTCATTACGGGGTTGATCAGCTCTGAGTCGAATCAGCCTGCCATCATCGTCGCAATTGCTGCCATCACCTGTTTGGATCAAGTGCCTCTGAAGTTACTGACTGCTCATTCCCGGCCCCATGATCTTAAACATCCAGTGAGACTCTTCAATCCTCTCTCTGGAAGCACACAACTCGCCACCGCGCTGGCGGCAAGATCCTGCTGGCGCCGAAGGTATCAATAGTGAGCCCACATCTGGCGGAGCGAGAGACCCCTGTGTCGATAGCTCTGATGTTTGGATGTGTCCTGATGCGATCCCACTCGCTTTTCAGGAGCTGTACCGTCTGCAGGGGCAGGTGCAGCAGAAAGTCAGGGAGCTACCCGAAGTCGTCCAGAAGGCAACCGAGGCGCTACGCCATATGAAGCAGTAGCCCGGATGTCTGGCCAGACTCTGCAGACCGGGGGGCATCAACCGGAGCCGCGTTATAATAGACATGATGATTTGAAAGTCGACCGGCCACCTCGTGCTTTACGACTGTGTGCGTGCGTTGGCCAGAGAGCGAATAGTGTCGCCAGCATCCTTTCCGTTTTTCCGCAGAACAACGAGGGGGCAACCGATGCCGGCAGCAGGATGGCCTGTCAGAGGGCGGCAAAAAGGGGAGACACTGACGCGAAAGGCAAGAGCTCGCCGCCTCACACCCCCTCGCCATTCGCCCTCTGTCTTTCGCCCCTTCGCCCCTCTGCCTCTCGCCCCTCGTCCCCATCTGCTTCGAAACCCTGCTCTTTCGCCTCGGAACAGGTCACTGCACGATGAGCCTCCAGTCGTTGCTATGCTGCTTCAAGTCTGATGATGACGACGACCAAGGTGTCGACTTCGATAGCGAAGCCGCAAATGCCCGGCCAGTCGCGACCCCGTCTTTGTTCGGAACGTCCAAGGCGAGCTCCAAGGCGACCCCACCCGCCGATCCCTTCGGCCCTTGGGTCCATCCGGTCGAAGCCTTCATTAATATGGCCCAAGAGGAGCCCGACGCCCTCTGCATCAACACTTACGAGAGCGGCGAGTCTGTTCGCTACACCTACCTCGAGACTTGGAAGAGAGCTTACTCCTTGGCGCAGGGACTCAAAGCCCTTCCTGGCTGGAATGACCACGGTCACGAAGTCATAGGAACCTTCTGTGAGGGCGAGGCCTACTGGGTGTTCTTTTCAATCGCTGTTTGGATTCTCGGCAAGTAAGTATCATGATTTCGCAGTGTCGAAGTGTCTGAAATGATCGATGTGTCTGAAATGATCGATGTGTCTGAAATGATCGATGTGTCTGAAATGATCAATAACCGGGATGTGGGCGTTTCGGCGGTATTATAAGTTGGTTGCCGATGCACACACCGACGGTGAAATTGGTTTGGGGGTGGTGGTGCTGACCGAACACCGCCTTGACATCTGGAAGGAAAACCCTGAATTTTGCCCTCAACTGGCCCCCCACAACACGAAAGGCCCTCTGTGAGAGGTAAGTCGTCGGTCAGCCCGCACTACAGCTCCAGTCCTCGTGCTCAGGATGTAATCGGCCGACAAGCGAGTGCGTTTGTTGGTAATCATATTCTCTCTACAGACACTCGATCAAATACATTCTGTTCCATCACATCGCCCCATGTCGTATCGACGGGGTTACATTTGTGGATGGCGCCACCATCGAAACACTCGATAATCCTCCTCCACCCTCACTCCACCTCTGTGAGCTCATTGACTATTTGACATATGGCTGTACTTCAGGCACGACAGGTAGGCCGCGTCGCAAGAGCGATTTTTGGTGCATCCTGATAATGAACTTACAGATCCTCTTCTCACTGAATCATGCATCCTAGGCATTCCCAAATCGTAGGTGATTCCTTTCTGCCCTCGGCAAAATGCCATCCGGAGCTGCGACATAACGAGTGAAATGATGAGACTCTCAACTCACTCCCATTTCAGATATATTTCTGTCCACTCCGGCGCAGCAGCGGCCCGATACTCTATTGGATCTCAGTACACAAGCATCGGCCTGAATCAGGTCAGCGATCGAACGTACCCATTGGATCGTGCCGATTGACGTTTTAACATTCAACTCACCTGCATGATATTAGGCACCGTCTTTCGTGGTGACTTTGGTGCATTTCGTGGTAGCATTCAACGTCAAGGGCTCAGTTTGGTTTCCGACACCCTCTGCAAACAACGTCGAGAAAGCGAAGGGCGTTATCAAAATGCTAGAAGACGGGCTTCATTTTTTGTATATGGTGGGTTGATGATGTGCGGCCCCTCTTCATGGTATACTTGATAATAGCCACATACTAATCCGCTCGGTAAACGAAATGCAGACTCCATCGCTAATGAAGCTGATCATCAACGTCGCGCTCTCTGTGAACCGAAATACAACGTGGAATCATGCTAGGCGAATTGTTCTTGGATCCGAAATTGTCCCCATTCCGATCCTGGCGAGCGCCAAAAAGCTTTGTCCCAAGGCTGAAATCCAAGCCCTCTATGGATCCAGTGAGGTACATCAACTGAACAGCCGTCGCGTTTGGTGTAGTTATTTGCGCTGACAATTGTCTCGCTATCGAAACTTAGGCCGGAGTAATTGGTGCAATCTCGTATTTCCGACTTCCACCCGAGAATACCAAAGTCCCAGAAAAGTTGGTTTACAAGCTGATGAAACCTGATATTCGTTGTCTCCTCTTTGACGAGGAAGGCAATATCGTCGACCAGAGTGTCTCCAAGGAAGGTGTCCTCGTCTTTGCCGTCGACAAGGACCATCCCATCAAGAACCACCCCAACTTTGTCAATGCCGATCCAAACAACAAGCTCGCCTCGTTCGGCTTCCTCGAGGATGGCTCGCCCCGTGTCTGCACCATGGACTGGGTCGAGATGGTTGACGAGAAGCAGTTCACTGTGGTTGGAAGGTGAGGTCGACGGCTGGGCGTTGCATCTCCCATTGATGGCGAGTGCACATCTGGTACTCTGAGGACACATCCCACTCCTGCATCCCGGATACTCACGCCATCGATTCCCTCACTCCACACCATCACCCTCCAGATTCGACCAGAAGATCAAGGTCAACGGCGTCTATGTCGACCTCAACGCCCTCGAGGAGCTGGCGAACGAAAACATGTCCAAGATCATCTCGGACTGTGCCTTCATCCAGACTTCCGAGAAGAAGATCGTGATGCTCTTTGTCCGCAGAAGCGGCTCTGAGGTCAACCCCACTCCTGCCGAGCTTCTGCAGCTGACCGAGGACATGTTTGCGCTGACAAACGTCGCCAAGTTCCCGATCCACAACTGCTTCGAGCTCGACGAGTTCCCCTTCAACGACTCGGGCAAGCGCGACCTCAAGAAGCTCAGGCGCATCGCCGAGAATGTCGATCAGTTCGGCAAGTCGGTCGAGTACCCTCGTTTGAAACTCGCCAACACTCCCCTGTCCCGCACTGCCGCCAAGATCTCCACACTTGGCAGCCAGATCATCGACAACCCCGCCCTCGACGGCCGCAACTACTACATCGGCGGCGTCGGCTTTGACTCGCTGAGTGTCGGTCGTCTGTCCCTCGCCATCAAGGACGAGTTCAATGTCGAGATCTCGCCTCTGATCTTGCTGTCGAACGGAATGACACCGACTGATGTCGCCCAGCTGGTTGTCGACATCCTCGACGACAGACCGATGATTCCCCCGACCGTCCATCTGGCTGCCGAAGCCGCCAAGCTCGACGATGCGAGTGTGACGGCCGAGGGTCTCCCTCCGTTTGTCTATCCCAAGGACCCTCGCGGCATCGTCCTGACCGGTGCCACTGGCTTCCTCGGTGCCTTCCTGGGCTTTGAGCTGGCACACAAGTTCCCTCGGGCCAAGATCTACTGCCTCGTGCGGGCCCCGACCGAGCAGGTGGCTGTCGAGCGCATCATCAACACGGCTCAGAAGCTGGTCCTCGATCCGAGCCAGAGAGCCTTCCTTGACCACAGCCTCAAGTCTCGCCTCGTTGGACTGTGCGGCAACCTGTCGCAGGACAAGTGGGGACTCTCGGACGAGCGATGGAAGCAGATCAGCGAGGAGACCGACATGATTGTCCACAACGGCGCCGAGGTCCACTGGCTGTTTGACTATGACAGACTCAGGGGACCCAACGTCCTCGGCACGGCAACAGCACTGAGATTGGCCACAACCCACCACCTGAAGCCGCTGCACTACATCTCGACCATCGGCACGATCCCGATGGCCAAGAAGGCAGACAAACCGCTCGAGGAGACGATCTACTCGGCCTGGAACATCTCTGGCGGGTATGGCCAGACCAAGTGGGTCTCTGAGCAGCTGGTCAACAAGGCACGATCCAGGGGAGTGCCGGTGACGATCATTCGCCCAGCCGTCATTGCTGGTGACAGCAAATACGGAGGTGAGTCGAGTGTGATGTGATGTGGTGTGATGGAGATATGATGTGGTGGAGATGTCTCATTCGTCCCCATGAACTGGCCATGAATCGATGGTCTCGATTATCAAGTGGTACTCACTACCAACTGACACCAACTGACACCTTCACACCCTCCATCGCTCCAGTGTCCAACTCTGATGACTACATCTGGCGATATGTCAAGGGATGCATCCAGCTCGGTGTTGCTCCCTCGCACGCCACTCTCGTCACGATGACCATGGATCCCGTCGACCATGTCGCCAAGGTGGTTGCCGAGATTGCCGGCTCGGAGGAGTCCCTGTCCAAGTTTGTGTTCCACATCAGCGACTCGGAGCACAGGTGAGGACTGTGTGATGTGGTGTGATGTGGATATGGTGTGATATGTTGTGGTGTGGATGGTGGATCCTGACTCTGATTACTCACTCACTCACTCACTCACTCACTCACTCACTCACTCACTCACCACAGTGTCCTCTCTGAGACCCGGCTGTTTGAGATTGTCAGGAACCATGGCTGGCCGATCCTGTTCGAGACCCGCGAGCAGTTCAAAGAGGCATTCCACTCCCATCCCGCCGTCGAGAGCAACGCCCTGTTCCCGCTCATGCACATCATGATGGACATGTCCTTCAAGATCGACAACGCCAACACCCGCTCGATCTACCCGACTCCCTGTCCCTCGCTGGAGGAGGTTGTCGAGAAGTGTCTCAACTATCTGCACCACGTTCGCTTCTTGGGCGATCCCCTGGACCCGTCTTCGCCCTTCAAGATCAAGTATCCCGAGACCAGCGTGGTCACCCGCACCGGAAGAAACTAGACCTCCTGCGAGAGGCTCCAGACTGCCTAATGGATTGTCAAACCATTCTCTGTCTTTCACGCATTCGCACCCCCTTGTATTAGTGCCCCAATGCCAAGTCCTATTTTCTGAATGAACTGATGGGTTAGGATAGGATATCCACGTTGATTGTGCCGACCAGTCGAGAGCTAGTGATGCCCGTCAGTTTAGGCTTTGGACCACGGTGTGTCATCAGGCGCAACATCACCATCCGAGTGTAGCAGTGCTGTTGTCGAAGCTGCTGCGGATCGTGACACTCGTGTGCACACACAGGAACCAGAGTGCGCCAACCCCACATAGATGCTGGGATTTGTTGAACGACAACTGTATTTCGTCAGCTCGCCACCGGCGCACAACCGGGAACACGGCGAATGTGTCCAAGCGCTGTATAATCCATCCTATTCACTCGGCTGGGACATCTGCAAAGAGGGGTTGTACTCCGCTCTCCATTTCTCCTCGGTTTCTTATCGCTGCCTGGGCTGCGTCAGAGAGGGATATCCACCGGGCACGTGCGACGAGCCAGATGGAGCAGACGGGGTAGCCGCCCCTGGGATAGGGTTGGCTGTGGGGCCGTTTGGAGTCCACAGACCCGAGCCTACAAACAATTATCGAACGGGTAGAGGGATTTGAATTGCTGTGAGCACCGATGGATATCCGTTCAAGCGAATGTCGATGAGGCAGCATGAAAGTCCTGGACCGACCGTCGATGAATCAACGACAATTCATATCTACAGAACAGCAAGAACAAATCTAGCGCATACCCGCAGGAGGAAGAGCCGACGTCGCCAGGGAATAAACGCCTTGGGTTGGCCCTGCAGCACGGGCTGTTGCAGCGGCCGAACCCCCGCCGAAAGTAGCGCCGCCCTGGACTGAAACCAAAAAGTCGCGCTTTTCCATTTGGCGTGCAAAGCAAAAGTCGTCGATCACTTTCTTGAGCTTCTCGAGGCGACTCTGAGCCTCGTTGTAGTACTGGTTGTGCGAGTGGCAATAAGGTCAGTAGATCCATAGTGCAGACAATCGTCAGTCATACACGCTCCGCCATTGTCGTGGTCGCCCTTCCCTCACTGCATAGTCGGCAGAGATAGTCCATTCACGTACATTTATGCCTTCTTCAAGCCCGCCCTTGATCTTCCAAAAGTCGGTGTAGGCAATGTCCAAGTTTTGCAGAGCTTGCTTCCTCGTCTCCAGTTCCTTATCGGAACCTTTGGCAAGTACAAACTTGGCATTTGCATCCTGGGAGGAAGATCGTTGACCAGATCACAGCACCGTCAACACCCTATTCACGACCAGTTGTCGGGCAAGCCGCTCCGTTGCTACAGCAGCGCGACGAATGGCCAGCAGGGGCAACAACTGCGCTTTCGTTCGGCAGACTACTGATCTACCTCAACGGTTTTCAGCAGCTGTGGCTGCTGACTCTTGAGCCCAGCGAGCTGTTCCTGGAGAGGACTGAAGCGCTTCAACTCCTGGTCAAAGACCGGTTGTGCATCAAAGGACTCGGTGATGGACTTTTTGGTGTAGGCTTCAGAGAGCTTTGGAAGAATATCATCGTCGGTTCTCATGTGCTTGAGCTGCTCAACAAACTTTGTGATTTGGCCGGCATGCACTTGCAGTCTCAAGAGTGCTTGCTTGAGGGACGCCAGCGAGGGATCTGTCTTGATCCGTGCGGCGCTCTCTCGACCAGAAGGAACCATGGCCGTCAACTGATCCTGGAGATTGAGCAGGCAAACGCGTGGTCAGGCCGTGCTAGTAATACTCAACATACTTGCCATAGCCCTTGGCACCCGAACGGACAACTGTGCGTTCACACAATGTGGGGTAGTAGATAGTGCGCCCACCTTTTCAGAACACAGAGCATAAATCTGTGCGAGGGCGTCATCAAGGTAGTCACGGAGCTGGTTGTTGGCTGTCGCGGCGCTGCCAAGCGAGCCCTTCATCTCCACGAGGGAGCCGTAGTAGCCTGCGGTGGCAACACGGGAGGGTTTGCGGTCTTGCATCCAGCGATATCCGGTATACTGCGTGCGAAGGGTCTGATCATCGGACTCTTCTTCAGCCAGGGTCGTTTCGATCTGTGGTCGCGGTTGCAAGGCACGGACGCCAATTGAGCGAGAGTCAGCCGCGGTGAAGTCATGGCGGAGCCGCAATAAAGCCATGGTGGAAGCACGACAGTGCCGTGATGAAGGTGGCAGTAGCGGGCTTTTGCACGCCAAATCAAAGACATCAGGGGCACCTACACTTGTGACGATCGCATTGGTGGTTTGCTGGAGAGACGTGACCTGATTCCATAGCATCTGCAGACAAGTCACGCCGCCAGAGTCGCGAATCTCCTTCGATCGAGCCAGCAGTGACGGCGGAAGCGAATCGGGGAGATCAATGGCTTCCACGGCAGCAGGGAGATTGAGCGATGCCAGTGTCCTGTTCCAACACCATGCGGATGCACGCAGAGGCGGGGGAGAGTAAGAAAAGTATGTGCAAGTTGACGATGCCCATGGGAGTTGGGTTGATGGCAGGGAAGCTGACCGACTGCGTTGGCCGACTTGTCATCTGGCCTTCTGGAGTCGGCATAAAGCGGACTGGTGTGCACGAGCCAACAAAGCAACCTACACATTAATCACAGTGGCTAACTCTTCGGATTGCTCACGCATGCCCTTGATGACTTCATCGCGTTTGAGGGTGTAAAGCGAGGCTGCCTGGTGCACCTCGAACGGAACGAGAGACGAAAACAGCGGAGGGAGAGATAGGATGGACGACAGCTCGGGGAACGGCGTCGGCTGAGCGAGTTGAGCGCCGTTGATGGCGGCAATCGCATCTGGACGAGGAACGATCTGCATGTCTGTGTTCAGGAGGCATTCAGGTCAGTCGCAAATACGGCATCTGTGATGCTCCGGCCATTCTCAAGTGGTGCGTCAATTCGTCCACCCGGACACCGCATTGCCCGCCGAGCCATCGGCCTCTCAATCGAGGACGCTGTGTGTAGCCAGCCAAATACAAATCACTTACAGATCAGATCATTGTCTTTCTCGGCGCGCTTCTTGGCGGCATCGATCTCGACCTGAAGACTCTGCAGAAGAGAATTGCCAAAGCGACAGCCATCACAGGCATCGCTGTTAGTCGCGCTTGCTGTATCGGAGCCCCAAGTCAAAATGCCATGGCCCTCGGCACAATGCTGCTACGTGACGACGTTTTGCCCATGGCTGCTCGTACCTTCAATTCCTCTGCCAAAGTGGCATGGAGCTGCTTTTGCAACGACGACTCGAGGGCGCGTGACAAGTCCTTCATGGCCAGTTCGAGCCGGGCAATCTCCTCGCCAAACTGAGACGCAGCCGAGCAGTCCTTGGACTTTCGGAACTGAGCCAGGGCAGAAAAGTACAGAGTCTTGGCCCTCAAGGTTGCTAGCCAGCTCTGGGTGGAGAATCCGGGCGTGAGATTGCAAGCGCATGAGGCAGCCGAGGATTGATGGTACGCCCAATAGTGAGATGACCAGCGACAGAAACAGAACCAAGGAAATGCACAGCCAGCGAGCCGGTCGAGCTGGATGAATCTGAATGCAACATACATTCGGAAAGGCATCCGAGGCCTTGGCGGCATCGTGTGCTTGCTCGTAGAGTTCCGAGACCTTCTTGGCCAGCCGGCAGATGATCGAGTTCTTCATTTTGTCTGCGAAACGACACCGGGCCGATTAGTGGTGCCGCTTGCTTGGTCCATATCCTTCAATGGCTCTGCCGCAGACACTCTGCGATACAGTGGTTCATGGGCCGCACATCGTCCGCTGATGCCACAAGCCTGTGCTCCTGGCAACTATCGCCAGCACCATGCAGCCGTGGATGTACGGTTCCTCCTTACCGCCCAGTGCCTTCTGCCAGGCGCATTCTTGTGCCTGAGCAAGCATCAGACTGGCCAAGCCGCCCAAGGTCTTCTGGCTGAGGTCTGGGCATGGTGGCGCTTTGGCGAACTCGGTCGAAATGGCTTGCTCCAGAAACTGGAAGCAACCGGCAGCACTCTGTCGATGGTTGTGGCAAGCCCAGAGAACAGGCCGGTCAGTTAGAGGCATGCTATGTCTGTCCCAGCTCTCTCGTACTTTCTTGCATCCATCAGTTGATCAGCATTGACGTTTCATTACTTGAAAGTAGGCGGCGGCTCGCTTGACACTCTCGATCGCCGTTCGCGACTCGGCAGCCCCGAGCTTGGAATAGAGAGCCCCAAGATTGAAGACGACAGAGGCCCTCTCAAAGTCGACGTTGAAGCTCGATACTGGGTAGCGGCAACAGTCAGCACCGGCAGCGGAAGTCAGCACCGGCAGCGAGCGACGTCACTCTTCATATCACAGATCCTGATTGGGGTCGCCAGCCCGAGCCGAGTGGCCTCCATCCGGGCGATATCCCTTTGCCTCGATTGGTCACTCACTGCTCTTGGAATCCTTTCCGAGCGAGTTAGCCCAAGTGAAGCATATGCGGATCTGTGTGGGGTTGCAATCGGGCCGTCCGATGACCAGTCGAGTGCGGGAGGCAAAAGCGTCAGCCGAATCAGCCATTCGCAGATTGGACACCGGGGGGCAGGGCCGTGGCCGATCGTTTGTCACCGGTAGATGCCGATTGCTGCAGCCAGAGCCGTACGTACATGGTACTCATCCATAGGAAACTTTTTGGACAGATGCCAGAGCTGGGCATGATATCTGCATGGGGGGGGGACACAATCGAAGCGGCGCAAGATGGAATATGAGCGAGAGTTTCAGAATGAGTACAGTTGGGCAGGAGATCGGACGGACTGGGTATCGCTTCGGGTGCGGCTGAGACAAACTGCAGAATGCACCAGCATCGGTGAATGTTGCCATCCATCCCGAATGCATTTCGATGCGGCTTCGATTCCTCCAGCCACCAAGCCATGCCACCAAGCCATGCCATCCCATCCGCCGAGAGTGAATCCGGGTATCAAGCGGCTATTGGAACAGCAACGTTACTGCAGAATGCGGTCGACCGAGGAGGTGTGGATGTCTGGGTTGACGGCATCTTCTCTCAGGTTCTCGAGCGAGCGCAACTGCGTCGCATAGGTGCCCGGATCCTCGCCAAAGGTCGAGGAAATATAGCCGCTCAGTTGGGCAGAGAACAGCGAAGCCCCGTCGAGGACAGTGGCCTTTCGCAGCTCGACGGCCGTGAAGGGCGAGGTGGGGGCGTCCGAGTCAGGCATCTCTGGATGGTGCTTGTAGAGAGGAGATCGTTGGGATGGGCGATGAATGATGAGATGATGATTGGGGACAGATCAGGGGAGGGCGAAAGCGGTGACGTTGCGGCTGGACAGGGACGGACTCGGAGAATACTTGCACCCCCCCCCGCACTCTGTTGATAACCAAGACCAGCCCCGAAGCGCACGCCTTTCAACCCGAGCCATCTTTGCTGCCGCTGCCGCCGCTGCTGTTGCTCTGGCGCATTGACCGTCACGATTGTCGACCAATGCCCTCCGAGCTGTTTCGTTTCGTCGCAGCAATCTGGCTGCTTGAGAGCTTCTGCATTACTGGCATCCAAGCAGCAGCTTTCACCGACTGCTCTCCAACCAACAGCCATGTTAATTTCTCCAGCTCGGACGCCGGCTTGACGATTGCCCAGGGAAGCAGTCTGACGCTCAGCAACTGCGTGTTTTACAACAGGTAACAGGTGCTGGGAACGAGATCTTGCTTGCAGGAACGAGATCTTGCCGGGACATGCACAACACCATCACAGCGACCGATGTGGGATCGTGCTCTGATCCTATCTGCTTGCTCTGATATTGGTGCGATTGTTCTGACGGAGCACTCGAATGTCAATGTTATTACCACTAACACGATGAACTCATCGGACCCGCAACTACCGTCTCATTCTCCAGCCCTCTGATCCTCGTGCTGGGCCAGCTGAATCTCTGGAATGTAACCTTTGTGAGCCAGCCACTGACCGTCAATCCGAACACTCCCGCGGTCACCCCAGTGTCTATCACTCGGGACGTCTACGGTGCCCAGTTGGTAATGCGCCTCGTCTGCAGCGCGGCGGGTTTCGAGACCGTGGGAGCGACAGTGCCGGCGAACTTATCCCATCCTTCTTCTGTGTTGACCAGATAAGAATTACCGGTGGAACGGTGAATGCCAATACTCTGATCCTTGATGGTGAGAGCCACCATCTCGACGGATATTCACTTGAGCACTTGTCTCAGAGTCCCTGCATCCAAACATACTGACACTGTTGTGGCCGGCTTGCAAACGACTGCTTGTCTCTCGGATACTGCGGTGTTGATGCTGTCTCCAGGTGCCTTCTCCACCAACTACACGCTTCTCAAAGTCGAGTCCAGCGGTACGCTCAACATTACCAACCTGAGTTTCCAGATATCCAACCCGGTTCCGACTCGACTGGATGCACGGCTCTACGGATCGCTGGTAAGTATGTCGTTGCAGGCTGAAGCAAGTATCGAAGTGCACCGTCACCAAAGATGTGGCTTGGAGTCCAGCTTCACAGCGATCATTAGTCACTCGCTGATGTTCATACTTGCGCGCTTGCATCAATTCAGGTCGTTGCCATCCAAAGCTCGCATGTCAGCATCACCAACGCTGTCGTTAGCGGCGAAGTGACTGCCGCGCTGAGCGGCGGCATCATCAGCCTCGACACCAGCGCCTCGATCGCCGTGACAAATGCCACTTTCAGCTCCATCATAACCAAAAACAACGGCGGCGTCTTCTTTGCTACGGGCTCGGCTTCGGCGACCCTCACAAACACTAGTTTTCGAAACATTAGCGCTGGGCAATGGGGCGGAGGCATCTGCGCCTCGTCTCGAACGTCGTGGGTCCTCAACAACGTCGCCTTCTCCGACATGAGCGCCGGAACGCACGGAGGCAGCATGTTCTTTGTGAATGCGGCGCAGGCTCAATGGAACGGCGGCTCGTGCATCCGATCGTCATCAGGCAATCAGGGAGGCTGTGGTGAGTCGATTGAACATGGGTATGAATCATGGGTCGTGGGCTGCGGGTCAAAGCTGCTCTGGTAGTTTGTCGCATGAGTTGCTTGGTGACTGTCACTCGGCTCACTCTGTGTCCATGACATTCCTTTGAATCCCTGCCTCATTCACTGCACTTGACTGGATGCTGGCCCTGCCGTTTCGCGACTGTGGCAATCCAAGGGTACTTTGAGAACCTTGTCAGTCAAACCTCGGCCCTCAGCACCTTTAACGGAGTCACGATCGACACGGTGTCATCCCCAAACGGCGGGGCATTCTCGCTCAACGGCTACATCACCATGCAGCTCACAAGTGTTACTCTGAACAATGCCTTTGCGGCGACCCAAGGAGGCGCATTTTATGAGTGGGGACCTGGTCCTGTCATCCAAGTGAACAACTCGGTGATCCAGAACATCCTCACGGCAGGGTTCGGAGGCTTGGCTGTCTCGGAGCACGCCTCGGCCCTCTATCTCACAAATGTTATCGCCAGAAACATCTCGTCGGTGGCCGAGGGTGGTCTGGTGAAGATGATCGACTCATCCATCGGCGTGTCCGGCATGGTTGGCGACCAGATCTATGCCGGGACCTACGGAGGCATCTTTGAGCTCGACCGCACTGACCCCAGTGCCGTCTACAACACTCAGCTTACCCTGACGAGCTCGGTCTTCACGAACGCAGGCGCACGCCAGGGCAACGGAGGTGCCATCTTTCTCTCGGTCGGGACGGCTGCGACAGTTGAGAACTGTTCGTTTACCGGAACGCAGGCCACCCAAGGCGGGTTTGCATATGTGTCTGCCCAGACATCGTCGCAGTACACCCCGGCGAGCCTGGCGATGCTCAACAGCAATTCTATTTCCAACAGTGTGTCGACGAGCACCGGCGGAGTCTTTTGGGTTGCAGGCCCATCGAGTCTGTCCTTTACGAGCCAGTCACAGCCGCTGATCGTTTCCCACTCAGGGACTCCCAGTGCCTGTGGCGGATTTCTGTATACCAGCACGAATCCCACCATCACTTTTGGCCAGAACATCGTCATGACCCAGATGTCGGCCATGCAAGGCTCGTCGCTGTGCTTCTCGGACTACACCAGCGTCGTGCTCGTCCCAAATTCGGCTACATTGAGCATGGTGCCAAGCGGCGATATGTACATCTCAAACACAACCTGCGCGAACCAACTATCGTCGATGCAGGGCTGGAGCGCATTTCTGGGCAGCTCGGTGGAGCCGCGAGGTCCTCCAGTGACCTTGAGGCTGCTGAGCGGTGCAGGTTGCTGGCAGCCTCCACCCGGAGGAATGCAAATCAACCAAAACATCGGGCCGATCCAGGTGCAGGCGGTCGATGCCTTTGGCAATCCAACAGGTATCTTCAGGAGCTTCTAGCATGTGGGCACCGAGTGCTTGCTGCTTGAGCGGCACGGTCTTGTGGTCGATGCTGACGTTCATGCGTCGTCCCACCCAGATGTGAATCTGCAATCGCCCGTCGTCGTCACGATCCAGGAAGTCAAGATGAACGTCTCGATCAACGGCGAGTCCATCAAGGGCATCTTTAACGAAACCTCCAAGGCAGTGGCGTTCTCATCCATCACAGTCAACGGACTCATGGGCAACTACACGCTGCGAGTCTCTGCGCTCTCGGGCCTTGCTCCCACGAACACTGCTGCTGCCTGGCCGACGATCGATTTTGAGATTCTCCCCTGCAGCGTCAAGGGGATGATGTGGAGCTCGGCCAGCAATGCGTGCTTGCCGACTGTGGCGACAGCCCCAGCCCTCAAGATCATCATGGCGGTGCTCGGAGCCATCCTGCTGCTATGTGCCGTGGCCAGCGCCGTCCTGGTGCTTTGGTTCAGGGACATGGCTCTCATCCGGAACTCCTCGAGCGTTTTTATGTGTCTGATTGCAATCGGCACGGCAATGGTAAGCATATGCTGCTATGCCAATGCCGCTGGGGTCATGTCGCTGGGACCATGTCGATATGGGCCATGTCGATGTGGGTCATCGCGAGGGACGGAGATCAAAGCGGAGCCATGCGCTGAGTGATGTGATCGAACATTTGCATGGCCGATTCAAGCTGCTGACATCTTGGTTCGCTCGCCTTTGGCACCAACAACTGTGATGCGCCAGGGATTCACTGCAGTACTGGTCAAGTCGTTCACGTTCCCGCTGTCGTGTGTCATTTCGGAGTGGTTCGAAGTCATTGGCTTCTCCGCTGTGCTCGTCGCTTTGGTAAGTGCCGCAGCTCTGTGGATCTGGGGCGATACTGGTCCCTGCTCTCGTCGCAGGATACCGTTGAGCTGACTGCTCCGATACCGGGATCGAGTAGATTGTCAGAACCTATCGAATCCACGCCATCTTTTCGGCAACCAAAACTTTGAAGCTGGTGACCATCAAGGACAGCGAGCTCGGAATCTACTTTATCGGGTGGATGCTCGTCGTTGTGGTGGGTGGACACGCCGTTGTCGATGGCATCCGGGGAGCAGCAGGGGCGCTGGCCGAGGGACTGGCCGATACTCACAGACCACCGTCCCTGCAGATTTTCCTCAGTGTCTGGACGGCCATCGACCCACCGGAATACACGGTGCTTCAGACGGTTGGATTCTTTGTTGTCGACCACTGCGACTCGACGTCGACGCTGTCGCAGGTCAAGTTTGTGCTCCATCTGCTGTGTGAGGTGGTGGCTGTGGGATTGGCATACATGATCCGCAACGTTCACACGGTAAGCATGCGTGGACATGGACCGCGAGCATGGCCTCTCGTCTCGGACAGCTCTTCCCATGGGCCGCCACGTTCTTGCTGCATATATATCGGCAGAGAGCCGCAGAGACCGCAGGACTGACCGCAGGACTGGCCGCAGGACTGATCGTGGGACTGATCGTGGGAGACCGCTGCCACTGACACATGGACAAAATTCCGTCCACAGGCCTTCAACGAGTCCAAGCTCATGGCATTCGCATGCTACAACTGGGTTGTATTTGGGGCGCTGCTGATGTGTCTCGGGTCGCTGCTGACTGACCCCAACATCAGCTTCGCGATCGAGTGCATTTCGATCCTGGTTCCGCATTTGATCACGGACGGCATCCTGATCATCCCGAAGCTGGCGGTGTGCGTGTTGCACCCGGACGTTGCCCGCGAGCCGCCCAAGATCAATCCGGACCTCGAATCGGCGTCGCTCAACAGCAAGCTGCAGTCCACCAAGGTGAACCTCAAGTCGGGAGCAATCTAGGGCTGAGCGGGCGGTGCGGTGCGGACGAGGACGGAGGATGACAGGCCATGAGTGCAATAGGCCCTGGAGCGCAGCGCAACAGACATGCCAACACGGACAAGGCCGGGGACTGCGCTGCGGCCCTGGCTGCACATCGCGCGTCTTGCGTTTTGCCTCTCGCGCAGGGTGGGCCGTCGTTTCTGGGCACCCTTGTCTCGGCACAAGGCGGGCAAGTGCTGCGCAGTCACTCGCCCTTATATGGCGAGTCCCGGTGGCGAGACAAGGCAGTCTTTGTGGCAGTGTGCCTGGCGGGTCTGCGCGGTGTGACGACGCGTGTCCGCCGCCGCCCGCGCACCAGGGTTGCACCGCTGTTGCACGCGGACTCGGGGACAACAAGCGCGACCACCCGAGGCACGCGGCGAGAAGCGGTGACGGGCACCGAGACTGCAGCGGGCGCACAGAAACACTGCGTGGACAGCACGCTGCCGCCGGCACCGAGATGCAGCGAGAGCACGCCTCGCTCTCGCCACCCCGGCATGCCCGCCCGTTCGTTTGCCCATTCGCCTCTCCCGCGCACAGCCCGCCCTGTTCGGCAAATGTCCTATAAACGCCCTGCTCCTCGCCTCCACCTTCCCGTCCTTCGCAGTCCCCGTCGCTTCTTCGTTCGTGCTTCTGTCCGTGCTTCCGTTCGGCCATCCCCACCTCATACGTTTTCCTCTCTCGCCTCGGCTCGTCTGCATCCTATCCCCCCCCCTGTCACCCATCCGTGCTCGTTGTCGCCGCCTACCATGCTCCAAGAAGTCACCGCAGCCGCAAACCACCTCTGTAAATACCTCCTCCTCGGCAAGTCGGCGTCGACGCTGTCGAACGAATCGATTGTCCTCTTCAACAAGGCACTGGTCTCCCTCCTCATCCAAAAGTTCAAGGGCCACTGGGACCCCAACTTCCCGATGCGAGGCAACGCCTACCGAAGCATCTCGGTCTTCAACGGCGTCCCTGACCCGCTCATTGAGGAGGCCGCCCACCATGCCTCCATTCCCAACATCGGTGTGTATCTCGGGCAACCGACTTGGCTCGGCCCAGTCTGCCTGCAGTCCTGCAGTCGCTTGCAATGTGTGCTGCTCTGTCTTTGCCTTCGCATCCTTCATGGCCTCCAGTCGTCCGACACGAGCATTGCACTTGCACTTGCACCCTCGTTCTAAACCAATATCGCTAATCGATACACCCGTGCTCTTCTTGCTCGGCCAACCAGAGTGCTTCTTCCCCCAGGAGCTGGTGCTGTGGATCGACCCTCGCTGCGTCTCCTACCGAACCGGCGACTTTGGTCCCGTCGTCAACATTTGGGAGCGCGAGGAGCTTCCCCCGACAACGTCCGAGCTCATGGCCTCGGTCCCCGTCGTTTCGTCCGCCGCCCCGACCTCGACCCCGCTCACTGTCACATCACCTGTATTTACCCCCAAGTACCATCCCTCGGCCAAGGTCACTCCGCCGTCGCCTCCCAAGTACACAACCTACCGATCCAAGGCTGTGCCCATCACCTACCCTGGCCAGAGCCCTAATCTCGCCTACCACCCCTCGGCAGTGCCCCATTCGTACTACCGACCATCGCAATCCACCTACTCGCGAGGCGTCTTTGCCAACTAGAGTCCTCCGAGCAGGCGCTGTTACCGGGCTCTAGCGAGCCGCACCCCTCTCCCGCACCTGTCTTTGCTCATTTCGACACCATTCGTCTGTCCCGACTTCTTGTCCACTGATTTCCGTCATCCCTCCTTCCGGTCATGCTTACCGGATCACCCCCCGCTCCCCCTCCCTCTCGTTTCTCACTTGCGTGGATGGCCCACACTCTCCTCCGGCAGCTCTATGATTCTTTGGCCTCCCGAACGTTGTCTACCCCACACACCTTTTCCTAATTCGGATTGCCTTTGCGGGCGTCTGCTTTTCTTTTCTTTTTCTCTCGCGATTCATTCCTCATGACTCTGTTGACCGCTCTCGACTCTCCACCCGCCGCTGAACGACCTTGGAATGTCTCTGTACAGAGACTCATTCGACTCCTCGACCACCCTCATCTCATATGCTATGTCAGCTTCCTGATCCCATTATTCCGCTGCTCCTCAGTCCTGGCAGGATCATCCCGGCCTTGTTCTGACGACGGCTCGACTCCCGCGATCCACATGACGGCGCTACGCTTAATTCTCCTGGTTTCTTGTTGGTCCATTCTCCCTTTCTCTTTGTTTGACTCATTTCTCCTCACACGGCACTGCATCCCACTGTCTCCCGACATACCGTCATCCGGAAACGAAGATCCCCCCGCGGTCTTTGCTCTCTTCAAGGCTGCTACTCGACAATCTAATCGAAGCGACGTTGCCAACCGTCAAGTTCCCCCCAAACTGCTCCTCCTCTAGACCGGGATCTCTCACGGTTGGCCCCCAATCGCCTGCTCTCGCTTACACGCAATTCTCCCGATCCATGCTTGACATCAAGTGTCTATTTATTGGTATCTGTGCTCTTTATTTCGTGCTTCTGTTTATAGTTTTGTGTGATGTTCTCTTTCCTTTTTTCTTTCTTGCTTTCTACCTCTGCGTTCATGCCACTCTACCTATTTATTGCTAGTCAATTTTGGTAATGTCGCGTGAATCCCCTCCCGTAAGCCTCATGTGTCCCGAGACCGGACCTGGTCGAGTCGATTTTTGTCCATTTTTTCTTGTCTCCTGCCATCTCCCCAATCTCCCTGTCCTTCGACATATGCTTTCGAGACGATGGATTGTCTCGGTTTCAGAGCCATATCCAAGTTACGTTGACAAATGGCCTGTCCCCACACCATCTTCCCTCCCGAACCGATCCGCCCCTTTCTCCACTGAACCCGAGCTGCTTCTCGGCCATTTGTCGTCCAGTCTACCATCTCCTGCCGACTCCTTCTCACCCCACCCCCATCACCCTCTGCAAATCAAACGGAACCAAGCCAGACGGAAGCGATATCCAGAAAAAAAAAAGTATCAGAAGGCGACAACAATCCGAAACCTATCCGTTGTCCTTGCTCGTTTCTCTCCTTCCCCCAAAAAGCCAATTCAAATACAGATTGTCCGAAAAAAAACTGCGGACACATTTCTCATTCCATCAGCTCCCTGACCTCGGTGTGGGTGGGTGGGTGCGCCCCTGGCACCACGTCGCTGCCATGACCTGTCTTCTGGCTCCGTTCGGTTCACCGCCCGCCTTTCCAGCACTTTCCATTTTCCCGCGCTTGCGGCTTGACTCGGGCTGCCTGTCAATCCCGGCACCGTCGTTGTCGGCCAGCACCTTGCCGCCCTGGTGCCTCTTCTTCCCTCCGTCACCACCATCGCAACTCGCATCGATCACTCAACCCGCAACGGCTGCTATGGCTGGCCAGTATCCGACATGGACCCAGCCCATCCACCCCTCGATTACGCAAGCCCCATCCAGTCAGTTCCCCTGCAGTATATGCCAACGCGTCTGCATTGATAGAAACGACCCGATTGAATCGGCTCGATGGGTGTGGCTGACCGATTCGGCACGCCCGCTGCCTTTGCATCCGCACACCGAACGCTCACCGCTTGGGTCTCTGCTGGCGTCCTCTCCCCCATAGAACAAGAAAGCATCGACGACGTGGTCGAGTCGGCCCGTCAGTGGGCCGCCTTTCAGCGATCGATGCTGGACGGCTCGCATGAGTCATTCCTCCCATACCACCAGCACAACCAGTCGCAGCTAGCTCACCTCGGCGACAGCGACTCGACCCAAACCGCAGCCTCTCACGGATCGCCGCTCGATCAACAGTACGATCTCCACATTCATGGCGAGGTGCCGACGCTCTATGCCGAGCACCCGGCCGGCTACCCATCCGAGCAAAGTGCCCCTACTTATGAGTGCTTCTATCAGGATTCCACGGCCTACTATGCGTCTCCTGAGACTGCCGCGTCGATGGTCGCTCTCGATTCATCCGTCTACTCGGGGTACCCGGATCAACCCGATGGCGACGACGGCCCGCCTGGGATGGCCCCAACCAGAGCCGCACTGGCCGAGTCGCCACATGCGGCAGCAGCAGCCCAAACGCACGACTACTCGACACAGTTTGGGGACTACGATCCTGCTCCCCAGACCACCCCAGGCGCAGGTGTCTGGCCGACTCCGGACTTCAATATCACCACCCCGCAGAGCTACCCGTACTTTCCTTACTATTCTGCTTCGTATCCTCGCGGTATGGCTTGGAGTGCAAGCTGCAATAGTCGTCAATCGTTATGCTCGTGGCCCAAGATACCTCGCAGCCGGCAGGGGATTCTGGACCACTTCGGCATCGTCTCTGCATTTGTGCTTCCAGCCTAACAACTGACGAGCCTGACGTCTCGTGCATCCCCTGTGTCGCTTTGTTTCCTTGCCAGCTATCTACAACCCCTTTGCAGCCCTGAAGAACTCCAAGAGCACCCCGGCTGCCCGACCCAGCTCTCCCGGCGAGCAGCCAAAACACGCCGATCGTTCAACCAAGTCGCAAGAGCTCGGTCCCACGGTGCCTTTGGCCCTACAACCGTCTATGATCGAGGATCCCCATCCTCACTTCAACGCCGGTTCGAAGGCACCTTCCTGTGGAGACAGCGCCGAACACCCGACCGAGAGTCAGCTCAATAGCCCGTCACTACAGTGCAATCCGGCAGGCGATCTGCCTTGCCTCGGGGTATGTGCAGGGCACACGGCTTGGCTTGGGGCAAGCTCAATGCATCTTAGTATATACACAGCCACCAATTGATCGGGGCGAACGCTTAGTCATGGCTAGTCGACTCTTCCCCACCTACATCACAGCCCACGCCCAACAATTTTCACTTGAGCTGATGCGGGACCATGTTTACTGACAGGTCATGGTCGACGATCCTCAGAACAGCGCTGCAAGCCACCGTTCGGCCCCTGTTTCTGCAGCAACACAGGGCGAAGGGTGCTCGAGCAGTGTTGTGATGGCTCCTATGGAGCCCCGCGCTGTTGATATAGAGTGCAACTCCAGCACCCAAGACAAAGCAGTCGCCGCTACATCCAGCACCAGCGGCAGTAACGACAGCAACAGCAACGACGCAGGCAACGGCAGCGACCGGGCTGTCATTGGTGTTGGTGTGGGTGGAACGAATTCCAGCGATGATGGCAGCAGCCATGGCATCTCGAGCCAGCCACTCGCCTCGTCCGCAGAGGATGATCCGGTCCAGCCCAGCCATCACCAGCCGGCGAGTAGTGCCCAAAACGAACTGTTGCTCGGCGATTCTTGTGTACTGCCGTCGTCCAAACCGCCATGTGTCTCGTCGACATCAGCACCAGCATCGGCGCCAGCACCAGCACCAGAACCAGCACCAGCATCGGCATCGGCATCGCTGCTTACAAGGCACCGGTCGCCCTCCCCGAGTGACTCGTTAAGTCGGTCCCGTCGCCATCGCCATCGACTTGGCTCTGTCGAATGTTACAGATACCTGTGTCCGTGCTCCGACTGCCACCGATTCCGTCGGCGACACCACCGCAACCAGGCTCGCGAGTCCAGCAACAGCAGCAGCAGCAGCAGCAGCCGTCGACATCATCGTCGTCGCCGGTCCCGATCTCGGTCTCGGTCTGCCTCGGACTCTGGCCATCGCCGTCGCCGGCACAGCAACCGCAGTCATAGTCGCAGCCGGTGAATCATACAGTCAATGCGTTCACTCTGTCAAACACACCGTTCGAGTTGATAGTCGAAACCCGGACATACTTTTGCAAGAGCCTGACGACGATGCCGACGACGATAGTGACGATGATGGTGATGTCGTTGATGATGATGTCGTCGATGATATGCCGATAGCAATGATCCCTTGCATGTTCAATATATAGACAGTGCTCACAGCGGAATGTATATTTGAGACGACCCATGAATCGCGTGGGACCGCCCCAGGAAGTGATCAGCCCACATGAATCATGTTACCATAACCACTCGCCCCGATTTGAATGTCAGAGATTTACTTTTGCCTTTTCTTTTATCAAGGGGGTGGGGTGACCTCGCTGCCAGCCTTGCAAGTTTCCCTACAGACCGCCTCTCCTTCTGTCTCTGCTTCAGCCCATCAACGCCCCGATGCCGCCGTTGCCACTTTGATCACCGCCAGTCAGTCATTCATCCACGACGCATGCCCGACTCACCCCTCCCTCACTCATACTCTCCCTTTCTTCTCCTCAAAATGGGAATCGAGAAGCAACAGCACATCGTGCCTCAGATCGAATTCCCCTTGGGAAAGACAGAAAACGAGCAGAGGAGTGGAGGGGGGGGGACATACGCACAGGATGACCCCACAGGAGTGAATCGCAGCAGCACCAGCATGGCATCGACAGGATTGACGCAGCATTGCTTTGACGGGGGAGGCTGGCTGAGCAGCAAAATAGGTCTCGCCTCTCCCTTTCACAGCTCCCGAACAAAGACTCTTGGGAACTGACAAAAGGCCACCTTTTGACATCTCTGCACACGCCGAGGTCCCGGAGGAGCCGCCGTGCGATCATTCTTGCCGCCCAGTGAGTAAACAAGAGCAGGAACGGGCCTACAGGTCCACGGAAACGCTGACGACCCGAGGCCCGCCGCTTGGACGGCTGCAGACAAAACCGAATGTGACCAGCCTTTGGGTCTCTCACTCTCCTTCACTTGCATCAGACCGATATGGACAACAAGAGGCGGATTGCTATTCGATGGGGGAGGCGAGAGGAGGTTCCCGAGGACGCTGGCGAGAAGATGGGGAAGGGAGAGGGAGGGGAGGGAAGTGGAACGGACACAATGGACAAAGAGATCCGGAAAATACGGAGTGGAGACAACTGGCATGCATGGGCAACCGGCAGGTCAGCGGGCCCACTCAAGAGTCAAATGGATGGGCCCATCCGCACCGCTTGAAGCAAAGTTCATTCACCCTCCGGGGCGGCGGCGTTGGACGAGGACAGTTCCTTGAAAGACTGAGTAGTTCAGTGCATATGTAGCGGCTGTTCAGGTCGTTGTATAGCAGGGAGAAGGATCGAGGGCAATTGTATCGGCAACGTAGAGCCGTGATTAGGGCGGGCATCGGATTGCAGGGGCCACGGCGCAATGCAAAACGAGCAAGACACCAGTAATAAAGGAAGCGGGAAAGAGATGAAAAACAAACAAGGGAACCACCATGTCAAGGAAGGTGGGAGAAAGGCAGTGCCAAACTTGGAGGCAGCAAAATCGAGTCCTAAATCGTCAAAGAGCCATCCAGGGGTTGGATGGCGCGGTTGGGTGACCGGGTGGGGCTGGGAACGACGGCGGTTCTTTGCTTGATCCTGTCAGCGAGATTTCCCTCGCTTCCTGAAGCATCAGTGGGCCGGCCGACGAAGGCGCCGTGGCTCCAGTGGTCTGGATCGGTTTACCACAGGCGGTGGAGGATGTCGATGGCGAAAGCGCGGCCGAGGAAACCGGCGGCGTTAGCCTGTTGGTGGGAACAGAGCAATGGAGGCGGGTTAGCTCAAAAGAGCGACAAAGCCGAGTGTTGCTGCAGGATGAGCCTGTGACAACAGCACCTCTGGAAGAGGGTTGTTTTGCCGCAGCCTCAATCAAGCACATCCGAGTGCAATCAACTTCAACCCAGGCGCTCCAATCCAAACCAAAGAAGCAAAGTCAATGCAAGGGCATACCGGGAAGGCACGCAGCAGGGCGGGGCCAAGACCCTTGAAGAGCGAGCTAGGACCCTCCGTGGCAATCATCTTGGTAGCGCAGTCCATGAAGCCTTTGTAGGTACCGGGAGGGGCGGCCTGAATGCGCGACTTGATGACATCGGGAGGCTGTTGAAAACGGAGCAGGAACAGGAACAGGAACAGGCGAGTGAGTAAGAGTCAGCTGGCGTCCAGCGGGGTTGTGTCATCGGGCCGCCAATGGTCTGCTCGAAGGGATCCTGTGACCGGAGCAGTCCGGCTGGGTCAACTAGTCAACCAGAGCTCTTGGCAGGGCTGCGGACACAGCGACTTACGATGGCAATCGACCACATGGCCACACCAGCCATGCCTGCGGAAAGTCACAGCGAGAAGCGAAGGAGCAAACCGGATCAGCAAGAGCATCGGAAGCGTGGCCGTCACGGATGGGAGTAGTGCTGGCCGCAGCTGCAGTCGCCAGCCGAGCCGTGCTATCCGTCAAGGCGGCCGCACACATCGCACTGAGGCCAGCAGACACGATCAACTCAAAGACAAAACAGCCCGAGCGGGTCAGATCAACCCGAATCAGAGCGGCTCAGGAGCAAGTCAACTCCGACTGCATCTCTTTGGCGACCCTTACCACCGGCGAACATGACCGCGCCCATCGACATGGCCTCGTTGTTCTTGGGCTTGAGGGCGCGGTAAACGGCCTCATAGGCAACAAAGTAGGCAGCGCTGCCGGGGATGTCTCTGGCCAGGGTAGCGATCGTGCCGCGGTAGAGGCCCTTGAGACCGCCCTCGCGGAAGACACCAACGCCGGCATCGACCATGCCCTTGTATTTGGTGCCGTTGGGGTTGGCGTCCTGGGTCTGCATGATAACCTTGATGCGCTCCATCGGGGTGGTGACGATGGTGGTGGGGATGGCCGAGAAGGCGCCGGCGATGGCGAACTCGGTCAGGGTGAGATCCTTGGACTTGCGGTTGGGGGTGGCGGCGTAGACGAGCTGCTGACCAACTTCGTAAGCCTGTCGCAGAGAAAGGAAGGGGCGAGCGCCAACAATCGCAGCTGGGAGTGAGCGACGCTGGGACAGATTGCCAGGCAAGTCGCGGCCGTGCCGGACGGACATGCAGTCTGGTGCAAGAGGATGGGCGACGCTGGCCGACGCTGGCCGAGGAACTCACCCAAAAACTCAGGGCAAACATCGGCGTGACGCCAACGAGAGGCGACATCATGCCCTTGTAGAGTCCGAGAGGCCCTTCCTTCACGATGGTCTGCTTGAAGCAATCCGCCAGGCCCTTGTACTGCGTGCTGGTCTGCAGGCGGACCTTGAGGGTATCGAAAGGGTGCTGCGGGAGGCAGAGAGTGCCGAGGTGAGCGAGGAAGACAGACCGCCGCAAACAGACAGGAAGATGTGCAGATATCGAGAGTTGATCTCTGGACGCGGAGGCGATCGTCTCTCGCTGGGCTGGAGCGATGGCGGCCGTCCAGACGCGATGCCGACCCTTGGCAGCAGCAGGATGGCCCTCGGGTGGATGTATGCGTCGCAGACATGCAAGCACTCATACAAGCACTCATGCGAGCCCGCACGCAAGCAGGCGGCTTGATCTGCAGGAGCAGAGGCAGTACTTACGCCAGCGAGGACGCTGAAGACACCGGCCATGCCGCCGGCGATGAAGGACTTGACCTGGTCCATCTTCGGGGGCTCCTTCTCGGCAGTGTTGGACATGTTGGCGATGTGATCGGGCGAGACCGGAGGAGCAGAGCGGGAGAAGCGGATGGGCGCAGAGGAGCGGATGCAGACAGAGCGGGAAGGCCGGCGACAGCGGGTGGATGCCGATTTATGTATTCGCCGCGAGATAAGGACCGGCCGGGACGATAGAACAGCTGACCCCCCACAGCGACAACTGTCGGCCAACAGGGACGGCCCCCGTCAATCGCCCAGGCAGCCACCCAAGTTGCATTCGCAGCAATGGCCCCCTTTCGCCCCACACAGCAACGGCGCTGTCCGCGCACAGCAGCAGCAGACAAGCGATTGGAGATCGGCTCTCACGTGCTTGACAATCTCGTGGGAAACCGATCCCCGCCTGGCTGCTGTCGATGCTGCTGTCGATGCTGCTGTCGATGCTGCTGTCGATGCTGCTGTTGGAGTTCGTGGAGTTGGTGGAGTTGCTTCTGTTGCTGCTGGGCAGGAAGGGGGCTCGTTCGCGAGAGGGTGCACAGGCCCAGCACCGCCCAGCACGACCCAGGAACCTGGGCTGGAGCACTCTCGTTCCCATGCGGCCGCTGCCAAACCGCCAACGACGCTCTGTCCGTTCCTTGCTTGATCTCCAAGTGCGATTCTGACACGTGCCAACGGGATTCGTCCCCGGTTGCATCTGACAGCGTCGCGAGAGGGACGCCCTGCATCATGATCCAAAATGGCGCCATGGATGCAACCTCCACCATGATCATGGAGCGACGGCTGGTCCCTGCGGACGCCGAGTGCAGACAGGACAGCCGGCAAATGCATGGCTTGGGGTGTGCATAGACCGTCCCGGCGAAAGCACAGACTGCAATCGCCAACAGATCCCAATCACCCACACCCCTCACCTGCATGACATCATGGGACGAATGGCGTCCTCCTTTTGGACCGAGGCGACTGCTTCAACCTTCGGCCCTGCCCAAGACAGGGGGCTTGCGATGGCACACAGCTATTTGAAAATCATCGACCTTCGGCTCCCACGGTCGGGAAAACACCCAGTCACTCCCAGTCCCTCTCATCAGCCACCCTTCTCTACCTCCCGACTCGCCACCCATCTCGGCCACTCATTGCAGATACTGCCATGTGGGGACTGTACAACCGATATCACCAGACATATATGCAAAACCGAGCCAGGGAGCAAGATCTGGAGAATCTGGCGCACGCCCTCAAACAAGCTGACAATGGGTCTGTGTCTGTCGGTCGCAGCTGCTCGCCCTTCCTCCTGCTCAGGCCCGTCGCTTATACTGCAATGCTTCCCTATTCAGTCTCAGCGAATGCGTCGTTGACAGGCATAAGCACACAGCTGGCACCGAGCAAGTCAGGGCATCCAGGCAGCATTCAATATGCTCCTTAACGACATACGAAACAGCGCTGTCGTCTAGCGATGGTGAGCATCTGAGCCGGCGAGAGGTACCCTGTCAGCAATTCATCGTGGTGCCCTTGGTTGCTACTAACTGCGCGGCATCTCACACAGACGCATCAGCCCACGATGCCGCTATTGGAGGCTGCTCCAAGCCACCCGCATCTTTCCTCAACAGATACCCACAGTCGGCGCACTCGATTGCCACCCGAAGCGATGCCGGTGCCTCCGAAGAACTCGGCAGCTCATGGTCGGTCAGGAGCGTCGATGGCAGCGAGCCGCTCAGCCAAACAGACCACTCTGATGTCTTTCAGGCCGTGATGGAGCTCTCGAAAGCTTTACGGACGGTAATTGGGGACTGCTCGTGCGCACAGAGACATGCCCGCATTGCATGTTAGGGACACTCCCACATTGCGTGCACCCCATGTTGTTACACTTTGGGGGCACAATCTCACACTTGTTTGCTGGCTAGCTGTCAAAAGAAGAAGCTGTGGAGCATCCAACCCGAGACCAGGGCCATGTGGATTATCTGTTCGACGAGTCCTTTGATCATATATTCAGGTGGGCTGTCGCTCTCTTTCCAACGGGCACCGCACCGTGAATCGGCAATGTGGTTTGTTACTATTCAACCAAGTAGCCGCATTATAGCGCCCAATCGCAGTCGTGGTACCAATGTCCAACCAGCCCGTCCCAGAATGCGACCACCACACCACCGCCAAGCTCTCCCTAATGTATTCTTATTCTACCGAAACACAACGCAGATCCAAGCTGAGCCGCCATCAAGACCCTCCAACGCCAATACGGCAGCAGATCCGAGCAAGGGCCACAGCGAATCGTATCCCTGAGCGCCGTGCCCAGGACCGGCCCTTGGAACCATGGACGCCAAAGCAAGAGTGAGCAGTGTCCCCAGCAAGGGACAAGGGGTGTCAGTAGCCTGTACGCTGGATGATGCGAGAACAGTTGGCCGTGAGGCCTGGGTGATGCAACGAGAGACTGACCACAGTTCCCACTGCAATGGCTCACTATCCCACAACCGGCGTCACGAAAATGCATCCGACTCGATGCCAAGAAGGCACACATCCACCTTTCTCGAGGGGCTGCTGCCATATATACCGCCAGAGGCCCAGCTTTCGATGTTAAAGCAACAGGTGGGTTCGCCGGAGACTGAGATTTTGGTCGTCTAGTCCATCGATCGACCTTCATTAAACGGCTCGCGAACAGGAGGAGCGTCTCCTGATTCAGCGCTGGCGAGACACGTGGGTATGTACAAGACCAGCCCTGCTTGCTTCTGCGCCGTTGCACTGGCCCAAATATCGGCTTACGATAGAGACACGAGTCACACCATTGCATTTGTCATGTTCATTCAGGAGACCGTGCGGCCACCTCAGTCAAAGTGGTACACGCTCAAGGACACTCGATTCCACGGTGAGATGAAGCGATGCACGGAGCTACTGCGATATCCAGGTACGATTTTAGATGGGATTCGGGGGGGGGTTCACTGATTGGGCACTACGATTGTTGTCGCTTGAGAGTTATAGCTCGTACAGCTGCAAGTGGCATCGTCCCTGTCGCTTGCATCGTTGGAAGGAAGGGGGGAGAACATAGCTGCGACCGAAACGAATGCGAAATCTGAAATCACCTGGACCGTGCACCAACCCCGGTGGAGTATGGCAGAGAAGCAGGAGCTGGAGCACCGCTGCCGATCGCTTCTCCTTGAGCTGTACCGGACCAGAGTTGCAGAATCCAAGTCCGCTGAGCTCCTGGCAGCAAAGAACAAGCGATCGAGATAGCTTGCGGCTTCAGCGAAGCCAGCACGATGGCATCAGCATTGCTTTGGGTCCGCACACCACGCTGTCGCTTCTCGAGCAAGCTTGGTGAATGTTGCGATGAATGTGCGGCCCACCCAGCCACAGCAAGCCGGTCTGTTGCGAAGACACTGGTGGTCGTTATCTGTTTGTATTTACTGTCCTGTCGCCAAGGGCGGCGCTCGATCGCAGCATCTATAAATCACGTCACCACCCTCGGCAGCATTATCGCGAGTCCTGCTCATAGATCGCCATCGATTGCCAAAGATAGGCAACCGGCACCACCGTGGGGCCGCAGTGTCCACGCAAATGGCACCGAGAGAGATCGATCGGCTGTGCCTAATCGCAAGTCGATCGAACCGGCTCTGCAATGTGTCATCCAGAATAGCTGCGATGGCCGGGACTGCGGCCGGTGGCTTTCCAGGAGGATATTGCTCCGCCAGGCTGCTTCATGAGACTTTCTTCATCGGCTATGCCGCAGGTCGTGCTGTTTCTGCCTACTACCTTCCCTTCCTGCTCTTCTTTTCTTTGGTCGGCGGGCCTTCGGCCGCGTAGGCCGGATGCAGGGCATGTCCGGTTTGCTTGATGTGCTCAAAGAGCTTGTTTCGGGTCGGAAAGACGGTAGCGCACTTATTGCATTTGAAGATGGTTGAGCCAGCGGCGCTCGTTGGGACGCTTCCTTCGGACTGGACTTGCGCTGGTTGCGCCGTCGCTGACTGGGCAGCCACCTTTTTCGCCTCGCGAGCCGCACGCCGGGCTTTCGCACTGTTCTTCTTTGGACCAGCCAAGGGCTCAGCATCGTCAGAGTCATTGTTCAGGGTCATTTGCTTCCGACCGTTTCCAGATCGTCGGCTCCCGAGGTTGGCCAGGAGCTCGGATATGCCATCGACCGAGTCGGCACCGTCGCTGTCACCGTCGAGCTCCGAGTTCGCATCGGCGTGTGTCGGGACTGCATCCCCGCTGTGTGTGTCATCAGCAAGGGATATGATAGTTGAGGCATCGGAAAACGTTGCCGTTTTCTTTTTCGGTTTCTTGTCTGCATTTTTTGTTGTGTGGGCGGGCTCTGCAGCCGGGAAGTCGTCCACCGCTTCATCAATAGCCTCCAAGGAGTCGGGGTCGGGGTCGAGGTCGGAGGCGCTCAGACTCTCAAGGTCTGCCGGGGCAGCATCTGGGTCCTCGGTTGGATCGAGCGAGTGGAGGCTCTCGATCTCGATGTCGGATTGAAGGCTTGCTAGCGATGCGTTGCTTGACTGATTGAGGGAGTGCAGTTCGTCATCCATGAGCAGCTCTCGCCGCAGCTTTTCGACTTGTCGGATGTGCTTGCTTGACTGCTCGTGATTCTTCCACTGTCGTTGCGGCAAGGGTTATTCCGTTGTTAGAGGGATGCCAGGCAAGTGTTTGGGCAGCGCTGCATGCGTATGTCGAGTGCAGAAAGCGCATCGAACAGCAATCAAAGCCAGTTCGTCCAGATCCAAGGTGGATCAAGATGGCGCTCTCGACAGGTCGTACCTGCTTCTCGGATTTGAAGACCTTGCTGCAGGCGGCGCAAAAGAGCTCGCCATAGAGCTCCGACTCCAGAGGCGTCTCGTCCAGCTCCTCATGAAGCGAGGCTAAGGCGACGTCGCTCGCCCGAGTCCAGGCCTGCTCAACATATTCGCTGGCCTGCCGCTGCCGGTCTCGCTTCTCGGCCTCACGCCGCTCCTTGACCTCCTTCTCCTTGGCCACGGTCTCTTGCTTCTGCTCCTGGACATAGGCCTTGTAGCGGGGATCTCGCTTCCGGAGCCAGTCGGCCAGATTGCGGACGGTCTCGTTGTACTCCTTTCGCTGGGTCTCGCGGATCTTCTTATTCTCCTTCTCCATGAGTCTGCGAATCCGGCGGTCGGGCGCATCCGACAGGCGGTGTTTGTCGAACCATCGGAACGACTTGCAACTCGAAAAATGCAAAAACTTTGCATAGAACTCATCTGCACCAGAGCGATAGCCCGAGGTCTTGAAGGGTGTCGCAGATGTGCCAAAGTTGGTCTCGGATGGGATCTCGTCCGAGATAGCGGCCTCGGAGTCGTTTCGATACGAGTCCAGCTCCTCGGCCTCGATTGTGTGGAAGAGGCTGCGATATACGCAGAAGAACCCGCTCGGCTCATCGTTGTAGCCCTTGAACTTGGACACGGAGAAGTAACTCAGGATCTGGTCGACGCTCAGGCCCTGGGATGTCGTGCCCGAGCTTGGGTCGTCGTCGCCTCGGAGGATCGCCTCGCGATGGGAGTCGTACCTGCAGAGAGCGGGAGTGTGAGTGAGCGGGCGCATCGGACAGAGAGCTGATGCGAGCTCGGAAGCAAGCTCGGATGCCCCCAGTCGATCCGCCTGGTATCTCCCAGCCCTCCGGAGCAACTGGCATGTGTCCGCAAGTGGCACCAGTCCTCATACCATCGGCGTTCTTTCTCGTCGCTGAGGACCTCGTATGCCTCCTGGATCTGAGCAAACAGCCGCGTGGCCTCCTCGATGCGATTCGGGTTTTTGTCCGGGTGAAGCTCCAGAGCCTTTCTTCGGTAGGCCTTCTTGAGATCCTCGGGGGTCGCTGAGCGCTCGACCCCAAGGAGGACGTAGTAACACGTTCGCATTGGTGGGTCGGGATGGGTTGCTGGTGATGGACGCTCAAGTAGGTAGCAGAGCTGCGTCGCCAATATATAGGTCTGGACGAGTGGGCAGCCGGTGCGCCGGTGTCTGAGTCGTCGCGATCCTGGAGGAAGTCGTCGAGGCCGCTGGGCCACCAGGAGTCTGTCGGGCGGGCTGCGTCAAACATTTTTTTTTTCTTTGTGCTCCGCCAATGCCGAAGGACATGGGCGGCTCGAGCCAGGATCGAGCCTCGTGGCTGCTGGCTGGTCTGGAACCAAGAACAATGAGAGAATGTGTACCAATGCTGCACTGTATTCAGGGGGAAATGGGGCCCACAACCCATTTGTCAGCGTAGTATGCGATGTCATGCGTCTAACTATGCCATAAGAAATAGAGCAGATCACTTTGGCAGCCTCCGAGTGAAGGCCACCCTCCGAGCGAAGACCACCGGTCGCAGTGCAGCGATGCGGAAATCGAGTGTGCTGTGTTTGGCCATGAATGCAATGAGCGGGTGGGTGTATTCAGGTCACAGAAAAAACCACTGTCATGGCTCAAAACGGGGTGTCCCATTTCATTTTGGAAACGCTGTATTTCAGGATCAAAACAGGGCTGCTCTCGGTTTGGCTTTGCGCCGGCACGGCATCGCCGAGGGCTTGGTCAGTCCAGCTCGACAACCACCGGCGGCTGGTCCTCGGACGGCTGTGCAGACGACCGGGCACCGCTTGTGTCCATCGAGGTCAGCAGCAGCTTGAGGGTGGCAATCTTTTGCTTCCGCAGCTCCTCCTTGGTCGTCGCCCGGCCCTTTTCCCGCAGAGCCATCTTGGCCATCTTCAGCTTGTTTTCCTGGAGCTTCAGCATCGCCTCCTCGATGGTTTTGTGGGCAATGAGTCGGTGGGTATACACGGTCCGTGTCTGACCGATGCGATGGACGCGGTCAATGGCCTGGTGTTCAACGGCAGGGTTCCAGTAAGGCTCAAAGATCCATATCTGCGAGGCACAGGTCAGATTGAGACCCACGCCGCCTGCCTTGAGCGAAACCAAGATGATTGTGACGTCGGGGTTGTTCCGGAACCTTTGAAGCACGCCGTCACGCTCCGAACGGTTCATGGTGCCGTCCAGTCGCACGAACGTAAATCTTGCATCCTGAAGCGGCGCCTGTCCAGGACGAAAATGGGGCGAACCACAGTCAGCGGCGCAATAGGCATCGACATCGCAGCCTCGGAGGATGCAGCATGTGTACATCTGTCGAATGTCAGGACGCATGAAGACAGCCGCACACCGCACGCTACACACAGTTCGGCAGGCTCGTACCTCCAGCAGATTCAGCATCTCTGTCCACTGCGAAAAGATCACGGTTTTCTCGGGCGGGAGGCCATTCTTCTTGCAAGCGCTCCGATGGGCAACCAGCTCGCGGATGAGTGTCGCGATTTTGCTACTCTGGCTCCCAGCAAGAGTCGATGTCAGGCAGCCGTCGGCCTCGAGGTCCAGGGCATCCTCTTCGACCTGCAGAGTATTCATACGGGTCCATTCGTCATGTTGCATGGACAAGAGCGGATCAACCGGTCAGCACCTCAGCAGCGCGATATGCGTGGGCCTGGACAGATGCAGCACCCCTCCCATACCGTCGCTTCCGTGCGAGCCGCACGCTGCCTCCACCACCAGCCAGTGTTTCAATGCATAGCGGAGCTTTAGCGTCGCCTCGGCGGGGCTAGCCGTCAACGTACCTCCTTGATATCTCCTGAAGTGAGCTCCATATGGCATACTGGGCAGCTGACTTCCGAACGATTTTCGAACAAGGACTCGTAGCAACTCATACAAAACAGATGATCGCAGCGGGTGACAACTCCGACCGACCCGACCGGCCCGTCGGCCGAATACACGTCATTGAATTTGCCTTTCTTTTCGTCATCGGAGGAAAGCTTTCGGCCGCTTGCATCGCCGTCAGAATCTGTATCGCTGCCGACGCGCTTGTTGCAACTTCCACAGTTGTTCATGTTGCCTTCCCGGAGAAGATTGAAAATGTGAACTGCGTGCTCGCTGGACAGCGGGGGCCGCTCATCTGACTGAGCCAAGGCGTCTGCGGAAACGTGATAGTGGAGGGAGGGAGCAACTATCAGCGCGTGCGTCAAAATGCCCCTTCAAATAACAAAGGGTACCAAGCGACAGCCGAGTCATCCAGCGCCAGCCGAGTTATCCAGTGACAGCCGAGTTATCCAGTGACAGCCGAGTTATCCAGTGACGGCCCAGCATCAACATCGCTTGTAAATACCGTAGTCTCTCAGCTCATCTTCGATCGCCTTCTTCTTGCACAAATTGCTGTGATTGCACAGTTGTCGCATCCGCAAGATCACTTGCAGAAGCACTGCCCATCTCGAGTCCTGGAGAGAAACCGACCCCCACGGAGGATATGGCGACACGGTGAGGGTGCTGGACCAAACGCTGGCGCACATGCAGCTCGGCCATCGCTACATTTCTGTTCGAAGCAGGCGGAGATGGCCAACGGCACATGCGTGCAAGATCGATACTTACAATCGCATTGCCCGACGTAAACCGATTGAAGATGTCGACGGCTTTCTGGTGCATTTGGTTGTAGGCCCAGGATTCGCGCGGATCCAGGGTCACAAGCGTAACAGAGTTGATCTTGTCGGGGAGCTTGAGCAGGGGCTCTCCGTTCTCGAGTTTCTGATCCTTGGTTCGTCGCAAGGTGATGGCTTTCATTAGAATCTGCAGACGAGTCAGAGCCTCCTGATCGCTGGGCATGCTGCTCCGAGACGATGCGTAAGGGTTGGCCGGCGGGGGCTGTCTGATGGGCTTGGAGATCGAGTTGTTCCACACTCGTCGATCATCAAAGGGATAGAATCGCAGGAACTTGAAGAGGGCAAACAAGTCGTCGAACTTGTTCTGGATTGGAGTTCCGCTGTAACGCACAGAGCCACGCCATACAGCAGTGGCGGGATGGAATGTCAGCGGGTCGCAAGGCGCCATAGACGAGTCAAGCCGCTTGCTCGACGGTAAAAATAGAGACACATCTCAGCCAGCACTTACGTCAGGCACCATCGCCGTGTCGACTGCAGCTCGCACGCGGCCTTGCTTTGGCCAGTGTTGACATCCTTGATCATATGGGCCTCATCCTGGTGACCAACACACAGAGAAATCAGAACATGCTGTATCCGGAAGTAGCGTACATTACCGTAGCCGTAACCGCAACCGCAACCACAACCGCACGTGGCAAAACGGGGCGCTGCTCAGCCGCCACGGCAAACAGGCAGACTCACCAGAACAACTCGATACCAGTGGATAGACAGCAGGGGAGAGACTTCATTGCCCGAGGTTTGATACCCCTTCTTCTTGTCTCGAGCCGGCTTTGAGAACTCGATCGAAAGTACACTGTAGGTTGTGATGACAATGTCCTGCAGCGATCGCAGTATGTTGGATTAACCAGCACAGCGTTCCAATCAGTCGAAAGCTAGCACTATATCTTCCAAGACCACTGCAAGACCACTGCAAGACCACTGCAAGACCTCGATCCCAAGCGTGCGGTATTGACAGTGCTGTCCAAACAGACATCGAGCCATAGTAGCTCAGCTGGGTCAGCCGTACATGTGAAGCCAGAAAGTCGATGTTGCTGTTGCGGCCGGGGCCATGGTAGACATAAACCCTGAACGACTTGTTCTTGACGTGGGAATCGATCTGCTCTTCCCAATTGGAGATGATCGACAGCGGGCAAACAACCAGTGTTGCACGAGAAGGCTTCAAGGGATAGCTGCACCCAAATGCCTCAGCCGGGGTTTGATAAGACACATCGGGCTGGCCCGAGAGCAGCAGCGAAATCACCTCGATGGTTTTGCCCAGCCCCATGTCATCGGCGAGGATACCCCCGAGCACGACCCGCGGGATTGTGTTTTCTTCCCTGTCGAGCACGAGGTTCTGCCATCGCCCCGCTCGGATGCGCTTCCAGATTCCCTTGGACTCGAATGTCGGCGAGTTCAAATCGATATCCTGCTCGCGGTCAAGCATGAAGTGCAGGGCCTGCTTTTGGTGCTTGTATAGGGTGGTGGCGAGCCTCGGGTCTAGCGACAAACCAGATTCCGCCGCATGAGCCAAGAGTTAACAAAAGAGCATATCGCGATCCAGAGCCATGGTAAGGAGCAGATGCGAGTACAGATAGTAAGCTGGCGAGTCCTGGCTCCGGAAATCAGCCAGATGCCGACTGGTGCAGCATTGCATGCACATGGTGATCGACATGGCAATCGGGTCACGCGGCAAAGTCCATACCTGGCTCGGCCTGTTCCCAAGACTGCGACTCGGCAAGACTCAGATACACGCGCTCGATCTGGCTTTCGACATCCTCCTGCTTGACGACTGTCCGGGCCGGGATGACATAGCTTTCATAGGACGTCGCCATCGGGTTGAATACAGGAAACGCCGTCGTCCGTGTCGGGTTGAGCAATCGAAGCCCCTCGCTTTGCAGGGACTCTCCAACGATAAATGCGTTTTTCCGGGCGCCGTAGAAAACGATGCGGATTGACGCACTCATGCGCTGCGGTTCGGGAAGGAAGAGCGGCGCGTCAATTCAATTCAATTCAATTCAATTCAATTCAATTCAATTCAATTCAATTCAATTCAATTCAATGGCTCCACGATGCCCTGTCGCTGTCAGGGCCAGAGTAGGCAACAGCCATGAGATATGGACCATGGAACACTATGTCCAACGTCAGCTTACGTTGAACTGGGTCCTTTGAATCGTGGCAGATATACGAGCCATGGTGTTTATCTTGGAGTATGCCGAGGCAACGTTGGCCGGAAGCTGTCCGAGCTGAGAGACAGTGGAGATGCATGCAAATATGGTGCAGGATCAGCGACTGATGCATCATATGCTTCTGTGAGCCGCTCACGGATCGCAGAAATATCGATTTAAGCCCATTTGGCCACTTACAATCATCTGGCGGTCGTCCACAACCATCCACTTGACAGCTCCTGCAAGGATCGAGCCGGTGGAGCAATGAGGGACAGCGGTGAGCAACTGGTCGGGCAACTGCATCCTGGAGCTGCGCAACGAATGTATCTCGCACAAAGCATTGGTCGTCAGTCGCCGCGGCCAAGGGCATCTCGATTCCTCAACACCTACCAGCCCTATTGTTTCCAAGAGGCTCCACAACACCCTGGAACCGAACCTTGTGTTCTCGGCGGTTCGGATCCAACTGCGCAGCGACCGGGTCAAAGCCCTCGATGTAGTTGTCGATTTGGCCATAGCAAACTAGCTCCGATATGGGCAAATTGCACAGCTCCTCGTGCTGCTGTTTGCGGAGTTCGGCATGGCGCTGCATTTCGACCGAAATTGCGGGCTCGGTCTTGGTTACGGCACCGACGGCGTCGTCCGCTGTGAGATCGATCGGAGCAGCGGTTGGCTTGTGGCGCCGGGCATCATCCTCATCTGTAAGATCAATCACGATGGCCTTTGAGTTCTCGCGGGCGCCGGCCTCGACGCTCGGATCGACCTTGATCCGTTTTTCGGGCTGTGTGGCAGCTGGATGGCCAGACGACATACTGGTCGCCGGCTCGCCCTGACTCGAGACGCTGGCGTCAGGATTCTTCTCGTTTGAATGCCTGCTATGAGAATGGCCGTGGTTGGAATGAGCCTGCTTCTTGATCAAGTTATGATACCGGTCCCGGAAGAAGCGCTTCAGTTCCGTCAGTTCGTCATGAAAGGCTATTTTTTGTTTCGCTTCGAAATCCTGAACAATCAATTCGGGGTTTGACAGCCCCTGGTTCATGATCCGGTGTTTTTCCTGCTTTAGGCGATCAGAGTACTTGCTTTGCAACGCCGACAGCCGCTCTTCATATTGTATTTTTAGGGCTACGATATCGGGGTGCTCCTTATCAACGGATCGCAAGCGGCGATGCTCGGGGTGCCCAGATGAGCCACCTTCAGTCGAGGATGCCTGCGTCGCGACTGGGAGAGGGGGCGCCGCCTGATCGATTTCCAATCCTGGGTTCGCAGATTGAGGCGGCGAGTCTGAGGCGGCATCGGATTTCGAAGGAAGCGCAGGGGCGGTTGGGGGTTCGTGTTGGTGTCGGACTGGCGAGGATGGCTGCAAACTCTGGGGCTCGGATTTCGACCCGGCGGCAGCATCCGAGGATATATGCGCCAAGGAAGCGGATTCCAGAATCGTCTTGGAGTCCTCTGGGTCAACGGACATTTCAGTGTCCGGGATCGGAAGGGGCTCACGCTGCGAATGCTGCTGTGGCGGCACTTGCGGCGATATTTGAGGAAGCAAAGGAGTGGGCTGTGAAGGTGGATATCGGTACAGTGCAACTTGGTCGGTCGGTGGGACCTGGTATTGGTGGAAGTAGAATTGCTGAGAGCCAAGGCCTTGGTGCTGCTGGTGCTGCTGCTGGTGCTGCGGGTGCTGCTGGTGCTGCTGTTGAAGCTGGTGCTGTCGAAGCTGCTGTTGCTGGTGTTGAAGCTGCTGTTGCTGGTGTTGAAGCTTTTGAAGCTGCTGTTGCTGCTGAAGCTTTTGAAACTGTTGCATTAGAAGCAGCTGCTTTTGCGGATCGATAAGTTGCTGCTGTTGGCTCTGCTGTTGGTGGTGGTGCTGGCGGAGGGCATGTCGATGGAGTGGGTCCGTAGCCGACATCTGTGGCGTGAGGTTGGAGTGCCCAAAACGATCTGGTTGGGGGGATGATGATCCCGGCGGAGGGTAGAAGAGCGAGTAGACGGAATCAACGGCTTCGGGTGCCCATGAGACGGATGAATTGACGACCGAAAGCCTTGGCGCCATCGTGGATTGCGTTTGAGCATGGATATTCATGGCAGGTTCGGGGGTCAATGGCACAGGCACAGGTACAGGCACGGAGGGCGGAGCGACATCGGCAAGAGGAACAGGCTCAGGCCGACGATTATTAATTACAGGTCCCGACAGATCCTCGGCATCAGATATCGTCCTCTCTGACGACGATGGAGAGGCGGTCGACGCAGGATAATTTGTAATGGCGATTTGCGGCTGGAAGAGATCCATGTTTGGAGCCGATGAGAGCAGGTCGGGACAGCGGAGCAAGAGACGAGGGCGGATGGTAGGCAGGCAGATGCGGCGAAGGCAGTGGCGGCGGTGCGGGAGGGAGGATGCAGCAGCCCCAGCAGTGATTGCTCGATGCAAAGCGGTGGTAGATGGAGGCAAGGCCGCCAGCGCTGTTGCTGTTCTGCAAAGACACGAGTACCAGCACAAATGCATAAAAATAGCGAGAGGGCCAACGAGAGCAGCGAGAGACAGCGAGGGCGTGCGCGGGGACGGGGGCGTGACTCGGTGTGACGAGGCCTGAGCATCGGGGATGCTGCCCATGCTTGTGGTTCTGCGGGTGTTGCTGCTGGGGGGGGGTTGTTGCTGGCCGGGGCTGTGAGGGAGACACTGGCTCTCGGGATCCTGCACAGGGCGGGCCTGGGAAGGTGCCAGAACGTTGCTCGAGCTCGCTTGGGACTCAGCCCCATCCACCGAGCGGCAGCGACGAGTACTGCCACATCGGATCGACGCCAGTATCACCGAGCCCAAGTTGCTCCGTCGATATGGCGCTGCCCGAGCTGCGATTTGGATTTGCACGGCCATGTCCGCCGCCAAGTATATGTATGGGCAAACACTCGACGTGCAGGGCCAGGCGCCCAGAGTAGAATGTGATATTCGCTGTCGACGGCACGATCCTATGCAGCTCTATCGAAGGATGTGCGCTTTCATGTTCAGGGTCGCCGAACCATTGGCGGCAGTCCAGCAGAATCGGGAGACTCCATCAACAGAGCCCCCGCCGCGAGTCACAACTCATCATGGCCGTTGTCGGGATAGAGCGCATTCACGGTCTCGTCGTTGAGGATCTCGAGTGCGGCATATCCAAAGCCATAGTAACGGCTGATGCCGACGTCGATCACAAAGACTTTGCCGCCACAGCGCTTGAGGATCTTGCCACTTTGCTGGGGCGTATGGCCAACGACCATGCGCTTTGCCTGGACAGGAGCAGCAGAGACAGCAACGCCGACCCAGGTCAGAAGACTGCTGTGAACCGCACGGAACTTGAGAGGCTCGCGGCTGGCCATCTGGGCAAGAGTAATCATGGCGACACGATACGCAACGAGGCTTCATCAAGCTGGCGGTCCAAAGATACTCATAGGAATGCCTGCCGCCGAGATGTGTGCCGTGTCTGCACTTACGCCCAAGTAGTTGAGAGCTTGCTCAAGCACGGCACACTCGGTTGCCTCTGGGTTGGATGCATAACCGCGATACCAGATGGGACTTTTTCCATCAAAGATAGCCTGGCGATGGATCTGGTCGGGAGGAAGAGTCAAGGCAGCCCTGGCCATTTCGTTGAGCTTGCGGACGCCGTGCCGGGCCCAAGACGGATGGATGCTGAGGCAGAAGAGACACACCACCATCAGCATGATCACTTGGCTCGTCCGCATACTCCCGATAGCCTCGCGCCGTCGGTCCACCAAACAATATCAACACCGCTGCATGCACTTGAGCGCCGCAGCGACTCTTACCCGCCATGGACAAATACCGTGCCGCCGACCTTGGTGGTGATGCCGAGACCCCGGAGCCATGAACCCAGCTCGCCCTTGGCACTCCATTCGTGCGCACGCTGCTCGTCGCCTCCAAACGAAGCAAAGTCCTCCGGGGTCACGTATCGCAGGTCGTTGGCCATATTCATGACCTCGTGGTTACCGAGAAGGGGAACGACTCGCCCGCCGGCTTCTTTGGCCTGCTTCTGGAGACGCCGCATCATATCGTAGAGCTTGATAGTATCGGGCCCGCGATCGACAACATCGCCCTAAGCGGCGGAGAGTCTGGCGTAAGGTCCGGGTGCCGCCATGGCGCAACGTAGGAGATGACAATCTATGCCCGAGCTTCCGCACAAGGCATCGAGCTCCGTAGCAGCAACCTCGGAGAGCGCACGGACGAGTGGGAGGTATATATCGCTGGCGGGGAGGGAGGACAATCGCAGCACGCCGCTCGTCGGATGTTCGGCCAGGTTGCCTTTGTCTTACCGTTTGGACAAAGGTTGTAGATCCTCCAACCCAGTCACCATTCTTGTCGGTGATGTTGGCGAGCATCAGCACCTCTGAGGGAGGGACAATGCTGGTTAGCGGGGCTCGCTGCTGGGCAAGGCATGGCAAGCCAAGATGCTTGCTCAGACAGCAACAGCATCACTGCTGCGACAGCCGCACTATGTAGCGCCATCCACAGGGCACTCTCAATGAATGGCCGTAGGTGCCGCTTACTGAGGGTGCTTGGATAGTCGCTGTGGAAGTCACCAACGGCAACAACCCGTGCGGGCGCTGGCTTGGATGGCACTTCACGAGCGTCTGCGACATGACTGCATCCCAAGAGGGCAGCGACACCAAGCACAAGGGCGACGATCTGCTTCATTGCGGTGTTCGGGGCTGGTGGGTGTACGGCTCGCTCAGGACGATCTTGGTTAAGGTGCTGGTCGGCAGACGGCAGATGGCAGATGGCAAACGGCAGATGGCAGATGGCAAACGGGAGATGGTCCATCGACGCGCAGGCCCGCAATTCTGTCATTCGGTTGCCTGAGCGGCTGACAGACCAACACCCGTCAGGCCCTGACATATGCTCTGTCCGAGTGCCGAGCAATACACAGGCTCTCTGGAGCAAATGGCCCATCGTACAGGCTAACATATGTGGTATTCGCCAAGCTGCCGCTCCCACCGGCGTTCGTCTTCGACAGCCCTTTCGCTCCACTGCTGCCGCTCAGCGCCCGTCAGGCCTTTCCACTTGAGCAAGACTGCCTGGTATTGTTCGGCTGGGGGAGATCGTTCGAACACGGACAGTAGGTCCCAAAATATACGAATCAGAAGGTACCCACCGGCACTGTCGATAGCTTGCGTTCGCATAGACGGAGCTGATGCACGGCAAAGAACCTACCAGCGGATGATCCGGGATCGACGACTGCCATCTGAGGAGCGACATGCTCGATGAAGAGAGCCAGGGCCGAGCGTGGAGGCAACCCAGCATCCAGCGGCGAGCTGTCAGTCTGGACCGCAGATCTCCGGCACCCAAGACACTCCGAGTTTGCCTTCCAAGTACTTCCGTCTTCGTAAAACTCCTTTTTCCAGATAGGCACAGTTGCCTTGAGCTCATCGATCAGCCACGAACATGCAGCAAGGGCCTCCTGGCGATGCGGGCTCGTGACGACGATGATGACGCTGGCCTCGGCGACAGGCACGACTCCGATGCGGTGGACGATTGCTTGATGGGTGATTTCAGGCCACCGCTGTCTGGCCTGGGCAAGGAGCTCCAGGAGGGCCTTGTGGGCCATGGGCTCGTAGGCCTCATACTCAAGCCGCAGGACCCGTTTGCGGACGCCGTCGACGACAAAGTGGTCGCGAGTGGTGCCAGTGAAGGTTGCAATAGCGCCGTCCTGGCCATCTCGGACCAAGAGAAGCAGCGGGTCGAGAGAAATTCGGTCGGCGGTGATGGAGACGTGGTCTATCGGTGCAGGCGGTGCTTGAGGCGGGAGCATGTCTCTTGGAGTTTGGGATGATTCGTGGAGGTCAGCGGATGCGTTTGATGATGGCAGCATGGTGTCGCCCTGTCGGTGTCGTGAGCTGTATGCCGTCTTGATGCCGTCTTGATGCCGTCTTGATTCATTGCGGGATGGATATGGTCCGGGACGGATCCCATCTGGACGCGATTTGATTGGCCGCCTCACAGCGCTCAGCCCTAGTGTGTGCGACATAGCGTCGCACGCGTCTTTGGCGACGCAGCCCTTGCCCTAGCCATCTGTGTTTAGTGGGGCTCTTGGCTGCACCGATTCTGCTCCTTCTTTCGTCCAAGCATCACAAGTTCTCTTTCCACTAGGGAGTGATTATATTCATCAGGTTGGCGATCCATCCATGCATCCATCCACCCATCCACCCGCCCATCCATCCATCCATCCATCGATCTGTCCATCTGTCCATCTGTCCATCTGTCCGGCTGTCCGGCTGTCTGTCTATATCTGTCTGCCAGCGATGCGACTCAGCTATCAGCCTTCAACCCGAGCGGCCTTTGAGCCGGATTGAATTTGCAAATTTCGACACCCACCAAGGGCCGGCGCGTGCGGGATCGATCGGGAATCAGACCATCGAGTCAGCAAAGGATATACATCTCGGGCTTTATCTGGACACCTCCGACGCAGCCCAGCTTGGCTTGGGATCGGCGCCGTCGCCCCCATACGCTTTCGTTATGAACGCCGATCGACCTGGTCACGGGCAGTATTGGCGATAGGAGGATGATGCGCGACGGCTCTGGATATCGCGGCAGCCGAGCAACTCTTCCTACTGCAGCGCGGCGCATTGCATGGATCGGCGGCATATCAACATTGCGGACCAGATCGACGGAGAGATCCATGTCGAACTGGCGGTTGCTGTGGAGCCAAGCATACCAAGACAGACAGCGATAGACAGACGAGCAGCCACAGACCCTCCTGGCACTCTCCTGCCAATGGACTTGATCAGCGCCTATTCAGCAACCACTAAATTTGTCGGCTGCTTGCGCTCTGCTAGAAATGGCCAAGGATCAGCAGAAGAGCACCAAGAAGTCGGCTCTCAACGAGGTCGTCACCCGTGAATACACCATTCACCTGCACAAGAAGGTCCACAACACGTAAGTTGAGATCAGGCCCAGACCAAACCAGTCCGCCAGCAACGGCAGCAGCGCCGCCGACAGAAGATACCCGGCGGGCCTGCGGTCGCTGAACTGAACGGCGCTCCCCAGCTGCAACACCGAGACCTGACCGCCCTTTGGCCACCTTTGCCAACAGCACCTTCAAGAGACGTGTTCCCACCGCCGTCAAGGTTGTCCGCGCCTTCGCTCAGAAGACCATGGGCACCACTGATGTCCGTCTTGACCCTTCGCTCAACAAGCACCTGTGGTCCCACGGTGTCAAGACTGTTCCCCACCGTCTCCGTGTTCGCCTTGCTCGCAAGCGTAACGATGCCGAGGATGCCAAGGAGAAGTTCTACACCTACGTCACCCCCGTCGTTGTCGCTTCTTTCAAGGGTGAGCTCAGTTTCTCGATTGCGCTGTTGTTGTGCGATGCGATGCGGTGGCTGTGTTGCGATGCTTGCGCCCTGATCAGTGGAATCGCCTTTCTGTTCCCGCCAACTGACCTTTGTTTTTTTTGCTCTGCGGTTCGACAGGCCTCCAGAGCCAGAAGATTGATGAGTAAATCTGAGTTGTTGTGATGTTTCCAATAAAGGGCCATGACTTCTATATCGCTGCGCTCTTTCCGGCCGTGTCGATGCTGCTTGCACTCCGCTCAGCGGTATTTCACCCAAACGCCACCGATCATCCAGCGTCGACCGAGTCCGAGCCACATTTCCAAGTCTGCTGTTGTTGCAAAGCCAGGGTCGTGTGTCCGGCTCAGGTCCTGTGCTCAGCTGGGATCACCCAGGAAACGGATGTTGATGGATGGCCGCGCAGACGAGGCACAGCAAGCATGCAGCCGGGTGGACATGTGCCGGCTCGTCCACACATATCCACAACATCGCATCGGCTCCCCGATGCGCTCTGGCGACCGTCCCGTCTGGCCGAGTTCCATCCGCCAAAGTCCAAGCGGTCTGTCCGAAGCGCCTGTCGGGGTTGGTCGAGCAGCCCCACGTTCTCTTGGTCCGCTCTGCGCAACAGCGCCATGAGGACCATCTTTGCTCTTGCCAATCCACCTCCCGCCCTTCACTCCCGGTCTGTTCGACAACATGCCCCAGCGCAACGCAGTCGTCGGCGCCAGGAATGCCCTCTGGGCCACAGCCGCAGCTGCGATCTTTCTCGCTCTGGGCGTCATAGGGTATTCGGTGGGTTTTGTCGGATCCTGCTGCCGGGCATCTCGCACTCGCGGGACACTCTGTCTGTCGTTGGTAGAAAAGACAGCACCGCTTCTTCGCCGTGCGCCCCGTGCAGAGATCTGCTCTGACTGGTTTGTCCACTTGCCTGTGTCCGTGGAAACCTCCCAAATAGCATCAAGAGCAGATCAAGGCCATGTGGCATGGACTGATGCTCTGGATTCAGAACCACACTATTGAGGGATCCGTTGTCTACATTGTTCTCTTTGCACTTGCCTGCTGTGTCCTTGTCCCAGGTAACTCGCTGCCGAGAGAGCGAATGAGGAGTTGTTTGTGGACGACCGGGCCAGAGACGTCTCGACGATCGAATCCCACCTGTCTTTGTCGTGGCTGGGAGAACTCGATGGGAGCAACGGGCTCCCTACGCTTGAGAGGATTGCGAAATGGAAGATATATCCAAAGGCTCTGTCGTCTTTGGAGCTGATGACCAAGACCGTCGACACCGACCACTTACGCACTCTGCGCCCTGCCTCGTCCTGCTCGTGCCCTCCCTGGCGAACGACAGCCTCGCTGGTGACTCTGCTGGCAGGGTTTCTGTTCCGTCCCCTCTGGGTGTCGCTCCTGATTGTCCTCGCAGGATCTCAGCTGTGCCTCCTCGTCAGCTATCTCCTCGGCCAGTCGCTGTTCCGGCCCGTCATCGAAGAATGGATCCACGGGTCGCACTATTCTGTCCTCGACCAGGCCATCAGCATCGAAGGTCTGTCGGGCTGCCCTTGCTTTCGGTGGCTGTCAACTGATGTCTCCTCCGTGCGCTGCTCCAGTTCTGGCGTTGGCTCGGGCTCACCCGAATTTTGCTCTGCAGGATTCAAGCTTGTGGTCTTGTTCCGCCTGTCGCCGATCATGCCCTTCGGCATCACCAACTACCTGCTCTCTCTGACTCAAATCCCGGTAAAAGCCTCTGCAGCCTTCACCAGCGATTCAGACTGTGCCTGATCGCAGCTCTGCATCTACATCTCCCCGAGGCCAGTTTTGCTGATACCCGGCCGTCACGACATCGGTCGGAATCTCTGATTGCTCGCGCACTCCCCCTGCAGTATCACACCCTCGCGGCAGCAACCCTGGTTGGAAATGTGCCCGGCGCCGTGACATTCAGCTTCCTGGGCAGTGTCATGAGCGACATTTCTGGCGCCGGAGACTATGAGATGGACCGCCGAAGTAAGTCCCTCGCCGACAGCATCCTCTTGAAACAACGATGCTGGCCCGCATCCTGACCGAGCTTTCCTTGCAACGGGCAACTCCAGGCCGCCTCATGACCGCACTGCTTTCGCTCGACTTTATGGTCATCACCGTCGTGTACATCAGCCTGATCTCGCAGCGAGCCCTGAGACTCGCCAGCTACAATCCCGTGCCCAGTTCCGAGACCGCCCAGGACAGCGATCCCGAGGAGAATCAGATCATTGTCGAGGACGAGGACGATGCTGCTAATGCCGCCGACACTGACGACACTCTCACTCCAAGCGGCATCATTCCGTCGCGCCGACGCACTTCTGGAGGTGATTTGCCACCCAGGCTGTGCGAAGATGAGTCGGCTGCGAATGCCGAGAGCAGGTAGGATTCGTGGAGCCAGCATACACTCCCCTCGCATCTTGACAACGACATTGACAGTGTTGGTTCTGACTCGGCCTGTGTGCTCTATTGTCGGAAAGTGCTTTGGATGGCTCTGGAGAAGCTGCCGTCGCTGCTTCCGGTCCTCCGTCGCATGATTTTAACGCCAGCGAAAAGCGTGTCCTCTACATGACGGTCGGTGCGCTCGTCGGCATCAGCGTCGTGGGATTTCCACTCATCTGGCTCTTTGCCTGAATACCGAGCATTGCGGCTCATCCCGTATTCATTCTGTCGTTCTGCATGAGCTTGACGTGGCCAGATTATCGTCATCAGATTATCGTCGCCAGTCGGGCACGGCTCTACTCCGTGTGTTCGCCGACAGCCTTTGAGGAGTCCATATATCCCATCCAGGCACTCACAGCTTCGACAGGCGTGGCGCCATGAACACGATGCATGTGCAAACAGCACGGTCCAGATTGGAGGGAACATGTGTGCTCGGTGTAGCTTGCTTCATTTCTCAAACGTTGTGCATTTGGCAACATGGTCAAAGCAACGGCCAAGGCAACATGGCCAAGGTAACAACTCTCAAGGCGCCATGTTCTCTGCGCCTCGGCTGCTGGCCATCTGCTCGGGAGTCGAATTGAGATTGCTACAGATTTACTCCTGGTCCGTTCCGCGCGAGTGTTCTTGAGCAGCGTCGGGTCTACAGTCGGCCGCCGGCAAACAACTCGCCAGCAACTTTCTGGAAGGTCTCGACGCACTTGCGCATCATCGACGGACCGACGCTCACACGGCAGACGCCCAAATCGGCCATCTCTTGGACGCTCATGGTCTCGCCAGGGTCGCCCAACTTGACGCTCAGTCGCCCCTCGAAAGCCTTGGAGAGCTCGCGGAGCTCGTCGTGATCAAACTTTCGGTAGGCCCAGACAAAGACGGCATCGGCGCCGGCCTTCAGATAGGCCTGGCCGCGACGAATGGCCTCCTCGCGCGGGTGTCCCAGACGCAGGGCATCCGTGCGGGCATTGATGACAAAGTCAGGCACACCGCATTCAGTGGCCACCCGGCGAACCTGGCGCACTCGCTCGGCAGCTTCTTCGAGGTCATACAGGTTGCGTGAGTTTGGGTAGACATCTTCGATGTTGCAGCCAACGACGCCAAGGCCGATTGCACTTCGGATGGTTTCCTCGAGGCGCGGTCCGTATCCATCCTGCAGGTCGGCGCTGAGCGGAATCTTGCCGGCGAGGGCTCTGGATACCACGCCGATGCTGCGGAGATTGTCTTCCAGGGTCAGGTCGTCATCACGGATGCCGATCGAGGCGGCGATCGCAAACGAGGCTGTCGCAGCGGCCTTTACCCCAGGAGTAGCCAGCAAGGCATTGGCGGTGATGGCATCGTAGACGTTGGCGAGCACGACAGGGTTGCCAGACTGATGCAGTTGCGCAAGCTGGCGTGCAAGGGCGTTGAGGCTCGAGGTCATGGCTTGGGCGACACAGCGAAGGGGCGGAGCTATCGAGAACAGCAGCAGGCGGCAAGGGAGATATTTTATGTTGCGGATGGCTGCCCACGCCGAAGGTCGCCCACGACGATGGCCGCTGCGATGTCCACCAAGGACCGTGGGGCAGACCTGCATCACATTTGTCATCTCCGTCGAGGCCGGAGCAGCTTGGATTCAGACGGAGACTGCGGGTCTGGGGCCGCCTTGCCCCGCGGCGGTTGCCGATCGGGAGTGTGGAAATGGGAAACACTGCTGATCCAGCCTATGAATCGCATATTGAACCGCCATTGAATCGCATATTGAACCGCCATTGAATCGCACCCGAAATTGCACCCGAAATCGCACAGCGACCAGCATTTCGATCTTGCAACGCGTATCGTTCACGTGCTCCTCACCGCCACCACCGCCACAGGACCCAGTGGCGCGGTGCCACGTGCCGGATCTGCTCGAACGTTCCGGATTGGGCTCGAGTCTTTGCGGCGCTTCTGGTGCTGTCCAATCGCCGTCTCGCTGCGACGTGCATACTCCAGATCGTTCCTGGCCCTGGGCCAACCGCGACCCACCGCCGTCGACAACACACCCCAGCGGGATATAAATGCCTTCCCTCGCGGCCCATCGGCGGATCCGCTCATCCACACTCACCCAAATCGCATTCACAGAACGATCATCTGCATTCGCAACTCCCGCACATCCCATCCCGCAACTCATTCAAATCAGACCCACTCATCACCATCCAAAGCGCAACCGTGCCAATCTCACCTGCTCACTACAGTCATCCACCTCGTTCGAACGGTATTAAACCCTAATGCTGAATCCAGAGCAGTTCACCGACAAGACCAGCGAGGTTATCCTCAAGGCCCAGTCACTCGCGCGCGACTATGCGCATCTGCAAGTCACCCCGGCGCATCTCGCCTGCGCCATGTTTGAGGACTCGGACGAGCTCCTCAAATCCGTTATTGAAAAATCCGGCGGCGACGCCCGCCAGGCCGAGCGTCTTCTCAAGGCTTACATTGTCCGTCAGCCGTCCCAGTCGCCGCCTCCCGTCGATATTGGCTTCCATCCCGCGGCCGTCAAGATGCTGAATGCCGCCGATGACATTCGGAAGAAGCAAAAGGATACCCACATTGCCATCGATCATCTGATGCTCGCGCTGCTCGACATTCAGGAAGTCATGAAGTGTCTGAGCGACGCCGGCGTCAACCGCAAATCATTCGAGCTGACCCTCGAGAAGATTCGCGGCAGCCGCCGCGTCGATTCTCGCTCGGCCGACTCGACCTACGAGGCATTGTCCAAGTATGCCATCGATCTCATCGACATGGCTGAAAAGGGCAAACTTGGTAAGCGTGATAGGCCAAAATATGCACTCCCCCCCCCGACTGTCACCGCATTGCACTTGTAGGCTCGTTGATGTACTGATCCGATCCGGCGCTCTCCGACAGACCCTGTAATCGGACGGGACGACGAGATTCGCCGAGTCATCCGCATTCTCTCTCGCAGAACAAAGAATAACCCAGTCCTCATTGGCGAACCTGGTGTCGGCAAGACGGCAATCGTCGAAGGCCTTGCCCAGCGAATCGTGCGCAAAGATGTGCCCGTCAATCTCCACTGCAAGCTGTTTTCGCTCGATATGGGTGCATGTACGTATATCCACTTGAATTTCACTCTCACACCAGTGGCTGTGGTGACAGCAGTGAGTGTCACCTCTGTTCTCGCTTCTAACGAGCATCTTTTTGATTGGCCGCAGTGGTTGCTGGCGCCAAGTACCGTGGCGAATTCGAGGAGCGTCTCAAGGCAGTCCTGAAAGAAGTATCCGAATCGTCCGGGGGAATCATCCTCTTCATCGATGAGATTCACATGGTTCTTGGAGCTGGAAACGTAAGTGTTTCAGGTCTCGCTGTTGACTCATGCCATAGGTCGCAGGCTCAAGCGGTATCTGTGATTGTCATCTTTGTGTTGGTTGTGGTCACGCAGTTGGATCGTGCTGCTGACGCCTCTGTCGCTTTGAATCGCTCTCTGATATCTTCTTCGTTGTTTCCTCGTCCCGGCTATGCTTCGTGTCTCCAGCACGAAGGTGGCATGGATGCAGCCAATCTGTTGAAGCCCATGCTCGCCCGCGGCGAGCTCCGTGTCGTCGGCGCCACCACCCTCGCCGAATACCAGAAGCACGTCGAGAAGGATGCTGCTTTCGAGCGCCGGCTCCAGCAAGTTCTTGTACAGGAGCCCAGCGTCGAGGCCACCATCAGTATCCTCCGTGGACTGCGCGAGCGCTATGAGACACACCACGGCGTGCGCATCATGGACGAGGCACTCGTGCAGGCCGCGACCCTGGCCGACCGATACATCACCAACCGATTCTTGCCCGACAAGGCCATTGATCTTGTAGACGAGGCCTGCGCTCACACTCGTGTGCAACTCGACTCCCGTAAGTGATCATTCACGACATGAAGTGATGCCATGACCTTCGTCCTGTTGGTGTAGCTCATACAATCTCGCCTGGCGATGATTGCACTCGATCTTGGACCAAATCCCGGCGCTTGGACCTGGCTTACTGACGATTATGGCTTCTTCGCAATACAGAGCCCGAGATCATCGATACACTCGAGAGAAAGCATCTCCAGCTCGAGATCGAGGCCACGGCCTTGGCCAAAGAGAAGGACCCCAACTCGGCCCAACGCCTCGCCAAGGTCCGCGAGGAAATGTCGCAGATCAAGGAAAAGCTCACGCCCCTGCGAGCCAAGTATTCGAGCGACAAGGAGCGTCTCGATAAGATCCGCGACTTGCAGAAGAAGCTCGAAGACCTACAATCCAAGGCCATCAACGCCCAGCGCAACCACAACCTCGAGCTGGCCGCAGATTTGCAGTACGGTGCCATTCCAGAGACTCGAAACCAGCTCGCCGAGCTCGAGCGCAAGAACCGAGAGTATCAGCAGACTATCACGTCCAACGGCGATGCCGACGGCGCTCGATTGACAGAAGTCGTCAGTGGCGATCAGATCATGGACATTGTCTCGAGATGGACTGGCATTCCGGTGAGCCGCCTCTCCAAGTCGCAGGTCGAGCGTCTACTCAACATTGGCGATGCTCTGCACAAGGTATGCGGTGGCTTCCTGATTGATCGACTGATTGATCGACTGACTCGCGCATGTGCGCTTGACCGACATCAGCTGGTGCGCCATCAATGAACTTGCTCGAAGCGGTGCTAACCTCCGGACTGCCACTCTGTTTTCCTTTGATGCACACAGCGAGTCGTTGGACAAGATGAAGCCGTCGACGCTGTGGCCAGCGCCATCCTGCGCTCGCGAGCGGGTCTGGCCGGTGAGCATCAGCCCATCGGATCGTTCCTGTTCCTCGGCCCCACCGGCGTTGGAAAAACCGAGCTCGCCAAGGCGCTCGCCCAGGAACTCTTTGACGACGAAAAGAACGGCATCGTGCGCATCGACATGTCCGAGTACATGGAGTCGCACTCGATCGCTCGACTGATCGGTGCTCCTCCTGGATATGTTGGCCACGACGATGGAGGCCAGCTGACCGAACGCATCCGTCGCCACCCGTACTCGGTCATCCTCTTTGACGAGATCGAGAAGGCCCACCCTCAGGTGCTGAATGTGCTGCTCCAGGTTCTCGATGATGGCCGCCTCACCGACGGCAAGGGGCGAACCGTCGACTTTACCAACACCGTCGTGATCATGACATCCAACATTGGCGCCATGCACCTCATGGACGCCCATCTGACCGCCAACGGCCAGCTCTCCGAAACCACTCGAGCCCAAGTGATGAACGAGCTCAAGCACTCGTTCAAGCCGGAGCTGATCAATCGTATCACCGACATTGTCATCTTCAAGCCTCTGTCGACAGACGAGCTCGAGAAGATTGTGCTGAACCAGCTCGGGATTGTCCAAAAGCGCCTCGACAGCCGCAACATCAAGCTTGATCTCTCCCGGGCTGCCGCAGAGTACGTTCTGTCCCAGTCATACAACCCGCAGTTTGGTGCTCGCCCGCTGAGACGCTACATCGAGCACACGATTGTCACCCGGCTCTCGAGAATGATCGTGGCCGGCGACCTCCCCGAACACACAACCGTCCATATCCGCACCCGCCGCGAAGATGCTTCCGCCATGAAGAAGCGACGTGGTCCGGACCACGCATACGAGGACCAAGACCCCAATGACCTGTGCTTCTCCCTCGAGCGATGGGCTGACAACGCCTCTGGCTCGGCAGCATAGACGTCATCCATGAGGTGCCGGGTACTTCATCTCGAATGGTTCTCGATCCATCTTTCTCCAAGTTTGATCTTCACACATTTCTTGATATCCACCGAGTGGGGCTCTGGGCTCTGAATACACACATGTAATATCGAAAGCGTATCGAATACACAATGGAATATAGCCAATCCTTTATTCACTTGATCCATTCCAAGCTGTTGATGCTCTCTTATCGATTACTGAGGAGCAGCGGGGTAGGAATGAACCGGGTCTGCAGCTAGCGACAATACATTTCATCCCGCAAGCACCTCGCTCACATGTCTTGCCTTGGCTTGGGGAGGGCTCGAGTCTGGCTGGAATCCCCGTTCCTCCATGATCACCCGGAGATGCAGATCCTTTCTCTCCACCGATCCAACTCCGACACGCCACCCCCACTCTGTCGTCAGCCTGCTCGCTCATTCGTTGGGGTTCCGGCCTGGTTCCCGCTTGCGCACAGCCGGAGTGGGCGATCGCTCCTGTCGCGCACAAATGCCGCGTCCGCGTCCACCAGGCCGTCGATGCTTGTCACTCTGACCCGCTCGTCTGTCGGCAGCCCCTTTCTCGCCGGCTTTGCCCATCAGCTAATGCCTTGCTGTCTCGGAGCCGCAGGCAAACCTTATGAGCTGCCCGGCGACACTCGCCAACCGGCCAAGCAGGGATTGCGCCTGCAGCGACCTTGTGAACGGCCCGCCCGAATATATAAACCCCACCAGCAGCGCATACCCCACATACTCGTCGCCATCAACTTCTGCTCCCCCTCGCTACCCGCCTTCACTTCTACCTACTTGCGCCATGGTCAAGCTCGGCCTCATCCCCATCGTCCTCTCGCTCTGGATCGCTGCCGTCTCCGCCCACGAAGGAGAGGATCATGGTCCCGCTCCCGCTCCCGCCCCTTCGTCGTCGCCGGCAGCAGCTACCAGCGCCTACAGCTCCACGAAAGCTGCCACCGATTTGAAGACCCTCTGCTCGTCGCTCAGTTATCTGCCCGTCTGCTCGATCAACAGCATGGTTTGCGCCTCGATGAGCTCTCGCTACCCCGCCCAATGCAATCCCGTTGCTCTGGTCCATGTGGGCTGCAGCGACCCCGCCGCAAAGTCCAGCGCTGCCTGCTCGACCATCACGGCGCTGTGCACCTCCACCCCCTCGGACCCTGCCTGTTCGGCCAACGTGACCGCACTTCCCAGCGCCCAGGTAGCCTCGGCCGAGACTTACTCCATTTGCACCGAGATGCCCAAGATGACCGCCTGCAACATCTGCACAGGCCAGCCCTCGGCTTCGGGTGTCTACCAGAACTGCGACCCCTTCAACGCCTTCAGCCAGTTGTGCTTGGATATGCCCATGATGACCCAGGTGGGTTGTTGTATAGCCGTTAAGCGCTTGATCATGCGTGTTTCTCTTGCTCTCACCCACAGATAACATGTTCGTGACCGACTGGTTGCTGACCGCTTTGCCACCTTCCCGCCGCACAGTGCCCGGCTTGGACAGATTTCTGCATGGCCAACAACATCACGACCTACTGTGGCGGATCAGCTCCCATGCCATCGATGACCGGCATGCAGTCCATGAGCGGCATGCCATCGATGACAGGCATGTCGTCGCCTTCGTCGACCTCGTCTCCCTCGGCCACTCCCAAGAGCGGCGCTATGGCCACCAAGGATCTGTCCCTGGGTGTTCTCTCCGCGCTCGCCATTACCTCCCTCTATATGATCCTCGCCCACTAAGCCTGCCCTCACGGTCTGGAGTACTTTTGTACCCGATCGGCTCATTACCTTTGAAGCAGTTCCTTTGACACTCGGCCTTATATCTGCCCTCGACCTCCTTGCAAACTCAGTACCCGTTGGTTTCTGCCGTCCTCATTGTCTGTGTAGCTGCAAGGATATTCGCCTCGTTGCTTGAATACAGTGCGCCCGTATTGTACCAGGACACCTCGACGGCTTGTGTGAGCGGGTTGAGTGGGTTGCGTGGGTTGAACGAAGCTGAATAACATCGATCGTCGCCCACGCCGTTGTGATGGACTCGATCGATGCTATATCGATCGCCGAGATATTAGAGCCATGGCCCGACCTCACGGACGGACTGACCACCTGGAGCAGACACGCACAAAGATCATTTGACCCATTCGGCCATTCTTGCCGCTTATGATGCGATTCAACTACAGAGTGTTTTGCTCAACAGAAGCGGTGCGTCCCATAGTCTTCCCAACACAATGTCAATGCCTCGTATTGATTCATTTGATGCTTGCTCCCAACGATTCTGCGCTGTCCCTGGTCCCGGCGCGCCAAATCTTATCGCACCTTGTCGGGACTCGCCCATGCGTGTCACCAAATTCATCGCAGACTGGCTGGCCCGGTCTTTGTTTGTCGCGGCTCTCCATCAGCCCATGCTTTTTTTTCCTTGAACTGACTCTGCACCGCAGGAAACCTTATCGGACTTGACCGACATGCCTCGGGAGCGCCGTGCTCTGGGGCCAATTGAGCAGAACGCTCCTTGCAATGCAACCAGGCCTGACTGACGTCCTAGGCAAGAGGAAGCAAGGCGTGCCTGCGGTCCTTCACGTATGGCTCACCATGTCATCTTTTGCCCGTCCGCAGCACAGCAGCTCCGGTCCCGAGTCGCGAGCTAGGACTGCGGGCGGCCCATCGTTGCCAGACCCCCTCTGCCCCTGGCAATGCCCGCAAAAATGTCGCGCTCGTGGGCCTGCCAAGCCACACCCGCTCTTGCTGGAGTTGTCCCATCTGCGTGCCTCGTTGCCTATCCTACTCTTGTTCATGCAAAGCAAAGTTTCAGTTAAAGTGCCGCCATCTGAGTCTGACCTGGCCTTCGGCCGACGAGGTGTCTTTCCGCATAAATAGTCGAGGATTTGCGGCTTCATCGGGTTGCCACATTCGCAGCGAACTGCGACTCTCCTGGTCAATTCACAACATGTTCCCGGCTTCCCAGATCCAAGCCCTCGCCATTGGCACTCTTGCCCTCGTTCCGCTAGGATGGATGCTCTACATGAGCCCTGGGCGTGTGTCCATGAACCTTACCAATAGCCTGGCGCCGGCTGACGTTTTCTTCATCGTCTGCGGCATCACTCCCCTTGCCTTCATCTGCGCAACCTCGGCGCTGTTGGACTCGTCCCTCGGCCAAGCTCTCTACAGACCTTCGTCGGAAAGCCCTCGCTCCGGCGTGTCCAAGTTGCTCGCACACCTCTGGCTCCCTTTGTGGCAAGTGCTCAAGACCGCAGCTCCACGCCCCTCGTACTTTGGAAACCCGTGGTCGGCCGGCGAAGTCGGCATGACCGTCATTCTGGCACTCTGCAACATCGCATGGGTCTTTGTCCCCATCGTTGTCCGTCTCAATAGCAAGAGCCACAGCCACGGGCCAGACCAAGGCCCGGCATACAAGTGGGCCAGGAGCATTTGCGGATGGGCTGGTAAGCTAGTTTATCCTTTACCATCTCGACTCGTTTTGACTGCTTCCACGCTGCCCAACTTTGGCGTTCCCACGCAGACCCGCAGCACCCCTCCTGCGCAATCTCTTGCGCCGTCTACCATTTCGTGTCAGACCCATTTTGCAGTTGGGGCCGTTTTCTGAGGAACAACGATATCTTTCAACCCCATGAGCCGCTTGGCTGATTCCACGTGTCCGATATGACCAAGCACTCTCATCTTATTCAACTGACCGTGGTTGTTTGATAACGCTTCTCTGACTGCACCAGGTTGGGCCGGTCTGTGGGATGCCGGTCTCTGCATTCTCTTTGTCATTCGTGAAAACATGGCCACCAAGAAGCTGCTAGGCTCCGAGGCAGGACAGTACCACCGAGTGGTTCGCTTCCACATCGGACTGGGCTACACCAGCTTCTTGATGATGACGTTGCACTCGCTGTTTTTCCTGATCGACTTCATCGTCAAGAACACCTTTGCGGAAGAAATGTTCCCGTGGGTTTCATCGATGGGCTACTGGAACTTTGCTGGACTCGTGTCGTGGCTGGCCCTCGTTGGGATGGTTGCCACTTCAGTGTACAAGGTAGGCTCGCAAAGCTGATGAAGTGAATAGAAGCACTGAGACCGAGTCATGCCTGGACGATCACTCACTCACTCACTCACTCACTCACTCACTCACTCACTCACTCACTCACTCACATTGGGCAGGTCCGTCGCTCAAACTACCGAGTCTTCTACTGGACCCACCAACTCTACGTCCTCTTCTTCTTCTTTGCCTTTGTCCACATGGGTATCATGGCCGCCTATCCGGTCATGTTCCCATGTTTGTACTTTATCTATGACCGTCTGCGGCCTCGTCTCCTGTTCAAGCGCTCGACCGAGGCCTACATTGAAAAGACCCCATCCGACTCGATCGTCAAGGTGCAGGTGCCCATCCCCGATGCCTGGAAGACTACCTCGGGCTACGCCCCAGGCGACTGGTCAACATCTGCATCCCCCAGATTTCGGGCTTGCACTGGCATCCTTTCAGTATTGCTTCTTATTACCCCGAGTCCCCCGACCGCCTGACGCTGCTTATCAAGACCAATGGGCAGTGGACGACCGAAGTCGCCAAGCTCTGCCCTGATCAACAGGACAGAGTCAAAGTACCGGTCAAGATCGACGGACCCTTTGGATCCCGCAGCACCTCCTATCTCGAATACGAGAGCCTGGTTCTTGTTGCCGGCGGAAGCGGTGTGGCTGCTCTGCTGCCCTTTGTCCGCCATTATGCCGTTGCAGGCCCGACCTCGGGCAAGCTGCATCTCGTGTGGACGGCCAAGAGCGAGTCCGATGTCGTGACCTTTGCACAGTTTGTGCTCGACATGGCCGACAAGAACTCCCTGCTCAGTTCCCGGGTTTCCCTTAGCCTCCATATCACTGGCAAGCCCGCGAAGACTGCTGACGAAGCCAAATTGCTCGACTCCAACGGTGCTGACAACTCAAAAGATTTTTCCAGTGTCGAATCCAAGACTGCAGCCAACCTTGACTCCAAGGACTTGGCCACCACCGTGTCCGGCGCCGAACAACCTGTCGGGACCGGCAGGCCCTCGCTCCTACCCCAAGGCCGGCCCAATGCCAAGGCCCGAGTTGCGGATCTGACGCTGGTCTGTGTCGTCTTCCTGATGGGTATCTTGGGCTGGTATCTCGGCGTGACCCTCAACCCAACAGGCGACATGATGGAGCTGTGCATGTCCGACGACGCCTTCAAGTTGGTGGGACTCGATCACTTTATGTGTTGGTACGTCTCCCCCGCAGCCCCGGCCGTCCTGTCGGTCCTGTTGGCTTCGGTTTCGGGGTTGATGTACACCTTTTTCTATGCCTTCGTACGCACCCATGTGGCTGATTCGGCCCGTCAGGTCGGCACGCTCTCCGAGCCCGAGCAAAGTGGCGACCTGGCTCCAGTCTCATGGATCGACCACGATCTGCTCGCTGCCCGTCTCGCCGAGCTGGATGTCGTCCGCACACGCCCTGATCTCGCCGCGATCCTGAGCCGCTTTGACCAGGACGCTGGAGCAAGCGGCACCCGGTGCGCTGTCATCGGAGCCGGTCCTGAGCGCCTCATGCGAACGCTGCAGTACCTCGCTGTCGGCCACAAGAACCTCGACTGGCAGAGAGAGTCGTGGAAAGTCTAAACTTCGACTATCGAGCCAAGCCCATCTTTGAGGTGGAGACATGTCCTTCAACAACCAAAAGATCGTTGTCCCTCCAGACAAGCGATCCTTGCCTCATTCCTTCCACTCTATGTTCATGACCAGGTTCGAGACTATCGACTGAATGAATCTCTGATAACCAATATACTGGAATAGGTGTATTGTACCTTGGTGGACATTGGGGATCTAGATCACAGTAGCGATGGAAAGAGATGGCTCCGACAGAAGAAGACTGACGCAGTGTTGAGGGGCAGCGAGCCAGCGCCATGTGGGAGTCAGCGTTCTTTGAAGGGCTCAAGATCATGTTTGCATGCTTGTTCGTTGGAAGCTTGAGTGGCCACTGAATGTTAGCGTCGTCCGACCTATTCTCTCGCGTAGCACCCACCGGAGACTGAATAACCGATGTATTCTTTCGCCCGGCCGATCTGGTTTGCCAATCATCATTCCACTCCGATGCACACCTTCCCATGTGCGTCATAACCGAATACAATCCACAGCAGCTTCATCTAGAGGTGGGTGAGGGCCCGTGTACTCTGTTGTGGTATTTGTAAAGAGAGAGTAGTCGAGAAGAATTCGCTTCATCGACCGACACTCGAGCCAAAATAATGATTGGCATGGTGACTGCATACTCTTCCAATCAGTGTGAGAAGCCCCTCTAGACAGCCAGCCGTGCGTATTGAGTGATGGTATCGGGATCCTGCACACCGACTCTCAGCAGACCGGGCGGTGTACCCATGGATTGAGAGGGCTGCTTTGTCGCCTGGCATTGTGGGCAATCAGCCATCTCAGAGACAACGGAGGATCCCTCCTTCGCTCTCACTGCTATCCGTTTTTGACCTCCATACTCCTCAGGACCGTTCTTCTTGACCAGGACAAACAAGTAACCCGAGTCCCTTTGTTCTGGAGTCACGATCACCTTCTACAGTCGGTCCAGAGAGAAACGGGACAGTCACTTTCTGGTTTCAGAGGCCTGAACCCCGCTGACTGACTGCAGGCTGCGATGAACAAGCCGTGCGATTGTTGCCCGTCCTGGTAGGCAATCTCTTTGTCTTCGTTGGTTTGGGGAGCATGGTCTTGAATACACTCGGTCGATCTCCTGTGGCGATTGGTGTAGAAGCGTCGATGTGGGAGTGTGGTGTCGTCACTCGATGTGTGAGTGTGGTGCATCCACTCGATGTGGGAGTGTTGTGCATTCACTTGCCCTCTGAACAACTTCATACTAACTCGATATCAAGACACTCGGCCTCCTCGAGTCGCTTGGCTTCCCGGCACTGTGAGGACACCTGGAGATCGAGTCGCTTGAATCGCCCTCGCCTGGGTGGTGCCTTTGGCTTGCAGGGAGACATCTGTGCGAGAAAGAAGCGACGATGGCTGGTTCTGCCCTTGGGCCAGAGCGAATCTCCTCAAAACCAGGGCATTATGGGCTGGCAGCGATGCCCACAATGGCGTCCTTGATTCAGATCCAGAATCGCATCACAGAATGGCAGTGTGAAAGTCGGAGGTGTGGCGAACGGTCATATCCAGCGCGCGATGTTTTGAGGCAGCAAAATACTTGTTCAATGGCCAAAACCCGGCGTGTCCCGTTTTTTATGAGATCATCTGTGAACTCGGGTTTGGGACAGTCTCTCTCGCTCCCTCCGCCCCCCCCCTCTCACCATTTCCACATCCATACATATCAAATCCCAAGCACCCACTCCCAGCACATAGCAATGACATACAGCCTCGATCAGCTCAGCATCCTGAGCACCATAGCCAACTCGGCCGGGGGTCTGTCGCTGGTCTTTGGCCTCGTAACAATCGGCGTTATCTTGGTCAGACGGAAGCTGCTGCTGAGGAAGAGCATCAATCGGATGGCCTTTGCGATCATCATCTCGGACTGCGTCGCGAGCCTGGGATTCTCACTCGGAACGTATGTGGCCCATGTGGGTGCTGGAGGGGGGAGGACAGCGTGGGAGCCCGATGGAGGGATGGGCAGAGAGGAGAATGAGTTGCTTTCGACCGAATGACCAATGTCCAGAACGGCTGGCAAGGGGTACTCCCTTCCCATGAAAGCAGCTTTGCGCTCCTGGATTCAAACTCACCCCCCCTCGCTTCTGCTTCACTTATCCACTCTCGTACTCATCTCCTTCGAATACTCTGGATGGACACAGCTCCACGTATCAGGATCCCAGCGCATGGCCCGGCGCCTGTGCGCTCCAAGCCTCGCTCCTCCAGTTCGGAAACATCAGCACCATCTGCTGGAACTTTTTCATGGCCCTCCAGTGCGTCCACGTTCTTCTGCTCGATCTCTCCCTGGACCAGACCCGACCGCTGGAAAAGTATTGTAAGGATTACTCGCGTTCGCCGCTCATGCTTGTCCATAGTCCCCATCTGGCCCCGACCGAGTCTGCGGCCGGGATGGCTTGCGAGTCGTTCTTGTGCTGATTCCTTCGCACGTCCCTCGGAATCCATTGGGCGACTGTCCTCTGTTCTTCATCAAACACACCATTTGATGTCGTCGATTGTCGATTGTCGATTGTCCATTGCCATCAACCATTGCCGACATGAAGATCACCTCGTTGCATGGTCCACGGCCGTTGCGGTTTCGTTGGGGCTGCTGTACTTTGCATCCGACGTCTATGGGGTAGGTCTCTGGTGGTATGCGAAATGCAGACGACGCAAGTCGTGCTCTGGGAGAGAGATGGTCGTTTCGATGAACAGCGGCGAGGAGATGCAAGAGTGGCCCAACATCACTCAGGCTGTCAATATGAAGCTGTGGGTGGGTCCATACTTGTCTTGGCTCGCCCGGATATACAATTTCCGCACTGACTACCGCTGCCTGTGTGGTGATTATTACTGACACTGCTGCTTCTGCCACCGTTTGTTCCAAGCCAGCGGACCAGTGGTGCTGGATCAGCGCCAACTACACGCTCTACCGACTGTATTTCTACTACATCCCCCTCTGGGCCGTTTTCCTGTTCAACGTTGCGGTCTACAGCCTGATTCTGCGAGCCCTGCTCAAGTACAATACCGAGATCCAACAGTGCTGTGGCCTTGAAGACGGCACGGTAAACGACACAGGCGGCTGTGGCCAAGAAAACGGAGCTGAAAGAGCAAGAGCAACACGAACAGGACGAGCAAGTGGAAGGGCGGGTCGAGCCGACAACAACGGAAACGGCGACATCAACTCGGTCACTCGGCAATTCGCCGTTCGTTCGATGCTCTACACCCTGGCGTTTCTCATGGCCTGGCTCCCAGCGACCATCAATCGGGTCTACCTGGCCATTCGGCCAAGCTATCCGCTTTTTGTGCTGAGCTGTGTGCATACGGTGAGCGGCCGCCTTCTTTCCTTTCGCTCCTCTGGCCGATTGTTATCGTCGCTAACTCGCCTGGACCCCATCTGTCTCGTCACATTGTTCCCTTTGACTTTTTGACTTTCTCAGTTCTGCACCAGCATGATGGGCTTTATCAATTGCGCCGTTTTCCATCTCACGACGTACAAAACCCCATCTCCAACTCGGCCGCGAGCGTCGCTTGCTGCCAAAGGCGTACGGCCGAGCGCCGCGGCTGTCCGGCCGAAATTCACGGCACAAGCTCCTCCAAAGCCGATTGTTCTCAGCGGGATCTGCAGCGAGGGCAGTGATGGCGTCGAGGCCCGGAGCGGGTCTGAAGTGGCGGGCCAGAAACCAGGCCCGGTGACCACGCAGCGATGACCATTCATTTGAATAGTCAGTGCGGGACCCGGCTGGCTGGATGCGACGTTTGAGCGCCCCGCACTTCCTATCCATCGCAGGCACAGCTGGGCTTGTCGACTATGTACAAAAATCTGGCTTTACTCCGTGAGCAAACACACAAACAAAACAAGAGAGCGAATCCAAAACAGGATGGAGGACGAGGTGAAGCGCGATTGCAGAACACGGGCCTCCGAACGAATACATTCACAACCCGACACCAGTCGTGTGGATTTCTTCCAAGGACGACCCCCTGCTTCGTTGTGAGGATAAGAGGCTCGGATCTCAGCAAAGGAGCAAAAGTAGCAAGCAAGCAAGCGGCGGATGAGATAAAGGAAGAGGAGGAAGCAATCCAGTGGTGTCGCCCAGCTCTCGAGTCAAGGAGGGGGGTTGCACTGGTATGGACATTAAACCTGCTTCAGGGCAGGCAGGAGACACGCATGTCATCTAGAGGCGAGGGAACTCGTAGACGGGGGCGTCAGCAGCGAACGGGACACCGAGCTCCTCCAGTTTCTGGAAGACGGCGGCAAAGTCCTCAAAGAACTTGTCCTGGTCCTTGGCGTACAGCTGGACAAACTTGTAGAAGACGCGATCCTTGATCAGGGAAATGTCGGTGGGAAGCATCATGAGGGAGCCGGTCTTCTTGTCAGCAAGCTGCTTGGGGCCATCCCACTTGCGGTCGATCCAGCGCTCGCTCAGAAGAAGCTTGAAGTAGTCGTTGGAGAAGGTGATGGGGGAGAAGGTCCAGGCTGGGAGCACAGATGGGACAGGTCAGGACGGGTCAGGACAGGCTGGATCCGATCCAATGCGATGCGGTCCAATGCGATGCGGTCAGGGGAGAAAGGACGAGCACCGCATAGCAGAATAGCGCGGGGGAGGGCAGATGGGACAGCGAACAGCAGGTTAATACATACGTCCTTCGAAGCCACTGCGGTCGGTGTGGCAGCGGCCAAGGGCGTGGGCGCCAGAGAGAGCAACAATCTCCTGATCGTTGAAACCCATGCGGTAAAAGATACTGCGGAGATGGTCCTGGGCCTGGCTGGCGTCAGGGAGGCGGCCATCGGGAGTGCAGGCCTCGGCCGAAGCGGCGTCGGAGCGGCCGGGTCTCCACTTGATGGTGGGGCCGCCCATCTCCTGGATAGCGACCACACCGGCAAGGGACCACAGATCAGAGTAGGAGATCTGGGGGAACTGCTCCTTGACCTTCTCGAGGCGCTGGCGGGCAACGTTGAGACCGTTGTTGGCGCCGTGAGAAGCCTCGGGGTTGAATCTCATGGTGGCACCTGAGGGGCGGGGAGGCAAGATGCAGGTGGAGTGAGATGGATGCCAATGGTGCCGGCACGTTGGATCACAAAAGAGCAACGTGACCAGATGCAGCCGCAGACTTGCATGCACATACCGTTGGAACCGCCGGTGCCGGTGGTCTTGTCATAGGTGCCGGCAGCGTGCCAGGCGAGGCGGACAAAGACGGGGCCGAAGGAGCCGTCGTCATAGTCGTTGTCATCCAGGAGATCGGCAATGGCCTTGTAGACCTGTGTGATGGGCCGTCGTGGTGCCAGGATGCAGAAAGAGATGATGCGGCGGTGCGGAGTGAGTGGCAAGATCGTGGCGATCGATGGATAAGGAGAGTCCCCAGGTGCTGCCAGTGGGTGCCGACCAGGGCGATCCCCAAAAGCCCAGGGTCGGCTTGGTTCGCGCGAGACGCGGGGGCAGGCAGCGACAGGGAAAAGGCCCGTTGATCGAGGTGCGACCAAGAGACGGAAAGAGCAGATGGCCAGGGCAGGTAGCCGCAGCACTGGCCAAACCAACTGATCCAGAGAACAAAGAGCCAGGCGATGGGCGATCTGAGCGAGCTGCCAGGGGGGGGGAGGGGCTTGCAGTAGCAACACACATACCTCCTTGTAGTCCAGGGGCTTGGGAGGAGCGGCAGCGGGAGCAGCCTCCTGCTTCTCCTGGGTGGTGTAGTAGTAGTATCCACCGGCGGCAGCAGCAGCGGCAGCGAGGAACCAGAAGGTGCCGTTGCCGGACTTTTTGGGCTCCTCCTTGGTCTGCTCGGTGGTGAACCGGCGCAGCGAGTGGGCAACGGGAACGATGGGGCGGGCCAGAGCCACGGAGCGGGCGGCGACAGGCACGAAGCGAGAGCGGGCCAGGAGGATGGGGGCGCGGAAGGACATGGCGAGGCAGAGGGAGAAGGGGTGCGAGCAGGAGGTGCAGGCAGGAGGTGCAGAACGCAAGAGCAGAACGCAAGAGCAGAATGCAAGTGCAGAATGCAAGTGCTGGTCGAAGAGGCGATTGGAGCGCGGGTGTTATATACGCGGAGAGTGCTGCGCACGAACAAGCCACTGCGTGTGTGTGTGCGGCGGCTGCTGTTGGTGCTGTGGAAGTTGAAGTTGAAGTTGATGAAGTTGATGTTGCTGTTGTTGAAGTTAAAGTTGCGACTGGAGTTGTAACTGTACCTGTTAATGTTCGTGAGCTGCCACGTGCGGCGCTCTTCGCTCTCTCCCACACATCCACGGCCATTTGTCAGCCGCTGCCAGCGCCTCGGCCGCCTCGGCTGGCGCATTTTTCCGCATCGCCCTTTGCCTGTTCTCTGTCTTGCGAGCCCCATTTGCGCAAGCTCCTTCTGGCTCTCCCTCGATGGTGACTCACCGGCTCGCCCAGAGGACTGGCGCGGGGCCATGGGTTCGCCGCTCCCACGGCTGTGGCCCTGGCTTCCCGCACGCATTGCATGCGGGCTGTTTCAGGCTCCCGGGGCCATGATGACAAACATGCACTCCGATCGTCTGGGAATACTTCCTGGACAAAGACACATCTGCATTGACGCCATGGCTGCGCGCGAGATGAGATGCACATTCATCCGATGCGACCAAGCGCCGATGCCGATCCCCGATCGCCGAGTATGTGGCCTCTGTCTGCGAGCACATCCAAGTCGCGACGCTCGCAATTCACAGACACTCGCTTGGAGCACTCGACACATTGTGGACATGCCCGCCGGCGACCACAGCTCCCAGGGATGCCACATCGCCGTCTCTCATCGCCAGGGTTGCCACCATATTCACTTGGTGCCACCAGCCCATCACGTGCATTTCAGCTGGGCGCAGCATTTGCCTTTTGTGGCAGAGCCCAATCCGGGCCCTGGCCGCGACACGCCTCCCGACCCCTGGCTCGAGTGAGGCCGGTGGCGGCGCATGGGGTTGGCCGAGGACCGATTGCATGCCGGCGGTGGCATGTTGGCCGATTGCACTGGATTGCACACTGGATTGCACACTGGATTGCACCTTGGTCAACTGCAAACTGCATTACACCTTGGTCAATCGCACGCTCGACATTGCACCGGATTGCAAACACTCGCCTCACGCCATATCCACCAAATGCGCCAAACGAGCCAAACGCACCAAACCACATTCACCACCACGGACTTGCGATTGCGCATTCTGTGGCCGCCGCTCGCCACCGCCAAGTTGCGACTTGGCCTCCCGTCTGCCTGTGCTTTGCCGCCTCCCTCCATACACCCGACGCCACCGGTCTCGGTCTCGGCTATAAAACCCCACCCGTCTTTGCCTCCATCTTTGCCTCCATCTCCACTTTCATCCCTCCAACTCCACTTTCGTCCTCCGTCGCTTTCGTCATGGTTGCCCCCACTCTTGCCGTCCATCTCGATCATTCCGCTCTCGAGCTTGTCACCAACCTCGACGGAACACCCTCGCAGTCCTTCTTTGCCGGCACCCCCACCATCACCGGCAAGGTCGTCGTCACCGTCCCGGCCTCGCTTGACCACATCATTGTCAAGACCCTTGCCGTTGACCTCAAGGCCTTCTACTCCTTCAAGAAGCCCGCCTCTGGCCTCAACATCACCTCGCTCCTCGGTGCCCGCGACATCGTGCCCATTCCTGAGCAGTCTTCCCAGGTCGTCATCTTCAGCGAGGACGTCCACAAGATCGTCCCTGCCGGCTCCCATGAGTTCCCCTTCAAGCTGGTCTTCTCCTCCTACAAGACCGCCACTCCCTCCTTCGAGAGCCCCCTTGGCGACCTCGTCCACGCCGTCGCTGCCCATCTCGTCAGCGGCATCTCTGCCGACAAGATCGTCTCGCCCGATGTCCCGCTGGCCGTCACCCGTGTGTACAAGTCCCCCTCTGTCGTCGTCGAAAAGTTCCAGGGCGGCGTCTCGCACGGCGAAAAGTTCAAGTAGGTCACCCACCCAGTTCTGTCCAGCTCTACCCAGCTCTACCCAGCTCTACCCAGCTCTACCCAGCTCTACCCAGCTCAGCTCAGCGCTTCATTGTTCTGCCTAGCACTGCTTTGTTCCACCCTGCTCTGCGCCTTGATATCGCTGCGTGACTGTCGTCGGCCACATCACCCCTCCAGGCGATACCGTTGCGACCCTGCTCGCACTCTCATCCGCCAGTCGCTCACATTCGCTCCCCAATCGCCCCACCTCGCCTCCAAACCCACAGGTACACCATCGGCCTGCCCGAAGCCATCTTCTCTGACGAGGGTCTGATCAAGTTCAGTCTCGATCTGCAGCCCATCAAGCCCGAGGACGGCCAGGCTCGCGAGATCAAGGTTGAGCTGCTCGAGATCGCCACTGCTTTGTAAGTCCTCTGACTGCTCCCCAGAGATATCGGTGAAGGACCATCGCTGCACAATCTTTGCCTCTGCATCCTTGCTTCTGCACCCCGAAGCTGATCCTTTGCTTGTCTACTGCACGACATGTTCTCCCCCCTCTGGATGCGCCTCGGTTGCAGCACCGAGCCCAAGCCCGACGACTTTGACTACCACTTCCAAAAGACCGCTGCTCCGGAGACCCTCGCTAAGAGCATCAAGGGTCTGACCGTCGATAGCCATGTCATCAGCACCGTCAAGGTCCCTGCCCCCGCTGCCCCTGCTGCCGGCGCCGTCGCCGTCGCTGTCGCCCCTGTTCCCATCCTCATCCAGCTCCCCTTCCCTGTGGTTGGCCCCCCTGTCCCCGAGAAGCCCGCTGCCGAGACCACCGCCTCGTCCCTGCCGCTGCATGTTCCTTCTCTCAACTCCATTACCGCCGCTCTCCCCAAGGTGCCGTCGCTCAAGGCCGGCAGCTCCATCCACCCCGACGTCCGCTCGGACCGCTTGGATGTTCGTCACCTGCTGAAGGTCTCGTTCGTCCACTACCCCTCCAAGAACCCCTCCAGCACCACCACCACCTCCTCGTCCTCTGCCACCATCTTCTCCACCACCTCCACCACCACTACCACTACCACCACCTCGGCCCCTGGCACCGTCCAGAGCAACATTGCCGAGAGCATCCAGTCGGGTCTCTCTGCCCTGGGTCTTTCGGGCGTTTCCGAGTCCTTTGCCGTGGGTGTCAAGGTTCTCGTCCGCCACTTCCCTCGTGAGCAGTAAAGAGAAGCCTCCGCCCTCGCTCGCATGTCTGCTGTTCAGTAACACTTTCACCTTCAGCCACCTAGTCAGTATGTCAGTGCGTTGTCCTCCTGTATTGTATCTTACAGTCAATCAAAAATAACATGGGTCAGTGTCCCTCTTTCTCTGGTATCAGAGGCCTGAAGCTTGCTGAACTTTCCGCAGCCCCTGGTGGTCCGGCCGTGCAATTGTTTCCAATGGTTTCGCTGGTTTCGGAGGCAATCGCCTTGAATACACCCAAGTCGATCTGGTAACCATCGACCACCACTGACGTTGGGATACTGGACCGAGCAGGAGCATGCCTGAGGGCGGGACTCATCAAAAGCAGGCGAGCTCCCACATCCACTGCTTCTCTCATTGGCGGCATGGGGTGTCCTTATTGGATCGCATGGACGGTGGTCGATCCAGCCATGTCTGTGGCCGAGTCCGTGTCGATGTTCTTGAGCGCACTCGAGATGACTGGGCCGTGGCATAGAAAGCGGTACTGCTTTATTCCGGCTTGGTACCGTCGTGGTCATGCTGTTGCGGCGACTTGCCTGAACCGCCCGGCTCGGACTGCGGCCCTCGAGGCCCTGCTTCGATTGCTCGCAGGACCTGGTGCCGGCCTCGCTCGAGCTCTCGGTCCAGGGTCAGGCCGCCGAGCTCCGCACGAACGATCCGATCGATCACCTGCGGCTCGACGACCTCGACCCGATCCCAGTTCCAGCTGGCCATGGCCTCGTCCAGGCGTGGGTCGACTTTGGGGCGGATCAGCCCGTTCCGAGTCCAGTGTTGGAGGGTCCGGGCGCCCTGATAGGCCCGCCAGTGTGAGTAGACCCGGAAGAGATTATAGGCCAGAAAGACGTTCGGGCCAGGCAAGATCGTGGCGAGGCATGAGACCGGAACGAGCAGCGTCGAGAGGATAAAGAGCCGCTGGTGGTAAGGTGTGCGTCGGTTTGCCAGGGTCTCGAGCTCGTGTTGGATCTGGCTCGTCGACAGTCGGGCTGGATGGAAGACCGTCAAAGGCTCCTGGATGGCCACCGACATTGTCATCCAGGAAGGTCACAGACAGTGTGAGGAGCCATGGAGAGGCATTCGTCCAGAAACATGGGTCTGCAGTCTGCATTCGCCCCGACTGCATTCCGTCCCTCCGAGCAGATGTCTTTCATTCGTCAATATCGCATGTTTGCCTTGGCGAGACGAATATGCAGATGGACCTACATGGAATGCTTCCCAGAGGCGCTGCTGGGCTGGGTCTGCATGAGAATGGGATGCAGGGCGAGTGTCCTGCGGGGCCGCTGCTGCAGCCGATGATGGCGACGACGACGGCAACGACGACGGTGACGAAGGAGTCGGAGGGGTCGGCAGAATCGGCAGCTCCTTCAGGAACCACTCCTCGGCATGGATCCGGTCCAGGACCGAGTTGCCAAAGTCGTAGAAGCGCCGGGCCCAGGTTCCCTCCCGAGCCGAGCCCAGCTCGTCCCACTGCCGGATGGTGAAGTCGACGGCCCGGTGGGAGAGGTCGACGACCCGAGGCGGCAGCCGAGAGACGGGCAGCCGGGTGGCCTCCTTGAGATTGGAGGCGGGGTGGAAGTGGGCCGAGTAGACCCGGGCGGTCTTGGTGATGGGCACAACGATGATGCGCATTGTGGCCGAGCGGTCGCAGCGGCTGCGAGCAGGGACGGAGCGGATGGGCAGCAGACGAGGGGAGAGTGGTGCTGGATGGATCGATGCGAGTGGATCGACGGGCGAGTGGATTGGATGAATGAAATGGATGAGCAGATCCGCCAAGCCATCGACAATCGCCCTTGCGCTCCATCCCCTCATCCATTCATCCATCCAACAGCCCATCCATCCAACAGCCCATCCATCCAACAGCCCATCCATTCAACACCATACCCACCAGCCATGTCTCGCACCTGTCGTCGATGCCTGCAGTCGTATCTGCCCAGCGACAACACCCCGGCCTCCTGTCCGTTCCATCCGATGACCTTTGCCGTGAGTGTCCGTGAGCACCCATCCTCGTCTGCCCACAACCTCCAGCCTGTTTTGCATTCCTCGGTGGATCGGGCTGCTCCCTGGCGCTGATAGCTGGCTCATATTTGGAATATGCTGCATTCTCTCGTCCGCTCGACCGCTTCCTCTCGCTGACAACATCCGCTGTAGACCCGCCCGCATCCGGCACACCACTATGCCTTTGAAATCGACGACGAGTACATGAAGACGCTCGAGGGCTGGATCTCGGCGTGTTGGGAGTGCTGCGGGAGCGAGCAGAAGGATGCGCCCGGATGCAAGGCCTCGATGCATGTCTCCTACGACGATCCTCTGCCAAGCGACATCCAATAGAGCCCCTCGGTGAGAGAGGCACCACTGTCTGCGACCCTATCATAGATCCTGATGAGCCGACTTTGGATCCGGCACACACGTTATGGTGCTCCCGGCCTCCGTTTTGGCCCAGTGGTGTTCAACACAGCAATGCGACACTCGCGAGCAATGCAGCTGGACGAGACAGATCCGAAACGCATGCGGAAGCGACAGTATGACATGCGTCAGTCCAGTGCCAGCTCCAAAGCCACCATTCGTACAGCCAGCACTCTCAGGCCGAAGGAGACTGCAACTCACCGGCAGCGACCGATATGGCTCCTCCGGCAACAGCGGCGGCACTCGTCGGACTCGCACTTTTGCTCAGCGACTCATAAGGCACATTCAGCTCCATTCGGTTGGGGAGCTGTGTCGGAGGACTCGAATGGATCGTGACTGTCGGACACTGGTATGTCAGCTTGACGAACGTTTGAGTTGAGCAGTTCCGGCATCCCGCATCGACGCACACGAGCTGATTGATCTGGTCCGAAAACATCGAGTCCGCTGTCGTGAGACCGTACAGCCCATCAAAGATCTTGGTGCAGGTTGGATAGACCGGGCGTCTGGAGATGGCATATGGGTCGAAGCAATGCGCCGCGTCGATGCTGGTGGTCCAGTAGGAGAAGGTTTTCGTCGAAAATGGTGGCGACCATAGGCTGGCGGCAGATCCACAGAAGCAGACAGGGGATGAAAGCGCCAGGTCAGTGAGCATGGGAAAACAGCATGAGGCAGGAAGCAGGATGCAGGATGCAGGAAGCGCGAAGCAGGAAGCAGGAAGCAACTGCGTTCGGCTCACTCAATATCCGTGTAGTTTTTGCTGCTGTAGACCCCGGTGAAGAAGCTGGGTGTGCAGGGATCGGTGTTGAGAGTCGAGAACTGGGCGACGACGGTGCAGTTGGCTCGACAGGTCGGGTCGCTGTAGCAGTTGTGGGCCACGATGGTGTTGTTCTCGGGAACCACGGCAAAGTAGACAAAGCCAGGCAGGGTCACATTGAACTCATAGCTCGGAATGCACCGGTTGGTGGCCAGGAGGTTGTCCCCGAGCATGCCTGCTGCCTCGGAATCCAGAGCCTGGGCCGGGTTGAGGCAGTTCGGGGCAATCAGCTGCCAGGGGGCTTGGTGGACGAGCCACTGGAGGTTTGTGGGATCGATTGGGACGGGAGCGATGCTGGCGGTCATGGAGTCGGTTGGGACGGGGCGAAGGGGCGAATAGTGGTGGGGAAATGGGCAGAGTCTCCCAGTTTGCTGACGGAGGAAGAGCACCGATGCAAACGGACTCGCTGGTGGGAGATGCGATGCTGGTGCAGGGGGTTCGTTGATGGCAACCAGGGCGACAACATGCACATGGCGCATGGGTTTGTGACCGCCAGACATACACACGTGGACTGGTTGTGTTACGCGTGTGGCGCGTGTGGCGCTGCTGCTCTTACTACCGAGAGCACAGCGAGAGCGGACCGGGAGCACGGCGAGAGCACAGAGACTGCGTGGCTCTGACTTGCGCGGGATCAGCGAGACGATGCCAGCCACCGCACAGCCACATGCATAGCCACCGCACAGCCACGTGCGCAGCCATCACAGCCCTGTGTCGCCAAGCGCGTCTCCACTCCGCGTTGGTGCGAGGGTGTCGTGTCCTTCTGCGCACACACAGAATGTTCCGATGTCGTTGCATCCTGTGCCGCGCTCTCGCCACATGACCCAGAACGACGAGGCTGCGTCTTGTGCTTTTATGGAGCTCATCAACAACTTTGTCTCACGGTCTGATCTCAACCTGAAGCAATGGAATCTCTTGTTTGTCTTTGTCGATGTATTCGCTCTTGAAAGCGGAGCCGGTCAGTTTATGCAAGCCCCGTCCAGGTTCCAACTCGACTTCAGCAAAACCAATGTGCTGGTCAACATGGAAGGATTCGACAGCACCGGAAAGTATTCACTTGTGCGGTCCACCAGCTCTTGGGCCTCCAGTCTCTTTTCCAGAACCGCGCCCCATCCAAACGGTAACTCCCTCACCCAGAAAGCCATGGCAAGCGACGACAACTTCACCATCTTGGATTGCATTCCACTTGGACAGTCACTTCGCGCCATCGAGCTGACCCCCATAGACCCTCGCTCTGTCCACAGCACCATGGGTCGATTTTCCACCTACATCCAACCGGGTGTCCTCCAGCATCTCGGCGACAACGTGGCGGCTTTTGCAAACCAAGTCCTCCTGCTGGATCCAGCCTCGATTCCGCCCACTGCTTCTGCCACACCTACCAACTCATACGGCACTGCGACTTCGATTGTGATACCGGGACAGTATTATGCCTCGTTCTTTGGTTGGTTCATGGTCACCACATCCTTCTCCACCATCGGTATCGCCACAGCTGCATCCGCGGGGTGCTCCGTTGTCATCATTGCTCTCGTTGGATCGATCTTCAAGCGTCGGATCAAGATCGGTACTCGCACCATCCAGCGTGTCCTCAAGGATCTGCTCATTGGCTTGGCTTGGCTGGTTACCAAATCAGTTGCTGCATTAGCTGTTGTCTCGATCGTGACACTCATTTCTGCCTCGACTTTGCCATGGAATTCACCATTCCGATTCGCGTACTACTTGGTGTTCCAAGGTCTTTCGGCCGTCGTCCCTTGGGCTGCGATGAATGCGGTATTATTCCATTATGAGATGAAGCGATCCCACCATGATGGCCAAGACACCCGCCCCGACTTGCTTGTGTCGTTACTCAAGCCAGTACCTCCATCCTACGAGGATATCGAACTCGCCGATAGGGAGCACCCCGAGCAGCTCCCGATGTATGAAGTCCCGGTAGCGCCGCCCGGCAATCTCGCTGCGACCAACACACATGCCTCGAACAGTGGCCCCGACTCTGCCTCGTCCGAGTCGCATTCCAACGCCGATCTGGTGTACTTTGCCGGGCCTCCTGCCAACTCGGCTCTGTCGACTGCTGGAACATCCGAGTCCGTCGATGCCGATGCTGCTGTGGGTTCTTCTGCCAGAGCCACCAACACCGTGCCGGCTGCCTCCATCGGCCATCCCGCATTCTCGAACGATCCTCCTGCTAGACCCCGCTTTGTCTATGGATACGCCAACTTTATCGATCTTGCGGTCCTCGCCATCTTCCACACACTCATGTGCATCGTCTCAGTGTTCATCTTCCCGGACATTGCCCTATTCGGGGTTTGGTTTCGATCGTTGGAGGATGCGACTCCGAATACAATTGGACGAGTGACATCGATGGTGATTGACTCGTGCGCATCGATTGTGTTCAGACTGCGATTGCGCTGTTGGTCGCATTGGGTGAAATGTCTGAGCATCAGGCATTGAAAGTTTCATCAGCAGAGCCGATAAAACATTCGCCAGCGACACACAGGATTATGTAGCAATGAGGGATGGTGGCCCCGATTCGATCACAAAGTAGTCGTGCGGCCAGAGCACTGCCGTCCGTGAGGTCGTGCGTGCACATTCCCATAACAACTCGTATGTCCGAGAAGCACAGATATTGCATTCATCGTTGGGCCTGTCATTCGAACTTGCTGCAAGCGACACAGCACTGCAGCTTGGCCGGGACCCAGAATCCTTGTTTGATCAATCAAGACATTCGACCGATGACGAGATGCTCTCACCCGGTGCCACCAATCCGACTGCATCGGCATACCGCCAGTGCATCCCACCTTCCATCTTCCATTGACATTTTGGCACGGCGGCGACGGATCTATCCCGCTTCCCTCTCTGTCACCAAATCCAAATCTCCCCGTTCGCCTCCAGCTTTCCGCTATCGGCTCCGTCACATTCGCACGAGGAATCCGAGGATACCATCCACACCAATCGCACACAGGTTCGAGAACATGCAAAGGTCTGCTCTGCTCTGCATCGGTGGAAGGCTTGCATTCTCACCAGCACTACTCCCGGCTCAACCGCCACAGAGCTCGACATCTGGCATGAACGCCACCGCCATCGACGATGCTGCCACCCTGGCTGTCTTGAACCGAACCGACACTGACTCGGGCTTTCCGAGTTTCTGCGCTCTCCTCATTATCATCATTTTGGACCGGTGGATGATCCACACGAAAGACTTTCGCAGTCTCGTCACCTTGATGGTGTACTGCGACTGCCTGGCCGAAATACTCGTCTGGATCGCTCCGATGTGGGCTTCGGCATCGCTCTGCCAGACGACATGGCTCTACTGGGCCAGCGACATGATATTCTCGTTCAAGGTGACATTTGGCTATCCAGCGGCGTTGCCAGGTCGAGCTTGGCCATTCGATGCGGGTCGTTTCCGCTGTTGCCATATACTGAATCTCGCGACTCGACCCCATTTCATGCGACAGGACATGTTCAAGTTTGGCTTTATAGCCTGGCGAGCGACGCTGATTTCGTGTCCGCGGATGCGACATGCACGCATTGTCCAGATAACTTTCGCAGCCGCGGGGCTGTCGCTGCTGCTCTATCATGCATACATCTGGACGTCCTACAATCTATCGGGTGCGTAGTCTGCGTGCCGGCCATGCTTTGTTCGACGGCCGTTCGTTGGATGAACCGGGTGGCATCAACGAAAGCGACACTGCTGCTCAGGTTGACTCGGGTTGGCTTGGGCTGTGTTCGAAGCTGATATCCCACCCGACACAGGCGACTGTTCCGGCCATGCAAGCGCCAGCGGCTCGGCTATTGCACTGATACTGCTCTACGGCTACTGGTTCCTGGTTGAGGCGGCAGCGGCAGCGGCGATGATCTACACGCTGAGAAGGGCAGCCACGCTCGAGTCGAGGGCCAAGATCTCGGCCGAGGAAAACTTTGCGGCCAAGGTGATGCGGAAGGAAGCCTGGCGCATCTGCTGGTCGACGGTGCTGGGCTCGGTCGTCTGCGGATGTGCAGTGGCCGAGTTTGTCAACCACCGAAAGTACCTCTATCTCAAGGGGTCTGTCTTTACGATCTGTAAGTGTATCGGCAGCCTCGTCGGGTGTGTCCATCGGAGTGGACTATGCGACGAAGCTTGTGTACAGGCCAGGAGCGGCTCTCTGGATCGCTAATGGCCCCTTGTGTCCTCACTCTGGGATCGCACCAAGCCCAATTCATGCTGGTTCTCACGCTCATCAACCAAAACGAGGGAGCGAGCGGAGGATTGAACAGGAACGAGACTTTGAAATGCCCAAGCATGGTTTCCAGAGGCAGAGCGACGAGCGAAGGATATGCCTGAGTCTGTGATTTCGGGAATGCTGATCGAGCAGAGACGATGAGCCTGTCGAGCGCCGGATGTGCAAGAACAAGTGGTATTGGTCCGAGCCGAGTGTCATTGTGCCTTGGACTCAGTCGTCCATCGAGCAAGGCGATGTTTGCTGGCACCGAGAACGGCCGGGTGTCCAAGTCCGCTCTCCAAGTGATGTTGGTCGGTCGAGACGATCGTTGCGGCTGGCGGTGCGGATCTCGTCCGTGCAGCCAAGTGGCGATCTCTGGCATCCAGTCCGGATAGCGCAGGGCACCGATCCGCCCAGTCGATCCACCCAGCCAATCTGCCCAGCCGATCCACCCAGTCGATCTGCCCAACCCACCGAGCTCCTCGACAAGCGAGCGAGCAAGCGAATCTTCCAGTGCCCATGCAGACTGCCTCGGAGATTGCATCCGAGATCGTCCCGATCGGTGGGACAGCAGTTGCCGTCGCAAACATCAACGTGGCGGCCCTGGCCGATCCAACAGCGCCGGTATCCTGTCGCAACATCCGCTGTCGTCGCCCTGGTCGATTTGAAATCCTCCTTGCGCCCCACAGCCCAGCCGCGCGAGGGGTATTTCAACCCCTGATGCCTGCTCCCTCGTTCCGTCTGCCAGCATATCCTGCCACCGGCTCCATCCGAACCAGCATCCCCAGCACTGCACCGCCATGTCTGTCCTCCAGCGTCGTCTTGGCCGCAACGGCCCCTTGGTGTCTGCCCTCGGACTCGGATGCATGGGCATGTGAGTTGCATGTTCTGCTGGCTCCTCTGCCCCAATCCACTCCAGTCCCCGTCGTTGCCGTGGCCGTCTGCCCAGGCAGCTGCAATCCTCGCACGATGGATGTCCCCGCAGGATAGCCATCGCCATAGCAGGGCCATCCTGGAGTGGGCCGAGCGATGACCTCGTCGACATCACGCGCTCGCTTCTTGCCGACACTAACCATCTGATCTGCAGGAGCGACTTTTATGGTGCCCGCAACGATGAGGAGTCCATCGCCGTCCTCAACCGGGCTATCGATCTCGGCGCCACCTTCTGGGACACGGCCGATATGTACGTAGACTGTTGCGCCGATGTTGCCCGGCGACCGAAGCATCGCTGCGTCGATGCTGACCTGTTCCCTCCGCTGTCCTGTCCATCGGCATCGCCGTCGGCAACGTCTGCAGGTATGGATACGGCGACAACGAGCGCCTCCTCTCCAAGGTCCTGGCCACCCGCCGCGACGAGGTCTTCCTGTGCACCAAGTTTGCCGTCGTCCGCGATCGCAACGATCCGACCGCTCGCGGCATCTCGGGCAAACCCGAATATGTCCGCAAGGCCTGCGAAGCGTCTCTGGAGCGGCTCGGCGTCAAGACCATCGATCTGTACTATCAGCACCGAGTGGATACCTCGACGTGAGTATCCACCCGCCTCAGGTGCTGCAGTTCCTTGGGCCGAGCAGCCGATCATGTGTTGGTGGTTTTGCGTTCCTGCCGAGTTTTGACACGATCTTCCGTCGTGTGGAGATGACTGATGGACATTGGGCCTCGAATGCTGCACGTCTTGCTGATGCATGCCTCTGGTCCTGTCGCTTTGCTTGTGTGTCTCGCAGACCAATTGAGGAGACTGTCAAGGCCATGGCCGAGCTTGTCAAGGAGGGAAAGATTCGATACCTGGGTCTGAGCGAGTGCAGCGGCGATACTCTCCGCCGTGCCTATGCCGTCCATCCGATTGCTGCCGTCCAGATCGAGTACAGGTAACGGAGCCGCAGCGGCAACCCCGAGCGAGTGTGGTTCGTGGCCGATGCATCTGTACCGGTGTCTGGTTGCCTTCCGCCGAGCTCTGCATCCTGGAGCCTCTGGCTCGATACACAACACATCAGCATATCAGCATAGCGAGGATATCGCTCTGCATTCCGCTTTCCGTTGCGGCAAACCCGCCAGCTCACCTTCATATGCATCCTGTGTTCTCTGCCGCATCCAGCCCCTGGACCCTCGACATCGAGACCAACGGCCTGCTCGATGCCTGTCGCGAGCTCGGCGTCGCCATCATCGCCTACTCGCCCCTCGGCCGCGGCTTCCTCACGGGCCAGTACAAGAGCGTCGAGGACTTTGAGCCCAACGACTACCGCCGCACCACGCCCCGCTTTGCCGGCGACAACTTCCAGAAGAACCTCGACCTGGTCCACAAGATCGAGGAGCTCGCCAAGGCCAAGGGCGTCAGCACCACCCAGTTCGTCTTGGCCTGGGTGCTGGCTCAGGGCGAGGACTTTATCACCATCCCTGGCACCAAGCGTATCAAGTACCTCGAGGAGAACATGGGGGCAGTCAATGTGGAGATCACTGCCGAGGACAAGGCCGCAGTCCGCAAGATCCTGGACTCGTTCGAGGTCAGCGGCACCCGATACGACGCCGCAGGCATGAGCATCCTCAACCGTTAAATCTTTGGCGGCGCGCGGATGATATGCTGGCGAGCGGAAACGCGAGGCCATCGCCAGCACATGCTGCAGTACTAGTGTTTCCAACAACGCCGGACACTCGATGTGACTCAGCCAGCCCGATGCTGCTGGATCGTCTGTTCCGAGCTGGCTGGTGGCTGTCGACGGATTGGGCAATATACCACATCGCCTCAGATGTGATTGTGTTCATCGCGGATGAGACCCTGTCAGTGGATGAACCACGGGAGTAATGGGCTGCATGTGCAATGTGGAAGACGACATTGATGTCGAGGCCGTGTTGCTGTCGATTCGGATCTGGAATAGATGGCTGGTGTGAATGCCAATCACCGGATCCAGTGGCGGCTATCGTGGTTGAGACACGGTGCATTCTGACACAGTTGGAACGGATCTGGCATCCGACCGGCACTCCGACTTGGCTGATCTGATGATGGATGGAGTCGCCCTTCTGCACAGAAGGCGAGACAGATCTGGCTTGGAATCGTGGTGGTGAATATGCTCTTCATTGGCGAGCGTAGATTGGTGCCAGGCACGGCAAATATCCTCCCGGCACTGCAGCCATATGGCAAGTTGATGGGCGGGAGTGAATGAAGGAGAAGGCAGCAACAATCGCCATCGAGGGCGATGGAGCAAACGAAGTGGGACAATCGAGGGGTGCGGTGGCGCTTTCCACTTTGCTCTGCATCCACTGCATTAGCCTGTGCTACTGCATTATCCCGTGGTGCTTCTGCATTATCGGAACAGAGACAGACACCCACGGATGCCACCAGCGACAGCCGAGCAGCGACAGCCCATGCCAGAGTGGCAGGTGGGCCACTCGCCCCAGGTTCCACAGACGCGAACCCCGAACCAGTCATGGCCATTCCGATCGGCGAGGGGGTGAATCTGCATGCCATCCCACATCCCACATCCCACATCCCACATCCCACATCCCATCCCACTCCATCCCGCCGCATCTCGTCTTGCCTGTTCCTTTCCCTCTCCTCGTCCTCTTCCTCCCCCGATCTCCCCTGCTCCGTCGCATCCGCCACCAAATGGCCTCGAGCTCCAGTCTCCCGGCCAAGTCGTTGATGGATGTGGATGTCGATATGGATGTGGATGACACAACCTCGAAAGCCCCTGTCCAGCAAACCCAGCCCGAGCCGTCAGGCACGGCACCCTCCAAACCAGCCGACTCCCTTGGTCCCTGGCTCCATCCCATCGAGTGTCTCATCAACGGCGCCCGCGACGAGCCCGATGCCCTCCTGATCAACACATACGAGAGCGGTGCCTCCGAGCGACACTCCTATCGCCAGGTGTGGAGGAGAGCATACTCGATCGCCCAGGGGCTCAGGGCCCTCGCCGGCTGGGACGACGCCGACCACGAGGTCATTGGCACCTTCTGCGAGTCCGAGGTCAACTGGGTGTTCTATTCCCTTGCAGTGTGGATGCTTGGCAAGTGAGTGCTGCTTGGATGCGATCGAGGGCGAGTCCCGCTGCATCAGTCGTCTGCTGCTTGCTTGCTCCACACATCCGCCACCAGCACTGTCGATCCAGTGCCATCGTCCATGCTCTGTCCTGGCTTGTGATGCCCTGACTCTGCGATCCTCCCTCCTGACTCTGTGATCCTCCCTCCTGGCTCTGCGATCCTCTTGACTCCTCGCTCGTCCCTTGACCACCATCCAGGAAGACAATCAACTTTGGTCTCAACCTGCCTCCGGCTGCCCGAAAGGCTGTGTGCGACAGGTGTGTGGTCTGTGGGCATGTCTGGATCGTTTGTGGGCATGTCTATTGTCTGTGGGATAGTTCGACCTCAGAAGTGATGATGGTGGCAATGTGGGTGTCGATTGATAAACAGCAGCTGACAGGGCTGCATCCATCCAGATACTCGATCAAGTATATCCTGCACCACTGCGTCAAGCCTGGACGCACACAGGGAGTGACTCTTGTGGATGCATCGACATTCCCGATGCTGGACGACATCCCACTGCCCTCGCTTGAGGCGTGCGAGCCACTCGATGAGTTCGTCACATATCTCTCGACTTCTGGAACAACAGGTATGGATGGCAGTCAAAGTATCCGCCAGCTATGTGTCTGGGTGGAGTGCTTGATACATCAGATGAGTGGCGCATCTGATGGTATGGTGCAATCGAGCAAGTGTCTGTGGGTCATCACAGGATATGCATGATGCTCATGGTGGTTCTTGTTGCTCCTCGACAGGCATCCCCAAGACGTAAGTGGGTCGAGACTGTGTACTGAGCACAGTCCGAAGCGCTTCAACGGAGATCACTGACCACCCTATGCTCATGAATGTGTATCAGATACAAGTATTCCTCTTTGAGCCCAACTAGTCTGTACAAGTCGATTGGGATCATCAATATTAGCATCGGACTCTCCCAGGTACGAACCCTTCGCAAGCACCCGAAAACATAATTGTTCCTCAACTTACTCCTCCATTTCCACAGGCACCGTCATTCACAATGACGCTAGGTCTCCTCTTGACAACCTTGAATCTCCGAGGGTCAGCATGGATTCCAGACACAACTTCAAATTGTGTCGAGAAAGTCCGAAGTATTTCCAAGATGCTCAACGATGGTCTCGAGTTCATGGGATTGGTATGTATGAGAACATGTAGATATCCATTTGTATCGAGCTGTGACTAATCAAGATGCTCTGTTATATTATCAGCCTCCCTCGTTCCTCAAATTGATCATCGGAGTCGGAGTGTCGGAAAACAGGCACATCGTTTGGCGAAGAACAAGAAAGATCCTTCTTGGGTCCGAAATTGTGCCTCGAAGCGTCGTTTGTGAAGCCAGACGCCGCTTCCCAAATGCCGAGATTCAGTCCGTTTATGGTTCAAGTGAGGTAAGACATAATCAAATCGTAAAATTATTGTGATCTTTAACCATTCGACTGACCGGAGCAACGATCTACTCCATCAGTCCGCATTGATAGGCGCCGGAGCTTATTTCAGTCTCCCGGCCGATGCCACCGAAGTCCCTCCCACACTTGTGTACAAGCTCTCCAAGCCAGGAGTCCGCTGCCATATCATCGACGAGCACGGCAACTTCATCGACAGAAGGTTCTCCAACAGCGGCGTCCTTGTCTTTGCTGTCGATCCCGACCATCCAGTCAAGGATCATCCCAGCTTTGTCAACGCCGACCCGGACAACAAGATTGGATACTTTGGCTTCCTCAGCGACGGCTCGCCTCGTGTCTGCACCATGGACTGGGTCGAGATGGTCAGCGAGAACGAGTTCACTGTGGTCGGAAGGTGAGTGCGATGCAGAGGCACTGTGTCGGTGTGTTGGCTGCGATGTGGCATTCATCTCCTGCCTCACCACTCACCCACCACTCATCCACTTGCCATGTATCGACCTCATCACACACCTCTCACTCACATTCCCATCACACATTGCTATCCCATCACACACCACCCACATCACCCACACCACCTCTCACCCACATCACCCACATCACCTCTCACCACATTCCCATCTCACCACATCATCCCTCCGCATGCACCACTCCAGATTCGACCAGAAGGTCAAGGTCAACGGCGTCTATGTCGACCTCAATGCCCTCGAGGAGCTTGTCAACCAGAACCTGAACCACTCGATCGCCGACTGTGCCTTTGTCATGACCTCCGAGAAGCGCATCGTGATGCTCTATGTCCCCCAAAGCGGCCCTGCCATCCTCCTGAGTCCCGCCAACATCATCCTGATGACCGAGGAGCTCTTTGCGCTCTCGAACGTCGCCAAGGTCCCGATCCACAACTGCTTTGCGCTCGAGCGATTCCCCTTCAACGACTCCAACAAGCGCGACCTCAAGAAGCTCAGGCTGTTTGCCGAGAATGTCGAGCAGTACACTGCGTCGGTCGTCTATCCGGCCCTCAGGATCGACAACACTCTCCTGTCCCGCGTCGCTGCCAAGATCTCTCAGATCGGCAGCCGGGTCCTGGGCAGGGCCGCCCTTGATGGCCGCAACTACTACATTGGCGGTGTCGGCTTTGACTCGCTCAGCGCCGGCCGCCTGGCCCTCGCCATCAAGGACGAGCTGGATGTCGAGATCTCGCCGCTGATCCTGCTGTCGAACGGAATGACACCCACCGATGTCGCCCAGCTTGCCATCGACATGCTCGACGACAGACTGATGGTCCCGCCGACCGTGGATCTGTACCAGGAAGCCGTCAGGTTCGACGATGCGGGTGTGACGGCCGACGGCCTCCCTCGGTTTGTCTATCCCGACAATCCTCGCGGCATCGTCCTGACGGGGGCCACTGGGTTCCTCGGCGCATTCCTGCTGTACGAGCTGGCCAGCAGGTTCCCCAGCGCCAAGATCTACTGCCTGGTCCGAGCCAAGGACGAGCAGGCCGCCATCGACCGCATCTTTGACACGGCCAGCAAGCTGATCCTCAACCAGCAGCAGATGCACGACCTCGAGCACAACATCCGTCCCAGGATCGTGGGTCTTCCCGGCGACCTGGCACAGGACAAGTGGGGGCTGTCGGACGAGCGATGGCAGGAGATCAGCGAGCAGAGCGATGTGATTGTGCACAACGGTGCCGAGGTCCACTGGCTCTACAACTACGAGGCACTCAAGGGCCCGAACGTCCTCGGCACGGCGACGGCATTGAGACTGGCCACGACCCACCACTTGAAGCCGCTCCACTACATCTCGACGATCGGCACGCTGCCGATGAAGGGCTCGGCCCAGCCGCTCGAGGAGCGAATGTCGCTGAACTGGAACCTCTCTGGCGGCTACGCACAGACCAAGTGGGTCTCGGAGCAGCTGGTCCACAAGGCACGATCGAGGGGCGTGCCGGTGACGATCATCCGACCGGCCGCGATCGTCGGCGAGAGCCGATACGGAGGTGAGCGAGTGGTGATGTGGTGATGTGGGGATGCGGTGATGTGGTGATGTGGTGATGTGGTGATGTGGTGATGTGGTGATGTGGTGATGTGATGTGCTTGGTGAGTCCTCGGCCGACACTCACTCGCTTTCTCCATCTCTCTCTCTCGCCACCAGCATGCAACGTTGATGACTACATCTGGCGATATGTCAAGGGATGCATCCAGATCGGAATCGCTCCCTCCCATGCAACCCCCGTCACCCTGACCATGGACCCGGTCGACCATGTGGCCAAGGTCGTCACGGCGATTGTGGCCTCGGAGCAGGCCCTCTCCAACTTTGTGTTCCATGTCAGCGACTCGGAGAACAGGTGAGGATGTGGCTCATGACATGCTGGGGGAGCAGCGAGTGAGAAGGAAGGGCATGGATAGAGAATGGATGGGACAGCACCCGCTCACCACACCAACCCATCACACACCAACCCATCTCACACCGACACCCCATGCTCAGCCTCATCGCCGAGAAGAAGATCTTTGAGATCGTCAATGCCATGGGCTGGCGAGTCATATTCGAGACACGCGAGCAGTTCAAGATCCTGCTCCACTCGGCTCCCTCCGTCGAGACCAACGCCCTGTTCCCGCTGATGCACATGCTGATGGACATGTCCGTCCAGGTCGACAACCCCAACACCCGCTCGATCTATCCGACACCGAGTCCCCCGGCCGAGAATGTCGTCGAGCGATGTCTCCGATTCTTGGACCGTGTGAAGTACCTCCCTGCTCCGCCCGAGCCTGTCTCGCCGCTCCAGACGGACGACTATCCCGATGTCAGCGTCTTTGGCCGCACTGGCCGCAACTGAATGGCACAGATGTGCTGGACCAGGCTGCACCGATGGGTTGCCCTGAGGCATGGCCAGCAGTGACCGGCAGTGGCAGTTGATGCACTGCACTTGGACGGCCCTCGGTGCTTCATCTAGGCCTCACCTGGCAGATCCTGGTTGCTCGACCACACCATCGATCCAGTGTCCTCGACTGAGTCCTCGACTGAGTCTCGCAGCGAGCACACTCCTCCCTCTGTCGTTGCTTTGTATTGTGCTTGTTCTTTCCATCTCCGCCCCAACCTTCCCCTGGGCTGTTTCCCACTTGATATCCACTCGCTGTTCTTCTCGTTTGTCGGCTGTCTTTTCTCGGTTGTCTGTTTGGCGGAGTATGGCTGGGAGTATCACACCATCATCGCACTCAGTACCACTCAGTATTCCACTACGTGCACAATATATATATATTGAGAAGCAGGCCATGGCTATTCAGCCAGATACTTGCCTGAGCCAGGTCACAACTCCTCTCAGGTGGCAATCGGTCCAAGCGGGGCCGATTCCATGGATTGAGCCGTCCCGGTTTGCTTGCGCCTTTCCTCGCGCCTTTCCTCCCTTTCCCCTTTCCCTTCTCTTTTGCCGCGCTGACGTCAGCAAATCGCCAGCCCAGAAGAAAACGAAAATGACTGATCCGCTGAAATCACCACCATCAGATCAGATTGCCGAGTCCAGATCGCAACTGTCAACGACGGCGAAGGCCCCTCTGGCACTTTGATCTCGTAAGTTGCTCTGCCGGATCAGCCTCGCTGCCCGTATCCACCCCAGCTCGAGCCGTGGATCGCAGAAGAAGCATTGCCTCAACTGTGCTCGCCGGTCCTCATGGTGTTCCCCATCAGCACCATGCCCGTGTTCATCACACCGAGCTTTTGTCGCTTCGCTGTTTCCTCTGCGGTTTCTCAATCTCACCGCTTCCTTTGTTCCTTGGAATTCGAAAGTTCGCGATCACCAACATGTCTGTGCTTGGAAGTATTGCTCGGAAGTGGGTCTACTCTTCAGCCCCAGCTTTGCGATCATTTTCGAGTCATGGTAACTATCACTCCTCGGTGCTGTGACGGAAACGAAGCTCATCCGATGAGCCCAAACGGACACACTGAACCGATAACTCGTTCGGATCGCGAGTTGAGGCTCTCAACTTGATGGTCATCAATGCAACTATTGTCCGGGTGTTCACAATCTCTCCTTTGCTTGTGGCCTGATCCGTGTTTTGCCGTTGCTGCATTTCCACACAAGTTCGACAAGCCAAAGCCACAACTGCCACAGCAATGTCTCCGAGCGCCCGAATGTTCTCAACTGGACTGAGAACGCCTCTGAGCCGACCTGTCCAGATGCAGCTCACGGCTCGTTTTGGCTCTCAGCGTCGGCTTGCACACACCTCGACGAGTGAGCGCAAACCGTTTGTGCCCAAATCCACCAAAGTTGCGTCAAAAAGAAAGACCAAGAAATACAAGCTGAAGAACAACAAGAGTGCGGTTTCGAGGTAGGCGTCTTGGCGCACTGCTGGCGACTTTGTCGGTCGCCGCTTATGCCCTTGGAAAGAGACCTCATGCGAAAGTGGTGAACTTCGCGGGCAGGACAGCCCGGCGTGTTCGAAACAGGCCAGCGGAAGCGATGGAGCCGGTGCCATGCCGATGCATTGTCCGCCATTTCGATATGCGCCGAGATACTCGCCAGCCACTGGGTGAATGGGCTCGATAGGGGGCGCCCATATCGAATGGCTTTGTCCAGGGCGACGTGCAGCAGAACCTTCGGTGCGCCTCTGCTCATCGCCTTGGAGTGTTTCTCATCCCGACACTTGTCGAATTGCAGATGGCTGGTGCTGGGTAGCGGCGGATTCAAGCGCGCCCAGGCAGGCTCCCGCCACTTGAACGTCAAGCGTCGGGTGTGGAAGAAGATTTCCAAGAGAAGACGAGTGACCTCAAATGCAACCCAAGCCCGTCTGCTGCGCCGATTGATCCCTTACTATCAGAGGCGATACATGAGGGGCTAGAGCCGTGTCTGCGTATCAGTTGAAGAGCCTTCGATGACCCGGAGCGCTGTCATTCGATATTTGATGAGCTTTCCAGATTCTGAATATACGCACGGTCATGTGTCGCTTTTGGTCTGTGAGTCGGGCAATGCAGTTACAGCGAACTGGGACACCTTCACGCTCGGATGACTTGTATGGGTTGTGGGATGTGGTGGACTCTGTCGATGAGATATCGACCACAGATACTGGAGCCATGGACGGACTGACTCCATGAAGCAGACCGACTCCATGCATCTCCCTCACACAGGGAAATGACTTGACCCACTTGACCGGGTGTGTGATATGATCCGACAACGCCGTGTTGTCCGAATTTGACGATGTGTCCCGTATGCTTGGAATCGAGTCTCATGCGGCTGACCCGCTTCCGTCGTTGGCAGAACGCTGAGCATCGCCTGCTGCTGCTCGTAAACCAAGCAACCACTGATCTGCGAAAAGTGGGCTTGGTTCAAGCGGCTCATCAGACGGCGGACGGCAGAGGATCGGCAGCGGGGTGTTGATCGGCGTTTGTCGCAGAGTGTCTGACAGTGATTCGAGTGGACACTCAAGGCGAGATGCTTCTGGTGCTTTTCCCCTTCTCATGCTCGATCGCACCACTGGTTGTTTGGCGGGACGATCATCCAATAGCGCCGCCGGCATCCGCGGCGATTGTCTGCACAGATCACTGCTACGGGGCACGACCGCATTGGTGGTCGGGGCTTGCTTCCGTGCGCAGGCATATCTCCACATTGCCCCGGCGATTGCGGTGTTGATGCTGTGTTGGTGGTGCGTTGGTGCTGTGTTGATGCTGTGTTGATGTTGTGTTGATGTTTCTGTGGCTGCGAACCTTCTGGTGCCTTCGCGCGGCCGCCCGCGGGATCCAGCAGCGTCTTCATGACGGCAACATGAGAGCTATTTATTGGCCCCGCCCTCCCGTCCTCCGTTCTCGCCAGTCGCTCATCCGACGACCTCCCAGCTGCATAAAGCCGATTTCAGAGACTTGTCTCTATTTCCGCTTCCTTCCCGCACCATGTCTCTCTCTCGTCAGTTCCCCCGTTTCATCCGCCAATTCGAGCGTGCCTTTGAGGATCCATTCTTCCGTTCGCCCTTCGCCTCTCCCGCCTCCCGCTTCTGGAACGACTTTGACCCGGTGTTCAATGGCTTGGCTCGTACGCCTGCCGTGGATGTCTCCGAGACCGCTACTGCGTACAAAATCCAGGCCGAAGTCCCCGGCATTCCCAAGGAGAATATTCAGATCGAGCTGACGGATCCGCGAACCCTCGTTATCAAGGGTTCATTCGACCGCACCAGCTCACCCGAGCAGAGCGCCGAGCAGAGCGCCGAGCCTGTGTCCAAAGACGGCCAGCCGCCGAATTTCTTGGCTCAGGAACGAATGGCTGGCTCCTTCCGACGAACCTTCACGATGTAAGTTGACTCGGGCTTGGATATGACCGTCCATAAATTTCGTACACGAAGCGCCTTGCTTCCCTTCCAACTCGTGCTCTGACACCCATATTAATTCCTCTCCAATGACTTTGCCTGTCCGTGCTCAAACTGATCTCACTTCCACGGCAACCAATAGGCCTGTCGCTATCACCGAATCCAACATCAAGGCCCATCTCAAGGATGGTCTCCTCTCCGTCGATATCGCCAAGCCAGAGGATCAGAAGCAGATTCCCATCTCGATCGCCATTGGCGACAAGTAGGCCAAGAGTTTATTTGCTGACCGACAACCTGGCTCTCGGACCGCCAAACCGTGTGCTGCTTCCTTTTGGATCATGAATACATCCATCTATCGCCCATCGTCACCAAAAGCATGTCCGAGGATACTTATATTCTGACCACCTTTGAGAGCGCATCGTGGAGCAAGGGAAGCAGTATGAATCGAATCCACGGAGATTCAGATTCACCCAGTACTTTGATTAAGCATGGCCGAAATGAAAGGGACTGTGTCCCTCAGTGTCCCTCGCATCAATCATTGTCTCGAGCCCAGTGACCTGTCGGCTCCGGTGGGCAGGCCTTGTTGTTCGTTTGGGAGTATACTCTTGGACATATCCGGTCGATCTGCTGTGGCGATGATCGACTGGCATTGATCATGATGCGGGTGCGTGGTGCATGCACTCGCCCATCTTGACAACTCTGCACAATACGTGGATTGAACGAGTCGCTCTGCATCCACCCTCCTTGGACACACTGATTGGCCATGATTGGCCATGATTGGCCATGGATGGGGCGCATTCAAAGCCCAGAACACAGCGACAACCTGGCCCAGGATGTCAGTGTCTCAGTCACAATCAGTCCCATCCCAATGACATCATTTCTTGAGTGATTGGATGAGCTCCCACTCCGATGCTCTCCGATAGCCTCCCGACCAGAGTCTTCCTTAGGAGACCGGAAAGTGTGTGGGGACTTGAGCCCGCCCCGAGACCGAAACAAATGATCCACGGGGGTCTCTCTGCGGCTGGGCGAGCTGGCTGAGGCAGGGTATATATTTTGCCCGCTCGGTTCACCCAAAGAAACATTCCGTTCAAATCGCGTGCCGAGTTGCTGCAGCTTGCTGTTTCCTGCTCAGATTGATCACAGGTTCCTTGAATTGACACCTCCTTTCAAGGACTACATACCACAGCGATCTCACCATCCACGGCCATCGAGCAGCAGCGTCCAAGCATTGCCATCGCTTCCGTACCGACAGATGGCATACACGCCTTTGAGCTTCCTGCTCGTGCTCTGCCTCGGCGCTATAGGTAATCCCCTCCTTCTTTGGCGTCGTAGCATTGGTGTTGAGTCTCAATATCGCGCATTGTGCCCATCGCCTTGGACACCATCGTTGATGGCCAACCACAGACACGCGCCTTTCGGTTGACTGGTGTCGGGGTGGGCCCGAGATATGCCATCGAAATGCCGTCTAAATCTGAGTCGACACTGTCGTAATGTAGTGGCCCAGGGACAACAGCAGCCAAGTGTTTTCGGCGTCGGGGCGACCTTTCCCCAGTCGCTCTACACGGCCCTCACTGGGATCTATTCGGTCTACGATCCAGCCTGGAACTATGGCTATACGGGCACAAGCTCGGGTGCTGGCCGAAGCGCGCTTGCCTCGGGCGGCGCCAATCTGACCTGGGCCGGATCCGACACGATCCCTTCCAATGTGACCTACGCCGACCCCCAGGGCCGCGCTGCGCAATTCATCCCCGTCCCTTCTGTCGTCAGGTACATGTCCTGGCTGGGTCAGTGCTTGCCCTGTGGCCGAGTTGCGCGGCCTCGAGTGCGGATATTCCAAATCACCTCCACAACAAATATTCTTGGGAGTCGCATGAGTCGTGATGCTATCTCCTTGAATGGACTCCGCACAGATCTTCAACAAAGCCCATTCACAACATAACACTAACTCGGCCGGTTTCACCTCACCGTCCCTCAGCGCCATTGCAATTGTCTACCACCTCAACATCAGCAGCCTTACCCTTACCCGACAGAACATTGCCGATATTTTCTCTGGAAAGATCACGAGCTGGAACGACTCCAGACTCGTGCAAAACAACCCGGGGCTCTCGGCCATCAGTGCCCCGCTCCAGACGATCGTTCGGAGCGGAAGCTCCGGAACCACGTCCAACTTCCAGTATGCCTTGAATCGATTCGACCCCACGCTCAACCTTCCTCCACCGTACATTTATCCGATCTCCTCCTGGGGTGTGGCAAGCACACCCTTCTTTGGGTCCACCAATCAAATGATATCCGATGCTATTCAGGTCACGCCGAACACGATCGGATATGTTGACTTTCCCGATGCCGACAGTACCTTGCATTCATTGACATCGAGCCGCAATCTCTACGCGTTTGCCAACATCATCAATCAGAATGGAGACGTGGTTACGCCTTCGATGCAAACAATCATGGTAAAGTGCTGGCATAAATGAATGGAATGAGTGCAGACAATTCGGCCGTGTGGGCCTACATTCGTGTTCAAAAGCTTTGCGAGCACGGGAGGAGACAGCAACAGCAAGCGCCTGGGCTTGATCGCTGCTATTGGGCTTGCAGAGCAGTTTTGCCTGGCTTTGGCTTCCTCAAGGGGCCAGGAGTGCTTTTCTCTGTGCCTCGCTGCTCGCTGACTTTACGACCCGATGCGCATCAATGATCCTCGACTGCCCCAGGCATCGCTTTCGTCCCTCAACGCTGTAAATCTGTCCACGCTCAGCCACTTTTCGGCAGATATCGGCAGCTTGCTCCAGTCGACGTACATTGACTCGACCACCCAAAACGCATATCCGCTGATGGCACCGTCCTATGTTTTCCTGCGCCAAGACTCCCAAATCTACAACGTAACAGAGGCACAGATGCGTGCCACTCTGCGACTCATATTCTGGATGATCTTTGGGGGAACAGAGAGCGTAAGCAAGGCTCGTTTGAACAAGAGAATGCTATCTTCATCCTCGCCACATGCAAAACGCATTGGTGCTTTTGGTCTCGATTGCGAGATACAGCGGCGGACTCTCATCTGACCATGCCAATTCCAACTGCAGTCTCCATCAAACAGATCAACTGCGGCTCCGACCACGAATCCCTCCTACATCGGACTGAACTTTGCCCATCTCCAGGACACCAAGATTCGCCAGTTTGCCTTCGACGCCCTCAAGCTCGTTACGCACAACGGGAAGGCACTCTATGATCCCGTGTCGCCCTGTAATCCGTACTTTGACAGCACCGGTGCATATGTCAGTGCCAACTCGTGCAAGAATGGATACTGCCTTCTTGACGGACCATTCCAGGACTCCTCCGTGACTCAGTGCATCTGCGACGTTGGATATTACAACAACATGAAGACCGACTGCTCGGAGCCATCGGCAGCCTTCATGCTCTTGGTGAATGGAATGCACTCGGGCAATATAGCCATCATGGCGTTTGTGGCAATCACCGGGTTGATCAACGTTGCCATTTTGGTCCTGCTTGTCATATGGAGGGACAACCCCAACATCAAGCCCATATCGCCCCGATGCTGCTATGTCATCATGTTCGGGTCACGTAAGTCGTCCCATCGGACCGAAACAGCCCGTCTCACAGGTTTCCTCAACGGCGGGTTTGTTCCATAGACTCGGCCATGCAGAGAGTTGTCGTCGCTGATTCCGCATTTCTTCCAGTTATTGGTCAGATTGGTTCGGTCTTCTACTCAGCAGAGCCCAGCCCCTTGATTTGCTCATCCCGTATATTCTTTCCGGTCATTGCGTTTTCGTCCGTGTTCAGGTGAGTTTCCTGTGCCTTGTGCATTGATTCGCAGCGATGAGGGGTCGGTCTTGGCGATCAAAGTTGGGCTTGCTTTAGATGTGGTGTTTGTTGTGTCGTTCTGGCTGCTTGCTATGACAAAGTATATTCACGGCCCCCGTAACGAATCTCTGTCGAATGGCTCCGGGTCTGTTTCAGCATGCTTCTCTTGAAGTCGGTGAGAATATACATGATATTCGAGAACCGACGCATGCGCGTCTTCAAGACTCCCGACTGGAAGCTCATTTTGATCACCATGATCATTGTGATGATCCAAGTCGTCATCTGCATCATATGGATTGTCGCGGAGAGACCCGTCACCCAGGTCCAAGGCAGCCTCTATGCACTCGTATGCGTTCCGTCGACAGGCGCAATCGTTGCCCCCGAGGCGCTCCTCTACACCATCAACAGCTTGATCCTGGTTGGATGTGTGGTGCTCGCCTATCTGACCCGGAAGGCTCACCAGCGGTTTCAAGAGTCAAAGTCCATCGCCTTCTGCAGCTACATCGTGCTGATGACGCTTCTTCTGTGCTTGCCGATCGTTTACGTGCTCTCCAATAGCACCGACTCACAGGCGCTCTTCATGATCGGACGCATCATGGTCTCGGCTCTGACGATCGTGATTTCTTCGCTGGTCCCCGCGGCTCTCTTTGGCGTAAGGCTGATCACAACTTTCAAGAACGAAAGGAGTGACAGGGAATCCCAGACCCAGCGAGCGACCTCTCGACCAAGCCAGGCTTCCTCGGTTACCAGCCAAGGGATGGCCAAGGCCAACGTGATCGCCTACGCCTATGACTGCGGGGTTCAAGGTATCAAGTTTGGTGGTGCCTGGGTTTCGTCGACGGTCGTGGTGTTTCCGGGACTGGATGTCATCGACTTCAGAGAGCCCGATTCGGATGGCGCTATCCAAGCAAGCTTTCGCTTCTCTTCATGCGACTGCGGAATATGCGATCAGTCGAGTGATCCAGGGTCTGAGAAGGCCCTCGCACGAAGAGTCCGCCTGCGCCGCAACAAGGCAACGTACTTTCTCGAGTTTGGATCCAAGGACACCGCGCTCACGTTTTTGGTCAACCATGCCGAGGTCAAGGCGAGACCCAGTGTAGCCTCAGCCAAGAAGGGAGAGGGCTTCGGGGCGGCTGCTGTCGCAGGCACCGCCAAGAGAGGCAACACAGTATATGATCTGTTGGACAAGCAAGCAGGCACCGAGTCAACGAAGAGTGCAATGGACTAAATCAAACGGAGCGTCTCGCATTTGCTTTTGGGACTGATTTGAATGGCAATACACATATCTACCACCCTTCGAAGTGAGGCAAGGACCATCCGAGCGACTCGTTTGGCTGGACTGTGTTGATGTCGAGAAACCACACTTTATGCAGAGCTATCCAGTCGGTCGAATGTACCACACTCTCACTTCACGGTATCAATGCCAGTCGAGTCCCGCAACCAGTAAGATGTGAAAGCATACACTTTATTCAGAAAAAAACGGGACACCACAGCCGTTTCCATGAACATGTAGTATGTGCTGTGCTTGCGTCAAGCAAAGCCACAAGAAATAAAACAGATCACTTTGGCAGCCTCCGAGTGAAGACCGCCGGTCGCTCTCCGATCTCCACAATCGACCTGCACACTGTGATCATGTTGCGCGCCGCATTGACGTCGCGATTCCACACTGTCCGGCAGCTGGGATTCTTGCAGCTCCTGACAAAGTGGGAATTCGCAACACTGGGCGCATCGAGTCCTTCCAACCGAACTGGCTCCAGGCACTTGGAGCACACTTGCGAGGTGTTGAACTCGTTCGTCGAGGCCACCTTGACGCTTCCATGATGGTGATTGGGACGGCGTCGGTGGTGCTCGAATTGCTCAAAGTACCGAGCAAACCGCTGCCTCCGAGGGCTGGATGCATAGCCCTTGCCTTGACGCCATGACGCATTGCCAAAGGCGATCACCACATCGGTCCGTATCGGGGCGTGCTTCAGGACGGCCTTGCACATCCTGTCGACGGCCACTTGGCGCCTCCTGTGGCCCGTGAATCGATGGTGACGGGCCTTCTTGCCAAGGTGGAAGTCGAGCTGCACTCGCAGCTCCGGTCGCAGGACATGGGTGAGATGGACCTTGAAGGCCTCCGAGGACGACACCTTGGGCGAGGGGGTGGTCGACATCTAGGTCTCGATGCTGAGTCGATACTTCATGGTGTTGTGCCACTCAGTATTGGACGTATGGCCACACATTTACTGATAGTGACCATTGGAGAACGAGACCACCTCGTCTTGGTGGCTCGGTGCTTGGATGACCGCCGTGAAGATGGAGCCGACTCCAGGATCGATGCCAATCCAAGTGGTGCGATCGGGGTCTGGGTCGCCGATGTGGGCCTGGATACGCTGCTCGGCAGTCGGAGGAGGCTCGGAGGTCTCGGTGCGATCGGTTCGACGCAGAAACTTGACGAGACCGATGGTGCATCCAATGCCATCGGTGCTGATCTCGTAGTTGAACAGCTTCTTGTCCACGTCCCGTTCTTGGAAGAGGGAGCTACGCAGCTTGAAGCAACTGCGCCAGAGACGATCCTGGTTGTTGACACCGTCCTCACCTTCTTCCTTGAGCTTGTCCCTGGTGAGTCCAAGGCGATGTTCGGTGTCAAGGAGTTGCCAGAGAGTGACCGTGTCGATCTTGACATACTTGGCCCTTGCAGTGCATAGAGGAACCATCGTGCACACGGCCGGAGGAGTGTCAAGAGTGAGCTGCTTGAGTGCCCAGTTGAGCCTGGATGCCAGCTTGTTGATCTTGGCCTTGGTGGTGCCGAGCTCAGACTTGGCCGTGGTGAACCTCTTGTCGTCGGAGGGAATGCCTTGGGTAGTGAGCTCGTCCAGCTTGGCCTGGCGCTGCAGCTCGGTGACTCGGAGGGCGGGCATGTCACAGTCGATCCACTTGTGGACATCGTCGACCATCTTGTCCCGGGCAAGGATCCCCACATGGTGTGAGAGGCGATGGAGGGCCCGGAAGCGGTCCCGGTCGTTGCTGTACCGAAACTCGTCCAGGATATGGCCAAAGTCTGGATAGAGGAACTCGAGATCGGCCTTGGGTGGAGTCTGCCCTGGTTTCTCGAAGAGCTCGAGACAGGCCTCGATGGCTTCGTGCTTATGCTTGTTGGCTGGGAAGACAGCAGCACAGAAGCGGCGAAGGAGTCGCCAGTAGGCCAGGTCGAAGTGGGTGGTGCGGTTGGTGGCATAGGCATTGACAGCGAGAGTGAGAAGCTGACTGTGAGCACCATCAGGCAGACGAGGGGCCGGAGGCAGGTCTGCGTGCCGAGTGGTCTGGTAGTCGCGAAAGGAAGCGACCAGATGCTCGTTGTATTTCTCATTGTCCCTGGTCGGGGAGAGCGCATCGGCCTCGACAATCGTGAAGCATTGGCGGATGAAAGCAGGGGTGGCCCTGGAGATGACGGGGACGGGAAGATCCTGCTCGATGCACCGGAGGATGTGCAGGTTGAGCAGCCTGGATGCCTCGAACTGGATCTGGGTCATGGCCTCGACGGTGGCCTGGATCTTGTCGCGGAGAGCGGGATTGAGACAACAGCCATCCATCGTCTGCTTGAAGCAGCTGAACTGAGGGGCGGATGACCTTCCATCCACGAGTGGGACGACGGAACTCTTGAGGGGCCGGTATTTGGGACACCTGTTGGTGTTGCTTCGCTGATGATCGGTGCCATCGCACTTGCGACATCGCTTGCCGGTACTCGAGGAAGTAGATGGACCAGGCTCGGTGGGATCGACATCCATTGGATCTGCAGAAGCAGTGGTGGTGAGCGACGGAGCAACAGACGAACAAGCATGCGTGGGGTCAGAATACGAACCAGAGACAGGCTCCGACTGTGACTTGGCTTTCTTGGGCCTGGGTGGCCGAGGCTGGCCATCACCGGTACCCTTGCGCTTCGGAGGCATGGGGGCAGAGGATGCTGGATGCCTGCCAGTGGTACTGGTCAGAGCAGAGACTTCTCTTTATCGTACAATAGCGCGATGATCAGATCAAGGCGAGATGAGGGAAGAAAGCAGCAGGACGAAGGTGTGGCATTTATACCCGAGAGCAGGAGCCCGTCTTTGCGGGCTGGTTGGGAAGTGACCCTGTTCAAAAATCGCCGAGAGGTTCAAGCCAGGGATTTGAGCGTGAAAATGGCGGCTTGATTGGAGGGAACTCAACCCCAGAAGCGCATCGCTCGCTCAATCAGCCGTGGGAAGACATCTGGAAGCACCCTCCGAACGGCGGACTCGAACAGTGCTACCATCCCGATCTTGAACCCCTCGGACGCATTCAGCGCTGCCGCCTTCCTGTACTGATGCTTCACAATCCCAAAGAAGTTCTCGATGGGATTGAAGTCGGGCGAGGCAGGTGGGGTGAAGATCACTGACCATCCTCGGCGCTCGATGCAGTCCAGGACAGGCATTGTCTTGTGCATGCTGACATTGTCCATCACAATCACAGAGTCGTCTGGGAAGCTCGCTCGCTCAAAGAACTCGACCATCGAGTGTGTCTTGAATGATGTGGGGATATACATGCGATGCAGCACACCAGAGTGGTTGATGGCAAATGCAGCCGAGACAGACTTGTGTTTCATGTGATTGCGCTGGCGAAGCGGAGCACCCTTCGGTGAGTATCCGTAGAGAGAGAAAATGGATCTCCTGATCCCTGTCTCATCGACAAAAACGAATCGTCGTGGGTCGATGGAGCGGGCCTGGTCCCTGAACTGTGCCACTCGCTCATCCAGTCGCTTGGACTTGTAGAGGTGTGTTGCCCTCTTGTGTGAGAGACCTGCTCGGTGGATGGCAGTGTGGCAGAGTGAGAGTGAAACTTTCCTCTGGAGGATGGACTCGAGCTTGCATCGCAGCACAGGACCTGTCTGGAACGGGTCCTGTTCAATCAGGGTGCGAATGACTGGACATGCCTGCTCAAAGAAAGTGGATCTGCGAGCTGGGACCCGGGATGGGTCATCCAGCTTGCATCCTCGGTGCCATCGATGGATGGTGCTCTTGGATACACTGAATATGGAGGCGACCTTACGCAGGCTATGGATGAGGGCGTAGCATCGCAATGCGGCGGTGCGAAAGTCGGATGTGTGGCGAATGGTCATGGCCAGCGCGCGATAGCATTGGGTAACAAAATATTCGATGAATGGTCAAAACCTGGGTGTCCCGTTTTTTATTGGATCGCCTATAAAACGGCCCTGCCTCACTTCCAAGGATGGATGGTAGATATGTGTATTGCCATTCAAACAAAAGCAAAGTGCCCCGTTTCATTGTGGGAGCGCCCAGATTGAGCAGCAGCCATCGCTGTTGCCAGTGCATCCCATGCATGCAGCAGCGACCGGCGATCAGAGGTCAACGAGTGCTGCGGTCTCGACATTCTTGAGAGTCAGGCCAAGCTGGGTCTCGGCGGTTTCCAAGACGGTGTCGGCACCAGTCAAGCTTTCGGTGGTGTCGGTAGTCGCGTCAGGCCCGGCCCGCTTCTCAATGAGCTCGAGCTGGGCTTCAAAGGGAAGGTCCGTTGTCTGCTGCTCGTCCTTTGGGCCATCGTCGCTGGGTTCGCCCTGCAAGTTTCGCAGATCATCCGATTCAGTCGCTTCTTCGATCGGGACGTTGTCGCTATCGCCTTTCTCGAACCCTAGCGTCTGGATCTTCATGTTCTCGTTCAGATCGACATCCGTGTCGTCGATAACAGACCGCGATCCACGGAAAGAATCCTTTCGGCCCTGCTGGTCCTCTGTAAAGATCCTGAAGGTTCGGCCGGCCCTCATCAGCAACGAGTGGAGCACCAGCCGAACCTCAGTCGGGACCTCTTGCAGCAGCAGATTCACAATCTCTGGGTAGAACTCCTTCATGTGCCTCTGGAATTGCTCGTCGTTGAAGTCAATGAGGGCGTTCAAGATCGTCACAACCACCGGCCGCCATGCCTGCACGTTGCGCTTCTTGGCTTCGGGATCAAGGGCGTTGTAGTCGCAAATGATGCCAAAGGCGAGACTGTTGGAGTGGCCAATGGATCAGTCGGCGGATCAGTCGGCGGATCAGTCGGCGGATCGGTCAACGGATCGGTCAACGCAGCCGAGTCTCGGAGGAGGTCACAGACGGGCGCCAGAGATACATCACCGAGGAAGCAGTGGTGCCGTGCCGGCCAAATACTCACGGAATCAGGCGCTTCTCGATCTCGCTCTGGGTGGCGATGCGTTCCGGATTTGTGTCGAGATACATTTTGATCAAGACGGCCACGTAGGTCTCGACGGAAGTAGTCTCTTGTTTTAGCAGATTGGGCAGCTGCTTCATGAACCCCATGCGGTAGAGCGCCATGCGCAGGTCCATGTCGCTGTTGAAGTTCTGGGCAAAGCTATAGCTTCGTTCGAGGCAGTCCATAAGCGTGAACAGGTTCAGCGACGATAGCGATCTGTAGACGGCGTCGGGTGGGTTGGACGACACCAAGACCTCTTGCAGCGTCCGAATCACCAGCAGATGGAGCACGCATTTCACGATGATTTGCTGGAAATCCTTTTTTTGAGGGGGAGGTCGGTAGGCTGGCGTAGTTGGAGTCTCGGCCTTCCTGGGGACTGGTGCTGGCAAAACGAGCAGGATCGACCGTGTAGGTGGCGCAGAAGGCGTCAGTCAAGGAAGCAAACGTATGAGCCAAAAAGGAAGTGGTCTTTGGCACAAGTGCAGAATGTATAGCACTGGCCATCGCCTTGGCAATTAGCTCGATGACGAAGTCCCGCGTGCATCGACTGTAGGGGCGTGCTCACCTTCGTCGCCGCTGTAAACCGGCTCGATGGTTTTGGGGGGCTCGATGGGCGGGCCGCCGACATCAAAGAAGAGTGCGCGCGGTGTTGTGACGTCAAACAAGTACACAAACATGTTGCAGATCTTGGCCCAGATCTCGTCGGTCAGCTTCTCGACATTGTTTTCGATGAGTTGGTGCAAACAAGTCGATCCGATTCGTGCCAGGGTTTCGTTTTCTGCACATCAGCGCAAGGATATGAAGGTTAGGCGGCGTAGCGTAAGCCGGGCATGGCGACGGCGCATGCCCGTCGCCGGGTGCACCAAGCCATGGCCCACAAACTATCAGCGCCTTCAAAATCCAGAGGTGCGGGTGTACCTTGTGTCATACAGATCGTTAGGAGCTCCAGGACCCCATCCATCAAAAAGTCCAGCTTATCGAAGAAGACAGTGTACAGGTCAATGAAGCTGCGCAGAGCCTGGATGAGGGTCGTCGACAGCCACACCGACATGTCGTCCTTGTTCTCGAACTTGGTATGTTCTTGGCGCGACAGCTTCAGGTCATCAAAGATAGGGAAGAGCACGCCCTTGGCAATGACCTCCCAAAAGTCCTTGGGGAACTGGGCGCCATTCTGCTTGAGGGTCTCGAAGAGGTAGGTCAGACCTCGCGTCCGGACCTCCAGGTCGCAGGTCATTACGACCTCGTACATTCCAAAGAGAACCGGAAACCAGTATTTGTAGTTGACATCGTCTTCCGAAATGCTGGCCGGGACGCCCGACATGACGCTCAGCAGCGCGGCGCTGCTGAGCTTTTGCGCAACAAGCGGCGTGTTGGTGTTTGGCTCATCGCCGGGCTTGGCGGTAGACGGGCGCCGCACATCCGCGCTCTGCTTGATGATCTCTTGGATTCGAGGAATCGACTGGCGGAGCAACTCGATTGAGTGGAGACTCGTCTTGGCCAGCTTGCGGTTCTTGCAAAACTCGACCAGGCACTGAACAAAATCAGGGAACGTGCCGTACGACGTGATGCTCTCAAAGTGGTTCTTGAATATGTGCTTGATGATGTCAAAGGCCAGGGTGACGATTTTGTCTGATCGAATGCGGGGTATTGTGTTAGTGATCCAGTCGGAGCATTGGTACCCTCGTAACACGTCATCCCATCACCATACTGGCCATGGATCCCGGAGGCAGAGTCCGGGATCGTTGTAGACATCGCCATTCACACCCACAGCTCCATTCACGCCCACATCTCCATTCGCCCCCCACGCTCCGTACTCAGTCCGGCAATCGCAAACACACACTCTTACCATGCGGCTCCTTTCCAGCGCGCGAAAACGCTGAAAACATCGTTTTCCAACCACTCTTCAGGCTCTTTGCCTTGGCTTGCACCATCTGCTGCAGGCAGGCCAGAACCATGTCTTTGATGCTTGGGTCTGAGTTGTTGCCCACGATATGGTCAAATGGCTTCAGGAAGTCTTTCTGGAACTTGAAGTTGGGCAACTCCTCGAGCTCAAGGAACTTCATCGAAAGCTGGCGCAGCTTGTCCAGGGCAAAGAAACCGACATTTGAGTTGGCGTGGCAGCCGACTTGGTTGAAGTGCTCGCCGAGGATGGCCCAGATATTGCTCCACTCGACACGGATACGCTTCATGTTGTAGTAGCTGATCTCGACCAGTCGCTGTAGGCAGTACATCCTCGGGTGCTCCTTATCTGAAGTGGCGCTGATCTCCTCCCACGAGACCTGACAGAGCGCCCTCACAAATTCGACGATGGCGCCGCCAGAGAGCTTGACGCTGGCTGTGAAGATTTTGTCGACCATGATGGTCATGCCTTGGGACGAGGCCTCGGCTGCAGCTTCATCGATAAATCCTCGCGCACCACCGCGTGTTTGAGCAGCTTCCCGACGAGCCTGTCCGGTAGATCTACAGAGCACCCCCCCCCACGTTGCAAGTATGCCGATGGTACAGTTTCAGCTCTCGGCGCATCTGCTAACATTCTGATGCATCGACTTTGCGCTTATGGGGGCGGGCCAGGATGTTTGCTCCAGAGCACTATCTTACCGGTCGTCTGCGCCGGCTTGATTCGATTGCAACTTCTCCACGAGGCTGACGCACAGCACAACCTCTCTCCAGCTGTCGCGAAGATGGTTGCCCTCGGTGTTGCCAATCTCGATGAGGGACTTGATGGCCTCGAGGTTCTTGGGCTTTATCTCGTTATAGTTGGCCAGCAGACTGAACTTGCTGAGGGTGCTGATGAAGGCCTTGCGCTCCAGTTCCATATCAAAGAGGCACGAGATCTTGATGGCGTACCTGAATCCCTCCAGCGCGAGCATGATCGTTTCGAGATCCTCGCTCTCTTGCAGCGGACCCGAGAGCCCCGTGAGGACCGCGGTCCAGATGATCTGGAACATGCCCTTGACGTGCTCGTACTGAGAGGCCGTGATATACGTTGCGCCGGAGACGATCTCGCTGCCTTCCAGCGTGCCGGTGCCGTTGGTGAGCATCTGGTTGAATAAGGCCTCGGTCTTTTGAACCATCGATTCACTCGCCAAAGCAAACTGGGCTGCCTCCTTGTTGTTGCGGTACCGCTGAAGGTCCTCGGGAGAGGCCGCAGCCGCCGCTCCGCCCGACGGCTTTTCATCCTTCAGCACAATCTCCTGCTTGGCGATTTCGTCAAAGACACCTTCGAGGAACGCCTGGGGAAGATCTTTGCCCTCATCGATGCCGCGGTTGTTTTTCAAAAAGTCTCCCTTGGTCATTTTTTGCTTGACCTGGGTGTTGTACATGTCCGTATTGAGCATGATCACGGAGTAGGCAAGGACATACGGCGTGTCTGGAGTGGCGCGTGTGGATGGATGATCCGATCGTTTAGTTGGCCGCCCATTAAGTTCGGCTGCGTACTCTGACTCAAGGCCGCACATATCCCATCGGGAACAGTAACAGGCAGAGCTGCCTCGCGGACGAGACTGCGATGCAACATTGTAAAGCAACACTCTCAACAGTCCTCTGGGACATTCGGCCGATACAGTCACGCCGCACGCTGAACACAGCTGAATCACACTACGCATCAAGTAGAGCGTCGGCCACCCTTGTTCATTGGCAACGGCATTCCCCTCCTGCCAAATTGCCGGATTGGCACATCGCTCTGCTCCGACTGACCTGCTGAGCTGAAGCTGCCAGGATTGCCAGTGAGATACCGCTCCGCAAACTTGAGCATAAATCGGTCAATCTTCTGGGCCTCGCCGGGCAGACGGAAGCATTGCAGGAACGCCCGCAGAGCATCGACAAATCCGAGGCCGGTAAAGTCCAGAGCATCGACAAAGGCATGCATGATGGCAATGTTTTCTTCGTCGCTGTGGATATGCGTTGTTGCAGAGGCAGTAGAAAAACGGGCTCAGCTCAAAGGACCACGACGTTTTGGAACACAGACTACGGCGCAGACCTTGATGGGCCACGACTCGGTGGCGCATTGAAAGGCGACCGTGCATGCGACAAAGTAGCCTGGACGACGGCGATGTCGTGCAGGCGGATAGGCACTCACCCTTCACCAAGGAACTCGCCAATCATGGTCTTGTTCAGGCCCTCGGTGTGCAGCAGGAAGTTGCCAATGTCCTTGGGCGTACGCGAAGGAATACACCCCGAGTCAAGCAGGTACTGCATGCCCTTTTTGGGCTTGAAGTTGAAGCGACGAATGCCCTCGAGCAGCACTTGCTTGCGGTGCTTGTAGGTCTCGAATGCATGCGGGTCGTCCTCGATGCCTCGGCGAGCAGACTTTTTGCCTTCTTCCTCCGACACCAGGCCGAGACTGCCGGTGTCGTTGTCAACGGCCGAGTCTTCGCTCTTGCGGACCCCCTTTGGCGAGCTGGCGATCTCATCTTTGGTATTCCGCACGGCATCGCACCAGCGGACCAGGGATTTGAGAATCCCGCGCACAAGCAGCTCCAATCCGCGCCGCTTGAGCTCATTGTAGTCGCCCGTGGCTGAGTACAGGCCCTTGACCTGCTCTTTGGTAAGGCTGGCCATACCAGCAGTCGTCATGGCAGGAGGGAGGCCCTTGCTGCTCAAGGACGGCGCCCCGGTGGTGGGCGAAACCGCTTGGGATGGACCCGAAGCATCGCTTGAGTAGTGGAGCGTCATGACTCGCGACAGTGAGTTGATGGTCCTCTCCCAGAGATTCTCGCGCATTCCGGCTTCGACATCACAGTCGTAGTTCAGATAGATCTCAACGAGGACGCGCCCGCCATCCGAGGCCGGGTCGGAAAGCGTGGCTTGCAGATTCTTGAGCAACGAGACACGCTGGTGGAAGGTGATCGTATTTTTGGCTTCGATGATTGGCAGCACGATCTCTGTGACGATGACCGAAAGCTCTTGCTGCCGGTTGTGGACATAGTGGAAAGGGGCGACCAGATCGAGACAGTATTGGGTGCATGGGTCAGATCTCTGAGTGTCACGCTATAATTGCGCCTGCCGAGCTCGCTGATGGAGGTGCCATGATCGGTTCTTACCTTAAGAACGGATCTGAGACCCACCAGGACCTTGCCAAAGATCTCCATGGCAACATCAAAGACCTGTGGCACAACGTTGACTGCGTTTCTGGTGAGCGCGAGGCACAGATATTGCTTGACGGCATGGATGAAAAGCAGCGACGTGCTGTTGGACTTGCTGACGTTGAAGAGCACGGGCGATGGCGTAAAAAACACATAGAGATGGGATGACAGGATGGTGGACACGAGATGAAGAGCCAGGAGCTTGGATCGCATCGCATGAGATTTGAGGTCCGTGGCACTGTACCAGATGTGTCAGATCGATGCGGTCGAACAAACTGTTAGATCCAAAGCCATTGAATGTCACGGGTGATCAGCAGTCGCGCCAGGTACTCTGGTCGCTGTCGACAGACACGAAGTCGCCAGTGCGTGCCGAACACACAGATCCAATTCAAGCTATGAACGCCAACGCATCATCGAGAGGACAGGCCCCAACCACGTGCCGGGATGAGAAAAGAACGCATCTGCCAAGCAGCACCCGTTACCGTCGCGGATGGCGACACCTACCCCTCAGGCGTGGGTACGGGCTTCATGCTGAGCTTGGAGAGCGCCCGGAATACCAGGTACGCATCCTTGATGTACTCATCGACGGTCGGGTCGCGATCGGCATTTTTATCTCGTCCGGTGCTCGAAAGAATGTCATGCGATGTTCGAATGGACGATCCTTTGCCGAGAGAGTGGATTGCGGCCGTCGCGGCGTCTTTATCCTCGATAGTTGAGCTACGCGGATTTGGTGCCAAACGACACAGTGCAGTGCCAGAGGTTAAATGGCGAGCAAGCGCCCCGATCCAGCGCAAAGTAGCTAGCGCCCACTCCTGTGATCAAAATGCCAGGAGAGGTACAGCAACCCCGAGGGCCAGATTCAAGCCATCCAGGGCGGCACTCCGAAGCAAGTCAGCGACTGATACATATCACATGAAGCCATCGCTTACAAACTGTCGACGCTTGATGCACCCCGAGTGAGCGATGCTGTGTCGCTGATTCCACTTGGCTGGTTGACTTCGTGGCCAGACTGGTTCATGACCTCATCTTCTCGAATTGCCGACAACGTCGATGGCTGCTGGATCAGGATTCTGGGTGGCGCCAGCTTGACTTCCTTGGGCACTCGGCTAAAGACGGCCTGGACCATCTGCGTGAGTGTCGCCTGTGCAACGATCTGCGTGCTGGACGACTTGGAAATCAAGAATATGTTGTATGTTGTTCGGATGGCCTTCAGAAGCAGGCCCCCGTGGATGCAGGAAGCAGGATCGACTGACGAAACCGCGGCAAGCAGGGCCTGTGTAAACGAGACACGAATTAATGCAAGGTACTACCAATGCGACTGCACAACGACGCCTGGGGAGCGCCCTCATTCGCCGATTCATCGCCCCGCGTGGACAGAGCGCTTTGTCAATCCATAGCCAGGGCACTTACTTTCACAATCTGGAGCTGAACCTTCTCGTCTGTTTGGTCGCCAGCCGAGAAGCAATCGCAGATGGTGTCGACGACAAGCACGACGACACCAGTGTTGACTATGCTGGATTCGTCAAAGCTACTTTCTCGTTCCTCGTCCACGCTTGTGTTCCGGCTGCTCTTGGTGCCTGTGGCTGTTCGTGAATGCGTGCCCTCTACCTTCAGCGATGAGTCGTCCGATTCATATCCCGCGGCCGATGCCTTGGCCGGCGAGGCAGTCTCGAACTTGCCCCAAAAGTCGTACGAGAACAGCTTTGCTAGACAGTCAATCGCAATCGAAACGAGGTTGGGTTGTCGGCTCTGACATGCAAGCTGGAAGGGAGTGAATATGGTGTTGAGGAAGGCTTTTCCTCCGGCCGGATCCACAGGCGGAGGTGCATCGAGGGCCGCTGGAAAGGTCGCACGAACAGAAAGACGAATCGACAAGATTAGAGGCAGCCAGGGCGTGAATACGCGACATGCCGGATGGTTGACGTGGTGTCCAATTACATCCGACCGATGAGCACGTATTCACAACAATGCGTCGTCGTTGGAGACGTGGGTGCATCGGGGAGAGTGGATACATGGATCGGCGGGAGCAGCGAACCTGTTGCCTCCTTGATGGCATCCTTGAGAGGTGCAAGCTTCCTAGACTCTTTGGCCTCGCCAATTTGCTCGAGGGCCCGCTTGATGAAGATGTCGGCGGATGCCCCGCCCAACGAAGGGCTTGTGTGCGAGGAAATGGCCGATGGGCGTCTGTTGGCGGACGCCATGCTGCACCGGTCTATGACAAGCTTGGCAGTGTTGTTCTGGCACGCCTCAGAGACGAATGATGGCTATTGAGATAAATGCTGCGCCAAGGCTGCTGCTCGCTAGGTGAGTTTGGACTGGGACCAGGATCTGCCAGTCGCGAGCGGATTGGGTGGTATGCGGTTGAGGAGAACCGGGCCGATGCGGGCAGATGGCCGCGATATAACGGGCTCTGATCGCGCCTCTGCGCTGCCGAATGAGCTGGCGGTCTCCGGGTCGATAGCCCCGGAAGATGGGCGCGGCGGCTGGCTGGAGGAGTCGGCCGTGGGTTTGGCCAGGGGGGGGGGGCAGGCGACGGAGGAGCAAGCAGGCCACCAAAGAAAGCATCGAAGAAAAGCGATGTGGCTGCCGAAAACGGCGATGCCGGACACGTGAGCGAGGAGGGAGCGAGGACATATCGCTCCCCGTTTCTCGGCCTCGGCGATTGTGTCTTTGCCGACAGCCGATCCGATCGGCAGTGTCCTCTGTGGCATCCCATCGTACTGCACCGCCCTGCACTGCCCTGCACTACCCCGAGCTGCCTGCTGTCTCTGTTGCCATGGCTCTGCTCCGACACATCCGGTGTCTCCGCGGCTGCCACTCTCCCCTCGCTGCCGCCGCTGCCCTTGCAGGCCGGATTGGACAGTCCAGCGCTTCGGTTGCCCAAGCAAGATCGTATGCCACGCCTGCGCAAAAGAAAGCCAAGTCGCAACCAGACTCGGAGCCACGCATCCTGCTCGGCCGGCCCGGCAACAATCTCAAAATGGTAACGATCCCATCCGCTAAAGCCATGTCCAGGGCAACCAACCGCCCGGCCTGCCTGCGACGACTGAATTGCATGTCTGGGCTTTCCTGGCTCCCTCCATCGCTCGCTCAGCGCGCGATCCTGTGTCCTCGATCCATCAACGCCGCATCTTCTTGTCCGACTCACTCAGCACTGCTTGGATCCCGGTTGTCTCATGTTGTACGCGCTCCTGAAATCATGGCGATTGCAACAACGTCGGACCGGTTTCAAAGGGCATCGTTGGCCTCCCAAATATCGGAAAGTCGTCGTTTTTCAACTCGCTGACCAACAGCGCCGTGCCCTCTGAGGTATAGTGAGTGGTGGATTTCTTGATTTTGAGGCTGCAGAGCCATGTCGATTGTGTCCCGGTGCTGCACCTTCTCATGGCAGGACATCTCGCGATCGCAATGGCCATGACTGGTTGCTTGTCATGGGCTCACGGATTAATTTGTCAAGCTCTCTGCGGCCGCCGATCTCCCGGTAGAACTATCCCTTTTGCACCATCGACCCGTCAGAGTCGCGGGTTATCGTCCCAGACGAGCGATTCGACTGGCTCTGCAACCATTACAAGACTCGATCAGCAGTGCCTGCGTCCCTGACTGTGACCGATATTGCCGGCTTGGTCAAAGGTGCTCATGAGGGTGCCGGCCTCGGAAACGCATTCCTGTCCAACATTCAAGCGGTCGATGGCATCTTCCACCTGTGTCGAGGGTTTGAGGACAAGGATATAACCCATGTCGAGGGAAACGTCGATCCCGTTCGAGACCTGATGATCATCCACGACGAGCTGCGGCTCAAGGACGAGGCCCAAATCGAGAAGCTGCTCGAGGCCCGCAAGAAGGACATCGCCAAGTATGGCCGGAACATGGCCAAGGAAAAGCTCGAGGAGTACGATGTTCTCAGCAAACTCTGGGACGTCTTGAGCGTGCAGCAGCGTGACGTCCGCGACCACGAGTGGTCCAATCCAGAGACCAAGATCATCAACGGCCTCTATTTGCTGACCGCCAAACCCGTCGTCTACCTCTGTAACCTAAGCGAGCGCGACTACGCTACCCGAGACGATCGCTATCTCTCTGCCATTCGAAAATGGGTCGACGAGAACCATCCCGGAGACGGCGTTATTGGATACTCGAACGATGTGGAGTACACCCTCTCTGCCTCTGAAACGGACGAAGAACGAGCCGAATACCTCGCCGAGGTGCAGAACAAGTACGGCATCTCCGAGCCGGTAACAAGCGCCTTCAAGGATATCATCAACTCGGGCTACAATGCCTTGAGCCTGTTCTACTGTGAGTTTGCCCCGAGCATGCAGCTGATCCGAGAGAGCGAGCATCTCAACATCTGCTGCCATGTCTTCCTGAGGCCAACTGCTACCCAACATGGCTTGGCTTGCATCCATTCTGACCATTCTGTCGTGATTGCAACTACCTTTGGTTTGCGTTGCCAGTCTTCACCGCCGGCGAGCAAGAAGTACGAGCGTGGACCATCCGCAAAGGCACGAAGGCACCCCAGGCGGCCGGTGTCATCCATTCCGACTTTGAAAAGTCATTTGTGACAGCAGAGGTATTTCAAATTCGCACTTTGCCGCTCGGTGTCCCGTCCCCCACCTCTTCCGACTGGTGCTGCCTCCCTTGGCTGATTCAGTGCCTTGCTACAGACGATGAAGTTTGAGGACCTGAAGGCCCTTGGAAGCGAGGACAGTGTCAAGGCTGCCGGAAAATACGCCCAAAAGGGCCGAGACTATGTCGTTGAGGACGGCGACATCTTCCACTTCAAGGTTGGAAAGCGCAAGTAGAGGTGGCTCGCCGAGTGATGCCATGGTTTGTTTATATCGTCATGACCGCTGTGTCGAGCGTCCCGAAATACTACCACTCCAATAGACACTCTCATTGTATCTTGGTAATATATATCATCCTTTCTGAAATGCCGAGCTCCCCAAAACGACCTGTGCACGGGCTCGGCTCGATATCGCGGCGCCTCCTTTGCGACCCTATTCATCCAGTCCTGGGAGCTGCAGCGGGGTCGATATCGAGAAGGTTCGCATTGGAGAATAGTCGATACTGAGTCGATGTAGCGACCGGCGCGAGCTGTTCGCACTGGAAACGGATGCTTGTCTGCGCGGAGATAGCTGGGCCATCGACGATGCCGGTGGTAGTGAATCTGCGTGGCTAAAGATCGACATGGATCGGGAGGAAGTCACCGGCTCAGTACGGCTAAATGCTGATATCGACCGAGGAGGGGACTGAACAACAACATCCTGCAGAGCCAATTGATCTGCCTTTGCGCGATCCTCGATCATCTGCTTTAGCTTTTCAACCACGAACGAGCTTCGCGGTACATCCGGATGCACGGCGTAAATGCCGGCATGCTGTGCAACGGCCACGATGGTGGAAATCGAGTTGGAATGGTAAGCCAAGAAGCCATGGCACGAATGGCTGTACTGTGCGCCAGCAGTCACAACGTTGGTACGGGTTCTGAGTGCTCTACGCAGGCCACAAAGGCACCTCGACTCCATTACTTTGATCTCCGGGTTGGTTCGCTTGTCAAGGACTGCCTTCCATTTGCTGGGAACGATGTACCAGGGACCGTACTAGCCGTGTCGGGGTAAATGCTCATCAAATCAATGGTACAGCTTCGCCTTTGAGCTTCCTGACTTTCGGTCCCTCTCCTCAGCGCATGCGTGCAGTTTGGCAAACAGCATCTCGAATGTGCGATAAGATCCATCTCATTGAGACGATCGGAGTACACTGCCTGTCCGAATTGACAGCAGCTCCAAGAGGGCCTACCGCAGCACGTCTGTCTTTGTCGCTCATCGCATGTTTTGCAGAAACCTCTTCGCCTGGGTGCGATGATCAGGTCGATTCCAAACCAATGTCAAATCAGTGTCACTCGGTGCGAAGAGATGGAAACTCATATATCCATACCATTGCCACCACTGAGGTCACCAATTCGAGTTGATGGCGGCTTGCTTGTTCGTCTTTCCGCTGTCGATGAATGCGGTTAGATCGTCGTGGCTCTGTGTGCGATTACCCATAAATACACCCCTGCCAGCGATATAGAGAGATCTGGAGTAACAGGGAAACTGTGGCGCTGAAGCTGCGGCCGAGACCCTCACCTTTCTTGACTTTGTCGAGGAGGACCTTGGGCGGACGTGCTTCGACCTTGACAGTGGCTTTGCTGGAGTTGCTCTCCACAACGGGTCTCCAGGAGCTCATGAGACAATCGAACTCGCCCCGACAAACGGACTGGTCCAAGTTCTGGGCTGGAGGCGGAGTGCGAAGCTCGATATGACCCTGCGCAACATGAGCCTGTTCAAGCTCGGTTGGAAGATGTGACTCGGTCCAAGACTCGAAGCCAGGGCAAAGTCTATGGTCGACCCACCATTCCAAGGACTGAATCACTGCGGGAAAGCATAGGTTGTGCCGAATGGATTGAATGATCGCTATCTGCGGTTCAAATGCGTTGCCATGCCCCATTCCCATCCAAGGCAAAACTCAATTGTGAACCATTCTGCTGCAGCGCACCCCTAACTGGTTTGGAAATGTCCTGCCAAGAACGGACACCGAGGCATGGACCGAGGCATGGACCGAGCCAAGACATGCAACCGCTCCAGTGCGTATCGGCCAAGCTTGACGATAATGGAGGACCAAGCACTCCGTGATTGCTTGCGCAAGCTTCATGCCTCGATTGCGCAATTGACATACCTTCGCTCAGCTTCAAAGCGGCATCGCTATCGACTTGCGTGTCATGGCTGCAAGAAGCAGCGATGGCTCGCTCTTTGAGAGTCGTAGGGGCAGTCACTGGCCTTGGCTTGAAGCCACGGGCAAGGCCCGAGTATTTGGTGGCCAAGAGCTTGGGAGTTGATGCGGGGGGCTGCTTTTGCTCGTGGCCAATTGTCACTGCGCATGGGAGCATGGCCGAGCCATGAATACAGCCACCACGGCCGTTTCATTCAGCGAACGCTGACCGGCGGCCGCAGGAGCCGCTATCGCCCTCCAAATCCCGCCATCAAACACACTATTCGTCGGCGATGGCTTACCGGCTTGTGCTGCCATGGCCCCAGCTGGAGGCTGTGGTACCGACATCGAGGCCCTTGGCCGGACACTTTCGCGAGTGCTGTGTCGTCTCGTAACTGAACGAATTTGTTCAGCCTCAAGTTGCCGCAGATGCACTTTGAGTCTGTATTCAGCCCCATCGTCGGACGAGAGAGATGGCAGCGAGGGAAAGCTAGTGAAGCTCGAGTCGTCAGACTCAGATCCGCTTCCAGGTTCCTCCTTGGAGTCCGCACTATGGGGCTGCGTCGCACTGGGCGAACGTCTCTCAACACGCAGATCCCTCGTAAGGATGTTTTGGAGAATCTGGGCCTTGGCTGGGGTGATGCCAGCGAAATCAAGGCTCTGTTCATACCAACGGGAAAGGTGTGAGACAGTAGCCAAGTCGTGTGGACAGATCAGTCGTAGAGCATAATAAAGAGATGCCGCAGGCCAACGGAAGCGGATCGGGTAGTATCTCATGCTCAGTCAGATCGAGAGCCTTACCAGTTTCTTGACAATTTCTTTCTCCAGATCCTGTGCTCTCTCGGATTTCTGGATTTGCCCGGGATACTTTCGAGCGCTGGGACTGCGATGAACCGACTTTGCGCTCGGGACTCGCGATTGCAGGACGATTGCATCGCTCTCCAAAGGATCGCAGACTTTGTACAGCAAGCGGTAATTTGGGCTGTGGCCATGGGCAAACCAGCGTCAGCATGCATTTGTGGACTGCAGTCGAGGATGCGCAGGTGAGTGATTTGTTGGATCCGGAACTTTCCAACGTCGTCAGCTGCATTCCCCGGGTGAGCCGACTTGAGTGGATCTAGGATGGCTGTCACGAACCCGCAGTCTTTGACGTTTCGGAGGACCCAAGGGTTGACGGGCCGCGGTGGCGCTGACTTGACCGTCCTGGTTTCAGACGGCATGATGCTGGACTAAGTGGCTGAACATCGATGTTTGTCAATGGCAGGATCCACAGGGACACATTCGGATTTAAAATGGTCGTCTGCCGTCGGCTCGACGGCCACCGAGGAATCAAATGCGTACAAATTACATAGAAATCAATGCACTGGCTCACCGCGGAGCCAGAGTTCCTCCATCAAACTCAAGTCCAGCGAGGACAGACTTACACGAGCCCTATTGTCACTGTCGATCCGACATGCAAGTGGCAAGGTCGCTGGCCCTGGGGCTGAGAAATAGCAAGACAGAAGTCTCCTTGGACGCTCTCTGATATGCAACCGACTCGCAGTGTGCGTTTCTCCCATCCATCCCCTCCCCCAATTCTCCGAGTGCCCTTGCCCATCAGGCCCTTGCCCATCAGGCCACTCGATCATGATGAGGTCACGCCCCTCCGGCACCCATGTCGCACACGCGCCGGCCAATCGCATGCCCCCACTCCCCAATTCAGATGCGGCGCAGCAGCCCGTCTGCGCCACAGGCATGCCGTCCCCGTGATCCACGCTCCGACTTCAAATGCGGTGCCCACTGCTCGTCCAGCAGCATCCCCAACGCTGTCCTGCGCGTCCCAGCTGCATCTGCCACATCGCCATGAACCACAAGAGCTCGGCCGTCAAGCGCCTCATGAAGGAGCTGCAGGACCTCAACGACGATCCCTCTCCCGAGTACACCGCCTCGCCCCTGGAAGACAACATTTTCGAGTGGTCCGTGCCAGCGCCGCATTTGGCAGCAACCCTGTCTGCACCACCGCACAGGGTGTCCGCCAGCACCGAGGTTCTGGGGCAGTCGCCCTGCGCCGCAGCTATACTCATGCATATCTGGGTTGGCCATTGATCTCTGGGTTGGCCATTGATATCTGTCTCTCCCCCTCTTTGGTGTCGATAGGCACTTTACGCTCCGTGGGCCAAACGAAGCAGGCTTCTCGGGAGGCCGCTATCACGGGCGCTTGATATTCCCTCCAGAGTATCCATTCAAAGTATGTGCATGCACTGAAATCACGCAGAACAGCATCGCCATCGCACCCACACGATTCGGGGGGCAGCATAGTGTCGCGTACGAACTGCACTCTGTTGTGTGGACCGCCTTGCTCTTCTCAGAGTCAGCGGGCTCATCAGGCTCAATCCCTCTCCTCCATGGATGTCGTCACAGCCTCCAAACATCTCCTTCCTGACCCCAAACGGGCGCTTTGAAGTCGGCAAAAAGATCTGCCTGTCTATCACGGGCCATCACCCAGAGTTCTGGCTGCCGGCATGGGGCATCCGGCTGGCATTGATTGCCTTGATATCCTTCATGCCCACCCAAGGCGATGGCGCCATTGGTGCTCTCGACCACACCGAGGAGGAGCGGGCAGTGTTGGCCAGGCAGAGCCGGCACTGGAAATGCGAGATCTGCGGGAGCCGAAACTCGGATGCACTGCCGGATGAGACCGAGCGACCGGTCGAACCCATGGCCCCGAGCGGCGACATTGTCTTTTCGATCAAGGGCGATTCGCCTTCGACTCCCACACAGAACCCACCGGCTCCCGCTGAGGCTGCATCAGACCCTTCAGTTGGATCCGACTCCACGGAACCATCTGCAAGCGTAGCCCCTCTTGCTGCTACTGCCGGAATGCCGGCTGATTCGACCGGGTCGTCAAACCCGTCGACAGCATCGCCTCAGCCGAACCAAGTCGACTCTGGTCCTCGCCACCGGCATATTCCGGCGCAAACTGACCGCAACCCAGCTGTCCCACCGACCGGAACCTCGCCATCGCCGGCTGCGTTGGCCCAACACCGACAGCAGATTCGCGAGACTCTGGCTCTGCGCCGACAAGTGGAAACGGTGCTGGCAGCGGTACTCTTTGTCGTGGGCTTGCTGATTCTCAAAAAAGTCATGTTTTGATCGTCAAATACAAGCCATTGACGAACTTTCTGCACCAAAACGGAATCATCCACATTGCGCCGCTGAATCGCCATCCTCGACTGCAATCGCGGGTGCGGCCGCGCGATGTAGAGCTCCGCAGCGCTACGGGCGGTTGAGCGGCTCGATATGGGCTGTGATCTGGATGCGAGCATATTTGTATCCAACTGAACTCGTCGGTCGAGTGTTGCCCGATCGGGTCCTCAAGGCACCGCCATGCGTATCAGGTGGCGAGCGGTGCTGTATATTCAAGAGCCAAACCAATAGCCCTCCTCGGGGTCACCGAGGCATTGGCTCATTTTAGACTGGATGTAATCTCAGCAACCACTTTGCGCTTGTACCCCTCCCAGTTCTTACGAGTGAGGAACTTTTCTTGAAGCTCCGAGATTGAGACCCCCAGCAAGCCCTCGTGCTCGATCATGGTTTTCAGAGACTCGAGATCGATGGCTCGCAAGAAATCGAGCTTGGTAAACATGACACACTCCACCCTTTGTATCGTGATCACGGAGAGATCCAGCCCTGCTGCCATGTTTTCCATCATCGAAGTCTTGCGGTGGTTCCGAAGCCCCGGATTTGCGTTGAAATCACGCGAGGGCCAGGCTGTGATGCCAGCACACTTGAGTACAAACGCCAGCAGCAGATTAACAATCGCGATATCGACGTCCTGGCTGCGGTAGTAGAAGGAGTCTTCCTGGAGAATATGCAGTTTCGGGAAATAGTCACCAGGAATCAGATCACCAATGGCGAGCACCTCGTTGACGACCTCGTAACCCTCTGGAACTTGGGTTCCGAACTGATACGGAATCGGCTCCCGCGCAAGCGATGAGGATGAGAGCTTCAGAAACGGAACTATCCGCATGGCCCGGCATTGCCCACGAAGCAGAATGAATACGTGCTCATGGCCGGCTCCGCCTGGCTTGACAATCGAGGCCCCCGGCTCGAATTTGACAATGTGTGAGACTTGGCAGAGTCGCGACAGCAACAGCTCATCTGTCGATGCGAAATAGGGTAGCTTCTGGAAAAACGACGCTCGGCTTCCAATCGAGGCCGGGTCGTTTTCGCCAAACATTGTAATGTAATCGTCCTTGTCGATGCGGAGGAGCTCCACGGCGCTGAGGCTGCTCACTGTGACGGTTCGGATCTCACCCGGCGCGGAGAGGGAAAACTCGCCAAACTGGTCGCCGGGTGAGAGATGGATGTGTTCGTTGATGTTGGTCAGGGTGGTGCTTTGACAAAGTCCAGTGACGATAAAGTACATGGAGATGGACGGGTATCCGCGGCGAATGATGGTCCGTCCGGGCCCAAAATACTCCCAGTGCATGATCTTGGCCAGGTTCATTCGGAGCTTGCGGGAGAACTTTGAAAAGGAGGGCAGGCGACAAAGCAGTTGGTCCAGCAACTTGCGATCGTCATCAGTGCGATTCGCTGGTGGCATTGTTACAATGTGCTTGACCTTGGCGGCCATCAGAGACTCGTTGCGGACCTTCATCTCATGAAGCTGGTCCGACAGAGTAACGATCCGATTTGGATTTGTCGGGAGCAGGTTGGACTCCATGGCTGCGACCACGGTGCCGATCGACGAGATGTTCTGCAGTGCGGATTTGTTTGCCGGGTTAACTGGATCCTTGAATGCATAGACGCTGCGTACCATTTTCATGACTCGGTGGAGCACATAAGCTGGGAGAGTCGATGCCGGTGTGAGTGACGCTGTGGAGATGCTCTCAAGAAGCAGCATCCGGCTCCGCCTCTGGCACTCGGGAACATGAAGAGCAGGGACAGAACATGTCCAGCGGCACACATATTCTGCCTGCAGACGACACAGAGGGCCAGCTTACTCCATTTTTCCGAAGACGTTTGCATCGTGCCCTCAGTTTCAAGCTGTTGGGGAGGATCCACTTCATCCACAAGCGATGAAACAGACGTCCGAAGCGATGATTTCGACAGCTTGCTCGACTCTCCTCCAGAAGGGTCCAGATGGATGTTGGAGCCGGGGCTCCTTTGTAAGCGCTGGTCTGATGAGCCGGTTGGCAATCGATGGTGGGAGCCATAAGGTCCCAGCAGCCCCGCGATGTTCTGGGCCGACTGGGCACTCGCCAAGTTCGAATTACTCTGGCTATGGTGCCTGGCGGATTTTCCACCAAGCTGCGACGAACTCAAATGCAGTCGACGATCCATCAGCGACGATAGCGGTCGTGGCTCAAGAGGCTGGATCGCAGGATCGCTGTTGACATCGTGGCTGTCGGTGAGCGTCACGAGCGGCGACGAGCCCCGGCGAGATGAGCCTCCGTCTGCAGTCGCAATGTTTGGTCCTGGAGCAGATGCATCAGCGATGCCGCCGTCTCGTATCGATGGGCCAAACCGCCCGAGGGCTAGGAAACGATTTTGGTGCTGGCGCTCATCGAACTTGGGCCCCTCGTGATGCGCTATGTCCTCGGGCTGGCTCTGGTCGCGAACGGACTTGAGAGGCTGATGCTTGTTCAAGAGCTGCCTGGGCTCATTTTCGTTCTCGGACAACGGGCGCTGTTGACCAGCAGCCCTGTCCGCTGCAGCTTCGGATGCCTGAGTGCGTGGCGGCGGGACCATGGTTTCGAGAGATAGACCTGTCGGCGGCGGTGGAGGTTGGGTCAATCCTCTGTTTCGCCGCACGGCGACGGCCTCCAGACCCACTCTGGAACTGCTGTTGAAGGAATTGGACTTGCGAAGGGGGTTTTGAGCATAATCAGCTCTGGATTTCGATGAAACAACCGATTGCGGCCGAAACGGCTGTGTTGGTGGCTGGGATGCTGGAGCAAGCGATGGCGAGCCTTCGGTCGAACCTGCCCCAGGTGTCTGCATCCGCTCGCATTTCGCACTGGGGGGCTGCCGGGCCGGTGTGAGATTTTTGAGCTTCACCAGGCTCGGCAGCTGAGGAGTCGAGCCCTTTCTCGAGTCGCCGTCAGGCTGGGATGGAGTTCCGGGCTTCGACACCAGAAGGGCCCGGGCTGGCCGGATCTTGCGGGGGTCGTCAGAGAGCAGCGGCAGCGGCATTGCAGCATTCGTCGATTTTCGTCGGCTCATTCTGTTCAGGGAGGACTATGTCTTGAGGACGCAGGATTGCGGGCTGGGTCGGCTCTGCTCTGTTCTGTTCTCTACGCTGTTCTGCTCTGCTCTGTTCCGTTCCATTCTGGCTGCAGACGAGTGCGCCTGAACCCCCCTGGCGAGAGTGTTGGAAGCAGAGATTGGCCCAATCATGCTGATCACCTTGCTGCCCTGCATCCCAACAATCGCAGCCCGATGCTTTTGCTGAGGGCTTCGAGTTTGGTTGTCTGCACGGCCGAAAGCCCCGGGGTGAGATTTCAGTGTGTGCCCCGACCAACTTGTCATCAAACTAAGCCCCCAACCGCACAGTCGACATCGTCATGGGTGATAAAAGCGAGCCAGCCAACGACTCCTCAGGCAAGCGGCACTTTCCTCAATGTCTCGCATATATCCCAAGCGCCCTGGGCGGCGACAAGCTGTCGCACTGTGCCTGTTTGTCGGCGACGGAGAATAGCCTGCATCAATTCAATGCTCACCCCCGGCTTCATTTCTTCATCATGTCGCAGCCGTCTTTGCCGACGCTATCTTTGCCGAGACGGTCCGCAAGGAGATGCGTGTCCACCGTCTCTATGAGCATTACATGCTGAGTCCCTCAGTCATCCACAGTAAGGAACAATCAGCTACCTTGAGCTAGGCCGACAGGTCAAAGAAGGATGGAATTGGACAATATGCTTGTCTTCGAGCACCATGGGCATGGACTGACTGCTTCTGGTTGCTTGGTTTGCTCGTTCTCAACAGAGGGACTGGTCTTGACCAACAAACCAACGAGCGCCGGAAAGGAGGGAAGGATCGAAACGGAAGACGGTGGGTACTTTCGCAGACGATCGGCTCCCACGCTGATTCCCGGACCGGACATCTTGTGTTCGTGGATCCACCGCAACCCGAGATGGGTCTGTTTGCGATCTAGTTTCTCATCATTCCAGCGGCCGTCTAAACAGAGGATTACAAGAAGCTCTTGCTTTCAGCTTCCAAATCTCCCCGGGGAAAATACATGGCGCCCGTGACGTCGGCGCAGGTATGGGCCAGAGTATGCTGTGACCTGCGGGAAGGGCCAAAGGATTCGTTTGCGATTTACAATCGATCCTCCATTGCATCACGGCGCTGCACGACTGCAAGACTGGAAGACTGCATCGATGGGGCTGGGCATAATTAGTAACCTCGAGTTGCTGGGCTTGGTCGGCATGCACTATCACTCCATCTGCAGGAATGTGGCTGGGACACCGAGCCGCTGGTCCGAAACAGGGACTCTCGTTTCTATTTTCCTCGGAATCACACCGAAATCACAAAGATATACGGACAGGCATTTGCCAAGAAGCTCTAGCTCCAAACCAAGGTGGCGTGTGGCCCAGAGAAGAAGCGAGATGATGCTATGCTGTCGCAGAAAATGGCGGCCATGTTATCGTGACTCGGCATTGAGGATCTATTCAAATGCGCATCTTGCCCTACTTCCTCAACGTGAATGGTCGCTGGGAGTGGAAGATGTAATTGCACTCAAAAGAAAAAACAACGACACACACTCCATTTTGGGAGCTCTTTGGTCAGATCCAACGATGTGTTTGTGCATAATTCAGCAGCGATGGATCGCATCTGTTCATTGCCCAGGGCCGCCACTCCGGAAGTATTGTGTTGAGCATGCGCCCATCCGTGTTGATGCAAACAGTCGCTGGAGATAAAATGCGTCGGCCGACTCAGAGGAGCTCCTCAGGGTCGGATATATGCAAAGCGGATTATCCCTCTATTGACTCTGTCATGCAAAAAGCGCCATGTTTTGTTCTAGAAGCTGTGAGGGCCGCGGATGAGTGACTAATATTCGATGAGGAAGCAAATAAAGGAAGTAGTTTGGAAGAAAGAACGGCGAAAGTATGTCCCCGAAGCAAGCCGAGGCCAACGTATCTCCAATGACGATATAAGAAAGGTGCCAAACACGGGGATAGGTGGTCTTGGGGACCAATGGCCTACAGCGGTCTCACTCAGGCGGCGCAGCGCCTTCGGCCTCCCGTCTGTTCTCGAGTAGCGTTGTCGTCTCGACTGGGAGGGGCTTTGTCAAGTTCTCCTTTCCGGCCAGCCAGTACGTGTTCATCAAGCCCTTGCCCTGATGTGCATCGGACAAGGCAAAGGGCGGCAACCCCGCGAAGGGAATCGTTACTCGCCGTGCATGTCCCAGCATAGGCGTAGCACGTTATCTTGAGCGACACATCGTCATCCCAACGCCCGAGCGACAATGACCAAATCCTGAAAACACCATGGGGCACAGTGGTACATACCTTGACCTTGGTCTCCCCGCGGCTGATCAGATAGTAGCCTCCGGCTCGGTTTAGTGCCAGGTAACATGGCTCGCTGATCTGGATCTTCATGGGCTCGCCTGAAGACATCATGCGCGAAGCCACATTGATGGTATCGCCAAACAAGCAATAACTGACAGGCCGGTGTCTGGTTAGCTAAGACTGCGGATCACTTGGCAATCGCTAACGGCCCATAGTTCGGAAACATGCGAGCACACGCATACACATATGTATGCAAACATGTGCACGGACATGATACCGCACAAATGCACAAATGCACAAATGCACAAATGCACAAATGCAATCACAAGTACATGCACGAATATAAGGCGCGGAGAAGTGTGCAGCCCGAGATGTCGAATTATAGCATGATTATGAAACAGCATATTCGACCGGCAACTGTAGTCGAGCGCTTACTCACCGAGGCATCTTCAAGCCCACCACACCAGCAGCAATAGGGCCCGTGTTGACGCCGATTTGAACCTTGAGCTTGAAGTCTGGTCTCGAAGGCAACTTGAAGCTCAGAGCAGCGGAGAGGAGGTCCAGAGCCAAGTCGGCGATCTCGGAGGTATGCAGTTGGCCATTGCGGTTGGGCAGTCCCGAGGCGACGACATAGGAGTCATTGATGGTTTCAACCTTGTAGGCATCGTGTTGGCTGATGACCTGAATACGGGTACGGCATTGATCAGTTTGCATATCGAGGCGCATGCTCGTGGCAGAACCACATCACTCGGCTTGCGCTCACCTCGTCAAAGGTCGTGTAGAGACCGTTAAGGAGCTCAACCATCTCGAGGGGCGTGCTCTGCGCACAAATGTCACTGTATCCGACAATATTGGAAAACAGGAGCGTGCACGAGTCGTATGACTCTGGGATAATCTGCTTGCCGGCAACGAGCTGCTTCTGTATAGCCGGCGGAAGCATTTGCGACAACAGTGAGTCTGACTTGGCCTTGGAGCGATCGACCTCGTGGATAAGATCCTCGATTTCCTTCTTCTTCTGGAGATCAGCCGAGCGCCGCTGTTCTTCTATGGCGACCTCCTCAGTGAGGTCTCGAACGATACCCGTGAATAGATGTGCGCCATCCTGTCGAGGCGAGGTTATAGGAGAATAAGCATTTCGGATCTGGCAACGTGCCGAAACTCAACCGCACCCGGATTGCCGATTGGTGGAGGTCCCGAAATGAGACAGGCCCGCTCACAAAACAGAGCCAGGAAGACCACTTACATCGCGGACTTCTGAGACCGAAATGTGCACCGGGAAGAGCGAGCCGTCCTTCTTTTTTCCAAAGGCTCTGCGACCATACCCGATGATCTTTTTGATGCCAGTGGTGAGATAGTTGATCAGGAACTGGTCGTGGATACTGGCGATTTCTTCTGGCTGGAGCATCTTGATGTTTTTCCCAATGACTTCGGCTGCCTTGTAGCCAAACATAGCCTCGGCGGCGCTGGGCGAGGGATACGATATAGATATACAAGTGGTCAGTATCAGAGCGCCACTCGAAGCAGCGCCGATGTTACGCGACAATGGTGCAGACCACGGACAGCATTCAGTTTGGACAGCGCATCACCGACTCGATCGCCATTGCCCGAGAACCTATTTTGCCTCTCCCTACTCACTTGTTGAACCGGGTGATGATTCCAGTGGGGTCGATGTTAATGATACCGTTAATGACGGTGTCGAGGACAGAGTTGAGCACACGGCGCTCGACCATCATCTTGGACTCAGCGTCGTGAACGGATGCCTCCATCTGGATCTCCTTCTCCTGCAAAGAGTACAAAGCCGACATTTCGCTTTCGTGCGCCTCCAGCATCTCGCGCATCTCCGCGGCCTGGTCCTCCTCCAGCTCCTTGGTTCGCTCGGCAATATCGCTTTCGAGCTTCTCGAGCTCGGACTTTTGGACTTCCAGCATCGAGGCTCGAGACTCACGATGCTTTTGCGTGAGTCGCTTGATCGAGGCCGCTTGTCGATCCGCAGCGCTGTTCTGCTGCTCGTCGTCGAGGTCTTCGTCCTCTTCGGCTTCTTCATTCAAGGCAACAGCACGAGAATCATCGCCGCGAGGGACTCCGGAGGCGACCGACATCACATCACTGCCAGCATCCGAACGATCATCGGCGCCCATGTCGCTGACGGAAGCAGTGCACGACGCACTCTGAGACTGAGCAACACTTCTAGAGATTCGATTCCCTCCGGCCTTTGCGCCTTTGATGGCACGCAGGCGGGTATCTTGCTGAGCACGCAAAGCGCGCACTTGTTGGCGATGAAGATAGCTGAGCTTCTTGATCTCAGAAGCATGCTGCGCCTCGAGTGAGGACAGTTTGGTCTGCTCCTTAATCAAGAGCAGGCGCTCCTTCTCTGAGTGCAGTTCCAGGGTCTGCTGGATGCCAAGTTCGGCGATCTGGCTGAAATGCTGAGCCTTCAAGGTTTGGACGTCTTCATAGGACTGGTACTCAAGATCAAACTTTTCCTTGGCCTACAATCATGCTCAATATGTCAAAAAGCTATCATCCATCCACAATAGCTCCTGGTGAAGCAACCGACAGTATTGATGCTGAAGCATGACTGGAGACAATGTGGGAGACAGATGCGCATCCCGAAGGAAACCTCGGGTGCATTTGGATCCGCGGACTTACGTGCTTGAGCTCGAGCTGCTGGATCTCTTGCAGCTGGTCGGCAATGCGCTTGTCTGCGGCATTCTGGTGATTCATGCGAACCATGAACTTCTTTTGCATGGTCCTTCTGACTTCAACCTGTCCGTGACAAAGTTGCACACGTTTGTGGGCAAATCCGGTTGACAGCGCGATAAAAGCACAGCGTTAGTGCAGCCGTATGGCAGCAAGGACCACTGCGACCCAGCACCATCAGACACGAAGCGAAACTGTCTGCGTCGCAACGGAGGCGGGATGATCGCGGATTTATGCTAGCAAACTGGGCGTGTCCATCAATCCACCAAATCCCACGCGTTTCTGTATGCTGGTGCAGCACCCGCAGCCGAATGGCAGTTTGGTTTTGCAGCAAGCCGCGGCTCCATTGCCGTTCACGTCGACCTACCCTTTCGTGCGAGTTTTGCATCTCATCCAACACTCGTTCGTACTGGATCTTTCGCTCTTGAGCGGACGCCAGCTGGCGTCGCTGTTTCTCGTGTTTGTTCTCGAGAAAAGCCGTGAGAGCGTCGAATTGATTTCGCTTCGCTGTCAGCGTACTCTTGACGCGAGCGGCTTCTCGAGAGGCCGTCTCCTGCTCCATGATGGTTCGGTCTCGTCGCTTCATGTCGCGGATGGTCTGTCGCTGGAGCCGCTTGGCCTTTTTGCGGGCATCGCGAGCTGATATGAACCGCTGGAAGGCCTCCTTCTTCTGGGCAAACTCGTTCTGCTGGAGCCCCTTCAAATGAGCCATTTCGGCATCATGTCGCTGGATCAAATAGGCCTCCTCCTCCTTTCGCAGCACCTCCCGCTCGGACTCTTTCATAGCCTCCTCGATGCGGACACAGTCATTGCGCAAGTTCTCGTAAAAAAACTTGGTCTGGGTCATCAGGACGGACTTGAAATGCTGTGTGATCTCATCGTTGGTCATCGGACCCTTCGATTTCAGCTGTTGGTTGAGTTCATCGTCGGCGGCGCTGGTTCCGACATCAGACTTGATCTCGTCGTGGGTGGTGATGGTTGGAACGTCCATTTCTCACGCTAGCTTGGCGGACAGCTGAGGAGCAGGCAAGGCGGGACGTTGGTTGTTCAGCAAACGCTTGTGGGTACGCAGCAGAAGGAGACGCCGATGGAAAAATGGGTTGAGAACTGAATGGTGGTCGAGAAGACAGAAGGCGGGATGGCGATGAAAGGAAGTCGAGCCTTAGTCGAGCACCCAAGAGCTACAGAGGTCCTGGTGATGGAGAAAGCCTTGCATCGACGTCGGTCTCTGCCGCAAAAGCCGGACTCGTCAGGCAGCAAGCGACGGACGTCACCCCTGAGGCGAATCAACAGTCGGTGGCATTGTCGGCGACTCCTGATCCGCCCGGGCTCGTTCAATCATGGGCGCCCTGCCAGTTCGCATTGACTATTGCGTTGTCAAGTGACGATATTGTCGTTAGCTGTCGCTGTCGGACGGCAACTCAGGCCGGTGGTCGCTGAGCCAGATTGGCTTGACTGAGTGCAGGATGACCTCAATAACGCAAAGGGCTCGACCGGGACGACAATCGCCGTTGAAGTCACCAGCGGATGCCTGAAGCACAGCTGGTTCATCAGCAGTAGAGCAGTGACTGGACAACCTATCATCAGATTCTCCTGCCGACCAGCAGCCATGCGGGCAGGAGTTGGATCTGGCATGTTGAGGCGGCCCGAGCGAATCCGCTGGGCAAAGCGAAAGGCGCCGAGTTTTTCCGCCAGCGAAGTGTATATGAATCGTGTCCCTCAGAGCCGACCTTGCCCTGAGCTGACCGCAGGAGACAGCGATCGCATCCAGATCGCATCCAGATCGCATTCAGATCGCATCCAGATCGCACGGTGGATCCAGAGGAGCCTCCAAGAATCATGAGCCAGCCGCCTGTTGCCAAACGAGCCAAGATGGCTGACGTCCAGCCCAAAAACGGCCCTTCCCCCGCTGGAGGAACTGTCCTGATGTGGTTTCGGATATCGGATCTCCGAGTCCAGGTGGGCAACGCAAAGGTCCTGAGGCCGATCTGAAGCTTCGGTTTAGCGCATATCTGTCGACCGTTGCTGCTATTCAGGGCGCTGGCTGCCAGTGCAACAGATGGGGCTGGATGTCTCCGATGCTGATTGTCGCTGTGGCCTCGCCTATCCCAGGACAACACTGCCCTGCACAATGCGTCGCAGCATGCCACCAGCAACAATCTCAAGCTGATGGCCATGTTTGTCGTTTCACCGGTCGAGTGGGCCTTCCATGACGTTGCGCCTGTCCGGGTCGACTTTATCCTTCGCAATCTGCACGTCCTGAAGCAAAAGCTTGGTGCCCTGGCGATCCCGCTGGACATCCTCCAAGACGACGGACCTGTACCTGACGAGCACATCCCTCGAAACCAGCGCATCGCTGAGATCAATGTCCGTGTTGCCGACCTGGTTGCCGCCAACGTCGCCCGATGGAATGCCAAGGCGGTCTTCTGGAACAAGGAGTACGAGATCGACGAGACGTTCCGGGACGATCTGGTCAAGAGCCGACTGATGGGCACCGCCCTCGTTTGCGACTTTCATGATCAGTGCGCCGTTCCTCCAGGGATCTGCAAGACAGGCCAGGGCGGCCCCTACACCGTCTTCACGCCGTATAGAAACAGGTTGGTCTTGGTCGGTCGTGGTTGAGCGCTGCGAGCTGGGTGGTCCCTGTCGTCGGCAAAGTAGCCGGACTCACCGATAACTTGGCCACATTCAGATGGACAGAAGTTGCCACCAGGAACCCGGCCTATCTCACGGTGCTGCCCTCTCCCCAGGCAAACACCCTGCCTCTGCCTGAGCCTCTGCAGATGCTGTTGGATGCAGGAGGCTGCGAGATCCCTGAGCTTCCAAGCGCATTCAAGGTTGAGCAGGAGCGGCTCGAAGCTGTGCGTCTACTATTCCCGGCTGGCGAGGATCATGCTGTCAAGCTCCTCCAGGATTTCATATCGACCAAACTGGATCGATACAAGGACCAGCGAGACCTTCCAGCAGCAGACGGCACCTCGACGCTTTCGCCCTACTTTTCTCTTGGGGTGATATCGGCACGCCGCTGTGTTTCTCTTGCCAGAGCCGCCAATGGCAACAAGATGGAGTCAGGCAAAGCCGGCGCTGTCCAGTGGATCTCCGAGGTTTGTTGGAGGGACTTTTACCGCAACATCTTGGTCGAGTTTCCCAAGGTATGCAAGGGCCGACCATTCAAGCCCGAGACAGACAAGCTTGCTTGGTCCTACGACAAGACTGCTTTTCAGGCATGGTGCGAGGGCAAGACGGGCTTTCCGATTGTCGATGCGGGTGAGTTGAGGGATTTCGAGCGGCTGAGCTCATGGCGCTGTACAATCTTTGCATTGCGGGGCCCACCATCACCAAAGGAATTGGTCCTAGTCGCGATCTCGGAAATCTGTGCACTGACGGTTGCAATGTCGATCCACAACGGCAACTACAATCGAAGGCATGAGACAGCTGAACGCCACCGGCTGGATGCACAACCGTCTGCGCATGATTGTCGCAAGCTTCTTGACCAAAGACCTGCTGATCGACTGGAGAATGGGCGAGGAGTATTTCATGAAGAGCCTGATCGACGGCGATTTCGCTTCAAACAACGGAGGATGGCAATGGGTAAGGCGCATCTACAGAAACATCTCGTGTTTTCAGGTTGATGTGACCGGCTCACGGCTGATTCGCTCCTCTACGATTCAGACTGCTTCGACCGGTACAGATGCACAGCCGTACTTCCGAATCTTCAACCCATTTTCACAAAGCGAGCGCTTTGATCCCAACGGCCAATTCATCGCCAAATGGGTCCCGGAACTGGCAGGTCTCAAGGGCACGGCGGCTATTCATGATCCATTCAGCAAGCTTGACAAGAAGGCGTTTCAAAAGCTCAAGTAAGCCGATACCTGCCAGCGTTCCTAGACTGCTCGAACTGTAATGAATGAAGCGCAATGCTGACACCTTGGCTCATCCACTTGTGTTCTTGCGGTTACGCCTGCATGGTCTTTGGCACCGAATGACATCAGCTATCCCAAGCCCATGGTCGATCACAAAGTTGCGCGCCAGAAGGCGATCCAAGCCTTCAAGGCGCTAAAGAGCTGATATGGCAGAGAATCACAAGACTCAGCCATGAGAGTAAAGCAGGGTAGACGGCCGCAAATACTGCATGCGCAAAGTAGAATGGATTGCCCACTTGAATGGGGTGCGGTTGTGTAAGCCTGTATGGCATTTGCCCAAGAGCACCTACGCCATCCGCCGTTGAAATGTAACCGGTGCAAATGCCTCCATCTCGGTAATAGGATGCCGCGGACTTGTTGATCTCCGCTGGCTGAATAGCCTCCCACTCTCGCTAGTCGAATAGCCTCCCACTCTCGCTGGCAATGGCCGCTCCCTGTTGAGCACACCGCCGAGTTCCTGTGGTTGGTCCCGATAACATGTGGCCGGCTTGGATACAGTGATCTTGCCAACATTGCAATATCGGTGGGATCTGAGTCCAGCGATACTGTTAAGCCCGCAGCGATGGAGCATCGCCGGGTGCTGAGTAAATGCCTTCCTCCTGGACTCGGTGCATACTATTTGTATTGCTTCTACAGTGTAAATCGTTGCATGTATTCAACCCAGCATAGGCGCGACCAGTGGCCACAATCATGGTAAACCATTTCGCTTTGTGGTTGTTACAACAAAGGCAAGCCGCCGCTCAGCATTGGTAAAGTAACCCCAGGTCGTGGAGGCGGATAGCAAATCCGACAAAAATAACGAGCATTGCAACGAAAAAAGGACTGAAATATCTGTTGCCTCTGGGCTGTCAATCGATCTGCTGTTGTGGCTCAAGAGTCTCAGCAACCGTCGTGATCATAACCGAGGGCTCCCGAGAATGGCTGCCACCCAATCCCTCCTTGCCAGGAACAGAGAGTCGTCTGGCTGCCGGTGTAGCAGTATTGCTTGGGTTGGTTGAGAGACACTTGGTTTCCAGAGGTAGATCGAAGGGAAATCCATCCTTTCCGACCAGCCAATACGACCTTCTCCCTTTCTTGTCCTGCAATCAACGTTCCGGACACGTCAGCGCGGGTATGTCGTGGCAACGTGCGCTATTGTCGATCGCAGACAGAATAGCAGAATGCCTCAACCGAATACTTGCCCCAGTGAGCGGCATATCGGTCCTGCATACGAGCTCGTACGATCCGTCTCTTTGCAAGAGTCTGTAGGTTGTCTCGCTGACTTGGATTCGCATCGGCTGTCCCGACGACTCCATCTTTGAGGCATCAACAACGGTTTCTCCCTAAGAGACGCAGTTGCACTGTCAGTCAGTATTACGATGGCGAATATGTCAAAAATTACACACAGAATATACTTACAAACAAGCAATATCTGCGGATCGATCAAGGGCAAATCAGATTCAGCCAAAATGAGATGAAAAACAGGCGTGGCCACCGGATACAGCGCGACATTGGGTCAGTGTTGTTGACATCCATAGAGTTGCACAGGCGACATGGTTGGTCCGGGTCAAAGTATGATGCTGAACCTCAGCAATGTGCCCACGAGTCGTGGTAATGCCATGAACAACTGTTACCGTCCCGCCATACCTTGGCATCTTGAGTCCCACGACGCCAGCTACCACCGGACCAGAGTGCATGCCGATGCGCATGCGAAGCTGGAGTTCTGGACGGTTTGGTACAACAAAGGAGTGGACGGCCGAGAGCAAATGCAGGGACATGTCGGCGATCTGGCAGGCGTGCATATCTCCATTGCGAACAGGGACGCCAGACGCCACCATGTACGAATCGCCAATTGTCTCGACCTTGTAGGCGTCGTACTGGCTGATGATCTACACACAGGAGCGATGACATCGGGACAGTACGAGCCAAGCAAATTCCAACAATGTGTTGATGGGGATTTGTCAGTAAAGGGTCTGCTACCGCTCCAAAGGAACCCACGCGCTGTTGAGCGGTAGGAGCTTCCGAAGACATAAACGAAAAATGATCATCGCCGCCATTGCCAGCCGAACAACCGCACGTTCTAGGGCCTTTCCGGCATCAACTCCGCGCTCATCAATGGCGAGAACACTCACTTCGTCAAACATGGTGTAGAGACTGTTGAGTAGCTCAACCATCTGCATCGGGGTGCTCTTCGAGCTGATCTCGGTGAAGCCGCAGATGTCAGAGTATAGGATTGTGCATTTGTCGAACGACTCTGGCACGATCGACTTTCCGGCGATAAGCTGTGACTGAATCGCGGGCGGGAGCATCTGCCCAAGGATGTCGTCGGCCTTTTGCTTGGCAACGTCGAGCTCTTTCAAGAGAACTTCGAGCTCGCGCTGTTTCTGTTCGTCTTTCTCGCGCTGCTCTTCCTCCAGGCGAACTTCTTCGGTAAGATCTCGCACAATGCCCGTAAACAGATGGGCGCCCTCCTGTTGAGGTTTGCAGCATAAACACAGATTATGAGGCGTCGGATCCGCATGAAATCCCAAGGCACTCCAATTCAATTGCGAACATATCGAGGATGCTGCAGGTAAAGCGCACGCCATTAGTCGGCATCATGCCATCATGTGGCACAGGCTGCTCAGTATGTACCTCCAGCACTTCAGACACTGAAATGTGCACCGGGAATGTCGTGCCATCCTTCTTGAGTCCAAATGCTCGGCGTCCGGAGCCAATGATTTTGGCAATGCCGGTCGTCAGATAGTTGGTCAGGAAGCTGTCGTGGTTTCGAGCAATTTCTTCAGTCTGCAGCATCTTGACGTTCTTGCCAATCACCTCATCGGATGTATACTGGAACATTTTCTCAGCAGCACTGAAAGGCAGATGGGGTCAACATTGTCAGCATTGTCGATGAGATCCCACGCAGTCACGCTCCACATGCAGAGCATGATTTTCCAGCCGGATTTTCCAGCCGGAACCGCCAGCGCAGCCAACCTGTTGAAGCGCGTAATGGTGCCTTTGGGATTGATGTTGACGATGCCGTCGACGACCGTCGCAAGCACAGAGTTCAGAACTCTTCGCTCGATAAGCATCTTGGCCTCGGCTTCGTGGACCGACTCCTCCATTTGGACTTCTTTCGCCTGGATGCTTTTGACAAATTCAATGTCTTTGTGGTGGCCATCGAGAAGCTCTCTCATTTCGGCCTGTTGGTTTTCTTCAAGCTCGCGCGTGCGCGAGGCAATTAGATTCTCCAGCTTGGTGAGTTCTGCTCTGTGCATCTCCTTCAGCGACGAGATGGCATCCTTGTGCTTTGAAGCCAGTTTGCGAATAACCTCGGCGCTGGAGTTTTGTTGATTCTCCTCGTCTCCGTTCTCATCTTCTTCCTCGTCGGTGACTCCAGAAACAGATGACATTGCCCTACGACCACCACCCGAGCGCCGGTCGCCGTGCATACTCGCAGTGTCCGACATGAGATCATCGTCGTCGAAGCCCGATGTACGGCTTTGGAACTTATCACTTGAAGTCGCACCGCCCGAGCTCCGACTTCCCAGGGCTGTTGGCAAATTGTCGGCGGCGCGGATTCCTCGGAGTCTGGATCAAGGAAAGGGCATTCGTGGGTGTAAGCACCGCGCCGAGTGAGCGATGCCGTGTGCGGATCGATTGATACCAACCTCAACTCTTGCTGTTGCTTCAGCGCTCGGAGTTGATCTCTGTGAGTCTTGCCGAATTTTTTCATTTCAATGACGTGGCGAGCCTCCAGGGTGGTAAGCTTGGTCTGCTCTCGGTGGGCAAGCAGTCTCTCCTTTTCGGCCTGGAGCTCGAGTATCTGGCTTGCCATGAGTTCCGAGACACCTTTGACATGGAGGGCCTTGAGATTGTGGATATCCTCGTGGGACTGGAATTCCAGGTCAAAGGTTTCCTTGGCCTTCAAGGGGCCGCGACTGTCAGCACAAGTCCAACTGTTGTGCTGTCGGCGCATTCAGCTCCGACTTGCTCTCGTGGTGCCCTGCCCCTGCCTGCACACGCCAGTTCCGATGACCCCCAGCGCCGAGTGATCACGACAAGCGACTCACATGCTTGAGTTCCATTTGCTGGACCTCCCGAAGCTGATCTGAAATCCGCTTGTCGAGGGCTTTCTGGTGGGTAAGCTTGGCCTGGAATTTCTTTTGCATCGTCCGACGAATTTCGTCCTACAGCGAAGCAAGGCAGGGTTAAATCCTTGTAGAGCTACAATTTGTCGTTTTCGCGGAACAAGGAAGCTGACCCATTTGCACTCAAGACACCCGCAGAAATCGCTTTGCGCCACTGGCCCAGCAAACTGACTCGAGCGGCGGCTTACTCGCTCATTCGCGTACTGGATCCCGTCCAACATCTTCTCATACTGAATCCTTCTGTCTTGAGCCGCGTAGAGCTGGCGACGTTGCTTGTCGTGCTTGTTATCGAGATGAGAAAGAAGAGCATCGAATTGAGTGCGTTTGGCGGTGAGGGTTGATTTCACTCTCGCCGCTTCCTTAGAAGCGGTCTCCTGCTCCATGATGATGGCATCACGGCGCTTCATATCCCGGATGGTCTGGCGGTTCAGCTTCTTGGCCTTCTTGCGGGCATCTCGGGCGGCAATATATCGTTGGAACTGTGCCTTGAGCTGGCTAACTTCGTCTTGCTGAAGTTTCTTAAGATGGGATATCTCTGCATCGTGTCGGTGCATCAGATAAGCTTCCTCCTCTTTGCGCAGGACCTCGTTCTCGGCGCCCTTCATGCCATCCTCGATTTTGAGGGCCTCATGGCGCAAGCCGTCGAAAAATTTGGACCCGGCATTCTGGGCTGTGACGCCCGCGGCGCCGGCCGAGTGCTTTGTGGGGCTTTGACTGGGCTGGCTCATGCTCTTGGGACTGGTGGGCTCCTGGCAAACTTTGGGGGGATTTGGTGCTGGGGCAAGTGGCAGGCGGGTGGGGAACGGATCGAAGGAGATAAACCCGGCTTTCGATGGTGGTTGGGTCCTAGTCGGGCTGAGATCCCATTGTAGCTTTGTTGCTCCAGCTGCAATTGTCTGCGACAGATAATGCTGGCCGGTGATATTTGGTTGTTCTTTGTTTTCCTGCGATCATTGAGGAGGACATATGTGGGAAGGCATTCATTGTGTAGCAGGACAATCACGGGCAAACAGAGACATATCGGCGATCTTGCGCTGACCCGATGCCATTGTCCGACATATATGCCTGATTGAGGAAAGCCTGTGTCTAAGGTCCTGCATTCAATTGCCTCGATATTTTATTAGGCATTATGGCGGTCAGTGATTGGTGAACATACGGTTCGGGTAAAGCACCCGGCGGCACCTGCGGCTGACGCCTTGTCGAGCAAGGAACAATGCAAAACTCGGTGGCCCAATGATCATGGCCCTTGCGCACCAGCCTCGCCACGTCCTCGTCGGTGTTGCTGCCCTTGCTTCATCACCAAGAAGCGAGATTTGGGCTCAGTTCGGCATCAAGCGCCTTTGAATCGCCGAGAGCACGCCCAGACTTTGGCTGAGGACAAGCCGGCAACAGATCTCTGGTGTACCCACCGCAAAGCGAGATTCCTTCATCTCAGCAGCCACCAAGAGTGGAGTGGACTTGTAATTCCCATCCAAACAGTCAGCAACCCAATAGCCTTTGCGAAAATGACCGAGGTTGCATCTGCAACTAGCGAAGCACCCGGTGGGGTTGATACCACGGGGTGTGTCGACTGGGGTACCGTTGCCAAGAGCAACGACAGCATTCTTGACTACTTCAAGACCAACATGGGCCATAGAACCACTGACTTCTACAGTGCCTTGCGGGCAGACTGTGAAAGAATCGAAGAGTCAATGAAAACCTCTGAGCATGAGGTCCTTCGTAAGGAAGAAGATGCGTACCTCGAACAGCGCAACAACGCGGAAGAAGCTCACCTGAAACAGCTGCACCAGGAAGAGATCAATTATTACAAAGCTCGATTCCAGAGCTTCCTGGCGTCGAGAGATGCGCGTAAGAAAGCAAAGAAGCTCCAGCGGCAAACCATCCGGGACATGAAGCGCCGCGACATCCTGATCGCCGAGCAGGAGAGCGCATCGAAGGAGGAAGAGAGGATCAAGTCGACACAAACCGAAAAACGGGTCGCCTTTGATCGCTTGATTGCGTTCCTGAACAACAAGCATGACAAGCAGCGCCGACAGCTCTTGGCCGCCCAAGAACGAAAGATCCAGTATGAACGAGTGCTGGACGAAATGATGCACTCGCACGAAAAGGTACGAGTGATGCCTGCGAGTGAGCGAGTGCGATTGTGAGAGGGAGTATGATGAAGATTTGAAGTGTAGAGTTATATTGGACATGAGCGGGAAGTGCCGTGAAGGCAGTGATGTATCGCTTTGGCCATTGTCTTTCACTCACTCGCTCACTCACTCACTCACTTGCTCGCATTCTGGGCAACGAACTGAAACTCTCAGGTCGAAGTGAGAAGATCAATGGAAAAAAAGTCACTTGCCCGGATCAACCACCAGATTGCTGCAAACAAACGTGTTGCCGACCAGCTCCAGGAAGTTCAGCAGCTCGAACTCCAGCAGGTGGGCTCTAGCGCAGCACTTGAATGAGCTGCCTTAAAATCGTCCTGCATAGTCTCAATGCCATGAGTATTGTATTGATATATGTGCATCAATCTTCTTCAACTGATTCCTAATGCTCTCATACTCTCGTCCACTTTGTCCAGCTCAAGGAAAAGTTTGACCTTGACTTTGAAACCCTCGAAACTGTTCAGAACATGAAGATCACCCATGCCAAGCTTGTCGCCGAGGCCACATCGTCCAACTTGTCCGAGATCAACCAAGAAAAGGAGAAAATCATCTCGCTCAAGGAAAAGCTCAAGCTTGAGCGATTGGAGCTGGAGCACGCTGGTAGCATGCAAACTTTATTGCACCGCCATATCGCCGAACTCCGCCAGCTCCGCGAAGCACAGAACATGAGGTATATCGATGCACAGTCGGATAGAATCCTTCGACACCATAAACTAACAGACCAAATCTGTTTCCAACAGCTCCATTGGATTAGCAAAGAAGGGCGATAACAGTTTCCTTGGATCGAACCTCAGTCTTGTTCACTCTGTCGCTTCCAAAAACGACAGCAACTTGGATTTGAGTCCACCGCCCAAGGGCGATACTGCCTCCGAGCGTGGCGAGCCCGTGAGACTTTCCAAGACGAGTTTTCGAAGGGAAAAGTCCACTACTTCCCGAAGCGGAAAAGACAGAGTAAACTCCATACAGTCCCAGGAAAGAGACAGTGTCACAAGCGAAGAGGAAGATCGGCGGATCCAACTCAAGGTTGACGGGTCCACCCTCGAGAGACTCCGAGTCAAGCATTCAAACGCTCTCAGCATCCTCTATGATGCGCAAAAGGCCGAGATCGAAGAGGTTCAAGTCAACATGGACAAGCGCAAGCGAGAGCTTGAGGCATCACACGCCATTGAAATGCGAGAGCTCGTTGAATCGCACAACAGTGAGATCGAGACTCTGTACTCAAACCAAGAGAAGGAGATTCAAATGGAGGCATCCGTACACGAAGCCGAGGCCCGTATGCTTGTGGAGCGCAAGGTGCTCTACTCTGTCGTGGACAGCGTCATCAGCGGCATCATCACCATCGATCCCATCGGAACTATAACTCGATTCAACAGGTGAGCCAAGGAGTGTGGGTTGGGTGGCACGATTCTCACTTTGAGCGCTTCCTGGGCCTCTGTTGACGAGGCTTCTGGCTGAGTTGCGACAAACGTTTCACCGATAGAGCGGCCGAGCAAATGTTTGGGTACCAGGCGAGCGAGGTTATTGGAAAGAACATCAAGATGCTCCAGCCCCACGAGATCGCTGTCCAGCACGACTTCTTCTTGTCGCGCTACCTCGAAACCGGAGTGCGTCGCATCATCGGCCACGGCCGAAAAGCGGAGGGCGTCAAGAAAAACGGATCTCGCTTCCCGGTGCACATCTCCGTGTCTGAAGTTCTGGAGGTATGAAAGCCCTTATCTTATAGTCTGTACCGTCATTGAATGGATTGATCATCCAGTATCGAGGCCCGGTGATAATATGAATCGCGGTACTCGAATAGAAGGACGCCAGACGAAGGCCTAACAAGCATTCGGAATCATTTCTTATCAGGAGGGAATCCATCTGTTCACGGGTATCGTCCGAGACCTCACCGATATGGTTGAATATGAAAACAAGCAAGCCCATATCGCTCTCCAAAAGCAAGAACAGATCAAATTGCTCCTTTGGGAACTAGACGAGACCAAGAAGAGATCGGATGTACTCCTTGCGGAGGTGATGCCCCCTTCGATCAGCAAAACACTTTCGAGCGGCAAGCCGCCTACTCCTGAGCAGTTCAGCTCGGCAACCATTTTGTTCTCGAGCATCGTGGGCTTCAGTGAAATGTATATCAGCACGACTCCAACAGAAATCGTTGAGCTCCTGAATTTGGTCTACAGTACCCTCGACGAGGTAATTCTTTGGAAAGGTGTAACCTTGGTGTGGAGTGTTGCGACCTTTTCTATCGAGATCCAGTCGCTCTTACTTAGACCCAGTGAACGGATGGCGCTTTGACGCCAGGCAGTTTTACGATAGAACAGCGGTCCATTGCGTGCGCTGCGGGTCACAGTCCGCCCCAAGTTACTCGCTGAGTGACAATCCTTTGGACTATAGGTCATCAGCATGCACAACGTCTACAAAGTCGATTCTGTTCAAGGCTGCTACATCGTGGCCTCAGGTCTGGACAGCCAGAACAGTGGTGACCACGCTGCAGAGATTGCCAGCTTGGCACTAAGCTTTCTCTCGGTCGTAAACCAACTGTCGATCCCTACACGAAACGACATGAGGCTGAAGATTCAGCTGGGCATTCATACCGGTCCAGTTATGGCTGGCGTGGTGGGCACTGCGCGCCCAAGGTATGGGCAATGCAGATTTCACGATGCTGGTCCGCGTGCGAGCATAGTAAGCCGCAGCCAGCGATCTTGGGGACACCGCGGTCGCGGGCACAATCCATAGAGTCGAGCAGCGTGTGACATAGTGTCATAGCAGCCACTCCAAATGCCTCCCGATCGACTGACACTTGACTTGACGACCCTTTGCTTATGTATTCCGTCCAGATACCGGCTCTTTGGTCAGACCCTGCAGACAGCATCGCGGCTGATGGACTCTGGCCTTCCCATGCGAGTTCAAGTCAGCGAGGACACCTACAAGCAGCTGTCTCAGTCCGGAGGCTTCAAGTTGGCGAAGCGAGGAGAAACCGTGGTGCGAGGAGAAGATGCCACTACCACCTACTGGCTGGTCGGCAAGGAGAACAGCTCCGAGCCACTTCCAGAGGAAACAACATCGCTTCTCTCCGAGTAAATGAGGAAGAAGGAGCAACGACGAATTATCGGCTGAGGGCTGCACGCAGTAACCGGGGGTTGTGGTGTGCAGTGCCCTCAAATCATTGAACGGACAACAACCCGCGTCAGCTTCGAGCCAACCACAAACTATCAGCATATGGCCGGAATGCTTCAGATAATGACATAATTTACCCTGATTTAGGATATTGGAAGTAATTGTTCTTGCCTTGAATACATGCAATATTCCACATTGTGGAAACAGTGCAAAGAGTATCCACCGAAGCTGCGATGCATGCTCATTTCCTCATCAAGTTCACTCCCAGCCGACCACTCGATCCCGCCCACATCGCGTCCTGTTTGTTCTTGTGCACGTCTCGTTGCCCATCTCCTGTGGAGCATTAACCTTTTGTCGAGCACCCCAGTGTGAGCGGTCCAAGAATCAGCAGCAGCTTGAAGTATGTCAGGCAAATACACAGTCGTCGTATCCAACCATAGCTTTGCACCAGATGCCACGGCGTCATCCGGCTGATCCGAGCGAGCCCACTGCTTTGGCTGTGGGATGGGCAAGGATCGTGCAGAGGCTGGGTGGTCTTTGCAGATTGGCGGGGCCGAGGCTGAAGGAATCGCCACTCTCTGCCTCGAGGACGAAGGAATCTCCAGCAACATCGATGCAGCCGCCAATCTGCTCCGCACGATGACCGATCAAGTTGGCAGTGTCGCCAGAGATAGGTCTCGATTCATCTCTCAACCCAAGCATGTTGGCAATCGCGACGCCAGTGCAAGTGTATTTCCATCCTGAGGCATACAGCTGCTTCATGGACAATCGAACGACATCCCACGCCGCCCGCACAAGCCGCTACACTCATCAACAGAGAGTCCGATCGAGGAGCAGCCGCTCACATCGCGATTGCCCTCCGATGTCAGACCGCCTTCAAATGTGTCGGTGGCGGCCGACTAAATCAACCAGAATGCCGCTGAGCTGGCTAGCAAGCACTGCCAGCCTCTCCCCGAACAAGCAAACTAGGGTCCGCTGGGTCCACCGCTACTTCCGGCTTCTCGATCGGGAAGCTGCCGTTGCAATCTGCTCGAGCTCCTCGAATTCGTTCGAGTCCTGACACATCCTGTGGAAGGCGCCGTCCTTTCGCTGCATCAGGTTGAGCGGGGTGTCGTATTCGACGATCGTGCCCTTGTCCAGGACCATAACCCGGTCGTAATCGACGATCGTTCTTTTGGCACCGAGCACATACATGCAAACAATTCCAGTGTCAGTGCATCTCGGGGGAGGAGCAAACTGCGGCACTGATACGAGCCCCGGAGGCTCATCCATCCACCCAACACAACCAGCAGCACACGCTCACCTCAGCCGGTGGGCGATGCAGAGGACCGTTGCTCCGGCGAGCTCCTCTCGGATCGTGACTTGGATGCGAGCGTCCGTATCGTTGTCGACGCTGGCAGTGGCCTCGTCCAGGAAGATGATCTTTGAGTTTCTGAGCAGTGCCCGTGCCAGACACAGCAGCTGCCTCTGGCCGTGCGAGTAGTTCTGGCCGTTTTCGCCGACGGGCGACTCAAGGGTGAACGACTTGGTCTCGCTCTCCTGGGACAGGACTGCGGACCCACCCATGGGCGAGATGGTGTCCATGGCGTCCTCGACGACGACAGTCCCGAACGACGTGCGCGGGGACCTTTTCTTGAACTCTTGCAGCGTATCCAGGAAATGCACTCGCTTGAGCACTTGCCACAGATCGGCGTCGTCGTGCTCGCCGAGAGCGTCCAAGTTCGACCGGATCGTGCCCGAAAACAGCACGGGGTCCTGCGGTATTATTGTGATGTTTGAGCGCAGGTCATGCAGGCTGATCTGGCTGATGTCGATGTCGTCGATGATGATGCGGCCCTGGTGGATGGGCAGGATGCGGAAGAAGGCGAGCGAGAGTGTCGACTTGCCAGCGCCGGTGCGGCCAACGACACCAATGCGCTCGCCGGCCTTGACCGAGAACGACATGTCCTTCAGGACGTTGGGCTGGTCGGCGGCATATCGCATGAACAGGTGGCTGACATCGATCCGGCCGGCCGATGGCCACTGCAGCGTCGAGGTGGAGCATGGACACGCGGCTCAGTACCAGTCCTGGAGGTCAACCTGCTCTCTGCACAAGCAGACGCTTGATCGTCGAGTTTCATGCGGCCCTGCGCCACCCCCACTCCACACCCCAGCCGTACTTACCCCGACAGGAGCCTTGACAGTCACTGCAGACTCATCTGCCTCGGGCTGAATGTTCACGTACTCGTCGATTCGCTCGACGCTGGTCAGGTTCATCTCCATGTCGGCGTGGGAGCGGACCAACCACAGAAGGGCATCCGTGAACGACATGGCATATGTCAGACTGACGCCAGCCCATCCGGCACTGACTTGGCCGCTGACGACGGCAGCGCCAGCGCAGAACACGACCAGGGCTGCTATGATATCCGTTCGCATGCAGAGCCAGCGGTTGGCTGCCCACATGTAGAAGAAGGAGCGATGATTCTCGTCGACGCTGGCGGAGGGGGATTGGATGTTTAGAATATGCGATACCGGGCTGCCCAGCAAACTGTATGCCGGTATGCAGATCATGCGTCTTACCGCTCGGAGCTCTCGAGAAGGAGCCGAGACTCGGCTCCGTAAGCGCGGATGGTGGATGTTCCGCTGTCGTGTGGAGCGATGGCATGTGAGTATCAGCACTGCTGCGCTGATGGGTGTCATCAAAGCGAGACGGTTGCCGTTGTCATCAAGAACACTGGGTCCAGCCGCCTCCAAAGCCATCGACAGTGTTCCAGCAGGCAACCAGCGATACTCACGCAATCGTCTCCGAGAACTGAGAGTATATGGGGCTGCGCGAAACGCTCTCGAGGCGCTTGAGCTCGCGGGAGCAGGTCAGGTACAGCTTGGCGACATACATATAGATCAGTGCTATTGGGTACACCGGAGCGAGAGATTCAGGCATGGGTGGATCGCCAAACATCAATGCGTTAGAATCACCGTGTAAATGTTGGCGAGAGTCAGGTGCACACACCAACATGGGCCTATTGCTTCCCAGCTCGTCCGCCTGAATCCCGGCCATCCCGCTCCGCAGCCACAGCCTCGCACTGCTAATGCCAATGTCATTGCTTACCAACCGGCACGATCAGCAGTATGAACGGAGGCGTGATGTAGGCCACAATGATCAGCACTGAGGCACCGCGGAACAGCCATGTCGAGAAGAACCCAACCGACCACATCACTTCGCTGAGTAGCAGTGTCGAGACAGAACACAATACGCATGGGTTAGTATCCTCAAGTCGTGAGCGCAGCCCGATCAAACAATGGCCGTTGTGGATACTCACTCATCGACGTGACCCATGTCCTTCGAGAATCGGTTCAAGATGCGACCCAGCGGAGTAATCTCAAAGAAGCGAAGCGGTGCGCCGAGCACAGCCTTGAGGAGCTGTGCGTGCAGAGCCTTGGAGGCCGAGTACGAGCCCATGACTTGCACCAATGTATGGAGGTTTGTCGACAGGATGACTGAGAGCCCGATGAGCGCATACACAGTAACGTAGTAGTATGGTGAGTGGCTGTCCGCTGCTGACAAACCAACGGCTCCTGTGGTTGCCGATGGTGAGGGTAAGACCGTGCCGAGATAGTTCCAAAGGGTTGTTGGCAGTGCATAGTCTGTATCCAACATTGGCGGGGCGACGATACGGAAGGAAGGGAATGTCGAATGCTGCGCCAGTGGACCTCCAGCTGCGATGAGTGAAGCGTTGGCCACAGGGCAAATAGTCGAGTTGCCGTTGCCCGAGCTGGCATCTGTCCATTTCTTGAGCCACCAGCTGTTTGCAAATCCAGCCGACATCATGATCACAAACAAGAATACGAAGCAGAAGGCAAAGAAAATGCCTCCACAGGCCTTGAGGAAGCGCGAATAGACGGCCCATTCGACGGCACCCTTGACACGGGCCTCTTCATGCACCAGCGTCTTGCCTCTCGCCTCGCTGAGCAACTTCTTGATTTCTTCGTGGTTGGGCACCTGCAAGGATGTGGCGTTCTCGACCTCGCTTGGCCGGACAGCCAGAATCTGATCGTCGAGGATGCCTTCGGACTCGGGGCTCCGGAGCACCTCGGCCGCGGTGCCCTGGCAGGCGATGGCTCCGTTGCGCATGACCACAATGTGGTTGGCATGTGGGGCAACCAGGCCGACGGCGTGTGAGACCAAAACACAGGTGCGATTCTTGAGGAAGCCGAGGATTCCGTGGTGCAGAAGGTGGCGGGCGGTGGGTGCATCAACTGCCGAAAGCGGGTCATCCAGCAGGACGAAGGGAGCACGCGAGTAGAGCGCACGGGCCAGAGAGATGCGCTGCTTCTGCCCTCCCGACAGATTGACACCCTTCTCGCCAATCTCGGTGAGATCTCCGCCTTCGAGGTTCTGGAAGTCGCGGACGAGGGCCGAGGCAAACACAACCCGGTGGTAGCGGTCTTCGTCATAGTCTTCGCCAAAGAGGATGTTGTCTCGGATGGTGGCGTTCATGAGCCAGGCGGTCTGGGCCACATAGGCGACCTCGCCCGCAACGATGGATCCAGAGGAGCGGTTGGGTCGCGACGGGAAGTAGCAGTGGCCGCCGATACGGCGCATTTCTGATTGTGTGAGTGATGCGCAAGTGTATCCGTGGTGGGATACCGATTGTAGTCCACGCCGTCGAGATGTCATCATGCAGAGGGCGTACCGTGGTTGGGATGTCGTTTCAGCATCGGGTGGTGAGGTGGTGTTCGAGTTAGCGATCGCGATTGCAGGCAGTTCGGCAGCCGCATCAATGTGTGCCAGGTCAGTGCTGGCGATCAGGCCGTGGTGTTTGTCCGTGCTGCCAATGTCCCAGACACCTCTCGCAGCAACGACACTCACCTCCAACGAGCGCCAGGATGAGCGAGCTCTTGCCAGCTCCGGTCGGGCCGCAAACAACCGTGAGCTTGCCCAGCGGAATGTCGAGGTTCAGATTGTTCAAGGTAAAGGCCGAGGACTCTTCCTGTCCCGGGTTCTCGAGCTGGACGATGCTAGAGGATAGCTGCAGCGATGCCTTGGACGAACGGACGCTCGAGTCGCCGCTGCCGTAGTAGATGTATGTGGCTTGGTCGAATCCGTTAGGTTTGAAGCGGTGGTCCATCTCGGAGCGGCTGGGGATGTCCTTCTCGGCAAACTTCTGGAGCTCCTCCTCGCCGAGGAACTTTTCGATGCGCTCGAGCGAGACCATTGCGCGCAAAATCCACATAACCTCGTTCGGAAGTCGGGACAGGGCCCAAGTCACCTGCTGACAGATGCTGAGGGTCGTAAAAGCCGTGGCGGCGTCGAGGACATTCCCGGTCAACACAAAGGTCACGAAGCTTCCAAAGGCGCAAAAGAGGCCGCCGCTCTCAGAGATGGTGCTGAAGGCCATGTGCAAGAGCCGCACGTGAAGCCTGCATTGGAGCTCTTCGGTCCGGTCGACGTTGATCTGCTTGATAAAGTGCGGCTCCCACGCAAAATACTTGATGATGCGGATCCCCTGGAGCGCTTCGTTCGTGGCGGTGACTCGTTTGTCGGTTTTCTCCATCGCACGGCGCTGCTGGCGGTTGATGCAGCTTCCCAGCCACGAGGTGATTGGGACACATATCAGGATGGCGGCGAGGCCGACAAGGGCAGAGTACCCGATAAAATAGACCATCAGTCCGATCGACAAGAGGAGCCGCAAGGGGGTCTCGAGGAGCACGTGAATGTAGCAAACCATGTTTCGGATGGTTTCGGTGTCGGAGCTCATGAGCGTCACGATCTTGCCGAGCGATGCGTCTTGCTGGCCTGGCTCGCTCTTGCCATCGCCGGTGCCCTGCGAGGACTGGCCGACGGTTGCTGGACGGCGCAGCGACTTTTCGTAGATCTCGCGGATCAGGATGGCTCGCAAACGGGTGCCGGTTCGTCGTCCGTTGAAGTACATTTGTCCGTTGAGCATGGCTTGAATGATCGAACAAGAGAACAAGCCCAGGAGATAGCCCCAAGCGGTGTACGAGTTGGCATGGGGACACTGCATCCAGTTGAGGATGGCGTTGAGAAAGAGAGGGCTTGCAAACGACAGGAGGGAAGAGACGCTGCTGATCATGAATTGGGCCGTGATCGTCTTCCAGGTGCTCATGAACAAGCGGATCCACAAGGTCCTGTACTTTGGCCTTGTGAAATGCAGGACAGCAGAGAGGAGTCAGGGTCGAAGGCACAAACTGATGCCAGTCCCGTCGGCAATGCGGTGGGAAGTCGTTTCCAATGACCGTCATGATCCTTCATGACCACTCGAGCGAGCCGATGCAGCGCTATTGCGGACGATCCAGTGCGTCGCAATCCACGCATCCACTCACTTGACTCTCTCATAAATCTTGTAAACCGTCTCGGTCTTGTCGGACGGATCTAGATCCCACACGTCGCCCGGTGCAAGCTGGCGCTGGTTACCCAGGTAGATCAGGTCGCCGAGCCAGCTGAAAGTAAGGAGAGCAAAGAGCGAGGCCGAGCGCTCCTTCGACGGCTGCAATGGTTGGGCAAGTGGACCATGCGGCGATACGCAGACAGCAGTATCAGAGGACAGCGATTCAGTCGACAGAGGACATGGACACCGTTCGCATGAATTGGGAATCTGCACGGTCTCCAAGGGCGTAACAGCGATCGGCCGCATCGCTCCGAGATGTTCGAGCTCACGATATGCGCACTGGCGCTGCATCGGACCAGCACATGCAGTGGGAGTGGCTACTCACCACTCGCTTGGAGAACTGCGTGCGGATGGGTCGAAACAGCTGGCGCACGGGCTCGGCAAAGAAGAGCAGGAGGGCGATGGCCAGTCCAGCGACCTTCAGAGCATCAAAAGTGCCTGCTCCAGATGGCTCGGACCTCTGGTCGGGAGGGACGAGGGCCGCAATGCCATCGACCACCAGCACAAAGTATACCGTCTGGAAACGGTAGTAGATCGGGGCGTCGTTTTCGACGGCATCGGCAATCTCGCGAGGCCAGGTTGCCAGCAGGCCGTTGTAGTAGACCAAGGCCAGCTGTGGAGGGTGGTATCAGAGGCAGTTGTCAGCGGAAGCATCAGCAGGCAGTGTCGCCGCCACCGATAGAGGGGTGATGCAGCGGATGATGTGAACAATGCGAGTACAGCCAGGAAAGTGCGGGATGCAGGGATCAGTTTGGTGATAGTGCAGTCTCGGGGCAGCACAGCACAGCACCCCGGATGCGAACAGAGCGGCATCGCTGCTCTCTTGCGATCAGGACGAGCAGTGCGATGCTCTGACGATGGACAAAGCACGAGCCGTACCGAGACAATGACCCAGACGGCATCGGGCAGAAGCGAGAGATCGACGCGGCCGGACCTGAGCAAGTCCAGATACAGGCCGTGGACGGCAATGCCGCCGAAGAGCAGCGACAGAAGCACCAGGACGCCGTCGAGGATGCGCCAGCGCCGGGCACGCTCATAAAACTCGAGGTTGTACTGATCGAGCTCGGGGGAGCTGTCGTGGCTCCAGGGACTGTGCGGAGCATCGTCTTCGCTCTGGGAGACAGGAAAGTACCAGGACGACGAGGACGAGGGCCGGGCCGGGCTCAGGCGGAGGCTGGCCAGAGCCAGTGCAAGCAGACCAGCGCCGGCAATGGCGGTTTCAGTGCCGATGAACACGGACATGGGTTGGCTGGATCGACGGATGGATCGATAGAGGAATCGACAGACGGATCAAAGAATGCGGCAGGTGTGAGTGCCAGCAGGCGAGTTGCGATGCAGCAAGAGACCGGCGATGATCAATCGGCCGGAGGGCAGGTCGGGAAAAGCGAAAGCGGCGGCCCCGGCGAGACAACGGAATGGGGGATATCAAAGACCAGAGGCCAGCACCCACGCGAGGCCCAAGCACATATGCCACGGCGCCGAACTCGGAAGAAACGTTTTGTCAGGGTGGCGGGAACAAACGAACGAATCCCGATTGTCCGGCATTCGGCGCCTTGTCAATCAAGCCGGGGCGATGTCCATCTCTGCCGTCCGTTTGTTTGCTGCTGGCCTGGCTGCCTGCGCGCTGGCTGGTCGATGGGACAATCGCTCAGCGTCGTGTTGGAATGGGACAATGGGATACATCATTTCTTTCGGGCATTGGCCCGCTGGACTTGCTATGGCTGCCCTGTCCTTGCATTCGGTAGCTCACACACCCTCATTCCTTCGTGCTCGCTCTTTCTCTCCATGCGGCGATGTTGCCGCTGGCCTGCAAGCCCATCCACGAGGCATCCAAAGGTGGTTCTGTCTCGGCCTGGCACGTTTCCACGGCTCCGCGACCATCCCCAGCCACCGCAGAACATCAGCCAGCACAGCAGCGCCCACGCAGGAATCCGGTGGGGGGTCAGCGGCAGCAGCAATGATGGCGGAGAGGATGCCGACAGCGGCGACAACATTTCGGGATCCACACAGGCGAGCCGTGTTCATCATGAATCGACATGAATTGCATCTTCATGGGCACATGAACATGTTTGGGTTTCTGGTGTTGTGCATGAGCAACAGGCAGAGGAGTACATTTCGGCAGGCAGGCAAAACAGAGCACATCTCGGCAGAGCAGCTCGTCACAACCCTGCATAGGCAGCCGCCAGATGCTCGAAGCTGCCGCGGTGACGGCCACAGAACCCCCCCCCAAAAAAACAAGAGTATATGTCCAGAGTCGGTCAGCTTGTTGTTCATAGTTGTCGGGAAACACTAGCCCAGCTCTGGCGACTTCTACGCGGGAGGCCTCAAGTGATTGAGCGGGACCATGCCGTGTTCACCCCTGCTGTTGACGACGTAGCCCCATCCGTCGCTAAACTGCTGCAGGACCGCCACGAGTTCGGCCGGATAGATCGTCAGCTCGTCGGTGTTGTTTGCGGTATAGGGCGCCTTGACTGTCCAGGGGATAAAGACGTGCGGGATGTCCGGAAGATTGCCCTGGGAGGGCGACATGACCTGCACAAGAGCATTGCGCTCCGTTTCAGTCATCGGAACCTTGCCGACAGGCTTGCCGTCCGACGTGACCGAGCGACGAACGAGGTTGCTTGCCATGAAGACAATCTCGGCCTCCTGGTCGGTTGAGGCGAATATGGACGAGCGTACACTGCCGGCAGAGCTATTGGTTTCGTTGCGATTCACGAGCGGCTCCGTCGAGGTTTGGGGTGCCGAGGGGCCGGTAACGAGCGACGGATCAACAACGAGCTGGTGCGGCAGTGACAGACTCGATGTTCGCCGAGGATACTGGAGCTGGTACTGCGAGCTGGGTAGGGTGGACCGCCGCTCCTCGTCGGCCGGGATGGTCGTCGGGACGCTCTTCAAAGTGTGCTTGTTGTAGATGAGATAGTAGAGCCCCAGGGTGAGAACAAAGAGCCCAAAGAGTGTGCCCACGATAGCGCCGATGATGATGGCCATGTTGCCAGAGCCGCCAGTGAGGTTTGCATCGACAGGTGGAGCATTTGTTCCCACAATGGATGGTCCAGAGGACTTTGACGGCTGGGTCGCAGTCGGAGTCGGGGCCGAGGTTTGGATGTGCTGCAGATCGCTGTCGGTGATGATCAGCTGCGGGGAAGTGAGCTCTTGGCAGACCCAGCCGCCGTTGAGAGTTGCGCAGATCCGAACCGAATAGGGGCCCGCAGTGACGTTCTTGTTGAATGGGACGCTGACCGGGACGATCCCTGGGGCTGAAGGCACCGGCAGAGTGGCCAGGGTGTTTTGGCCAGGCAATCCCTATGCGACAGATCAAACCAATGTGCGATGAAGTTGATTGGGTGAGGCCTAGTGTCATGTTGGCACTGACTATCCATCAGCAGCGATTTTTGGTCGAGGGACGCAGGGAAGCCGGTGTCTGTTGGCAATGGCCTCGGCGCCAGACTATCGAGCCGGGTTTCCAGATGACAATCCGCCCAGAAGCCAAAAACTGCCGTGACGACCACCCAAAACAACCGCTTGGTCGGTTCTATCACCGAACCCACCGGCAAGGCCCCGCCAGAGAACAGCCACCAGGCCTCGACCCAGCGCATGCCCCCCCCCTGACTTGACTCGAAGCGAGTTGATCAGTCAAAGGAGTCGACCGATCGATCGATCAGCTCGACTCCATGGCGCCTCGGTCGGCCTTGATCGGCCTTGATCGGCGATATGCCACCTACCCAGAGACAAATGCTGTAGGAACTGCCTGGCGCCATTTCCCATGCGGTTTGGCTCTCAGACCATTGGATTGTAACGACAAACGAGGAGTTGGCAGGGTTGATGGTTGACTGGAGGGGTGGATCGGTGACAAACTGCGGGGTGAGCTGGGCTGCGACCAGCCCGAAGGGCAGGTGCAGCAGCACAGCGCAGAGAAGAGCGACAGAGAGTTTCATTGCGCCAGGACCACGGCGGCCAGGGTCTGCGATGGAGAAGAGCTTTGGGAGATGGAGAACATGCGAGCGTGCGGGCGACATGCGATGGAGCGAGATGCGACCCAAGGCCGATTTTGCAGGACAGGGGCGGTGGCGGTGCGAGGGAGGCGGGTCGGGGGGGCGGACTCGGCGCCTTGTCGCGTGTCTGGCCAGCCTCACAAGCTGCTGATCTTGATGCCATTGCTGCTGCTTTCCAAGCTGTCGCTGATGCGGCTCTCTGCTGTTCGTGCTGGCGAGAGTTTCGGCCACGGACGGCATGCTCCATCGTTTGGCGAGCTGTGCAGCTCGTCGCAGCTCGTTTGAAAGCATGTCTGCCCGGTGTATGGACCCGCCAGACTCAGCCCATGGCGGTTGAGGCGCAAGGCGCGCCGAAGCATGACCAGGCTCGATGCAAGTCACTTCCCTCAGCGAGAAACTGCCACCTGCTTCGGCCTGAGACGATCAACGGCATCGCCTCGGCCTCACCCAGCCGTCATCGCCAACGCAGCCACCGTGAGAAGGACTGGGAAAGACACGTTTGATTGCAAAGGCCTGACTGGGATTGGATTCAGGAAGAACGAAGACCAAAGGCAACAAGGGCAGAGATTGGAGAGGACAAGCCGGGGACACGATTGGAAGACGGGCCTGCTCGGGTCATCGACGAAGGGACCAAGCCATTCCGGACGATTCTGCTTCTTGGAGGCGAAGGACTCACTTGAGCCAACACCGATACCCCAATTTACGAGTGCAGTGGCAAAGGGCAGTCCACAGTAAGTCTAGATGTTGCGTGCTGAGGGAAAGCTGCTTATGTCGCGGGCTTCGGTGCGAGATGACACTGGCGATAATGCAAGGTGAAGCCAGAGGGGACGCGTGAGTTTGAGCTTCAAGCCACCACAGGAATATCGACCATGCCCGCTGGACCAGAGGGGCGATGACGCATGGGAGCGCACAGCTGGGAAGATATTGGGCGCAAAGCCGCTTGCCCGCTACCGCGGTCGCGGTACAACTTACGATGCTGCTTCATTCCACATCCAAAGCTTCGGAGACAGATGATGGCGTTGATAAAGGTCAGGATGCAGAGCATCAGCGAGATCGAGGCAAAGAAGGTGAGGAAATGGGCCGTGTCGAGGAATGAGGATGGGTCGGTGGAGATGCGGACGATCTTGAAGATCAGGTAGCCCATGCCAAGGGCCAGGCCCAAGAGGAACAGATAGGTGATGACCTTGTCTTCTTTCCGGATCTGATTTGGGCAGCGCAGGAATGGCGTGAGGAGCTGCGAGGACACGAGCAGGGCTTGGCCACGCCAGTGACAATCCAAGACGCCGAGACTGGATTACGCACCGGCGACATTTGCCATCAGCCATCAGCCAGCCAGCCAGCCAGCCAGCCCTCCTCCACCTCGATCACCCACAAATACGTACCGCGTAAACGGCCGCAGCCAGCAAGACCATCATGATGGGGAACATGATCACCGTCAGATAGAACTCGGCCGAGGTTGGATCCAAGATCAGCACGACATACTGGATTCCAAAGCCAAAGACAAAGAACACATCGAGCTTCAACAGCAGCAGCATGATCTGGTAGTATCGGTACATGGCTGCAGGTGTGGTTAGGAGGAGGAGGAGAGTAGCAAGGTGGGTAAGTCGTCGTGAGACAGATGCCTTCCTAGATGACACAAGGTCGAAACTTGAGGAAAGCAGCGGCCTGGTCGGCTGGGGTAGCTCAGACGGATAGACATATCGCAAGAGCTGATGGCATCGGATGCCGCTCGAGGACTTGCAAAGCCCTCACAAAGTCGCCTCGGTATCATAGATGCGGTAGCTCTCCCCTCCCCTGATCAGCGTCGACGTACTTCTCATTTTGGGGTCAGCACCGATGGTTTTGTAAATCTTCCATCCATACTCTTTGTAGAGCCGCCAGCCAAGGAAAAACAGCACGAACTGGAAGCTGAAGGCAATGACGGGCATGGACAGCAGGATACCGCGGGCCACTTGCAGATCCGTCGAAGGGAAGTTGTTGAAGATGGTCTGGATGGCCGACAGGATCTGGGTGTACTGGAAGATCGAGTAGCCGCAGATACAGAGGTTGAAGAGGATCAAGCCGATGATTTGGATCGTGTTCTTGTGCCAGACCTGTCGATGCAAGGGGACCGTCATCGTATCGAGGCAGGAGAGCGGTGTGCCAATGATCAGCAAGGACCCCGTTGAGAGTGACAACAGTATGAACGATAGGCCACAGACACAGGCACAGTTGCGGTCGCTGGTCATGTCACCGCAGGACGGCCTGGGGCGAGAGCGAGCGCCAAGCAGCTTGCCGATGAGACCTACCGCATCCCAGCACAGAATAATCTGGAACAGCTGGGCGAAAATGAAGATCACCAGATAGACGGGGATGCCTCTGGCTGAGGTCTGGGCCAAAGGCGTCTCCTTGGCGTTGTTGACAAGCAGCGCACAGATGGTGCTCTCCAGCGCCGTGATGATGACACCCTCAACCAAGACGGCCCACAGCGTGACCCGACCAAACTGGAGGGGGAGAGCAAGACGAAGATATCGATCAGCGCATGCAGAAGGTAAGGTGCTGAAGAAAGCGAGGTGCCGTCTGTGGACGCAGAGCGGGACTGTCGCTTGGTCGATGGAGGCGGGTGCGGCAGGAGTGCTCTCGAACACACGGCTGGCTGACCAGGCCTGCAATAGGGCCAAGCAATAGGGCCAAGCAATAGGGCCAAGCGAACAAATAGCAGTAACCGAAATATCCTAGCAGAAGGACTCACTTTGCTGGGCGGAATCTACCCGTCGAGTCGGTTGGCGAGACGAGGGCCGGAAAGAATAGGGCGGGTGAGGAGCGCCGTCAGAGGTCAGGAATCAACACCGAGCATCGCTGCTGGAGTCGGACGGGAGTGCGGCGAGAAACCGAAGCCAGCGCATACCATGGTTGCAGCAGCGGGCTCTGCACAGGTGCTTGGTTGCAGCAGAAACAAACGGATAGGCCGATGGGCTGATGGAGGCAGAGGCCAGAGAGGAGCTGGACTCGCCAGGAAGGTTCTTTGAGGGCCGCAAAGAGGAAAGCAAGCGCCCCACAGTGCGTGTGAGCGCGCAACAGGGCCGACAGTCTGTGTGCAGCGCAGCTTGATGGACGGCCGCACAAACGCGCCTCGGACGCGTCGCCACAGCAGCTCTGGGTCAACAGAGACAGCAGCAGTGTGCATCCTCACCACAACCACCGCCGTGACACCGCGCCACTCGTCACACTACATTGAGCTGCCTGCAATGGATAGCTCCACCGCAACACTCTGTGCACCACTTGGCGGGGATCTGGATGCCACTCGTGAGTCGGCATGGCGGGTCGTCGCAGTCCTATTTTCACTCCAGCGGCATCCGCATGGGCGCCACGGCCAGCTCGGCCACACTTCCTCCATAGATAAGCACTATCCGCAGGGCATCGTCAGAGACGTTAGAATCGCAACCACCCCCTCCAACTTGCCCATCAACGACACCAGTCCGTCGCTTGCGGGGTACTTACGATGTTGCCGCAGACCATTCCCAAAGTTCGCGAGACACACCCACGCATTGACCAGCGTCATGAGCACGACTGCAAGAGCAATCAGTGCTGGGAAGGAGACAGGCCGATCAGCGTGCGACTCTGGCGCGATCATCACAGCCAACCGGGCCGGGACATCCATCCAGATTCGCTCAAAACGCATTCCCGTTCCTCACCAAAGAATGCCAAGAAGTACTGCACGCCTTGGTAAATGTCCGGCTGGGTATAGATCCGCACGACTTTGAAGATAAAGTAGGCTGTGCCCAGACATAGACATATCATAAACGCGTATACCATGGCCTTGTTTTCTCTGCGGACCTGCATGCGATGAAATCGCTGGGAGTCAGCTGGTCGCAACAGTTCATCGGCTATCTGCCGTGTGGTACCGCAGCGGCTCGTCCGCGCATCATATCCCCATCCAACGTCGAAGCACACTTCTCCACAAACGCAAACGGCCAAGACGTACCCCCTGGATGCCCAGAACGAGCATCAGTATCAGAAACGGCACGGCCACGATTGTCGTCACAAACTCATAGTCGCTGGTGCTGATGATGAGGATGAGAAACTCGATTTGAAAGCCAAAGACAAAGAATACATCCAGCTTGATCAACACGAGGTAGATTTGGTAGTTCCGGTACATATCTGTTGGGCATGGCCAGAGCCCGCCAACCCGCGAGAACGAGCGACTCAGCCCGGGTCAGTCCTGCGATCCGCACTCCGGCCCCATGTTTTGTTCCAACCACCTCCGTCCGCTTACCTCGCATATGCAGATCCCCGCCGATCTTCTTATAGATCTTCCATCCATATTCCTTGTACAGTTTCCACGACAGAAAGCAGATCACCACGAGAAAGCCGCCCATCACCGCCGGAATGGCAAGGAGGCAGATGTCGAGGACCCGGACATCGTCGTCCGTCAAGTAGTCAATTTCCTGCGCGCTGACGAGATTCACGAGCTTGAACACCTGCACATACTGAAAGATCGTGTACCCAAGAACACATATGTCAAAGAGGGTGCAGGCTATGATCTGGATCGTGTTGCGGTTGTAGATCTGTTGGCGTCATCAGTAAGACGGGAACAGCAGTGGTCAGTCGCCTCAGCGGCAATGGAGCTCAACATCGCGCCAACGGCTCGGGAAGGCAGTGGCCACCCGCATGCTCAGTCGCTTGCCAGGGTCAGCGATACTGCCCGAGATATCTGCGAGCTACATCAGCACGTCAATCCAGGCATCTCATATTGCAACACACAGGTCTTTGCCCAATGCTCCCCACATCAACCTCAGGCGAGCACGAGAAGGATCCGCGCTGCGCTCATCCTGTCAACTGGCCAGACTTACCGCGTCCCAGCACAAGTAGATCAAATACAGGTGTCCGAGGATGAAGATGATAAGATATACGGGCACACCGCGTTCCCCAGTAATGCTGGGATCGGTGAATATCGCTGGATCGCGCAGCAGTATCCGGCCGATGCTGCTTTCGATCGTGATGATGGTGACGGCTTGTAGGAGAATGACTGCAAGCGCCGATCTTGAGTACTGACCGGGCAGCCCATGCATTCACGGCACCAAAGGATACATCGAAGAATGAGGTCAGCGATCATGGTGCCAAAGCAAGTGGGTGGCACAGTTGATGAGAGAAAGCTGGTGCGGTGGCGATCTATGCACCCTGCTTGCAGATCGTGAGAATGGTAGCATGTGCAGCGAGCGACACTGAATAGATTGAACGATATCGACTCGAGGATGTGGATCTGCACATAAGTGTGCGGCTGCCCACCTTTGACGATGGTATCTGTCACAGCGGTATTGACAATGCCGGCAATACCCGACAAGATTCACGAGGAATGATGAGCAGTGCGCGTGCCATTTCATGCGAATGATTTTGCAAATCGCGAGTTGCCCACGCAGGAGATGATCCAGCATGACGGTTGCATGAGTCGATGTGGAATCGCGCGAGATATTGGTGGCAGAGCAGTAACAGGATGAGGTCGGGAGGTCGTCATCCAGTAACACCAGCTTGCGCCAGTATACTGCAGTCGGCCTGGCTAACGGCAGTGCGTCTGGAGAGACAGTCCATGATTTTGGTATATGCACCATGGATCGCATACTACGCCACGAGCATTGGCTCCGCACCGCGATGCCCCCTACCACATGCATAGCTGCTTCTGGAGCTTGGCCTTGAGCCGCAAGAACTCGAAGGGGCCAGGCTCATAGAGAGACCGTTGAGGAAGCGCGACGCCTGGTTTTGAGGCTCGGCGGGACGTTGAGCGAGCCGATGCGGGGAGAACTGAGCGATGGAGATGCAGAATCCAACCACGAGAAACGGCTTCGTGTCAGCAGGACAACAGCGATGGCGAGAAGCCGTGCAGGTTCGACCCGGACAGACGATCGTTGGCGGGGTGGACTGGACGCTGGAGAGAGCCAAAGTGGGATGGCTCCGAGGGCCCGGAATGATTGCTCACTGATGCCAGGGACTGAGCGCTTAATCGCCACACAACCGCCCTCGTCGGGCCGCAGAGCAGATGCTTCTTGATGAACGAACTCGCATGCACTCGGTTGTCATGGCAAGCGAACCAACCGCTCGTCGAGCGACTCCGCCGCCTCGCTCGCATTGCCAAGCGCAACCCACCCCCATGCTATTGATCAGACGGCCTCCATCTGATCCGAGGCGATTCGCAGGTCGTGGCCGGTTCCATCGATGCTTGCGCTCGCCCCCCGTGCAGAATCCGCAGACCCCATGCGACTTGACCTGCGGGACTGCGGGTTGATCTGGAGTGGCCACGTTCGCCAATCAGACCAGCCCGCGCGGCTGCATGACGACTTCATGCCCATACAAATTGACGATCCCGCTCATCGCCTGTCTCTGCAACCCCTCTTCACCGCCGCTATCGTCCTTTCTTCGCTCTCTCTCTACAACACTCGCCCATCACCAATGCTCGTGAAGGCCAGCATCCTCCGCGTCTTCGCGGCATTCGCCATCATCTGGGCATCTCTGGCTTCGGTTGCCTCGGCCATCGCCAACATTCCATTCGACGACGCTGTTCTTGGCCCAAAGAACATCCTGGTCGTCACCGCACCAGCTTCCGGACACGCCAACCCGCTGCTCGTTCTTGCCTATGAACTCGCCAGCCGTGGCCACAACATCACTTTTGTCACAAGCACCAGCTACTCCGTTCCCGAGTACGGAAGAAATTCGACCATCCACTTCCATCTGTTCCAGGAAGCAGTGCCCATCGCCGCGGCAATGGGTCAGGCCTCCAAGCAGATTTCGAGCTCGTCTTCATCCATGTTTTCGATCATAAGTCGGATCCAGAGCATTCGGATGATGTCGAAGATCTTGGGCCCACTTGAGTACCAGACGATCCAGGAGGTCATCACAAAGATCGACACAAAGTCCACAGATCTCATCATCGGCGGTATCTTCTTCGGACCAGTAAGTTGGCGTGGGTTCTGCTGGTGCAAATCGGATCAAGGTAGCGTGGGTTTTACTGATGCAAATCCGACCAACGTGGCTCGAGCGACGACGGTCTTGCATGGATTACCACGAAATCCTTGCCCATCTCTAACGCCAGGTATCCATATTCTTCCAACCCCACCGCCCGATCGGTCGGTCGTCAGGGTGCGGATGTTCTTGGCGAGGTCCTCGGCATTCCCGTCATCCTCCACTATCCGCTGAACTTCCGCAACCACCACAGCCCTTCGAATTTGTACCTGGACAGCCTCACCATCACCCCACACGACGGAGTCGCCGATCCCAAGCTGACTGTCGCTTTCGTCCTCAAGGCGATTCCCATCCGCATCGTCGGTCTCGTGGGCAGGATCATGCGTCGGAATGATAGGCGTCAGATGTTCAAGTGGGTCAAGACCACCCTATCCGAGCACCTTCCCCAGGTCCAGGGACCTCCTCAGCCCATCGTCGGTCTCATCAGCAACGAGTGGGGCTTCCATCCGGCCCAGCTGACAAACCCCAGCATGCGCATGGGCGGCATCTGGGTGCCTGCTGCCCAAGATTTCCGCTTCCATCCGGAGCTGAAGGAGTGGCTCGACAGCGCCGAGCGGCCTGTTGTCTATGTCTCGACCGGCACCGTCGCCCAGCCCACGAACGAGACGCTGCTCGCCTTCTTTGATGCCTTCAGCACGACCACCGAGTTCCAGACCGTTTGGTCGCTCAAGAAGGGTCTCCAGAGCAACCTGAAGGAGCTCCTGGGCGACCGTGAGTGGCCCAAGCACGTCTACGTCCACCACTTTGTCCCGCAGCTTGCTGTCCTCGAGCATCCCTCTGTCAACGTCTTCTTCACCCACGGAGGCTGGAACAGCGTCTCGGAGGGTCTCTGGAGCGGCACGCCGATGCTGGGAATGCCATTCTTTGGTGAGTGACTGCTATCGACGACAGTGCGTCCCAGCGACTGATACATGGGCCATGGGTCGTGGGTTTGAGCTTGGGCTGGCTTGTCACAACAGACCATGAGATGACGAACCAAGTTTTGGCCCCGTGCATGTGCTGCCGATTCCGCCAAATGCAGGGGCCTGTTCAGCCGTTGTTGACATACCTCCGATGCGATATGCTGTTGCCGTCTTGACAGGTGACCAGAACTACAACGTAGCCCAGTCTGTGAAGCTCGGCCTCGCCCTCAGCATCGACAAAGCCATCATGACCACATCGGACACAGCCGGCACCACCCATTTGATCCAGGAGAAGCTGCACTGCCTCATCCGCGAGCCGTCCTTTGCCGAGCAATCTCGCCAAGCCCGCCGCACCTTCCGGGCGATGGGCGGCGTCAAGAAGGGTGCCGATATCGTCGAGGAGATCCTCGAGATCGGCAACACCCGGGCGTACGCCTTCCCAGACAACCTGGATGCCGTCACGGCTGCGTTTGAGATTCTGGCGGCCAGCGGTGCCATCGCAGCCTTTGGTACCTACAAGCTCGGCTCCTGGGGATTCAAGCGCTTGTTCAAGTCGGCCCCGAAGAAGAAGATTGAGTGAGAGTGCTGTGTCGGCGGCTGTCGTTTCGGTCGGCACAAGAGCAGTAACAGAGTCGATTTTCGCTTCGCTTTGTATCAAATACCGTAGTGCCTGGTCCATGGACCGGTATCAACATTGGCACCAGCAACACAACACTGTGGGATGAGCCTGTTTACTTGTCTTTTGGTTCAGGGTCCCGAGCACTGGAAGAGTCCGCCTTCACCCAGCACGACCAAGGGACACCGCCATTTGTTCAGAGTCCAGTGCTTGCTCGGGACAGCAGCGACGATGGAGTGTGAGCTCTCCGTCTCAGACTCGGCTGGATATGGAGCATTTTGATGGACTCATGTTGGCCGCCCTCCATTTGATGCAACTGTGTATTTGGCCCCATTTGGCCCCATTTGGCCCCACGAAAATGCCACCACGAGCAACCTGTCTCGACGAACATTTGAGCAATGCCATCGGCTGTCTGTGCAGTCAGTGTCTGAACAATCAACCCAGTCAATGGCCCAATCGACTTTTGTGGCCTGCACTGCCAGCGCCGGGTCGCCGCCGGATCCTTTGGAAGAACTCGGCCATCTTGTGAAAGAGGCCGGCGCATTGCCCCTCCTCGGCGCTGGATGTATCGTCCTGCGGAACGTTGCTGGACCGAGCGGCAATCTCTCGCTTGACGCTGTCGATCTGGAGTTGCAGCTCGTGGACACGGATGCGAAGGTCGGAATAATCGCCGGCTGTCGGTCCAGTGCCAATCTCGGAGGGGTGCTGCCCCGAGCAGGTCATTGACGATGAATATTCGAGCGACTGCAGCTGTCGAAACTTTTGCGTTGCGCTGACTCGGCCGAGCACGTCTCGTCGATGATGCTGATGCTGGTCCATCATACTCTCCGTGCACGGGCGACCCATTCGGTCGGTTGACATCCGATGCGATGATGCGAGGGAGCATTCCGATGCTGTCCGAATGGTGGGATCCAAGGAGCCATCGCTGAGAGCCTTGCGGTTCACCGGAATACATCCCATCTCCAGCGACAGAGTCGGGCAAAGGTCTTGGCCTCGATCGACGAAACACTCGACTGCCGCTGGACTCGGGGCCGGCCACGACCGGCGGCGGGTTGTGGGAACTGGGGTTTCTGCACATCTCGCGGCATCAAGGGAGCCGGATGCCCGTGCTGACTTTTCTACCTGTGCTGGCGCTTCTGCCTGTGCTGGCGCTTCTGCCTGTGCTGGCGCTTCTGCCTGTGCTGGATCCTCTGTGTCGGAGGAGCAGCTGTATGTTGACGATTCTCGGCGTCGGGACATCAGGCTGGTGCGGATTCCAGAGGCAAGCTCATCCTTGTCGCTGGGCAGCAACGAGGCCACGGTTTGTTCTTGGGTCGGGCTCGACAACCCCGACCTTCCGGAATCGGGCTGGGCGGCGCTTGGGTCCAAGCCAAATGCCAAGTCTGCATCGGGGTCTTGCTTGAGCGGCGGCGCTACGGTTGGGATGGATGACAGTCGACTGAAACCGAAGCCGACATTTGCGAGGTCATTCGCCTGGATGATTGCTGAGGCAGCAGTTGGTCGTGGAGGGACGAGGCCTCCTGGTGGCAGATCCCCGATATCCTCGATATCCCCGGGTGGTGGATTTGACGGCGGATCGCCCATGAGTCAGCCCGCATTTACTTGCAGCGAAGAGGCAGGGAACAGGAGCACCAATGGCAAGTGGAATCAGCCTCACTTTGCTGGACCCATCGGGGCGATTGTCGCTGCGTTGAACGATTCGAGCGGATCCAGCTCGCTCACAAGACATTTGTCGAGGATTAGGCCCAATCACATCCGACTGAGTCTTGCCATTAAATAGACGGTCGAAGCTCACGTAGTGAACTGGACCGTCGTTGGCTACTTTGCGTTTCCTCATATCACACCCAAGCTGTTGACTTTCATTGGGTCGATCGATACTCGCCTTTTGCAGGCAGCGATCTCTGCCCGGTGACACCCACCATCATATGTAGATTGTATTGGCATTTTGATGCGCAACATCACACATTGGACACGGGATTTGCGAGTAGTCAGTACAAATGTGAATATGAAACGCATTCGTCGCTTATTGGGGCCGCCGCCGATCGCCAATCACAATGATGTCGATTACCCTGTTCCCTCTTTCCCCGATTACCCCGAGTGCCATCATTTGATATGTCCTCCAATGGCTTCGAGCCCTACCTCCGTCGGCTCCGCCCTTGACTCTCGAGGCAAGTTCTGAAACATGGACCCAAGCGGCATCGATATTGTCATCACAAGAGCCTCGGAGGCAGGAAAGCTTCCCCCGCAGAACCCAAGTGCAGGAGACTCCGAGGTCCTCTTCCACCAGGGATGGGCCAACTTTCCGGACGGACCTAGCCACCATCACCCCAGCAGCAGCGAGTGCTGGAATAAGGCACATGCGTCGCGAAAGACAGGTGTCCAGGACGTGTATGCGTCCTTCAGCACTTTCATGCTGGGGTGGTGTTACTTGCAGGGCATCGGTGTGGCCAGAGACGAAAAACAAGCCTGCATTCTCTTTCAAGAAAGCATTGTTGATGCCTTCCAGCTGGGCAAGATGGTATTTGGTCCCGAAAACAACAAGGGATACTACCACCTCGAGTCCGACTCCCATGCGGCAACGGTGTTCTTCGATCGCTGCAAGCTGGCCACCAGCATCTCCCCTTCATGGATATGCAAGCATCTCGTTGCCCTTTGCCACCTCTACGGATATGGGGTTGCACGATCAGAGGAGACCGCAGTTCAGGTACTGATGGATCTCGCCCATGAAGGGCACGATGTCAGCCAGACCGAGCTGGCCAAATGCCTCTACACAGGATATGGTGTAAGCAAGTACTACACTCGATCGATCTATTGGTTCCAAAAGGCAGCCGACATGGGCTACCAGGGAGGTCAGTTTGGCCTGGGTATCTCCTTTTACTATGGCAAGGGCAACGATCGAAACTACAAGAAAGCAGCCAATTTCTTTGAACGCTCGGCTCTCCAAGGGAACTCGGCCGCCCAGTTTTGTCTCGGCATCTGCTACAACTAAGGAAAGGGCGTTGACGTTGACCAGGCCAAGGCATTCAAGTGGTTCAGTGCATCCGCCAAGCAAAGCTATCCCGGGGGAATGTATGGCCTTGGCGTCTGTTACCACCGTGGAGAAGGTACAAAGAAGGATATGAAACAGGCAGTGCACTGGTACTCCAAGTCAGCAAGCCAGCATCACCCAGGCGGGCAACTGAGCTTGGGAACATGCTACGTCTATGGCGAGGGGGTTGCGAAGGACTATCGACGAGCCTTTGAGCTCTTTCGAATGTGCGCCGAACAGGGCAATCCCAGCGGCATCAACTTTCTGGGCATCTGCTACTTCCACGGGTATGGGGTCGAAAGAGACCAGCAGCGAGCCCTGGGACTGTTCGAAAAGGCCGCTTCCCAGGGAAACGAGGGAGCACAGCACAATCTCGAGTTCTGCCATCAGTCAGACCGGGGAACGGCGGCAAAGGAAAGTCGCGCGATGCTGGCATCCCCGTCAAGCCAGATGCATCTTCGGAAAGTGAGCTGTTTTCACAACGAGTAGAGCAGTTCGGGCCGTTGAATACCTGCGCGACGATCTGGGCAGATATTCGTGATGGGCCGAGCTGCAGTTCACACAATCCGAAATGGAATGGTGACATTCTCTGAGCCCTGAATACACATCCATTGCGATTGCCTTTGGGATGCCTCGTGGAAGCAAGGAAAGGGGATGTGCTTCAAGGAAGCGGCTGAATTGTGGGGAATGCAACGAAGCGCTGTCCCGGTTCTGTCTGCACGGGCAGCAAGCGATCCAATTCGCTTGGGCACATCTCTCCTGAATCCTGAAAACACACAGCCCCAGAATCGAGGGAGCGAAGGGCAGTTCCCCTGTGCCTTTGGCGCTCACGGGGAAACTCGGCTCGGCACAATCCTCGCTCCGGTTTCGCCGCGGTTGGTTCCGCCCATTCAGCCGCCGGTGCCGCCCGGCACTCTCTGCCCAGAAAACCCGGTGCCGCCGCCGCTTCGTTCTCTGGAGCACACGCAAATCCATTTCTCCCCGCCCCTGGTCCGTAAGTGCGGCACATGCCGAGGCGATGCTCGGAAGCCGGGTTGCGTCGAGTCCTGGGTCCTTCGTCGCTCCTGGCTTCCCTGGTTACCGTGGTGCTATCCCTCGATCTTCAGATAGAGTCCAATGCTGAAATCCAGCGAAGCCCGAGGCAGCAATGGCGTTGGGGGCAGTTCGATCGCAAACATAACCAGAGCCATGAACCGGTTCTGCCCAGCCTTCATAATAGGCTCCGATGAGTGTCCCCGAGATTGTCGCCAAGAAGCGCCGCCTTGACCAGACCACTCTGCTCGAGAGGAACGATACTGTCCCAGCGCCAGGGGCCAAGGTATCAACCCAGAGAGGAGCACAGCAGCAGCGGCAGCAGCGACGACGATATCGATGATGCTGACGATATCGACGATACTGACGATATTCCATCCCGGCGGCTCTTGATTCAGGACACCATCGAGCCGGTAGCCGCCGAGCTTGAAGAAGGTATTTCCGCTCGCTTCGATTCCGGCTCTCTCCTGGCTGTTGCTGGCTTGGGTGACCGGGCTCTCCATCATGCGGCGAATGCAAATCGCTGGCATGGGATCGCTGGCCCAAGCGAAATGCCCCTCGTCTTGCAAGAGCCGTCCCATGTCCATAGCATTGATCAACCGCAGGCTCCTTCCAGCCTTTCACTTCCTGCGACTGATCAACGTGGATACCCAATATGCACCTGGACAGGGCCTCCAAATATCGGATCGACGGACCGCTATTGGTGCCAAGCTCTATGCACAGGCTTGAGCTGTCAAGATACCATCGAGTCTGAGTCGGTGCTCTCATCCACGGAAATCCAAATCGAAAGGCGGCTGTCGCTGCCCTTTGATGAGCCGACCACCACGAGTCTCGTCGTTCTGTTCTTTGAGAAGATGGCGCCTGTCACAAGCACACTCAATATCAACGAGTTCTTTGCAGAATACTACAAACCGTACCACACGGAGGTGTGTCGAGGCCGTTTCCACACCTTTGGTTTCGCTGGGTGTGGCTGGATGCTGCTTTATTCCAGTGGATGCTTCGTCATTCGGGTCTGCTCTGGTACTGACTTGTCGACCTGCCAATGGGCCGTAGTCTTTCAGCTTGCTTATCCGGGTCATTTGCACGATCATCTCGAATCAATCTCCAATCTTGAGGCGTGGCGAATCCTCTTCGCTAGTCGAGGCCCAGAAACGCCTGGTCGATGGCTGCGAAGCCTTGCTCGAGAAGCTATCGGAGGAGAGAAGCGTGTCGATGGCCCACGCTCTGGTCATTTGGAGTCTGGTATCTATCGATTCTGTCGACTATCTGTTTCAAAGGAGCCGAACGTACATCAGTATGTATCCCTGCCAGTGCTATCTGCCTTGTTCATGGCTAACCACTTGATGGACACCTGATTCGTCGGCGGTAGTGATGACGACGCACCGCCGGAGGGGCGCTGCTGTAGGGATGCGTTGGTCCTGAACACAGTCCTCACTCCGCTTCGTTCTCCTGTTTTCATGCTCCAGCAATGGCATATTCCATCGTTCTTGACCTCGGATTCCACCTCGAACCATCTCGAACGATCGACGGCAGTCCGAGCTATGCCACACCGTACTCAAACCTCAGGAACACCTTTGTTCTGCTATACATCTTGGATCGGCTCAGTGCCTTCTTGACGGGACGGCCTGTTTTGATCCCCGAGGACTGTGAGTGTCGAGCAGCTGCCATGTCGGAGTGCTCTCTGGATTGCATATCGACTCTGAAGTGTCGTCGACGGAAAGGACGCTTTCTCCCTGGGGCCGCCACTTGTTATTCATCACTCACTACTCTCACCCATCGTCCACTACGGACGCTCGCCACCCAATGCCCAATGCCCAATGCCGCCGCACATGCCACATGTGTCTATCGGTTCTGCGGTTGCATCGGCTACAACCATTATCTCCTGCAGCATGGGACCCGTCCTTTCTTGGGGATGACCACCAAGTCAACACTGGCAGCCCTGTGATGAATGCCACGTTCCGTCTCTGTCAAATTTCGACGCCAATGTTGAGCGTTCTTAACGGCCCCAAGCACCTCAACACACCTCCACGGCGCAGCGCTGTTGGGCGCAGAGCGCAACAAGAGCTTGAGGAGTGGTGGAGGGCGCTCCCAATATCGTTCAAGCAGACGTCTGAGTCACTCCCGCGAGGGTCTGTGCAGTCGTCGTGGCCAATGTCAAACTGGATGATCGTGCGCTACAACGCATACAAGATCCTGGCACACCGCATGATATCCGAGCGCCACTCGCTTGGTGCAATCAAAAGCGCAAGAGAGATCGTCAACTGCTTCCGGAGCCATCCGGCCCTGTCGTCTCCCTGCCAGCATGTCTTCCAGCGTTCGCTCATGGTCCACTATGCCTTGATGACAGCGACGCTCATGATCGATGCCATCCTCGGTGCGCCAACGAACAAGTCGCTCTCGAGGAAAGATCTTCTCTTTCTCGTCAACGACCTGAACGAGACGCTGTTGTTTCTGAGTAACCTTCATTCTGATGTCGTTGTGTTTTTGCGACTCTTGATCGATAAGTGCGTGCAAAGGCGCACAATGTTCAAGCCGTCGATCAGTACTCCCGAGCCCATCGCGCAACTACAATATGCGAGACAGCCTGCAAAGGAGAGCGTCCAAGCCGCTTTGGTGATCCCCGTTGACGAAGCCGCAGCACCGCTCATCATTGATGTCACTCCTGAGCGACTCATTGCCAAGCAAGATCCTGGGTTGCATCTCGTGTTGCCACGGCACTGGGCTGAACCTGTTGTTCGTGGTCAAAGCACAAGCCTGATTCCGTATGCGGGGACATCGCTGCTCCCATGGATGCCTTTGGACTTTGATGATATGCGAATGATTGCTCCGATTGGTTCGGCGGCTGTCCTCGAAGCCCCAGGGATGCCCAGCACCAGCGACTGCTTCATGCAGACGTTTGACTTGGGCACGATACCGAACATGCCGAACATGCCGAACATGCCGAACATGCCGCGTGTGCCGACTCAAGAGCCTCAGCAGTCCGAAGAGCTGCAGTTGGAGACTATTTTGCGAGAGCTCGAGGATTGAGCTGAGCACCAAGTTGATTGTACAGACATGGGATGGCCGAATCCCTAGCAGCCGAAGAGTGGCTGCAGTCTCTACTGCAGCCCGCGATCTCAACGCGATGGCTTCCTTGGCCAGTATTGCAGCCCAAGCAGACACTTTGCAAGAGCTTGCTGGACGGAATGCACTCTTCCTGAATACATCGTTGTATGTTTGCGAATCATCTGCCATGAAAGTGCGCGAATTGGCACGCCGTCCCCACCCGACAAGGATCTAGGGCGCGCCCGCCACCATAGTTGCACACCGCCGCGTTGTGCGCGCGACGCATTCCCGGTGGCGCGGTCGGTGCCCAGAAAAGCGGCCGAAGCACCATTTCGCCGAGCCCATCGCCACCTTCCAGCCCCTCATCTCATCTTTTTCCCTCTGCCGCCCATCGCCCTCACCTCTCCTGTCGATGGGGCTACTGCAAGCACGCCTATATCCCGGCGATGAGTACGCACCGGTTCATTTTCCTTGCAAATCCGTCTGCTGCAATCCTTGGCTTGGCACCGCCCCTCACACCCCGATCTGCCGCTCTATTCGTTCTCGTCAGGTTCCGACTGCACCTTCCTCAACAGCAATTTCCCTGCTATTCCGTTGGCCTGCTGCGGCGATACCAGCGTGGTCAAATGTGACTCGGCTGGGAGCCGGGTTATCAGTCTGTAAGCGAGCTCGACTGTCGATGCCACCAAGGCCGGAGCGCCTGGCTTGTTGCTCAACTTGGATTATAACCGGCACAGGAGCCGCAAGGGGGCGTCATGACTGTGTCGGAGAGGGTCGCTGCCTGGAGGTGCAAGTGCGCTTGTCTCCCGCATGTCTTGCGGGAAATCGTCTCGAACTTTGGGGCATTGCAAAGCCGGTGCTAAATCTTGCATCCTGTTGTCGCCAGGATCATGGGCTCGATGCAGCTGACTGGGGGGATTCCATCAGGCATCAGCACTTTGACGAGCCTGCAAACCCTGTAAGCTCCGCATGCCTATCCGCAGTGGCACTTTTTCGTTCTGTGGCCAGTCTCGACGTATTGGCACAATACTATGAGTCCAAGAGACTGTTGCGTCCCCTGGACTGGTCTCGGGCCGGCAAGTTCTGTGGCTGATTCGTTCTGGCCTTCTTGACCCTCCCCTCGCTACTTTAGCCATATGGAGATCAACAACCTGACAGGACCGATTCCCGACAGCGTTGGTGGCCTTACTTCCCTCCTCTACTTGTAAGCACTGCGACTCATGCATCGCTATGCCCGCCTTGCCACTATCCTCGCGCTCTTCCTTCTCACTCACACTATTCGTTAACCTGCAAACTCACCTCACTCCCCGTTGACCATTGGATCAGGGATGTGCATCAGAATCAACTTAGCGGCCCCATCCCGGACAGCGTCGGCAATCTGAAAAACCTTCAGCAACTGTGAGTGAATCTGCCCATGGCTTCAATTCGTGGCAGCGTTCTTGAACCGAGCATGTTATGACAACAGTCTTGATACCTCGTTTCCATTCCTACCGGCACATGCAGCAATGTGGACGGCAACGCTTTGAGCGGCCAAATCCCCGCCAGCATCGGCCAGCTCACCATGCTGGCCAAGTTGTACGTGATTCCCGAACCGAGCAGGACGGTGCCAAGAGCAAACCCCTTAGTTGTCAATAACCTCAGAGTTGAGAAACTCGCACGACGCTGACATCTCTCATTTGCGTTGCTCCATTGATAGGAATCTCCACCAAAATCAACTGAGTGGCACTGTCGATTTGGACTTTCGTAACCTCACCCTCTTGAAGTACTTGTGAGTCAGCGACCTGACGGGGCTTGAAGCAACGGCCATTGAGCCCCCGAAACTCCTGCAAGCAAGCACCAATGTCTTGGGTCTCTCGTTTGCTCATACAAACTGCTTTGTTTCGCAACAGAGACCTCTCCAAGAACCCCGGCCTCAACGGCACAATTCGCTTGCCCAGTTGCAACCCTCCCTCGGGCAGCCAAGGATGGAACTTTGGCACCCTTAGCTGCACAACCGATCCTCCCCCTCCGCTTCCCGTGGCATCTTCCAACGACAGAACGCCTCTTCCCCTCAGTCCTTCCCCGAGCCCCACCTCTTTGCCACCGACTGCATCGCCGCCAGTAGCCGCAATCGTCGGATCGGCTATTGGTGCAGTCATCCTTCTATGTGCTCTCGGAGCCATCCTCATCTATCGCAAGAGGGCTTCACGAGGAGCAGACCATCATGAAAATCCTCGGCACCCAAGCTTTGGCCAAGGAAGTCAAATTGGCCTGACGGATCTCAGTTCACCAACTGGAATTGAGCCCCCCCTGCCCAGCTCTGGAAGAACCCAGCCTCATAACTCCAGATCGACCGGTGTAGCCTACAGCTTGAACGCCGTGCCGACTGCGGCTCCTATAAAGCAATATGCTGCCTTTTCGACCAATAGCCCTCCTGCTGGTGGCTCTCTCGTGTCCTCAGACGAAAGCAGCGACACACCAACGGCGGTGCACGCTTCCTATCGAGCAAACTACAACCACGTCGATGCTATGCCCACTGGTCTCTGGGAATCCAAGAGTTCATCCCTGCCTCATATGGGCTATGAAAGCAAGCATGTATACAGCCCCTTGTCAGAGGACCCGCGCTCGGCAAGCCAAGCCCCCGTACCCTCCACTCGAAGCAAGGCAAACTACGAGGCCATCGAGTTCCATGACGCCAGCGGCATCGAGATCGAACTCAATGTCGGCGATCGTATCCAGCTCATCCGGGTGTTTGATGGTGAAAAGGCCGAGGTAGGAAACTCCGTAGGCTGCTTGGCGAATCTCGAGAGTATTGCATCATGGTCCATTTGACGATGGCAATAGCTAACTCTAGAATCCGACTCCTTGGTTCTAGGGCAAGAACGAAACCACAGGCGCCGTGGGTGTCCTCCCGATTCACAAAATCCGACCAATCTTCCAGGGTTCCACTCGCCTTCCCACGTACACTTCACTCGACGGCCACAATATCCATACTCAAGCACGAGCCGGAACAGGAATCTAGCACTAGCATTCTCAGTATGATGGTCATAGTGTGAAAGCCGACTTTGACAACAGCGATCGGCCGGCGGGCTCTGGAACTTGATCCTGTGAGCAAACGCTCTACAAACAGCCAGCGGTAACAATGGTAGCGACAAGGGGTCGATCGGAGACTATCGATGGCCGATGCGAAACCATCGATGGGCGAGAGGCGACTCTGGATGACCACTAAAATCCGTGAGATATATTCCGAAGCAGTGGGTGTTTCGCTCTTCCTTCGAGATGCTCCAACATCAGTACCACACGATATCAGGACGCTGGAGGTTATTAGATCGTGGATTGCCGGTCCGATATTGGGTCGTGATTTGGTGCGGGTCATTCTGCTGTGCGACAGCGCGGCGGTGGTGCTGATATCCAGATACTGCCTGCTCGTCCTGCGAGAGGACAAACGCGTGGTTATGCAGACCTGGATCGGAGGATGCAGCGACTGTCTGCCGAGTCGTTGCCCCAGTTGTGCCAATTGTCCCATCGTACCAGTAGTCTTCGTTCCGAAATCGACTGCTGACCATCCCGTCGGTGGCTTGAAGCGGGCCTCTGCCTGGCGTGGACACACTGGATGGACTGAATGGTCCAGGAAGACCAGAGTGGAGGTCGCCCCAGTGCCCTGTGCGGGCTGAGTTGCCACGAGACGCTGTCGGAGGGCCGAAGCCGGAGGAGTGCAAAGCAGCTGTTCGAAGCAACTCGCGGCCGAAAGGCATGTGGGTCGCGGCTCTGAAAGGATTCAGGAGGGTCGGAGAGGCAGTATATGTGGCGGTAGTCCCGGCAGTGGTTGTCTCAGCAGTGGTTGCAACAACGCCTGCGGTTACAATCCCGCTGTTGGCTGCGATTGGCTGTGCCGGCACAGGTCCACGTCCATTGAGTGAAGACGTTGGTGGTTGTATCATCCATGATGGGGACCTCGCTGCAATTGGCGATGGTGTGAGATCAAGATCTTGAGCGGTACCAAGACTAGAAATGAGCGAAAGTGTTCCGAGGGGTAGGGATGCTCCAGAGGGCGCAAGTGTTCCAAGGGGAGGACGGCCCTCGCTCGGTGCCACTGTGAAATGCCAGTCAGACCACGGATCGATTGTTTCTAGAGGATGGTTTTTGAGGAAGTGGTGCTGTGCTGCCCCAGCGAGGGGCCTATGATGGATGTCCTGGCGGTTGATACACATTTCGATCATGCGGTGCAGTGCATTCGATGCTCGCGGGTTGATGCTGTCGAGGAGAGTGAGAATCTCGTTGAGTTCACAAATAATCGTAATCTTTTCTTGGTAGGTGACAAACTCAGTCGTGGGTCCGCCAAGGATAACATCGAGCAGGAGGCTTGCTGCCACTATCGTAGAGTGTGATATGATCGATATTTGAAAGGCGTGTTTGCCGGGACAGAGCGCCGAGAAAGCTCGCATACACCGAACGATGGCGCGAGCACTGGCGACAGGTGTCGGTGTAAGCTTTGGGGATATCATTCGACTCGCTAAGATCCGAAGGCAGTGAAACTGGGCTTGGAGCCAAAAGCCAATGCGCCGTTCACCCTGCGAAGCCTCTCGATAGTGTGGAGGGATCTTGCTCCAAAATCGGTCGAGTCTAGCGGCAGCCTGCTGCCCAATCGACTGCTGCTTGCCAAGGACGGAAGCTGTCCGAGGTCCATTCAAATTGCAGATCATGTCGCCGGATATCCGTCCCAAATCGACCATAAGTGTCAGGAAGCGCCAGTCATCGTCCGCACTTTGGAGATCGAGGAGGGACGGGTCCCAGGCTGTGTAAACGAAACAGCGATAGCGTGGATCAGGACTGAGGCAAGTCGTACTGCTTCAAGCGCACTTCCGCAGCTCAATGTGCGACTGACTGTCGATTCGATGTGCCTGTTACGACCATTGTCGCCTGTTACCGCCCCTTGTCACCCGCTATCACCAGCTGCCTCTCATTGCCGTGCTCATTTTCGCGGTTCAGAAAGCGTTACCATCATCGCGTATCAGAACAGGTCTTCCTGTCAAGAGAGCCGACAGACAATCGAGGGCATACAGAACGAAAAACGTGCTGCGGTTGGCTTTCTGCGCAGCGGCGTTGGGAGGGGGATCGCCCAAGGCATCCATGTTGAGATGAATAGCCAGCTCGACCGCCATCGACCAGGCCAGTCCTGTGAAGCGCAGAAGCAGTAGTGACAGCGTTAGGAGCGGTTAGGGTACCAGGAGCGCTTGGCAAGTCAGCCAACAGTCGCGATATGGACAACGAACGTACTCATATATAGACTGGCGCTTTGCTTGATCGCATCTGTGCTGTCCAAGCAAATATAGCTCCACAGGATCAGCGCCCGGAGAGTGTGGATGTGGGGGTGCTGCTTCAGCTTTTTGATGGATGACCGACAGTGCTGAATCATCGCTTGGCGAATTTCCTCGACGTTTTGGATCCCCATCATCTCCAGGGATTCGTTCTGGAGCACGGCGAACAAACACATTGTCCAAACAAGCAAACTGAAGGGCTGCGATCGGCAGATAAGGTGCCGTGTAATCGTGTTAGATTAAGGCCGATGCAGGGGAGATGCAGAGCGGATAGACAGACACTGTTGCAAAGACGCCGGATACCTTCCCAGTGCGCGGCTACTTCAAGATGGCGGCGGCAGAGTTGGCGACTATGATGCTCTGTCGACTCACTTTGGAATGGGTGTCCGACTGATATTCGTGGTCGAAATCCGGTCTATGGATCATGGCACCAAGCGGCTTGCCGCTGTGGAAGAAGGCCTTGATCAAGACTGATGTTGCCTCTTCTGAAAACGGCAGCGATTCTGCTCGTGGGATGCGCTGGCTGGTCCACGATGCCGAGGCAATGCGAAATTCGATCAGGCCCTGGGAGTTGCGAGGACATTGCTCCAGACACACTCCTCCTCCAAGCGCCGTTGGCCCGAGGTATGTGGTTGCTCCGTTGGCTGTGTCTCGGACTGCCGGCAAGGTGCAGAGCGGCTCATTAGTGCGGTGCCTGGTGGAGCGACTCTTATCGAAAGGCTTGCCGGATCGACGCTGATCTGTGGCTTGCCCCAGTACTGCATCCTCTGCTGCAAACCCCCATCATCGTGCGTGCTTGTCGTTCCATCAACCAGCGGACATGGTTCGACACTCGAGGGATTGACAGCCGGCGAGCGGCGATGACCTACTCGCACAATAATCCGTGCCCCATTTCTCGTCCTGGAGCGGCAAGAGAACGGTGAGTTTGAGGATGTGGTCCAGATATATGGCAATCCCATCCTCCTTCAACCACAACCACGGAACATCTGCCACCGGTATCGACGAGGCAGCCAGACAAGGCGGTGGGCGAACCGAGGGGTGTTTCGTCTCGATCAAGCGGATACGCACTTTGGGCGGGCTCTCGGATTTGGATGGGGCGGGTGAGCCGGCAGAGAACGGAGAGCCGGCCAAGCTTGGCGACCCAGTGAATCTCCCGATGGATAATGAGCTCAGGGGCTGCGGGCCTCGCTTGAGCTGGGGTTGGTGGTAAGCTTTAAAGCGGATCGATTGTCCAACAACAGACATCAATCTCGGGATCTCGTCGAGTCAAGCGCACTGGCGACCGCTCGCTCTGGAGCAATAGCACACAGGCAGCATTGAGCACTGGCAGGCGGGATCAGGCTGGATTAAATCGATCAGCCAACGATCCCATCGGTCCTTACTGCAGCTGAGACCGCTCGCCAGGCAGGGTTTGCACGGTTGCTCGCCGTTGCATTTGTTGTGCTTGGATCGACATGCTGGAGGGGTTGTGGAGGCAGCAGAGTTGGTTTGAAGCGAGAATAGAGATGCGATCTGGCCACAGAGGAGCCGCCCTGGTCATCGAGGAGCAGGCCTCTCTTTACAACGGACAGCGTCGGATATGGACGTTCCGCTCCCAGCAGCAAGCAGGACGGGCTGCATCCCGGGCGGCACAGAATCGATCAAGCATTGGCAGGAGGAGGATCTAACCATCGCATGCACGGGACGTGCGGTTGGGCTTTGCCCGTTTTGAGGGTTGGGGAGGCTGAGGAGACGACATGGCTGGGTTGACGAGAGGCAAACGAGCGACGATCGGCGCAGATGGCCTGGGCAAATGAGGACAGGGAAGGGACGAGAGTGAAGATTCGATGCCAAGGGCTGGATTGGCAACAAGCGGCGGCAAAGAAGGCAAGAGAACCCGTCCGAAAGTGGTTGACCATGGTTGAGTCTGCATGACACCACGATCTCTGTGCCAAACCGGACGGGGCAGAGAGAGCCGGTCCTCGATCCTGGACCAGGCCGTGCATCGGCCTCATGCAGTCCTGCAGGAATGAATGTGGTCCAAAGAGGATCCTTAACCAGACGGGGAGTTCTTGACCTGATCGTCGCCCTGGACACCGGAGCAAGCAGCACAAGATGAATGGGGAGAAGTACTCTCTGATGAGAGTCCGTGGACCAAACCCGAACAGCAAAGAATGAACATGTAAGGTGTCAGGGCCGAGATATGACCGTCCACGACAAGTCCGAGCCATCGGCACACTTGAATAGACGATCTGGGCCACCCAATACTCCAACGACAGAGCGAGCTGCCTGAGTTCCATCAAGACCTGGATGAATGCGACAGTATGGAGCATGTGCATATCGCCCATCATGCTAACCACAGCACCAATACCAATATTGGCCTAGACGAGGAACCATCTCCGCTCGTTCGGTGATATTGAACTGATATATTAGCCATTTTACTGGCAGCATACTCTGGCCACATCACTTGCTCCATCGGGTTACGGGAGCTATTTCCTCGAGATGGACTTGCCAATAACACTCAGTACTTTGTCCATGGCGCTTGCTGCAAGTCCGCTTATATGTGGTTTGGTGCGGTTGATCTGGAGCCATCTTTTGTCATGATCGTGGGTATTCTCATCCTGGAAGGACAGAATATGGGGAGTGTTGCTGCGGGCTTTCGGCTCTGATGCGACGCACATACGGGGACCTGTGCTCGTGCCCGTCTTCATGATCGAGGGTGGGAAAGAAGGCTGGGATTGATATGTTTCAAGGCGAGACGTCTCCATGCCGGGCGGTGGCGCCATCGAAGCAGTTGCTTGAGGCCGAGGAACCAGGTTGCTGTTGAGAATTGTGTTGTATGCAGTGTGAAGTTCAAGAGTATCGAGTTCGGAAGGCGTCTTTGAAGCTCGAATCAACTCAAGAGCCTCGGCCAAGTTGACTTGGTGGGATATTAGGCGGTCAATTTCTTCGATACTATCCTCATCCGTCCAGCTCTCGTGAGTTGAATGCCCAATGTCATCAGCTTGACCTGCTTCCGCTGCGAAGGAGGGTCCGGAGCCGGGCCCAGGCCAAGTTAGCAAAGGATTATGAAAGTGGATGATTTCGCGAGGCATCTTGTTGGAAAGCTACTTGCCTCTCTCGCTGAAAGTTGGGCGGCTTTAAGTAGAAACCAGTCGACATCCCTCGAGGAGTCTTGCGCTGCTCGACTTGAGTCTCTATGATGGCTGAGAGGTGCAATGATCGAATTGACAAGGAACAAAGAACAAGCAGGGACGAATCGCCGGTTAGTGGTCGTTGGCGCTGATCCACTGACAGGTGCCGACTTGGCCGAATCTCCATCCACACTGCACCTGGCTCACAAACGCTGGTCAGGATGATTCATCGTGGTTGGCCTTGGATTCCGTTAGCCGGAACTCTGCCCTCGATCACCTTGGCTTGACTCTGCTGAGCTCCATTGGAACCCAAAACAATCCTGCGGAGCAACTGGCCGCAGTGCGCTGCGACCATAAATATTGGTTGAGCGCAGCGGTCTGTTGCTCAGCAACATGATCAAGTTTACTGTCGGAATATTTTGTGGTTGATATTCCATTGGTGACCGTCCGTCGGCGATCAATTGATGATGATGGTGGCGATAAGCTAACAGCGCACAATGTCGAGGAAGCCGTGTCCAGTTGAATCGCTGGTATTTTCTGGTATTTGCTGGTATGTGCTGGTATGGGCTGGTATGTGCTGGGATGTGCTGGTGTGCCTGGGCACTCATCACCTCGACGGTTTCCACCTGGCCACCATACTGTCTTTGTCTCTCTCCGCCATCGATCTCGGGGCAGTTCTTGTGTCTGATCGAAGCTTTGAGCGTCTCCAAAGTAGATCTACAACTTGATGGTTGGTCCTGGGACATCGTGGTGACAGCCTCTGAACAGCCACTTCATCGAGTGGTCTGGGTGATTCCAGATGTGTATCCATCGGACGGGCAGGATGCGAGATCGTCTCAGCACCGGCGATATCGTTTCGTCGTGATGGCTCGGCTCAAAAGTGACAGTCATTTGAGGGTGAATTCTGTGTCGATCGATGGTGCCCACTGGGGACACCAAGGCCACCGTTTCCCTGGTCGGGTACTCACAGCAATACAGACCCATTCAGTCCAGCAATCACTGTTTTCATCCCTTCGCCAAATGTGCCCGTGGATGCGGCAGAGTGAGTCATTCTTCACCCAATCGGAGCCCTCGGATCGGCGATTGAGCTATCGTGACTCATCCATTGACCCGGATTGGCTCACGTCATCGCACATGCAAACAGCCGCCAGAGTTTTGCTGGTGCCAAGCGGAGAGGGAAGCGGGCAAGCAGAGGGATCACGATTGTCGAGAGCGGGGGTGTAGCTTGGTTGACTATTGGAGGCCAGCAAACCCAATGGAGGCCGACCAGCATCTCGATTACCATCCGGGAGGAGGGCTGCTTCACGACGAACATCTTTCATCTGGCCGTCTCGACGATGGCTTCGGGATAATATCGTCGATCAGGCTAGCTTCTCCTATCGTGCCCAAATCTCCTCGGACTCTTCTCCATCTTCATCGCTTGAATTCTGGCCAGCACCCATACCTAGTGACTAATTTCAATCACCCGCATCATGCCCCCCTCCGCCAGCCCGTATTCCGCTGTGTCCACGCTTTCGTGCGGACTATGCAGACTGAACACTGCCTCTGGGCGCACTCCGGTCAACCAATTTTTCCGGCTGCCGAGATGTCTGGGCGCAACGGGACCAAGGCGGACGGCATACAAAAGTCGGGTATCCAAAGACTTTGCCTCAGCGGCCTTCATCACTGGTGGACAGCACGACTACGGATCGTTACGTCCATCGTACAAATCATTGTCCCAGCTCGCTTCTCGGCGAGGCCGCATCAAAGACCCTTGCCACGACGGTGTTGCCAACAATCTCGGTAAGCTTGCGATCGTGGCTGATCTGTGCCGGAGTGCATGCATTGATCTAACACATGGGCAATTGATCCAGTTTCGCCACCAGTTACATCTGACACATTTCCTTCAACCGGGCTATGAAAATCCAATATCTCCTCAACAAACCTGATGATGAGCCCATCGCAAAATCCTGGGTGCCTCCAGGCCAACGATGGCCGGTCATGGCTGCTTCCAGTGCACCAACATTACATGTGAATGACTCGAGGAGCCACCCTCACGAGTCGCAAGCATGTTCACCGCTGCTGGTGACATGCTCGCACCCACCCGCTCCGCCGGATGCCATCCGCTCCACACTCCTGGCTTCAGAAAGCCGAACGGCATTCACCCTGACCCGTTCGCGACCTTTGGCACCCAAGGATGCAACATTTGGTTTGATTGGTGGGAAAAGCAACCGGGATCCACCCCCAGCTGGATCGAACACCAAGCCGCATGGACGGAAGCTGTTCGCATGTCCTCACTGCTCAAGGAGCTTTGGTCGGAGACAAGAGCTCCGTCGACACTGTCGCTGCGTGCATGCGACAGAGACTCCGTGGGTGTGCCCTGCCTGTCAGAAGGGATTTGGGAGGATTGACGCCCTGAGGAGTCACCTTGCCACCAAGAAAGCACAGTCCGTGGGCTGCCGGTTCATTCTTGGTGATCTCTCTATCCCTCTCATCGTTTCCCTTTCAGCAGTAGCTGTGGTGTAACTCAGGATGAGTGAGGGCTTGATGCTGCTGTCGAAAAGAATGGAGTATATTCCAACATACATTCTTTCACACTCAACTCCATCCCCCACATCCGACGGCTCAATCACATTCACTTCTCCTTCACTCCACTTTGTGCCCGCACACGGCAATTATGAATTATCCAGTTCTTCGACATGAGACTTGCATCTTCCAGGTCTCCTTCTGCTCCCCTCCTGGCGCCACCAAAACTACGAATGCGAACGGAACAGATCCTGGTTTGGAACTGACCGAATATCATCTGGTTCAAAGTAGAGAACGAGTCCGCCAGCGGGGTTTTACCTTCACTCATTCGTGGCTCTGGGAGTCGAGGTTCTGGCACCGACCAGGCACAAAGAGCCTCTAAACACAACTCCTAGGCCTGCTGCTGTGCACTGGATCTGTGCATGTGGAGTCGAGCACCAGAGCCAATTTTTCGCTCGAGTCTGTGCTGCCATCCCGCACTACTTGGTTGTGGCCTGACCAACTCGGCATCGAGATGAGGGCAATCATGTGTATTGTGGTATCAATGTATGTATCTTACATCTATTGGGATGTCTACTGGAAAAGGCTGCCAATATTGTCCAGGTGGAATCAACCTCTTGTCCTGGATAGCCTTCTGCATCAAAATGGGTTGTGTGAGCACAATGTCAGCGAGAATACACCATGGCTAGACCGCATCCCACAGAGTCTTCACATATGTTCCTAAGATACTCACCGAGTTCGAGGATGCTCTTGAGCGAATGCTCGACCTATAAAGCGCTTTATCTTTGAGACGGCCTTGGCGAAGGCTCTCCGCAGCTTGTTTGTCGTCTCTATCACCTTTGCCAGAAGTGTTCCCATTCGCGATCTGGAAAGTTTGATCAGGAGCAATCTCTGGTTGCGATCAGAGAGACTCTCGTCCTCGAAAGAAAGCATGCGGGATCAACGCTGTGATCTTCATCATCAGGAATCGTTGAAAGGTAGGTGCTTGGGCAAGTGCTCAAGCTCGCCACAGATATTATTGAGGAGGACCGGCGTGAGGGAACATAATGGCCCGCAGTAACTCCGGACGAGGCGGACGACAGGATGGTTGCAGCCGTGAGCCATGGAATCAGCTCGCTGTTCACGATGGTGTTGTAGGCTGTTTGGAGTTCGACGGGATCGTGTGTTGTGGGGGCGGTGGATGTGCGGATCATATCAAATGCCTCGATGTAGTTCTCCCGGAGCGACTCTTCAAGGTCAAGCTCCTCGCCGCTCTTGCTATGCGGCCGGTCATGATGGGAGTTACATCGAACACAGGTTTGGGGCTTCTGCCCCATGATGTAGCAGTAGGTGCTTGTGTCAGAACGAGAGCTAGTTGAGAGTGACCAGCGGACGTGGATGCGAATGATTTGAGCTGCATAGCGACGGAGGTGGTGTTCGTTGAGGATCACAATCGGGCGATCGAAAGGCGATCCACCGTTAGTTTTGTATCCGAGGATGAAAGGAGCTGCCACCAAGTACGAGACATATTCGTCAAAGGTTGAGCTTTTCATCTGGCAACCTCGGCTTGGCGGCTGTGGCCATGCCGAACTGGCCGATGAGGGGGTGGGAAGCTGGCGGAGGATCATTGCGGGGTTGCTCCGCTGTCTCCAATATTTGCTCTCAGTCCACTGGCCCGGGTCAAATTCTGAGTCATACTGGCATGGGAAGGTCTGGCCAAACAATCATCAACTTTGATCACCGCAACAGTTACTTGTGTTGGAAACAGAGCATCCAGCCCACAGCCCACCGTTCTTGCAACATGAGCAAGTGTGTCTGGCAGGGCCCGACGCTGGCCAAGTACACAACCAATAGCCAACGCAACAATGCTGTTTGTTGCCCGGATTAGTGAGTGCCCGCCAATTCACCTGGTTGTGATCCAAGTCCAAGTTTATCCGACAGGTCCTGTATCGAGCTGGGTGCCGTATCTGCGCCCAAAGAATTTGCCAGGCTCACTCGTGCTGATTGCCCTGGGCCTTCTGGGCTCATCACGATATGGATCAATCGCCTCGGGGAAAGCCGCATCCCCACCATTTGCAATCCACAGCACCACACACACATCGCGAAATGGTGGGTATCAGACAACGCAGACGACTTGGGGCGCGGATTTGGCTGCTCATCCAGTTTGTCTGCTCGGGTGGGTTGTATGTTCGATGGCTCGGGGATGTTGTTCGTGTAGTCGCCTCGTGCTGTTGTCAGCAATATTGCATCGGCCTTCGTGCTCGCCACTCTCACGAGATAAGCTTCATTGACTGGATCTCCACTTTCGCCGGCAGCTGAGTGATCCCGTATATATCTTGACGATCATCGATCAGCCCACGAGGGTTCGTTGCTCGGGGTTTGGCTCACGGCGTCACGGACGTCCGATCGATCATGTTCCTGTCCTGCAGCTCCTCCGGCAGGAGCACGACGGAAGCTTAGTTTCAGAGCAAGTGTCATGATACCACTGTCATTTGCATTCCCATGAGCGAATGTCGCATTGATCGCTGGTTCGCTTGAACCAAGATTGCGTGTCGCTTGGCACACTTTCTCATCGATCCCTCCAAGCGCCGATGCTGATGTTGATGCAATTCGCCGGTTTGTCCAGTTCCGCGCTTATGACCGAAGCCTCGAACTTTGTTGTTCGTGCTCGCCTCGTTTCTGCCGACGGCCAGGAAGACAGGAGCTTTGTTGTTCCACCCTCACGACTCAAAGAGGTTGTTCCAGTACCGTTCGGACCACTCCGAACATTCCGACCACCTTCATCAGTGCCGGACAATCCCAACCTGGCGATCGCCTTGGCCAACTCGACTCACATCCAGCACACAGATGGCGTCAATCGAGCCGACACCATTGCGCCGTACAACGGCGTCAAGCAAGGCGATGTAGAATCGCCGCCTGGATCGTCGATGGCCTTGGTGGCTCATTTGCATGAGCCCGATCCCAAGAAAGCGTTGAGCAGTGGCCACCGAACGGTTTTTGGCACCACAGAGTCCCCAAATCAACATCTCTCTCCGGGCTGGGCCGACAGCGAGTTGTATATGAGCAGATTGCTGCCATATGCTCAGCACTCACTCTTTGGTGCCCTGATTTCGCCAAGCATCTTCGCCAAAGGTGTCAATGGCACCGAAGCTGGGATCTACTTTGTGTTTGGAGCATTGTTCATTCGAGTCGAGGGGACCTATCGACTCATGTTTGATTTGGTTGATCTGAGCAACGCTCGGTAAGCCTGGCACGATGCCTCGCCCGGTTCGACGCTGCTGGGGCGAAGCGATGGGAATTGCGACGGATGTCATCGTGGCCAAGGCAATGGCCAAGGCTCAATCGCCCTGGTCATCGAACCGCTCAACATTGATTCAAGCTTGGACCACTCACACAGCTCTCATTCTCCTATGGTATGACTCAGACGGTCCCCAAGCAGCAGCTGCCGGATACTCGCGAGCATTCTGTCCACTCCGTTGGTGTCCCACGGATGGAAAGCCTTTCCGGGGATGGGCCGTGAGTTTGTTCCTTCGACATCCACTCGGTTCGCTGGTGGACATTTGTGTCTGGCTGTATTTTGCACTGGTTCGTCAGTCGTCGACGACATAAACTGGCTCACTGCCTGCCCGGGTGGATTGGCAGCTCATGTGCTCTGTGATATCACTTGGTCTGTGAGCTCATTTCCACTGCCTGCTTGATGGTTCGACCTCAACATCTGAAATGCTGGATACTATCATTCCATTCCATCCCCACATCTTGACCCAGAGCCTTCATCGACCCTCAGAGACTTGGTCAAACAAGGAACAAAGGTCACCAGAAAACATAGTCCCGAGAAATCTAACTGCGAAATGAGTGCAGGGTGATTTGATATCTGGCTCGTTGAACGTGATGACCACGGTTCTGTGACTACAGTCGGTCCAGAAAGAGACGGGACAGTCGTAGGCCCCAGTGGGCAAGCCGTGGGATGGTTTCCCGTCCTGGTTGGCAGTCTCTTGGTTTCGTTGGTTTGGGAAGCATGGTATTGAATATACTCGATCGATCCCTGTGTCGATGTGGGAGTGCGGTGCATTCACTCGAGGTGCTTTTTTTTTTTTTGTCTCAATAGCCCACTTTTATTAGTGTGTGCCTGCCCTCAGCATCACTAAAGAGCTTCTACCTCTGGGTCAGTTCTCACGAAGCGCACCATCCTCTCACTTCTGTCGTATTCAACATGTCTGAGGAGGTCGAGGATCTTGTCTATCGGCCCCACGCTGTCGTGGGAATCGACTCCTTCCTGGATAGTGGTGTGCTTTGTGTGGCCGCGGCAACAGAGGCCAGGGGGGGTAGTTGAAGGGGTAGGAGTGGTGGTGGTCGGCTCGGGCAACCAGGAGTGTATTTCGCAAGCACCGATTCGATTATCGATCGATATCCCTCGGACGGCGACGAGAATCACATCCAAACACCTCGGTTGGCCCAAGGCGGTGATTGGGGCCAACCGCGATGGAGGCCAGGGCACTCAATGGTTCTTGATGCGCCGACCCTTGCCAACGTGCTTTGTTTGACCGAGAAGCACGCCTCGGTCATGTGAGAGTCAGGCTCAGCAACCATTCGACAGGCAGAAGTATATGACAGCGAGCCAGTTGGCTGATTGGTTTCGTTTGTGCAGTCTAATCAGCTCTGTGGAGCAAGTCGATGAACTGCCGATTGAAAGGGCACTCGCCAGTGCAGGCGATAACCCCGCATGGCAGCTTTGGCATCTCACCCTCTCGGTGAATCGGTGCATCAGTGCATTCACATGGCTATGGATGGCTCAGCAACGGACGAACATCTGGAATATAAGCTTCAAGGCGTTGTCGACAAGAACCACCCAGTCGGATGTGATTGGGCCTAATCCTCGACAAATGTCTTGTGAGCGAGCTGGATCCGCTCGAATCGTTCAACGCAGCGACAATCGCCCCGATGGGTCCAGCAAAGTGAGGCTGATTCCACTTGCCATTGGTGCTCCTGTTCCCTGCCTCTTCGCTGCAAGTAAATGCGGGCTGACTCATGGGCGATCCGCCGTCAAATCCACCACCCGGGGATATCGAGGATATCGGGGATCTGCCACCAGGAGGCCTCGTCCCTCCACGACCAACTGCTGCCTCAGCAATCATCCAGGCGAATGACCTCGCAAATGTCGGCTTCGGTTTCAGTCGACTGTCATCCATCCCAACCGTAGCGCCGCCGCTCAAGCAAGACCCCGATGCAGACTTGGCATTTGGCTTGGACCCAAGCGCCGCCCAGCCCGATTCCGGAAGGTCGGGGTTGTCGAGCCCGACCCAAGAACAAACCGTGGCCTCGTTGCTGCCCAGCGACAAGGATGAGCTTGCCTCTGGAATCCGCACCAGCCTGATGTCCCGACGCCGAGAATCGTCAACATACAGCTGCTCCTCCGACACAGAGGATCCAGCACAGGCAGAAGCGCCAGCACAGGCAGAAGCGCCAGCACAGGCAGAAGCGCCAGCACAGGTAGAAAAGTCAGCACGGGCATCCGGCTCGCTTGATGCCGCGAGATGTGCAGAAACCCCAGTTCCCACAACCCGCCGCCGGTCGTGGCCGGCCCCGAGTCCAGCGGCAGTCGAGTGTTTCGTCGATCGAGGCCAAGACCTTTGCCCGACTCTGTCGCTGGAGATGGGATGTATTCCGGTGAACCGCAAGGCTCTCAGCGATGGCTCCTTGGATCCCACCATTCGGACAGCATCGGAATGCTCCCTCGCATCATCGCATCGGATGTCAACCGACCGAATGGGTCGCCCGTGCACGGAGAGTATGATGGACCAGCATCAGCATCATCGACGAGACGTGCTCGGCCGAGTCAGCGCAACGCAAAAGTTTCGACAGCTGCAGTCGCTCGAATATTCATCGTCAATGACCTGCTCGGGGCAGCACCCCTCCGAGATTGGCACTGGACCGACAGCCGGCGATTATTCCGACCTTCGCATCCGTGTCCACGAGCTGCAACTCCAGATCGACAGCGTCAAGCGAGAGATTGCCGCTCGGTCCAGCAACGTTCCGCAGGACGATACATCCAGCGCCGAGGAGGGGCAATGCGCCGGCCTCTTTCACAAGATGGCCGAGTTCTTCCAAAGGATCCGGCGGCGACCCGGCGCTGGCAGTGCAGGCCACAAAAGTCGATTGGGCCATTGACTGGGTTGATTGTTCAGACACTGACTGCACAGACAGCCGATGGCATTGCTCAAATGTTCGTCGAGACAGGTTGCTCGTGGTGGCATTTTCGTGGGGCCAAATGGGGCCAAATACACAGTTGCATCAAATGGAGGGCGGCCAACATGAGTCCATCAAAATGCTCCATATCCAGCCGAGTCTGAGGCGGAGAGCTCACACTCCATCGTCGCTGCTGTCCCGAGCACACTCCAGCCGGGATCATTCCATGGCTGGGGAATTTGGATGCGTTGGTTGCCACAAACAACGAAGTTCCAAAGAGAAAGTATTTTGCCATTCATAGTTTGCCATCCACGGCCTACCATATCTCCAATGTTGGTGGTGCTTTGCGCAACTCCTTTTCACGCCGTCTCGAGTTTTGCTCCTGCTGATATTCGCCGCCCATCCAACCTCATTGGCACACTCGACCTGATTCAATCATCAGCTCCACCCGACATATGTGCTGTACGGCCATTTCAATTCAGCGCCAGTGAAACTTGTCGAAGGAACAGTGATTTTACACCTAGCAGTCGACACTGGCATTGTCTTTGGTTTCCTTGGCCTCTCGTCGGTCTCCAAATCCGCCTGACACAATCGCAGCCATAATCCCGCGCGACTATATTCCATCACCCAGTCGGCCGCCTGGGTCTCAGCCTCCTCCCTCTCCAACGGCCGGGAAGCGTCGCTCCTTCCTTCCAGTATTTACCCTTCGGCGCGGACACGCAAACATGCCGAAACTTCAGGACGGTCAAATTCTGGGAGCTAGCAAAGATCAGATTCAACAAGATAATCTCCGGAGCTCCTCTCTGAGCGATGTCTGGGGAAAGCTGCAGCAAAACAAGATGTCTCGCTCGCGAGCATCGATATCTCCACCCGGCTCCCCGCTCGGCGGATCATCGACAATGTCGCATTTCGACCCGAGTCAATTCCAGTCCTTTTCCGTTAATCAAGCAAAAGGCCTCAGAGGCTCCCAGAGGGCAAGTCAATTACTTGGAAACGATTCCTCGAGCTCGACATCGTCCATCAGGGACGCCAAAGACTCTCGCCTCTTGGTTCTCTCCAACTCTATATACGGAGCAGCGCTCGCCTCGCAGTTGATGCTGCACAACAATGACGGAACAGGAGGAAGCACTTCGAATCTAACTGGGCGACAGAAAGTCTCCTCTATCTATGGCTCGGTCTATCAGCCCAACGGCGGCACTTCGCCGGCGGCAAACTCGGTCTCGTCCTACAGCTCGCTTGTGGCAGAAAGTAAGAAGAAGATTCCAAAAGAGCAAAAACCTTCAAAGGACTCGAGAGCTCGCCGGCCAAGTTCCCCAGCAAGTTCCAGTCTCTCACCCAAGAACTCCATTGGCAGCTCCGATCTCGGGGCCCCCTCGCCATTCATCAGTCGTCAGTCAAGTATCAAAGGCTTCAGAAAACATCCACAATCTGCGTCGCAAGACTTTCCAGCGGCGCCACGCTTTTCCAAGCTCGCCGATGAGAGATCACGATCGGCGATCGCCAAGACACATAGTGTTGGCAGTGGCGATCTCATCAATCCTGTCGAGAGCAATACATCATCCAGCTCGTTGATGGCCCCCAAGCAGTATTATACGACAACCAATGCGTCGGGGTCGCAAATCCTGGACAGCTCCCTGCGCCAGTTTGCACCCTATAAAAGTGCCTCGAGCCGCGACTATGCTTCGTCCGAGTCGATTCCCACAAAATCGATGAGGACCGTGGCTTCCACGACCCGATCACAGCAGTACAAATCCGAAAACGACCCGCGCAGATCTTCAAGGTCGAAGCATCGAACGGAACGAAGCCAAGACGACGATCTGGCATCTTCAAGATCCCCCACGACCGAGGATATCAACAGCCTTCGCATGCAGATCCAGGGGCTGCAGAGTCAACTCGACAGCAAGAAGAAAGAGGCCAGCACCCGCTCCAGCACCTCGTCTTATGATGGAAGCGCCGCCGAAAAGCCAAAGAAGACGAAATGGGGACTGATCCACAAAATACGTAAGCTCTTCATGAAGTCAAAATCAAAGAAAGAGTCCAGCTCAGGATCTTCGTATGCGACGGATTCTGCACCAGCGTCGGCGCCGGCGTCAGCCCCGGTGCTCGTTCGGGGATCGGATCGGATGTGAGTGTTCGGGCGGAAAGGGTGCTGTCGAGTGTCGCAGCTGTCTCTGGTGATCCCGCGGCGGAATATCGACTGGAATATCGACGTTGCCATGCTCTACGAAGCCATGATAGGAAATAAACTATGGCGATGGCTATGACGGCTGTACCATCGGGCTCGTATCCGCGTGGGAGAACAACAGCACAAGGCGCGAATGGGAAACAACCAGGGCCGCCCTGGTTGTCATCTCTGCCGTCCGCCACCCGCTCTCTGCCATTTGCGCGCTGCCATCTCTCCTCCTCGCCATCATCCAACGCACGCCGACCCAGTATGCGCTCGCTCTTGTTGTCGAAGCCCTTCAGCACCCGAATCCGTCTGGCCCGGACCTTTTCGTCAACATCCCCGTCCGCTCTGCCCCAGTGGATCCTGAGGGCCGACGACGAAACCGACAGCCAGGCCCTCCAGCGTCGACTCGAAGCTCGCCCCGCTCACCTGGTCCGAGCCGCCGAGGCCAAGAAAACCGGCACGGTCCTGCTTGGAGGAGCCATCATGTCCGAGTCCCGCGATCGCATGGTCGGCAGCGTCATGGTCCTCGAGTTCGAGACCCGCGAAGAGGCTGAAGAGTGGGTGATCAACGATCCCTACATCAAGAACAGGGTCTGGCAGCGGTCGTTCACCCTGGAGCCGTTCCGAATCCCCGACAACATGAAGTAGGCTCCTCCATCGCAGAGCCTCAATATACTCCAGTATTCCCACTCACCTGCACCGCCTCCATGTCCCTCGCTTCTTTCAGCAGTCGAGTCTCCCCACGGTGTTGGGGATAGACTCCCTTTCTCCTGCGCATGGCGCCGATCGATGACCGGGATGGGATTGGATTGGATGGGATTGGATGGGATGGGATGCCTGCGGATACGACTTTGGTTGTAAATAGCCCGCTTCCTGCTCGGCCATCACTTCGCATATCATCATCATCCTCTCCGGTCAGCCCATCAACTCCCGCCATGAGAATCGGCTCCATCCTGTTCCCCGTCTGGGAGGTCCTCGACATCCTCGGCCCGCTCGGTGTGCTGATCAGGGCCTCCCGCATCCACCAACAGGCCGACGGCAACAACGGCATCACCGAGCCAGCCGAGTTCGTTGTCGTCAGCGAGCACGGTGATATCCCCACGCCTTCGTCGGTTGGGTCCTTTGCCGTCTGGCCAGACCACAGCTTCGACACCTGTCCACAGCTCGATGTTCTGCTGGTTCCCGGAGGCATGGGCACTCGCACCCAGGTCAAGAACAGCCAGATCCTGGACTTTGTCCGGCGCCAGGCCAGGGGCGCTCGGTTTGTCGTCAGCATCTGCACCGGATCGGCCATCCTCGCCGAGTCCGGCGTCCTGGAGGGCAAACGAGCGACGACGAACAAGATGGCCTGGAAGAGCATGATTGTGGTTCGTTGTCTTGGTGTCTTTGCGACGATTCCTGCAGCGACTCTGGCTTGACTGCATCATCGAACCTTTCATCACCCAACATGCTCCAGGCGCATCCTTGACTCTTGGTCCGTTGACTCTCCCCAGTTCGGCAAGCATGTGCAGTGGGTCCCTGAGGCCCGCTATGTTGTTGATGGTAATGTCGTCACCGCCAGCGGCGTCTCGGCCGGCGTCGATATGGGCATCTGGCTCAGCGAACAGCTCTTTGGCCAAGCAGCCACCCAACAGACCCTGGCCGAAATCCAGTACGAGCCGATGGCCGCCGGCGACGATCCCTTCTGGAGAATCCACCAGCAGCCGCTGAAGGGTACGCAGCTGGGCATTTGCACTGGGACATATTCCCAACGACGGCGATCCGAATCGCCCACTTGCTCGCTCGCTGATAAGGTGGCCCTTGCTCAACGCTCCCTTCGATTGCAGATCTTGCTTCGGCGGAGCAGCCTTGCATCAAGCGAGTAATCCTGGCGCTCGTTGATGGATTCGAGCTGCTGGACATTGCCGGGATCGTGCAAGTCATCAAGTACCTCGCCCTTCGCGGTGTGAGTCTGGACATCATCAAACTGACTGCCGACAGCCCCTCGCTTCCCATCAACGAGCACCGCATTCGTGGCCACTACGCTTTCGGCGGCGACTCACAGGCATCGCCCGGAGGCAGGTTCAGTCCCATCCGTGCTGTCTGCAGCCGCTCCCTGTCGATGTCGGAGGCCCTTGCTGACCCAGCCCGGCTCTTTGGCGATGGCCTGAATGAGTTTGGGTGGGTCTGCATCCCGACGGCCAACCGCAACGACACCAGGCTCTCACAACAGCTTCAGCTCCTGGCCACGGGCCTCGCAGCAACATTTGAAGGATACGTTCTGCTCATGGGCTCGTGCGCTGGCGCCACCGACTCAAGTCGCCTTCATGACCGTCTGGTTCAAGCTCCGTCGGGTCTTGCTGGTACGATTCTCTTGGCACGGTCGATAAAGCGTTGCCCTTTCGGACCGCTGCGCTTGAAACAGGAACACTTGTCCGCGCGCTGGTGCTGATTTTGACACTTTCATGCTGCGACGCATGTCGGCGGGGCCAACTCGCCGCCATAGGCATCACGGCCGCACTGCAGATCCTCGAGAACTTGACTGGGCCCGAGTTTGTCCGCATTGCGACGATTATGATGGAGCTTTCGCCAAATCTAGCGCTGCCCTCATCGCAGTAGTCTTGCGCTGGTGCTTTGCAATCGAGAAGATCAGCGGTTGAGCAACGATGGTGGGAGATGGGAGGATATCAACGGCCCAAAGAGCGCGGGGTCAAAGCCAGAGCAAAGAGTCGTCTCAGTAACAGGGTCCCGTTGTTGGTTTTGTGAGTGCCGATATATTCGCATCTGACTCCTGTTGGTGCGTTGGTGTGAGGACAGATCGACAGGAAGATCCAGGTCGGAGAGATCAGATATTGGTGGGCTCAATATACCGCTGCCTCTTGTTCCCATAACTGTAGAACACGTACAGTGTGGTAGCGGCAATTCCCATCAGGAAGACGCCTGTCGAGCAAAGATACAGGGAGAAAGCAGCAACAGGGGCGTTGGCATCCATGCTGGTCAGTCACAGAGGTTCCGTTTCGAACGGGGCTGTACTGATACTTCTCGATTGTTGACCGAGCTGTCGGCAATGCTGAACCGCTATCGAGTCCGCTTCAAACCAGCCAGCCTCCAGTAGACTCGCACTCCAGCAGCACACCCAATTACGTACCGACACCTGCGCTGACACCGGCAACAAGCGTCACGTCGTTGGGGTTGACGCTGACGCCGGTGTAAGAGTATCCGTACGAGCTCCCGCCGACTGGGCTCGAAATGATGCTTTTTCCGTTCGGGTTGGCGCCGTTCGAGTCCTGCGAGCGAGGGTCGGACGGAGGTGCATTCATCTGGCTCGGGAAGGGACCAGTGTAGCACGACACCTTGAGAGTCGAGATTTCAGAGGAGTAGCTCGGCTGAGGACTGGTGGTCCAATCGAATGAACCTTGGACGGCGATCGAGTGCAGCGATTCTGGTGAGCGGGGTGTATTTCCGCAGATACAGTGTTCATGTGTGCATAGGCCAATACTATGTCCACCGCTCGAGGTCCAAAGATGGTACTCTTACCTGCCTCGAGATCGCCCTCCACTTGTCCGTCCCAGACGCCCATGATGATCTGCGAAGGCGACGATGGGTACTGTATCGACACCGCGCCGAGACAGGGGCGTCAGAGCTTTGGCCGCTGCGATCTTGCTGCCGATGCATTTTGGAGGAGAATCCCACAGCGAGGCACATGGGGGCGGACATGCAGCGTGTGGGAGGCGTACCTGGTACATGGCCGAAGAGTTGCTCCATGTTTGGAACTTGTTGATGGTGCCTGCAGCAGTTCCGTCGACAGAGAAGCTATTGGCCCGAGGTGGGTCAGTAGGGCACAGTGATATCGGAGTGAAATGCGAATGGCGATACGAATGGCGAGATGGATCAAGAGACAACGGCGGTGTCGCACATACGTGAGGTTGTAGGGCGTCCAGTCGATCCGGTAGGTGTGGAAGTTGGCAACGTTGCTGCTTGATGTGGTGCCGGAGATACGGCCGCCGGAAGTGAGGGAGCCTAGACAGGAGATGCCGATACGGAAAACATTGACAGAGACATGTATCAATAACAAGGGAGGAGGGGAAGTGCGAGAAGCATACGATACGAAGCATACGATACGAAGCATCGGATACGAAGCATGCATACGAAGCATTCGATATGAAGCAACGAGCGCACCGTATGCATACGGCAACGTACCATGTGGTTTGGACGTAAGCACGGTTGTGGTGGGCTGGTTGCCGTACAGCTCGATGTCGATCTCGTCCATCGTGGTGGTGTTCAGAAGCGTCAAGTAGGTGATCATCGAGGGCGTTCCGCTCTGGCGGACAGTCCACTCGATCGATCCAAAGTAGAGCGACAGCTGGAGGATATGCAGATCGGTGCCGACGCCATATTTGCCAGAGGTTGGTCTGGACACGGAATGGCCACCGTCGCAGATCGGATGAGGCGGCGGCGCAAGCCCAATTCGAAATCACGGGCATTAGGGAGAGAGTCCAAGACGCTTGATTCAACGGAGCCGCAAGCATTGCCCACGGAGTCGAAGGCCCTTCACATACGGGAAAGCATATGGATACAATAGCCGGAAGTCGCCCAACGAGAGCACAATCCGTTGAAGGACGCAGGGCACATGCTGCTGGGTGTGACTCACTTTTGCAGGTAAATCTGGGCATTGTTGTTATCGAAGGTGATTTTCCCGGGTGACTGGACTGTGGGGGGGGGGCAAAAGTTCCGAGCAGCAATCCACAGAGCAGGGTCGTCAGCATCGCATCCTCAAGAGTGAGCCGGGAGATGACGTGCTGGTGGAAACCTGCTCTCGCCCAGCGATCAACGGCGGCATATGGGTGCATAGATCCCCTGTGCTGCTCCTGCCCACGCCAGACTTGCCACTCCACATGGATGTCGGGAGACTGCCCCAGTTGGAAAGCGTCTTGATGCAGTCTGAGGAGCTTTGAGCTGTCGCTGTCGGGAGGACGACTGCTGCGAGGGCGATCCAAAGACCCAGGAACGAAAAGCCGGACATGGTGCAGAGGCGACGGCTGTGCGGGTCGACAGGAAGCGAGGCTGATCGAGAGAGAGGTGGATACAGATGCCGCCGAGCAGAGAAGAAGCAGATGTTGGGCCGGTGTTGGCCAGGGCAGCTTTGGGCATTTCGGCCGGATGAGCATGCACCGCCACCATATCGCGCGGGGCCATGGCGGTGGCGAGCATGCAAGCACGGGACCGCACCCCTTGTTGGTTCCACTCTGGAGTTCCATCGCGCTGCGAACCGACCCAGGAAGCAATAGGGATCTGGTGCAGAAGGAACAGATCCGAGGCGGCGATGCTGGGGGCGGCAAGAAAAAGTCTATTTTGGCCCTGAATACGCAGTGGCTGTCGGGCCGCTGCTTGCGGATGCTCCTCCCGGAGGCCCGCTGTGCTGGGTGTTCGCAGGGGTACTCGAGGACAGAGCCGGTGTGCGTCCCATCGACGGCGGATAGTTCGGTGGTCTGGGGCCGCCAGCACGGGCCGCGGCAGCAGCGGCAGCAGCTTCGGATTGTGGGCTTATGGCTCGAACAGGGGCCCACATGCCTGGCAGCGTCGAGGGCATCGATGGCGATGGCACAGACGAGTGGGCGCTGTGCCCCCCAGGACCCATGCCGGCAGATGGGGGATATGAGCCTGCAGGATGCACATGGATGGGAGCGAGGCTGGGTGGCGGTCGGAATGACGGTGGTGGTGGCGGCGGCCTTGAAGCCGGGACGTAGGCATCCTTCGATGATGCCGCATGGGGCTGAATCAGGCGGGCCAGACTATGCTCCCGTCCAGTGTTTTGCGACGGACGGAAGACCGACGAAGGCGGAGGACCGTTCGCCGGCCGGGCGATGTGCGGATTCCATGTGCCGCCGGTGTATGCTGGATCGCCGCCATAAGCCATGCTACCATAGATGCTGGGATGCATCGGTGCGCTTGAATACGGCCTGGTGGGAGGCTGGACTGGCACTGGCGCGGGCGCGGGCGGATAGTAAGGTCCTTGCGAGTGCGGCATTGGTTTCGGCATGGCCATGGACTGAGGAGCCGGATATGGGCGATAGCCTGGCACAAACGCAAATGGCCCGGCCTGGTTTGGAGGCGTGGTCGAGCGGGAAGCGCTAGTGTTGGGCGGTAGAGATGGTCCGTCTGTTCCAGAGGCACTGGCTCCGTTGGAAGATGGCGGTGGTGGGGCATAGGCGGCTGCTGGGCCGGTCGGCTGAGATTGGGCAGATGATACCTTGGCTTTCTTTGGCGGCTTTGGGACGGACGGGTCATCAGGCTTCTTCTGCCGCTTCGCTGGCGCAGGCTTCGATGCATCGGCTCCCTTGAGTGGCTTGGCGGACTTGAGCTCGGCACTGACAGATGCAGTCGCTCCGTTGACTGGGATGGCACCGGTTTGGGTCGACACCGAGTCGAGGGATCCGGGTTGGGTTGGCTGAGAGAGCGATGCCAGCGACCCCGATGCAGTCGAGCCAGATTGTGCAGGATCGGCTCCAGGCAGCGGCGCCGCTGCGGGAGTGGGCGGAGCAGGTTGTCCATTCACAGCCATGACAACTGCAGGCTTTTCTTTCTTCTTGTACGACTTCTTGGGCTTGGGTTTGGGTTGGGCTTCGGGGCCCTGCGGCTGCATTGCGCCCGTCTCCTGTCCATCAGCCGCGACGGCAGCACCCGCTTCAACTGGCACGGCAGGCTTTTTCTTGGGAGTGTATGGCCGCTTCTTCTTTGGTGGCTTGCCGCTGTCTGTCTCCATCGACGAGGGGTTTCCGTCGGGTCCCAAGGACTTGACCTTGGACGGGTTCGCGGATATCTGTGGCTCGGGGGGTATAGATGCATCAAATCCGGCGGCTGCAACAGATGCTCCTGCGGCAAGGCTGCCTGAGAGCGCTGCTGACGCGATGCCGAGGAGTGCGCTAGATACTGACAGCAGCGATGTTGACCCGTTTGCGTGGACCTCAGGGTGCGGCTGCTCGGGGCCGCTGCGAACCATGGCAGTCGGCTCGTCATTGGCATCGACTCTGATGATGTCAACAATCGAATCTGGCTCCGCTTCTGACGAGGCGCCCGATTCGCCAGGATACGGCGTCGTGGATCCGCTCGGGCCTACCGAGGCCACGCTCCCGGTCACCGACGCTGACAGTGAAGAAGCCGCCGCGACAGCAGCAGCCTTGGCTTCCTGGAGTCGTCTCTTTCGCGCCTGGTACTTTGCCGCTCGCTTCCGGCGCAACTCTTCTTCCTTGAGGCGCTTGGCCTCCTCGCGCCTCTGCTTCTCAGCAGCAATGCGCTGGGCCTCGGCCTCTTGTCGCAATCGCTCATTTTCGCGTTCTTCCTTGGCGATACAAGTCTCGCAAATGAACTGAGCGGCCTCCCAGCGCTTCATGTCGTCTTCGTCGTCTGGATTGCCCCCCTGGTGGGCAATCTGGCAGTCCAGGTGCTGCCAAACGTGGCAGCGCTCGCATTCAATCATAGTTTTGCCATCTGCAACCAGGCCGACGAGGGCGAATCGAGTTAATCCGTGACCCTGATAGGGAGGAAGAATGCACAGAGGAGGCACGGCCCATCGACTTGATACTGACCATCCAGTCGTTCGCCGTAGACGCCGCAAACGCAGTCAAAGTACCAGGCGTCTTCGGTCAAGGTCTCGTCAAAGACTTCGGGATCGGGGCGCTGCGAGCGGCGTCGAGATGACTGCCGCCGCTGTGCATCGATCTGGACTGCGATTTCGCTCTCCGGGGGCTCGGAAACGACGGCGACCTCGACAGCGCCTGTTTCAGTACCCGCTTGTTTCTTGAGCAGCTTCTTTTCGCGCTCAATCCTCAGACTCTCGAGCTTCTTTTCGCGCCTGAGCAGACGCTCTTCTCGAGCTTTGAGCTGCTGCTGTCGAGCCTGTCGGATGCACAGGTGGTGAGTCCGGGCGAGTCGAGGATAGAAAACGCAGGGCGACATCGCCGGCCAGGATGCCGATCGCTCCATGGCGACTTGGAAGCGATAGAATCGACAGGACAGCGCTGGCATGGGCCAGCCGCTCAGTCGGCCTCACAGAAGTGGTTCGTACCAATAGTTCTTGTCGCTGCCGCTCTTCCTCCTTCAATCTGGCAGTCAAGACGGCTTCCTCTTCCTTCTTGCGCGCATCGATGGCCATACGCTCGAGCTCGCGATCCTGAAGGCGCGAGGATCGCTTCCTATTCAAAAGCGCCTCTTGCAGAAGAATCTTCTTTTCCTCTTCCTGAGGGAGCGACGCACAATCAGAATCGCTACGCAGCGGCCCCGGTAAGAGGATCGACGATAGGGATCGGAGCATCACAGCAGCCAAAGGAACTGACCATCATCTCCTCGACGACTTGGGGGAGCACCGATTCAACAAGAACGGCATACAGCTCCTTCTCGACGGTGTACCGAGAGTTCTCAAACTGCTTTGGAAACTCTGTCCACTCGACGCTTGTTCCGCATACCTGTGTCCATGATTGCAACGAAGGCAGGGAATCAATCCCCGCTGCGTGGCGTATGCAATTCATTTGATCTGCAGGGTGACTGAGCGCCACACGAGGGACGATTGCGTACCAGGGACCAATTTGATGGGGTTTGGTCGACCTTGCTTGATTCTTGGAGGGCCTGCTGCTCGTCCTCGACGCTCCTGCTATTTCTTGTGTTTCGGCCCTTGCGGGCCTTGGCGGCCGATTTTGAAGCTGTTGATGAGGGCGCAGGCGACTCTTTGAACAGTCGGTTGTCTGAGCACCCCACCAGTATTCATCGTGGACAAATCCAAGGAAGTGAACAGAATCAGCAGGTTGGAAATGGAGTCCAGTTTGGATTCATGCGACAGTCGGGCATATGTACGAGCGACGGAGCTGTGCAAACGTACGACGCTTCACGGCATACCGTCAAATAGCCAATAAGTGTTTCCGGCGTGGTCGTAGCCGAGCGGATCCACTCGCTGCAACGAGAAAGCAAGTTGAGTGAGCGCCGGGTTACGTGAGCTGACGCATGGCGCATCGGCGCTGCCATCGAGCGTATTGGTTCTCGTCACGGGGAACATGGATCAGAGGGGGAGTGACCATCGATCGTGTCCAAGGGAACAGCAAAAAAAGGACCCTTCTCGTGCGTGGATTATCGGCGTCGTGTGAAAGATGCATGGGACTGACCCATGTTGTTTCGTCTTCGTCGGATTCCTCAACTAAGCTTCGGAACTGCTCGGGAAAGTCCAGTTGCCATTCGCAGAGATAGTATAGTACCAATAGCTGCGGAGAGAGAAAGCCAGGGCAACCATTCACGGGGGGAGGGCGAGGATGCGTCAGCGATGCAGGCAGAACGGCGGGTGGATCGCGGACCCTATAGCATGGACAAATGAGGTCGCCACAGCCGAATTTCACAAGTTGACCACAGGGCGGCCGAGAGCGCGGCTGGGGATCTGGCTGACCTTGTTCTTCAGAGGTAAATCAAAGTAGTCGGTGTGCGGATCGACCAGGAGGGCGGACTCGAGGCGGTCTGCGCGCGACTGGAAGAGGGTGGCCAGATGTGTCTGCCAGTTGTCGGGTCTGCCGAAAGACATGGACAAAGAAAAACGGAGCCAGACCAAAGCCATGACGACAATGGACGGATGATGAATTCCCATGGACGTCAGCCGCAATTGCAAATCGGATGCGGATCAGGAATCCGGGCGCTGCTTTCGGAACGCGACATTGGCAGCGAGAGAACAGCCAGGGCTTGGAACCAAGGCGCGGCATAGGCCAGACATGGCCCAAGCATGGGTCGCTTCCACGAGGCGAGCCACTATGCGCATATCCGTCCGGGTGGGTGCGCAATTAGGCGAGGGGAGGCGACGCACGTTACGGGTTTGTTGGACGTGAGGAGCTTCAGGAGCCGACACATAATGTCCTTTAAATAGTATGTGGGGTTGCTGGCATCGGGGGTGAGGGCGAGCAGATTACTTGTGGTCTGGATGTTGAGCAGGCTGTTTTCGAGATCCGGGGTGCTGAAGGAATCGAGCTGGAGAGCTGGATAGAACAGGTGGAGGAACTGCGATATGGCTGCGAATTGCCAGTGCGAGTGAAGTTCTTCCGCTGTGGAACGAGGTGGAGACATGGGCAGTGTCGAGGCGGTAACGCCAGGGGCCATACCATGGGGGTGGGAAACGGATAACAAGGGTGGGATGGTGAGCCGGGCAGGCGACATGGCGATCCACCAGGATTCGAGTGCAGGAAGGTTGGAGAGAGGAGACGAGACAAGGCAGAGTGGGGTTGGTCGATGCAAAGAATTAAAGCACATGAGAGATGCGGTGTGCGTGGAAGGATCGATCGGTCGCGGCAGCGGACATGAACCAGGGACAGGAACGAGATCAAGGCGAGGCAGAGAGAGAGCAGCGGTCATGGTCATGGGTCTGCGATCCAGGGCCGGGCAAGAGCGATGGAGCGAGGCGGAGGTGGGCGAGCAGGAGGGTAGAAATGCAGAGGTGGGATACGTGGAGCGGTGCCGCAGACGATCGCGGCAGCAAGCGCGGGGACGGCGTCAGGGATGCAGGCAAGGCCGGGGGTTACTCACCGCTCATGGCAGACGGATCGGCGGCGAAGACGAGGGCGAAGGAGACGAAGAGGGGCGAACGGGCCAAAAAGGCCGAGCGGGCAGCGGGGCGGCTCGAGCCGGGTCGAGTGCGGGTGCGCCGGCTCGAATGCGCGTCGGATTTGATTTGCATCTTGATTCTGTCGATTGATTTGCATCTTGATTCTGTCGATTGATTTGCATTTGGATACTGTCGATTGATTTGCATCTTGATTCTGTCGATTGATTTGCATCTTGGTTTCGCAGGTCGTCAGCCATCAAGACCCGAGTCCTCCCCACGAGACCGCCGACATCCCAGCTGCATCTGCTCCCGATGGAGCAAGCCATCGTCGCCGACTCGGCCAAGGCCGCATACGAGGACCTGCTGCCGTTCCTGGACTTTTCGGTCCTGCGGCTGGAGCTGGTGCCGTCGTATCAAGAATCCACTGTGTTCTACCAGTCCTCCCACTACTGCAACCGGTACGATGCCATGTGCATCCATTGATGCATTGATGCATTGATGCATTGATTCCGCTTGAATTGCACATCACCGTCCCGGGACGAATCAACGATACATGGTCACCACCGCCAGTGTTGTAGGCTGCTCTCGTCGTCTGGCTCGCTCGCAGCTCATCTCTCCGAATCATCTCTCCGAATCATCTCCAGATGCTCGCTCTTTACCTTTGACGGCGACTATGGCGACGAACAGGACAATGACACCGACTCGCTCCCGGAATGCACCTGTCGCCAGCGCGAAGGCGCCCTGAACCTCGAGCTCCAGAGCCGATCCGATCTGCTCTTCCTCGCCGACCTCGAGACCATCAAGCGGGCCAATCAGATCATGTCGGTTCAGGTACAGCAGGCCACAGAGCTTGTGCGGGCCGGAGCCTGTCTGAGCAGCCCGGCCGCCCTCGGTATCGTGCTGGATGGCATCGGCTGGCTTGTTGGCATCACGACGCTGGCCCTCGAGTTTTACTTCAAGAGGTAACGGACGTCGCTGAGTGATTTTGATGGATGCCAGTGGAGTGTCCAATTCCAGTACCGGCTCTCTCCCTCGCTACAATTGCTGCTGGGTGGACCACTCGCACATCCACTTGCCCGATTCGCTCACTCGCCAACACATTCGCCCGTCGACTCCTTCGACCCTGCTCCTCTCAACACCCCCCCCCACAGACTCGGAAACGGATCAAGCGCAGCCCTCATCGGCGACGGTATTCTCATTGCCGGATCCGACCCCACGCCCTATATCCAATCTGTGCACTCGGCGTGGCTCGACAGCAGCGGCCACGGAGTCGTTCCGCTGCTCCAGCATTCGTGGAACTTTGCGATCAACCATATCTTTGGACCGGAGGCGAATCCTGCCGATTATCCGGTCGTCAAAATTTCGTCGCTGCTGCCGGCCCTTGCGAGCATCCCGGTGGTCCAGGAGTTCATGCATTACACAAACGGCAATATCTAATCCGCCCTCGCTCTCCTGGACGGCTTCAGTCGCGGTCGGGCCTGGGCTGCCTACACTTGTTGCTTAGCGGTCGTTTCCCTTTATTCAGCACATGATATCACTGGGCATTCCATGCGACACTCGGAGTTACCGACTCCATATGGCACACCATACCGAACGGTCTTCGCGGCACCGCCGCCAGTCTCGATCGTGCCCGAATGCCACGACACCGATATCGCCGACTTGGCATCTGGAACCACAGACACAGCACCCACCATGAACATCAACTCTAATAGCGTTGGCCAGCCGGTATCCCACTCGAGTTCAACGAGCCATGGATATCTCCTTGCTGCCTTCCTTTGTTCCAGCATTCCAAGCGACTGCCAAGGTCAGCATCATGGCAATCAATAGAGGTCGATGGCGACGTTTGGCGACCGCAGCGTTTTGAGTTGATGGGGGCGCTGACCCGAGCGCGAGTCTGCTCTGAGGGAGTGGTTGCGGAAAGCGTCCCACTACTCATCGTCGGCATTCAGATCCTTGTTGGCCTCCTGTGCGGCCTTGGAGCGCTCTTCCATGCGCCGCTGTCGCTCAGCCAGCTTGGCTTTGAGCTCCCTGGCGACGTTGAAGACGCCGTTTGTGGATGCACCACACATGAAGCATTTTGGGGACTTTTTGTGGTTCTTGATCGCGCAGAGCTCGCAAAAGTAATGGCCGCACCTGGGTAGAGATGAGATATGCAGACCGGTGGAGGATCACCGAAGCGACCGCAGTGTTCGGGTCAGAGCAAGTCAGGGATGAGTTCTCAAGAATGCTCTGTGGACAGCCTTGCCAAATGAAAATCGTTGGGTGGAGATCGGCACAGAGCCAATGCACCGCTCTATCCGCGAGGAAAGCGATCGCCGCGTGCCCATCTCCAATCCGCCCACCACACCAGTCGCCCAGGGAAAACGACAACTTACTTTGTCACAACAGGGTCCTTGAAGGGCTCGCGACAGATCAGGCACGCAAACGGCAAGTCATCGTCCTCGTCGGCGTCCTCGTCGACAACGCCCCCGGTTTCCTCGATCAGGAATCGGTTGATGTTGTTCTTCTCGGCCTCCTTGTTCTTTTGAGAGGCCTCCCACTCGCGATCGAGCTGCCATCCGGTCTTGTAGTCGCTGCGATCATGCATGAAGATGCACGAGTCGCCGTATCCGCAGGTGCCGGTTTCTTTATAGTCCTTGCAGATGTCGGGCTGGTAGTCAAATCGGCACGAGATGCGGACGTTGGTGACGCCTCGAAGAGGGCCGGCTCTGCGTGGAGGGGCGATAGGTGGTATGAGGAAGGGGGAGGCTGCGTCAGTTTCTGTCTCGACCCGATCTGCGAGAGGACCCACTACAGCGCAGGCGGCGAGATCGATGACTAGCTGGATATGCCCGCTGGACATCGCTATGCCTCATTCGAAACCTCTGCTCGCTGATGGACATTACCTGATGCTCGAGGCGTTTGACTGCGTTACGTTATCTACTCGCTTGTTGACATACTCCTTATATCCCGTCAGACCCTTGTACAGACCCTCCTCCAACTTGTCGCCTTCGAGAACGTCGCCCTCCTGCAGCTGCGACCCCGGCTGCTTTGGCTCCTTTGGCTCCTTTGGCTCCTTTGGCTCCTCCACTCCGTCAATGTCGAGGGTTCGGGTAGCCGTGTTGTTGGACAGCGATGCCGCTGTGCCGGAGGATTTGAAAGCAAACTGCAGGCCATCCCGCTGAGACGGCTCGGGCTGCTGTTCCTCGCCTGGGCCGGGCGTAGGCCCGGATCGGGACGAGGCCGTCTTCTTCTTGACGACGGTGTCGTCGGCATGGTCCGTGGCTGCAGCATCGTCCTCGGCGGGCCGCTTCCGGATATTGGCCGGGCCCTGCTTCTTGGCTTTGAACTTTTTGAAGACGACGGGTGCGGCTGGCTCCGAGTCTTGCATGGATGGCGCTGGGAGAGACGGAGGGAAGGTGGGGTGCGTAGATGCCAGAGCGCGGTTGCTGAGCGGCGTATCCAGAGTCACAGAGATCGGCACACGATGGATGCAGATCGGCGGTGTCGGTGGGCAGATCGATGGGTTGGGCGGATCAAGACAGAGTCCGAGGAGATGATTTGGAGGTTGGTGGGCCGATTTGTATTGGGAATGCTGGCTCGAACCGGAGAAGCCAGAAAGTGCATCACGTTTCTCTGGGTCGCAAGGCATGTCCATCCCAATCCATCCCATCCCAACCCATCTATCATGATCCAGTGCGCTCAAGGTGCCTGGAGGCCGAGCACCTCGTTCGACCCGGTCGTCTTGCCGCCGAGTAACCACAGGAGCGGCCCAAAGGGCCACATGTATATTATATCTTGGGGCTGTGTCACCGTACCAATTGCAACGAATCCGGACACTCGAGATGGATCCAGAAACATCGAGGGCGGTGGGATCGGGGAATCGCTTGGGGGGGAAGAGCATCAGTGGGCCTTGGAATCCTTGGGGAGACGCACTGTCGGCAAGAACGGCGTCTTTTCGGAAGTCTGAGATGCCAGGACCAGGACCAGGACCAGGACAAGACGAGTGACGACAGAGATGCAAGTCAGACACCAGGGTGGAAGCGAAGGTCGCAAACGAAGCAACGTTGATATCACAGCAGCGCTGCCCATGCTTCGCTCTGAAGAACGGCCACAAACGCAGCGAAGACCAAATCCATCGCCAGCAGCAGCAAACGAGCGATGACGCTCACTCACTTCGTCGACGGGATAGTCGTCGATGTCACACACCTTCTTGTAGTAGATCACGATCTGCAGGGCCAGCATGGCATTGAGGGCGCAGGCGGCCACGTTGCTCAGGAGAATCAGGTTGTCGTTGACTTCTTGGAGGGTCGTGAAGATGCGGGCGACGCTGCCGGCAAAGGTCAGGAATAGCGTCACGGCCGAGAGCTGCCCCGTCGACTTGGCCTTGAAGTTGTCGTAGATCTGGGGAACCTTGGAGGCGATGCTGATGAGCATCGAGCTCCATTGGAAGGCCGCGAGCAGGGCTCGGCTGCAGAGATCGGGTGAGCTCAGGAAGAGGCTGAAGAGAAGAAAGGCTACCGAGACGACGCCCATGCCCCGCAGCTTCCTCTGGTAGAAGAGGATTTGGAGGACGACGATGAAGCTGGTGATGGAAATGAAGGCGGCTGGGCATGTCGAGGAGTGGGCGCAAAGTCCCCCAAAGGAAAGGAAAGGAGACGGGCAATGAGTCGACAAGCGAACCGTTCATGATCAGTCGTGTGAGGAATCGGGAATGAGTGCCAGAGCTCTCTCGGCCGCCGCCGCTGCTACTGCTGCTACTGCTTTCAAACCAGCCGCCGATTGCGATCTGCCCTTATGCAAGCCGATATGTGTCGCCGATCGAGAAGCATCTGCCCTTATGCAGGCCCGATATGTGTCGCCGATCGAGAAGCATCTGCCCTTATGCAGGCCCGATATGTGTCGCCGATCGAGAAGCATCTGCCCTTATGCAGGCCCGATATGTGTCGCCGATCGAGAAGCATCTGCCCTTATGCAGGCCCGATATGTGTCGCCGATCGAGAAGCATCTGCACCGATCTGATCCTACCTTCTCCATAAGTCGAGAAGGGATTGCCGCCGCGGTAGTTGTATACCCAGTGAATCACCTGGGCAACGGTCTCGAGGGAGTAGCTCGTCAGGCTGACTCCCTTGGCGCTCTGGGCCATGAAGATCTTGATGACCTGGGGCAGCTTGACGATGGCGCCGCCCGTGACGATGCCGATGCCGAGACATTTGCTGATGAAGAGCTTGAAGCAGTCGAGCCGGCTGGTGTCGAGCTTCAGCAGCGACTGCGAGCACTCGGCTCCGACCAGGGGCGAGAGGAGGTATTTGTCGATCGCGTTCATTGCATCGGGCAGCAGCAGCGAGTGAGTTGGTTCCGGGAGAGGATGGGCTGGTGACAGAGGCTCGAACAAAGCGAGGACGACGAAGAGCAGGAGGTGTGGCCGCCAATGGCGAACGGAGCATGAGGGGATTGCAGACGAGAAATGGCGCAAACGCCACAGATTGCGACACACCCGGCCTGTGCTGCATCGTCGACGGTGATGTTCAGCAGATCGGACCAGATCCGCCTGCCCACCTGGTGAGGGAGAGTTGTTCGAGGCTCAATCAATTGTATTTCAAAAAGGGATGGGTTCACATTGCAAGAGAAAACACCACGAAAAAAACGAATGAGAGGCGAGCGGGTTTGTCTGGGAGAGTTGGTTGTCTGTGGTAAGTTGGTTGTCTGTGGGAAGGATCGTTGGTTTACAGCCAGTTCTTGAAGACCTTGATGTAGACGGTCTTGACCAGCAGCACAAGCGTAAAGTAGGCAAGCATGCAGCAGGCAGTGAATCCGTACTGGAGGACTGGGAAGACCTGCATGCCGAGGAGAGGGCCCAGCGGGGTGTATGGGATGGCAGTGCCGACGGCAATCAGGGCGGTGGTCATGATCAGGACCGGGACGGTAGCGGTGCTCTGGATGAAGGGAATCTTCTCGGTGCGGACGGCGTGGATGATCAGGGTCTGGGTGAGCAGACTCTCAAAGAACCACGAGGTCTGGAACATGGCCACGGTGCTGTTGTTGTTGGGATCGGTCCAGCGCCAGTAGTAGAGTCCGATGGCAAAGGTGACGCAGTCAAAGATGGACGAGAGCGGGCCGATGCAGCACATGAAGCGGAGGAGATCCCTGGAAGCCCAGCGCTTGGGGCGCTCGAGGAAGGAAGGGTCCATGCGATCCCAGGGAATGGCGGCCTGGGAGATGTCATAGATCATGTTGTTGGTCAGGAGCATGAGCGGGGTGATGGGCTGGAATCCGGGGAGCCAGATCGAGGCAATGACGACCGAGAAGACGTTGCCAAAGTTGGACGAGGCAGCCATCTTGATGTACTTGATGGTGTTTCCGTAGGTCTGGCGGCCCTTGACGACGCCGCGCTCGAGGATGAGGAGGCTCTTCTCCAGGAGAATGACGGTGGCAGCTTCCTTGGCGACCTCGGTGGCAGAGTCGACCGAGATGCCGACGTCGGCAGACTTGAGGGCCAGGGCGTCGTTGATGCCGTCGCCGAGGAAACCAACGACGTGGTCGTTCTTCTGGAGGGCCTGGACGACGCGCTGCTTCATGTTAGGGCTGAGCTTGGCGAGGACGGTGCAGCGCTCGACCTCAAAGGCAAAGTCGGCATCGTTAAGCAGCTCGAGCTCCTGGCCGGTGATGACGTGCTCGACAGAGATGCCGACGTCAGAGCAGACCTTGACAGAGACCTTGAGGTTGTCGCCGGTGAGGACCTTGATCTGGACGTGTCTGGAATTGAGGAGACGGATGGCCTCGGCGGCATCTTCCTTGGGGGGATCGCAGAAGGCAAGGTAACCCTCGAAGGTCATGTCGATCTCGTCGGTCTTGAGGTACTGAGTGCGGATCTTTTCGAAGCGGCGGGTGGCAACACCGAGGACACGGAGGCCCTGCGAGTTGAGCTCGTCGACGGTGGCAAGGAACTTGGTCTTCATCTCGTCAGTCAGGGGCTGGGGGAGGCCGTTGTTGTCGGCATAGTGAGTGCAGCAGGCAATGATCTCCTCGACGGCGCCCTTGCAGGAGAGGATGTGGACATCCGAGACGCCCTTGGGCATGAGGATCACGGACATGCGGCGGCGCTCAAAGTCAAAGGTGATTTCATCAATGAAGGTGTAGCGCTCGAGGATCTCCTGGGGGTTCTTGAAGTGCTTCTGAGCACCCTCGACGATGGCGCGGTCGAGCAGGTTCTGCATGCCGGACTGGTAGTGGCTGTTGATGGAGGCCCACTCAAGAGGGGTCCAGGAGTTTGTCTTGGCGGGAGTAAGGGATTCTTGGAGCACAATCATGTCCTGGGTGAGGGTGCCGGTCTTGTCGGAGCAGAGGACGTCCATGGCACCGAGGTTCTGGATGGCCGAGAGCTGCTTGACGATGGTCTTGCGCTTGATGAGCGAGAGGGCGCCCTTGGCCAGGTTGGCGTTCAGGATCATGGGAAGCATTTCAGGGATGAGACCGACGGCGACGGTGAGGCCGAACTGGAGGGCATCGATCCAGGGGTGATCGCCGGTGCCACGGAAGCCTTGGATCAAAATCACAATGGGGGTCATGACGAGCATCATGTAGATGAGCAGGAGACTGACAGAGTTGACACCCTTGTCAAAGGCGGTCTTGGGGCGGCGCTCGGCGAGCTTCTTGGCGACAAAGGAAAGGTAGGTCGAGTCGCCAGTGGCGATGACAACGGCAAGGCCGATGCCAGAAGTAACACTGGTTCCCATCAGGGCAATGTTGGCACGATCAAAGAGGGGGGTGGACGTGGTGATGGCGCCGCTGGCCTTGTCGACGGGGGCAGACTCCCCGGTGAGGGCCGACTGGGAAACAGAAATGTCGCGGCCAGAGATGATCAGGCAGTCACCGGGGAAGACGACACCAGCAGTGAGCTTGACAATGTCTCCAGGGACGACATCGAGTTGGTTGACGGGTGTGGACGAGCCTTGAACGGAGGAGTCGGGGCGACGAATCAGCTGGCAGTGGGACGAGACCAGGGACTTGAGCTTCTCGGCGGCGCTGTTGGAGGAGGACTCTTGCCAGAAACGAGTGATGGTGGCAAAGACCAACATCTAGAGTAGAGATGGAGCGAAGCGCGATTAGCATGGCAGAAGGAGGCGGGCAGGGAGCCAGGGAAGAGAGGTGTGGGATATGGAGTATCGACACGCAAGTGGTCTGGAGAGACTTACAAGCATCAAGTAGGTGAAGGGTCTGAAATCCGCAGGAGGGATGGCAAGATTGGAAATGGCCAAGAACTGGAGCAGATGGGATGCGTTAGTGTGTGCGACTGCAGATGCGATCTGGATGCGACTGTCGATGCGATCTGGATGCGACTGCAGATGCGATTTGGATGTAACTCCCCAATGGGAGCACGTGGCATTCACAGTCGGACACGCGACGACGCTGACTGTTCATGTGCGTCACGAGGGCAACGTCGGGCGGCTCCGGGGCGATATTGCGAGCCGAAAAGGAGATGGATCGCATATACATACCAGCAGGAGAATGTTGAAGGGATGGGCAATGCTGTTCCAGAGCAGGGTCCACCAGCGCACGGGCTTGAAGGCCGAGAGCGTGTTCTTGCCGTGCTTGGCAAGGCGCTCGGCGGCCTCGTTGCTGGTCAGACCCTGGGTGCTGGAGCCAATGGCGACGAGGGCGGTCTCGGGGTCAAGGGCAGAGACATAGGCAAGGTGATCGACAGCAGCCAGACGACGCTCCTCCTCCTCCTGCTCCTTCTTCGAGGGGCCACGGTTCAAGCCAAAGGCGCGCTTGAGGCGAGCGGAGAAGGTGGGAGGGGCAGCGGCGTGGTACTCCTGCTGGTCCTTTTCAATCTTGGAGACATCCATTTTCTTATTTTGGTGCTGCGGTTGGTTGTTTGATGGGAGGAAGAACTTGGCAAGAAAGAACAGAGGACTGCTTCATTCAAGTTGGAAGGAGGCTTTCCTTGAGTGCTGGGGAAGACTGGGGGAGCAGATGGAAACGCGGGTGGAGAGCGCTTTTGAGCGGGATACTGCAAAAGTCCAAAGGCAAGACGGAAGCGGATTGCTGGTGGGGAGAGGCGAGCGGGCGACGAATTTATATTCCGTCCGGGGGGGGGAAGGTGGGCAGCAGAAAAAAATGGCTCCTTGAGGGGGCCGGGGCGAGAGGCAGCGCAAGCCCAGCAAACAAGCACAGGCGGAAGGGCGGATTTTCGGCGTGGTGACATCGGCGGGACAACGGTCGCACGGGAACATGTCTGGAACCAATTTGGGCGCGCGCGGACGGCGATTGGGCAGAATTCAGCCATGTCGTGCAGGCTGGTCCGGTGACAAGGACTCCGTGTCGCGGCGAACCGCTGAGGTACTTGTCGGGGGGGGGTTGGCTGGTTGTTTCTTGTTTCTTGTTTCTTGTTGTGGGCGAGGGCTTTCGAACGCACAGAATCGGATCGTCTCGTTGCAGAAAATAGACGGGCCTGAGCCAGTGGCGCTGTCGCACGAGATCGCAAACGTGTCCTCGTTTCTCTGCCCGTCGTGGAACGACGGGGGCAGCGCAAGGCAAAAATGCGCGGCGAATGTTCATGCCTGCGCCGGATGTGTTCTTTCTGTGGGCGGGCTGGGGGAGATGATCTTGCCAAGCAGAAGGGACCAAACAAACGGGTGTACCTCCTCGCCGCCTGCCTGCCTGCCTGCCTGCCTGCCTGCCTGCCTGCCTGCCTGCCTGCCTGCCTGCCTGCCTGCCTGTCTGTCTGTCTGTCTGTCTGCCCGAGAGCGACCGCACTTGACCACGCAACGCCGATCCCTATCGCCCTCTCTGTGTGTCTCTTCATCCACCCATCTCGATTTCTGCCATCCGAGCCATGTGTTGCGCTGCATGACCAGGCCGCATGTCCCCGCTCGCCGCGTATCTCCCCGGACGGCCACTGGGCAGATTTGGGTGGCGGCGGTGGGGCAAGCGGCGAGGGGAACAAGAAAAAAAAACGAAGCGGAATGGAGACGGACGAACAAGGACGCAGAAATCTGCTGCTGCTGAACCACTTTGGCTGAGCCACTTTGGCCTGACAAGGAGAACAAGAACCACTCCCGACAAGGTCTGCGTGCGCTGGCTGGAGCCGGCTCATCTGGCTTCATGCATCTTCTGATCCCAATTCGCACATCGATTCCAGCCCAGGATCGAAACCAACTCTTGATCCAAAGCGCCAGCCAGGCTCACGCACCGACGACTGAGCCATCAGCCCATGCCACCCATCATGACCCAGCGAGCCGCGCCTATCCGGCACACTCATTTGTGCCCAATCGAAGCCAAGCGGCGCGGTTCGAGTTTGGACGAATGGCAGCTTGTGTGAATGTCATGTTTTGAACGAACGCACGCTCCAGCCCGGCGAGCATGAACATGAACCGGCTGCTGTTCAGGGGCGTATGGCCCGTTGCAAGGCAGCCCCATCCAGTCCAGCCCCATCCAGCCCTCCAGCCCTCCAGCCCTCCAGCCCTCCAGCCCTGCTCACATTCGCGCTCTCGAGTCCTGTGCTCCGCCGCGGATGCATTTTTCGGATTTGATCGGCTGGTTGCCTGTATCGACTGTGGAGCGACAAGCTGCTCGTTCGACACCCCGGCTTTCCCTCGGACGGTTGAATCTCGGGCCAGCAGCAGCCAATATTGGGCTTGCATCAATCACACAACGTCCACCACTCGCTCGTCCCACTCTGGCTCGAGCGGTTCCTGGCGATTTTTCCCGCTCCCGATCCGATTTGGCTCGCTGATGATGTGCAGTCCGTCAAGTTCCCGGCTAACGTTCAAGTGCCCTCCCCAGTCGCCATGCATTCTCCCTCGGGGGCCCTGCCGAGTATATAACTACGCCCCAGGCTTCACATCCCGCCGTTCTCATCGTGTCCTCTGTTTCTGCTTGACGCCCTCCATCTCCAAATGGCCGAGTACAAGAAGAATGTGTGAGTGTCGTCGCAGTGCTCCGCGACAGCCACCTGGTTCTTGAGGATGCGCCAGCCATCCCCATCGGCTCAACCCACTCCGGCAACCCCGGCCAAATAGCTGGCCCAACTACAATCGAGACACAACTATCGCCCGAGATATCTTATATTTGTATTCGCGGCGACTAACGAGCATACACCCTCGGCGCTTCTCCGCGCGGTATCCGTATCCTCCAGTGCCTTCTCTGGAGGAGCAAGCATGCTCATCAGCAGTATTACCGGGCCAGGGGTGTTGCAGATCCCGACGGTTTTTCAAACCTCAGGCTTTTTCTTGTACGTTCTGCAGTGCGATTTGCTTGATGATCAAAGTCGTCGCCCATATCAAATTGTCTGCCACGTCGCCAGTCAAATGGCTCAGCCACATTGCCTGCCTGCTAGATTGCCGGCTGGTCAGTAGAGCCTCGTCTGTCCACTGTCGTTTAACCTGTTTACGCACCCAGCCCGACCTTCCTGTTCCTCATCATCACCGTCTTTACTGGATGGAGCTGCCTGTTTCTCCTCGAAGCCATGTCTCTGTTCCCTGGGAACGCGTCGTTTGAGGTATCGTCGTCCCGTTCAGTCTGCTCCTCGGGCGGGAGACGGCTTGCGCGGTGCCCACACCAAACGATCTCCAGACACTCGCAATTCGGCACACTCTCGATTCACCATGTTGCACACTGCCTCCAACAGCGAAACGTCGAGTTTACCGTGCTCGTCCACCACTACTATGGGCGATACTGGTACTATGCCATGCACATTGTTTTGTATGGCTCGCTCCAGTCGTTCAACATCGCGTCCATCATTCAGGCAGCCCAGGTACAGTTGGCAATTTCGATAGATATCGTGAGCACTGTTGGTGGGACAGACCGAAGCGAGGCAGGACAAGAGCCGTGCAAAAGGGCCTCGATGCCCACGACCTGCGAACGATATCGCCGCTCATCGGTCTTTGTCTCATCTCGGCAGTCGTTCGACATCCTCATCCTGAGTGTCTTTGGAGAAACCTGCGGATTCCAGATTTCTGCGCCTTCTGGGTTTGTCTGTGTCAATCAAGTCAGCAACAGCAATTCTCCGTTTGGCTCGCAGATCATGCTCTTGACATTCGGAGGCATTGTGAGTACACCTTGCAGAGAGCCGGGCCAAGCACGCCATTGCTTCACCCTTGACGATGTCATACTTACATCTGCACCCTTGCCTCGCTAGCTTCTGCTTTCGGTTCTCATACCACTCCTGTATCTCGATTTAAATGACAACATGATTGTTCAATGGGGTGCGTTCTGTTTGATACGTCAGTCCGCCTTCGCTCAGCCGATGCCTTTGCTCGAACAGCCGCTGACCGAGCTATCATCGACAGTGTCTCTCGCCTACCTGATCGTGTGCGTCTTCATCTGGGCCATCATGTCCTTTTTCTCGGGCCAATCCTTCAGCACCAACTTTTCGTTCATGGCTCCGCCGGGCGGCGGATATGCAAGTGCCATCGGCGCCGTGCTCCTCAACTTTACCCTGGCCAACACCATTCCATCGTGGGTGAACGTAAAGGTACAGCGCCATGAGCATGCGTCGAGTCCCAAGTTCAACCTGGGTGATCATCCGTTGATCCTACTGGGAGCGCAAGTTGATCTGACTGGGGCATTGGACACACGACCGCTGTTGCCCGTCCCATCGCACCGGGAAAGAGTGTCCATGTATCCTGACTGAACCTCATTCCCGAAGCACAAATCGGTCAGTGCTTCGCGATGCATCTGGATCTCGATATGGATTGCAACCTTTCTCTATTTAATCACGGGATGGTTCGGTAATAATATACTCTGGCCACCGATAGCCATCTCCAAGCTCAAATCACCTCCACCACCACCCTGAATGCACGCTCATAGGTCAATCTCGATATCTGTGCTTACATTCGTCCATCTGTCCCAATTCAAGGTGCACTTGCGTTCCAGATCGGCAACGGATCCAATCTCATGGCGGCCATCACGTCGACTCTTGTGACGGGCGGGTGGCCGGTCGTCAACAACATCATCAACTTGACATATCCATTCCTGATCCTTGTGACGTCCATCCCAGTCGCTTTCATCATTTCCAAGCTGAACTTGGTCACTTCAAACCTCTGTTCGCCAGGTATGCTTGCACGATTCAGCGGTTGTCCTCCGCTGACCTTGGTTGTCACGTACCTCGAATAGCTTCGAGTAGCTGCTTCTGACCATCGTCGACCGTTCTAACCACTCGCGGCGCAGGCGTCGCCTACTTTTGGGCCGTCATCTTCCCGTTCCTCGTGGCGATCCCGATGCAGACAGGACCGTGGGTCTCGATCTTCTCGAATTGGACCAGCTTGACCTTTCAGTCCATCTGCAACTTTATCGCCCCACTCCTCATCTACTTGTTTCTGCACAAGCGCAATCTGGGTAGGTGGGATTTGCAGGCTCCGCTGGAACTCGATGGATGCGCATCTGGTAGAACCTTTGATTTATGAAACTCCCTTGCGTTCGTATGCAGCCACCAGAGCGCCTGTGATGTACCTATGCCATGGATCTGCTCACATGCTCATTCACTCGTATCCCATCTCCCAGTGATGCAGCAGTCGGTGTTGGATGAACTCAACAACCTCGATGTAAACGTCAACATCAAGCGACGAGCAGGCGACGATGAAGATGATGATTTCGATTACATTTACCACCTTCCCTACGCTGACTCTGCTCGCATCATCCGTCGAGATCCGTTTGCAACACTTGCTACCCACAACGGTGCACCAGAAGTCGGTCTGCCCCACAACGGCACTCTGGAAATTAGCCTTCCCCACATCAAGTGCTCCACGTCATCACTGCAGTCCAAGGATGGTCATTCCATGACCAAGGCCACCCGAAGGGCTTTGAATCTGGGTGGCAACGAGGAAGGTCCCTCTGTCCGCAGACGAAAGATGTCCCGTATGTCCAATGCCTCATCCATGCGACTTGGCGCCTCGATTGATGGAGGAGGGTCGAGGATGATGGGATCCCGGTACATGGCCGAGACCCAAGGATCCACCAACTTTGGTTCTGCTGCGTACGTGAGTGGCGTCCAGTTGAGCACCGGCCAGAGCATGAACTTTTCCAGTGTGCACGGATCCGGCAAAGTCTACCCCGTTGATATGGACGACGAAAGCAAGGGTCTCTCCGAATCGGTGGTGCAGATGTCCTTTGACTACACGAACCAAATGGACCCGCCGTTCAAGGCACTTCCGACCTGGATCACCAAGCGAGTTCCGTCATATTATGTAGCTCTGTTTCTCACCGTGGTCATGAGCGTAGGTTGCCTCGGAAACTTGATCTACAACATCTACAGCCTTGCTGACAACACGGGCGGATCGTGAACAGGGTTATAACACGGGTGGATCGTGAACAGAGTCATAGTTCTTCGACTGCTCCTCGACTGCTCCTCGACTGCTCCTCTCAGCAAAGGAATATTGACAGTTTATATCTTGAATCGCTCCTGGCAATACGGATTGCATTCCATGACCACAATTGGCGCCAAACGGCCTCGTTTGGCTGAGCGAGGGGCACGAGCGATCGTTCGTGTGATGTGGATCGAGCTGGGGGGGGGGTCATGAAAATATATGCTTTTGCGCAAAGTGGGAGACATGGATTCACGAGCCATATATGCGGACTTGGGGGGATGGGTGAACTGACTACGCTGAAAATAGCGGGAAACGCCCGAATCATGGTCCGGGACTCACCGGCCGGACCGGCTTGGTGCTTTCGAGCGCAGTGTGCGGAGTGATGCCCAGCCGGGCCAAGAGGCACCTTGAGCAGGTTCATGGCCATGCTGGCCCGCAGGTGGCCCTCGAGACACAATCAGAGGGACAGGCAGAGGGAAATGCCCAGCGATGCCCGCCGAGGACCGCCTCCAAGGCCGCTGAAGCCGTCTGCGTGCAGCTGCTCTTCAGCCATCAGAGGCCCCGTTCGACCTGCGCCCTCGTTCACTTTGCCGATCGATACGGCGCCAGCATCGACTCGCGTGATTATCTGACTGGTCTTTCGCATCGAGCTCCGTCAAAGCACCGTGATCCTGCGACTCACCGCCAGCATCTGACACCTCATCGATCTGCAGCCGACACACGTTTGTCGTTAACGCTTTGGCTGACAGCAGCAAGCAGAACTCTCCATCCACGTCGCTCCATCGTATCCTTTCGCTGCAATGCTGGCCCCTCGACTTAGCATCGATGGACCAAGTCCGAACCGCGCAAATCTAAGCCTGGGCCCCCAGAAAGAAAGTGCCTCTGGCCACCACAAGGCTAGTCACCGATCCAGTAGCAAGCTCTCGGCGCAAGCCCAGACCATCGACTTTCCCAAGCTGACGCTGTACGAATGGCTGGTCTTCAAGCTCGACATTCTCATCCCCGAGGAGAGGCCAAACTCGATGATGGTGCCGCACGATTGCCACCTCCAAAAGGTCAAGTACAGCCGCAAGAAATGGCGCTGGCGAATCGTCCGCAACTCGGACGCCAGCCTGCCCGAGTACCTGACCGACCACCGCGATGACAGCGAATACGACGTCATTTCCCCTGAGACGGGCTCGTTCCTGCCCGTCGTCGACATCCAGGGCAAGTTTATCAAGAAATGGGACGCGCTTGGACTGCTGCTGCTCTTGTTCACAGCATCGGTGACGCCGTTCGAAACAGCGTAAGTTGAGAATGAGAGGGAGAGTGAGAGTGAGAGTGAGAGTGAAAGTGAGAGTGAGAGTGAGAGTGATGGGATTTTGTGGTTCTATGGCCCCAGTTAACCCCCACCTCACGGTATTCTCAGCTTCCTCTCCCAGCAGCCCGGGCAACCCTTCCAGTTCGATATTCTCTTCCTCGTCAACAGTATCGTCGACTTTATCTTCTTTTGTGACATTTTGATTCAGATGCGCACCCCATATCGCCACAAGCAGACCGGCAAGATCATCCGGTCCGAGTTTGGCATGTTCTGGAACTACTTTACCGGATGGTTCTCCATCGACTTGGTCTCCACACTTCCGTGGGAGCTGCTTTCGCTTGTGAACCAGAGCGGCGGCAATCTGCCCGTCAGCCAGCTCCGACTGCTGCGATTCTTGCGTCTGACGAGACTACTCAAGCTGCTCCGTGTCATGCGCGCGAGCCGAAAGCTCAGCCAGTGGAAAGCGCAGATCAATCTTCGATATGTAACCATTCAGATCCTGCAGGTAATCTGTCCTTCGCGCTGTCGTGTGGCCCGGCTGCAAGTGGCGAATGGGCATCGTGCCGATCGCTTTAGCTCGTGTGCCAGCACATCGTGCGCTGACAAACCTTACTCTGTTCCAGTGGTGCATCATCATGACCTTTATCATGCATTGGATCGCCTGTGGATACCGCCTCGCTGCGGAGCGGAACGACACCTCGGCCACCAGCACCGATCCCTTGGGGTGGCACGAGCTCTATGCCGCCTCCCAGAACACCACCGTCGGCAACATATCGGTGTGGCTGCTCTACATCATGGCGCTCTCGTGGTCGGCCGGGACGGTCAGTCTCGTTGGGAGCGGCGATCCAGTGATGCAGCCCTCCAACGACCGCGAGTGGGGATACAGCGTCTTTGCCTTCTTCATCTCGTATCTCCTCGCGGTGTGGTCGATTGCCACAATCTCGGATGTGCTGTCGCTCAGCAACCGAAGCCAGAGGACCCACGATCTCCATGTGGACCAGTATCTCGAGATGTTTGACCGACTCAAGCTCGAGCCGCGGCTCAAGATCAAGGTGTACGAGTACCTCTCGGACCACTATGCCAGCAAGCACAGCACCCGATACACCGAGCTCCTGCAGGACCTGCCGCCTCAGCTGCACGGGTTCATCACGATGGAGGTGTTTGTGTCGTTCATTGCCGACATTCCGTTCCTGGAGCCGTTCATTGACCGAGAGCCTGCACTGGCGCAGGACCTGTGCAGGTCGATCGAGATCCGGTCGGTGTCGGCCAACAGCCACCTGTTCACGGAGGGCTACGAGGGCATCTACCTGCTGAAGAGCGGGATAGTGGCGATCGAGGGACGGGTGTATCCGAGGTAAGCCGTGGACGCGGTGGGCGATGCGGTGGGCGAGTGAGCGAGTGAGTGGGCGAGTGAGTGGGCGAGTGAGTGAGTGAGTGAGTGAGTGAGCGATGGAGTGATGAAGTGATGGAACGAAGGAAGGGGCGAGACTGTTTGCCGTATCATAACCACAACCACAACCACACAACCACAACCACACAACCCGCAGTGGATCCATCTTTGGCCGCACCTGTCTCCGAGAAAAGATAAAGTCCAACGAGTGTCGGGCCCTCACCAACATCACCGTCCATCTCCTCAAGCGCGACGTCCTGGTCTCGGTGCTGGACAAGTGGCCCAAGATCAAGTACTATGCCAAGCGGTGGACGGCCTGGCAGGTGCTTCGGCGGTACATCTACACATACACCCGGCTCTACTACATGGCGGCACGGCGTGGGGCACGGATGCAGCCGCCGCTGGTCTCGCAGCGGCCCAACATGCGCGAGGGCGAGCTGGACGACATCGACATTGCTGTTCTCGAGCACATCGAGGAGTTTAAGTTCTGAATGTCCGCATCAATGGATACTGGACCAATCACAATTCGAATATCCGAGCTTGTATTGCAACGCCTGAGGGAGGGAGCCTTGGCCAGTTTACCTGATTGTCATAAACATCGTTATCATGATGGATCGCCTGCTCACGGGTCTATCAACCGTTGACATTCTAGATCCTGAAATATAGAATTTGGTTTATGTTGAATCGCTGGGTAAACCGCCAATGAGCACGGAAGAACCCGAATCAGTATTCTGTGGATGTGGGGCTGTCGGTGACACGATCTCGGGAGAACACTGCCGAATATACCAGCTCAGTGCTTGTTGATTCCAAAGGTCAGGAATGCACTGCGACGAGACATCATGATACCATTCGCTCGCAACTACCACCAGCAAAGCCGAATTTCTGAGATAGCGGAGTTCATGCAAGCACAATATCTGAGGACAAGTACCCACCGCCCTTCCCGCATAATCTTGAAAACGCAGTGAATAACAACAGATCTTGGTTTACGGTTGGCGGTGCGATTTGCTTGGCTGATTGCATATTCGGAGATAATGATATGGCAGTTTGAGAAGGACTGGTTAGGTTTTTTTTTTTGTTTACAATAGTTGTATATTCAGGAATATTCAACAAGCCATCAGTACCATGCGGTACCCGGCAGTGGGCGTACAAGCAGGCTCACACGCCCCTGTTGCGGCTCTCGCCGACTCTCCAGCCCACACGGCGAGCCATGCGGGTGAACACTTCCTCCAATAGGTCCCACAGGGACTCGCATGTCTCCAGGTCCCGCTCGGGGACCCTTTCTCTCTGGCCATGGGAGCTCCTCTCCGGGATCTCCTCAAAGCCCATCCACGGCTTTGTTCGTTGGGGTCGCTGTCGTGGCCACGTGGCCCTGAGCGCCCCAGTCGCTCTGTCACTGCTCGGTGTGGGGAGAAGGCTGCCTCTCCTGCTGGTCGTTGGGAACGGTGTGTCTCCGAGTCCGAGGTCGTCGTCCGAGACCAGGTCCGGGCTCAGATCGGCATCGTCGATCAGATCGATGCTTGGTGTTGTGTTCGAGAGCAAGTCGAC